AACCCCTCTTCTTTTCTGAGGTTTGTCTGCATTTTTCCCAGTGCTCGCAAGTTCCAAGCGTCAGCTATGACGAAGCAGTACTAAGTTTTCCCGGGACTTCACGTGGTTCCCTCTCAGGACAAGCTCGCAAGGAACGTCTCTATCGTTAGGTCTGGTCTTTTAACTGTGTCGGAAACGTGTTCTACTTCTCGCACATGTCCCGCTCATGCACTCCATATGTCCGAAGAACTGGTATCGCTTAATTGCATGATAAGTTTAGTTGTCATTCCGTGGAATCCTCACGGCTTTAGCCAGATTCGGACCTTCCATTACTCGCCAGGTACGTCTGGCTGAGAAATTGCATTGTTGACCTGTAGTTCAAAGTCCTCCGGCGACAACAATCCACGTTCGACATGATTAGCTTGGCAATTGAAATATTGACCCCTTGACACGGAGGAAGACGTCATAGTTCCTGTGACAGGCATCGGAATATTCAGATTCATAGATTAATTTCCATGAGCAAAAATTGCTATCAATTCCTGCTAGAGACTGTGGCTCGGGTTCCGACAGTTCATTCAGGTTGCCTTATCCTGTTCGTCTATTCCACGAACCGCCTGTTTTCCACTCAAGCTGGCTCCGTCGAAAACTGTGCATTTGTTGCACATCCTCTCGCCTCAGAAACACCTCAGCTTGAGAGGTAAATCCATCTCTCGTCTTGTTCCATGGTGTCTGATGTATTTGTGCCTGGCGAACGAAATCGTCTACTCTCCAAATCATTGGATGTACCACGTCTTGTATTTAGGTGGGCTGAAGGGGAATCATGCTTCCAGTTACAGTGAGCTGAGAATACGCTAGTGAGATAGCTGTCAATTCATGGTACGTTGCAGATACATTGAACGGGGCCGAAAGACTGTCATGCCTTCGTTCTTGTGTTCTATGAGTCATGACCCGCGACTATACGTTAGAATCTACCTCCGTAGAAGTTATGATCAAGCTTTTCCCAGCGATATTTCATCTCACCGTGGCAGCCGCAGCGATAGGTGCATTCCCGAAACGAGCGTGCTGCGATAATTAATGGCAACGGTCGGACCAGCTCATAAGTATAAAGGACTCGTTCGCCGCCTTTGAAGACATACCTTCGACTCACACAACCTCGACTCAAATTGAATATGGATGCGTGCGGATAATGTAGATTTCAATTGTCATTCTGTCCCTGAGCTGAGTGCATTCCTCCCCTAAATCAGAAAAGAATAGCTGACCGACGATCGCAAGCTGGCTGGACTGTCAATTATTCTGCGCAATCATGCTGCCAAGTGAGATCAGTTGCAGATCCCTGCGAAGAAGATAGAAGGGACACACATGCGTAAGAGACCTTCTCCGCCAAAAAATGACGTTCCAAGGGTGAACTAGATGTTCCGCGGGAGCAGATAGACATTCGAGTTTAGTCCAGCTATGGAGTAATGAAAAAGTTAACACTATTACCATTATTATTCTTCATAACTGTACAGTTCTAAGGGTCGAAATCAATGTATAGTGAGTGAAAAGAGTAGGGAGAAAACACGCGGCAATTCAGCCGACGCAAAGCCACTGTAAGAAGACGAGTGTCCTCCGTATATTCGGACCAATTTAGCACCGGAGGATCACGCCATCCTTCGTAGCCACATGTCACACTGTCGAAAGACGGCCGATATAAACGGAACGTATGGGTCGACGAAACCTGCTACACGTCTGCCAATCGTTGAGCGCCCGGATTTTATGATCACTACGGTGTTTGACAAGTAAAATGTTAGCATGAGACGTCGCGCATTCGATGGAGAGTCCAAAGGAACTTCTAGCACGGTCAATCTAGGAGTAATGAATAGTATTAACTTAAGAATCGCTGTCACAGACTGTGATGTTTTGGAGAGTGCAAATTAGATACCGTCACGACGTCCCAAGTCGAATCTCGACTTGTACGTGAGGAACCGGGAAATCGATGAGTGCGATGAATTTATGCCACAACTATTAATCTCGGTGAGAACTGCCAGTGCCAGTGGGAGAGAACGTTCCCGGAAACTAGAGCAGATAAGGGACCAGGTTGGCGAGATAGCTCGCCCAGCTCCGCTCATCGTGCTGACTCGGCGTTTGAGCAGAACAATACTATGGGTTAGTACCACTCACTCGGCGGAGCCTGTAAGTCGGCAGCCCGGGCGCGCATCTTCTCAGGTCAAAGGCGCACACTCCGCCGCTCTGCATACGCGGCTATCCCGCTTTGGACGTGGGGGCAGTCAGTGGACTCGGGAGGGCAAATGATGGACTCGGGAGGGTACCGCCACGAGACTCTGGGAGCGAACGCGCACTTGCACGTTAGAACCGCGGGCGCTTCCACGTCTGATCGCTTTGTGTGCGCAGGGAGATATTTTGCTCCAGTTAGAACTGATGGCGGGTTGTATAATGTCTGAAATATTGCGCATCGAAGACGCGTGAGTGCCGCTAGGCGTGAGGGAACGACCGGTGCGGCCGACATGAGGGTTTGACCATCCGAAAAAGGAAGAAGGCGACTGTTACTCGCTAAACGGTTGCAGTCTTGATATCGTCGGCTAGATTACCAGGGCAATGAACGTTGATGAAGCGTCCACGGTGTCCATGGCCAACGTTGAACCTGAGGCCTGAACGTTGAACGATTGGCCAGGGTCAGTAACATGAATTCGGGATCTTCCGAGCGGCATACACGGTGCGTTACGGTCACCAGCGGCATATACCAGGGGCACCGGCCCGCCGTGGGAAGGTACCACGCGGTGACCACCACAGCCCAGGGACATAGATATAATCTCCTCATTATGCCGTTCAGCCTCCGGTAGTCGCTGCAGGAACCGCTCCTCAGGCTGTTCCTGCGTTGGTATAGCAGGCAACTCTACGTGAAGCCGATGGTCCGATTTGCGAGCGCAAGGCTTCCCTGTCTCCGCGAGTGTCGCTAGAGCCCAGAAGACGCAAAATGCCGGCTACTTATGAAACTTTCACAATGGACACACGAACACTAGAATGACCGTGGTGATTTCTACATCTGGTCGTTCATAGTCTATTGTCATCGTTCATTTTGGTGCGCACTAGTCTGTGATACTTACTCGATATTGGTTTCGATTGTGGTGTGTTTTTCGTTGGCGATGATAGTAGGGAATGTACTATGATTTGAGTCGACGACTATAACACTGACTTCCTTCACAGGGGTTGCAAGTGTGCCCTGGCAGACCATGTCAGGCCTTGTATTCATGCATATCAATTTCCTCAAACCGCGTTGGCAAAAGGACGACGTCCCGGCATATGGCAACGTCGTTCCATTAATATTGCTAAGAAATGACCTAAGCCATCGCAACCTTTCCGGCTTCTGAATCTGAAGCATTAAGGAGTGCATCCTCCGCTGAACGCTGAGCCTCTGCTTATTACGAATATACGATTGCTAAGCCTTTTCTGAATGGCTACCTATCCGTGTTTGACAACTGAAGTACTGACGGACAAAGGATCCCAACAGAGCCCCGCGTGTTCATGTACCGCGACATCACTGACAACTATTGCCTGATCATATCAAGGGGCACACGATTTGGCCGGTGCGGCATCAGCAGGGAGACATACGAGTCAATTTGGCTTCCACTAGTCAATGGCCAGCCAAGTCAGTGAGTGGCGTGCCGAGCAGTATTTGATGAAGGCGGACCTCGCTGACAAGCTATCTTCCCTTGTTCCTTGTTTATATACAAGGCGTTTGCAATCACAGATAGTGCCGTCACAGAAGGTTTGATGTCTGCGTCGAAGTTCGCACTTCGGTGAATGCAGACGTCATTCAAAGCCTCCAGGGTTGTAGGCTACCCTGAAGCATTCATGCGATGGCCTGTCGTGACAAGTTCGCCAGCAGGTCTCCATCGGCTAGAAAAGCCAGCATCCCCAATTTGTCTTTCAACTCCGATAGAGATGTACGTAGCATTCCAATCATGTTCAAACAACGCGTGCACTAGGCACGTTTGAAGGTGTGGCCCCTCGGGTAGTGGAATGGTAAGTTTCGTTATCACTCCGTGCGATCCGGAGGTCTTTGGCCAGATTCAGGCATTCTAAGTGCTTCTGCGACTACAGTCAGCATTCACCGACTAGAATGTCAGTTTTTTCGACGCCATATTCCCTATTATGGGCATCAGAATATCTAGATTTACGTATCAAGTTCCGTTGAGACAGATTCCGATCAGTCTTGTCGAAGGTTCGGGTTTGCTCAATGTGCCATTCCCTCGTCCTGTTGGTGTATTCCATAAACTGTTTCTGGCTGGTATAACCTCCAGCCAGCTGTGTCGATAGTCGTACGTTTGTCACACAGTCTCTTATTCTAGATCCACATTTGTCTGTCTGCGGGTAATTTCATATCGTCTGTGATATTCCAGTATCTCACTGATTCATGCATTGTAAATTAAACCGCATATCGTTCTAAATCATCCCATGCATCGCATATCCTATGCAGGTGAATATAACGGAAATTTCGTGCCTCGTCTACCTAGAGCTAGAGGTGAGTGTGCATTCAGTCATGAATTGCTGTCAACTTACGGAGCATTACAGACGTGACTGGTGGCTGCAATGACGGTGCGCTGATTTACTGAAATATTCCATACGATGTCTGTAACGATGCCTAATCTAAACAGAGCAATGCAGCAGAGCATCGTATCGGGTCTTCGCATGAGCCTACCACTGTTTCAAAACTTGATGGGCCTTCTGCACCTCAGACTCCACGTCGTCGTCGTTACCAAGATCCAGAACCCGAACACACCCCTACGCGACTTCGTACTGTTATCAAGACCCCAAAACAAGCTGCCAGCTGCGAATCAGCGAGAAACAATGCACGACGGCGCGCCGCCTTGCCCCCAGATCCTGCAGGAGCTACGCAAGCGGTGAATGACAAGATGCCAGGTACAATTAAGAACTCCCGTAAGAATGACTCAGGACGTAGACGCGGAGCTAGTACCAGACGCGGACGAAGTGCCACTCCGGTAGCCTTGCTCGAGCCTACCATGGACGTGGAGGATGCAGCGGCTGAAAGTCTTTCTCAGGCAGCACTGGATGTCTCACCCCTCAATCGTGATGTGCGATCTCCCAAGACATCTCCACTACCTTCCATCATGATTTCTACTGTTTCTTCTCCTCTCTCCTCTCAAGACCGAGATTCAACTCGTCTCCCAGTGCAAATGCGTCATTATAATGACGCCAGCTTCGGTATGCCTCAATTTCATCCTTAAACCATTCCATAAGTCAATGTCTCATCCATGCACAGTGTTCCCTCATCACGAACATGGCCTTATGCCATCAGACCTCCAGGCCAGACACGTCAAGGAAGGTAGGATCGAACCAACTGCAGGACCATCTTGGGTGCCCTCAGAGGCTCATGGGCTACACAGCACCTCTCCTGGTGCTCGTACTGGGAATCTGCCTTCGTCTAACATCGAAAACACTCCCATCGAACAAGTGTTTCAGGTCGATGACGAACAAATTTTGCAACAAGGTTTCGTAGAGATCATGAGCATAGTCGAACGGCTGTCTGCAAGGACACGTTTATCTCTCTCTAATATACTTGCACGATGGACTCACAAACTGTCATCCGACCACATTGCGTCTCATTACGACCACGCTTATCAGCGCTTTTGTCAACATTATGTGAATACTTCGGACGCTGCTTCATGTAAGTTCTTTGTGCTCATTATGAATCAGTCTGATACTTTCATTTACAGTGCCAGGTGAAGGAGTTCGACTATTTAGTCCAAATCGTCATAGTAGTACTAATACTTCTTTCCATGATCAAAATCCTACGAACGTGCAGCCTTTCCATCCAGCTATTCCCTCTTTCGCATGGCACAAGGTGACAAGGTTGATAACCTATTGGAGAAATTCAACGAGTTTGAGCTCGTGTCTGGCCAAGGATACACTTCAACCGAGCGTCGTCGGGATTTCACCCAGTGTTTCAATCAATTAAAACACCTGGTACGCATATCTTTAATTTTCAGTTGCACTAGGAAGGGCACTTATTGAAGACACAGGCCGAGATTCATTCGAAATTATATGGTTTCGAGATGGCGTTTGTCATGGCCGGCAACATACCGAATGCTGACTCTGACCTTGCGGACGTATTCGCCACGAAAGAAGCAAGAGGAGTATGTGCTCAATGTCAACCATCCAACACTCTTCTGACTTGACCGCAGTTTTTTGAAATGCGTTGCGGTTCAGACGACAACACTTTGATCTCCCACCTGAAGGCACATATTTAGTACGTCACATCTGACCGTAAATTGCACGGAATTTAACGGTTTGTTTTATTGAAGCAACAATGTATCTCTTGGGATCCTAAATAGGGCGCAGACGAATAAGCTACAGAATCATGTCCAGGATGCTACGTTGTCAGAACCCAAGGCAACACTTACCACGACTGGGCCTGTGAACCAGCAAAGCAATTCAAAAAACCTCACAAAACATGAAAAAATTGTATCTATCAAGTCCATGGGGCGAAAATTGATGGAGAAAGTTGGTATCACCACTTCCGACCTATTTCCGTGGAAGAGGATGCTAGAAGTTTTAGCTGATGCTGGAGCCATATTGGTCAACTATCCTGAGGTTGTCAGGCTGCCCTTGCCTACTTCCGCGAAGAAAGGCATCACTCAACTGACGAAGGTCGAGATTGACATGCTCCACGCGGCAATGACGCGTACAAGGAACCCTTTTGATATCCAGAAATATGAGGGGAAGCTCGAAGGTCGGACAGCGTTACTGTCCGTGTGATGAATGTCTGATCTTGTTCTACCTGTAGACCTACAATCGTCACTCGTCCCCGTAATCTACGGTGGTTCTCCTGGCCCTGATTCCCAAGGAAAGACGGGTTTGAGGTTGTTTCGGAATGGTAGGAGCGTAAACCGAGGTTCCCGCCGAATGAGTGACGACGAGGATGCTGAGGAAAATTCTGGAACCGAAGAAGGATTCCCCATCCTGGAGGTGCCGGTGGCAGCAGATCTACCTGTTAGTGGGAACGACGCGATCGAGTCGATCGAGTCGGATTCTGATGCAGAGATCGATCAGTTAGTGTCATCCTCCCCACCACTCGCTCGGCGCACTCGCTCCCACTCAGCGATGAAGGTTGTGTCTTCAAGTCGTCGAATGAACTTACTCAGTGGCCGCCAAGTTAATCCAGGTGCCGCAGGGAGAGATGCTATCTCTGAAGAGCCTCTGGCCGACGAAACTTCATTGCACCGACCACTGCTTGGCACTAAGCGTAAAAGGGAAATTTCTGCGGGCGACGATGCAAATATTACACAGCCGTTAGCACCCCCTCAAATTGGCATTACGGCTCATAACACAGAACCTAGCTCGAGTGCGCAAGACCTTCGGATGCCCCAAAACGAAGGATTACTGGCCAATTCGATGCCCAGTACGAAACGTCCACGGGTTCATTTCGAAAATTCCATAGCAGACGCTGCTGCGGATCACAGCCTCCGTCATTCGCAGTGTACGAGCGAAGGTAACACCTATGTCACGGAACCGAGCTCAGGCTCGCCACTGCACCCAGGCAACACTAGTCTCACGGTTGGAGCGACGCATCTTCCTCAACCGACGCGCGATAACACTGTTGAGGCCACTGGGTTAGATGATAGTGGGGGCGCAGACCAGGAGCTGATCGAAGAAGTGGACCAGAGAGTGACCTCTGATCCTGGGAGTCTCAAATTCATGGGCGGCACTCCTCTCACAGACAGACGCAGTCACGACGTCACCAGTATTGGTTCTGATCTGGTGGAAGGCAAGCCATCTCTAATGGGGAATAGAGAAGCGAAGACCGACCATGACGGTATTAAGCCAGTTGCCGGTGGCTCAGTCATGCAACACAATACTGACGTGCATGCCAGTGGTCGTGTCATGACTGGCGAAGCTGTGGGTGCGTCGAGGAGCGTTGTCAGCGACGTCCGAGAGGCTCAGCACCCTCCAGCATCGATCCCCCCTTACAGTCCGGTGATGCCGGAACGTGCGCAACCCACCCTCCTCGACGAGGCTAGCCACCCTCCCACATCAATTCCCCCTCATAATTTGGTGATGCCGCATGCACAACAATTATGGGCACCGTACGCTGCACCTGGAAATTATATGCATTCGTCATATCGCCAAGCGCGTCCTCTGCCCACATATCCGGAACGAGGGCGCCATGACGATGCCCCTGCAATGGCTCAGTATCAGGGTACAATGTATGAAGACGGACGAAGTGGTGGTTATGTGCCGTATTCTAGTGGCGCAGCTTATCCTGCAGAACTCCAGTTCCAAGGTCCACCATATGGCTATGGTCCCGACTACACTACAAGTTATGTCTCACCTCACGGATACCCTCCACAATCTTATGCGCCGTACCATTCACCGATGTACCGAAGGTATGGTTCTATGCCTCCTCAGGGATTAGGAGATGCTCCGCTGCAGCAGGGCTATGGCGCGCTCCACCCTCAAGCGGGCTATCTATCGCCATTCCCGTACAAACCATCGCCATCTCCAACTTCCTTTCCTTTGTTATCTCCACGAGAACCTTTAACTTCGTGGCCTCCCATACCGCCGTCGACCACCGGAGAGCCACCGACAGCTAAACCCCGGAAGTCTTCGCTGTATACTCCAGAGCATCTAGCAATGCATCCCGACGAGCTACGAGAAACCTCGACATCGTACGCTGACAAGCCTCCGTCATTCTCTCGGGACGATCCAGCGCCTCCTCATTGGGATGCTGCTACCGATGCCCGCAACCGCCTGCCAGTTGTGCAACAATAAACTGCCTTCTAACATCATGATGTTCAGGAACGTACGTTTATCTCTGCGAAGATTACCGTCCTCGAATCCAGAAAGTCTAACCATAGTGGAGGAAATCTAGAGGTACAGACATATTTCTTGGTATTTCACATTGCGTATGCTACGTAGAATGCATGCTGTCTTCAAAACGATGGATGTGTGGTCAATCGAATATTCAAAGAGGAGATAATGACGTTCTGATGTTTTTCGCGGGATCGTGCATGGATGCGAAAATACATAACTTGGGGGTAAGCGGCGCTGCGTTCGCACGCCATGTCCGATTCCCTATTTATTTTATTGGTAAAGCATGCATTTAATACAAGATCGATATCAATACAAGCGTATAGAGTACAAGATCAATAGAAATACAAGAGAATATAGTACAAGTACAAGCTAACATAGGCACAACGGGCATGATTCAAATAAATGATGAGACTTCTGCACGCGGAACAACCGTTCTGACCTCGGGCGGTCCATCATAAAGACGAGCTACGGTGATGAGTTCCAACCCAGTTCGCCATTTGGTCCAAGTCTTCTCGTCAACGTCTTGCAGAGCGCCGCAACCATGCAAAGCACGGCGGCCAACCCGGCGACGGGCAACAAGTGAAACCGTGACCATTGCCACCAAGACAAGATACTGCACAGGTGATGGGTGAAAGAAACGGGAGCTGTGAACACCAGCATCAGCAGGGCATCTCCGAACGGTATTCAAGCACACTCACAATTGCTCACGGGCTTCGTAGTCATACACATAGCTCAAGATGCAGGAGCGACGACGGGAGGAGGAGAGAGGAGAAAGAGGGGCCTGGTTGTCGTTTCGGCACTGGCAGCAAGGGCGGAATGTTCAAATGCTAAGGCGGATATCCATATTGTTCGCGGAAAGGCCAAATTATTTCGACCGCGGAAATCTATTCTGAGCGAGAATTACTATATGCGGCGCGAGTACAACCTCCTAACAATCTTCTTACGTCAGCGACCACCATACGTGCATTTAGGGAATCGGAAATGGACTGTAAGTCACATGGCAGGTAAACCTAAAATTTAAGATCAACTGCTTTCCCGAGGAATGTTGAACGACTAACTACCCCTACTCCCTACCATTCCCTGCCGCTGTTTAGCCAGCCGCCGCTCGTTGTGCTCGTGCGTAGCTCCCAATGGCTCAGCGATGCAGCCAGAGGGTCGTGATGCCGACACGACTAGCTGGTGTGCCGTGCGTAACATGGCGACGATTACTCGCCCTCGTCGATTGTTTCGCAGACGTAGCGTGTATGAATCGACATCTACACCTGTTGGTCTCTGGCGGGCGATGCTGCTCGTCCGATCGTCAGCATGCAAGTTGTATGCCCTCCCCGTAGTGAGTCATTTCAGCTACGCGCACACGTCGGCTTCAAATTTCCATCGGCTAACGCTCGATGTAGGGCTTTATGCCGGTGATAGAGTCGATCTCGAAAAAAGTCGTCGACACCGAGTTTCCACCGCGTTATCTTTCCAAGGCGTCTCGGAACTCGATCTTCAAGAAGCAACGCATAGACGTTGAACTCTCCTGCGCGGACACTGCCCTTCCTCCGCTTGCCGAAGATGCCGAGGCGGAGGCGTGCAGTGGATATATCCCTCCCACCCAGCGTGCCGTGCAAGAAGCAAACGAGGATCTCGATCAAGATGGCGGAAGCAAAGTCGTAGACATTCCTGACATGTGTCTCATTTTTCCAGACGATGGATATCTCGAGGTCTTCTCCGCAGGTAGAGAAGGAGTCCGTCGTTCATGTGGTCACGAAGTTCTTGGTACCGCAGCTTGCAGCGTTACGCCCGAACCTATCGACTATGAGGGCCTTACCGCACAGCTCACTCAGGCGGTCAAGCCTCATATATCTCAACTCATCGATTTCGCACCGGACAAGCGGGGGACAGCAGGCCTCATCGTTGACAGTTTCATCCCTATCCTGCGTTCCTTGCATGCAGAATTCCCTACGTTCGACGCGACGCGAAGACTTATCGTTGGTAGGCTTGCTACCGAGGTGCGCAAGATGCGATCGAGATCGAGACCACTATTGCTCAACACAAAAATGACGTGTTGCACAAACATGTCCATCGTTCAGTTCGAGCCAGAACCTCTGTCTTTGCGTTCTCAATGGCTGCGGTCAGCTTGGGGGCCCGGTGCGTGGACTATGCAACGAGTTCGTCGTGAAACTCGAACTGCCAGATGTATTCTCGTCGTCGTTGTGCATTTGCAAGAAAGGCCTGTACCGCGCCGTCCGCGGGCCGATCGTGAGCCGTGGCCACGTAGACCGTCACCATCAGAGCACTGTCAGGCAAACTTGTAGTGGCGAGGGAGCGGAAGTAGAGGTTGAGTGCTTCCGTGAGGCCACCACGGAACGTCCAGGACCGCTAAGGACTGTAGGGACTAGGACGTCAACGTGAGCGGGCTGTTACTGGTACGTGACATCTTTCGGGAGAGATCGAAGAGGGTTCGCTGACTCTAGCCTGCGGATTATGTTCAGCAGAAACCTTTCGTGATGCGCGTCGCAAGACATGTCTGACTTGCAGTGTGCAGAGCAGATCGTGCGATCGAGCTCGCTCACGGCACTCCGCGAGAAGTACACCTCGTAGTATGGTCCGTCCGTGCATCATAGATCCAGTTCGCTAAATGCACCCCCGCCTTACGGTTCACTTTCGCCATTGGCCATTGGATGACCGGTTCGTGAAGGTCCAGCATCCCTGCGACTTGGACAGTTGGCGTGTCGGGTACGATTGTCCCCAGCTGATTCCTTTTGATGGGGTTCCCTGTAGACACGACTGTCTGCAAGGGACTCTCTCATGTGTGTCACCTGTCCAATTGATGTCCATCTCCCCGCCATTTCAAGTTGTATGCCTCGCGAGATGGTTCGTGCATCTGGGATGAGGATGCCGTGCGGTTGGATCAGTTGAAGGTGGCGTTGAAGAACGTGGGATTCTCGAAAAGACATGTCGCGCAGAAGTGCCAGCTGGTTGCTGCTATTCTCCATCTGGGTAACCTGGAATTCCATACCGATCGCTCTCGCAATGAAGACGCTGCTGTCGTGGGCAACACGGATGTCCTCGATATCGTCGCAGATTTCTTGGACGTGCAGCCGGAAGCTTTGGAGGCTGCGCTATCGTACAGAACGAAGATGGGGAAGAAGGAACTATGTACAATCTTCCTGGATCCCGACGGTGCCTCTGATAACCGAGACGAACTCGTGAAGCCGCTATACTCCCTCCTGTTTGCATGGTTGAACGAACACGTCAACCAACGCCTTTGCCACGACGACTTCAATATGTTCATCGGACTGTTTGACTTACCCGGCCCCCAGAACATGACTAGCCGGCCGAACTCCCTAGATCAGTTCTGCGTCAACTTCGCTAACAAGCGGTTACAGAACTTCACACAGAAGATACGATCTTTCCTTCGACCATTGACGGCGATCTTCTTGAGCTCGTCCATCTGTCGTACGGCTTCCGTCTTGTTGATGACTCTAAGCATCTTCAGGCGGGTGATGTTTTCAGGGTTGAGACACACATTGTCTCCGTTGTCAACCGCAATGCCGGCAAGGCTGTGTGAGTTAAAGGCTTCGCTATCGGAGGTAGAAAGGCCGTAATCGAGGTTGTGTCTACTTTCCTCTACCGTGGTAACTACTCCGAATACGACAACACATTCGAATTTCTCGGTGCTCTGGATTACTCCATAGAATTGGCGACCGAAACTCCATAGAATTGGCGACCGAAGCTGACGTGGGAGTATTGCAGTCGGAGGAGTGGTTTGAGTGGGATCGCCCGTCGAAACTGCTTCAGGCTGTGTGAAGTTCGAGGTCACCTACCGTAGCAAGACATGTTGCAAGTCGATACCAGTCTCCAGCGACATTTGTGTCCGCGACCAGATCAAACGTCTAATCTAGGTCGGTGCCGTTGATTTCCTGCAGGACGTGACAGCGGGGGTAACCCAATTATCTCGCGTCCCTGCAAGCCCCAAGGTCTCTGAGTGCCTCTTCTGAATGGGTACACCATGACGAAGGCGGGTGCAGCCGTCTTCAACTTCTCGGCGACGAACGAGCCTTACTCCGAGGCCTCTGGTAACTTCAATCCCATCCACGTCAACTCCTACTTCGCCGATTTGGCAGGTGTTTCCCCCACAATCACGCACAGCATGTGGTCGAGCTCGCTGCCAGGCGCTACGTTGAGACGGTCGTTGTGCAAGGTCGCCCGGAGCGAGTTGTCGCGTAAGTCCGTCCGATATGACATGTGTAGCTCTCACTGATGAATGCACCAGATATGACGTCGCCTTCGTAGGAATGGTCATTCCTGGGGATGAGCTTCGGATGAAGACCAGGCACAGCGACATACAGGATGGCAACACTGTTGTCAAGGTCGAGACATTCAATGACAAGGGTGAGAAGGTTTTGGAACGCACTGCCGAAGTCGCGTAGCCTAAGACCGTCTTTGTCTTCACTGGCCAAGGTTCCCAAGAGCAGGGTATGGCTATGGACTTCTATAAGTCCGCTCCAGCTGCTCGATCTGTCTGGGATGCTGCCGATATTCATCTTACTGCTGTCTATGGCTTCTCTATTATTGAGATCGTCAAGGACAACCTGGAGGAGAAGACTATCCATTTTGGTGGCATCAAGGGTCAGGCCATGCAGCAGCGGCACATGTATATGAACTACGACAATATAGACGGGGACGGTAGCGTGAAGACTCTTCTGCTACACATTCAGTCATCTATCTGGACTCTTGTGTGCCACACAGTTTGGCCGATCGCGCAAGTCATGACCGAACGTGCCGTCTTCGAGGACATGCGTTCGAAAGACTTCGTTTGATCAGAAGACTCCGCATTCACCGGATGCTCTTTGGGAGAATATTCGGCTCTCGCATCTATTGCTGACGTCCTCCCCATCTCGTCCCTTCTTGACGTCGTCTTCTACCGTGGTATCACTATGCCACGCGCTGTTGAGCGTGAAGCTCAGAACCCTTCCACCTGTGCGCGGTGAGCCCAAGCCGCATCTCGAAGACTTTCACGGCTACTGCGCTGCGCGAGGTTATCGACGATATCGCTCACCGCACACACAGTGCTTGCTCGAGATCGTCAATTACAACGTATGCCGTGGATAAAACTAATGAAGTTGACATGGTTCTCTCAATTCATACTTTGTTTCGTTGCCAGGTCAACAATATGCCTGTGCCGATGAATTGGTCGCTCTGCAAACCATGACCAACATCTTGAACTACCTGAAGATGAGCATGGAGAAGGTGGGGTATTGCCCACCACTACGATTTCGAGCGTTCCATCGAGAGCGAACCTTCGTCAGCGCTTACAGGCATGGCGACGAGGACTCTGAAAGCGAAGTAGGAGGTGCAAGAGGATTCGGTTAGCCGAAGTCGTGCGATCCTTTGTCATGCGAAGAACACCAAGGAGGTGTACTACCAGTTCACGGATCAGGGTGAGGCTGCTGCTGTCGAGTCCCCTCCCGAAGCTGTTGCTACTCCCGCACCAGCAGCTGTGCCCGTTACTGTCCCTGCTGCTCCGGTCTCGGCTTGCCCGTTAGGGTTGAAGATGTTCCCTTGAAAGCCGTCGAAATTCTCTCTGTGGTCGTCGCTCAGAAGCTCAATAATAAGGTGAAGGAAATGCCGCTCTCGACCTCGATTAAGGACTTCGTTTGGGGCGAGTCGACTCTGCAAAACGAAATTCTCGGCGATCTGCGGCTGGAGTTCACGTCTGCTCCTGAGAAGGATCGGCTCTTGGCACTGGCTTTTCGGGGTCACTGGGCAAGTATAGCTCTGGCCTCGTCTCCCACGTCGTGGGTAGCAAGATCCCTGGTGGTTGCAATATCTCTGCAATCAAAGCGTGCTGGTCGAAGATGTAGGGCCTTGTCCGACTCGCGCGGACGGAGTCTTACTATTGAGTACCACCACGGAGCCTCCCAAATGCCTCGGTTCAGACGTAGAAGCCCAGACGTGGCTTGATACGGTCGTCACCCCCTATACAGGCAGCGCCCTGGGATCTCCCTCGCCGGTGAAGCGAGCGGTGGCGGTGGCGGTGGCGCAGGAGGTCCGACGATCAACGAGTTCTTACCCTACCTTACGGCGCGATTGTTTGATCCCAGTTTCTCAAAGCAGACCGGCAACTCCATCGAAGAAGCTGTCGCTGCTTCGTTTTGCGCTACAGATACCAGAAGGGTTGTGGCTTCCCTTACCAGTGGTATCGAAGTTATATCATGAGCTGAACAGGAGCCCTTGTCAGCAGTGAATATCTCCGTCATCGTCCTTCAGTTCCAACCAAAGTTTGGGGAAGCTGGCGAGCCAGACGAATATCAAGTGAACGGAGACGTCTCTGCGTAGAACGCGATCGCACCGCGTGCACGCTCGCCCTATCGCAAACGGCATACATCAATTCCATCATCCACAGGTTTGGTTTCGAAGATTTGAAGCTACTCACCACGCCTATGGATCCGAACACGACGCTTTCGAGTGCGCAGTCGCCGCAAACGACTGCAGAGGCCGCCGCCATGCGCGACATTCCTTATCGCGAGGCTGTAGGCTCGTTGATGTACGCGTCGCTCGGTACACGGCCGGACATCACATATGCCGTCTCGTCCCTTTCGCGGTTCTCAGACAACCCCGGGAAAGCACACTGGGAAGCTGTCAAGCGTGTCTTCAGGCATCTGTCGGGCACAAAGGACTTGAAGCTTACCTACGGAGCGCAGGAACTGGACCTGGTGGGCTACACGGACGCGGATGGCTCCATGCACGAAGATCGGAAGGTGTTCTCGGGCTATGCTTTCCTCATCGACGGCGGCGCGGTCTCTTGGAGTTCCAAACGCCAGGAGATCATTGCGTTGTCGACGACCGAGGCGGAGTATGTGGCAGCGACGCATGCAGCAAAAGAAGCGCTTTTGCTACGCTCCCTAATGGTCGAAGACAAGGAGGTTCTCGCCCATCTCACGCCTCTAACGTTGGACTTTCTCCGGGAAAGTCGATTGGTGAAGAGACGGCGGGAGGGGAGGACTACTGACAGATCACTTTGAGAATAGACAGTTCTGCGCAGCGAGGCCTACACCGTTAGGGTGCGGCGCGAACATGTTGCTCGCGGTCAAGGCTCTCCGTCGATCAACGACAAGGAGCCCAACAAAAGATGGAGAGCATCAGAGGGGGTTTTGCCTGAGACATCGTCATTCAAGCATGCCAAGTGACGTGTACCTGCGCGATTTGAAGAATGTCTGACGGATGATCAGCTGGCGCAACGCTTGCAAGAGGTGCATCATTTATCCTTATTGCCTCTGGGCACCCTTGAAGCAGCCGGAGTGCTCATGTTGTTATTCATTACTTTTATTAGAATCACGAGGAGCACCGGCAACATTGGAGAAAAGGTTCATTCCTGGGGACAGTTCGTTTTCGGTTGAAGGGTGCGAGCCCACTATTTTAGCAGATGAAGAGACCACTGCTATTGATAACCGCGCCCGAATGATTGCACTAACCACGGCAATGGGATAAAGGGCTCCAGTTCTGTTTATTAACTATGTCGTTGATAATTTTCCGGCTGGACTGATTCAGCTATCGAGTCTTTCGACTGCGTCCAAATAGACACAGTTCAGCTCCCCCAGGTTGACCTTAGCCATTTACGCGCGCTCTCATCTGTGGGAGGAGCCGTTACTTCATCTCCTCTTCTCTTTCTGCCACCAACTACTGCTTCATCCATCATCCTCGCGTATCCTCTCTCCTCGATGGAATATCAAATTGTCGTCAATAACAAAACTTTCAAGGTGAGTTAAAAGTACTAGATGTGACCAATGGCATACTGACACTGCGCAGACGATGACTCGAATCTTAACGAGAGATCACACCCAGAGGAGGAACGTGAAGTGGGAAGCATTTGTCAATGTATCTCTGTTTCTGAGTGTAATGTCTGCTGTGCTCAGTAACTCCTACAGGCGATGTTGGGGATAGGATTTAAAGTTAGCGGCACTGCCGGCTCGAAGTTTCGCTTTGATCCTCCCGGCCATATGCAACGTCAGGCAATAGTGATCCACGATGTACGTAGCTTCTTGACGTTAGAGAATTCTCAATTGCTGACGGTTTGATAGTGTCACGGCGCGGACATTAGAAAAGACAGGCTACTCGAGTAAGTAGTCTTACCGGTTCCCCCATTGGGTATTAACCTGTTTTCAGGCTGCGAAGTACATTGGAAGATTGTTACGACTGGACGGAGGAAACTTTTATCACAAGGTCTGAAGTAGAAGAAGACGATTGGATTGTTATTTGATGCGACTTGCGAAAGCATTAATGATATTCGGTGCTCCTTCGCATCGAATCGAATCGCAGCTGCTTTCCGCCGCGCGGATTTTGGAGGTCGATGCCGAATTCATTCGCATTCCCGGTGTCATTATTTGCTCCTTCGGTGACCAGGATACGAAGACCTCAGAGATGCACTTCGTGAAGTGTGCCGGTCGTCTCGCGCTTGGCAGCCTTCATGAAGTCCACCAAATTTATCGTATCAAGGCAACGGAACAGCTCAATGTGCTGCTTGATTCGAATCCGCTCTATGGCGCGATATTTCGCAGTTCCCTGGCGTTCTTCATCTCCGCCTTGATTTGCCCACTTGCATTTGGTGGATCTTTTTGGATATGTGGATTGCTGGAGCAGGTGCCACCATCCTGTCTATCACGCAAATTGGAGTCGCATCCAAGAGTCAGTTGTATGCGAATGTCTTCGAGTGAGTGCTCAGCTACTCATACGCCAATTGGTTCTAACGATCGTTTCAGAATCACCGTCACCATCTTCATCTCCTTCCTCGCCCGCGGTCTGAGCAGTATTCGCAGTCAGATAATCTGCTACACTGCCGTTTCCTCTGCCGGTATCGTCGGTATTCTTCCGGGTTATTCTTCCGGAATACCTCATTCGTAAGTTTCGGTCTCATTTCTTAGTAAGATCATACTGAACTTTCTGCAGTGAGCAGTTTTCTTGAACTGGCCTCATAGAACATTGTTTGCGGTAGCGTGAAGATGGTTTATGCTTTGATTTATACACTATTCTTGGTGAGATTACCCCCGCACATCGCTTATTTCAACTAATCCAATTACAGGGTTTCGGCTTACAGATTGGTTCTGATCTCTATCTACTCTTCGACCAAGGTGCCCGCCATGACCTCGCAACTCTGGCGGCTCGCATGACGACTGCGGTCACTATCGCCGGTGCCTTCCTCGCCGATAATGCCACCACAACAACCAACGCTACTGACGGCGCGAGCGAGTTACAAGGAACCTTCACTTTCACGAACTCTACACCTTACATCGTCGAGCACATCATCACAGGCTGCTACACCTCTTTCCCCATGTGTGACGTCATGTTCTCTGCTGGATTTACTTACACGCAAAGTTCGACGTCTTTTATCTCGCGCGTACTGAAATATAAAATAAAATCGTAGGCTCTGTACACAGATTACTGCATGTGCTCCATGGCGCTAGTGTTCAAATTACTACAACTTGGTTGCTCTTCCTCGGTCGCCTCTGTCTAGCGTCTCAAAATTTGTTCCCTCTATGAGCGACGGTATCTCTGCCTCCACATCCGACAGCTACGCCGTTTGGTAATTCTGCCTGGTGAGAGTGCAAGATCTCGTCTGTGCGGGGATGGATATCTACGTCCCTTCAAGGTGTCTATGTCCGTAGTTTCTTGGCTAGCTTTTTCTGGACTGTAGAAGGTAGTTCGCAGAAATGCTCAGAGCACCGACCGTAACACGGGATCCCCTGATATCGCTGGTCAGCGTGGCCTAGTTTCAGAATGTTTGGAAACCCTCTAGGGCGATGCCATTCCATACGAGTTATTGTAGGCTATGACAGATCACACACTAGATTCTGGCTCGTGCGGTCCCCCAGGTTTCTTCGCTGGTCTTGTCTATGAATACGCCGAATGGTGTATGACGGAACAGAAGGAGGATGCGGCTGGAAATTTGCAAGAGAATACGGGAGATAAATGTAACGGTCGTATCTATGAGGGTGCCAACACAAAGGATCGTTTTGTTCGTCTCGCTGATGACAGGGCTCCTTTACGATTCATGCACCATGTGCATCATGCTGCGCGTAGTGGAACGCTGTTGCTCTTTGGGCATGGGGTACTTGACTCTGATCCTAGTCCAGTGTCTCAAGCACGCATTGACGATACATTTAGATATTGTTGTGGACAATTGTGCCATCTACCGAAACCACATCATGGATCTCTGTCCGCACTCCGTTTATCCCGTATCTGCACCGACTCCCATGGGTACATCGTTTTGCAGGCATTGAATTGTCAAGCCAACCAGCTTTCCGTTACAAGCGAAGAATGCAATGCCGTGTGGGGTATCTGCAACGTACGTAGATTCCACGGTCTTGAGACATCTTGGACAGTTTCTGATTCAGACAATAACACAACATGCGTTCCAACCCAAGTCATGCATGTTCCTGAGACACGCCATCACCGAACGCAAGGCACGAACACGAGCCTCTCGCGCCCGTTCTTCCTCTCGCTGCATGTCCTCCAAGGATATTTTCGGAACAGGACTGAGAATTTCTCTGCCTACATCATCGCCATCGTCGGCGCTGTTGCTCGCTGTGACGGGGATGGGGGCCATATCTATTGGCAAAAAACTCCTTCACTTGGCTGCGTGCGGAGAGGGGATGGAGCCAAGAGGTGGGAGGAAGACGAAGGGGATGGGACCGTCAACGCTTCAATGTGGGGTTTCTCAGGGCCTGCAGGAGGAAGCGACGTTTCAACTGACGGTTTCCTAGACAGACTTGGAGTAAGGGACTCTTGAGGAAGAACCACCTGAGGTGCAGGGCGTAACAACGCTCCCGTGGTAGATATCCGCACGTCAATCTGAGGAATTCCTGGTGATGCCGACCCAGGTGACTTGACAAGGAAATTCCTAGCATGGAGTCGGCCTTGATACACAGTTGATCTCATTGTCGAGGATGAGTCTGCCCTCATCTTCCCATCGACATCTTCTTCAAAAAATCCCAGCGGCTAGGCCTTTCTTCCTTTCTTCCTTCGATGACCGTGTTTGGGTGGCAGAACGGGCGATCTCTGATTCTAGCCTCGGTGAGTCGGGATGACCTCGTGGCAGTGTCGCCCTCCTTGGCATTGTCTGAGCAGAAAAATCTGCCTTTTCATCGGCTTCGGAAGGATTGTCCCAGAAATTGTTATCCATCTGAGGTCTTGAACGAACAGCGTTTGGTGACAACGTTCCAGAAGCCACACCAAGACTAGCATATCGTTTCGGTAAAGCCTGGCTATCCCGAGGGGGAGAACCCATGTTGAGCAGATCGGAACTTGATGCAGAGGTGACGTACTCCGACAGAACAGCGCACTGTGGAGAAGGTGCCGCTGATTTTGACGCCGCACGAGACAGTTTTGCTATATTCCGTCGTAGCTCACCCGCACTCTTCATTTTGCGTAATTCTCGCTCATCTGGATCCTGCATGTCTTTCGATGAGGTGGGCCGCAAAGAGGTCGCAGAACTAGACCCAACCCCTGCTTTCCCAGTTGCTCTACTCTTGTCGTAATAAGCACGGTCTGGCGTAGTACGAGTCCTGGTCAGTTTGGGAGGTATGGCAGGCTCCGTTGCTGTGGCAGGTAGGGGAGACGTAACCGACCGCGCAATAGGCGGAGACTTGGCAGGAGTGATGGTATCCTCGTCTTCCTGAGCAGCCTGAAGCTGTCGATCAACGTCGTCGTCGTAAGGGGACTCGTCTTCGCAGTCGGTGTCATCTGTGTTGGTGCTCTGCACACTAGCAGAAAGGAGAGGGAATATCGATGTAGACGGCGGGTAAAGGGGTGTCATCGGAGATATAGCTAGTACCGGTTCTATAAGTGCCTTCCATGGACCGTGGAACGGATTGCCATCGACAAGAAGTATTTTAAGCGCAGGCAACAAGCAGAGCCAACTAGGAAGGGCGTTCAATTTGTTCCTTCTGATGCTGAGAGTGTGCAACCTGTCCAAAGAACTGAGCACCTCGGGCAGTGTGCTGATACCCGTTGAATCCACGATGAGAACGCGCAAAGAGACCATATGAGAAAGGAATACAGGAAGTGCCCGCAGAGGATTGGAAGCTATGTTCAACTCCTCGAGATTCTTGCAAGCAACAAGGGATGGTGGAAGAGCAACAAGAAAATTCGCGGAGATATCAAGTGCAAGGAGAGTTGAGGCAACTGTGGAAGGGTGTTGGCAAGAAATGATGGGACGGCATTTGGGATGTTAGACAACCCTATCAGGAGATGCGTTGTACCTAGTAGGTCATAGCTGTCATTAAGCATCCTCGAGCCTACCCCACCCACAGCGACACGCACCTGTTTTCACCTGAAGTCGTACTATGGGCACATCATCTGCTTTAACAATAACGCCTCGACCCTCCTCGGCAATTAACATGGCACTAGTTGGCTCCTCTTCAGAAGTTCTCTCGTCCTCGTCCATGGACAAGTAATCATCTGTCTCTTCTTCGTTGATCAAACCCGCCTCGTCGCGTTCAACCAGAGTCTCGAATCTCAAGTCAAAGCTGGGCGTCGCACGCAAACCTTTAACGCCATTGTTCCTGTAACGTAGGTTCGCTCATTCCGTTGCCAATTGACGAAGAGCGAGATTGAATGCTATTGACGTAAAAATCGGACCAACCGTCAAATCGTGACAGTCGTGACAGTCACAGCTGTTGTCATTTCTAGAGATCATATCGATGATGTTGCTGCCTGTGTTGAACGTCCTCCGCACACGCACACGATGAACTCGATGAACTCGATTAACTACAGTTTTATGCCGCAAAATGCACCAGGCAACATCGATGAATCTGCAAGGTTACTTTCGCTGTATGCCCACCTGGCTGGCACCAGCAATGCCGCCTTTAGCACGGCTCCCAACTACATGTATCAGGGTTTCCCCCAATTCAATAGGGTGGGGATGTTTGTGGAAGATGAACAATACCTTATCCGGGCTCTGTGCGATGGAATGATGAAGAAACAGACGAAACGCGTTACTTTAGAAACGCTGGATGGCGTATGTTTCTGGTAGGACTCATGATGTTTTGCTGACAGGTTGTTAATGTAGGTCAATAACCATTCAGCAATAGCTTGGAAAGACTACTACTTAGAACATATGGATAGACTGGACCAGGCTGCAGCGGATTTGCAGGATTCTGTAAAGCCTGTGGCGGTTGAGAAGTCATCTACTTCGTCGACGTCGACATCGACTCGTGAAATCGACATGTCGAAGTCAAAGTCGACTCACGAAACCAAAATCGGCATGACTCATGACACCGGCGCATCGAAGTCGACTCACACCGGCACATCGAAGTCGACCCACGAAAGCGGCACATCGAAGTCGACTCACGAATCCGGCGACGTATTCAAGTCGACTCACGATCAATCACCCTCTACCATTCAGCAGCATCATTCAGAGGACGTGAGGCTACTTTCAACTGATCCTAACCTCCGGATTTCTGAGCCGCCGTCTCGTACGCCATCCCCACCTTTTTCTGCGCTCAGAGCAAGAGAAGGGAGGAGATTCATGGAGGATCAAAACTCCAAGTCGACTCACGAAACCGACGTGAACACATCGCAGCGTCCTTCTGATAAATCACCCTCTACCATTCAGCAGCACCATTCGGATGACATTCCAACTCATTCTAAACTCCGGATTTCTGAGCCGCCATCTCGCACGCCATCCCCACCCTTTGTGGTCACAGCAAGAACAGGGCTGAGATTCTTCGAAGAGGATCAAGATTTCGTTGTCAAGTTCGTTCAGCGGAAGCTCAGTAAGAATCTGAACCTAAACCAAATGCAGCTATGTGCTTTGCTTGCAGAGAAGGTATGTGGCCCATATTGACAACATCTATCTTCATTCAGTGGCGCAACAGGCTCCCCATCATTCTGCGGCTTCGTGGTACAGCTACTGGACTCGAAATCATGATTTATCAGAGATACTTGCTGAAGTTAGGATGAAGGAAGTGACTCGAAGTAAGGGCCTTCCTGAGCATTTATTCACTGGTAATAACTCTTACTCAGGTTTATTATCTGAAGATGAGTCTGGTCCTGAGGTGTCAGAGGAGGAGTCAGACTATGATACGGAGGATGATTTGCGTAACATGGGCCATTCAGGTGATCAATTTCTTTCAGCCGATAAGCGTGTCCTTGCCAGACACATAGTATCCTACCCCAACTGGGATTCTATGACACACAATGAGAAGTGGCAGCCTTTCATAATCAAGGTGTGAAAGCTTCCCTGTCTGTAATATTATCCTAGCTCGCTCACTCCTCTACATATATGATAGCATCCACAAAGATCTATGATGTCTTATGCACAAGCATATGAAAGATTTAAAACAGGTTAGTACAGCTTTATCATCTTGCATAGCCTCCAGAAATGAACCAATTTCAATCAGAGATTGATTGCTGGGTGCGCAAGTTCAAGCACGATGCAAAGGAGCTCAAGAAGAACAGGAAGGCTGGTCCCAGTTCTCAGCAAGGTCCATCTAAGTAAGCATTTGAGATGCAGGAGGCAGGGCCAAGATGAAGAGAGAGTCAGAGAGAGTGGAGGTCTGTGCAAGGTCTGAAAACAGATGCTGAGTGAGTATGTTCTGCATTGTGAGCACTATGTTCTCTATATGAGTTACATAGTTACATCTCTGTACAAGTCCTTGGTTCAATGTTTGTAAATTTGTACTACATCACAGCATTTTTGCTCAGAAAGTCTGATGGTGACAGCAACTGCAACTGCAGGTGGACTTAGAAAACATATGTATGACTTTACTCTATCCCACTTCAGGACTCCCTCTACACAATTGATGGTGCATCCAGTCGAATGGTCCGAAAGTGAACATTTTTATGAGAATTTTTTGTATCTATTATACACACGTACGACATGTGATTCGAAAAATTGTCCATTTTCTGAGTGGCAACATCTGGCTCTCTTGTCCGAGACAGCAACTGATGGATATCACAAGAAAACAGGAGTATCTGAGGACTGCCTATCTAAACATCGGAGGACCATGCTTGGAGAGCTTGAAGTCTGTGATTTATCAATACGTGTGGTGAAGAAGAAGATGGGGTGTCAGCCACTGAATAGAGAATAGAGTGCTAGAAAGAATGGAGCGCGAACAGACGCCAGTCGACGCGCGACGAAGTGTGCACGTGATGAGATTAGATCGTGGAAGTTGCCGCGTCCGAAAGATCGTTGGGTGAATTGCATTTCCTCGCAGAGGCCTCCCGCCCTTTCCTATGAGGGACCGTACTGGACAAAACTATTAAACCTGTCAGCGTCCCGAAAAAGTAGTGTATCGATCAAAAAACATGACAGTTCGGGCGAAAAGTTGCCACGTGGGGGCGCCTGTTGATGCAAGCCCCACCCCCGACGCGTACTGTCTGCAGCGAGTGCAGCGAGAGAGTCCCCATGGCCAGTGATATATATTATGCGTCTCTCCGCCATTTCTACGCCCCTTTCCCCCTCTACACCTATGGCCCCATCTTGTCACCGTACATACATCGTCTTCCGAAGGCGCCGGTTCATGCCAAAGTACTCTCCGACCACGCCGTCTGATTCTACTTCGATTACGGTGTGTACATGTTTGTCAGTAGTCTAATGCCCCATCCTGATGCGCCTCTGTGAAAACCCCGCAAGGAAAAGTAATACTAAGAGCACCTACCCTGAACGACACGATGCTGTGCATGCATGTCGCCGGTAGCCGCACGAGCTCGACGAACCGGCGTGCCACGCAGGAGAGTACGCACTCTGTGACAGCACCAAATATATCGCTTTGCGTCAAGCAGCGTCCCTGCGTTTCCGAGTTCTGGACGCCGAGGTGATGTCAGGGAGGTTCGTCCGTGCATGGCAGAGCATCGCGGTGTAAGGATGCTATGCCCTCTGTGCCCGCTGGGGGGAAGGCGACTCCACCGTCCGACGGGCAAGGTAAGTGTCGCCAGGGTTATCTCAAATTACAGCTCGTGCGACATGCGGCCGCATCACGAGATAATTCTTCCGCTTCTGGAGCGACTTCGCGCGTCCCCTAGCGCAACGAATATATTTTTCCACTGCAGATGGACGTACGGGAGGAATAACGCATGGACGCGTTGCGCAGCATCGAGGCGGTACGGCAGGCACGCTACGCCCATGCGCCATGCAGGGATGGCATAGCAACGCGCGGGGTACGTCACCGCTGTGTTTGGGTCTGAACCTAGCGCGACTTGGCCGTGTCTGAACGACTGCTAGTGCAACATGTAATGGCTGCCCGTCCGAAGTGGTGAAGTGCACGCTCTCGACGTGGTGGTGTCTGCAATGAGACGTGCGAGATTGGTCCCGCGCCGCCTATTATGAAGATACAATGGCGCTCACTCTGGCAAATATAAATTGACAAGTTGTGTCTTAGACTTCGTATTCCCCTGAGGAACTCGCGTAGGGAGCCCGGCAAAGTCTTGGGCCATCTCCGCCGCTGACATCCACTGTCCACTAACACTGCGGAAACCGCTGTAAATATGCAGACGGAAAACAAACCGAACATGGCTTACCTATTGCCAACCACACACGCCACGACACGTTTCGCAGCGCCGAGGTCGCCTTCCCGTGCAATACGCGCCTGCCAGAGCTTGCTGACGCCGCATGTGTACTCTTCATGATTTGTCCATCTGATATGCGAGAGGAGGGAGTCGTCCGGATGACCATCCGGATACGTCAGGCATTCTGAGATATATGCTGACCAGTCAGCACGCAGAGGGACGACGCTGTCAATGACTCTTGCAGCAGGGTCGTCTTTAGGTAGCGTATGCCCTACAACTTCGCATGTCGCCTCCAGAACGTGGAAAGATACCTTCTGTGGGTCTACTCCATCGGACGGTCGAGACAAGACTGTAACGCTCCAGATCTCGCCCTTGATGACCTCTTGAGCATCGACGACAATACCGCATAGCCACAACCGAGAATCGTTCTTGCCATTGTACGTTCCGAGCGACAGCGTGAACCAGAGTCTTGTCATGATAAATCTACCACGGATATACAAGTCAGGTAAGTAATTGCACCGGACTGGATACCGACGATCTTTGAGCAGCATATATGCGCACCTTAATATCACAATGATCTGGCGCTCACTATCAGGACTGGCCCATATGTGATCCGCAATTGGATTTGGCAAGCCATTGGACTCGAAGAACTCAGCAAGAAACGAATGCTTGTACGCCTTCCGGCGCTGCAGGACTTCCGCCTCCCGCAGACGGAGGTAGGGCCACATATTCGTCATCGCCCGCGAGTACTGCTGAGTAACATCCTGCACGAAGCGTTGGCCGCTATAGTTGTTGTTGAGGAGGTGGGAGGCAGAAAGATAGACTGACGCATAGTGGAACAGACACAGATATCATCAGTATGTAGCGAGAGGCACCGTCCTTCATATCCCACAAAATGACGAAAGCGGCAGAAACTCACTTGCATATCGGAACATGCGTGAGACTAGCACACATCGCCGGCGCTCTTCGTTCGAAAGTCCACTCAGGATGATCGCCCAACGATGAACGCGCTTCCGCTGCGATAGGGAGGGCGGGAGCGTTATAGGAACAAGATTGGGCACAGCAGCAGCGCGTGGAAAGTCTAGATGGCAGAACATAGAACGTATATGCCGCTGATCAGCTTGTACATCGGTTATATGCTGAGTAAGACCGTCCACTGAGTGGTCAGAAAGTGCCGCAGGAGGAGGTTGAGGTAGTCTGTTTTCTGACGCGCCTCCTTGTCGAGAGGTCGGACAATTTAGGCGGAGCCCAAACTTTTGTAGCGTTCAATAACATGGAGTCTTAAACCTTTGTAGTAACACGTGATGCACGTGGCGCGATAAATCCGTCGAAATTTACTATTCTTCCTGATGCTTCAGCTCCACCCCATTTTGGGCACATCGCAGGCGCGGCGAAGTGCGGTAATAGATATATGATAGAGAGGTGTATTCTCCTTCGGTGTGAGACCGAGAGAATGGAGAGATTCCTACGAGACTCAGACATATTGTACCTGTTAAACCAATATAGAGCAGATAGGACAGCAAAAGTCCCCGGAACCAATCTTAAATAATATTAACATCGGAAACTACGACGAATAGATGGCGTGCAGTAGAAGGGGGACGCCAGGGGGACTTCTTGTGCTCGAAACACGACGCGTTCGACGCGATTTACAGGCGCGTCGCACAAGCACGTGATGTGCCGGGACGGCAATCACAACCGGTAATTGACCTCTTAGTAAGACCCCCTTTATAGAAAGCAGACGTCAGACACGGATATCCGAGGTACGAGGTTGAGGCAGAGTGTCCACCATCTGCCTTCGGGAGACTAGGTTGAGGCGCTGTGTCCTTGGCGGGTGGTCCGCTGACTGGGAAGGGCGTGTCACAGCCAGTGGATCTAGATAAGAGATGTACAACACTTGTACCGCATTGGGAACCCTACCGATCCATGCAGACAAAGTAGTTCTGTAGGTAGCAGTTATGTATTGCACTAGCAATCTATTTCACAGGGACAGTCGACACACGAACCAATGAGTAAGCTATCACGGGTGTACTTTATTTTATTGTAAGTGAGTATTACAATCAAAAGTTACCAACAAACGCACTCTCACTCATTTGCCCACAACATATGTCGGGAACTTATAGTCCACAAACCATCAAAGCATGATATTTGAATGACCAGTATACAAGATGTCAGTATCATGGCATGCCAATGTGACATCATTGGCTCGGCATACTATACGAGCATACCAGAGAGCTAGCACTGACGTACACACTTTTTATTCAATAACACATTCTGCATGTACTCAATCGACACCAAATGTCCCGTGTGGAATATATATGTTGGTCATATTCAACGGGATGCAGGATCATTGCAAAAAGAGCTCATGCAACAGAGAAAGGAAAAAATTGATCCGACATCCTGTACTGGTCAAGCTGTCGCTGCCCGTCACCCGCAGTCCGCAATTGCTGCCCCTGCTAGTGAGTCCGTTGCGGCGGAGGTCCTGTAGGTCGACGAGGCATGTACGAACTCGAATCACAGTCCGAGATAGTGTCCGGTTCCGCTGTTGCCTGTCTTGCTCGCATTGGAGAGTACCTATACATACAAGTGTCAATTAATATGCCTCCTGCACAACATCAAAATCGCGCACCTCTTCCACCACGAATTTCGACATTCCGTAACCCAAGTGGCCCAACGCAAACGACGGGTCCTTCAGTGATGACTCTGGGATGGACCCACGGCCTCCCGAAGGGCGCCATGCTTGGGCAATGGACACGGACGACGTGAAGAGGAAACGAGCGCCAGGTGCAAGGCCCGCGAGCTGAACGGCGGCACTAACGTGGGGCTCGAAGGAGGCGAGTAAGTCCGAGGTCTTCACGCATGAGATCCCCACTGAGCAGCACAAGCTTCGGATCGGCGAGAAGCTTCGCCGGTAAATGTGATCCCTCGAACGCTGCACGCTGGCGGTCCGCGATACCGCGATTATGTGTATACACGCGTGCAATATGCGGATTGACGATTAGTTCAGCTAGGATGTAGGCACCGAGATTTCCCGTGGTACCAGTGACGAGCACCACTGCCCTATGCTACTTATCAATGCAAGCCAAGGAAGCTTTAGGATACGACCTACCTTTGGGTTATGCTCGTCCACGGACACATGAGCGGAGCAAATAGTAGGCCCGCATGACAGGCAGTGCAGCCGAGAATTGGCATCCATATGAGCGTTGCTGATGAGAATGGGTCGTCGAAGAAAAGAGGGTCGAGACTGAGACCGAATCACTGGTGTAAAGAGGAAAAGGTGAAATCTTTGCGTAAAGATGGGAGCATTTTCTTGCTCGTTGCAAGAGAAAACATACAAAAAATACCGTCAAAAAAATGGCCGGAGTTGCAGGAGATTTCTGGAGAAGAGACTGTTGCGTGCAAACGATTGATTGAAATTCGATTAGCCGAGGCGGCGAGAGTGCAAAGTGAGTATAAAGCAGTGTACTGTGCCAAATAGTGAATAGTGCTACAATAGCGCGAGCGAGTGGAGGGAGGGTAAAGAGGGTGGGCGGAAAGGAAGGGAGGGGACAAAAACGTGGCAGCGGCTTGACGGTGGGGTACTTGCTGTGACATCTTCATTGGTCTTGTTTGCACGTCCTCACCACTGTCCTATCACAGTCAGTTGCGACCAAAAAAATAACAGAGAATAAAGTAGTCCAAAAGACATACCGTCAGTCATACGGCCCTGCCATTCAGCCCTGCTAGTACATTAGAGCGAGGATACAGGTCGTGCTACATACCACTGCAAGTATACAAGATAATGTCTGTAGTTCACCTGCATTTGACTGTTGCAAGGCTCCAGATACGATGGTGCTAGTTTGAACGGCTGAGACGGACAGACATTCACAGCCATCCGACGGAGACTAGGTCCATCAGATCTGAATGTGGTATGATATCGGTGAAGCAACTCTGCCAAATAAGGTAATTCTTGCCACGGAGATTAACATCTCGTCGCTGTCAATATTCTCACTTTAGTTCAGACTGAAGCTTGAGGTTAATCCAGATGTAGTGACCAGCCTGTTTCAAAGTCTATAACCAACAATAGCATTTTAATCAATGTAGAACGGAGTCGACGTAACAAAGTAGTAATGATACATATCATACAAAGGGGCACCTCGAGTAACACACACCAGGTGGCAGGGGAAAACGCGGCCAAAGACGGGGTTGCTCATCGAAGATGGATGCATACCCATGGACTGTACCATTCAAGGTCACCCGTCGTCCAGCACTTGAAGTTTACCGCCTCCCAGTATGGGTCATCTCCCGGCCAGAATATCCGACCAGCGGTTTCGAACTCATCGCTGAACATCAGATTGTACGTCGTACTGTCTGACCCTGAGCGGGTATAAAACTCCTCCTTGGTATCCTTATCGATCAACTTTGGCCTGTTGGGCAAATCTGGAATGCTCCGACGAATTAATTCCTCCAAGATTGTATCCTGGCGTTACGGGCATAGGGTTTTTATAGTACATGATGATTGGGTAGCCGGCAAAGGGTGTTAGCAGGTCGAGAACGACCACGGCATTGGCGGACACATTCAGCCAACCATGCGCAGAGAAGGGCGTGCGTGAGTGATCCATTCTGGCATCGGGCACAGGGTCTGGGCTGTGCAGCGGATCGTCGAGGTCCTCGTCCCGCAGATCCCACATGTGGGATGCATTTGCCAATGTTGCAGAGGTGATGAGATGTGATGTGTCTTGTCGCCATTCGAGCTTGCCGAGAGCTCAGAAGCGGCACTGAATCGGGAGGAGATACGTTCAGATTGTACTGAGACGAGGTCAGTACAACTCCGGACAAAAATCGGTGAGAACTCACCGAGTACGGGCTATAACTCCAACCAATGTTACCCGTCACGGCACATGTGTGGTCTCGCTCGCTCCTCATCGTTCCGGCTCTTTATGCTCCCAGTCAGGAAGCCCCGGCCGAGTGGACTGCGCAGAGGGCAAATCAGTCCTGCGTATGCATAAACAGCTTAAGGGAGGTGCGTACGAGTAGGCGGCGATAGCAACGCTGAGGTCCTGTGCCGTCGCGATAACTACGGTATGCTCAATACAACTATTCGAAAGCGACAGACGAGCGTACATACCTTTATTCGTCTCCACCTCGTAGGACCGTAGGCTGATCTCGATCTCCACCACAGGGTGCACCTGCGAGCAGAGCGCGTCAAGTCCTCCCACAGTGACGAGACATCGGAAAGCGACCCACCGCGTGCGCCCGCCTTAGCGTCTCAGCACTGCACTCAGACAGTCCAACGTAGTCAAACAGGCCATCCTTAGCATACACCGCAAGGGTGCGCACATGACCTCTTCAATTGGGGTGTTCCAGTCGACATGTGCAGACTCAAGCAAATACAGGTGATTAGTCCCGCGTAGGGCTGCGTTTATCGCGTCGATGCCGCGCTTGAGGTCCTCCGGCCGCTCCCAGATACTCAGTGAAGCGATGCGAGAACGAACCCGAGCACTCATGAGAAGTCGACGGCGAAGCTGCAGTACTTCAGGCTGCCCTGTGGAGGATCGAGGTAAGCGTGATGTGGCAGCGGAACAACGGAACACACTTGCCTTGACGGAGAGGAACATCCGGTCATAATCGGAACACTTCTCGAAGAATCGCGCGACGAGCTCGAGGTTCGCGGTGGACATCTCTGGGCCATAAAATTCGCCTGGTCAAACGTCATGAGAGGTGCGCGGAACGGATGAGATCCTGCAACCTACCGCTGCATCGGCATTGCGTGGGCAGACTTTGTCTTACGGGTGATGAAGGTGAGTAAATCTGGCTGACCGCGGCGGAAGTTGGGACGTTCGAAGTGTTAAGCTTCGGTGTCGTGTCGCTCCTCAAGACACCTTGCTGAAGGTGAGGAATTTTGTGAAATCCGTACATGCTTAGTTGCCGCACGGACGATGTGAACTTCTGGTGCTTGAACCAATGGCTGAGCACCTCCCTTGCAATCCGCTCATAGTTGAGTACTTGCGCGAGCATCAGGGTCGGACCGGGGGAGAAACTGACAGTAGAACGACCCGTGTATCCGCTCATCAGTCTTGGGATCATAGGCGATTGTGGGGATGGAGTGATGTGAGGTAGACTTACCGCCGCAGGAGTGCACGAAACTCATTCATAGAGTTCCTGGGGAAAGGGAGCGACAATGAGACGAGTAGCTTTGTTTGTGGTGTCGACATGCTGTAGGCAGATCTTCAGATACGGTGCTAACTTGAAGACGCTCGTCGACTGGATTTGGCAGTCGGAGGGCGCTTGCTCTCCACATGGCAAGATTTCTGACAGCTTCCGACTATTTTTGTTTCTTCAACAGTTTTCAAAATAAAGTCCGACTATACCCGTCATAGTTTTCAAAATAAAGTCCGACTATACCCGTCATACTTTCTGCTCAACTTTTCCAGAGCTTTCCATGTCACGACATATCACGCGCGATGGTGACCTCCATTTACATGGTTTCCTCACATTTGGTAGTGTACATGTGTATTTATTAACTAGATACCTGAGAAAAATCCTAGAAATTGTTCATAAATCGGTGGTTATGTAATAAAACGTTGATTTCGCCAGTCTAATCCCTTAGGTGGCCGAGTACTTCCCGCGCCCCGTATCCATATTCGGAAATAGCGATACCTGCTCCCCGCTTCTGACCGCTATTTACCCTACTCCCTACCATTCCCTGCCGCTGTTTAGCCAGCCGCCGCTCGTTGTGCTCGTGCGTAGCTCCCAATGGCTCAGCGATGCAGCCAGAGGGTCGTGATGCCGACACGACTAGCTGGTGTGCCGTGCGTAACATGGCGACGATTACTCGCCCTCGTCGATTGTTTCGCAGACGTAGCGTGTATGAATCGACATCTACACCTGTTGGTCTCTGGCGGGCGATGCTGCTCGTCCGATCGTCAGCATGCAAGTTGTATGCCCTCCCCGTAGTGAGTCATTTCAGCTACGCGCACACGTCGGCTTCAAATTTCCATCGGCTAACGCTCGATGTAGGGCTTTATGCCGGTGATAGAGTCGATCTCGAAAAAAGTCGTCGACACCGAGTTTCCACCGCGTTATCTTTCCAAGGCGTCTCGGAACTCGATCTTCAAGAAGCAACGCATAGACGTTGAACTCTCCTGCGCGGACACTGCCCTTCCTCCGCTTGCCGAAGATGCCGAGGCGGAGGCGTGCAGTGGATATATCCCTCCCACCCAGCGTGCCGTGCAAGAAGCAAACGAGGATCTCGATCAAGATGGCGGAAGCAAAGTCGTAGACATTCCTGACATGTGTCTCATTTTTCCAGACGATGGATATCTCGAGGTCTTCTCCGCAGGTAGAGAAGGAGTCCGTCGTTCATGTGGTCACGAAGTTCTTGGTACCGCAGCTTGCAGCGTTACGCCCGAACCTATCGACTATGAGGGCCTTACCGCACAGCTCACTCAGGCGGTCAAGCCTCATATATCTCAACTCATCGATTTCGCACCGGACAAGCGGGGGACAGCAGGCCTCATCGTTGACAGTTTCATCCCTATCCTGCGTTCCTTGCATGCAGAATTCCCTACGTTCGACGCGACGCGAAGACTTATCGTTGGTAGGCTTGCTACCGAGGTGCGCAAGATGCGATCGAGATCGAGACCACTATTGCTCAACACAAAAATGACGTGTTGCACAAACATGTCCATCGTTCAGTTCGAGCCAGAACCTCTGTCTTTGCGTTCTCAATGGCTGCGGTCAGCTTGGGGGCCCGGTGCGTGGACTATGCAACGAGTTCGTCGTGAAACTCGAACTGCCAGATGTATTCTCGTCGTCGTTGTGCATTTGCAAGAAAGGCCTGTACCGCGCCGTCCGCGGGCCGATCGTGAGCCGTGGCCACGTAGACCGTCACCATCAGAGCACTGTCAGGCAAACTTGTAGTGGCGAGGGAGCGGAAGTAGAGGTTGAGTGCTTCCGTGAGGCCACCACGGAACGTCCAGGACCGCTAAGGACTGTAGGGACTAGGACGTCAACGTGAGCGGGCTGTTACTGGTACGTGACATCTTTCGGGAGAGATCGAAGAGGGTTCGCTGACTCTAGCCTGCGGATTATGTTCAGCAGAAACCTTTCGTGATGCGCGTCGCAAGACATGTCTGACTTGCAGTGTGCAGAGCAGATCGTGCGATCGAGCTCGCTCACGGCACTCCGCGAGAAGTACACCTCGTAGTATGGTCCGTCCGTGCATCATAGATCCAGTTCGCTAAATGCACCCCCGCCTTACGGTTCACTTTCGCCATTGGCCATTGGATGACCGGTTCGTGAAGGTCCAGCATCCCTGCGACTTGGACAGTTGGCGTGTCGGGTACGATTGTCCCCAGCTGATTCCTTTTGATGGGGTTCCCTGTAGACACGACTGTCTGCAAGGGACTCTCTCATGTGTGTCACCTGTCCAATTGATGTCCATCTCCCCGCCATTTCAAGTTGTATGCCTCGCGAGATGGTTCGTGCATCTGGGATGAGGATGCCGTGCGGTTGGATCAGTTGAAGGTGGCGTTGAAGAACGTGGGATTCTCGAAAAGACATGTCGCGCAGAAGTGCCAGCTGGTTGCTGCTATTCTCCATCTGGGTAACCTGGAATTCCATACCGATCGCTCTCGCAACGAAGACGCTGCTGTCGTGGGCAACACGGATGTCCTCGATATCGTCGCAGATTTCTTGGACGTGCAGCCGGAAGCTTTGGAGGCTGCGCTATCGTACAGAACGAAGATGGGGAAGAAGGAACTATGTACAATCTTCCTGGATCCCGACGGTGCCTCTGATAACCGAGACGAACTCGTGAAGCCGCTATACTCCCTCCTGTTTGCATGGTTGAACGAACACGTCAACCAACGCCTTTGCCACGACGACTTCAATATGTTCATCGGACTGTTTGACTTACCCGGCCCCCAGAACATGACTAGCCGGCCGAACTCCCTAGATCAGTTCTGCGTCAACTTCGCTAACAAGCGGTTACAGAACTTCACACAGAAGAAGCTGTTCGAGCGCCACGTCTGCGAGTACACGACAGAGGGTATCTCCCGCTTCGTTCTCCAGGTGCCGTATTTCGACAACTCCGCGTGTCTCCGCTTATTGCAGCACAAGCCTGGGGGTCTCATTCGCGTCATGGATGACCAGGCGAGGCGTCAACGGACCACACCATGCCCGAGTCGTTCGCGAAGCGATGGGGTAATCACTCGTCCTTCAAGGCAGGCACGATGGATTCAGGTTTCCCCACGTTTACTGTTAATCACTTGCGGTCCAGTTACTGCGTGGACGGACGGCCTCGGCCCCGATTGGTCCTTCGAATAGACAGTTCAGATGCGATGGAACAATCGTATGGGATGGTCCACCACAGAAGAGCAGCCACGCACACGATACGCTTCTCCCGCAGGCCATATGCTCTGTGAGGGGATACGGGCTGCAAGTTTCTCTGAATTTCAGTAGATCGGGTTCGCAAACGGGTTCGCAACTTGCTCGAAGTCGTCCATTTGCCCCGAAACTTCAAGGTGCTCACGACCTCAACCTACAGAGGGGATTTAGGCAAATTTTTGGCGACGATGCGTTCGCATAGTTCGACCGCTCCTACGTTGTAGACTAGTAAGATCATTCCCCACTCCAAGTAAATCTGTATGAATAATTCGATTGTACGCTACTTCCAGGACTGTCGCCACAGCGGCATGACTCGTCGCATGGGTCATCTCAGAGCTCCCACCATACGAGCGCGAATTCGACCGCAAAGGCCCGACCATCGACTTCAAGCACTGACACAACCAGTGCGTTCCTTTACCTGCCTGCTGCCTCTCCCTAATGGCTCCTGCAGATTGACTATCCCATTCAATATGCAGGATCAGCAGTTTCCTCAACTGGACTGTTTCGCTTTTCGTGCCGCTCACGGTGACTGGAGCGATAGGCTGCTTTAGGCGCTCAGTTATGGAAATTCACCCACTATGCGGGAGCTGTCCAACATGCCGCCAATCCCATCACTTTCGAGTCTGCGACTACCGCCGGACTACATGGGGCTGCCAACTCCCGACTGTGTCGATCTCCTGAAGATGATCGACGGCGCGCAGAACGACATTTCCAGAACGCGTATATGTCTTCCCTCGGGCCTGGCTCTGGCTCTGCTGCAGCTACCTCCACCCCTGCTACCGCGCCGACGTCCATGCCTACCGCGTCGCTCACGTCCACTCCCGCAGCAGCGCCGCCGACCTCAGACATGCCCGCCTCCTCCGCCTTCCTGTCCTTGACATCCGCTCCGGCCTTCGTTAACTTCCCCGAGCCCTTACCCTCAGTGGCGCCGTCGTCCTCACCGATCGCTCGACCTGCGGCCGTCCTCCAGTCTAGCTCTGCACCTGCACCCGTGGAAGCACAATTTTCAAGTTCAACCTGCACACGGACAAGTGGACCATCACCGCGCAGCTCTGCATCGTGTGTCTGATCAAGCGCGATGCGTGTGCTTTTATGTAGCGACGCGGGTACTACGCAAGGCGGCCTGGAGTTGGCATCACGACTGTTGGTTCGACGCGTCGCGAGCGGGTGACACAATGCGTACGGTGAGCCTTTGCGTGGACATTTTCATTCGACGGTTCGAGACTGATCTCCCTTCTCGCCACTGCCCGCCTGTCACCGCATACGTCCTCCCCTGTACCAGATGTCCGTCTTCAATCACCCTCTCCCCCAAGCTAGAAACGTACCCCACCTCTCGGGCACAACGTGCTTTGGGAGACTAAGTAGAGTCCCTTTGTCCGAGAAAGAGAGGGCGTTCATTGGGGAAGGGCCGGCCGTTGCTCGTCGTCTCTAATGAATTAATGACGACTACAACATGGCCCCACCCTTTGTGACCTGGTGAGCAGCGTTAGCAGCGCACGGTACCCTCAGTCAATGATCGACGCCGTTGTTGGCGGTCATTGGTTTTTTGGATGGCACCTCCGTCTTTCCATGTTTCTATGCAGTAGTTCCGCTGTAACGGGGTTTCCGAATAGATCATCCTAAGCTTTGACGGTTCCCTTCTTATCCGAGTCTAACGCGTCAACGGGAGAAGTCCTAGAGTGTCTGCTAACGTTACTTCAGGTTACTTCACGGGTCGAACAAGCAGATGGATTGCCAGTGTAAGTTCGTTATATTACTAACCAATCATCCCGTGGACTTGGGCGGCCACCGGTTTACCTATGCCTATTGGATCCGTTGTCTGGATGGATGAGGAATAGTGTGCTTACACCAGGGAGTATTTAAGGCGGTCCGAGCCATGGTGAAGCCGAAGAGCACGTCCGCGGTATCTGTATTTTGCACATCTCTTGCAGCCCCAGTACTCCCTCCCCTCTGTGCCCCTTCGAAATGTCCTCGCCTGTCTCTTGTACTGGACTCGAAGAGGCACTTGAAGAACACGTGTCATCGTATGATCTCGAGGACGACGTTACCGGAGAGGCAGAGGCCCATGGCCCACTTCCGTGGAGCGTCATTAAGCTTGTTCCTCTTGAAGAGGCTGAAGATGAATCCGAACAATCTGTCGGGAACGGTGGTACCTCTCCTTTCAATGGTGGTACTGCGAGCCACGGCGCCACTGCCACGAATGGCAGTGTCGCTGGTTGGAATGGTGATAGGCCAGTGAATAGTCCTGGTTGGAGTGCAGTGCTTGACGCTGCCTCTCGTGGTGTCTCGGATGGCACAGACAAGGAATATCGTCGGTATGTTCTTTTCACCCATTCGTCCGATTTGCACCAAGAGACCTACACTTCTGCACGTCAGCACAAAGCACCAAAGGAGGGAATTGGATGCACGCACTCCCTTGTGTTCTAGATGGGGCTTCTTGATTTGCAGCCAGCATGGACCCATTATTCTGCGATGGACTTGAGCGCACCTAGTCTCGTCCCCGTTGCACTCTTCAACGCCTTCTCCACGTTGAACAGAGAGAGATAGAACCGGATCTGGTTCATCAGTTACGACACGTCAGCACCAGTTTCGCATCCTCGAGCCATGCGACGCACCTCGAACATCACTGTTCCGTGGCATTCATGCCGGAGACATCTTCGCCCATACACGCCCGTCATCCGTGTCCGGTTACCACATGTGGGGTCATCACAGACAGTCCAGCCTTCGTAGTACATTGCGATGTGTTCCCGGATCTGCGTCTCCAGTTGCACTTGCAAACTAACTGTCCCTAATTTGCCATGGCACCCAGAACATGTCGGGCCAGCGGGGAGCAACAGCGAAGCCTTTATTCCATAAGACATAAGTCTGCAGTTCCCAAATTTAATGGCGGATCAGGCATGGCACCTCTCTGTCACTGATAGACGCGAAGGCAACTTCACCCTGGCACGAGCGGCATCGCACAACGAACGGATCCGTGTCCTTGAATCTCTCGGCATCTGACATCAACGAATCCAGAGTGCCGAAGGCCGTTCTTCCGCCCCATCCGGATTGCGGTATCGGCTTGCATCGAGCCCTGGGACATATTAAGTTAGAAATGGATATACGCAGCGTTCTCTTCTTCGTTTCACTGCTTACCCAGGCACTCGGCCAATCGTGACCGGTCGGTCCCTTCACATAAACGTTCGATCGGAGGCAAGATTTGGTGTGCCAGATAATGTTCGTAGTCTTAATACAATTTCAGTGTCTATTTCATGTCGAGGGCCTCCGACGGACTCACCAATCTTCAACTCGTCGCTTGCCCTTCGTACCTCATCGGGATCCTTCGCCCACTCAGCTTGAGCGGTCTTGCCTACCTCGCCGCTCTCACCTACGCAGAATACGTAACGTATAACGTCACCCGATCGAGCGGTGCCGCCCCTCGCCTTCATCCTCAAAGCAACTTAGACATGTGGCTGGCTCTTAGCATTAGGGTGGTCCTCTGGGATGATGAACTCGTCCAACTTGATCTTGCCTGCGCGAATATCCTCGCCCATAGTTGTGAGATACTCGTGTATCCGTTCAACGACAGTTTCGGTCGCCTCTCCCGACAGAATCTGGTCTGGTACGTATCTGAAAATGTGTTGGTTTACGCACATTCCTAGAAGAAATGGTGACATACTGAGACACCGCCTTAGATAACGCACAATACCCTCTGCGCTTCATGTCCAACCCCTTCACCTCTGTGGATGGTCGTCCACCATCTTCGACCTTGATGGCCGCATACTTCTTCTCTTGTAACAGGAGCAAACGTTGGAAGATACCATCGAGGTCAATCTCCAAGAGTTTGTAGCGACCATTGACCGCTTTTTTGGGACTCTGCTGATATCTTGAGTGCCTCTGGAAGCTCAGTGACGTTGGAATTAACGAAGACCGAGTCCGTATCTCCATAGACAACCTGCGAACGTAATCAGAAGAGCCTTCAAGTACAACTTCGACCCCACGCACGTCAAGCTGGAGACTCTGCTAGTTCACGAGTATGCGTCAGAATCTCACGACCCTTGAACGTCGTGGGGGCAGCGAGGGGAGGGCGTAGAACCTGGAGTACTCGAATCCCAGACAACCGCAAGTACTGTTCGCTGTAAGCTTCAATGCCATCTGTTTGATATCCCACTGCAGAAAATAATCAGTGGCACGCCACTGCCCGTGATGTGACTGATAGTACCTGAAGCAACTGTGATTGTGTCGCTTTGCGGTCTTTCATTAGACTTTTGGCCTGCCTACGCCTGTTGACAAGAGTAGCAATGGGACGGGGAAGAACGCCCTGGGCAACCTCAGGACTCAGTGATTCTGGGATTTTTTCTTCACCCTCCTGATCAGTTCATTCATCAGCATATTACAGTTTCCCCAACTGTACGTCCACTCACCTCATCCTCCATCCTGTCAACAATCATGAAGTCGATGTTGTACTCCTGGATGATAGTCGGATACAGCGAGTTGAAGTCCATAACGAGTATGAACTTGTCCCACAATCCACGCTTGGGTTCGAAGACTTATCCCGCTTGCCTTTGGTCGTCTTGCCTCCTTCTGCATCAATATCCCGTGCCTCGATCTTCTCAACAGTGGCAGCCATCTTGCCGTACACCTTGTCAGGACAGATGTACTTCAAGCGATGGAATTCGTGCAACAAGATCTACTCGTTTCTCTCGGCACGTCCACCGTTGAGCGTCTTGTTCCTACCAAAGCCGGTCAGTCTGGAATCATGCAAAATAGCGAAAATAACTGACCATGAGTTTCCAGCCAAATTCGTCAGTTGCCTCGTCAAACGATGCATCTGTACCTTGGCCGCCAGCACCATCTAGTAGTAAGCATCTAGTTCACAATGCCGGACGAAAGTAAGAAGCCTGTCCGGCGAACTGACGCCACTGTCGAAGTAGCTGGCAGTATCATCGGGTCGATATCCTGCCTCTCACTCTTGAGATGAGTCTTGCACATTTCGGTGAGCGACCACGTTGTGGACGAGATCATGCCCTAATAGTATATCCGCGGGTGTTGTAGTTTTTCAATGCGTGGACGCTCTGTGCACCTTCGCACCATCACTAGCAAGATCGCAGACCAACCTCCCATTGATGAATCGCAGGTTGCTCCCTTGCCTACCGATATTCGGCCATCTCGATCGCCTGAACCGGCCGATTCGTGACCAATGGTCTGCTTACAATTCTCTCATACGGTGGATAAGGTCGTCCAGAGCGACCCCAAGGAACTCGTGCCCAACAATGACATCAGGGTCTGCTTTGTGAATTGTCACTAGGAGTGCGAATATTTCAGTCGGGAGATGTCTGAGACGAACCAAGCAAGCTGTTCAGCAGCATCCACTCGTTCTTCATGAGGAGAGATGACTCCTATGCCATTGCGTCCAGCGCGTACTTCGAAGTTTGGCGGGAAGCGGTCCAAAGGTGGAACAAACGTATGTACAGAACACGGAAGAGCCTCTGGAGGCGTAGGATCGTCAATTTGCACTACATACAGGATACTTTTTAGTATGAATGTGCTGACAGATCCGTGAATGTACAGTTCGACCAGATCCTTGCCGTGGCACACACAATCTCGCGGTTGTTCTCCTTGTGATTGACAACGGTGTTGAGGCCGAGACTCATCACGGTTAATGGCGGTGTTTCCTTGGGAAATTGGATGTCCGTATCAGAGAATGCATTGACGTCTTTCGGGTCCGACACCGTTGCTTCGACTTTGCACCAAGATACCTGCATGTCTACACGTCAGCGTTAAGCATCAAAGAAGGGAATTGGATGTACGCACTCCCTTGTGTTCCAGGTGAGGCTTCTTGATTTGCAGCTAGCACGGACCCATTGTTCTGCGCTTCAACACCAGCGGTTCGAAGGCACTTGTGTTGGTACCGAAGATGCGTGAAAAGTTCGGGCTAGACACGTTACTCTAGATTTGTGGTTCTGCGGCGACTTCAGAGTATACCTTATTGCGACAAAAAGAGGGATGACGTACCGTCGAAGCCATGCACAACTTTCATCCATTGTGCCTCCCCTTTCGGTACGTCCTTCTCTCCGAACACGTACTTCCTCTTGATGAACTTTGCTCTCCGGCGCTTGATGCCAGCCTTCCTGTGAAAACAATCGAAGTCCTCATATACGTGTTTCATCTCGGGCACCACATCGGTCTCGTAGGTGTTCCTCGCCTCGTCTTCCTCGATGCGCTGCGCTCGGGATAGGACGAATAGATTACGCTGCAGGTTTTCGACAGTGACGCAACATGATAACCAGGCCTTCAAGACCTTGTCTCGGGTCTTTCCCACGAAGTAGGGATGCCCTTCATGTTCGAGATAATCAAGTCAGATGAATCGCAGAGAACCATCTTCCTCGAGGACAGATGTACTCGAGATGTAGATGTAGAAGTGGAGAGTGGGCCCAGCGTGTCATCGGTCATCACGCTGAGAGAGTCATAGACAGAGGGCCACGATGGGGTGTCGTCCTCTTTGACTTTCTTGTCCTGCGCATTGAGCTTTCGGTCAATAGACTTAAGCATTTTTTGCGTACACTCAAGTCTTCCGGCTTCGGTTTGAGTGACATGTCGCCATTGATGTCTTTGTCGTCGACGTCCATGAACACGTCCATGTCCAGGCCTTCAAATGACGTGTCGCCTTCGTCCGTTCCGCTATGGACGTTCATCCGTTCAAGCCTCTTGGTAGCGGGCGTCATATCAATGGCCTCCTTCCTCGTCTTCTCCTTTGGGCTGAGAAACTGGTCATCGCTTGAGGGTCCGACACCATCGTCGTTAATTCTGTCAGATGAGGCGTCAAAATAATCTGGATGGCTGTCCCTGTGATCGCCAGTAGCGCGAGGGGGTGATGTTCTCGGCTTATCATATACAGGTTCCGGCCGTGTTTTGCGCTTGCGCAAACTCCCACCGGCTTGGGCGAGAAAGGAATCCATGTCGCCTAAAATTAAAGCCATGAAGTCAGTCTCCTGCGCTGCAGAGACTATGGGTCTATAAGTACTGACGCTCGGTATTACTGCTGGGGGCAGTGGCTTCGCCTTCGCCTTCGCTTTCGCTTTCCCGTCGACTTTGCCCTTCCCCGCGGCACGTCTATCAGCAATGTGATGAGGAGTGATGGCGGCATGAATCACACGTACGGACGATTGTTGTGGCATGGAAACTGAGATGGAAACCTGAGAAAATAAAAGCCATGAGTACAGGTTCGGCTTTTCGCAAACGCGCAGTCAAATACTCACTCTAATGAAGCACAACTGTAGGAGGACACGGTCCTCACTCATGCGTGTGTGCGACCGGCGGGTTGTCGAAAAGCCTGGGTCCATCAAATGGGCCAGCAGGTCTCATTGGATGTGCACGAAGGCCTGGTATGTTATAGTCCGCATTGTGCTTCAGAGGAGGAGGTTGGCGATGGGGGACAGACGAGATACGTTGGACACTTTGGGGTGGAAGAGACTGCCTCTTGGAAGACTCAACGGATGGATTGATCACCGCAGGAGCAGTAGATGGAATTAAAGACATGGCCAGTGGCTGCAGCAGTCCGTGCAGGGTGAGCATATTGAACGCTCAGAAAACTAGAATCAGGACCAAAGTCGATCTTCCGAAGTCGATCGACTGACACAAAGGTTCTGTAATGCATGCTGGGTTGTAGGGACAGACACAGAGTCTCGAGGGGGCGCAGGACCAATGTGTTATCGCAGACAAATTCATAAAACTTAGCAGGTAGCCGTTCGCAGACAAAACACGCGCGTATATTCTGAGTGGGAAGCGCCCGTTATCTACGACATAACACTTCCCTCTACCGAGGCTCCATTATCTCCATGCTCACAACCAGCATTATGGTGCGTAGGCAATCGGTCGTTCTCGCATACTTTTTCAATCGCTGATCCGCGTCTCAGCTACGATGATTGACCCTGCTGTTGCATACCTGTCTGAGGAAGGATACGATGCAACAGCGCCCGACGTCTGGCTCAAGGCGGCGAAAGGTAGCGACTTCTCCGGAGTCGTATGGCCTGGTACAGACGGTCTGGTATATTGTCCAAGGGAACTGAATGCTGATCTCATTTCGCAGGTTCGCCGGCACTTGTCGAACCTTTTTCTTCACATGGTAGACAACTGGCTATCGCTTCAGACTGGTTAAATCCCGCTGCACAACAGTATGCAACTCCTTCTGTTTCACCGTACTCAAGTTCACGCAGTGAACTAGCTTTCACCTGCGCTGACGGCCGTCCATTCGGACCCAAATACTCCGAATTTCAGCTATCGAAACCTATCCGATACGGAAGAGGGCCGACATGAGTAGCTACAACGCGCTCAATCCGTACACCATAAACAACGCTACGGGGGCGGCGGTGTCGAACGGGACGTCCTACATAGGTGAGGTGATCTGGACAGACCCGAGCTGACTCGATCGACGAGTAGACAAATGTGGCGCATTCGAATGGCCTTACTGAATACGATACTCGTAAGTTGGACACGAACACATTTATTTCCGATGTTGGTGCAGATTCGAGATGCGGGATCTACCGTAATTGTTCTGTGTTTCGTCACCTTACGGAGTACCGGTAGGAATCATTAGAGCGCATTGTGATTAGCAAGGCTATCCAGCCGTCAGGTTTTTCACGTCCGCAGCTCATGAGGCTATCCGTTGTTGAAGCACGGCAGGAGTTTTTACTCATGCAATACGATGGCGGCGGCGACCACTCTTTTTGAACGCGTCCGAAGGCTGATGTTGTATCTGGTGTTTTTTCAAGGTACATACCACCGCGGTCATCTGCGACTACCAGGTTCTGCGGCTACCACCCCGGGAAGCGCGAAAGCCAACAATACACGGCCACTGCTTGCTGGATTTGCGGCAGCTGCGTGCTGACTTGTTGTCCTGCAAGATCTCTTGATCTGGAGAGGAATAATACCTCTGCCAAGCTTGAGTACTCACGTGAACAAGCTAGTCATGGCTATTATTACCATGGAGGGCCGAGTGGTTTAACCGATGATAACTGTAGAAGGTAGTCAACAAGGTAGTCAACATTAGACGGCGCTGAAGCGAACGTTGGCGGGTCAGCGGCAGGAACGTTTACTCGCACAGCCGTGGTGAAGGTTGATCAATCGGGTGCCTCCTCTCCGATCCTTCCTTCTGTTGGGGAAACTATTATAAACCATCGAAAATAGCAGCGAACACATCCCTTGAGCGCGCTGCCTCGCGGTTCCGTCTTGCGTGCCGTGGCGATATGGGCAATCGGGAACCTGATTTGGATGTCGAAACGTTCAGTGCACATTTTATCTGGGGATTTCTTCAAAAAATGCAGGAGAAAGGGCAAGTGTGTATCAGAGACGTGCACGGGGAGTTGGCTTCCGCAATAAAGATTGCATGTGAGGGGCACAGATTGAGGTGTCATACAATCCTGGCAGGGTGCTGCGGCACGTCGTAGCGTGAGCGTGAGGGATGGAGGAGGGTTAGGCTCCCAGTCAATCGGGTTTGATTTTCCAACCAATCTTCGACAGTTGTAAGGAGACAAAAAAATTCCGTTCACCCCACAAGAATTTGTTCTTCAACGTAATGGTAAAGTAGCAAGCCATGGACAGTCCCCACCAGGCGGCGATGGGCAGGCCTTGCCGGTGAGACGTTGAACAAGGTTTGGAGGATTGCTTATAGGCGCCCAGTTGGACGTTGGTTGGACGTTGACTGAACGTTTTGTACTTTGATTGAATGCTGACTGGAGGTCAGTTGCACGTTAAATGGATGTACACTACGTGCAAGGCGTAGTTGCGCGTTAAGTATGGTCCATACAATTGGGCGCCGACGCGCGGCACAGTACGAACGGCTGACTTGTAAGACTACCCCTCACACTTTAAGGCCCAATCTTTTATAAGGCTTTTTTCATCAATTAATCAAGTGCAACTGCATTACTCAACTTTAGAGACAACTCCCACAGTAGGATACAATTCCCAGCATAATTCAGACATTCCGAACTCAAGATTATCCGATTTTTCTGCTTGTGGATGCAACGCTGAGCACTGAGGTAACGTTCAACTCTCAACTTTCGGGCGGCTAATGCGGGAACCTACTGAAAATGGAACACCACCTGACGTATTCCAGATTCCCACCTCGCCGTGCCGCCTCTTCAGGCTGCAAACACCTCTGCCGATTACTTAATTTATCTCCACATCAATACATAGTATAGTCCGAGCCCGAAGAAATGACACAAACAGAAAAAAGGGCTGGCAATGCAAGTATGAGGCTGTAGAAAAGCTCCACCAGCAAAATTAATCCTTTTGCGCGGACTTCTGAAAGGAATGAATCCGACAATATTTTATGAACCCCCTGCAGCCACCAAACCACAAGATCGCGACGCGGAGGTGGTCCGGCTGACTAATTGCTTGATTAGGGAATCGTCCGCTTCCGAAACCGTTATCGCCAGACTACTGCCGCAACGTTGAGGCAGCAGAGGTCATAACCGTCAGGTCCAACGTTGAGGCCTTAACCGTCAGGTCCAACGAGCCTCAACGTTGGACCTGACGGTTATGACCTCGGCTGACAGCGTTGGAATAATTGATGAAAAATACCGTCATAATCTTTGGACCAAGAGCAATCAAGTCTGGCATGTCCAGGAATGAGGCATGCTTTTACAGCAGAAATCTGTATCTGACTTAACTAGGTACTCTGAGGACGACTGATAATCCTCAGGTTGCCCTATTGGCATTCAATTGAAAGGTGTTAGTGTCTAACGTTCTAACACCTACTGTCCTCCCGATCAAGATCTTCCACGAACGACCATGGTTCCGGCGGAAATTCGTAGATGCTGTATGAGTCAATTGATTCGGTTCTGGCGACGGCAAGAACGTTTGACAATATGATGACTCTCACATAAGTGTACGGGGTCTCCATTGACGTTCCCTGTGACAATTATGTCTCCAGGTGTGACTGGACTGGACCTTGTGTTAGGTCACTGCGTGCTTCTCCATCACTGGCAACATTTTCACAGGGTCGTTGCGCGGCTGCGCATTGAACTTCCTGCTCGCTTCTTCCCTTGGCTTTTCTTTGATTAGGTATCTCAGAAAGGAGCGCCCCCTTGCCAAGCAACCATTGCCTGCCTACGGTCTGTATCGCATAGCCGTTGACCTTCGTGCGGAGTCAGATTGGCCATAGCACATAAGCTAGAGACAGACGGTCGCTGTTGACGGCGGTCTGCATTTTTTTACGTGTTGTGGCGTCGGCGATGGGTTTATCTGGCAGAAATACACGTTGCTTGCGCCTTTGCTCTACCCGCTTGCGAAAAATCTCTCTTTATTTCTGTCTCGTATCGTGTGCACTACATTCACACAGGTTTTAAACGCAGATTTCTGAAAGCAGCACCAGAATCTGAATGGCACGTTCACTGTCACAAATCGTGATTTGTGACAGGCGCGATCACAGGTATATATGATCATCACTGAATCCGGGAAGATTCCATAACACAGTTATAACGAGTGTATTCTACATAACGCCTGTAACTGTTACAGCCAGCGCTACGATGGGTTATATGGCTGAGCAATTGCCCAACGACATAATCCAATATAACAATAGCATTAGTCGCAGGGCATTATAAACACAGTCAGATCTAGATGCAGAAAAATATATGTCACGGTTTCGACTGACCTATAGATGGTAATTGGATTCCTCATGTTCCGGGAAGATGCACACATCTTGCACAGAAATCTTTCCAACATATGCATTCAAACCATTTACATAGTAAAACTAGACTAAGCAGTGCTAGAACATTTCACAACACTACCGACAATTCTCGATGCATCCAGAATTCTCTGCAGCCCCACATGCATGCCCTGTCATGGCTCACCTGAGCGCCGCCCGTTGCACGCAAGCCTTCAAATGGCTGCAGCTGCAACTTGAGGAATTAAGCTGAACAGCAAGTTAATTAATGACACACCCTGATTCGAATCAAGCGACACAACTCAAACGAAACACACCACATACCAATAACTGGAGCGCGCACACCTGCCTGTTTTCAATGACGCAGTGTCAGCAAGGTGACACTTCACAGTTCACGAGAGAATACAAAATACGAAACGCACCGCATAACTAACCGGACCGAGAACACCTACCTCTTTTCGACGACGCAGTGTCAGTGAGAACCCACTTCCTGGTAGAGATACAAGGCTACTTGCCTCATACTTACGAGCACACTGTAGAGTACTACTAACTGGAGCGAGAACACGTACCTCTTTTCGACGCAGTGTCGGTAAGAACACACTTCCGGGTAGAGATACAGGGTTACTTGCCTCATACTTACGAGCGCACTGTAGAGTAAAATCGTCAACAGATGAAGGCCATCGCTGAAGCGGCGAAGGAAATCAGCGCAGAGTTCGCGTCTTTATATGCCGACAGCAGGACTATGCTGACAAAACAAATTTCAACGGGTAGGCTCCGAGGAACACACCTCGACTCAGCCCAGTGCGGTCGTCAGATGGAGACGTATTTATCGAAAGCAGCCCGCGAGTGAGGCTGAAGCTCCGAACATGCCTGGAAGTTGGTCGAGAGTCTCTTGAGATGAGATAGATTTGGAGACCCGTGTCACGGCTATCACAAAATGTCACAGTGTGTCACGCAGAGTATCGAGGTGACGTGGATCCCATTCCGGCAAAATATTTTACCTCCATTGTGAGCCAGAAACAATATGGGCTGCAATTTCAATCACCTGTGTATTGCCTTACAATTTTTGGCTAGGTCATGTAAGCGTTACAAATGGTAGAAATGTTGCTGGTGCATTATGCAGTACCCAAGTCTTCCGGATGGGTTGTGACTGATGTGACGCTCTGTGATTCTTTCCCGGTTCCAGTGATGATGGAGAGGCCTGCTGACAATATTGCCATCTCTATCGTGGACGACGCCTGAATTGCAGTACTCCTTCGAGAACTTCTTATAACTAGCGAAGTGTTTATCAGCAAAATTTCTGGACGGAGATCAAGGACGTACGCGGTTGAAGCACCTTCCCTTAGGATGTCATAGCGTTTGGGATGCTTGATATCTTGAGATCAAAGCGTCCATACCGCTGTGTAACACGCGAAGCCGATGATGAACCATCTTGCACGCAGGTGTCAGCATCATTAAGACAAATAAGATAGAAGCAACAAGTACTCATGAATAGAATTTGTCTTGTTCTGCGTCGCGCAAATCCTTTCGCATTCGGCGTAGAAGTCTTTCCTTGCCTGTTCATCGTTCTCAGGTGGCGGATGATTCAGGTTATACCACACCAATCATACATCATTCTTACCACAACTCACACCTGCCGGAGCGAAGCGCAGGCGGCTCTTGCTCAGGTTATCAGGACCTGTCCACTCCTTCGTTGCCGCCTCGTATGCGGCCATGAATCGAGCCCCAGTGCCAATCATCTGCGTCTTCTGCATGGTTACTGAGTGGAGAACATAGTAAACGAGTTTCTGGGTCAAACGCTCGCAGTAGCTTGCATGATTTGGCGACAGGAACTGGACGACTCATCTCAGGCTTGAGTGAGGACTATCTTCAATTTCTCAGAAAGAAGTGCCTAACACTGCTATTACCTTTGGAAAGCATTTTGTAGGCTAACACATTTCGCAAGAGAGCAAGCTCCCCTTACCCCACCTACTGCACCCACATACAGAACATCTTTTATTTTATTTCTCGCGAAGCTACCACTCATAGTGGACTGCCCAGAAACGTTTCCGTGGGTTTCTGACGCCTTCGCTATCCCTAACGTGGCTGCTTATGTAATATGTGATGAGCAACGCCTGCTCCTCGCATCCGCAGCCTTACAACTCTACCACTATCTTCCACTATGCTCGTCGACAGCCCTCTCCAACCTTCTTTTCCGTATACCTCGGCTTTCGAGGACTTTTTCAACATGGACATGCTTTCTGGACCATCCAACAACGCAGGTTCGAGCGGTTCGAGCTCCTCTTCCCCGTCCAACTCGTATTCCCCTCTTCCCCCCACACCTCCCGACGCATTCTCGCAGACACCGTCGATGGACGTCACCAATCCATATTTCAACTTTGCCCTCGACGATGACATGTCGAAAATGGACACCCTCGCCACGCCGTCCGCGTTCGACTTTCTGAGCGCCTTCTCCTCAGCAGCCGCCGCGGCCCAACTCAGCAGCCCAGAGTCGGCGTCAGGTTCTGGATCTGGCAGCTCTTCTCATCTCAGCGACTCTCCCGTCGGCATCGATCCTCAGCTCGTCGGCACGCCCGCACAGGGCAAGCCGATGAGCGACTTTGACGAAGGTGACGACGAGAACGACGAGGAGGACGAGAACGAGGGCGAGGGCGAGGAGCCCAGCATGGAGCTGATTACGCCGGTCAAAGTTGGCGGCCGGGGCAGCGCAGGCAGGAAGGGCACCGTGCAGTCTGGCGGCGTCGTCAAGCGAGCGGGCAGCGAGAAAAAGGAGAACAAGCCTGTGAGCATGCTGTCCACGACGTCTGTCGAGCCGGACGATTGGCGGCCGAGTCCTGAAGAATACAAGAAGATGACGAGCAAGGAGAAGCGCCAGTTGCGGAACAAGATCAGCGCGCGGAATTTCCGTGTCAGGAGGAAGGGTGGGTGTCTTCCTCTGTCCGTGCAAATTGCCCCGTTTTCTTGATATCATAGCTTTTATTGCCGTCGTTTTTTGTCGTCGTTTTGTGTTAGCGTTTGTTTTTGCTTTGTATGTCCCGTTGATCAACGAGTGGTGATCGGCATGCATGGCATGTTTGTCACTGACTTTCTCAACGTCTGGAGGGCTCGAATGGTCTTAGAGTTGACCCCCTTGTCGAAATTGCTTTGCCCGATCATAATTCTCCACTTGAATTTACGAGCTTTTGTACATTGATCTTGTTTCATAAAATTTCGCGCACGCGTACTAACATTGTCGTCTCCCAGAATACATCACAACGCTGGAGGGCGATATCGCTGAGCGGGATCGGCTGATCGACGCTATTCGGACCGAGTTGGGGAGCACGAAGTCCGAGAATATCTCGCTGCGACAGGAAATCTCCGCGTTGAAGAAGGCGCTCCTGGAGGGTGCTGGGCGGGCGGACACGCCGGTGTTGCCCCCGCCTGCGCCTCTGCCGGCGATTCCGTCGTCGGTACTTGGCTCTAGGTCGTCGCCCACGCCGGCGCAGCAGACAAAGTCGGCGCTGTTGACTCCGAACACGAAGAAGGATCTACCGTCTTCGCCTCGGCTCGGTGCGACGGGCTTCTGGGGCGGTGCGGCGGGCGGGCTGGGCGGATTTGGTGGGATCACGCCTGTCCACACGACGCTCATCCCGGAGTGGGGCAGCGTGTTGTCGGCTAAGCCTGTCGCGGGGACGAAGGGCAGGCGGAGTCCTGCGCTGCAGGAGAATATCAACCCGGGGCTCAATGGGTTCACGGCGACGGCGCTGGCGGGCTTGATGGGTGTGCAGCCTAGCCAGGACAAGCAGCAGCAGCAGCAGCAGCAGCAGCAGGTGGCCGGGTTCGAAACGTTTTTGGACACGAACCCGTTTACGCTCAAGACGCTGGACCCGTGAGTAGCGTTGGTCGATATGGTGATACTCAGCTGACGGCGGATTTGCAGGTACCGGATGCAGCTCTGGCGGAACATGGCGCAGCAGCACTTGCAGCACCGGCAACAGGCGCAGGACGGGCAGCAGGCGTCGGGTTCGAACACTGCTCCCGGGGCAGGCACGAGCGGCCTTGCGAGTGGGCTGCGGCCGCACTATTTCAGCGGGAAGCCGGTCGGGTCGTCGCTCGTTCCGGGCAAGTCTGCGGCGGGTTGTTACGCCACTCCTCCGAACTCGCCGCCTCTGCGTGCGAGCACCTCCCCTCTGTCGAGTTCGCAGAGCGCGAACGAGAAGAAGCAGGTGCCAACGGCGCAACAGGCGGTGCTGGCCTCTCTTGCTTCACAGACGCTGGTGCGGAAGTTGGGTGCGGCGTTCTGGGATGCATTTTCGGCGCCGGCGCCTTCGATCGGGCGGTCGCAGTGGGACGTGGAGAAGGTGCGGCGGGTGATCGAGGGGAGCGCTATCGTGCGCGTCGTCGACGTCGAGCCTCCGGTCGCAGCGAAGAGCACGAAGACTGCGCCGATGAAGAGCGAGGCACCGACACCGCACCCTGTTCCAGCGATGTCTGCAAAGTGCCAGTGCTTCACGGAGGTGCTGGAGGAAAAGATGCGAGGATTGACTCTGGGGAAGAAGTAGCCTCGTGCGCTCTCTCGAGACGCGCAGATCCCGTGTCGAAGAAGAATGAAAGTAGGTCGGAGACAGTGGAAAGCCATGGCGCTTCTCGTGTGGATCCTTGCGCGCTGGTCATCGACCGCGCGAGCTCCCCATCTTTCTTCCTATCTCCGTCCTCTCTCTCTCGCACCCCCGCCTCATTCTCGTTACTTACTATCTATCGTTGCCTACTACGCCACGGCGTTACGCTCTGCTTCTTGCTATCTAATCTCTCGTATCTCATCGAACCTGCAAACCCCCCCCTCTGGTTTTGGTATTCGTGTTCGTTTTCGTTTTCTTACTCATCAGTAATTCTCGCACGCTGGTTCGTCTTGCCCGGACGTAGATCGTCGTTGTCGACGAGCTCGGGCGTGGTGGATCGCGGAGCGATGTACGTACGTTCAAGGTAGTGGAAATGAAAAGTGTACAAATCGCAGACGGTCGATACTACTACGTTAGTCAGACAATGTGCGACTACTTGCTGTCAACGGACATGCAAGGCAGGACAGTGTGTAGCCGTACAGAGCAATCGGTCGGTCGGATATAAACTCTTTCACTGAGAACGGTGCAACTGGCGGTGCACAGAAATTCCGCTTGAAAGATGCGCTACGGCTGCCGTATTAGCGGTGCAGCGTCCTGTGGATACGAGCTAATACAACACAGAATAGCAATGAGCTCAGAGACATTTCAATTTACATGTACCATCGTAAACATACCTTTTAGTTTGTCGTCATTGATTCATCGCCGCTTCCCCAACCGGGAACAGCTACGTCCATCAACGATGGCAGTTCGTCCCAACACCGCAGTCGCCTCTCCAAGTCCTCTGTTTTCAGGCAGGAAATGCACTCGGTGCACAAGCCGTCAAAGGAATCGATGGTACTGTCCGCGCTACTGAGAACGTCGCACGATTCCAGAACATCAGGTGTGTTGAATAGGCGGATTATGATTTGTTGTAACCGCGGAAAACATATCGAACGACATGCGCAGTCAGGACTGACATCGAGGAGTAGGTGCCGGGAGGTATTCCTGGCCGACAGAGAAACTGCGGCATCTATGCATCTCATCAGGTCCTCTGGCGACAATTGCTCAACAATTCCATCGGGGCGGACAATGCCGCGAACGAGGGCTTCGGAATCGAGTTGGCAGCAGAGATACAGCGCTATCGGCAACATGCTATCGGTATGGGTGAGGCGTGCCAAGTTAACCGCCGCAATGGCATCCTCGAAATCGAAGTGCATAACCGGACTGCTGCAATCATCAGCTCTGGATATTCTGTCCCATACATTGAAGTCGTCCGTGAGACATGTCTTGAGGCAAGCCAACCCATCTTCGTAAAGCTCCTCCATCAGGTATTTCTGAGACAGGCGAACAACGGTAGCCACTTCCCAAAATTCGGCCTGCTCGCAGCGATTGTATCTGTACATATAATGCAAATGCTCGTTGAGCACACCTGTTGTGCTGTTAAGAACGTACCTTTGGCCGTTGTAAATGGCACGTAGTAAGATCCGCAATTCCATCGGGGAATCAGACAACGAGACGACGGGGCAGTCATGTACTTTCTCTGCATTAGTGGGTTGTGGTAATGTGAACAAATCTCTGAAGACTTCAGAGTGTCGCGAAACGATGCCTCGATGGATACGGAACCCCACATCTCGACTAATGAGGACAGTATTGCCGTCCTCGAACCAGAACTCCTCGTCTTTCTCGAATTCGGAATCAGGATTGTCGCTACGCTGTACGATACTGTGATTCCGAGCGCTGATTTCGCTGGTTGGAATCATTGACAAGACAAGTTACGATCAGTAATTGCGGTGGAGTGAGGAGCAGATTAAACAGAGAACAGATGAATTCGAACCGACTAGTACGCTACACAAAATAAGAACGCAAAGCAGCGTGACTTGAAAGGTCACGCCGTATCTTATGGTTGTAGCGTGAACGTTTGAACTTCGTTTGAACCTCGCCCTGTGCATTCATCCAGCGATCATACAGTTATCGATAGAAGAAAAACAAAGTTGTATGCATAGGGTAAGAACCGGATTTTCGTTTGGCAACGTGGAGCCTCCTCAGTAGATCGCGTTCGTCACAAATCACGATTTGTGACCGAAAAAAAGTGATTAGAGCACATTAATACGTCGAACTCTCGCGCGGTCACAATTAGTATTTATGATACCGAATCAAGGCGGCTTTGTGAAAGGCGAGACGTTGACGGCGCGAACCTGAGCAGCGTCGCCAACATTGATGCAACGAAAAGTGCACGGGAGAGGAACAAGTGGGTCAGCAATAAACTTGACTTCGACAATCGGGCTGTACGAACATCTCAATAACGTAGTCTGCATAGCAGCTAGGACATCTGCCCAGTGTCCATGCACCTCCCACTGTTTCTTCCCAGGTATGATGTATGTGAGATAAGCTAGAGCGGAAATTGTCAGGAAGTGATGATGCGTTAGCAGTGAAATCAAAGCCGTACGAGTCTATGCACTATTGTTCAGCTGGGGTTTAGTCCCCCAGGTCGGAATCTTCAGCCGCATAATATTTGGGAGTCTGCCCCAGATTTCCTGGCGAGCCGTAAAGTTCACCGCTTTGACATTTGCCGTGCATCGCGTACAAGCATGCAACTTCACACTGTCATCATCATGCTCTCCACCTGTAAGCAAAATTCTGCATGATTGGAAAGGACCAGTCACTGCCTGGTTATGGAATGCCAGAAGTTGATCCATCATGGATACACATCCATAACAGTCGGCTCGCTGGTAATCACTGTAAACTGGAGAGTACGCCTTGGAAATCCTGGTCAGGTTTGCCTTCAAGAGTTCCATGCGGGCTTCTAAGCATCTCTCTAGATCGTCCATTGATAGTTTCTCCACCTCGCCATCCTCTCGCCGAATACCTCTAAGGAGCAAATGAGAAGGGAGGAGGCAGCATAAATACAGCGCAACCGGGAGGATGGAGATCGTATCGGTGAGCCGAGCAAGGTTCACCGCCGCGACAGCGTCCCGCATTCTGACGTTCATGTTGGAGATGTTGCACCTCCTGGACATACCCACCTCCCACACTGCAAATTCGTCGGTGTAGTATGTCTTTAGACAGTCCAAGGCTTCGTCTCGCAAATCCTCTATCTGGTACTTCTGTGCAAGCCGCACCAATGCTGCGACGTCCGAGAATTCCACCTTCGTGCCGGCGAAGAGATATCTGAGGGAAGTCATTCACTCATCTACTCCCAATCCAGTCTAAGAAAGGACACACTTTTTCCCATCATACAGGACTCGCAGCAAACACCGCAGATCACTTGGAGAATCCGACAACTGAACGAAAGAGCAATCCAGTATTTTCTCCTCGTTTTGGGACTGCGGGACCGTGAACAAGTCGTGAAAGGCTGTGGAGTGTCGTGCAATAATGCCTTGATGGACACGGAACCCGATTCCTCGTGCTATGAGGATAATATTCCCGTCATCGAACCAGAAGTCCTTGTCCTGTTGCATCCGGGCGTCTGTGCTAGGCTCATAGATACAGCCTCTAGTTACCTTGAGGAAGACAGTCGTTCCTTTGTAATAGAGGCTGAGATCATTATCGATGACCCGCTGAGAAGTCCCCCGTGGGAAACCAGACTTTGAACGATGCCGACGGCAATTCGACGCACGAATCTTTAGCGCTCAAGTCAGGCGCGAAGCAACTTGAAAGAGCTCTCTCATGGCGCGATCGATCCACCTGCAGACGATGCCCATGGCGACGTCACTGTATTTTCCAATATACAGATGTGCTCTCAACCTATCCTTCCGTCTTTCCCAGATGTCCTAGCCTGCATTCTTATGGTGTGATCAGTGTATCAAAGCCATTCTGAAAAGTGTTCAGCTGCAGGTATGATAGACATAGAAAATAATATGGATTTTCGCCAACTTCCGGCATAAAGATTTGTTTCGCAGCCTGCTTAAAGAGAACAAAAAAAGAGTGCTTTGTCTGGAGTCATGATCCGTGACAACTTGCAGAACTCCACCAATACAGTCTTATACCGGTCCTTCGGCCACCCAAATCTTGCCCGCCGTTGTATGGTACATGCATACACCTTCTCGTAGATCGGCAAGCACACAGACCTCAATAAATACTCCTAATATAAGATCACATGTATTTACAACCCAATTGCTAGAGTGAAATATGAAATCGCGGTGGATCAGTTTAAAAAATCGTTATCAGTGCTTTCCTCCGGCCACATCACATCACGTTGATGAATTTCCTGATACAGATGAGATTATGGGCGCTAATTTCTATATCAGGATATATGTGATGTGACATCTCGCCGATAAGAGCTCTGAATGCTCACTCCCCAGGTCGAAGTCCCCTTCTCATCCTGGATGGCAGCGGATGGCTTCAGAAACATTGCCAAAACATTCCAGTGTGCATAAATATGTCTGGCATTAAAATTTTCGGACTTCTGCTGTGAACTGAACAACGTACAAGCACTTTTTTACAAATTACACTCAAAATTGGTGTCTCCAAACAGATCCAGAGGCCATACAATCTCTACAACATTGGACAACATAGCTCTAGTATATTCAGATATGATTTAAAAAAATTCAAGGTGAAAAGGTGGCCAGGAAGCCAGAAAATGTGGGGTGGCCTAAGGACCCATGGTGGCCGAAGGACCGGTATAAGACTGTAGATATCGACAATAGTAAAGCACAATTAAATCGTATGCACATGGTTTAAGGAGAGAACTTGATATCCGGATAGATGGAAAGACTGGATATTTATTGCCGTTTGCAGAAGAATTGGCGGTCGCGCATTTCACGCGCGTCTTGCAGAAATACGACGCTCGATCTTCCGAGCTTCATATCTCCTCGACTGTCACTCGGACTACCTTGAACACATATATATTCTGAATCCTCTCATCGACGACATGTGCGCCCCGGTATCAGATCCGCGGTAAGTGCTGTGGGACGTGAGATCTCGAGAGGTGACCTGTATACCAACATATTGCCTGTATCTCGAAAACGATGAAATATATTTTGATCAACACTATGCTACTGTATTCCTGACGTGTATGTGGAATGCACCCCAGCAAAATCAGGACCGGAGTTCGATGTTGGAGCTGTGCCATATAGACATCCTCGTTGTCGGCTAGTCTCGCACGTCTTTGGCTCCTACACTCATGGCTCACTGCTATGCTCTCTCTGATGGCCTGTACGGTATACTTCTTAACATGTTCTGCAATCTCACCACGCCGACAATCACTCAATACAAGTGTTCATGAGGCATATAGTCGGCCGGGCGCTGTCTGACTACCAGTGGCATGGGAGAATGACTTGCGCAAAATCTTCTGGAGGGTGTGCATATGTCGGATTGGCAGTAGCTCAGGATGTCTGGGTGAGTGACATATTGTTGTGAATGTCTTATGTGGTGAAGAAACTCGGCCTTCTTACAAGAAGCTGTGGATTGTCTGCACAGTGCCAGTCCGATGTTGAAGTCCATTCCTGATTTTGTTGGGGCGCATTCCACATACACGTCAGGAATACAGTAGCATAGTGTTGATCAAAATATATTTCATCGTTTTCGAGATACAGGCAATATGTTGGTATACAGGTCACCTCTTGAGATCTCACGTCCCACAGCACTTACCGTGGATCTGATACCGGGGTGCACATGTTGTCGATGAGAGGATTCAGAATATATATGTGTTCAAGGTAGTCCGAGTGACAGTCGAGGAGATATGAAGCTCGGAAGATCGAGCGTCGTATTTCTGCAAGACGCGCGTGAAATGCGCGACCGCCAATTCTTCTGCAAATGGCAATAAAGTACAAATATTGCTAAGCATAAAGAGCAGCTGGTATAAAAGGAAATTGCAGACCCAGAAGCATGAATCGCATGCAATATTATCGAACAGGAAATCCCGAAAGAGAGATGACGAAGGGCCAAAAAAAAGGCAACGGGAAAAGGTGAAGCCAGTTGTATTATCCTATCCCGAGTGACGAGGCTCATGGAGTGCTGCAAAGCAGTCATGTAAGCGCAGCGGCAAAGCGGGGCAATAAAGTGTCGTACCTTCTGACTCTGGCCTATTGATCAATGTCGCGATTCCAATCCGGAATTGTGAGGCCGAAGAACGTCGGTAGCTCATTCCAGACAGTCCGACGAGCTATAAGGTCCCTAGATTTGATAAGCGCGAGACATTCCCTGCACAGCGAAAAACTCCGGACGAGGCTCTCCGCAAACTCGTCCGTCGACCTCAGAACATGATGCGCCTTCGCACCAACTGAGTTCATAACGCGATGCGCCGAAGCCCGCTCCAGAATAATCGAGCATCGAGAGCGATCCGAGCAGGATGGGCTAGTCGCTCCATAGATCTGCTGGTTCATGGATATGTTTCTGTTCAGCAGGTAGGTGCGAGCATCTAGACACCGTTCCAGATCCTCGGGAGATAATCGTTCGACCGTACCATCTGCACGAGTAACGCCTCTAATGAGGTAAGAAGATTCGAGTGTGCAACAAAGATACAAAGCTATGGGGAGCATGGAGAGCGTGTCGGTACGATGGGCCAGATCGACGGCCGCGATGGCGTCTGTCGGTCTGAAGCGCATGAGTGTACTGCTATAGCTGGCCTGGCTCTTGTTCAGAATGTCCTCCCAAACATCGAACTTGTCAGTAAAGCATGTCTTCAAACGCAATATTCCGTCTTCCCGAAGATCTTCAATCTGGTATTTCTGAGCTAGACCAACCAGAGCTGCTACTTCCGCTAACTCCAGCTGCTCTTCGCGTCTTTTGAGATAATATCTTCAAGGAGGCTCTTAGCATATGTCGGGAAACACATGCGCCGATGAGCCAGACTCACTTTCTTCCGTCGTAGAGAACACGAAGTAAATATCGCAAGTCTATCGGAGAATCAGACAGACAGATGACAGGGCAGCCGAATCGTTTCTCCTCGTTCTCAGGTTGTGGCACACTGAACAGATCCCTGAACACTTCGGAGTGTCGCGATACCACTCCTTGATGTACACGGAACGACGTCTCCCCTGAGACGAGAATGACATTCCCGTCTGTAAACCAAAATTCTTCATCTTCACATACATGGGGGACCTCTGGTCTTGAATCTTCATTCGAGCATCCACTCTCAACACTCTCAGCGGAGAGCATTTGGCGTGAGCACCTTCGATGATGACCGTCAGCAAGCGTCCAATGTTCAGTTCTTCCTAGGGTCGTTCGTTGGAATACTCACAATTCTACTATTGAGCGTAAGGCGTATATGCAGGGTACCGCACGTCGACGTAGCGGTTGGACTGGCTATACCTAGGCTATAAGTTTAGAGATCTCAGATCAAACGAACGGGCGCTTATATATCAATTCTCACGAATGTTCCCTCTGCATATGTGTACAGTTGCGGACAATCAAACACGGTAAATTTGATAGCGCCTGAACTAGATTTTTCTGAGACAAATGGACTTCAGATTCAGACTCAGGGAGGTCTAAAACCCCCAAAAATGCACTCAGATAGTTTTTCCCACGAGGTTTTTGGATGGCCAAATTTTTGGGCGATTTTTTTGACACTTATAGGCCACTTTGCGGTCGTACTGAGCACTATTGGCCACCCGCTAGTCACCCGCAACCTCTGATTCATTCAAACGTTGCAAATCCACCCAAAATTCACCCAACCAGCTTCTGTAAGGGTTCCTACTGCTACTTACACATTTGTTCTCACGCCACATGTTTGAGGCGTTCTCACATGTTCGCGCAGATTTCAGCTGAAACTGCCTCCGGCACGAAGCCGCTCATCATAGCTAGATTGGCAATGGTCAGAATGCTATCTAAGAGTGTTTGAGAGTAAATTTAAATGACAAATTCCATATTCTAGGTGCACTTTGTGCATTTTCTATGGCCATATTTTTGCATGTATATTTTTGATCTGTTTGTGGCATCATCCCCTACTCATTGAAAGGAGTCGATTGCATATTTTTTCGTATTTTTATCTAATTAATTATGGGGTTGGCCAAAATTTTGGGTCCAAAACAGGAAATAATAAGAATTAGTGAAATCGGCTCGTGCAAATCGAGTCTCTGAGTCATAAGCATCACATTTGTGCAGTTTCCGAAAGTTTCCGGCACTCTCCGGACTCTACATAATTGGACTAAAATAGTTACCGCGTTTGATTGTCCGCAACTGTAGTCTCCCACTGACTTAGGCAGACTGACACTCTGCTTCAACCTGCGTTCCTCAGGATATCCGTGTCTGCATATATGGAGTCTATGGTGGTTCCACCTGATGCGAAGTTTGAAATTGCGTTGTCAATGGCCTCCGACAGCCACCACCCGAGCTATGCCTCCAGATGTTTGTCAATGGCCACACCAAAACTTCGTGACGACAAAGCAATATCTATCGCGACATTGCGGAATCTTACCTTAACTTCCTAGACTTTTTTCCCGCTCGCCCCACGGCCAGCCTTACCTTTTCGCAACGTTAACTTTCCTAACTTGACGTGCTAATTACAATCCACCGGTCTCTGGAGAAAGCTCAATATGACGAGACAATGAAGTTTGTCTGTCAGGAGAAGGTGCCTTCGGAGGAATGGAAGAGTGTTACACCTCCTCCACACTCATTCATCCATCTCGTCCCTCTAGCAAGCTCTATTTCTCTCAGAAGGACGCCCTTCGCTATCAACCCACCATCACTCGAGGTGTTGTTTAACCCCGTTTTGCCTAGAGCATCAAATCTGAAGCACCTCGACCTCTCCCACACATTACTAACCACTCGGTGTCTGACAAACCTATATGTGCGTGCGGCTGCAGGATTGAATTCTGTCAAGTTTAGTCTGTCGCCTTCTCCAAGATGCTCCCGACCATCCGTTTGTCTCTGTCGCCACCATGCCGCAGCCCAGTTGTCAACTTTGCGTTTCTGCATTCCGAACGCACTCAAACCTTCTCGCTTCGGGTTCAATGGCGCTCGGTAGACCGCACATGTACCACTTTCATTCAATCAACTCTGTTCGCGAGGATCGTTTACGCGAATGCGGGTTCTGAAAACCGTATTCTTCCGAATGTCTCTTCAGAGCACTGGAGTGTCTTTCTAGCGCCGCACTCGGGGAGCGTTCCCGTCGTAACGTCGATACTACCGTTCTCCTGCTTCCTCCGGCACGCACTCTATACTGACAACATGCTACGTTTCTTTTCAGGCGATGCGTGTGTTCGCGCAGGACCAGCCCCACATGCGCCAATTACTCATGCGCGATACCGCAGATTATTTAGAGATTCCATCGTTGGTGGAAGTCACAGAACAACCGCGAGCTGTCCCCAGATTGTGTATTCAGCTGGAGGTGCTGGATATGGACCTCTCGCATTAGACCCCATTCTTCGTTGCTGAGATGATGCGGTCGTGTTACCGAGCGCAGAGAGGTTTCTCCACCTCCGAAAGTGCGCAGCAGTATGCAAGACCGGGGCGCTGAGTGTGCATGCCCCATTACCTATTGGCGGAACACTATCTATATCGGTGAAGTTTTCGCGACGATAAACCTTCACCCTATTTTTTAACCTTAACCGGTATTTAGAAATTAACCTCTGCCTTGAAGGCCCTGCATCCGCCTGACCTGGAATGTCTTTGGATATCTAGGATAATCGAACAAGCTGACGTCAATGAGTTGCGCACAACTGTGCAATGAACGTCCGCGAGTGTTAATGCTGCGAAGTCCGGGGTTCCCGGAGCCATGTCCACCACGGAGGAAATCGCGGTTTTTTGTGCGGTGGCGGGAAGACTGCTGCACCCGTCAGACACGATGTCCTTAGATGATCGGCGCAACGAGATTCTGTCAGCTCGTTGATCCATTTATGCGGCTGGAGTATGCTTTCTTCAATTCTGACATACTCCAAATCTTGATACATGTGGCCGTTGTTGATACTTCGAACGAATTCATTACACTCTTGACCGTTCGTATGGCGAGCAGCTCCGTAAGGATATAGGGTATCTGTGTATGACATTACACCAGGCTAAGGTACTTTACACGACGCGGTCCAATACATACGAACAAGTGATAAAATCGTGCAGTTGACTGTAAATAAACACGCCGCAATGAGCGGTCCTTCCACATCGCTTCCCCTTTTCCTATCCCTTGACACCCCACCCCAGCAGCTCGAACACTATGGGGATGCCCCCACACGACATCAGAGCTATGCCGCAATACACGAACACTTTCGTCAGCACTAAGATCCAACGCCCTCATCAGCGCTTGATCTCACAGCACTAACATGCGCACTTACCATCAGCGTCGTAGTGCTTGACCACCGCGTCGACCTTTCCGCCAGACTCCTCCAACTCTAACCCCGTCTTGTCTTTCGAATCTATCCCCTTCTCCGATATTTTCACGCGCGCATTCCGGAGCTTCACTGCGCTCTTACTGTGCCCGTATGCGTTCCCGTACCTCCGCCCGCTCGCGCCACCTTCGTCGTGCTGCAGCTCCATCATGTGCGGGAGGTCGATGACGGACGGGATCGGGCGTAGACCCTTCTCGGGCGGCATCGTCGTGTAGTCCGTCGCGGGCGTGTAGAAGCGCCGGTGGGGAAGCGTGAACAAGTGCGAGAGCAGCCGGAATATCGGCGGCAAGATCATGTGAAATAGCGCCTTCGCGAAGATGCGCCAGGCGAAGATGGTCAGGATGCCTGAAAGTGCATGTCAGTACGATGTTGGGAAATTCTGAGCGAAGCAGGCATGTACCAGTGACCAGCTTGAGGGCCGCGATCGCGAACCATGTCGTGACGTCCAACCAGGTTGCCCATGAGCTCCCCCGCATGACGATCTTGAAGAAGTCCCCATCGAAGCCGTTGTGGCGCATCCACCAGCGCACGAGGATCTCACCCATGACCACGGAGATGAACGCGATCGCGTCTTCGAAGCACGGGCAGTCGTCCACGGGCTGCGGGTGCCAGTGCACGAGCAGCAGGCACAGCGGGATCGTCACGCAGGGAACTGTGAACGTAGCAGTCAGTGTTGCCGCAGAAATCGAGAATCACAAAATTCACCAGGCCAGCCGTTATTCGTGATCAGTGCGTCAAGGTGCGCACCGAAAACTACATCGATGCCATATACGAACACGCCCATGATGACGCCGACGGTGCAGTCCGTGAACGAATGCATGCCCGTATAAAGCCGGCCATACACGATAGAGAAGACGTAGACGAGCAGCACAAAGGAAAGCACATAATACGTCATCGAGGACACGACGGTCTCCTCTGCCTGCGTCAGTATGTCTGCGATAACTTCAGTCGCATTTTGTGTTAGTTCTGCGCCATTCACGAATGCCGGGCTCGAGGGAAGTACAGGCGTAACGTAGAGCTCGCGCAGCACAGAGAAAAACATGAGCGCAATGGATACGCTGTTTGTGCAATGCGTCGAGGGAAACCCGTATTCCAGATGGTGATTGCCGAGCACTGTAACATCAGCAGGTCAGATCGTCCCACCGAAACTCCATGAAATCCAACACTACGACCGACCAACGCAAAAAAGTGAACTTACTGAGTCGCGTCACTGGCGGTGCGTATGGCCTCGGGGAGCACATGAGATCTTTGATGAAGGACGTGGTGTAGACACCAAGAGCCAGCACCATGATCAACCTGAAAAAATATTTCAAGTATAACTAATCAGTAAGGCACTCGGGAAGAAGCAGCACGCAGGAACAAGATGCAGCTTTTGGGAGGATCGTTCCGCGCGGTCTCATGCCTAACGCGCTGGTGACCGATAATGATGGGTTTTGTGCTCAGATACCGTCCTAACGGACATCCCAAACCAGAAAAACAAAGCGATGTTCGCGAGAAGTCAAAAAGGCGAGAGAGCGAACTTCTGACTTTCCAACAAATGACAACCATGTCATCAACTGGAACATCAACAGAAGAACAGAACGACAGAGTGGTGCTGGCCACACACTCCGCTAGCCGGAGAGCTCAGTGGATATTAATGCTTGCCGGAAAATCTACCGGCCAGAAGATGCAACCAGGATAGCGAATGACTAGACAGCCGACGAGGTTTTGCGGCTATGTCTTTTCCTCCAACGAGTTGAGTGAGGGTCATAAATAGAGCCAGACGCACCGTCTCCCGAAGTCCATATGCCCAAAGAAAAACAAGGCAGGGATCATAATCATGAAGAACGTATGCGTGCCGAGCGAAGACGTGTAGACAAAATACACATCGAGTATAGGATGTCGAACATATTCCTGCCGTTCAAGTATACCGTCAGCAGCACAGCGAGTGCACAGAAAATGACAACGCACTTGCATCTTGCTCAACACCCGGGTCTCCCACTGCACGGTGTTGTTCAGCGATTTGCGGATCGCGTTCCGCCAGGTGCTAAGCGTTCTTTCGTAGACATCCTCCGGCAGTCGCCCCGCAGCCCCCTGCACCAGAAGTGGTTCGGTCTCTCCGGCGGGCTCGTTCTCTGGGCGTGCCTTCTCATTCCAGAGGGTGTTTGCGCCATGATGATGTGAATCGTTTGACGTGTGCTCTGTCAACGGGGATTTCTCATTCAGCGTGATGTCCTCCGCTGTCTCCGCTGTGTTCGTGACCGCCATCAAGAAAAGTAGAGCACAATTTTTGACAGCGCGGATAAGACAGGCGAGTGGGGGTGTGGAGACAGGGGTGAAGTGGAGGCCGTTGTGATGGCACCGGTGATGCGAGGTAGGATGACCAAATCAAATGACAGTTTCAGCTATTACCGTACCACATTTCACGCTCGACGCTTAGGCTTCCATCAACCTTTCAAACCCTCAATTATGATAAGAATGTGCATTGGAATAAGATGCACATCGTACTGTAAGTAGACAGGGGGGATCTACACCAAACGCGTCCCTATAATAATTGGCGGACCATAAACAACCACGCACCGCTATGGATCTGCAGCAACACTGCCATCGTGCATTACAGAAACGACTCAACATAAATTCGGAGCGTTCGGAAAGCGAAGTGACTGTATTGGACTTTGTCGCTCGACGCTATGATTAAATTGAGAAGAGATCACCGAACAAATTATCTGCGGAGAAAACAATCAGCAAACGAGTTCATACGAGGAGCTGCGATGAAGTGACGCCTCAGAAAAAAAAGTTGTCCTTCACGAGTGAATCGGACATATGCTTGTAAAATTTATAGTAGAATCATCGGCGAAGGAATGGAGGAAGGGAATACCCACCTCAACTTCAATACGCACCCAAACTCAGGTGAAATGCGCCCTACAGCGGAGTGCGTCAGTGTAACAGTTGGCGCCGTTACGTGGTGAATGATTGTAATTTCTTCAGGGAATGGTGCACGCTACCACAGGGCACATGCAAGCATCGGCTTGTTGCCCGCAAACGCGTCTCGTCAGAAGGATCATACAGATACACGCACTCATCTGCCCAAATTTTCGACATATGAAGCAATCGCCACGAAAGGGGCACATCGCTGAATAAGAAAGAGTAGTTAGCAATGAGAAGTACGAAGAAGAAAAGTAAAAAGTGGAAAGTAGATGCTCCGTTGGTGATGCATGTTAGTGAGTACGGCTCAGGAAATCGCCACTCGTATGTATGGTTAACTATCTTCACAGCAAAGAAAATGATGAGATCGTACACTTACTTACATTCAGACAAATCTGCATGCTAAGCACTCCGTGCTTTTGCGTCGTGGATTCCAGAGAGGAGGATCATGCGATTATAACTCCGCTGCAATTCCCTGCAAGCCGTAAGGCGGAGTTCAGCGGAGTTTGCCAGCTGTACAGTTAAGAAGACGCCCAGCTCAAGCCCCAACTGCCGACTTTCGCTGGACTTCCAAGCACCATATTCAACGGTGAGTTCACTTTGTCTTTCTACTGATAGAATGCTTTCTGTGTTTCTATGATGAATCTCACTATTCAGTTCTGCTTCCGAACGGAGACGATCTCCTTGGGGATAACTTCTATACCAAAACTCTCAATCCTGACTCTTCCCTCACTTCTTTGCGTCCCCGTTTTCGTCACGATACGATTGCTGATGATCGCACTAGTTTATAGGCGGTCTGATGGAGTGCCCGTGTCCGCGTTAAAATACAGGTGAGTTGGGAGTTGTTACTACTGTCTGGGACGAAAACAAGTTCATCCATTCTTTGAATGTCTTTTCGCACATCCCGGTCTGGCCCTCTTCGTGCCGCTTGTCAGTGCGCAGGGTGTGCCTGCGTTCATCGTCTTGGTGTACGTGGGCCGGGCAGGTTGGGATCCATGTGCGGAAGGAAAATGAAAATATCGGCTTCTCTGATTCCTTTCCACGATATTGCACCCCCCTTCCCCAGTTGACTGATCATCATCTACAGGTGAACCTTCTTCACTCGGCTGATGTATCTATCCCCATATGATGGAATGGATAGTTGGAGCACTAGAGATTTGCCTTTAGGAAGGTCTTGCTCTGCTTGTAATATATCTGAGTGGATACACCTCGGTATGTTCATTCGGCCTATGTATGAGTTGGGATTACGCATGGAGTTCGGAGTAGGTGCATGCTCTTAGATCTTTACGATCATTCGTTCAAGAAGGATCTTTCATAGCTTTGGGAGGGGTTGTTGAAGCGGAACGTTGTTGTGAGCGGGCACACCGCTCCGATGATAGGTCATTCTGCATCTGTTTACGACTCTCCAATCCGCGCCCGTTACCCTTCTTTCCCAATCTCGCCCATTGGCCTGCTCAATCTGGGCATAAAGACCGACGCCGCTCAAGGCTATGAGTGCTGGAGAGGAAGTGCGGCGTTCTCGCCGCGCAGGCGCTCCTAGACCAGGTCGGAGAGCCCTTAAGGCAGTGTTTTTCTATTCACGGGGACCAATGATAATACATCTTCGGTGACAGACGTGGCACGTATAGTAGGAACAATGCCGAACAGGTATCAAATTGGAAGGTATGCAATGTCGGGAGTTCGGATGCGAGCGATGTGGGTATGTGTGCAGAATTACATCAAGTAGGGCCTCGACGATATCACCAACCGCCAATTCTGATGATTGGCGGTCGAAGCAGCATGCTTATTCCTCTTCCGCTCCTTTTGAATTTTCTGCAGTTTTCTGCCTCCTTCCAGAATACCTCCCACAGCAGTCCCGACCACGGTCTTTGCCGTACTGAGGATCAAGCCGTTATCGTCAGTGTCGCTGTCGCTGTCCCCATCGGAGTTGAGCATCTGCTCCCCATCAGTCTTGAGCATGTCTACTGGGAGCGTATCAGCTCCTGAGTAGACATATCGGCCCTGGGCCAGCACAACCAGCATGCGGCGAGGGTAAAAGAAATGCTGTGCAGAATGAGAATGAGTGACAAGCAAAAAAATCGAAAGTAGACATACGCGATTCCAATGATCAAGAACCTCGCCGACAGGACCAGTTCGCCGGCTCTTCATATGGGCTTCCACACCCTTCTTCACTAGAAATTCTGGCCATTGAAGCGCGATAAAATGATGATCCCTGGACACAAGACATTATAGTCACTCACCAATTGGAGATAGCGAACCCAGAGGCATCCTGAGACTCATCGCTGCTGGCACCATACCTGCCACGAGCCGGTTTACGGGCGATGATTTCGCTACAGCCTTCACGTCGTCGAGAAAATGTGTCCAATCTTCTTGGTTCACATCGTGCGTAACAAAGAGGTGGGGATCGCAGGAGGAAAACGGTGGTACGTGTGGGAATCCTTTCTCGAGCTTGCTGCTATATCCGAACAGTGCCGTCGTTTCAAACGGCGTGTAAGGAAGATACGCCGGCGGCGTCCGATAGAAGGACTGTGGAGGAGGACTAAATAGTTGCGAAACGCTCGCGCTGGGCGAGAAGCCTCGCAACTTGCTGGATCCGGAGATGCTTGATGTATCGCCTGTCTCGGACGAAGAAGGGGCGTACGCCGAGCTCGCGATGCATACGGTACTAGAGCCGTCCAGAGAATCTGTTGTGCTTAGGGAACTTTGAGCGGAGGTCTGTCTGGTAACAGAGGCGTATTGGTATGATGTCGAGAATGAAGAGCTGCTGGGCTGGGGGTACGCAGAACTAGATTGCGACGAGCCTTCATCGAAGTGTGTAAAATGGTAAAAACCGTACGTGGTGACATTGCTGGGCGATGCTTGGATAGAATCATTGTACGATGGTGGGGGTGGTCCTGCCGGTTCGTTGTCGTGCCCCCAGATTATGGGCTGAGGAGCAAGTGCCGCATGGCCGCCAGAAGACGGCACCACTTTCTCGGGAGAGTATTCCGCGGCCGGGCTTCGATCGAGTATCATGGTTAGCTCAGACTTTGTTCAGAGAGATGCAAAGGAACTGACCCAGATGGCTACGCATTTATACATCCCGGGTGTGAAATGGGGTAGCGCCTATCGCCTTCGGCGCTCGCCTGTGTTCAACGCCCGAGCACCGCCCGAGCCACGGGTACCGTATGTTGATGCATATCACCGGCGCACCGTTGCTAACTTCGCGTCAATGATAGTCACCTAGAACTCTTGCTCAGGGATCGCATGCGGCGCGGAATGAGTTGGGACGTTTGAAAGACACAGATACAGTATGTCTCATCCGTACTGAACATTCTTTGTAGAAGATGTATTACCCGTTACCTATAGCGCCGCGTTTTATGGATCATGGTCATCCAGAGGGAACCTAGGCCGACGTGACATGAGTGTAAGCATGATACAGTGCCGGAGAACGTACTCGGGTATGGGTAGACGATGAAGTATGTATACATAGGATTAATTACAACTGAAGACATGTGGATAATAAGGTAATAACGGATGTCGCTACTTAGCTGGCGTTTGGAGGATATTGATTGATGCACGGCTTTTATAAGAGCGTTCAAGTTCGCACGCACTGGCAACAGGCAACGAACATCTTACGCAACCATGTCAGGGCTCCAGTGCCGATTTCTCCGTAAATGCGGGTGAAGATTATCATACAGTACCTCAACGAAAGTACAAGGACAAGATGTCGAAACTGCGAAGACATTAGTCCGCCCAGACATACACGCCAGTGCAAGTCACTACCTACTGCTCAATAACCTCTGTTCCTGCTCTAAACACCTCGACTTGGAGGAACCATAGGGCTTGACCGCCCCGAGTCTGTCGCACCGTTACCATTTCTGGTGCTCGGCCCGGCGACTTGCTCAGCTAGCTTGACCAGCTCCTGGTCCTGAACAGACTTGACATCCACTGCCTCCTTGATGAGAGACATGGTGCTTTCCAAACTTCTCCGGCGGGTACTCGGGCTGGTCATCGTTGTGCCCAAACTTGCCTGTCGGCCATGGCCGCGTCTGAACGGTGTAACAGGTATTGAGGACGTCGGGGACGTCGGAGACGAGGGAGAAGAAGCTGCAGCCGCTGTGTTGATGGATGGAGTGACTGCCCCTCTGACAATCGCTTGCTCGAGCGCTGCCGCGACGCCATTGGCGGATGGCGGAGATTCCGCGCCCTCTGCCGGGGTCGACGGTCCGGAAGACAATATTGCCTTGCCTTCTTGTGAATCTGCATCGAATAGCTCGGGAGGAAGGCGCTCGTTCTCGATATCGGACTTTCGGCTGCGGTTATACGTCAATCAAGGGTAACCAAATATTCGTGCAGACGACGTACGCATCCTCGAAACCAGAGATGGCATCCTTGATGCCTTCCGCGCCCAACGCCAATGTGCCGTACGGCAATCTCGCTGAACCTGATACGCTTTTGAGTTCAGATACTCTCTCAGACTCCTCACTGTGAACGACCGTCAGTGGGAGTATGATCCAGTGCAGACAGTGGACAAACCGAAGCAATGCAAATACGCGGGCTATGCGACCAACAGCGAGGATCTTGTTTTTGATGACTTTGCGCCGCTCGAGCGACTCGTCGGTATGTGCTGCAGGAGAGATCGTCTCTTCGTCTGAACTTTCTTCCAGCTCTTCCTTGGTGCAGCAGTTGAGCATGGCGAGGAGCATGTCGGTGACTTGCAGCACAATTTCGGATCAACGATTTCGAAATAGCTCGCGTGAACACTCACTCTTCTCTCCGACGAATGGTAGACTCCATGTGAACGCGTCCATGAAGTTAGGTAACCAGTATGGATGAGGCGTTGCGTTGAACTGCCGAATATTCAGCACGTTACTTTCATACTTCAGGATGGCGGCCTTGTTATTGTAGACGTCAAGGTAGTTAGGTGCAGAGAATAGGGTCATGACAGACGGGAAACCGGTCGTCCGCGTCTTGCGGTACATCCGGTAGCTGATAACTACGATGAGGGGGCAGTCAGAATCCAACAATAAATAGGACAAACCCCGCATCCTGTGCCTCATGGGCGCGAATGATGGACAGAAGTTTGTTGCGCTCGAGGAATTGGCATGCCGCTTGATAACTATCGGACATTCACCGTCAATTTCTTGAGGGGGTGAAAATAAATCCGTTACTAACGTGAAGAAATAAGAACAGCCTCGCACATGATTGTGCACAAAACTGTCTGGAATTTTCTCCTGGCCAAAGTCTTCCACCGGATCAGACCAGAGAATGTCGCACATGAGACCTTGCGTCGGTGGCTCTCGGAATCGGTCAATCTGCTGGGACGTTCACATGAGTTATAACGTGTGATGAGGACGTCACGAACGCTGCGGATATCGTCCAAGGTCTGCAATTCCGGTGACAGGCCGCCGTGAATGCAGAAGAATTGCTTGTTCATGATCGCTGCCAGCGGGAGCGCGCAGAATGACTGCATAGTTGCATCGTAGATGCGATCCGAGTACTTGCGCTTGCCTATGTCATGTACATTAAATTGACTGGCTTGCTCGACGGCCGTATGGAAGACACGCACATTCCAGCTTGAAGGTGAAGTAATCTGTCAGATGTCGACATTCGTGATTGCCGCGGAGGAGGAAAAGGGTATCAGGGTACCACATCTTCAGGGACCAGAGATACAAGACACACTGCCGAATCGTGTTAGACCGTCATCATTTGATTTTATGAAGGGGTCACCTCGATGCTGAAGTAACCTCTGTCCACATAGTCCCCCAAGAAAAGGTATCGCGTATTTGCAGGACTGCCGCCTATTTCGAAGAGTTTCATCAAGTCATACTAGAGGATGGTTTTCTGTCAGCGACGAAGGCAGAATGTGACGACATTTCCAGGGAAACTCACATATTGACCATGTATATCACCACAAACTACGTGGTATATGCAGATACACGAATAGAGCCATATCGGTTGAGATTGCGCCATTAAGACAAAAAGTGGGAGCCCTCACCTGTAACGGGCGCATCGACATACAGCAGATTGGGTTCGGCCCGCAACAACTCCGTTCCCTTCTCCAACACATAAAGCGCATGTTCTTCGGATACCCGCCCCTCGCGATAGAAATGGTTCTTCAGAAACGCGATGTCCGGCTTCGTTGGGTCTTCACGGGAGAAGAATTGCGCATCCGTTGGTATTGACATAGCAGGCGCTTGTACCTGCAACATCATGAGCGAGCTATTCCAATATGATCAGACGATAGACAGGTAAAGCGCACCTCTTTCACTACCCGCTCTTGTGTGCTAATCATGAAGCCGTTGTCGAGCTGGTGCTGGGTGAAGTCAATCTCGGGGACCGGCCCCTTGTATTGAATTTGCCCAATGGCCTTTTCAATCTGGCCTCGGGTGCCGCTCATGGTCGTGAGTGTTGCTGCTGTTGGTCAGAGGGGCAGATAGCAAGAGGTGACAAGGGCAGTACAAGTGCACTGCGGCGAGCGCTGAATCAAGCACAGGTGCTGTTGCAGAAGCGATTGGAACATCCTTTCGGAGTTCAAATCGAAGGTTAGAACTGCTTGGAACGCTTATTACAGTCATTACCCTCCACCACTAGTTTATACACTTTTGTTGCGGGGCGTACATACTATCAGTGGCCCTGCAACGCAATCGGTACAGTAATGCAATTGCATTAACTGTGTCACTTCCTCCCTCCCTAAAATCACAAATAAATCATCTTTAATATTCTTCTACTTGCCGAACAGGGCTGTGAATTTTGATAATGACTGCGGGCAGCGGGAATGAAATGATAGGTGAATCAGTGCTCAGCAGAGCAGATTGCACTTCAAAGCTTCAGCTTCGGCAGGCCTTCCCTTCCATCAAATCACGAAAAAAATATATGGCACTTTCGGTAGTATCTGAATGCTCTATAAATTTTCCGATACAAAACTCTGTGAGGATGGAATTCGGGGGACAAGAAACTCTCGAGAGGCGCCAAAATGGTATGTACATGTCATACGTGTCCTTTTAGACTGGACTTCCATTTTTGGTCGCCTGATCACCCATTTATACACACATATTCAGACAATATCTCCCTCAAATTCTCATCAATACTTTCAATACTTGGTCTAATGTGAGTCCTTCAAACATGTATGAAATTTTGTACCTAGTCAAAATTTCAACCTTGGCTTGCGGAGAAGCATGGGAATTAGCTTTTATTTTTGGTGTATAACCGAGCGGGTGATGACTTTAGCTATAGGGCAGTAAGAACGTTCTACAACGCGCGTGGTCTATTAGCATTGCCTACACTAGCGCAACAAATACATAGCAGACACTCCTAATGCATCCGCGGCGGTCAAAGATACCACATCTTCCCTGGGGTCTCACCACGGATCATGAGCCAAAATAGATTGGCAGTACATGTTTTGCGATATTGAAGCCCAAGAGGGACACAATATATCCCGTGAATAGAGGCAGCAATGGCGCCAAGAGCAGTTGTGAATGGGCGAGGAACGGTAAGGCTAGGGAAAAACCGCGTGAGCTGAGGAAAATGGCACTGACAGCAACAGCATTACCACTGAGCCCCAGGTAGACACCATAAATATACTGCGCAAACCTGTGACCGAGTGTGAGTGTTGATCTAGCCTGGAGACGGATATACTCACGCTGCTAGGTATAGCGTATTAGAAACGAAGAGACAGACCCAGTTGCTCTTAAGAACGATCGGCACAAGAAAGAGTTGCGCAAAGTACAGAGTGAGATAGAGCGGGAAGAATGCATTCGTGTGAACATCGAATGCATATGCCCATTCTACCGCAGAATCTGCAGGCGTCGAATGCGATGGTGGAGACAACAGAAGACGATTCGACAAGAACCTGCCGAAGATGCGAATGAATCAAACATGTTTGATGCACAGAAAGCCAGGACAGCCAAGGCACATACCATAGTACTGTCGCCACGGCGACTCCGACAAGCAGGTAATCTCGGAAAATCATCAGAAACGCCAATCGGATAGCTTGGAGCGGGGTGTAAGAGTACACCACAGACCATGCAATGGCAGATACTACATTCACGCGTTCATGATTCTGTCATGAGTTCCTTCCCGCATTGGGCAAGACGTACCAAAGAGACACGCAGCGAGTAGGATCAAGATGGCAGGGTCATCTCTCGCCCACGTATTCTTGGTCTCTGCCGAATATGTTGCAGCAGACAATCATGCGAGTCAAGAAATGAGCGTACGTTTATGGAAATAGACATTCCTGTAGCTATCACCACCACGATAAATACACCAGACTGTCATGCTAGGATAAACAGGTGCTCACACTCTTTTGGGAGCCAAACATAAGTACGTCAACTGCCAGGCTGCCAGTTCGAAGTCCTACTTTCCACCAGTTACAGAGCCTCCTTTATACCAGAGCAAAAATCCCCAGGCCTACCATTTGCTGGAATCGCAGCAGCCGTCTGAATATGACCGGTACTCGGGTCGACGCAGGTTGTGCAGGTCTCGACGATCCATTCACGTATGGAGAGGTCGGCGAGCTCATGGGTAGAATAGACATGTCCTCGGCTGACCCGAGGCGGAATGTGGACGCCAACGAGAGCGACGAAGACGATATACTCATGGCCGTACAGTAGTACCACGTGGCACGTGCTATATGATGGCGGAAGGTGAACATTTTGGTCGGAGTCTCGCATTCTTCCCTTCGTTCACTCGTGTCGTTAGACGCCAACCTACTCAAAGCCTTACGACCACCCAGCAATGATGGAAGAAGAGTCTGAGGTCCTCGACTGGGGCAATGAGGACGACGAGTCTCAAATTGTTCAGCAGAGGGCTTCTGCGGACGGGGATGATACCTGGCGCGACCCCGAGGACGCAGAGGCCGAAGATGCTGTGTCTTTGGGTGGCGACGAGGACGACTTGCAGGATTATTATGCTTATCAGACCACAGAACAAGACGACACAAAGGGTAAGACACCTGCACCCAAGTCTTCGTCTCTCTCGCAGTTGCAGCAGCAGAAGCGCGACTACCAGCGCGAACAGTCTGGCAGCTCTCAAAAACAGCCGCCACCCCCCCAATCCTCTGATTCTCCCAATGTCCGACCCACTCAATCTCACAACAAATTCACGCATGCTCTTCCGCCCAAACCTGTGGTTTCTGTCGCTCCCTTCGTCCATCCTTCGCCAGCGCAAACAAGCACTCTGGCGAGTTCCATGGTACAAAGAGAACGAAGATCCAATGGATTAGGGAAGTCTACCTCTGGTGGCGACGACGTTCTGCCACCAGATTGGGAGGTCAGGTACTCTCGCAATGGTAGTCGCGATGCCTACTACTACAATATCAAGACCCACGAGTCGACGTGGACTCAACCAAGTTTGGTGAGCGGTAGAGCCTCTCCTTCGAAAGATAGAGAGAATGGCGCCACACCTGTGTTGGAGGCAAGTCCGCTTGATGGTGAAGTGCCTGGACGGTTCGACTCCGCTGAGAGGGGCTCGTCGTCTCGTCATGGTCGGAAGGATACGAAGCGCAAGGCTTCACCTTCTGCTGCTCTGTCATATGAGGACCGTCATTATCGTCCCGGGGGATCGTCTCATCCCAGTACGAACGTGGACTCCAGCGAGAGGAAGGACGACCGCGGCGTTTATGGTGCATCGCCGCACCGCGAAGCGTCTTACTCCATACCATCGCCAAGAATCGATGAACGCCGAAGATCACGGTCCACCACACCTCCTCGTCGGGAACATCATGCTCAAGACAGGTCTACTCGTTCCCGTAGAGAGGGGACCCCTCCTAGGATGCCTGCGGACCATTATACGTGGAGGGAGAGTCACCGGGATATTCCGTCCCCTCAATATCTTTCCGAACGCGATCGGATTCCACCTCGGCCTTCAGCATCTTTCGAGCCCCTGCCAGTTCAAATCCCTGACGGTCGTCCTCGCGGTCATCCTCAGCAAACGGATGTCGATTCACTTTCCGTTCGCCACAATCGTGATGAGTGGCCGGCTCCAAGTACGTTATTATCCTACCTCATCTCCCGCACCCGGCGTCTGCACTCCTCCCTTGGTGGAGGGCGTGTGTTACACATTCGTCTCGAGAAGCCTCGGGAGTCGAGTGGCGCTACCCCTACCCTTTCTTTCCTCGGCCTCTTCTCGTGCTCGACACCAGGACGCTCATCATGGAACCCTCTATTTTTTCCCCTTCTTACTGCTCTCTTTTACGTCTCTTCTCCCCTTTAATCATTTTTCCCATTTCAACTTGCAGGGAACAGGTCACCGCCGCCGCATTTGCGCGAAGCTTCGCCCAATTTGCGAAGGATACCGGAAGGACCTATATTGGCACATTCACCAGCAATAGCGCCCTCAGTATCTGTGGGCTCGAGGTTAAAATCAAAATTCGACAGCCCTGCCAATGTGCCTGCACCACCGCTTGCGAGAGACCTTTCGCGGGAACACAATGTCTACCTTCCGGCAGACTCCGTTCCTCAAAGAAGGGGTAGAGATGTGGAAATTTCAGATACCGGCCCAGATTTTGAGCCCAAGCGACGACGTGTGGACAATAGAATGGCTGACTTTCATCGAGTCTCTGCTGCAGATACGCACCACGTGTCTGGCTTGCCACAACGGCCCGAGCATGCACCGTTTACTTCTCCTGTTGCACAGAGCGATCAGTCACGTACGTACCACTTCTTCGCCTTCGACTATCGTTCATCCACCGACTGTGTCCACTGGCGTCTCGTTGCTTCGCGCAGGTTCTCGGAAAAGGCCGCCTTTACCACCCCAGAGCACTCGATTTGCAGAAGCCTCACGCCCAGTTCCCCCGCCACCTTCCAATCCCGAGTCTACTCAAGGCGGACCACCTTATCCACCGCTTCGTCAAGTTTACGATGGTGGTGCGCCGCGGAGATATACTGACGTTTCTAGTGAGATGCCGCCGCCTCGCCGCCCACCTCCGGTGCAACCTACCCGCGATGTTGAGCCTGAAGGAAATATGCGCGCGCCACCAACGCGCCCATCGGGCAGGTCATCGACCCGCTTTGACAATACAACGGTCGTTCCACGGGAACCGCGGGACTTCGTCGCGCCTCCAGAGCGAGCTCCAGCTGACATTGATCACGCCCGAGGCAGAATGACGGCTCTTCGAATCCAGGATGGCACTAGAGCTAACATGGGCATGCACGCTGACCGTTTGGGAGTAGATGTGCAGATGGACGCGCCTCCTAGGGGCCCGAGGGCCATGGCAAGCAAAGGCAGCGCGGTCTCTTACGCACCTCCTTCACCGCCCATCATCTCGCCCAAAACTTCTTACTTGAACTTGCGGCCGATGCCACAGGAACCAGCGCCATCAGCTCCTGGCAGGTTCAACTTTCGTTTCTCACAGCAGCTATCGCAGCCGCCGCTTGCAGGTAACGAAGGGTGGGCAGAGCTACGCGAGCGACAGGAACCGCCGTCCAGATACCCTAAGGGTCCTGCGATGAACCGCGATACGCAGCCTCGTAAATTCGACGAACCCAGAAATACTGGGCTCCCACTGCCACCTGACAGACAAACTGGAATGCAAGAAGTTATCGAACCGAAGCATCAGGTTTTTCGCAGTTAGATCCTCTTCATAAGTACTTCCATTCTCACATCAGCTTCGACGCCTATTCAGGACATGCAAGACCGTCGGTTCTCGCGCCGTGATGCAGGTGGCCCGCCTCTACCCGTTTCAGGCACTAATAGCGTACCCATCGGCAACAGGAATGCGTTGCCTGAACCTCCCATAGAGCGCCCGCCAGTGCGTCCTCCCAATGATCGCGGTAGACCGTCGACTACAAGCAACAATGATTCTGCTCGTGGTCGTCCGCCCCATGGAAGTTCTGCGCCGCAAGATGAGTTCGACGAGATGGTAAGTTTTCCACTTTACACGCAGTTTTCGAGTATTTCAGTGACCTTACATCTGTAGCAGGGTCGACGGTATCGTCCTACTCCCGATTCTCCTGTCAGTCACTATCGAATTCCGCCAGTAGTCCCTGAGTCCCCTCAGCGGCGACCTTCGATTGCTTCCGAACCGCGGAGTGATGTCTTGGCGAGTCAAGTTCACACTTGCAACGTTCGGTGTTTCATAGCTGACCTTTCCATCTCAGGTTAAGGAGCGGCCACCTCCGGCAGCTGATACCTATCAAAATTCCACAGTACCAACTCGTCCGCGGATAGATACTTACCGCAACGCAGAGGGCCGTCCTCGTGTGGTATGTGTGGATTGCCATAACCTCGCACTTTGTCTAACAATACCCGCCAGTCACGTTTCGGACCCCAGACAGCCCCAATACCACAGAGTTCTAGTCCTGCTGTGACGGAGCAACCACGAGTCTGGATAACGCGAGAGCAGTCGATGGAGGGTCAGAACCGTCCTCGAGGCGGTGACCAACCAGAAGATTTCCGACCCCCGTCCAATGTTACTCCCTCGAGGATTGAGCCGCCTAGGGAGCTGCCCCGTCGTGAAGAGCCTGCGGGTCCTCCTCGCAGCTTCAACGACGGAGGGAATCAGGGAGGCAGGTTCGACTCTGCCCCTCGGCTAAACGTCGCCAACTCCCCACGAAAGCGTCAGCGCGAGACAACTCCAGAGCGTGGAAGAGACCGTCCCTCACCAGCTGAGACGCGTACACGAGGGCGCCGAACAAGTCTTGAAGGTCGTCTCAGTTCGCATTATGACGAGCATTATGCCGACACTCGGTATGCGCCTCAGGAAGCTCTTCCACCGCCATCTCTACCAGTGCGCCCACCCTCGCGGGACATCTATCCGGAGATGCGCCCTCGTGCTCCATACAATGACCACAGGGACCACCCTCCGCCTTACCGCGAAGAGGCTCCCTTGCGGTGGGACCGTCCAGATCCAGAGAAGGCTCCGGACCAACCAACTGCCCCTGCGAGGCTTCATCCAGATCGCGCACGGCTCATAGATCCTGTCCCAGCCCCGTCTGTTATCGTCGATGTCCCTATGCGGACGTCCAAGCCGGTGCGCATCCGTCGTCCACCCCCTATGTCCGCACAAACTTTGCAGGAGAGTTTCACTCCTCCCATTCCTATGGCCTTGAGAGATCCACCTCCGAGTCACATTCGTGAAGACAAGCGGGGTGGAGACATGATAGAACCGCTGCCTGAACGTAGCACGCGACCATCCGCCAGGCGCGGGGGTTCCCTGCTTGACAGGCTATCGATGGATCATCCTTCGCCTGGTCCTTCGGACGTGATGTCGCCGTCGCTGCGCGAGAGGGTCGAGACGTTGCCGAATAAGCCGGATGACAACATGGGAGGCGTCCCGCCTGACGTCCTCGACATCGACTACGAGATGAATGGCGGCGGAAGTGGAGGGGGGGATGGCAGCGGAAACGGGAACGGAGGGGGGGAATACGCGTATCGTGGGATGGCGAGGGGTGGCAAAAGGCGTGGGATGAAGCCGAAACGAGGAGGGAGGAGAGGAGGCGTGCTGGCTTAAGGACTCGGTGTTCGTATGCATGCCGTGCATCAAAACATCATAATACTCCCTTGTACACGTGTTCAAATTTATCGTCTGCCCCAGGAAGTGCGTCACCAAAGTTTTTGTAACACTCGATCTCTGAAAATATTCGTCCTGCCTCCTCATGTGAAACATCGTAACAAGTATGAGCAGCTTTAGAGACCTTCTGGCGGGTTTTCTGGTTGCTCGCTAGCTTAGAAGCTAGTCAAGGAGAAAACGAGAACAAAACCACAGCACCCAGGATTCCCGCGTGGTCCCCCACCGTGGTACTAACTGGGCGGCACTTCGGTTAACTGCGCAGATCAGACGGGATGCGGTGCTTTCGAAGTCCTATGGCCGTGGATGTACGATAATGTCGTTAATAACATATAAACGGTCAATAAAGGAGTCCTCAAGCCAAACTTATGTATGCAGATTGATCCCGTTAGATATATGCAGGTACATTTTGACGGAATAATTCATGTTCCTCCGAGGCCTCTGCACTGGCCGCGGTGACTCATAATACCTTCCTTTTATCGGTCACACTCTCGCAACTATCACGACAGTATGGCTGCCCTCGGTTCTAGAATATGGTTCTGCCAGTACTGCTCTTCTACTCCCCAAAGGAATGCCGATGTATCACGAGTGGGGCTGATTTCCGCGATTCGATCCTTGTTAACGTTCCATGTTCCAGCGATACTGCATACTCTGTCGAACATGCACCGAAGATTCTGGGATGCAGACGCAATCTCGGTAATAGTCAGTCCGTACTACGGCCAGACGTAACTCGGCTCCTACATTGACAATCTCCTGTCTGAATGAGCTATCCGTCCACAACACGAGTATCTGTGAGTGGTCATCCAGTCTGAATTTGAATATTCTCAACTACTGAAGCGCTGATCGCTGAATTCGCCCATTGATGCACTGAGTGTGATAGCTTCGAAGCCATCGGATGACCTCCAGCCCGTTGCACTTATCTGAAGACGCGTCAATTCTGGCTGGATGGCGCAATCATGATCCATTCGCTCGACTATGGCATGGTACTCCATAAAATGATGGCGGTATTGGCATGTCAGATATACAGTACCCTCTGCACTGCACATTGCTGCAACGTAACCGAGGATGGTGGCGATTCCTGACTCCTTCTTGGGCTCACTCTCCGAGTTCGACTCGTATGACCTGACCACACACATCGGCACTCGCTTCCCCGACAAGGCTGTCCAGCTCTCCCACCTCCTGGCCGCACCCAATGCCGATGAGTACATCAAGGACCTCGCGATCCTCGTTGCGCACCGCGGGGTCGTCTTCTTCACGAATCAGGATATCACTGTGGAGCAGCAGAAGCTGCTCGGGTCGCGGCTCGGGGAGCTCACCGGGAAGCCGAAGACTTCGAAGCTGCACAAGCACCCAATTACTGAAGGGACGTCTGAGCTTGGTACCGAGATTTCTGTTATCTCGTCCCAGGGGTGAGTGGCTTTGCACATGAGTTTAGACGGTAGAGCTGACGGTGTATCAGAGGGATTGCCCGCGCAAATTTGTGGAAGGGCAGACTGGCTAGCAGTGGTTGGCATGCAGATATCACGTTCGAACGGGTTCCGTCGGACTACGCGGTGTGTATCAATCTGGGTATTCGTGATTGGTCGTATGTTGAGTGCGTGCATCTGGATAACAGATCCTGAAAATCCACACCTTGCCGAAAGGTCAGTACACAATACTCGATTGCCTGCCTGTATACTTATTGTCCCGTTGCACAGTTGGTGGTGATACGCTGGTAAGTGCTGCGTAGTCTCCTTCCCAGCAGCGACTAAACTTCAGGAACTACGTCCTAGTGGGCCAGGTAATCATCCTGTCAGCATCACACTCTGTCCGCTCACCTATTTGTTTTTCAGCGGGTACGAGGCGTACGACAGACTCTCGCCAGCATACCAAAAGTTCCTGGAAGGACTCACCGCAGTACACAACGCTGACTTCTTCGTTGAGGTATTTCGCCTGATGCTACTTGCGCCCACGTATGATCCTGATAAGCCTTCAGATCGCAAAGGCATCTGGTATACCGGTCCAGGATCCGCGTGGCTCTCCCGATAACACTGGCAGCGATCTGACAGCGGTGCAGTGAGTCTCACTAGCATTTTTTTATGTACAGTTTCTCATGAGGCCCCTCTTCTGTGATCAGCCCAGTCATCCGGACGAACCCTGTGACGGGTTACAAGGCGCTCTTCGTGAACAAGGGGTGCGCAGTTCTGTAATCAACTGTGCAGCCATAACTGATTGTTGTCGTTCGCAGGTTCACTAAGCGCATCGTCGAGCTGACTCCCGAGGAATCTGACAACGTCCTAGAGTACCTCTTCCGCCACATTGCTGAGAACCACGACTTTCAGGTCGGTGACCCCCATTTTCTGAGTTAGGGCGTGTTCTCACCGAGAGTCTTGCAGGTGAGATACCGCTGGCAGCAGAATGACGTTGCGATCTGGGACAACAGGTCCAACTTCCATACCGCGACGTGAGTGCCGTCCTTCTGTGGCCACGTCTGTAGAAGTGGAACTCACCCGATGATCTGCGCAGGTTCGATTACGAAGGAAAGCGCGAGGGCAACCGTGTGGTCAGTCTGGGCGAGCGCCCCTTCTTCGATCCCAGCTCGAAGTCACGCAGAGAAGCACTCCAGATCTCGTCCTGATGATCGACGATGGGCAAGGTTGTGGGATATTTAGCGGCAGTAAATTCAATGTATCCACCGCTCTGGGAGAATTCAAGATGATAATTTATTGGAGAGGAAGACAAAACGTGGATACCTGACTTGAGCTGGGATGCCCGAGATCTCAATCGAGTTGAGAACACCCGACGCGCTGTCCTCGATTGTGCGCCTCTTTTCCTTTTCTACACCGCTGAAAGCCCAGACATCGTAGCCGGCGTGGACCTAGAAGTTTTCTGAACCCGCAGGCACATAGGAGGGAGCAAAAACAACTTGAAGATCCTTGTTTCGACTCGATGCATGCGCGTTTTGGCAGCACTGAAGATCGACATCTGGTGCGACTCACCCGCAATTAGTGCACCTGCTGTGGTGGAGGCCATGTCTCGCCCAGTTAAATCTCAGTCTGATATCGCGGATGAAGTACTCCGGTGGGAAGGCGTGGATTGTCAGATCATGCATCTCCTCAAAGTCCATTACCTCCTACACAGCACCAAGGCCCTTTCCCTTAACTCGGTTAACTGTACATGCAGCAGTAAGCAGCCTGACCGGGCGGCAACGTCTCAAGATCAAGACAGGTTTGCATTTTCTCCGCATTGGCATGCCAAGGAGCGGTTATGAGTATGATTGCAGATTATGCTCGTGTATTCGTTAGATTGCGTTGCTAGCACATGAGAAAGCGGAACCGAAGAGTCGTTGCTGGTAGGAATCCACGATGGATTTAATAGAGGTCTTTGACAGGACGTCAGCATGATGCTCAATATCCGCTCAATTGCGACTTACGTAGGTTCCTGCTACAAAGATGTATGCACCCAATAAGATTAAGAAATAATTCACGAGGGTCTCCAGTGACCGCCACGGACCGGCCCACCGTTTTGGACCAGGATGCATACGAAGGTAGGCCATGCCCCAGAAGATGAATCTGAGATGGACGGGCGTGAGCCAACCAAGGTGCCCCGCACCCCAAGTGCACTCACCCGAACCATGAATCTGGCACCGCTCATAATCAGTTCACAGCCACAGATGGTAAGGATATCAGTAAGAAGCTCACCGAAAAGGGAGCTCATGAGACTGAGCATGTCCGAGAAGAACGGGATCACCTCTGCGATCACGAACGCGACTATCCACGTCGCGGCAATGATCCCGGCCCATGCCGACCATCCAATGAACGTGTTCGAATGGCGGTGATGAGAGTTGCGGAAGATGCGGAAGAAAATGAAGCGCGATGTTATCGACTGTCCACGAATTTCTGACCATCAGTATTAAAAAAACGTCGCAGCGCCCTGTTACGTACCGAGTACAGTGCACCCAGGAATATGATGGTCGGGATGGCAAAGGAAAATGCAATCTTCTTCAAAACAGGTTGCAGGGCTCCGAACGCCGGCGCTGTCACGTATTGATTACCTGCAGAGAATCGCTTCATTTATACGCTCACAGCATGAGCGCTGTGGGACGGTTTACCTGTCCAGTGATATACTAGGGCTCCACAGAGTATATATACAATAACCTCGGAAATGGTGACGGCCCAGAGAGCTGTAGAAAAATGAGCTCCAATGGCAGTCGAACAGCCATTTCAAGACAAGCTCACCTTTCGGAAACTCGTTGGGGTCCTTCATCTCCGCAATGAACTACGGCGGATATGTCAGGATCGAATTGTAGATGTCAATACATCATATAACGCACCGAGGGGAGTACAATTTGTCCAACTAGAGTGTACGTGATGTTCAAAAACGCCGACATGCCTGGGTAGTAGTGGTTCAGGTAAGTCGGGCAGGCGAACGAAAATGAAGCTTACCAGAAACAAAGCTGGTGCCCTTGATTGGGATGGCAGTGACGATGGGATTCTGGCCAGCTATGAAGCCGAACGGATGGTCTTGCACTCCCGCAAAGATGATGCAGAGTAAGATTGCTATCCCCATGAATAGGGCGCTGAAGGTGCCGAGCGAGCTGAGCTGATTGAGCGTTCGGGGCAGGGTAACGACGAAGCAAACTACGACAGTGACAACGCTGTAGACGATCGTGCACACCGGCGAATTTGTGAGCGTGTTGAGCAGCTCCGCGCCCACTAGGACGTGCAAGGCTGGATACGCAGAAATTTTGAGCGACAGGGTGATGGCAGGAAGGCCGCAGCCTCAGACCTTGTATGAAGGTATTATTCAGGAAGAAGAATACTGCCGTGGCGTTGTAGGCTAGTTGCGATCCCCCAAAAAGAAGTTTCCCTATGTCGCAGGCATCACGGACATCGGGGTGCTTGAGGCAGAACCTCCAGAGAACGAGGGAGGTATATTGGACGATGCCTGCAACGACTATGGTCAAGATAATTCCCGGCACAAGGCCAAGAACCGAGTATGACCTGCCATCTGCATCAGAACAGCTTGATGTAATTGCAGAGCTGCGAAAACGCACCATGGAAACGAAGTAATAGCAAGGCAAATATATTCAGAGAACAACAGAGCTGCGGTCTGCTAGCGCTAAGTCATGGTGACGCGGCATGGACGTGTGCACTGACCTTCTCCCACGAGCATGTCCGGTACTTGATTGCATGATCGTACTCTTCCGCAACCAGCTCTTTGTAGCTTGTAGTGTCGTCCACTGTTGAATGGGCGTCGGTTTGCGACTCTTCATCCTTCGTTTTCGTGGCAGGCAAGTCCGGATACGCAGCACTCGCCATGATCCTGTCGGGAGAAAATCTTGAGGGAAGAGAAGACACCTCGAGAAGGCCTGCGGCCATTAAAGGCTGCCCTGAGCATCCTAGAGACCGGTACCGAGCCCATCCGTCAAATTCACTCCAGGCTGTCCAAGGTTGAAGGTGGAGCCGGTGTGATGCGTATCTGGTACTGATCGCATTCGCAAAATTACACGTGGTATGGCGTGCTTCAGACCTGCAGACGGAGGAAATGACACTTTCTATCGGCGTAGATACGAAAACACGCGTGAATTCATCACCATTGCTCAATAAATTTCGAAATGATGCAATTGCACTCACCGAACCAACCCTAACCCTATACGAGGCTCGGCCCATATCGTCTTGGGCATCCATTGTAATTTGTCGCTCGACCCATAGCTAGCTATGGCTCTCACGAGCGGCGCATGGTGCCCCTCTTGGGATACGCTCACACCGGTAGACGGAGGCACCGACTACAGTGGACAGGTGCGAGAATCGTGACTGGCCGACATGGATGACTTTGCGAGGTGGATGGAAGCGTTAACACTAGAAGGGGTGGCCGGTGGGGTGCTGCAGGATGACGACCTGGATGCGAATGTCGACAGGCCTTGGCACGAGGTCGAGTTGCCGCCTACCATGCGTTCGACTGGATCTACTACACAGGTGTCGCACGTGCATTTGAGATACGATGTTGACGTTAGATAATGAATCTGGGAAAGGGGAGGGTATCGAATGAGATTTTCTGCGGCTCAGACTTATAGACGAAGACGATTAGTACGAGCTTGCAATTGTCGATCGTGACGGTGGTGACGCTTATAGCAAAACCGTCGCGAGAGGCCGAGCTGATGGAGGCTCCGCCACTCTTTGGTGACACAAACTTACCAGTCACGGTGTAAGCACCTTCAAAGACACCTGAAAGTTAAACATAGACGTAGAAGATCATTACATGCACAACACATATTGGTATTGTGTTAGTTGCCTATTACAGTAACGCATCGCAGCTTCTAGCATGAGATTCACGGAGCTCCAGGAAATCAGAGACTTCGTCTGTCACTCAGCTGATTCTCTTTCATGTGAATCCCGAAGCTTAATGAAGGGCATTGTGTACGATAGTTATCACGGATCCTCATTTTCACTGACACGTTAAATAGGTCAGGCCTCAGGGGTCTAAATGGGACTCGGAAGCTCTCAGTCTCGCCCTCTCCAAGTTGTCACCGTCATGGCTACGATAACTGCCACTGCCCCCGATCAACATGAGATTCGTATAATCACGCCGTACGTCGGCTCTAGTCGCATCCTCTCGAGCTCACCAAACACGCACCGTCAGCATCGGAATGTTGGGCTACGGCTACAACGCCTCAGAGTTCCTCGACGCTTGCGAGAAGCGCCGCCCCCATGCCATCATCTGCGATTCGGGTTCGACTGACTCTGGCCCTCAGAAACTTGCTCTGGGAGTGACCACTTGCCCGCGCGAAGCATACGTCCGCGACCTTGGACCTCTATTGCTCGCCTGCGCCAAGTTCCGCATCGCGATCCTCATCGGTTCGTGCGGTGGTTCTGGAACGAACGCACAAGTAGACCTTTTCGCCGATATTGTCCGCGAGCTGGCAGACACACACGGTTACTCGTTCCGCGTTGCTAAAATATACGCAGAGTTCGACAAGGACGTTGTCAAAGCCAGTATTGGAAGGGGTAGGGTGCACCCCTGCGGGCCTGTTCCTGCCCTTACGGCGGAGGATGTGGATGCAACGCCTGTGATTGTCGGCCAAATGGGCGCCGAACCATTTCTTGACGTGCTCAACGCCGACGAGTCGGTTGATATCATCCTTGGCGGGCGGGCGTACGATCCCGCACCTTACGCTGCGCTCTGCTTCAAGCATGGAATTGAGCCCGGCATCGCCTGGCACATGGGTAAGGTGAGCAACTCCACATACCTTTTTGAGGATTTTGAATCTTATACACACCCACAGATAGTAGGTGTTCGCACTGATAGTGGCCCAATCCCGAATTTGACGTGACGCTCCAGCTAGAGTGCGGTGGGCTTTGCGCTGAACCTAAGCAACAGATTATCTTCACAACCATTCGGCATTCCAGCTTTGACGTCGAACCGACCGCACCCTCAGCGCGCTGCACATGCATCTCCGTTGCCGCACACACCCTGTACGAAAAGACGCGCCCGGACCTCTTGCCGGGGCCCGGCGGCGTGCTTAACCTACAGGGCACGACGTACGAGCAGCTCGATGAGCGCGTCGTACGAGTCCGCGGTGCTGTGTTCGAGCCAAAGCGGTATCAAGTGAAGTTGGAAGGTGCCCGCATAACGGGCTTTCGTACTGTATTCATCGGCGGAATTCGAGACGCAGTGCTGATCTCACAGATAGATGTGCGTGCCCCCTGCGGTGACGATAATGCATGGGGGTGCTGACTATGAGTTGTCAGCGCGTACTCGATGTGGTAGAGACGTACGCCCGTAGCATGAATCCCACGTTCAAGGGAGAGGATTGCCGCATTGCCTTCCATGTCTATGGCAAGAATGGAGTGCGCAGACCCGTTTCGGCACTGATGCCGGCCTAATGTATGGCTTGCAGGTGATGGGTCCTCTTGAACCGGTTAAAACGCCGGCGCACGAGCTGTGCATTCTCGGCGAGGTACTTGCACCCACCCAGAAATTGGCGCACGGGGTGTGCAATGCCTTGCGCGTCGCGCTGTTGCATGCGCCATACCCGTACCAGGTCTGCTCCGTGCCATCTGTTGTTTGTCCGACGTAAATTTGACCATCTTTGTAGATCGCGACAGCGGGAAACATGGGCAGCCCGCTCACGCCTTTGGAGACAGATATTGGGGAGGCCTCCGAATTCTCTATTTATCACCTCTTGGACATTGATGACCCGCATGGGCCATTCCCAATCTCGTACGAGACGGTGGGCTCCCCTGGCGCAGAGCCAAGGTATCCATCCTATCCCGCTGCCGCTCCGGGAACTGGAGCGGCCACAGAGAAAGCCAAAGCGGAGGCGGGCAAAAGGATGCAGGCACTAATACGCGAGATGGAGACGCTGCGTGTGAACCCGGCTGGTAACTGGCAGAATGCTATCAAGAACGGCGAGAAGAGCGTTAAATTGAGAGACATTGCGACCGTGCTGAGGAGCAAGAATGTGGGTTACCTGTTTACAGCACAGTAGAATGATACTGATAGACTGGCATAATTTAGTCTGGGCCGTACGAACTCACCTTCGACGTGATGTTCCCCTCGGATGAGATTTTCAATGCCGTGCAAGACAGTAACGAGCTAACAAAGGAGGTTCTCGCGCGCGCATACGGCGTCGAGCCCGAGGCTGTCATCGCATGTCTCTTCTTCAAACAGGCACGCGCGTTCAAATTTACTATACCTAGGTTTGTAAGGAAGCCCCTTTCTGGCCCAGTCTGACTGACATGTTCTTGTTGTTGTGACAGGGTGCATTCGAATGGCAGTTTTGGTGAGACGGATATGCATGGTTGTCAGCAACACATCCCTCTAGGAGATATCGATGTTCCACTCCTGGTCCGTCGCGGATGACAAACGGAGTTCAGTTATTCTTCTCGCTGTCCGTAGATTACGATTGACATACTGCCTGTTCGTGAATCTCACTGTGTGTTGCATTTGAAACGAAGACATTCAGCCTGGCTTTATTTATTTCGTTCAGTTGTTGAACGTCCTTAATTCCAATCAATATCCGCAGATACAAAGGAGGATCGACTGACTGACGGATATTGATGTTTCCTGCTTCTGAAAGTTTCCTGCAGAATCATCCATCAATACTGGTATTACTTGGGGCATGTGCATGAAACCCCGCTCACCAATGGGAACCAGCAGACAACTACGGTTCATAGATCATTGGCCAGAAAAACTTCTGAGATTAAAATTGGCAAACTAGGTGGGTGGATTATAGAAGGGAAGAGCACCTGACTTATCAGAACGAACAATATCATTATCCTTGAGACAGACAATGACCACAGGATGCAAAACCCCACCCACATCAAATCAAATCGCTATGCAATTGCAGACTAAGGAAAGTAGGGAGAAACAATGTGTAATACCGACAATGGACGATCCCAGCGTGTCGAACAAAATATATCAATATCTCCCCTTCTGAACGTTTCCTCTGTGCAATGTTTCAGCATTACTACCACTGGATCACAACATTAATGGACTCACCTGTTCGACAGGGCCAATTTGTGGACATCCTCCTTCTTCCTTATCGCTGGACTGACTTCCTTCGAATCGGTCATTGTTCCCTGCACGATAGCAACCATCTCACGCGCGAGGCGCTCCTCCAGAAACTGCCCGGGGCGAGCGTCACTGGCGGCCAATATCCACTGAATAGAATGATGCATGCGCTGCTGCTCGTTGAGTGCTATAGGATACACTATAGTCCTCCCTGCATGCCTGACCGAAATGCACCGCACGGCAGGGGCGACGGTAAAGATGGCATTCCGCAGGATGGGCAAGGGCGGAGCACGCGTCAGGGTGTGGATGTACATGAGAGTGCGGGTGACAATTCTCTGGGCCTTTTGACGGTTACCATTCCTTTGAATGGTACCGGCGATGAGCTGCAAGAGGGGGTCTTCTGCCGGGGGAATTTGCGTGGTGGCAGGAGCGTTGGATGTAGATGCTGCGGTTGGCCGTGCGGATAGCGACGCTAGATTCGTGAATGCGCCTGTCTCTCCTGATGTTAGAGACCCTACGGCGGAGAGGGTATCTTGCATTGTCGACCCTGATGCACTCGGTGCAGTCGAAATCCTGCGTGTCGAATGGGCGAGCGCCCTCCCAGCAGCTCGCCGAACGCTTGGCAGCATCACCAACTGTAATATTACCTCAATTCATGTTCTCGCGTATCTCGCTGAGCACCACTCACTGTTTTTCACTGAAAAGAAACGCTCAGGAGACGCTAGACCTATGTAGTCGGAAGTTGGCAGGGTCCAAAGGACGGCGCACAGGCGATAGTTGTAGTTGTACCCGGACTTAACAAAGGACAGAGTGAATGGGCGCTATTCGCGACGTGACACAGTGTTGTGCCGGTCGACCTCTGGTTTACACGGTCGACGTGTCGACTTTGCGACTATAGTCGACGTAGACTTTCGGTCGACAATTTTTGGTGAACTGTCCCACGTTCCGCGACTGTTCGGCATTGATTCCCATTGGCGGGCGACTGAAAATCATGTGATGAGACCAGTCACATGCTGGATCCTGAGCGCCGCTGTGCCACAACGCAGCGGCATCGCTTTCCACAACAGGTTATTGCGCTGTTCGGTCCCCAGACTGCTTCTCAACAGTCCTGGACGTGTCTTGTGTGTCGTAAAACAAATTTTGCTGGTAGTACATATCATCAAGTTGGAGAGACTATTTTTTTTTGCTGCTTGCCCCGGCGGTGGTTCAGCCACACAACTTTTGCCATAAAAGGCGAAAAGTCGACGGTCGACAGTCGACTGTGTCAACTAGTCGACAAAGTCGACGGTCGGCACGACCGATGTCAACTGGTTTGCGACCGGCACAACACTGACGTGACATGCACGCTGTGAGTGTGACCTTAAAACTGTATGTTTTCGTAAGAAAACATATCCTCTGGGGACCTCTTCGGGCTGGTCTAAGACTAGCTCAAAATCTATGGTACTGTCCAATTCCAGAAACAAAGGTATACACAGCACACCAGCACGACAAACAACTAGCGGACCACTCTGCGTGGGTCGCTCGGCAGCTGGACCGGAGACTGGCTCGCACTCCTCGAGCCGTGTCTCTGCAGCTGCCTCCGCTCCTCCGAGCGCAAGTGAGTCCGTTCGTCCACCGCATCCAGCTCGTCGTCGTCCTCATCTACCTCCGGCAGGCGAGACAGGCCCACGCTGTCCGGGCCTTCGTCGTCTAGCGTGTTGAACAGCGGCAAGCTCGGTCCGCGCTGATGGGAGCCCCGGCGCGCGTTACCATCCATCCCGAATCCACCGCCGGAACCGACGGGCGTGCCCGCTGTACCGTTCCAGCCATCGATGGACGCCCGCCCGCTGATGCTCAGTCGAGGGTTCATCAGACCGCCTTCGAGAGCGCTATGTCCGTTCGCGGTGGGTAGTCCCTCGGGTTTGCGTGAAATCTCGAGGAGGTGCACGCCGAGGAAAGTTGTGATGAACCCGGCGAGTAAGGATATCGAGTTAGCGGGATCTTCGGTGTTCAAGCCCTGGAAAAGGATGACAGATGCTACGATGGTGGCGGTGGAGAAGCCGACATAGTACATTGGATTAACGCTTTCATACAAGAGTCAGCGCAGCGTTTCCGGCAGCATGGGGGCACACATACACATTTGTGGAGAACGTGTCAAGTGCTTTGTTGAAGTAGTTCATCTGGACTAGGATGCAGGTGACGACGACGATCGCGAAGACGTACGTGCTCGGATGGGTGAATTGGTTGTGCCCAGCGAACGTAAGCTTCACAGCAACTCCAAACCCCTTCACGCCCATGATAGACACAGAGCCTACGAGCGAACAGATTGAGATGTAGACGACAGGATTTGTCCGCCCATATCGAGGCACAACGGCGTAGATCATTACGAGGGTAAATACCAATACGGTGAAGCAATACAACAGGAAACCTGCGGGACGTGACCATCAGATATCGCCTTCTGACAAAAGAACTTGTAAGGCGGGTCATACCGGGTTGAATGGCATAGTGTAAGATTTCGTCCACAGTCTGGATGTCCTTGTCTGCGGGCGCATGCAAAACGATAATTAGAGAACCAAGCAGGCATAAGGCACATCCCACACGGCCCAGATGGCCGAGTTCTTCATTGAGCAGCAATGACGCAAGGATAGCTCTGAGAAGAGAATCCTGGTCAAGATGAGGGAAATTGTAAAGCCCACCACACGAACCCAATGATGACACTAAGTGCTCCGAGAGGGGTCACCAATATTGGTGGTGCAAATGTGTAAGCGGCGAAATTGGCAACTGACAAGTTATCAGAGGCTGAGTATGGGTAAGAATGCAGCGTGAGCTCCTACGTACGTTCTCCCAGCACCACTGAACGGAGGTTAGACGTCTATGCATCAAGTTGTACTATTGAACGCTTACATGTTGACATACCAGCCCACCATATCGGACTTTTGAAGTATGAATAGTCGTCAGATGCGGTTGCGTACGCTGAACGCTCTGCAGCATCGTTGAGGCCCTGCATAACACAACAATACGTTAATTGAGACTCATCTGCCAGAGACATATTCGGCACCTTTTTGGTGATGATGAAACTCGTTCCAATGGCTAACGAACTAGAGACGGCAAGTGCAAGCCCGATGTACTTGTCCTCCACCATCGCGAATTGTAGTAAAGAAAGGTTGCTTCTCTTGAGTCGTGACGGCTCTCTCGCGAGCCAGGGAGTGTGGGAGGGCCGTCAGAGGCCCGGGAATAGATTCCAAGGTCGACGCAGGCCAACGCCTGCAATTGTCGCCGAAGGTAGATGGTTATGCGGAAATAGAACGACAAAAGTTGACCCACCTAAGTCGCTGGGTCATGAAAAGACATTTGAGCTGTATAAATATAGCTGCTGGATCGAAAGGCGCGGCACTCACCAGTAGATGTGTATTGACTGAGTTGCAAGCGTGCGGTTTGCATAGCATGGGCGTGACAAACTTACGGTGTGACAAGGTGGTCATCTCCACGTGGCCATTGTCGGCGGGCAGTCTATTGAGGACGAGCTTGGGCTGCATGTTTCGACTCCGAGCAGCCTTCCGAGTGTCTTCTAGGATCAAAGAATATTGTCTCTGGCAACATACGAGACTCCCACTGCTCCGGAAGGGTTTTTCGTCCACCATGACTACCTCCGGGCATACTGTCGACACGACGAGCCGACTGCAGGCTCTACGCGGGCTAATGTCGCTGCCAGAATATGATGTCGGTGCGGTCGTGATTCCCAGTGAAGACCAGCGCAAGTGATTCTGTATCATATCTATAGAAAGACGTGTAACGCGAGGGGGCCTTCAGATTACAGCGAATATATCGCTCAGTGCGACGAGCGTCGTGCTTTCATTTCTGGCTTCGACGGATCCGCAGGTACGCGTGCGATGCGGGCGCACGAGTGCGCTATCAAGACATGTTAAGGTTTTATGTGATAATTCTGGTTGCGAATGTCTCCAGGCTGCGCGATAGTGACCTCAAGGGATGCCTTCCTCTTCACTGATGGTCGATACTTCCTCCAAGCTGAGCAGCAGCTTGACAAGTACGTATATGATTAACTCAAATGTGTAAGAACATCAATGACTCTTTTAATGCCAGGAATTGGACTTTGATGAAGCAGGGCCTGCCAGGTGACTATCCAGTGTGAGCTCGCATGAACGCCTACCTGACTCTGCCCCAATGAGATGTGCCTACATGGCAAGAATTCCTGTCCAAAGTATGTCACCATGTGTATCTGTCAATACCACCTTGTATAACATTTGTTCGAAGAGACTGGACAGGAATACCCGCATTGGCATTGATCCTACGCTCATAACTGCTAGTCAGTCACTCGTAATCACTTCAGACATCGAATTGAATATTGCGCAGCGGACGCCGAGAACGTGCAGAAGGCACTCGCATCCACTGACTCAAGATTGATATCTCTGCCTCGGAACTTGGTGGACCTTGTGTGGAAGGATCGCCCTCCCAGGCCCGCCAAGAAGATTTTCCCTCTGGACGTCAAATACTCTGGTGTGGTCTATCTTCTGTCATTACTGCTACCTATTTTCTGATCCCGTACTGTTCTCTCCGGGTGTCAGGCGAGTCCCATATGGAGAAGATCAAGAAGGTCCGCGGGGAATTGAAGAACAAGAAATTACAGGCCATTGTGATCAATATGCTCGACGAAGTCGCCTGGCTCTTCAACCTCCGTGGTTCGGATATTGATTTCAATCCTGGTAAGCACCCGCAGACGCCCTTGTTAGCTGGAAATAGCTGTGTTCACGATGCACTGCCGTGATAGTATTTTTCGCATACGCAATCGTGACACACGAGAAAGCTCTTCTCTTCGTCAATGCCGCACAAGTGGATGAGGCTGTCCTCTCACATCTGGGTCCAGAGGTCGAGACTCATCCGTACGATACGTTTTTCTCCCACTTGAAGGAACTCGGCGCGGAGCTCGGTCTCAACAACACTGCGGTGATTACTCACTCCGCTGAGTACCATATTGTTGCACTCAATGCGTTGTGACTCTTCGCCTGTGCAGCAGGTGCTTGTTAGCGACAAGACAAGTCTGGCTATCGTGGACGCAATTGGTTCAGTACGTACAGCAGCTCATGCCTTCGCGCAGCGGCACCGTCTAGACATAGCTAAATTAGATATCATCTGACATCATTAAGGACCACATCCTCGTCTCCCGCTCACCTGTGACGGACCTCAAGTCGATCAAGAACAACACCGAGATTGAAGGCAAGGCACAACCACGCTTAATGATCAGTGTCTAATTCCAATTAATTTCCACGTCGCCGTCTTCAGGATTCAGACAATCCCACATCCGGGACGGTGCCGCCCTTGTGCGATATTTTGCGTGGCTGGAGGAGCAGCTCAATGGCGGCGCTGAGTTGACCGAGAGCCAGGTAGCAGACCAGCTAGAGAATTACCGCTCGTGAGTTACTTGTTGATTTCACGCATGGTGACGTCTGAACCTCGATTCCAGGGAGTTGGACCTATTCCGTGGTCTCTCCTTCCCCACTATCTCGTCTACGGGCCCGAATGGCGGTGCGTCTAGCGAGTTCTCATGCCGGAGGTTGCCCCTGACTATCAATTTCAGCTATTATACATTACACGCCTGACCCAAAGGATTGTGCGATTGTCCGCAAAGACCAGGTGTGTCTGGTTTGAGCTTTCCAATTCGAGCTGTGAATTTATCTATCAACCACAGGTATATCTGTGTGACTCTGGAGGTCAGTTGTCATCTCGCTTTGTTTACATTATCATGCGATGACTGCGCACAGGTCAGTACTTCGACGGGACGACCGACGTGACAAGAACACTGGTGACACATCGTGTATCTTATAAACTACCAAGCACCTTACTGACTTTATGTAGCACTTCGGTATACCGACGGCCGAAGAGAAACGTGCTTTTACGCGTGTCTTGCAGGGACACATAGCTATTGACACGGCTATATTCCCGAATGGTACAACAGGTGCGACACCTTCTCACCGCGAACGTCCCTGTTTCACATGACTGATGTAGCTCAGGATACATCATGTAGGGCTATATACCGCGAAGGGTTGATTTACAGTCTCACACTGATATTCAGAGATTCATTTGCGCGGAGACCGCTTTGGGAGGACGGTCTTGGTGAGTATGCTCAAACCAGTCAAGGATGATAGTATCAAGTACTGATTATAATCCAGATTTCCGGTAAGGCCTCGAGCCCTTCGTTCAAGTAATTGCTCATCTGCGTTCTCAGCCACGGCACAGGTCACGGCGTCGGTGCGTAGAGTCCATTATACCTGTGTGGACCTTCAATACCTATCCCGCATAACAGGTCATTATCTTAACGTGCACGAAGGCAGGTGCCTTGACTTCTGATTTAACTATTCGACGAACTTACATCGGACACTCCAGGTCCGCATGGCATCGGTGTACGCATAGGTTGGCGATCGCTTCAAATATGACCTTCCCTTCTCCTGACTACACGTTCGAACTCAGCGTATAACAGCACGCCCCTCCGGAACGGGATGACTGTCTCCAACGGTAACCGATTCAACCTTTCTTGGGAAACACACTCACATTTCCCCAGAGCCGGGCTACTACGCCGATAGCCGTTTCGGGATCCGCATCGAGGATGTTGTGATCGTCCGCGAAGCGCAGACCCCCAACAACTTCGGCGAGAAAGGCTATCTCTGCTTCGAGCACGTTACGATGGTACGTACCGCTTCCCTGCCATCGATCGTCGCAAGCTCGTGCAGCTTACTTGCCTGGTTCCCCCGGCGCTTCCGCAGTGCCCGATACAGAAGAACCTAATCGATGGCGCGCTGTTGAGTCCCCGCGAGCGGACGTGGCTCGATGCGTATCATGCGGAGGTCTTGAGGAAGGTGTCACCGCTCCTGCAGAATGACGGGCGCGCGCTGGCGTGGCTGCAGCGGGAGTGCGCGCCGTTGTAGAGGTGCGAGACGGGCATAATTCAGGACTCCAACAGTGTGGTGTGTATGTCTAGTGTATATGCAGGAACGAATCGAATGGACGATGTATCAATAATCATACATCACTCTGGTGCAATGGGTGAGCAGACAATCGGCGAGGAACTAACTTATCACTAAGTACATCTATGCATCGGGAATAGCCAAACGAACAGGCGCAGACATCGCCAGATACTTGTCCTCCGTGTATGGCGGGTAGCGCAAGTTCATCAAATGCTCTTCGCTGCAGAGACATGGACATTGAGCGATAGTCAGAAATGTAAGGGTGACGAGACAGTGGACGTACGATGGGGGAACGTTGATGTAGCTCCGCAGGTGAGTGAATGTTTCGAATGCATGTTTGCCGTACCACCGACCATCTGTAAGGAAGTGAGTGATACGATCACCTCAGCAGGCGGCTATGAACATACGTCCGGAATTGCCCTGTCCGCCGAACGGCATTTCATACACTGCAGGTGGGATCTTCAGGACTTCTCTATTGCGGTGAAATCACGATACGTACCGGCCAACTGGCTGTATGTATCATTGAGCACCAGTGTGCCGCTGTTCGTGCTGTGCAATACTAACAGAATTCCAGCTCAAGTAAGGCAAGGGGAGATATAGAAGGCATACTCACACTTCTGCTTTATTTGTTCCGAGTTGGTGAACGCGTACAGCGCTAACGGAATATTCCTGCACACAAGATTCATCGACAAATCCACTATCCGATTGAATGAAGGCAAACGGACTGGGAATCAAGAATCCGGATTGCGTCGTCGAGGTCCTCTACGGTGATAATGGGAAGAATAGGACCAAAAATCTCACTGAAAGAGAACGCTTGTCAGCGACCGTCATCTTATCAATGCGGTACGCACTCTTCCATCAATACGTCATCCATCTCGACGCCCGTGATAACCGTTGGGGAAATTCTCTCCTCACCGTCGTATTCTCCACCAATTACGATCGTACCTTTAGTGTGCTCAAGGAGATTCCTCAAGCGCGCATGGTGCGCCGGGTTAATGATTTTGCCCCACTGAGATCCTTCGTGGAACGGACCATTCGGCCAGAACTCCCTGTACGCTTTTAACAATCCTGCGATGAACTCGTCCACTTTCGCACGGGGAACCAACGTGTAATCTGGAGAGACGCACAGCTGCGCGGGAACGAACTACAGTGAGACCGGCCGCCTGATCCGCGCGATAAGACTATATGCGTCTTACCTGGCCAGAGTTCTGCAGCTTCCCGTACAGCACCCGTTTCGCCGCTAGCTCCATGTCGAAGTCGGGGTCAATCACCACGGGCGACTTCCCACCCAGCTCGAGGGTGATTGGCGTCACGTATTTCGCAGCCGCATAGGAGACGATACGGCCGGTTTTCTCACTGCCGGTGAACAGGATGTGGTCCCATCGCAAGTCCAGGACGTGAGTTGTCTCCGGTATTGCACCATTTACGACTTGATACCCCTCGGGATCGAGATACTTGGGAAACAGTTCTGCTAGAAGAGCTGCTACCGACGGTACCAATTCGGGGGCCTTGACCACTGCAGCGCACCCAGCAGCAATCGCCCCCACCAGGGGGCCGATCGTGAGGATGAGCGGGTAATTCCAGGGGCTGTGAACAGCCGAGCGACCAGTTAGGGACTAATTAATGGAAAAGAAGCCCGACACGTACCCGATGATGAGCACGACGCCCTTGGGAACTTTGTAGACGGTTGTGTCCCACGAACTTCGCCATGCTGCGACCTTCGGCTTTTCAGGCTGCGTCCACTCATCCAGGTTCTCGACTGCGTTTAGGACAGCACCTAACACTGCGCCGATCTCCGCCTGGGATGATTCTAGCCGTGGCTTGCGCAGGTCGGCATAGAGTGCGTCCTCGAGAGCAGTTGCATTGTCTTGCACCATACGCGCCAACTGCAGCAGCTGGCGTCGCCGGTAGTCCAAGGATCGTATTACTCCCGACTTGAATGTCTTCACCAACCTAGCATGAATCTTATGTTCACGATGTACACTAAGTCAACATTCCCAGTACCAAATATCCGATGGGTGACTTGCCTGGTCAATCTCCTCGGGGGAGGTATACCGCAGGGATGTGGACATGGTGGTAAAGAGTGCGGGCGAGAATCTATCGTGGACACCCGTCGCGCTGGGTTATATGCCACGGGAGATCAAGCATGACTATTCAATGACAACTTACTTGGGACGTCACCTGGTGTGATGCATCGATGAGAAGGAGGGGAGCCTTCTCAACGGCTTGGCCTCTCCAGAGTCATCACGTGTCGCGACTTGCCACCGTCCCCTCGGGCCTCTTAATTTTTCTTAAAATAAGATACTGAAACCTTGGAGCCACTCTGCCTTTATGTCCAGCACCGTACCTCAAAACGATAGTGGATTGAAAGACTCTAGATTGCAAATATTGCAGCACTGCTGGCGGCCGAAAACATGCATCCTCATATGACGCACCTTCTCTGACATTTGTCTCATTTGGGTAGTCTAATAGAGCAGCTATCCTAGCATAGTGGTCAGGTCCCGCAATCCTAGAACTTCTGGGAAACGATCGCCAACTTGAGCGTCGACGGCTGAGAGCAATTCGGCACTGCGCGCACGGGTTGCGGACACGATACCCGCGCACACCAAGCTCGTTCTCTGCGCTATTGCAGTATCCGCGCAAGCGTAGGCCAATGTCCAGCGTACCGCTGATAGGTTATCCTATACATTCTTCCTGTCTTCCTTTCCCACAACCGCTTCTCCCTCGAGGTCCTGCCCATATTTCACCGAGAGAGCGCGCGCAGACCCAGCGAGCAGCCCGCCCTCATCCGTGCGCCATCCGGAGGTCTGCGCGGACTGAAGGAAGGAAGGGAACATGTCCATGACCTTGCAAAGCGAAGTCCGAACGGCGCCGATGCGCTCGTCGAACGTGTTCGGAACGGACCCGACAACGTGCAGTGCCAGCTCCAGCGCGTGCGCCCATCCTTTGAGGTGATCGATTGCAGTGTGTCCTTCCTTCATGCAAATGCGCAAATGCAACGATGTGTGCTGTGGGTTTGGATCGAACCATAGGACGTATCTCTCGTCCGTGAAGACCTCGAGTATGGCGTGCACCTGTGAGACAGATAGATCGCCGTCGGAGCCACGAAATCGCGCATCACCAGAATTCGATCTGATGGAGTGATGAGAGGACAATATGGATGCGAAGGGGGCGCCGATTTTGCAGAACCCTAGACGCAGTCGTGGGCTAGAAGCGTCGTACAACGTAGCAGGATTCCCAAATATGCGTTCACGCCTTGCTACCGCTTCGGGAGTGAGAATAGCCTTATTTCCCTCTAATTCACACACACCGAGTGAGAGTCCGGGGAAATCAGAGTAGATTATGGACCGGGACATACCTGCGAACTTGGCGCGATATGCCATCCAAACAATATTCGCCCGCTGTCTGTTGAACGAACGCATCACGACGGCTCTGACGGCAACATAGTTGGCGGCGAGGTGGCAGAACAAGAGCATGAAGAACACTAAATATGTGGGGCCGGAGCTGTGAACATAGTGCATGACCACGGTTCCACCCTGCAAGAAGTTTGAGGCACCACAAAACATCATCAGATGCTTACTGACCAGCATGCCAAGCAACGCAAGGACGGTTTCTTTGCTCCCATCTTTCGCATTTAAGTCACCCACGTCTCCGATCCTATTCCCGGAAGTCGCAAAGTGCACCGTCAGCGCTGCCTTGGACCCCCCGGCCACAACGCCGCAGAGTGCACGGAATGTACCGCTGAGACATAGCGATACGACGCGGAGGTACGAACTCGAGCCGTAGGATACGAATGGATACCGCAGTGAGATGCTCACGGAAGTGAGGTGCGGCGACAGCGCGTCCAGCAGAATCGCAGCGTCATTAAATATGTCCGCGAGTAACCGGTAGGTCTTCGCTTCCGGGAAAAGAGACGTCCCAAGGTAGTAACCGGCTATTACGGCTGTGCACGATTGACCATGGTCGGGCGCGCGGACGTTTCAAAGTGTCAACAGAGGGAGCGGCCAACAGAAATGGAATGCTGACTTGTTAGACGACCGAAGACATCTTGGATTACGGTGAGAAAAATCGCATGGGTGGCTGAGGCGGACGCATTGCCGACACCGTGTCCTGCAAATATGTATGGATGGAGGGAACGAACATCAAAGCGGTAAATCATATGTGGCTTCATGTAGGAATTTACCTTCTAGCACCGCTCGAGATGCGATGAGCCCAGATAGAGAGCTGCAGAACGCTTGCACTGCATTATATATTTGGTATCTATAAAGCTAGAGTTAAAATATCGCGGACAATTGATCCAGACAGTGCATGCGTACTGTAGATAATCTGTACGGTGTAACTCAGTAAGAAGCGTAAACTGAATTTGAGAAATATACGACCGATTGCTTTCACCTACCTGGCGAGACACTAGTTGGGTAACCTGCGGGCAGAAAGACGTTAGCCAAGAACAGCCGCCAATTCGTTCTTCCTTTGTCAGCTTCCACGACCCCCAGCTGTCACATACATCAGTTCCCATTAACGGTGCCATGATTTGTTTGAACGACATACGTATTCCCCGGGAGGTTTGCCAGAGGCACTGGTCGTTGAGAACGCTACATTTATCCGTCCTGATTCATCCCTTTCAGTGATGGTAAACTGCATGTTCCAAGTGAACCGAGTTTCCTATCTCGCAAAACTTCTACTGTACTGGCAAGACAGGACGGCGAGCAGTGAACTGTTTTTGGTGCACGTGACAAACGCGTGCGTCGCGTCGCGTGGTACGCGGTGGAGACGCGCGTCAGGTCTACGCTGTATGCAAGCTATATTCTGGCTCTCAGTCGCCTAACAATTCAACGTCGTGATGAGCTTGTAATGATAACGTTAGATTATTTTGAGAGAAAGGCTAAGATTAATTTCAGGATCCGCTTAGCCGTCACGGTGTATACGTTTTAGTTGTCGCTGCAAGGCTCTATTACTCGTGGTTGGAAAGCAACAACTATCGTGACAGAGACTGGTAGTACAAAGAGGGATGTGATCAATACTGTACGCCAGGAAGACACCCGTAGATGACGTCTCATTCGGCTTTCTTGAATATACAAATTGTGTCAGCCAACATGAAGTATATGCCCAGCGACGATCTGCCCACCCACACACGTCAGATACGAATATCCAGTGGGGAAAGAAGGTTGAAGTAGAGTATCTACAACCTGCCTTTCGGAGACTACCATACACCTCCCTGAATCAGGTACGAGCTCACTGATTAGTCACTACATACACCCTTCCACTACCGTCTGCAGGCGCACGCAAGCGCACGCAAGCCTGACACAGCGACATCTGGCCTAAATTACCGCGCTCTCTGCAGGCCAGTGTGAGCTATGCCGGCATCGCTACGAAAAGAACAGTGTACGAGGCAAACTGCATGGCCTGGGGCCTTAGTTGTCCGTTTTATCGTGTACTGATATTTTCCAACGTTCGCACTAACCTAGTATTTCCAAACTCTTGAGCGTACCATGCAGCGCTCTTGAATATCGCTGGAAAGGATTAAGCACGTTCAGCAGTTTAATTTGTTATGCGTCGCGAACGAATATTTACGTGACGTCCGAAAACCAACAGGTAGACTCCCGATAGCACTGAACAGAAACTTGAAGTTCTTGGGTTGGTGAAAATCGCCCGAAAGACTACTGAGTGAAGCTTTCAGAACTGGAACAATTCACTGGAAAAATGAGCGGAGCGTTTTGCTTTACCTACTGCGTTGGTAGGTTTTAAGTGGTGAACCGACGCACCCCTCATACCTGAGAGTCATTGTACGCTACTATGAATGACAGCCGCCCTGCCGTACCCCGACCGTGCCTAACCATCCATAGATCGATCGTTTCCTACGGCATAGTGAGTACGGCATTAGGAACCGAAATCATTCTCTGGGCGGCCGGCATGATAATTTCCGACGCGGTAAAAAGTACTAGTGCCCCGGAAGCCAATTTTCCTGACGCATAAGGTGACAAACTGGTCAGTGAGCTTGAGGCCTGACCCTACAAGAGCCTACAAAGGGAATCGGTGAGTGTTTTCCTTGTGAATGACGGGGAATGCGATGCACATTAACATTTTGTGGCACAGTGCAGTCGAAAGACTTGGTGCAGCCGAGGCGGTAGAGCCGAGTTCGCGGAAGGGCGCGATTCTGAATCCAGACGATCGCGTCGGCAACGCAGTACGTTCGGTGCCTGATTAGATTCTGTCGTTATACAGTCCACTTCCACAAAGAAATTCTAGCGCTTCACTCCGCGGCATGAACAGGACGTTTGGTTCATCCTCCCCCGTCTTCATAAGGAGAGATGGACATGTGAACTTCGTCCACTTCCATCGCCTTATCGCCGAAGCAGTTCCAACACAGGTTGCGTAGCTCTGGTGTCCACGTACATCTGGTGAAGACATCGAGTGCAGACAGCTGCCGCTTCATAGGTCTGTGATACAGGCATCATGGCTAAGCGGTGCGTTCTGCTGGTCGGTGCTCTCCTGGTCGTCGGCGGTGCCTCGCCCGCTTCTGGTGTTCTGCTCGGTGCTCGAGCTACGTCGTCGGATCTTCAGACAGCGCTTACCTGTCTAAACAACACCGTGGGCGGACGCCTATACAACGCTACGCCTTGGGAACTACCATGTTTCTCCACGTACGATGGTTCTAATGTGACGCAGAATGCGTCAGAGTGTGCGCTCATCCAGCACAATTACACTGTCCCTACTACACGCGTAACATACTTTGGAGCGTATATGCTGGTAACCTCTGATCGCATTTAGTCAGTTAGTTAATTAAACCTGATCATGTCTCGGTTCTTAGCCGCAATGGGAAACTTGCCAGTCATCCGCCGTGCCCGAGGGATGTCTGCTGGATTCCTCTAACACGTCGGATCCTCTTGCGTTCGAGAACGTCAACTGTCAGATTGGCAATATTCCGCCCCTTTATGTATGAACTACACTTGGCACCCAGTGGACATGAATACTGAGTACTGAGCTTCTCTTCTCTCCAGATCGATGTCCGCGAGGTTTCTGATGTGCAAGCTGCTTTGCATTTCTCCGACGTCACTGGCGTGCGCTTGTCGGTCAAAAACAAGGGACACGATTACAAAGGTCGTTCCAGTGGTAAAGACACTCTGTCTCTTTGGGTAATTTAACGTCTTCGCCCCTTGCGACGCTTCTGATTTCGAATTGTACTGACAGGTGACAAACCTCAACTCGGTGTGTTCCTTCAAGGATTATGGAGGCTGTGCACTGAGACTTCTTCGTAGATCTCATACGATGGGGCGTTCGTTCCCAATGGTTGTTCTTCTACTTCTACTTACGACGCCATCACTGTCGGAGTGCGTCATATTTCTCATCTCTGCGACTTATGCTTGACAGTCGCATCGCAGCCCGGAGCGCTCACGGAAGATATCTATGCTTTCGTGGATAGTATCAATCGGACCGTCGTTGGTGGTTATCACCAGACAATCGGGTTCGGCGGTGGATACTTCCTGGTAAGTTCCACCAAAGTCCGATCATCTCTGTGGCTATATCACGATCGTTCAATCTATGTAGGGTGGCGGTCACAGTATCTTGACACCAGTGTACGGTCTCGCCGTAGACAACGTGGTGAGTGCACTCAGCCTTGCTATCTTCCTTCGTCCTAATGTTGATAATCCAGGTTCAAGTCAAGGTCGTCACACCTGACGGCGAGTACCGCACTGCGAACGAATGTCAGAACCAGGATCTCTTTTGGGCACTCCGCGGTGGTGGAGGGAGCGCGTTTGGCGTGGTCATCGAGTCGTCGCACACTGTAGTGCCGCAGGTGACTCTTCAGGTGTAAGTGACATATGCTTGGATATCATTGCTGAGTTCTCTCATCGGCGGGTTATGCAGTGCATCCATCTCGTTCATCTCGACCTCCAACATCAGCAGTCTCGCCGGGTGGTACGATCTCTTGATTAATAACACGTATGAGCTGAGCAGCATGGGGTGGGGAGGACACATTGTCGTACGTACCTAATTCTTACCTGGGCGCTATAGTTCTGATCAGTTGCGGCATGCAGAGTGCCTCCATCGTCTACGTCAATCCTCTGATCTCCCTGGACGAAGCGACTGCGTCGATGCAGCCTTTGGTGGACTACGCTATCGCAAACGGCGGCACGGCGGTCATTGAAACCCTGCCATCATGGTACGCGTTCTTCTCGAAGTACGTCACGCTCGCCCAAGCTGTAAGTTTCCTTCCATCTGCCAATGCTCTGCACTCACATTGCTCAGGGCGTTGGTCCTGAACTAACCCTCGGCACGCGGCTCCTAACCACGGACCTGTTCAACACGACCGAGGGTCGTGCAACCCTGAGCAGCGTCGTGAATGACGTCCTTTCTTTCGCGAGCCCTTACGTCGTCGTCGGCACGCCGTTCCTTTACAATTACACCGAGGGCACGACGAGCGTCACCCCGGCGTGGCGGAATTCGCTCTGGCATGTAAGCGCTCTGCCGTCTGTTTGTATACTCAAAAGTTATGCTGCCGTTCCCGCAGCTGTCACTCAAGGGCGTGGTCAGCTTCAATAGCACGCTTGAGCAGCGGACGGAGATGTACGCAACCGTGAGTGAGCATGTCAATGCCTTCCGCGCGATCACGCCGGATAGCGGCGCGTATTTCGTGAGTGCACCCACCTCCACACATAGCCGGCGCTGACGCCTTCATCTGGATCCCGTAGAACGAGGGCGATGTGTACGAGCCCAATCACACGGACTCGTACTGGGGCGACAATTACCCGCGCCTGCTCTCTATCAAGCAGCAATAGTAGGCATCTACATCCGCCTTCGTGCGTCGTGCTAATTGTGCTAACTGTGTACCAGTGACCCCCAGGGCCTTCTCGATTGTTGGCAATGCGGTACGTGCCTCCCTGTTGCGATTGCGATGAGGGTTTGCGGGACCTGATGCGACGCGTGTTACAGTTGGCTGGAACGGCGAGACGGACCCTCTCTACCAGTGCCACATCAAGCTGAACGACACCGTCGCGACCACCACGCTTTACTGAGCGTTAGCTGCCTGTTCTGCGTGACGCGGATGGCAGCCGTGCCTCGATATTGGCCGGTAGACCAGTTGAAAGGAGAACGTCCAAGCGCGCGCGCGCGATATAGTAATTTCAGGTTGATTGGTATTGTTGAGCAGGTAGGTTTGATATTGTGATAGTTACTAATTGTCGAAGGGGATCTTGTGTACGGGGAATAATGGTATGCGTAGGGCAGGTGGCGAGGCAAGGGTAACAGTTCTAAATTCCAGGGAAGTAATGTTGGGAATTTATTGACCATAGGAACGGTCGTCGTGCTCATCTGCTTATACATGATCCTCATCTACTTTTACCGATCGTGCTACTGAAGTATATATATCGTTGTCAACGTTTCTCCATGCCGGCTGTCCGCATCGGCCTGCATGTATCTCACTCACTTACATTCATTCACCAGAACCATACATACAACTACGACTGGGCTTCTGCTACTGGCGTACGGTACACTTACAACGGCGGGGTGTCAGCAAACAAGAGGGACTCCATACCGCCAGGGTAACGAGGGCCGTTCGATGCATCTGCTGCCTTTGCGATCTCCCGCACCTCCTGGATCTCCTCCGGCGTCAGCGTAAGCTTCGCCGCGCCCAAATTCTCCTTCAGTGACTGCAGAGTAGCATATCTTGTCAGTCTACAAGTACTGCAGGGAGGATAGAACGCAGGGCAGACGTACGGGAATCTTGGTAGTTCCAGGGATGGGGATGACGTCGGGGCCCTGCGCGAGGAGCCACGCGAGCGAGACTTGGCCAGCCGTCGCGCCGTGGCGATCCCCGATCCTCTTGAGGCCATCCGCGAGTTTGAGGATGTTGGGGAAGTTCTCCTTCGAGTATCGCGGCACCGTAAGCCGGAAGTCGTCCTCATCGAAGTCGTCGGGGGACCGCTACACGAAACAATTATCTGTCAGAGTCGAGGACTCGAGGAACACGCTGCAGCGGACGCACGTATTTGCCCGTGATAAGGCCACGGCCGAGTGGCGAGTACGCGATGATGGTGACGCCTAGCTCACGCGCCGTCTTTAGCAGACCAATCTTCTCGTCCTCGATGTCCAGCGTGAACGGCGAGTACTCCACTTGAAGTGCGGAGATCGGGTGCACCGCGTGTGCGCGGCGCAGCGTTTCGGCGGAGCACTCGGAGAGACCGAGGTACTTCACTTTGCCGGCTCTGGTAGACATATTAGCACGAGGGAAGGTGTAGATCGGCGGACCAACATGCGTACTTTACGAGCTCGGCCATGGCACCAACGGTGCGCTGGACATATATTAGCCAGACCTGTGGCGATGACGCGACGTGCAGAAACTCACCTCGATCGGGACAGTGGAGTCTGGACTGTCAGTCAACATCAGTGCTCGTGATGTAACTCAGGCAGCTGGCCGCGTACCGATGCAGATAGTAGAGCTCGACCTTGTCAACACCAAGCCGCTTCAGCGATATTTCGAATGCCTGGTGGACATACTCCGGATCACCGTTGATAGCTCTGCCGCCGGAGTTGAAAATTCCGAACTTGGTCGCGAGGAAAATCTCGTTCCGCTTGCCAGTGCGTTTGAACCTGAAGTGAGCACGTCAGTGGGAATCGAATATAAATTATATAACGTGGAGGTTGTCAGGCACTGCAATGGGCCGTAATGTAGTCGCATAAAAATGCGACAGGGTCAGCAGCCTCTACCTGCTGTAGTAAGTGTATTTCGCGTTTCTACATCGCAATCGAGAACTCGCTACCGTTTTTGCGACAAACGCGACTTGCGCAATCATTGTTCGAGGAAATTAGTACCCACCATTTTCCGATGAGCACCTCGCTGTCATCGTATATATTGGCGGTATCCCACATGGTGCAACCGTTCTCGTACACGGCATCAAGAATCTGAAAAAAATAGAAGTCAAATTTAAAACCCTCATGAGGTAAAATATCTAGTGCAGGATTCGGGTGTTGTCAATGTCGAAGGAGCAAATCTGCAACACATACGTGCGCGCGCTGGTGGCGCAGAGATTTAGGAGCACGTGAACGAGTATGCGCCCAGGCTGTAGCCTATGCAGCAATAGATTTTTTCTACGTCATGACAGTACTATTTCGCTGTTCACGCTCTTCGACCGGCGACGTAACTGAGAATACGGAGATCGGCAAAATCTCCGCCACGCACTCCAAGCGGGACGGCCGCGTATTCATTAAAGATGTAGAACTCCTCCCATGCCCAACGTGCAGCATGGTGACCAGCGTCGACCGATCTCTTGTGACTGCAACACAATCAACGGGAGCTTACCTTTAAGCGTTCTTCGTCAGGCAGCGCCTTTCCGTAGAAGGCAGATATTCCCATAGCTCCGTAACCGATGGCGGTCACCGGCGTGGTTCCAATTTTGCGAAGCGGAAGGGACATGGCTGGTAGCGTCGAGGGTGAAGGGAAAGTCAGAAAAGAGGAAGACGAAGGTTCCGTCCTTCGAGTGGTCTTATATACCCGGCTGGCCCGTGATTATCGAGCTGATCTTGCTGAGGAAGCTGTTAGGACGTATGTATGACGCATCTTCGGCACGGACTAGATGTTTGTCCTTCCCTCCTCGAACGCCATGGAATTCGAAGCTCTCTTCTCAGTTGCTGACTATGCATTTGAGGAGGTCATCTTATCTGCTATTCCCATATTATCGGCCTCGAGGCCAGCTTTCGTCCAGAACTTTGGTCCGTGCGCATGGTGTACGGAAAATCGATGGGCGGTAGTCGCCTGAATGGCCGTCGAGAAGCCAGAAGGCGTATTATTTAAACGAGACAACCAAGACAATCTATATAGGTGAATCCTGTCTCTGTATAGTCTGTGATCAGACAATGCATATTATTCGAATTGAAGGCGTTGTGGGATCCCACTGCATCATGATGGATTTCTTCCGGCAGGTTTCTGTATAGAGGAGTGAATGGCTGGCGGATGCTGAGGACTCCAGGCACACTCAGGCTGAAGCCAGCGGCGAAAGGACTATCGATACTACTCTGGAAGATCAGGGAGAGCTCAGAAGCCTGAGCAGCCTAGTTCGCCGATACTGTACACCCCCCTCTTCTGCAATTCTTCAACGCAAACGGCGGAGTTCGGGTTTGTGTAGACCTTTCTGGATGCTCACCTTACGACCAGAGGAATACTTACGGTTCTATTTATAAACAGGTGCAGTGCTCCGCTGCAGTTCACATAATATTTTGTTGACCACAAGATCCGCCTCCGGATAACTCTAACTTCACAAAGAATTCGGTGCTGGACAGAACCAAGCAGACTTCCACTATCAGCAATTGCTGAAACTTGCTCCACATGAGCAGGCATAGCCTGCGACTGACAGAACGAGACTCTAAACCTTCAAGTGTCCGCTTCCTCTGACCTACAAAGTCTGAGGCCTTAGGACGATGTTAATCACACGTACTCGAGAGTTCGTAAAACACAGTCTCAGGTGGACAACTACTTTCACCTCACCATACAACGTACGATGCCGATACATGTGGGCATTTAGCCTGCCAGGATTGTAATCCTTGTTGTCTTGGCTTCGAATCTTCCACCTGAAAGTTAACATCATCCCGTATCAACAGCAGAAACATGTTCATCACGTCCGTAAAGTCGGCTTCCAGGGTGTACCGTGTGAACTCCTAAGGGGGGTTTTGTACGCGTCCGGTGTCGCATGTCACGATTCACTGATTCTTTTCTTCCTTTGCACACTGCGATGCAAGGTGAGTCGCGCCTTCATTCAACTTCCTGCTAAATATCATGATAGGTCCAATATTTTCTTCCATACTCCATCTCTACTCACTCTGGTTCTTAGGCACCTCCTTTCGCTATCAACAGGCGGAGCGTCCTGTTTCGGCTGCACTGCTGCCATCTGCACACGATACAACTTGAGACAGAGCTGCTTAAGGCTATCACATGTGGCACTCGCATATGCAGATGAGCTCGACACGCTATGCATTACAACCAACTGGCATGCAAGCAAGGGCGATCCGCCTAAGTGTCTCTGCGTCAGTAATTCCTCGCGCTGTCATTACCCCGTTTGAGGCGAACGAGACGGAAGCTCATCCAGACCGTAGATATAGTCGGAAGAAAGTTGGTAACTGCGTGAGTACAATTGACAAAAAATGTCAACCAAGGGGCAGTCAAAAACCATCCTATTGGTGTATAATCTGCATGCACCTTTCACGCTCACGTTACATGCGCAGCCATCGTTTGAATCGAGTCACTTGCATACACATTTACATTTATTCGCTAAATCATACAATGACGACCGAGCTCCTGCTCCCGGCGCACACTTATAGCGGTGGGGTGTCAGCAAACAAGACGGCCTCCAACGCCGGGCGATAGCGTGGGCCGTTTGCCGCATTTGCTACCTTAGCGATATCCCGCACCTCTTGGACCTCCTCTCGCGTGAGCGTCAGCTTCGCCGCATCCAAATTCTCCTTCAGAGACTACAGAGTAGCGGCTTTGTCAGCCCACAAGTACTTTCGAAGACGATAGAGCGGAGGCGGGAACCCACCGGAATCTTTGTGGTGCCGGGGATGGGGATGACGTCGGGACCCTGCGCGAGGAGCCACGCGAGCGAGACTTGACCCGCCGTCGCGCCGTGGCGATCCCCGATCCTCTTGAGGCCGTCCGCGAGCTTGAGGATGTTGGGGAAATTCTCCTTCGAGTACCGCGGGACTTTGCGTCGGGCGTCGTCCTCGTCAAAGTCGTCGGGCGACCGCTATAATTAAAGCACCTATCTGTTAGAGATGATGACTTGACGACCGCGCTGCAGTGGACTTACATATTTGCCCGTGATGAGGCCTCGTCCAAGCGGCGAGTACGCGATGATGGTGACGCCCAGCTCGCGTGCAGTCTTTAACAGGCCGATCTTCTCGTCCTCGATGTCCAGCGTGAACGGTGAGTACTCGACCTGAAGTGCGGAGATCGGGTGCACCGCGTGTGCACGCCGCAACGTGTCGGCAGAGCATTCGGAAAGACCGAGGTACTTCACTTTGCCAGCTCTGGCACAGACACTTTAGCTCGAGGGAAGGCATAGATAGGTGGAGTAACATGCGTACTTCACGAGTTCGGCCATAGCACCAACGGTACGCTAGATGCAGGTTAGCTACGCCATGGTAATATTGCAAACTGCAAAAACTAACCTCAATCGGGACCGTTGGGTCCGGGCTGTTAGTCAATGTCAGCCCCGTGGAGTGACTCACATAGCCTGGTAAAGTACCGATGCAGATAGTAGAGCTCGACCTTGTCAACACCAAGCCGCTTCAGCGATGTTTCGAATGCCTGGTGGACATACTCCGGGTCACCGTTGATAGTTCTGCCGCCAGAGTTGAAAACCCCGAATTTGGTCGCAAGGAAGATCTCATTCCGCTTGCCAGTGCGTTTGAACCTGGAGCGAGGACATCAATTGGTATCGAAAATTCGACAAAAAGATGTATCTGCAGTAAGTCAGGAAGTTGCACACATTGATGCTGCAGACGCAGTGTGCACGGTGCGAGCGGAATTCGTGAACGATGTTTTTTTGGAAGCGAAGAACCCACCATTTTCCAAGGAGCACTTCGCTATCCTGGTATACATTGGCGGTATCCCACATGGTACATCCGCTCTCGTAGACGGCATCAAGAATCTGTGAAATTTAAGGAAGTATATCCATCTTCATGGGTAAATCGGTCGAAGGAGATTGTTCATAAAAGCCCGATTTCAAGGGGGAAGAATTTCCCTGCGACGCGTTAGTGGCGTGGTAATCCAAAGCACGTGCTCGCGCCACTTTCGCGACGACCAGATCGTGGATGGTGACTCGGAGTCACTCCTTGCGTAGGACTACTCTCCACAGACATAGCGCAGATAGTCCTTATTCTTCTGGACACACACCATGGCGTCCAAAAAAGCGACAGGAATCAGAGCGCCGTAATCGGGATAATTGTGGTCTTCCACCCTGCATGACGCTCGCGTAGAATGAACGTTCATCCAGTATGCAGAAATCTCGGGATGCGCAACGGCGTCCAACGTTTCGCGACACCCATGAACGACACAATGAAAAGACGCTCACCTTGAAACGTTCCTCATCAGGCAACGGCTTTCCGTAGAAAGCAGATATACCCATGGCTCCGTAACCGATCGCGGTCACCGGCGTGGTGCCAATCTTGCGAAGCGGAAGAGACATAGCCGATAGTGTCGAAGACCGGAGGAAATTTAGGCGAGAGTGAGATTGAGGTCTCGCCCTTGGATTAATGGTGCTATATACCCAGCTGGCCCGTATTTAATGATTATCGTGCTGATCTTGCTGAGGAAGCCGTTGGTAAGCGTTGGTAGGACGTATGACGCGTCTTCGGCCCGGACTAGATGCTCATGCCTCCGTCCTCGAATGCCATTGATTCTGAACGTACCTTCCCGGCTGCTGACTATGCATGCGACGAGATTATCTTATCTGCTGTCAAAGTTATCAAGCCACGATTTAGCAGGAATGTAAACAAATTGGCAGTCTCCTTATAGTGGTAGGGTTGGCCGGAAATTAAATAAATTAAATGAAATTAATTCGAGCGAGCGAGAAGGTATTCACTCTGTATCTTTGTGTGATGCCCAGCATGTCCTCAACTCCTGTGCAAAGTGCCTTGGTGTATGAATATCGGGTTTCATGCCACTTACACATAATCCATGATGATTTTCTAGAGTTATATTCAAATCATGCAGTACATTCAGACATAGGAACACAACTGCAGGGATGACTCTTCTTGTGAACTAATGAAGCTTAGGTCCTGTAAATTTTACACATTCACAGCATGCAGAAATCCTTTAAATTTTCTGCTCGCCCTTCGGGCGAGAGTGTATGTCCCTCTTGTAGCACAATAAAACTTTGGCCCAGTGCAGTTGCATTCACTGTAGCCATCTGAATGCACTGAGTTTCTCCTGCAACCTTAAAAAATTTCCATGATATCACAAGGACTGCCAGTTGTAATTTTTACTGGCAGGACATGCATTGAATATGAGAAAAGTCCCGGTGTGCAGGTTTGGCTGCACATAAGTGTTATCATGGTTGTGGTCCTCATCTGGAACTGTACATAGGCAGTATTTTTTTATGTTTAGAGAGCATATAGAGCACTCACTTATGGACACTAATTTTTATTAAAACATGCCGCAGAGTGTGTAATTTGAATAGCTGTAGTGCAGTGCCCAACCTTACACCGCCATTCTGCCGAGAGATCGGATGGTGATCCGAGTGCAAATATCCGACGAGATCACCCTTGACATCTCCAGAAATAGCATTGAGATCAGGCAGCAATAAAAACGTCAAATCCTGTAATTGTCATGGGAGAGCGAGAGCCGCTTGAGCTCAGCGCTGAGATCAACAGGATATCAGTGGTTCGAGCTCTGTGGTATCATAGCCTGCTCTCTAGCAAGGCTCATGCACAATCTTACCGGGACATATCCCTGTAATCTTCTAGATAGCAATGGTGCTATTTGTCACAACCATCTTAGAGCATCGGAAATGGCAAATTGTCCACGTTGTATTTATTGGTTAAGTGCCGGCATATAGACGTTGTGAGTACGAGAGTGCTAATACATGACAGGCTAATGACAGAGGAGTATTACAGGATATCAAACAAGGCCGCGCACGCGGACGACACCCTCCGCAGCCTCCCACACACCTGGGCCCACGCGCGCGGCGTTCTCTCACTGGCGCACGACCGACAGCGGCGCGCACTCGGTGACGATGCGCAGCACAGGCCCGCCCGCGGTGGTCGCCGCGGCGTTGAGCGTGGCCGTATATGCGTGCGCAGCAGATGCATCGCACGCGCCTCCGATGACCTGCACGAGGACGAGCTGCAGGTTAGGCGGGCCTGCTGCGACAGCGAGGGAGGAGGGCGGGGAGAGCAGGCAGTGGAGCATGGGGAGGAGGGCGGTTGTGGGCGCGGAAGGGCTCACCGCGTGGACGACTGGGAGGTGCGTGAGGGCGAGGCGGGCAAAGCACTCCCAGGTGGTGTGCCACGGCGCGCGTGCAAGCCCGAGGGGCGCGTCGGGGCAGTGTCGTCCGATGGCTGCTTGGTTCCCTTGTACTGGATGTAACAGTGTCTCTGAAGTGTCAAGTGGTCAATGCATGGACTCATTCAACTACAAATCCAAACGTACAAAGAATGACACCCTGCCGAGCATCTCAATTGATGGCTTATTGACAATGGTGTTATGTGGTGCAACGGAGCCAGCAGATGTATCTGGCAGGCTATTGGGTTGCCCATTCAATGGAAAAGAAAATCCGGACATGTCATGACTCAGTGTTGGTGATGGAGACTGTGCAGGTGAGCTTGGGACATCATATGCAGACATCGGCGGACATCAGAATGTGGTATATTAAAAGAGTGTCGGGACATTGTCGTGAAGGACAGAAGCCAGAATTCAATGATGGAGAAAGGAGAAGGAGATAATGGTGAAGGGTGTCGGAGATGGCAAGACGAGAGAAGATGCCGGAGAACAAACTTTTAAGTCTGTGCATCACGTGTCAGTTTGAACACAGGGAGCAAAATTTAGGGCCCGTTCTTAGCAGCACAGCCATGTCAATGGAGGGCGTACTCAGAGTTCCGGACTCCGAGATGATGAGCAAGCAATAGTAGGAAGGAGCAGGAGGTCGCAGAGGACAGGGAAATATAGCAGGCAGAGGTGACTTTTTGCGCACTTTGACGTTATCAGAGCTGCTGAGACCTAAGGAGAGGACTCAGTATGATATTACCGGACGATCTCAGCTTGTCAGAGAGGTTTCACAGGAGATCAGATTTTGGATATCACGCCGTAACCACACAGTTATCTACCAGTTATCTACATCGGATATCGCATGATCTTAGTGACTGAGAGTCGGGCTGAGATCTAGCTCAGTTGGCGGTGTAGGTATGTGCTTACATCAGAAATGCCATTTGGGGCAGGTTGCCTGCCGCATTGAGTGGGCACATGACGCGGGGCCGCCCGCGCCGGTAGGTTAAGTTTTTCAAACTCCGCTAGGACCTAACTCCCCTACCACTATAAGGAGACTCCCAACAAATTCATGAGGTAGAAGGGATGGGTAGTGTTGAGAGGCTTGAATTCGATCAGGGGACACTGTGCTGTTGTGGGGATTGATGAGATGTGTATCGCAGTGAGTTACCAAATACTTCCAAACTGCAGATGCAGCACGGAGCAGAACGAGAAAAAAGTATATAGTGGGGCCAGTCAGAAATTGTCATCTCTGCGGGGCCGAATACTCAGTCTTTGACCCCGGTATACACTTTGACATTCATTCACTGCAATCATACAACAACAACTTGGCTCCTTCTACTGGCGTGCACTCACAGCGGCGGGGTGTCAGCAAACAAGACGGCCGCCAATGCCGGGGGGTAGCGAGGACCGTTTGATGCATTTGCGTCCTTGGAAATCTCCCGCACCTCCTGGACCTCCTCCGGCGTCAGCGTAAGCTTCGCCGCGCCCAAATTCTCCTTCAGTGACTGCAGAGTAGCACATATTGTTAGTCCCACAGGTGCTGTGGGGATGATATAATGGTGGAGGGGACATACGGGGATCTTAGTGGTGCCGGGGATGGGAATAATATCGGGGCCCTGCGCGAGGAGCCATGCAAGCGAGACTTGGCCCGCAGTCGCCCCGTGGCGGTCCCCGATCCTCTTGAGGCCGTCCGCGAGCTTCAGGATGTTGGGGAAATTCTCTTTAGAGTATCGCGGCACCCTGCGCCGAAAGTCGTCCTCGTCGAAGTCGTCGGGCGACCGCTATATTTAAAGCACCCATCCGTCAGGGACGAAGATTCAACGAGCATGCTGTAGCGCGGACGCACGTATTTGCCCGTGATGAGGCCACGGCCAAGCGGAGAGTACGCAATGATGGTGACGCCCAGCTCGCGCGCCGTCTTTAACAGGCCGATCTTCTCGTCCTCGATGTCCAGCGTGAACGGCGAGTACTCGACTTGAAGTGCGGAGATCGGGTGCACCGCGTGTGCGCGCCGCAACGTGTCAGCGGAGCACTCGGAGAGACCGAGGTACCTCACTTTGCCGGCTCTGACAAGATATGTTAGCACAAGGTAAAGAATAGACTTGTGGGTCAGCGAGCGAACTTCACGAGCTCGGCCATGGCACCAACGGTACGCTAGATGTAGGTTAGCTAATACACACAACAGTGTCGCCATCTGCAAAAACCTACCTCAATAGGGACAGTCGGGTCCGGGCTGTTAGCGACATCAGTCTCGTTCAGTGGTACATATCCAAGGACCTGGCCACGTACCGATGCAGATAGTAGAGATCAACTTTGTCAACGCCAAGCCGCTTCAGCGAGGTTGCAAATGCCTGGGGAACATAGTCCGGGTCACCGTTGATAGTCCTGCCGCCAGAGTGGAAGATTCCGAACTTGGTCGCGAGGAAGATCTCATTCCGCTTGCCCGTGCGCTTGAACCTGCAACGAGCGCATCAGTTGAATTAAAGATTGAATGTTTCGAGCTTGTTGCTGGCCACGGTCTCGCTGTAACCATCAGCTTTCGCGCGCCGCAGCCAGTGCGATAACATGAATGTTTAGCAGCAAAGAACCCACCACTTTCCGAGGAGCTCTTCACTATCTTGGTATATATTGGCGGTATCCCACATCGTACAACCATTCTCGTATACAGCATCAAGGATCTGTAAAGTTCAAGGTCAATCCAATTGTCAGGCGTACTAAAGTGACCTATAGAGTTCATGAGAGACCAACATGCAAGCACGTGGTCGCGTCACTATCACGTGGCTCCCCTTCACTGGCGTACGAGTGACTCACTCAGGCTCGGCATTCTTATGGCCTGGATAGTCCTCGTTCTTTCTTCTACACACACTCCGACAAGCGACAGCAACCAGAGGGCGATAGGGACGATCGCCGTTTTCCGCGAAACCTTACGTTACGCTCGTGCAGAGTAACTGTTCGTCCAGGAGGCGGGAGCCAGTACAGTGCAATGTGTCGACCGAACTGTCGCAACAATTCTCAACGAAGAGAGTCACTAGGGCCTTACCTTGAGACGTTCCTCGTCAGGTAGTGCCTTTCCGTAGAAAGCAGATATGCCCATGCACCCGTAACCGATGGCGGTCACCGGAGTGCTTCCAATCTTGCGAAGAGGTAGAGACATGATGGACATCGATAAGAGGAACGTTAGGTTGGTGGTCCTGTCCTTCGTGTGATATGATATGTATGTTATATACCCTGGGTGCCCCAGAAGCGCTGAACGTGTCATTTTTTATCTGCTATCCCCGTTATCAAGTCAGGCTGCCGAAGAAACCGCATTTCAAGTTGCATTTCTGCAGCTGTTTTAACTGCTTGATTCCATTGGACTGTCCTCAAATCTTGGTCAAGTCGCCCAGAAAAGATTATCGCTGACGATGAGTTCAGATACGAAGAGTTTTATCCACTACTGACGTCCGAGTGTGCTACCAGGATTTCGTTGACACACCAGAGGCAAAATCCTCAAACACTTGTATTACCAGTGGGCTATCAATGATAGTATGATAGAAGAATCGATCCCAGTCCTTCTTTCCTCTCGCTCTCCTCACTGCAAACCACGATGTCGACTGCTAAATCGTCTGTGCGTATTGCCATAGTCACTGGTGCCGCTCAAGGCATGGGAGAGTCCATCGCTCTGCGGCTCGCTGAGGACGGGCTCGACGTCGCCGTAAACGACGTTCCGACTAAATTGGAGCAACTGGCCGCAGTGGTGAAGCAAATTGAAGCCAAAGGAAGGCGTGCAATCGCCGTGCCCGGGGACGTGAGGTCCGAGAAGGACGTGAAGGCCTTGGTTGAAAAGACCGTGGAGACTTTCGGCTCGCTAGACGTGGTGCGTTTCGTAGCACTTTAATCACGATCACAAAGCTGAGGCTACTTCCTTAGATGGTTGCCAACGCCGGCGTCATGCTCCTCAAGGCCGTGCTCGACAGTACGCCTTCGTGTCTGCCTTCGCATTATGACCGCTACAGTGATCGCAGCCACTACTGAAGATACCGATTTCGTCTACTCCGTGAACGTAAATGGCGTGTTCTGGTGCTTCAAGTATGCCGCGCTGCAAATGATCAAACAAGGCAGAGGCGGCAGAATTATAGGTGAGCCAACGTCAACCAACTGATACTTACGGCGATCAAGCGTACCGCTCATAGGAGCTTCGTCCACCGCTGGTAAGAGAGGTACGTACAAGGTTAGGTTAATTCCGTTACTTACGTGTTGAACGGATAATGTCTCTAGGTCAGGCAAACATGGCTGCCTACAGCGGGTCGAAGTTCGCTGTTCGCGGGATCATTCAGAGTTGCGGTGTGTGAATTCCATAACGCTTGCACTTCCTGCGTAGAACGTGTTACAGCTTCAGAATGGGCACAGCACAAGATTACGGTGAATGGCTATTCACCGGGTGCCATCCTCACTCCAATGGGTTCGTGCATATTTCGCGCGTCACGCTGCTATTGTCTGACGCGATCACGCCCTGCAGTTCTTCATCCTGATGATGCTATCAACGGGGGACCAGCCTCGACGGCGATGAAGGTAATGTTATTCAGTTCATACCTTTCGACACCGACCGACTTCTGGAAAATAGTACATAGGAATGCCCCTTGATACTCGCATGCTGAACCGTCGGTCATCGCCAGCCTTGTATCCTATCTCGCGAAGCCAGAGTCGTTCTTCGTCACTGGTAAGCACAGTGTTTGTCAGTGTTTGAAGGGTTGAATGACTGGTCGCTCATGATATGGCGTCTTCATGCAGGTCAATGCATCAATGTTGATGGAGGTCTCCGTTATGATTGAGCGAGGACTGTATTAGTGCGGATTCCAGTTTTCCTTTCCGTTTGTCGCTCCAGGTCGAAGGTGACCGATGAATGTATGCTCGGGCTCGCTCAACCACGTTTGCCGATAAATGTATGCTCGCCCTCGCCCAACCACGTTTACCGATGTGTTGCACTCGGGAACATCGCAGGATATATATTTTTGTATTAGTCCTGTGTCTTGAGCTCTCTTCGTCATTTGCACCGACTGTCGGTGTACCAAGCCGTACCAGCTTGTCGCGATGTACTGCTTAGGATCCATGCGAAAGGCTTCCTCAGTGCGTCTGCCGAAGGCTTTATTAACTTCAGCCTAGGGTTCAACGTTCAATATATATGCGGTAGCTGCTGGCAAACTACTGTTGATATGAACTCCGTGCTACAGACGTGGGGTGTCGGATGTACGCCGTTTTTATTTCGACTCCTTCCTCATATCCGTGATTTCGGCTTTCACACAAATACGTAATCGCTGGCGCTCTCAGGCCTTCAAGCTTCAAGGGTCTTCTACCGAGTATCCTCCACCGCAACAATATGTGCACCGTGATCTCCGGACACCTATAAGTATGGCGAGTTCGTCCGACTCAACTCAACTCAACTCGCGGCAACACTACTCCCCGCGACGGGCCAACTGGCTTGTACATAGAATTTACGTCACCCTTCAGATCACCGGATAAGATGCAATAACGTTTGAGGAGTGGATCATGATGTTGGGTATGAGCGCTCTCTACAACGGGCCATGCTGTTGCCCTCTTCAATTATAATAGTCTGCTATGAATTGCAGGGGTCGAACCGTAGCACACCATTCCGGACCTAACCGAAAGGTTTGATCTGCGAAACGCGTCACAGATTTGGTACACTGAGACGCGTCGACGCGACCAGTGTAGCCTAATTTCATCTAAAAAAACTTTGTGCCCCTCATTAAATTTAAATGAGAGTGAAGGAGCACATTGTTCAGCACTCATGCGGAAACCAAGTCAGCAGAGGGGCACAAAGTTTTTTTTAGATGAAATTAACAGGTAGGCTACGCTGGTCAGCTGGTCGCGTCAACGCGTCTCAGTGTACCAGATCTGTGACGCGTTTCGCAGATCAACCTTTCGGTTAGTCGGAAATGGTGTGCTACGGTTCGACCCCTGCAACTCATAGCAGACTAGAACCATCCGCCTTCCTACGAGAAGTCGACTGCATTGCATTGTCTTGTCGTCAAGTCAGCCAGCGTCTGCGAATCATGATTCTGACCGGCAACCTAATGGCATATAAGAATGCCCATGCGGCTCTGAGGTGTGCCCTACAGTGACCCTTCCATCATGCTAATCATGCCCGTGGTAGCCTTTCTGGCGACGTTGCCAGTCCTTTCCGTCTTAGGTGGACAGGTCCCCATGATCGATGGCGTCTTGGGCGGCGTGCCCGCCTTCCGTGCATCGTACGCAGAGGTCAAAGAGAAGGTAGCGTCTGCAGTGCCAACCCGTGTAACGGGGCCGCTACGCGTCACGGAAAACAGCGGTATCTGTGAGACCACTCCAGATGTGTATCAGGCGTCGGGTTACGGCAACATCTCGTCCTCAGAGAGCATGTGGTCCGTTGCATCTTTCACTCTTGTTTCTGTACCTCTTAAATTACTTTTCACCATTGGTATCACTAGGTTCTGGTTCTTTGAGGCACGGAACAACCCTGATACAGCACCACTCACTATATGGCTGAATGGCGGAGTGGGTAGTTCGTTCCTTCGTCCTCGTTTCTTATTAGTCAACTTCGATGTCAGCCTGGATCTTCGAGCATGATCGGCCTGTTTCAAGAACATGGTCCTTGCCGAATTACGAACGATAGTAGCAGTGTGACGCTCAACCCGTACTCCTGGAATGAAGTCTCCAATATGTAAGCCGACTCAGACTCGAATTTCATTATCTCGCGTCGTGGCAGCCCAATTGCATTCTAATGCATCTACAGGATTTATGTTGATCAACCTATCGGTACTGGTTTCTCATACGGCACGACCAATGTCCGCACATCGCAAGAGGCCGCAGATGATATATGGACAGTAAGTCGGGTTTTTTCCATAACGTTAGCCCTCTCAGTTGTTGGCACAGTTCCTCCAAATATTCTTCGCGGATTCCCGCTTCAGCAAGTACCAGAAAAACGAATTCGCACTGTGGACAGAGTCGTACGTATGCTACTATTTCGCCTTCAATCTTCCATTGACTGTAAGCTCCCATCGCAGATACGGAGGCCACTATGGACCCGCATTCGCAGCGTCAGTCAAGCTCAATCCTTCACGACGCGTCGACTAATGCCACTATGACCAGCTACTTCTTGGAGCAAAATGCTGGAATCGCCGACGGATCTGTGACCGGTGTGCTGATCAACTTGAAGTACCTGGGAGTCGGAGACGGTATCACTGTAGGTCATTCCTCCTCGAATGTTTTATAGTCACTCCGATTTCTGCCAGGATCCGCTCTCGCAATATCCCGGATACATCGAATATGCAGGTTCGAATCCGTGGGTATCCCGTTTACATGTGCGAACTTAAGCTCATGATGCTGCGCTCGCCAGGTATCACCCTCTCGTCTCAAGCTCGGTGATCGGCACTGGGAACCAATCCTGGACATCGAGACACGGTTGCAAAGCGCAGGCGAGTCGCTCTGATCTCAATTACTTTTTCCCCGCCAAACACCGATGCAGATCGAAGCGTGCTATGACAACGGCTCCGACGACACATGCGCGAACGCGCAACAGTACTGCAACGACAATATCCTCGAGCCACTCGCAGGCAATTATGACGTGTACTATGTGCTATCGCAAAACCCGGACCCATACCCGCCGGACCTCACGCCGTACCTATCGAACTCCACGCTCCTAGCGCTCATCGGCGCAGATAGCCAGTGGCAGGAGGATAGTAACGAGGTGTACAACAACTTCGCCTGCACGGGCGATTGGATGCGCAATTCACGGCCGGATTTGGAGACGGTCATCAATTCGGGTGTGCGCACGATTGTTTATGACGGCGATGCTGTGCGTCGATCTCCGGTGTACTTCGTCGGATGATGAGCTGACGGTCTTGGGTGTGTATAGGACTACATCATGAACTTCATGGGTGTTGAAGCTATGGTTAGTATCCCACTTGATACCGACGGCCTGAACCTTGCTTATCTATGTCCTGCAGGTGGCCAACCTGCAAACAGAGTTCAGCAGCCAGTTTGCGCAGCAGCAGTTCACCAGCTGGACGGTCGCTGGACAGGCCGCAGGGATCTACAAGAACGCCGGGATGTTCTCGTACGTGCGCATCTTTGGCGCGTAAGTGTCTCTCCAGCCTATTCATATTATTATTTGTTGATACTTACTGTAATTGTTTCTTGCTGCAGTGGCCATGAGGTCGCTGCGTACGAGTACGGCACCCTTAGCAGAGGCCAGGCGGCGTTGCAGATGTTCAGCCAGATCATGAGCAATCAGTCACTTTTCTCGACGTGACGAGGGGTCGGTCATCAGATAGCTAGGATGTCGGACTGACTATACAGCTATTGATCGATATTGTTCTCGAATGGTTGTGCAGTACCAAATGAGACACGTACGTCGTGTGCTGAGGTACACAGGACTACGGCCGACTTCTGCCATCGACTTAGTAGGAATGCACGCTACGTGTCCACGACCATCCTTCGTCGGGGAGCAGGTGCAACTTATTTAAATGTACACGAAATAATAACGATAGGCGATACACTAAAACATCCGTAGCAATACAAACAGCAGAATTCGAGCCGATCCCACGTCAAGCGTACTGTAGTAAAACATCTGGTCAGTCGACGGGCCTGAGACAGGACGAATATCGTGTACGCACTCGTGTGAAGGTACCCATTGTCATAAACGTCTCTTTTTTGGTCGAGTTTTTCGAGGCGTACAGCGACTTGACGGCTTCGCTCATCCCCGCCTTGCGCTTTGCCTCCTCCTGCGCAAGGCTCTCCGCGACCACTCTGCTCGCCGCGGCGATGCTGGGGTTCATGCTTGGCGTGGGCGACACCTTCGAACTCTTCTTCACTGGTCGCTCGGAGTCCCCGCCGTTGGGGTGCGCCTTCCGTTTCTTCTTCATCTTTGCAGGCTCTGCGGCGCGCCGGCGCTCCATCGCCTCCCGCATCTTCACCTCCTCCTCTGGGGCGGGGTTCAGCAGCACGACGTCCTCCGCGCGGTCGTACTTGGTCGCGCACTGCGGACAGACGTCGAACTGCTTCCCAGTATCGTCCTGTGCAGCCTCTTTCTCGTTCTTCTCTTTCCCCTTCTCTCCGTCACGCGTGCCGTCAATCCTTGGGGGCGTGGTGTTGCCCGAGACAGCCTTCAGCCCCGCGTGCGAGAAGACGCAGCCGCAGGAGGCGAGATAGACGAAGGGCTGCGCGCCGTTCATCTCCTTAAAGTTCAGCGGACACACGAAGGGCGCGCGGGTGGGTGAAGGGTCAGACCCTGGGGCCAGCGCCGCATTCGGAGTCAGCTTCAAAGTCTTCACGTCCTGTGTCATTAACGCGTTAGGAATGGGAGTAGGTGAAGTGGGGTGTGAGCGACGTACCTTCAGCGACCGGATGTGGCCGCAGATCTCCTCTCCGTCACCGTAAGCTGTCCTGTCTAGGAGGTACTCGAGAATGGAGTCTTTGTTATACAGCTTTCCGAGCGCACACGAGACGATGGGGTCTTGCAATGGGCGCTGCGAAAGGATGAGTTGCGATGTTCTGACGAAGAATCTCCATACATACCTTGGACAGTGCACAAAAGAACCACCTCGCACGAGACTGGTTAGCCTTGTCTGCTTGTTCAGCCTGCAAATGCAGTTAGTCGAACGCAGAGTCCGTGAATACGGGAAGTCAGACACACCTTCGGTTTGCTGCGGACGAGGTCCCGTCTATCGGGAATGCTTCCTCCATCATTACCCATGTTGACGCAAGAAAGTACGAAGGATACAATAAAGAGAGTGAAGTCAAGATGGGCGTCAACCACGAAGGTACCTTCAGCTCGGAAGCGCTGACTACTGGTATATGTAAGCGCCCAATTGTCTGTCCTTACGTAAGCTGCTGTATCTTCTCGATTCGCAACTTTTCTTCGCCACCGTCTCGGAGAATGTTCAAGTTCAATTTCGACGTCGACGACGATCTTGACACGGATGCGCCTGTGGCTGAAGAACCTGGTTCAGCAAGTCTACCAGAGCAATCGCGAGGACTTGAAGACGTACCCGAAAAGCGCTTCGCCGAACACCCCCTCCTAGACCTCGTAAATGCGCACCACCATTCTCACGGGTATCGCAGAACTCATTCCAGCGAGCCCGCCAGCTGTCCGTGCTCCCGCCCGTAATTTCGTACTCCCCCCTTGCGGTGCCGCTGTCGTCGCACCGGCAGCTGGCGCTCGCGCGGCGGGACCTGTTCGACGCTCGATTCCAGCTCATCTTGCTTGGAGATGAGGACCCTGCAGGTTACGCAGGTGGAGCATCTGAGCTCGAGTTTTTGGATGCGCCTTCTGATCTTGTGCCCGGGGTATATGAGGGCGGGCTGAAAACTTGGGAGTGTAGCCTGGATCTGGTAGATTGTCTGGATAGCATGCACGGAAGTGATTATGCCAACAGCCTGAGAGGGAAGAGAATCCTCGAGGTACGTCTATGAGCGTATTAGGAGTTGTGGTATATCGACTTGATGAACTGTTCAGCTTGGCTGCGGCACCGCGCTGCCCACCTTGTACCTCCTTCATCAACTATTTTCCTCTCAGCCGACTCCAGAACGGCCAGAGACCCATGTACATCTGCAGGACTACAACGATCTAGTTTTGCGGCTTGTCACGCTGCCGAATGTCATCCTGGCATGGTGTGCGTAACCTACTGTGTTATTCTCCGTCGTCTGGCCATATCTGACGGACCCTGCGGCACGACTCAGACATGTCACCCGCCTCCGCTTCGTACCGTTCGTCTGCGCTCTCTTCTAACTCAGACCCAGAGGCAGACCAAGATCCCCATCCACCGGCGGACCCTACCCAGCTAGGCGAACTGCCTCTTACGCCCGCACTGACCGGGGCATTCCGTGCGTCTCTGCAAGAACACAAAATCTCACTGCGCTTCTTCTCAGGCTCATGGGGAACATTCGACCTGCAAGCCGCCGGAGGGTCGTATGACATCATACTCACCTCTGAAACGATCTATCGGACAGACAGCCTACCCTCGTTGGTCGACCTGATGTGGCGCGCATGCGGCGGTGCTGGGCCTACAGTCGACAAAGCGGACGTGCAGCACGAAGAATCCGCTGATGCCCGGCCGCTGGAAGATCTCGTTTCTGCACAATTGTCGATCTCTCCGAGCGCGCAGTATCATTGCCTTGTAGCTGCGAAGCTGGTATACTTCGGGGTTGGCGGTGGTGTCTCGGAGTTTGTGCACGCGGTCGAGGATGCGCCTTTGTCGACTCGGAGAGAAAGGGGAGCTGTGCAGACTGTGTGGGAACGCAAACAAGGTGTAAGCCGGAGGGTTATGCGCGTCGTATGGGGAACTACTCAATGAACGTATGCATACGTATTTTTATTGTTACGCGCACCCACAACCCTAGATCTATTGCACAACAGACTGCCTCGATTTTATCCTACTAGATAAGATAGGGCTCGTTCATACACGACTGGTTTGAGCGCCCGTGACATTAGGTGACATATCACGTGAAATTCCTAAAAAGGACGTCAGTGGCACATTTGAAGCTTCAGAATAAGCCTAAGCCCGACATGGTTTTGGTATCTCCTCGGTCCCCAGGTCAAACAAAATAAATATGCTTCCCCACATTGATCACATTGGGTTTCTCTACATTCTGGGGAAGCAGATATGGCTTAAATGCAGTGTAGCATGAGTAGTTGCATTTTTGAAGGAAATCTCCCCCAAGTGTGACATCTTGGATCACGTGAGGCTAGTCGTGTATGAACGAGCCCTATCTTAGTATTATACACATAAGACACCATGCAGACTGCCTGACACTGTTCGAAAGCTCATGCCATTCAAGCTGGTCTGTGCAATGACCCGGGGTCTCCAGCAATGACAACCATGGAGCTGCGTAGTCATGAGTATAGCACATATTGGTCTCCGGACTTCCACTGGGCCTAGGCAAAACTTTTGTCCACATCTAGCGGTGTAAACGTATCGAGAAGCTTACGCTAGAAGCTGGTCAAAAAGAATAGTTGAAGAAAAACCACAGCACCCAGGATTCCCGCGTGGTCCCCCACCGTGGTACTAACTGGGCGGCACTTCGGTTAACTGCGCAGATCGGACGGGATGCGGTGCTTTCGAAGTCCTATGGCCGTGGATAGCTTTCTGTGGTGCGATTCCATCTATAAAGGGTATATTGAAAACCGGCCCTACCATGCTCTCATAAAGATCTTTGCTCGGAGAGCAAGCTCCCAGACCAAAAGTGTCGCGGCGGTGTCCGCAAAGGTGGACAGCGGAGGGAGTAAGTAGGGACTGTGGGGTTAGGTGTTGAAGGTCCCAGGGTTAGGGCCACACATATATTGCCCGCGATGATGACGACATCGAATGGAGTATGGTTCTTCTGTATCCACCACCACCCGGAGTCCATGCACGATTATTATTCCGCTCTTTCTACAGAGTTGATCGTTGCAGATACATATTTTCGTCGAAATTGAGGAACTCGCTACTTTCTCCCTTCGCCACGTCTCTTCACCGAAACATGAGCTCAAGCGACGGCTCGCGACATCTGAATCGTTTGTCACAGGCCAAAAGCCCGTATTTGCTGCAGCACGCTGAGAATCCGGTCTGTCTATTGTCACACTATTCTTGCGTTCCTCGACCGAGATGCGCCAGGTTGAGTGGTATGAGTGGGGAATGGAGGCGTTCGAGAAAGCAAAGCAGGAGGAAAAGCCGATATTCTTATCAGTACGTTATTCCAAAGAGTCGGCGCATTGTAGTGTCATTTTTGTAATACTCGATGAGTAATAAATTCATTGCAGGTTGGATACTCTGCTTGCCATTGTACGTAGGGTGTCATGATCTTCACGCTCATGTTGATATATCCCAGGGTGCCATGTTCTCGCACACGAAAGTTTTGAGGACGAGGTCACAGCCAAACTCATGAACGATCACTACGTCAATATTAAAGTACTTCGCATTGATGATGATCCGTTCTCTTGCTCATATATATCCCTAGGTCGATAGAGAAGAAAGGCCTGACGTTGATAGGCTGTACATGACATTTTTGCAAGCTACGACAGGGGGCGGCGGATGGCCTATGTCCGTCTGTGAGTGACGATCTGTCTTAGCAGCAGTTGGATACCGTAACCGCGTTCCAGGGTTGACTCCGGAGTTGCATCCCTTTTTCGCCGGAGTAGGATCCCCTAATTTCTCACTAGGTTCGGTGCTGAGCACTAGAACAGACTTACTTTCCGCCAGGCCAATTCAGGCAGGTCCTGATGAAGCTTGCGGACGTGTGCGTCCCCTCTCTACTTCTTACACGTGCTCGTCTCATGTGGATATTGGCCTAGCTGGGAGAGCGAGCCCGAGCGTTGCAGGGCAGCTGGGAAGGACATTATCGAGCAACTGCGTATTGCGTCAAATGTTCACGATACCCTCACGTCCGCCAACTTCGTAACTTACCATTCCTTTCATGCAGGTCGCTACAAGCTCGGCTATCATCCCTGTTCCCTCACTTGCCTCATCTGTCTTCTCCCGTCTGCAGAGGTTGTTCGACGTGCAATACGGCGGCTTCGGTGCTGCGCCGAAGTTTCCACAGACTTCGTCAACTATTCATTTTCTCGCGCGGTACGCCGCGTTCAATATGGGGGTGGACAAGGAGAAGATGACGGAGGCAGAGGCCGCACGGGATATGGCTGTGCAGACAATGGTGAAGATCTACAATGGCGGGATCAGGGACGTCGTCGGCGGTGGATTCGCGAGATACTCTGTTGATGAGCGATGGCATATTCCACATTGTGAGCCTTTGAAACTCTTTGCTTGTCTATTTGCTAAACGCTTTTCATTCGAACAGTCGAGAAGATGCTGTGAGTTGACGTCTCCAGCGTACAAATGCTAAGGTAGGTACTGATGCTAAGCTTCAGGTATGATCAAGCACAGCTCCTCTCCTGTGCTCTCGAACTGTTCCAGCTCCTCCCCGCAGAATCTCCTCAGCGGGCCACGCTGCGAGCCATGGCCGCAGACATCGTCTCATACGTCGCGCGCGACCTCCGGAGTCCTGAGGGCGGGTTCTACAGCGCCGAAGACGCGGACTCGCTCCCGTCCGCCGATAGCACCGTGAAGAAGGAGGGCGCGTTCTACGTATGGACCGTGCAGCAGCTGGAGGAGCTGCTCGGTGAGTCCACGAATTTGTTTGGGTACCATTTTGGCGTGGAGGCCCAGGGAAATTGTGACCCGCAGCACGATATACAAGGGGAGCTCCGTGGTCAGGTAAGTCACCTTTTGTGCGCGGCTGTCCTCGCATCGTGCAAAGGAAATTGACGATTATTGTTGTTGTTAGAATGTCCTGTATACGGCGCATACACTGGAAGAGACGGCGGAGAAGTTTTCCCGTCCTGTAGATGAAGTGCGACAGGTACTTGATGCTAGTCTGGCCAAGATGAAACGACACAGGGATCAACACCGTCCTCGCCCCCATCTTGACGACAAAATTCTGACATGCTGGAATGGCTTAATGGTAGGGAACCCTCCCTTATCCGCAGTGCTACCGTCTAGGATTGATCAATGGCGCTAGATCTCTGGCCTCTCGAGGGCAGCGGAGGCGCTTAACGAGGATCTGGGCCTGTGCTCTCACGCGCTTGAGCTCGCTGAGGAGTCGGCAGCGTTTATTCGATCCAAGCTCTATAACGAAGCTAGCGGGGAGCTTTGGCGTAGTTATCGACAGGGGCAGGGGCCCACCGGACAGGCGGATGACTACGCTTTTTTGGTGCAGGGTATGTGCTATTCGTCTCAGAGCCCCGCCATAGGCTCAACGTATGCACTGCAGGATTGCTAGACCTGTATGAAGCAAGCGCGAAGGAGGAGTATATGTTGTGGGCAATTCGGCTGCAGGAGAAGCAAGACGATCTCTTCTACGATGAGAAAGAGGGGGGATACTTTGCTTCTGCTCCGGATGAACACATACTGGTGCGGATGAAGGATGCTCAGGTTAGTCGAGCCGTCTCTTTCATGCATTCCGATTTTCACCAGTTTCAGGATGGAGCCGAACCGAGCGCGGCGTCGATAACGTTGTCGAATCTCCATCGGCTCGCACACTTCGCGGAGGACAGACACGCCGAATATCAGGAGAAGGCGCAGAGCATCCTGACGTCCAATGGACAGATACTTGCTGCGGCGCCCTTCGCGCTCGCTGCTATGGTCAGCACGGCGCTCATGGCCGAGAGGGGGTACAAACAGGTATCGCTTTTGACTTATACGTGATATTACTACTAACGGGTGTTTTACCTCACAATCAGCTCATTTTGAGCGAACCTCGTCGAGAAGGACAATTTCCGTCCCTGTTCCTCCAGACCATTCGAGGGCTATTCATTCCTAACCGCGTGCTCATACATCTTGACACGACGAAGCCGCCACGGGAACTCTGCCGAGTCAACGCAACACTGCGAAGCTTGATATCGGATCTCGACAACCTCGAGGGAGACGCTGCCGCCATGGTGCCGGCCAACGTCCGCGTTTGCGAAATTTTCACGTGCGGGCTGCCCATCGAAGATGTGGAGGAGTTGAAGGGAATTTTACGGTGAGTGCTGCCGCCTGCCCCAAGCCATGGATTTCTTGTATTACTATGCCCTCATGTAATGGTACCGCACTGGACGCAATCGGTTATCTGATTGTATGACCGCCATCGCACGTCAAAATTAGCATGGTACCAAAGAAGCGACTGCGTTCCGCCATTATAGTGACCGGAAAGCGAACACGTCGCAAGTGCCATGGATTCTAGGTGGCCTGTGCTACCTTCCATGCTTCCGCCTCGAGGTTGGGAGAGCGCAGTAACTGTCTCTTAACAGTGCACCGTGCGAGAGATACCTGCCCAAAGGACGCGGCATCGTGGGCAGCAGCACCACTGACGAGGCATCATTGTGAACGATGGATTGCAATCATCTCAGGCTCCATCACTGGTGTTCAAAATGTACGTAATTATCTTCATCTCTGCGTGCTCTGCGGACAGGAATTATAACGATCACAAATTGCTTCGATGCGATCACAAAACCACGACGATGAGCTCGGAGGTTCCCTCCAATAGGCCGGTGGGGTGTTGACGAACCGAGCAGTGAAAGTCTCGATAGCACACGCTACCAACACTTGCAATCTAAGGACCTGAAGAATTCTTGGGTATAGTGGCTCCGTTGAGTGCCCACTGGTGAGTAGCATAACCGATCGCCGTGCAACTACTTATTCTGAAGCGAGGCGGAATAAATGCAACTGGTCGCAACCATGCTTCTTTGTTGATTGTTATAACATGCAGGCGAATCGAGTTTATTCTGCAATTCCTGAGTTGCACTCAGGTTTCGTCCATCAGTCATGGATTTTGCCAGACAACCTATTTCTGGTTTCTGGTGGACGTCTCTCACTGACTACCGGTCGACAAAGACGCTATCGTTGCATCACTTATTACAATCACCTGTCAGCTGCTGCATTCCGATGGCTTCTGAAACCTACCAGCTCAACCCTGATGATTGTCTCGTTATTGGCCTCATTATCCCAGTGTGACCTTGATCTCTATTGTCCATGACGTACGGCTTACAATGGCGAGAGAAGCTGCCTACATTTGTTTTGCTCACCGGATATTGCACGGTTTGTTTGAACTTTGCCGCAGTCAGAATTTCGTTGCACCTGCATGCAGCATCCTGCCCATTGTAGTTTTAGCATCGACCCTCCCACAGAACAATGAGTATACTCCACGTGAGAGCGGTATGGAGACTTGATTGAACGACGACTATCCCCTCATGGTGTGTCCATTTTCCCCTGGAGTGATCGGGGTCGTAGGCTAGTCCATCAAATTTGGCATTCAAGTTGCTTTCCCTACACCGGTGAGCCGGTTATTGTTTGCCAATTTACCCCGCATTCCTGTGACGCTAACTGTTAGGGTTTGCGCCGTATGGCTACTCACCGTTAATGAGTCGTCGAAAGGCTGATTAGCCTGGGTATCTGAATCTGGCTGCATACTCCAAAGATGCTACCCCGGTGTGTCGAAGCGGGGCCCGTCAACTCCGGCTGGTGATTATGGTCTGATATCGCACGCCTTCATCGAACAGGCACACCGAAGGTGGCTGTATTTGTAAATGCATCTCGCCCAGCATAGCCAAGCGTCGTACTTCCTCGATCTGAAATAAGTCGCCTAAGGCATTCGACTCGAAGGGTACAAATTTCTCCGTCTAAATGATGTTCCAGTGGTATAGTGTCCGTGGCATGTACGCTGCTCAGGTCCTTCCTTTACTGGTAGTGCTGATCAATATGGTATGGCATCTCGGGTCCGAGCTAGCTGTGCCAACTTTTCGGCTCTCATTTTTCCCTGGCTTTGAACCAAGGTACGATGACGAATTCAACTCACATCTGCTCTTATTTGTCGGTCGTTGCCATCGCGAAGTTTCTCCAGGTGTATCTGATCTACTGCCGACCAGCCTCTGATCAACTTGGATCTGTCCGTGCATTCTCTGACAGTGGCTGAGTCAAAGTATCCTTTCATACGGGACGACAATACTCCGAGGCAGGCTTCGTTACTGATTTGGCACGGTAATGGCTGATACTAGTCTTGTGCCGGTCCGTTGGGTCGAAGACGATCTCATGCGATGAGTTTATGATTATCGTGCATAGTGCATGACTTCACGATAGTGAGTCGCGCTGTCTCATAGTATTGAAAAGATCACCTGCTGAACTCCCGTGCCCCTCAAGTAACAGCTGTAGCTCTTTGGCGCGTTTGAACACGATGGATGACGCGCGGGCAGATTCGATGCGGACGTAGTCGAACCTCAGGCGAATAATCATTCCGACTTGGCAATTTAATGAAAGGCCCATCCAAATTTGCAACAGGCAGTCTAGTGCCGACGCTGCCTGAAAGATTAAACCGTACTTACGTGTCCTCTCCGCGATATGGGATGCGTCGTGCATGACAAGTGCTCGCCTCGCCATCTACCTGATCTAAAATAGGGAAATATTGTGCAGGGACAGCCAGTTAGGTATGTCGTCCATGGACCCACACACCGGCACCGCGTTCTAAAAGTTACTTGTCGGACGTATACCGGGATAATCCACGACCGTACTAAACCCAAATAACTCCTGCCAGTGGGAGCTTACCCGGCCCCCTCAGTCCTCGTTCTTCGAGCTCCATCTTTCAGCCTCGGACATATCTTCCAATTCGATTTTGACCAGGGACTCCGGGTGTTCACCACTTCCGTTTTCTCGAATTATTCATGAACGTCGTGTCCTTTTCTAGTGCGAGTAGTGCTGCCGTACATCTGGCGCATTTCCGGGTGCTTCTGAAGAACAAAGCTTGGTATCCTCCGTATGTTCGTCCGGCACGCCGAACCGCGAGCCCGCTAGGGCGATCTGCGCTCCCGCGAAGGACCGATCTCAAGCTCTGTTCAGCCATGGGACTATCGATCGGTGGATGTGGTAACCAGCCCTGTCTCTAACTCAAGCTTTTGTAGCTTCCGCGACTATCGATGGATCATCGATGCACTGTCTAGTAGGTACTGCGGCCTGCATTTGTCTGTCTATTGTCGTTGAACGGAGTCATTGTGTGCCGTGTGCCACGTTCTCGCAGGGCGGCGATTTTCATTATCTTCCTAGCTTGCACCTTGGCGTTCCATGTACGTCTGCACAGATTCTCGTTCTTGGTGCACAGATTCTCTCCTCTCGTTTGAAACCGGCACCTTCAAGTTCAGGCCATATCCCGCAACGGCCGAAGTCGTGGCGACGTGCTCGTTCCTGAGAACAACGATGGTGATGCTTTCTCCATCAGTGTACCTTTTAAACTAGCAAAGACATCAGAAAATGTTGATGTGAAAGGTATTGATGTTACTAGTTGTTTCTTTAGACGCGCGTGATCGCGGTTCTGTGCAATGTCCTTTTTCAATGATGGTATGAACTTTGTCTAGCCTAACTGATGTCTCACTCAAATGCAGATCATGCGCCCAAGTTGCAACATTCCGGAGCATTTTTCAGTTGACCTGATCATTGAATTCTCTGAGTACCGAATGTCAAGATGTGCTTGAACGAAAAAATGCAGGCATGCGCAGCGGCCCCGGGCGCCGAACCGGGTCCCACCAGTGACATTGAATATTGAATGTACTACAAACCAGGTCGGCCGATTGTTCGTTCGTGGGTGCAGAAACTCAAAAACGGCCGTCATAACCATCATCATCGCTGACGCAAATTACCAACTGCTTACCGCGGTTATTAGAATTCCCGGGAGCTACTCTGCAACCTCCTGAACCCACATTGCCATTCCGAGGCCTGGTCGCACAGCAACCTCAGCACCCACGTATCCCACCCGATCGACGAGCGTCCACTGAGTATCTGGCCCCCTCATGCTACGAACGCACTAACGGGTAACGCGCATCATCGCTACGTACGCCATGACGGACCATCACGTAGACAACCCGCCCTCCAGACCTCAGCAGAGATATCATTACACGGATGCGCGTGCATGACACACACGATCGATCGACAACACCAACCCCGCATCCGCACAGCCCTTACCCCGCATTTGCCTCCGCGTCCACTCCCGGCCGCGTGCCCCTGAGGATCCCCAGCAGCCTGGTGGGCTAGCTGTGGGACGACTGTTAACCCCGCACCACCCGCAGCGTGCTCAATGGTTCTCCCGGCCCCGCGGTGTGGAGACCCACATTTACGCCCGCTGGGCGTTTGGCGGCCGGATCCCCTTGGCGCGCACATGTAGCTGCTCGGTGCTCAGCGCTCGGCGCTGCCAGCGTTTGGACGTGCGCCTCGGTGCCCCCGCGGACCCGGGGGCTCCACGGCGTATGCTACGTAGCAGCGTACGAGAGTGCAAACAAAAAGTTCGATCCAAACGTCCGTATTCCGCCCTATAAGCTCTGAGAGCGATATGACAACGGGAGATGACACACAACAGGGCGGTGCGTATGCAGCTTCTCCATGCCCGAGAACGTGCGAAAGTCGTCGAGAATAATGATCTCCGGACAGCGCAGTTTCTAGCCGCGACAACGCCCACGCACTTGCGATCTCCGGCGGACACGCTAACGTCAGACGGAGGATGGAGAGTGCAGGGGCGCACGACGCCACGCTTCAAGGAACACCAGAACGGACGTGGTCCGGATGCTGCATCTCCGGGACCAGCACCAGGCGCCTCGGCTCCGATCAGCATAATATCGCGGACGAGATGAAGGTGAGAACGCACACGCACTCACTGGTCGACGTCAGCGCAGCGCAGCGCCACCTACGCACCCCCATCTCGTAAAGCGTAAAGCGCCCTGAACGTAAGTTGTTTAACCATCGAGCCAATCGTGACGCACCTGTTCGGATACATCACACCTCCGACAGACAGACAGACAGACAGATACACGAACACTGAACCTGGAATTCAATGAAGTCAATCACCACGACCTCAGCACGACCAACGCGGAAGCAATACTCGCCAAAATCACCCTCCCACACACACCCAATACCCCGGCCCCTCGCCGCCGTCAAAGATCCGGGGCCGGACTTATATCGTCAGACACCCCCAACAACTCACCGAGCTCTCAATCACCGTCGCCCGTCCATAGCTTGGTGCGCAAATGCTTCGGATCCCGAGGCGGGCAGCGGGCGGATCCACCAAATGACCTGTCCCCGGCACGCGCAGTTACGACACGAGCCCACCTACGCGGAAAAGGCACTGAACATACCACAGGCCGAGCAGAGACAGCAAGCCAGAGCAGAGTTACCGGCTCCCAAAGAGGAGAACGAGCACCTCCGGCGTCTGGCACGCCCACCCCCACCGAGTAGGAGCGCGCCTCGCCACTTACGACACCGGCGGCACACGGATCGCGGCCCCGGTGTGTGCGGGGCGACATGCACGCGGAGGAGGGTGCGCGTGGTGCGCAAGGAACGACAGGATCTGGGAACTGTATCTGGATCAAGAGAGACGGGAAAGAGTGCGCGCACGGGGAGGAAGGGCGGGGACGACTCCGGATTTCTGAGAACCACATCTGGATCAGAGCTCGCAAACGAGGCCGGCACCTCAGGCTTGATTCGGCCCCACATAAGATCACGTTTCTTGCGTCGCATTGTCACCGCACAAGCTGCGGAAGTTCTTGAGTGAGTGCAAAAAACCTGTCAGGGAAGGACAAAGCGCCACCCAAAAAATTTGATGGAGTTATAACAAGCGCTCACCCAATGGCAGTGCGCTCCGGGGATCACACGAGCACAGATGGCAAGGCAAGGCGAGGCAGGGGAGACAATATTCTCTCAAAGAGGCGAACGAACCCCCTCCCCCGGCGCATGCACCGCTCGCAGTAGGAGCGCGCCTCGCCATTTACGACACTGCTCCGCGCACACGGATCTTCGGCCCCGGTGTGCGCGCGAAAAAGGAACGACGCATGGATCTAGGAACCATAATCTGGATCCAAGAAGCGCAAAACGAGAAGGGAAGGACAAAGGTGAGTCGCGTCAAGAACGACGCGACTCATCGCGCGTATGTATGTTGTTTGTGGGGCGGGGAGGGAATTAGAACGACAGGTCAACGCGCGGGCGGATCCGAGGACCGTAATCCGGATCAGAGAACCACAAAAGCGAGAGACGAGAGACGAGAAACGGGAAGGAACAAAGGGCGAAGAACAAAAGACAAAAACGACGCCGCCGGCCCGCGCACCAAAGACGCGAGGCGGCGTCTCCTACGCCACAAACGCTACCACGCCCCTCGGGCAAGTACGATCAGAAAAAATAAGGAGCATGACATCACTTACCACGGAGACCGAGAGGACCTGCACGAACCCCAGGATCCAGGATTGAAATTTGAAGATCGAGGACCCGAGTCGAATACGGCTCTAGCGCTGGAACCGCAGCCCACAATCGCATACGAGCCCAGGGCTCTAAAAAAGAAATATATATATAAAACAGGAATATGGGCACCACACTATCATCGCACGAGCACAGCAGGACGAGCGAGAGTCGCCAGAAACGGCCCGTCCAAAAGTGCATCGTATCATCCATTAGACAAGCGGATAGAGGATGGAGCATGGGGCGATAGACGCACTAGGAACGACCCTCTCCTCTGGAAGAGAAGAGCGTGAGGACGTGATCCGACGGTGATACCGCAGAAGAGACAATTGCACAGAAGGCCTACGAGGGAGGGGGGGCAGGAGGCGCACGAAGAACGAGCTCCCTAGACGTATAGAACCAAACACGCACGAGAACCGTGACGCCCCCGCAGAACGCAAAACGCAGACACGTCGATGCCGGCAAAGAAGCTCTCGCATGGCACGCACATCATGAATCCCAGTCAAGCCCAAGCCCAAGCCCGAAGTCGAAGTCGAAGGCAAGGACCTTTGAAAGACGATGCGAGACTCCCGCGGTACTTCCCCCCCCCCGCGCGTCGATAGAGCGCTCACGTTCTCCAGAACGGTCAATCCGCAGAACGCTGAGCTTCCAAGTTGGGAGCTGAGAGGACGCAACCGACTGCTGAGCAGGACTGGAGGGGGTGACGAAGGTAAAGATAGGGCTGCAGTCATGCGTTCCAAGTGCAGAGAGATGCTTACGGGCCCCAATCCGAGCAAGCCACTGACACCGGTCGCGCTCACGTCGAGTGCGTTGACTGCGCGTGAAACGTGTGTGTGTCATGAATACGAACATAAGGGGTACCGTACTGCCCACTTACTGAATACCCGATCGACGGTGTAGTTGCTAAAGGTCACGTTGGTCTGCAGGACGAAACCCCCGGCGAAGGAATACTGGGCCATCGATACCGTAGTTAAATCTCGCCGGCCACGGAGGTGTCGTAAAAGTAGTCGAGAGAGACACTCCAGCGGTATCAACCCAAAGATCGTTACTACCCGTATCGAGGATGACCTACGGCGGAGGGTTTCAGCCATAATCAATGTAGCGTCAATGTCATTTTGGACACGTGAACGCACCTCGCACGCTGTAACCCCCGACGGTGATGTCGCCTTATGTAGCGCTCATTCGCGACATTGTCGAACCCGCTGAGGGTGTCGACGGACGATGTCGCCGCCTGCTTGGTCGCAGTCACAGAACGGACAGCCTTTCGCGGGAGAATCTCGCGGCGGAAAGGAAATGCTAAAGCCGAGGGAACTGGACGCAAGTGCCGCGCACAGCAAAGAAGACTTTGGGGATAAGCTAGAAAACATCGTGCAAGTGCGTACTGCGCACCGCAGCTTCGCGAGTGCGAATAACGCGCACCGGGCGATCGCCCGAGCACGGCCCAAGAGTCGCCAGGATTTAGAAATCCGAGATATATATATACATATGGGAGTGCGCGCTGTAGCTTAGCCAGCGAGCACTGAGCAGAGCGAGTAATTGAACGCACCGTAAGAGCGGACGCACCCAGAGCTGAGCGAACGAACGGCACCGCCGGACACGATCGCAGAAGGAGCGATCAAGCAGAAGGTGCGCAAAGGCCGTGGCTGCGCACGCGCGAGATGCACATGGGCGCCGAACGCAGAACCAGAGTTCCCCTTCTCCACACAGACAGAGAGGACGCAGCCTGGGGCAGACGCACCGGCCAAACACGCACGTCAAGCCCAAGCCCAAGAAGTCAAGCCCCCCGCCTCGCGCCCAAACTCCACCCCCTCACCTGCACTCCCCAACGGCCCAACTTGCCCACCACCCACATCCACGCCTCCGGCCGTGACTACGCTTCTTTTCCACCCACGCGCGGAAGCCCCATCGCAGGCGCGTCAGATCACCACGCACCACGCACGGTCACGTCTGAGCTAAAGCGACGCCGATGGCGTGGGCGTCCTCCGTTCTGCGTTCTGCGTCCGGAGCGCGCGACCGACCGCTGGGTTGCGACGAGAGGCGGGCACGGAGGCGAGTGGGGAAGACGGGGAGGCGGAGAGGTTCGGGCAGCAGGGCGCTCGGTACCGCTTTTCGTTCGCAGTTTCTCGTAACTTTGGAGCACTCTTTGTCTGACGGGTCGCAGCGTGTGGGGGCTGATCGCATAGTGTGATCGCGCTGGGGAGGGCTGCAGAGCAGGGGACGCGAGGAAAGAAGAGACGCAGAGAGAGAGCTTGGCAGACTCGGTGGGACGGGAGATGATATATCCTGGATTGGGCGCGAGCGCAGCGACCGCCGGGTCGTCAGTTGTAAGTTGTAGGTGTCCTGGGATGTGGGATCTGGAATTTGGACGGGGATGGGAACGGGAGAGTGTACGCGTACTAGCCATAAATCACTATGACTGCGGGTGTGGCTCGGAAAAGAGCGGTGAGGTGGACATGTCGCAGAGCGGGGGTATGCAGCAGGGCGGTGCGCACGGGCCGGGGATCTAATGATGGCGCGCACAAGAGGGTGGCATTTGCAATGCAGAATGAAACGGGATCAGCGACGGTCGTGACAGGGCGACCAGGGGCGGGGGGGGGGGGGACGCGCTATGGAGAGCCAGCTTGCGGGCGACTAGCGAGAGAGTGCCAGATGCGGGGGGACTGCGATCGGAGATCGGGCCGGAGGGGGCGTCGGGGGACGCGGCGGGGAGGTCTGAATCTGCCAGGGGCTGATGCGATTGGCTGGGGGATGCGCTGCGATTGGACTGATGCAGCTTGCCAAGGAGGGGGCGAAATACATATTGCGTTGCGGCGCGGGCGTGCGTGGGGGATGCGGCGGATCTCGAGCGCTGCGGCGACTGAAGCGGGTGGGGGAGCTGCAGGCTGCTGGATGAGGGGGGCGGGGACTGCGTTCGTCGTCGTGGACGTGGTCGCTGGCGGGCGGGGCGAGGAACGGGGGGGATACGTCATGGAGAGTGACAGAGGCGCGCGAGCGGGGCGGGCGTAGATTGGTTTAAGCGGCGCGTTTGATGCCCGTTTCTGGGGTGCCCGCCGTGCGTCGCGGGCTGGGCACGACCGCGGTCGGGGGCTGCCAGGGACGCGTCTGGGGCGCGTCGCCTTGGGCCTCGTCGGACGGGGAGGACGCTGGGAGGCGGGGCACGGTGCAGGCAAGGGAGGAGGGAGACTGGGGTGTGAGAAAGGGGGGGGGTGCTTGTACGTGTTTTGACGAGATCTGTGGGAAGATTGGCGTGAGAGCCGAAAGAGGGGAAACGCGGGGACGAACGCGGGGGGCAGGCCGGCACGCTCGCCGGGGAGCGAGAGGGCGTTCATATATCGCCCGCGAGCTAGAGGGCCCTCCTCCCCATATTCTCTCCTCCAGCCATGTCCTCTTTCTTTGCCCAGTCCTTCAAGCCCCAGGTCGTCTCCCGCCAGGAGGGCTTCCACCCACTCCCGTCCCCGGACCCGCCCTCGCCGTCCTCGCCCTTTGACTCCAACGCCAACGCCAACAACCACCACCTCTTCATGTCTCCCTTCCTCCCAGACCCCTTCCGCAAGTTCCCCGCCGTCGACGCCCACCTCGACCCCTTCTCCGACGACCTCGCCAGCTTCATCGGCAGCGCGCCCTCGCCCCACCACCACGCCCAGTCGTCGCAGCACGCCCAGAGCAACGAGCGCTCGACCCAGAGCCCAGCCTACGACGACTACCGCCCGCCCCCGCACAACATCTTTGACATCTCCGCCCCCACCCCGCACCACTCCCACCAGCAAGCGTACCAGCAGCAGCAGCAGCAGCAGCAGCAGCAGCAACAGCAGGGTGCGCACGCGTACTCGCTGCCGCCCGCCTCGGCGCTGCACCCGCACGGCCTGCACGACTTTACGACGCACGCCCACTTCAACAGCACCCTCCCCGCGCTCGGCTCCTCCATGCGCTACGAGCCCCCACCCGCCTCCGCCGGCGCAGACCCCGCCTCGGTCCCCTCCTTCTCCTCCTCCCACCTCTCCTCCCTCTCCACCTTCCCCGACTTCCACATGCCCCCCTCCGGCCGCACCCCGTCCCCCCACACCCCCGCAGCGCCCCCACACGCCGCCTCCTTCTCCCGCTCCCGCTCGCGCTCGCGCCCCCCAACGGCCCACCCGCACGAGCCCCCCAGCACCAACGGCGGCCCCGCCCGCCGCACCCGCGCCAAGCGCGGCAGCCTCAGCTCCGTCAGCCCGCCCCCGCTCCACCGCGGCCACACCCAGCCCCTCGTCATCCCCGGCCCCGGCTCCGCCGTCCCCCTCGGCGCCCGCGCACCCGCCAGCCCCCTCGGCCTCCACTCCGCCACCGGCTCTGGCTGGTTCCTCCCCGGCCCCGGCGAGTTCCTCCCCACGCCCGACAGCGTGCACGGTGCGCTCCCTTCCTGATCTTTGGCTTTTTGCGCTCATGATGTGTGCAGGTGGCTTCTCGGCGTTCACGGGCCCCGCGAGCATGAGCAGCGTGGGCGGCGCGACCGCGCTCGGGGTGTCGCCCAAGGACTCGCCCGTGGCGGAGAGCGCGCCCCCGCCTGGGGACGTCGCCATGAAGCAGTGCGTGCTCTTCTCCTTGCCTTCTTGCCTGTGGCGCTGATCGGTGCTCGGCTCGAACTTGACTGGATTGGCGTGCGATGGGATGCGATGGGTGCGATGGGCGCAAAGCAGAGCGCTGCTGGCGAACGAGAAGCGGCGGCGGCGCCGCGAGTCGCACAACGCCGTCGAGCGCCGGCGGCGGGACAACATCAACGAGAAGATATCGGAGCTCGCGACGCTCATCCCCGAGTGTCTCCTCGATCCCAACGGTGTGTACCCCCTTCCCCTGTTGCGTTCTTTCTTATGGGATACTAACGCGCGCGCGGGGGCAGCGACGCTCACGATGCCCGCGTCGCTCTCCGCGTCGGGCGAGGACCTGCTCTTCGGCGGCGCGCCCGCCAAGGAGAAGGACAAGGACAAGGGCGCGGCCTCGCCCGCGGAGAGCGCGAACGGGAAGGAGGACAAGGACGGGAGCGCGGAGCCCGAGGACGGCGCGGGCGCGGTCGTGAAGGCGAACAAGGGGATGATCCTCCGGAAGAGCGTCGAGTATATCCGGTGCGTCCCCCTCCTCCTCCTCCCTTTGCCTTGCCGCCGCCTGAGCGCGTGTGCGTTGCAGGTACCTCCAGCAGCTCGTGTCCGCGCAGGCGTCGCGCAACCGCGACCTCGAGCAGCAGCTCAGCGCCTTCCGCGTGGGCGGCGGCGCACCGTCGTCGTCCGCTGCTGCTGCCGCTGCGGAAGACGAGCTCGGCGCGCTGATGCTCCACGAGGAGGTGGACGCGTTCGGGTTCTTCGCGGGGATCGGCGGCGCGCCGCACGCGAAGCGGCAGCGCGCGCGGCTGGAGCGCGTGGACGAGACGCAGATGGAGGTGGACGACGCGTCCGCGGCGACGTCGACCGGGGAGGAGAACGACGGGGAGGGCGATGGCGACAACGAGATGGCGGACGCGAGCGCGTCGCTGCCGTCGCCCGACCCGGACCCGGACGAGGGCGCAAGCCAGGGCCAGGAGGAGGTGAGGGGGCGCCGTGGGCGCCCCGGTGCTGGTGGTGTGGGTGGGCCGGTCAAGGTGAATGGGGTGAAGAAGGAGGGGGACATGGAGTCGTGAGCGCCGGTGTGTGATACCCCCCCCGCTGCGATACCCGCGCGCGCGTGGAGGCATGTCCTTTTTTTTTTTTTTTTGGCTTGTTCTCTCTGTCTGTCTGGCGGCGCGCCGTCGTCGTCGTCGCTGTGTATTTGTGGTTTCGGCTCGTGGGCTGAAGAAAATTTTACGGTACTGCTCTTGCGCTCTCTCTCTCTCTCTCGCTCTTTCATCTTTTAGCTCTTCTACATACATCTCTACATACCGTCCCCGTTTTTCGTTTTCCCCGCTGCTCCTCGTACTGACCACGTGTATGATAGCGTCGCACGCACTGACCCGACTCCTCGTTCTCATCTATACGTTCCATCTACGTTCCATCTACTCTCATCTGTACGTTCCACGTTCTCATCTACTGACCGCCCCCGATTCCGGGTTACACGCCTCCGACCCATGTACTTGCGCCCCGCCCTTTTTGCTCACCCGCGGGGGGGGCGATATGGATACGATACTGAATAAGATAACGGATGTATAATCGCGCCTTGGCGCGTTTTGACCCTTCCTTCCCTTCGTGCGGCGCGGCTCTCGCTTTGGGTGTTGCGCTCGGACCCAAGCCACGGGCATTCGAATTCTTCGACACGGCCGATTCATGCACCGGCTCAAGCGTCCTCCCGACAGAATGAACTGTGCGACCAGAAGTGTTTGCGATCATACACATGAGGATGGGAGCTATGTGGAGGACACTGGCCACGGCCGACCCGACTCGACTGGGTTGTGTGCGTTCATCCCATCTATTACGTTCCCTTCATCTACCGCTGACTCAATTACACGAGACCGCCATGTACTTGTCCCACCCACCCACTCGCCCAGCTGAGGGCGATACGATACTGAATAAGATAACGGATGCACAATCGCGCGAGGTCACTCTCGCTCTCTTGGAACTTGCGCTCGGACGCGGGTGAGTTGCAGGCGCGCTCAAGACGATGCGTAACGCCAACGGACTGAAGTATGTAACGGGCTGCGGCGTTCGATCGTGCGGGCGGGGGCGGCGGTAGAGAGCTCGGGACACGGACGAGTACACACGAGGCACGCCTCGCCCCGCCCCTAAGCACATCGCCTCCCACGTCGAGCGCCGGGCAGTGGCTCGCGGCAGAAGCGCGGCCTTCTTCGCGTCCCCCCGTCTTCGTCTTCGTCTTCGCCTTCGCCCTCGCCCTCGCCCCTCGCATCCGGAGTGCGTGCGTGCTGTACGTTGATGACGGACGCGGACGAACGGGGGGATCGCGTCTTCGACTTCGGCTTCGGCTTCGCACTCGTAGGTGGGTGAGTGGGCGAGCTGTGCTTGGGCAGAGATGTACGACGTGCGACCGGCAGAGCGTATCCGGCGTTCTGTATGATGCTAACGGACGCACAGAAGGACGGAGGACGATGAAGACGCGTCCTGGGCTTCGACTTCGCAGGTGGGCGGGCACTTGTCTCCTGGGCGGAGCGAGTGAAACAGACAGACAGACGGCGATAGACCGGCGGACGTATCGAGATAGCACCGCAAGGCAGGCAGGCAGGCAGACAGTCGACGCGCGCAGCTCAGGGTTCAAGCATCAAGGTGCAATACCCAGCACACGCAGCAGACGGGCAGGAAACCAGACAGCAGGGCCACAGACCACTCTGAGAAGAACGGCGAGGCGCGCAATGACATCGCCATTACGGCGTGCACCAGGCCAATGAGCGACAGGGCATGACAGAACACGCAGTCGGCCCAACCAGCGAGGGACAGCAAGCTCAGATAGAGGGGGAAGTGCGAAGCCAGATAGACAGGGGGAGAGAGAAATCAGGAAGGCAGGAAGGCCGCGGAAGGTACGGACGCAGAGCCTCGTCGACGTCGACGGCGCGGCGATTTCTCGGGATTGCGAATTTGAGGTCTTGGCTTTTGTTGGCACAATTACACGTTCGCGCGATAACCTCCGTAGGTGGAGCTGGGTCGCAAAGTTAGCACACGAGCACACGGGCCCGCGTTCCGCTCCTCGACTCATCGGTCTGTCTGCGAGCATCCTCCAGGCACAGCGCGAGAGCGAGCGACAGATCTGGTGGTGGAGCCCGAGGAAGAGGAAGTGCGATGGGAGAGGGTACAGGCTGCTCAGTTCTGCAGCATCGCCGCACCCGGCTTCGTCGACGGCTTACGAGTGCTGCACTCTCGCAGTGGAGCACCCCTCTAAGCACACTCTCGCACTGGGTCCATCGCCCGCGGAGGGCCCACGCACGAACCAGGTCTGTGGGTGCGACTGTGCGTCCGCGCACTACACAAACAGGGTGCTTCGCGAAGTTGTCGATATGATGTGGGGGGTGGTCTAGTCGCCGCGATCAGTGTGGGGAAATAAACAAGGCGCCTGCCGTGCCGAGGCGCTAGACGACCTAGCCGGGGGAATAGTTGATACCATTCGCCGATCGGAGTCGGAACGAACTTGGCAACGCCCCCCTCGTTAACGTGATCCAACTCAGCGAACGATCAGGCCGCAGTCCTTGGCCCGTGCACGGCGGAGGCAAATACAGGCGGCAGTCTAGCAGCGTCCGCGCGGGGCCAACAGAGACGGGAGAAAAAAGTGCCAGAACTAACGGTCTGCCAGTTCGGGCCCGCGAGAGTGCGGGCACGGTCCAATGGCGTTAATGGATCGTCCTATCTGATACCTGCGCAGCTGGAGGCGCGCGAGCGATGGACCGCGATAAGAACGCAGAGCGACGTGGGAGCTTCAGGCTGGTGGCGTCAAGATGGGGCTGAGCAAGGGAAACGTGAAAGGCTGCTGCAGCCCAGTGGGTAGGGGCACTAGGCGAACTGATTGATGCAATGCGGGGTAGGGAGATCTGGAAGCACCGCACACACGCGTCGGAGTTGAGGGCCAACTCAGCATGGCCCGTGTTTGCAGTTACCGTGTCAGCGACACAAGCAAAACACAGGTACCCGATGCCTACGTTCTGGAAGGACAGAAAGGGAGAACGTCTGGCAGCGGGTGCTTTACTTACGTTCAAGACGGGCAAATATTACTCCTTGAGGGCAAAGAGATCAGATAGATTCACTAGAAGAGCAGTAAACCTCCACGAAACGAGCTGGTGTGGGGGAATTACCTCGTACGTCCTTCATGTCAATCATCCTGAGAAAAGTGAATCAGTGATGAACGTGAAAGATGTGCGATGCTTACAACATGGATCACCATCGATTACAAACTCTTCGCACGGAGATGTCTTCCTTAGCGTCATGAATCCATGACTTCATGAGAAGGACGACCTGCGCATGAAAGACTGCGAGGAGACTAAAAATCGTAAGCAGCGCATACCAAGTGAGGAAAAGCATACCTAGATGAGCTCAACAGTGACGCATGCAGTTTTCAGTATCAGAATATGGATGAACCAGAAACTATCCGGACCACAGGGCGGGCGACGGGACGTCTGAATGACAGCACAAGGCGCTGCGTATAGCCAGACGCCAAGTGGTTCGGTCGAAGGCGAGGAAGACGGGAAGAGAAATAACAAGAAGGGACGGAGCTCCACACCTTTCAGAGGCTTCTTCTCCGATGGGCTGACTTACTGAATTAATCTCCGAGTTCAGCAGTAAATCAAAGTTGACATGCTTGCCTGGCACATCTAGCACACCTTTTACGCGTTCACATCCGGCTTTCAGGCATCAGGGCTTATCGAAAGGGGAACTTCACAGTCAGAACGGTCAGAGAAAAGACACACACAAGCCGTGTCGAACGACATGTGGAAGCACTGTTTTTCACTGACGCTACAACGTTTAAACAAGCTGTTAGGTGTGTGTGTGTCTGACCGTCGTCTGTTCTATCGGTTCTGTCTTCATTCTGTGCTGTGTATAGTGTAGAGGGTAAAACGAGTCCCATCGTGGTGCGGTGGCGTCTTCCACGCCGCCATCACGTGAGCCACTGTACGAACCGCATCACAGTTTTGTCCTCAGTTTTAAAATGTTATACTCGAATCGCAATTGTTCTCAAGCGACGCTATGGGCAACTAAGGTTCCTAGCAACAGAACAATGGCATCTCCTTGACAGCGGGAGTAGCGTTTCGGTTGAGCATTCTGCAGGAGGATCCTATGCTTTGATACTCCATCTGTATATAAGTACAGTCAGTAAATCCAAACGTCCGTGCCCGCTCAGGTCAACACTGCACAGGACGCATAACTCCTTTTTTCCCGAGGAAATAACTTGGAAAAATGCGTGGAAATCAACAAAGTTATACTGTGGGAAAAACATGAGGAAAAAACGTAAAAGAACAAAGCATTTCCGCAGTTTTTCCACTGGAAATAAGTTGGTCGCCAAATATGGTAATTTTGTCCGGGTTTTGGCATGTCCTCCTGTCATGTCACTGGATGCAATTTCCAGTAAGTTGGCGGGAGTACGTGAATGTTATTTGGAAGATAAAGTAAATGAGTTTAGTGTAAGTGGCATGGCTTACAAGAAACTTATCTGAAAGTTACTTGAAACCTATCCCAAAGTAGAAATAACTTCATAATAAGTTTCCCATTTCTAGAATAACTTTCAGATAAGTCTCTCCTCAGCAGTGCAACTTACACTAAATTTATTCACTCTATCTTTCAAATAACTTTTGCATAGTCTCCTCAACTTATTGGAAATTGCATCCAGTGTGTCCAGCTGCCTGATATGGTAGGCAACTTATTTCCAAGGGAAAAAACCGTGAGAATGTTTTGTTCTTTTCTCACTTTTTTCTTGAGGTTCCTCTGAAAATATATTATTGATTTCCATGCTTTTTGCCAGGTTATTTCCAATGGATAAAAGTGGTAATGCTTCCTGTGCTGGTCAAACCATTGAGACCAAGACAATGCCAGACATGGAATTAGAAGACTTGATAAATCTCCAGGCCTTTGAACAATGGAAAAGGACGCAAGAGGTCGACGAACGATGCTCATGGGAGGTAAGCGATGAGAGAGTCAAAGCAAAGGAAAGTGGCATCTCGAAGGGGGCAAAGCAAGGATACTATACTTACCCAGATGATATGGACAGGGAGACCAGGCATTCCGTGAGGGCAAGTACCAGGACGCATACTTGTACTACACCACGGTGATAGACAGCAGCCGGATCTGGCACGATGCCCAATACTGGCTCAGCCACGCTGCGGTCTGCATGGAACTCAGTTGGGAGCCTATGCCCATGCTGAGGCAGATGCTAAAGTGGCATATATCCGGACTCGGAAACAGTCAGCAGAGGCCTTGTTTCGACTCGGAAAGGCTCGCCGATTCCTTGGTCGCCTGGCTGAAGCTGAATGCAGTAAGGCTCCTCTCTACTTCTGCGTGCATTGTGGATGACACCTTTGGATGCGGCGTTAGATCTCAAGGATGCTCTAGGTATAGAACCTGGCAACAAGCTTAAGGGTCTTCAGGATGAGCTTACCATTACACAATCCCTGCTCATGGGGTCGGATGAGAATCTTCAAGAGTGGCTTGCTCAGAACAAGGGTGTTAGAAATCGTGCCTTAGTTCCCAAATAGGAAGGTAGTGATGGCGGGTCAAGATGCGTCGGGGCACGTGATTATGCATCCTAAAATAGATTTCTGTACATATACAGCTCTAGATGCTCCACTTTATATAAGCAAATTTCCTTCTTTGTCTTTCTTTGTAATCATGCCCTCGGCTTGTCTGCCCTTGGGCGCTCCCCAATTTCTGGAGCTCCAGAAATTTGGGCGCTACTTTCTAACACTCCCCCTCAAGCCGATGGGCATTCCGAGCTTCTTTGTGAGCTTCTCGTGCCTCGGCTTAGGGAGTGACTTTGTTAGGATATCCGCTATCATGTCCTCCGTGGAACAGTAGTGGATATCAATATATTTATCCCTCAATTTTTCGTGCACATAATGATGCTTTACATCAAAATGTTTTGATTTCGCGTGGAATTGGGGATCACGTGCGATTGAGATCGCCGCTGTATTATCCTCGAATAAAATTGTAGGATCTTGTTACTCGAAACCTATTTCTTTGAATAGTGTTCGGAGCCACACAGCTTCTTTTGCCGCTTCGGCGGATGCCATGTATTCGGCTTCCGTGGTGGATGATGCGACCGTGGTTTGCTTCTTTGAGCTCCACGTGATCGTGCCATTTCCTAATTTAAATATATATCCCGAGATTGATTTGTGATCTCGGATATCGTTCGCATAGTCTGCATCTGAGTAGCCCACAAATATGGATTGATCTTCGGGCTTGACATCTGCAATTGGCCCGTAGATTATTCCAAGTTCTCGCATTCCGGATAGATAGCGGAGGACACGTTTAGCAGCAGTCCAATGAGCCATTCCGGGATTGGCAGTAAATGAGCTAAGCCGTTGCACGGCGTGAGCAATGTCTGGTCTCGTGGCAATTGCCGCGTACATCAGTGATCCGATGAGCGATGCATATCCGTTGTCTCGGTCGCATTCATCATCAGTTTCGGGTTCTTCTTTTTCAAGCACTGTATTTGGATCAAGAGGCATCCCGACCGTGTTGGCATTCGTAAGCCCATTCTTGTGTAGGATAGACTCAATATATTTTGTCTGAGAGATTTTGATTGTCCGCTTTGAACGGTCTCTCTCAATTTCTATCCCCACAATTTTTTGGGGTTCGCCAAGGTCGGTAACTTCGAACATATTTCGGAGTTCCCTCTTCAATTGGTCCATCAGTGCGCAATCATTGGTGAATATTAATAGGTCGTCTACCCAAACGGTGACGATTTCTATCTTATCACCTTTGATCCAAATGTACGCACATGGATCCGAGAATAGGCGCTTGAATCCCGCGTCTAGTAACTTGCAGTTCAGCACGATATTCCATTCTCGGCCAGACTGCTTTAGCCCGTAGAGGGTTTTCTTTAATTTACATACGCGGTATGTTCCATCGCTGTATCCTTCGGGTTGCCGCATATACACTTCTTCTTTGAGAGTTCCATTAAGATAGGCGCCTTTCACATCCATCTGTCCGATCTCCCAATCTAAGATTGCGGCTAGCCCAAGGATAGCTCGAATGGTTTCGAGGCGGACTACGGGCGCGAACGTCTCGGTATAGTCCATGCCTGGGATTTGAGAATATCCCTTCGCAACCAGGCGGGCTTTGTATTTGATTATTTCACCCTCTTTGTTTGTTTTCTTAACTAGAACCCATTTATTTCCTACGGGTTTTCGATCTTTGGGAGGTTCCACTAACTCCCAAGTCTTCATACCCTGTAGTTGATTGAGTTCTGTCTGGACTGCCTGTTCCCATTTGGGCCACTCGAGTGATCTCTTGGCATCACTGAGCGTCTTTGGCTCGTCCGCATCTGCATTTCCGTGGGCGCTCATCGCAATATAGACTAATTCGGCATTTGATTTATCTGGATCATTATCCAGATCTTCATCTGCCTCTGGGTCATGCATTAGACGGTAATCATGCCGAACTGTCTTTCTTCTGGTTCGTCTGGGCTGGCTTGGTGCGTCCATCCCGCTTTCCTCGCGTTGATCAGGATCATCATCCTGTCTGCGCTTTCGCGGATTTTTGGCAGGTGACTGTGGCGCGGAAGTTCCTAACTCCCCCTCGCGCTGCACGTCTGCGGTCGTTGTGAGGTTTGGGACTTCGGGTCTCCTTTCCGCATGCGGCACGTCTGACGCATTGCTAGGTAAAGTGCCCAGAAATATATTTTGCTCCCCCTCACGCTGTGCTGTGAGGATAGGTACATCGGATCCTATTTGCTCTTGTGGCACGTGAGGTGCGTTGCCAGGCAAATGGTCCGGGGAATTCGAAGAAAATTGGAAATTACACGAGATTTTAATCTGGCGCGTGTGCGCATCATAATATTTGATGGCTTTGGGTCCGTCCATGTATCCAACAAAAATATACTTGTTGGCACGGGGCGCTAGCTTTGATAGTGTTGCGTCTTCCGTGAGGACCCATACGGGGGAACCGAATTCTTGTAGGTACGAGATATTTGGTTTCGTCCCATTCCATTTTTCTTCGGGAGTTGCCCCATTTAACGCCTGGGTAGGCGATCTATTTTTAATATAGACTGCATGAGCAATCGCTTCAGCCCAAAGATAACGAGGTAGATCTCTCGCATAGATCATTGTGCACGCTAGTCCAAGCAGTGTGCGATTCAATCTCTCAGAGACTCCGTTCTGGGATGGTGAGTACGGCGCAGTCGGACCCATCTCGATCCCTTTCATTTGACACCAGTTAATTAATTCGGTGTTCATATATTCTCGACCGTTGTCGAGCCTGAGTTGCAAGGGTTTATTTCCAAACTTGCGCTCGATATAGGTAATATAATTCTTTACCTTTTCTGTTACTTCATCTTTATGCCTCATAAATAGTACTGTACTTCGACGACTGTAATCATCGGTAAATGTAATAAAATATTTCCACCCTTGTAGAGCGGCTGTCTGCGCAGGTCCCCACACATCTGTGTGTGTTAATTCTCCGGGTACCTTGCTGCATTCGTCCGTCTCTTTGGGAAATGGCTTCCGCGTCGCCTTTGCTTGGATGCACGCCTCGCAATTAATTTCATCTGGGCTTGGCGAGATTTCTAGGCCATCAACAAGCCCTTCGCGATATAATCGCATAAGCGCTGGTTTCCCGATATGGCCATAGATCTTGTGCCACTTTTCCCAGGTATGCGGGCCGTATTCCTTAGCAGTATAGGTTCGCGCAGGTTGCGGAACTATTGGACGCAATTTCAATGAATATAGTCGTCCATTTTTCTTGCCTATAGCAAGAGTGTGTTTATTTTTATCTATTAGTATTGCGCGACTATTACCCATAAGTACTCTTCCTCCCGCATCGTCCAAACGCGTGATGGAGAGGAGGCTATTGGGTGCTGTCGGCACATACAGTACACCGTGGAGACAGAATTTCACTTTCCGGTCTCCTACTTCACTTTCGACATCAACCGTACTGCGGCCCAATGCCTGCGTTGGTTGTGATCCGATGCCCGTGATCGCGTGATCTTCGAGCGCCTGATAGGTCGCGAAGACTTCACGACAATTTGTAATGTGCGAAGTTGTCCCGGAGTCGGCAAACCACTCATAGAAAGAAGCGATTTCGCCATCAGATCCGAGAGATACGGTGTTGCTATCATTATCGTAGGCTATTTTTGCCTCATCCTCTTTCGATTCGACCTCGCGCGCTTCATAAGCACGTTCCGTCTTTTGCCGTTTCATCGGCGGGCCCTGTCCGGCTTTACCGCCGCCTTTAGCCCAACAATCTGTGGCCTTATGCCCGAATTTTCCGCAATTCATACATTTGACCTTGTCGCGGTGCCGACACTCATTACCAAGATGTTCTGGCTTTCCGCAGATCGAACATTTTTTGTATTCCCCAAAGGGGCGCTTCTTTCCTTTGGCAACCATGGCTTGGTCCGAGGATTGACCGTGCTCGCCACGCTCGTGCCTTCGCCTATTTTCATCAAGAATGATGGCAATCAATTCTTGTGATGTAAGCTGAGGGCACACGTTGTCAGCATCTTCGGCGCCAACATTGCCGCCCACGGCACCAAAGTAAGAGCTGAGGAAAGAGTCCCAGCTCTCCGGTAATGAGGTAGCCAGAATGAGCCGGAAATCCTCGTCAGAAACAACCTTCCCCATTAGGTGGAGTTGTTCCTGGATCTGTCGTAGCTGTGTAATGTGACTGGAGATATTATCTTCTTCCTTGGCTTGCATCCGGTAAAAACGCCGGCACAGCGCGAGAATTCCATGCTGTCCACGCTGTTCCTTGACTGTGCGAAGCTGCTCCCACATGGCCCGTGCTGTCTTGGCTCCAGCGATGTGCACCATCTGGGAATCTCCCAGCGATAGCACAATTACATTCTGGGCCTTGAGGTCCTTCTCTCCCCAGGTGCTGATCTCCGCCTCTCTCGCTGCCCTATTGGCCAGGTCATTACTCGGCTGCGGCTTCGGTGTCTTTCCGGTCACATACTCCTGGAGACCCTTATCATTAAGGATGGCTTCGACGCGGCACTTCCACGGGAGCCAATTGTCTTCCTTCAGAAGCGGGATCCGGTAAGCATTGCTATTGCTCGTATTATCAGCGCTGGTCGACATTATTTGTTCTCGTACTAGTAAGGGGGTAACAATTTTTGTAGCCACAATAGGGGCTGTTGTTATCCAAGTATTTATTGGCTAGAGCCGGGGCTCATAACCTGTTAGAAATCGCGCCTTAGTTCCTAAATAGGAAGGTAGTGATGGCGGGTCAAGATGCGTCGGGGCGCGTGATTACGCGTCCTAAAATAGATTTCTGTATATATACAGTTCTAGACGCTCCACTTTATATAAGCAAATTTCCTTCTTTGTCTTTCTTTGTAATCATGCCCTCGGCTTGTCTGCCCTTGGGCGCTCCCCAATTTCTGGAGCTCCAGAAATTTGGGCGCTACTTTCCAACAAAGGGTATCGACAGACCTCTTCCCGATATTTTCAAGGAGGACATTCAAAAGTGTGCTGCAGATATGTATGAGCAGTGCCAGCCCGAGGGATGGCAGATGGGTCTCATTAGATTGGACAGGATTCCCCTGAACTATGCAATCAGTTGATCTTTGTGGTGTTGGTGTTGGTGTCATAACACAAGAAGCATGGCCCAGTATTTTTTGCAGAAAACCCTCCAGAAAGGGTTAAAGTAAAGCACACAGAAAAACTGTGGAAAAAGAATAAAGTATTTCTCCAGGAAAAACTGTGATTCTCAGCTGCTGATTGGACAATCACAGTATTTTCCATGAAAATTCATTATGGTTTCTTCAAAAAATTTTCTCCTGCTTTACTTTATGAATTTTCTCAGGGTATTTCCCTGAGAAATACTTGGCTATGCGTGTTGTGTAAATAAACAGTATTCATCTCCTATCTTACGTGCACTTGCAGCAATTCGGATTGATACTACTCACTGTTTACGTTGAGAGAACATCAACCAGGCACATATTTTCGGAAGAGATCACAATTGATAAATCTACCGATCCAGCCTCCTCCAGTGGCAGTCTGCGAAGAAGGGTCGACTCGCAAAGCGATCCAACCTCTAGCTCTCCTCTTACATGACATCGATGGAAATATTGGTCAGTTCGGGAGGAGTTTACTAAACATATCTTTTGACAATTCCAGAGTCGATATCTCGACCTCCAATGTTTTTTTCTGTCGCGAATTTTAACAATAACGGAGCCAGGGAAAGGAAGTAGATCGCACCTTTTCTGTGTTAGCTAAAAGTACATTGGCAGGTACACTACATTGGTAGTTTGGCTGTAATTCAACTTTGGCGATCTTCTGCATGTTTACGCGAGCGAGGACTAGCTTGTTATCACATTTAGCGATTTCAGCTCGAAGATCGACAAGGCCCTAAGCAGTTGAGGACAACGATAGTCAGCCAGAATGTACTGCTTCAAGTCAACCAAGCTCTGACCAGCACGAGAATATGGATGGCGACGGTGGGAGTTAGGACTTGACCACCACATCCAGCTGGGATCTCCTTAGAAGAGTGCACGACCTGTACGCTTTTGCAGCCTTTAATGAGAGTGCGTAAAGTGGGAAGCTGAGATTCGAATACTTCCGCCTCCTCTCGCGATTGAATGTGAAGATATACTAGAGGAATCGTTAGGCATTATAACACCGGAAGTCATGATACGTACACTGAATGTCACTTTGTAAGTTGTACGACGCAGCCAAAGAGCGTCCACTCGTGACAGCTGTGAATACCAGGTCGAATTGCTGACTTGCATCATCAAATGCGAAGTTTGAATCCTGGCATACCATCAGACGAGTTAGTGATTGAAGCAGTACTCGCACGTACTGCTATCGGATATGAGGCCACCATGATGGATGGTGTAGGATCATTAAGTCTGCGGGGTAAACGCTGCCATAGCTCTTCCGTTATGTACGGCATGAACGGATGTAGTAATCTCAGTCCGTAATCGAGACAGGTATATAGGGTCTGCTGGACCGACTCGCGGACATCGCTGGGAGCGATCTCGTCACTCATAGGTTTCATCGCTTCCTGTAACGCATAAACGTAAGGCCTATATAAAATATATTGAGTACGAAGCACTCACAATGTATACATCACATAGTTCATTTAGCCAGAATTTGTAAGCAGAGCTAGTGGCCGACATGAAGTTTCGGTCTGCAAGGTGCGTGTTGATCTCGGCGGCAGCAACATTCAACTTATGAAGAATCCACCGTTCCACGAGACTTTCTCGCCCGCTAGGCTACGCACAGTGTCATCAGCAGATGAGTGCATGACGAGACGGTGTATAGACGAACCGTGGCCTGAGGCCAGGGTATGAACTCCCCGTTGAGTTTCAGCATAGCGAACTTTGTAGCGTTGAATATCTTGTTACAGAACTTGCGGTAACCCTCCACACGAAGCACTTCCAGATTGATGTCACGACCTTTACCGAAAAAAGTCAGTCATGAGTACAATGTATTGCTTATGTATTGCATGCAAATATTTCCAAACCTCCTCCAGAATAAGCGCATAGCGCGAATCGCAGTGCGTCTGCTCCGCACTGCGGAATACCCTTTGGAAAAGACTTCTTCTGGCCTTCTCGGGCTTTCTTGATTTCCTTCTCGTCTAAGTTCCCCCCCAGAAGCTTTGCGCGGAGCTCTTCGAGGGTTATACCTTCCATGACATCGATAGGGTCGATGACGTTCCCTTTGGATTTGCTCATTTTTCGGCCTTCGGCGTCACGAATCATAGCATGGCAGTAAACTTCTCGAAATGGAACTCTTCCAGTCAGTTTGATACCAAGCATGACCATGCGTGCTACCCAGAAGAAAAGAATGTCCCAACCAGTTTCCAGGACTGTAGACGGATAGAATATTTGCAAATCCGGTGTCTATACAGCAGCACGTGCGCATTAGAGAAAAGAAAGAAAAAGTAGACACCAACCGCTCACATTCTCAGGCCAGCCCATAATAGAGAACGGCCAGAGACCAGAGGAGAACCAAGTATCAAGAACATCTTCGTCTTGCTCAAGGGTGAATTGGTCACCGTTCGCTAGAACTTGCGCACGTTCCATTGCCTCATGTCTAGTCCTTCCTACGACCCACCAGTCGTCGTCACTCGTCTGATTGATGAACATCAGCGGGGAGACAACGAAGCACGACGAGAAACGTACATCCTGATTTCTACCCTCTATTCGCACGAAGTAAGCTGGGCACCGGTGTCCCCACCACAACTGACGAGAAATGCACCAGTCTTGAATACCCTCCAGCCATCTATACCATTCATTCTCGGATTGTTGCGGCATGATGCGAAGCTCGCCAGCTTTCGTACGCTGTAGGAAGATCAGGAACCATCGCTACTCAACAGCACGTAAAGGTAACCTTGATAGCTTCTTGAGCCAATGGAGTGCATTTCACATACCATTGAGGCTTCAGAATAGGCTCAATGACATCACCAGACTTGCTAGAAGAGAGTTCAAACCCTGCGACACTGAAGACAATATGTCTAGGTACCTGCAGATCCTGATTTCCATTGGGTTATCCTTCGTTTCAACATAGAGACCGGTATCCTTCAACGCTTGAACAACCGCTACCCGAGCATGATACCGTTTCATACCCTGTCATCATACCGTCAGGACCACGAAGTTCTGGGCTTCAAAACTCAAGTTGTACCTTGAAGCGTTCCCCTGCATTCTCGTTGAAAGTCCCGTCATCGTTGAGAATGTTGATGAACTCTAGGTTATGGCGTTTTCCGATCCCATAGTCATTTTCATCGTGGGCAGGTGTAATCTTGACCGCACCAGTACCCTTCTCCATATCAACGTGCATGTCGGTCACAATAGGAAGACGACGGTTCAGGAACGGGTGCACCACGAATTTCCCGTGATATTTCTACGGTCAGCGTGAGTGCAAGATTTGCAGAAAGCTAGGAATTTCCGCACCATATAACGTGGGTCATCGGGGTGCACGGCAATGGCAGTATCACCGACCATGGTTTCAGGCCGAGTCGTGGCAACAATGATTTTATCATCTAGGAACATTTTTAAGCAGACAGAAGTAGTCCAAACAGCGGAATACGTACCCGAATCCTCGATCAAGTAGGCAAACGATACCATGACCCCAAACTCGAACTTCTCCGTAGAATCATATCCGGGAACGTTAAGCAGTGTTCTTCCCGGGATAGTCACTGTCTCCACCTGATAATTCAAAAACAGAATGTGTGACCGCTAGTCTAAGCGAAAGAAGATAATCGGTACCTCTAGGTTCGAAAGAGTGGTGTTCATTTTGACACACCAATTTACAAGGCGGTTGGCTCGATAGATGATACCATCTTCATGCAGACGACAGAAAGTCTCCACCACGGCTTCAGATAAATTCTAGTGGATAACATTACGATGATCAGTCTTGTAGCTTAGATTCGATAGACATACCTTGTCCATGGTGAACGCCGTACGTGTCCAGTCGTAACTACCGCCAAGACGCCGTAGCTGGTTGGTGATGCGAGATTGATAGCTCAAAGGGACAAAAATCACCGATATGTACCAGAGGTTAGCTAAATACATACTCGTTCTTCCAATCCATAACAGTCTCTAGAAACTTTTCACGGCCGAGGTCATGCCGGGTTTTGCCTGAAGCTCTGTACAGACGATTCTCTACCACGGATTGGGTAGATATACCAGCGTGATCAAATCCCGGAACAAAAAGGGTGGTCTTCCCAAGCATGCGATTCCTGCAAGAACAATTGACGCAATTTTGTCCGTATATATATAGTGACTCACCATCGAATCAAGCTATCCTGAATTGCAGTGGTCAACGCGTGACCGATATGAAGACTTCCCGTAACGTTTGGAGGCGGACAAGGAATGACGAAGACTTCCTTTGACACAGGTTCTCCCTGCGATGTCAACCTGGGATGGAAGAATCCTTGAGCCTCCCACCAATCGTACCAAGCTGACTCGACGGCTACGGGATTGTATCCACTAGCCATCGGTTGCGAAAAGTCTACAGAGACGGTTAAGAAATAATTTCTACATCGAAAACTCGTATCGCACCTTTCTTTTCGCCTTTCGGAGTAGTAATCACAAACACCTCTTCTTCTTTAGTGCTCTTTTCAGCCGGGGTTTTCGAGGCGCCAACAGTGGGTGTGGTTGCATTGGAGGATTTTGCAGCTAACTTGGCTAATTTTTCTCGTCGCTTTACCTCTTTCTTGGCGGCACTCTTCGTCTGAGCGCCATGTAGAAGCGGGACCTCCGAAGCTGCAGCTGCACCGTCGGACATGTTGGGCAGTCGTTTGGAACAAGCTCCAGAGATCCTGGGCCCTGGGATCTGTTTGATTTAGTTGATCCATCGAGTCACTCAGAGTCAGAAAGACTCGGAGTCACTAGTACTTGATCTTGATGGGCACTGAGTGCGGCGGCGCTTGCGATATTTGAGCAGGCGCTAAATAATATTGTCGCGCATCAACTTCCCGAGTCTCCGACAACATACAGCTATTCGTCAGGTCAACGATACTTCCTAGCCAAAATGATGCCGAATCTTTCAGGTCTAAAGGATATCATGGACAATCCTGAAGGTCTGCAGCGCCTCCTCGACATGGTGCAGCATGACGCGATGGATGCTGAAGCTCGCGGAGAGACGTTCCAAGAGCGAATGATGCGTGAACGGGCTGAATGGACGGAGACCGACGACAGGGTCAAAGAACAGGCAAGTGGTATCTTGAAGTTTGCAAAGCGTGAACGTATGCCTACATTCTTTCTACCTTGATACCGACAGGGAAACCAAGCATTCCGTGCAGGGGACTTCCGGCGGGCATACCTGTGCTACACGGGGGTGATCGACGTAAGCTGCCACTGGCACGACGCCGCGTACTGGCTCAACCGCGCGGCCGTCTGTTTGAAGCTGAACGCGTATGCCTGCGCTGAGGACGATGCTAACATGGCATGGCAGCGGAAACCGTCGGCCAAAGCTTTGTATCGTCGCGGGCAGGCCCGCCGTTTCCTTGGCCGCCTGGCTGAAGCTGAACGTGGTAAAGCACATCTCTACCTCTTCGTGCGCTGTGGATGACATTTGAATACCGTACTAGATCTCAGCGACGCTCTACGTATGGAGTCTAGCAACAAGGCCCTTGCGGATGAGCTCGCCCTTATTCAATTCCTACGCACGAAGTCAGATGAGGAGCTTCAAGAGTGGCTTGCCGAGAACAAGGGCGTCGACAGACCTCTTTCCGGTGTTTCAGACGAGGACCTTCGAGAGCTGGCTGCAAAGATGTATAAGGAGTGCCAACCGCCTGGTTGGCAAATGCGTATATAGTATGATTTGTAGTCAACATTTTGCCTGTTGTTCTTCCTTCCGTTCTCCGTAACATTCGCGTCAGTATTCCCGTGCCGTGTGGGCACACCAGTGGGTTCAAGTTTGATGTGACTTTAAGACTCGCTTATTAACCACCACAACCATCAACGCGTTGACGCGTCGACGAACATGTCGGTGCGCGTCTACGTATCGTATTATACAATTCCAAGCCTGATTCCACGATACTGAGTATCAGGAAACGGCTGCGCCGCCCACCGGGTCTGTCGCTCGTCCGAGTCGTTCACGGAAGCATAGACATCCCCGCGGATACGCATATGCTTTCAGCTGGGCCATCCTCGCCCCGCTAGCCAAGGAGTTTGATTTTCCGGACGTGATGCTCCCAAATGGTCTCAACGTTTACTTCAGTTTCGCTTCTATCTCGTGAGGACTTGGGGTGTCCCCAATGAATGCTTCCAGAAACTCAGTACGAAAGCCGACCTGACAATGGGGTGGTCTTCGCCGGCAACTGTTCACGCGAGTGGATGAAGCCGGACGAGGATCTTGTGCAGAGGGTGAAGAAGGCGGTGAAGATGGAAGAGGATCCGAAGTGGTATTATCTTGCTCAGTAGGCATGCCAGTGTACTTACTAGTACTGTACATGTACAACAAACCGCTCTATGACGTAACTTGATTAGCGGAGGATCATTTTTCGCGCACTTTCTTGAGAGTTAAGAGACGACCGCCACCTAACTGGTACTGCAATAGCGAACCATGTCGGTGAGCCTGGGTACTCCCTGTCGAGGTATGCCAATTCTCTGACTGACCCGTAGGAAGCCTCTGTACAAACTGTCGCCCGTCCACGGAAGCGCCAATTTCCGCGAGGATATGCATATCCCATCAACTACAGCGTTTACGCTCCACTCGCCGAAGAGCTCGGTATCACGGGTGTGACTCTAACAAATCTCAACGCCTACTGGCAGTTTCGCTTCAAGCTCATGAACGCTTGCGATGTTCCGAACAAATGCTTCCAGGGCATCGGCCTGGAAGGCAGCACGAGTATGGCGGTAGTCTTTGCTGACAATTACACCCGCGAGCGGATGAAGGTGGACGAGGAGCTTGTCCAGAGGGTGAAGAAATTCCTGAAGACGGAGGAGGATCCGAAATGGTATTTCCTGTCGGATTAGTGAGTGACGCTTGCCAGTGCACGCGCATGATGTAGGAACAAATGGATGATTTTCGACATGGCAATTTATGAAGAGAGCATTGCAGTCACTGATCAGGCTTGGTCACCCGGTCAGGTCTCAGCCTTAATTAGTGTACCCAGCTCAGCACCACACTTGCGATTTAGTCGATGGAGGGCTCGGTAATAAAGCACTGTTGAACTTACGAGCGTTCCGAACGTGTGGCGAGGTTGGATAAGTGTACTATGTAAGCGCTGGAGCAGAGCGCCACTTGAGCGCTCTGGCAGGCCTCAACTATTGTGTCAGTGCTTAGGCCAACCAACATCACGACCTATATGTCAGTAAGTAGACATCTACTGTGTGCTCTAGAAATCATGCAGTTTTTCTAATGTACAGCCTAACCAGGAAATTCCGGTGCAACCAGTCGCTCGCTCACGGAAGCGTAGATACCCCCGGGGTTATGCATATCCCATTCCCTACAGTGTTTACGCCCCACTCGCCAAAGAACTTGGTATACCAAACGTAAACACGAAGAATGTCAATGCATACTGGCAGTTTCGCTACCGGCTCATGGAAGATTGTAATGTTCCGAACAAGTGCTTCCAGGGAGTCTATGTAGACGGCATGTCGTCGATGGCGGTAGTCTTCGCTGATACCTACAGCCGCGAGCGAATGAAGGCGGATGAGGAGCTTGTCCAGAGGGTGAAGAAATTCTTGAAGACGGAGGAGAATCCGAGGTGGTATGTCCTTGATTAGTGGCGTGGCCGCACGACCGTCATCATACGGTATGACTTTCGGCGACTGATAATTATACGATGTTACTTCGACGGATATCGGTTCAATGGTGAGAATTGGGAAGTTATTTAAATAATCGAATGCACTGGAAGTACTAAGGCTAATAATGAACGTTGAACGTCTGGCCTCAGGATTGGGCAACTCTTGTGCCAGTTCCTAGTGAAGTTGGAGTCGACTCAAGAGCACAAATTGATGGCCTTGAGATTCGTGTATCAGATGTAAATGTTCCAATAAATGCACTCAGACGGAGGATGCAGAACAGCGAGGGAGAGAACTAGGACAACTACACACAGCATAACATAACGTGGGCTCAGTACAAAACAACAAATGCGGCGAAAAAGATATCACCCCCTAAAAATCACGAAGGCCCACCAGCAATACCGTTTACCACCGGGGGTTGCGTCGCAGCCGCGCCCGCGACGGTAGTGGAGTCGTCAGCCTTCGGCACAGCCGCAAGCTTTTCTAGCCATTTCTTCCGCCTCACTGTGGCCGCCTCCAACTTCGCCCGCGAGGCTTCGCTCTCCTGCGTCGACGGGAAGCGGAATAAGATGTCCTCCGAGCGCGCATCGAAGAAGAGGCGGTACGTGCGCACGCATACTTTGATACCCAGGCCGCCGCGCGCGACAATGTAGGGTCGCGCGTCTTCCGGTGCCGGAGGAAGTTTGGATCTATAAATAAACGGTAGGAGCTCTGCTCATGAAAAGGCGCATAGTTGACTAACCGGCGAAGGAATGAGCGTCTTGGCGCGGATACTGTCGGGACACCTGCTGTGGGTTCGGGCTGGCGTGATAATTAGCGGAGAAATTACAAGGCTTGCGCGGTATAACACGCACAGATATGAACGAATCTACGTAAGCTTGCCAGCGCCCGGTGAGTACTTCGGCATCGTCGAAGCTTGAATCGTCCTTGCCCAGTAATTGCATGGTCACAGTTTTGCTCTCAGGGATCTGGACGTTTCGAAGAGAGTATCAGAGGGTGTAAAGTTTTACGCAAGTTCGAGAAAGTTGTGTACCCAATCTATGCGAAAGAGGTTCTCGTCCGGTCCGAGCACCTTCTCAGTATTGTGCCTACAATTAAGCAGATCCTGCGTGGTCGGAGATATAATGTCTCGCTCGCGCCGCAGGAGATCGAAGAGCTCTTGGCTCTTAATGTCGCTCAGTACAAGCTGCACCTAGACAAGTGTCATAAGAAATCCACCACGTCACTGGAATACAGCATTTACCTGCTTGATGATCGCACCAACGAGCTTGTCCACAGTAATAATTTTGTACGAATGCTGCACGCCAGTCAATCTCGTCTGGACTGTGAGTGGACATGTCGACTGACCTTGGTGCCAAACATGTACCGCATCTGGTCCTCGAAGACATGTAGCTCGAGTTCGTTGTCGAATAGCTTCTCGCACGACTCCAGCATAAAGTCGTAGTAGTGAACGGCTTCCTGGCGCTTGTCGCCAAGCTTGCCGATATCATTCAGGATGCCCAGCTGGACCATGACTGGGTTTGGCGTTGTCGTGATGGTGCTGCTGTCAGCGATCTCCTTGGCGATGGTTTTGAAGAGGTGCAAACGGGAGTAGAGTATCTGAAATAACCCATCAGCAATATATTGCAAAACATTTAAAAGCGACCTCACCTCCAGCAAACGCAAAACAACATAGAATGTCGTGTTTGTGTAGAACATGTAGCGCCCTCTTCGCCGCGCAGGAGGCGGATCGATTTGCAAGGAGTCTTCTCTTCGGTTGGCGGGAGTAGTAGACTGGGCGTCGTCTCCTTCAACTTGCATCGTCTCTGACATCGCCGGAGATGTTCGCCGCGATACGGATGGGGACGCAGCATCCTGCGCACGAGTCCGCCTGCTAGATTTCGCCTGCTCGCTCTTCAGCAGCTTCTTCCGCAAATCCCCCGACGAGCCTCCCGCCGGCTTTCTGCTGTTCCTCCCAGAGCGCGAACCGCTAGAACTGCCCGCAAACTCCGCGTCGTCAGCTGTGCTCTCCAAATCCATGTCGCTATCAGTAGCAGCCTCCTGGTGCGGCACCAGCGAGCCGTTAAATAGCACCGGGTCTAGGACGAAGAATAGCGGGATGAACGCGCGGAGGAACGTCTCGATTTTCTTCCTGTCCCCGAAGGCGATCTGGCCCTGCGTGCGGTCAAGGAATGTGAGTGTGAGCTTGACAGCATCCTGCAGGACGGATATATCGTCGACAACAAACTCTAGCTGATGGTGGGGCCGCAGGCGGGCAAAAAGTGGATCAATGAGCGACGCACGCTTCGCCATCTGCTCGTCGCGCGCGACTTCGATCTGGTTTACAAGAGCTCTCGCAGTGATCGCCTTCTTGTCCGCCGCCTTGAACGTGATGCCCTGGTGGTCGAGCGACTTGTGGTAGTTGCGAGCGTCGACCTCGCGCCAGACCTTGTTCCACTCCCGCTGCGCACGCTTCCACTCCTCGTGCTTCTGCTTCAAGCGCGTCAGAACGACGGGGATCGCGAGGGCGGGTACGTCCTGCATCGCTTGGTATACCTCCACGCCGAGCTCCTTCCCGTAGATCTTCTTCACCACCCGCTGGTGGATCGCCTTCCCCGCGCCGCCGAAGTTCGGCTTCAGCTTGAAGCTGTTGCGCTCGTCAGGACTCAGCTGCGCAATCTTATTGTTCAGCGGTTCCAGCATCTGGATCGTACGGTGTATCGCTTCGATGTGGAAGTCGTACTCATGCCGCTCCTCCTCGCTCCGATGTAGCGCCTCTTCATACACGTTCTTCTTGTGGGCCAAGAAACCTGAATCCTCGCTGGCGAATGTCGGCTGGGAAACCCACTCGTCATTCAACACGGACCTGCACATCTCGTCCCGGCCAGCACATTTTACGTTGATTTCCTGTGAATTGCAATATAAACTGTGAACAAATGTTACATGTGACGATCTATCGCACTTACGCTATCCGGCAGCTTGCGATAGCTGCCGTACCGCAAATTTAGCTGGTTTCGACTAGGCCGGTCCAGCGAGGTCATCGGCCACGAGTACACGTCTGCGCCCGCTGCATAGCGTTCCTGCTGCTCGTCATAGCCGAGTATCTCCCTGAACTGAGCCATTAGTTCTCCGTCTCCCAGATATGAGCGGCTCTGATGTACAAGCCGTGGAATATCGATGATGTCTTGCGCGAAGAGATTTACGAGCTTCAGGAATTCGTTGTAAGTTTCTCGACTGTCTAGCGCGCGCTTGACGCGATCGAAGAAATGGGCGGAATCGGTGGGTGTGAGTGGTGCAGATGGTTCGGGTGCAGGGGGAGGTATAGGCACGGGTGGTGCAAAGTGATGGGAGTGTACATGCGAGCGGCGGGGTGACGGTGGGATGACCGCATGGCGAGGTGAAGAGGGCTCGACTTGCGACCGTCCCTTCTTCGCCTTCATACTCGTAAGCCAGTCACAAACATCGATGTGCAACGAAAACTCACCTTGCTGCTGCTCGTCTTCGCTATTGCTATGCTCTCTTTATCCTTATCCTTTTCCCTTTCTTTCTCCTTCTCCACCGGTTTCCGCTTTCGCTTCTGTGGCACGGTCGAACTTGTCGATTCTGCTTTTCTCTTGGCTGGAACTTTGGCCTCGCTCACGGGTGTGGCAACTCTGCGCTCCTCCTCAGCCAGTCGAGCGAGCTCGATCTCCTGCATGTGTTTATCCGGAAGAAACTCGACGAAGTCCTTCATGAGGTCGGGGGCATCATAGAAGAGTCTGCCGACACGTGCCACAACGTCGCCCTGCGCACACCTAGCTGAGAGGATTGCTACCGACCAGGATTCACGATTCGGATCACGCACGTCGTCAGGCATTCCCGACTTGTCCGACAAGACCTCCAGAAATTTCTTGTACCGCTCCGGCTCGCCGAGGTACCGCGCCTTCACCCGTTGCACGTACGACAGCGCGGGCTCGAGGTTCACACTGGGTACCGGGGTAGCGGAGGGAGAGCGGACGGACGAAGCTACGACCGTTGTCGCGCTGTCGCCGAACATGAACGTCCCGTCCGTGGCCTGAGTGGTGGTTCCTGCTGGCGTAGTGACAGTAATGAAGTTAGGATTCTGCGTATCGGTCGTACATTCGATACGATAGCCAGCGGGAAGAAATGTGTTGAAGCCCTGAATCAGAGCTGGGTGGCCGTGGAACAAATTTGAGACGCGTTCAATGACACCTGGAGTATCAATACTGCAACGAGAGCATAATGTCAGCGGACAACAACCTCAAGGGTAATTGCGTACAGTTGGCCTTTAAAGTCCTTCATGATATCCAAAAAGTGGTTGTATACGTCCGGCCTCTCCTGAAACTGCATCTTTACCGAATCAAGATAGCTGAGGGCGTCCGTAACATTCAACGGCCGTTCCTGCGGTAGGCCTACCAGGTGTCCAGGATCTTCCGTAAATGATTCCGCTACGGCCTCGTTAGATTGTCTAGGCTGCGCAACGCGCTCCTCCAAAGGATGTGGGGCAGTTGGTACAACGTCCTCGGGATCCGGCATGACGGTGAGGCTCTAGTACAGTCACCGTTGCCACCACTCTTTGCCTCAATGGCGGCGTTGCTGACTAATGATTGCAGATAAGATGAGATCTCGTGCAGATCATGCTCCTTCATGCAACACAAATATTCCCTGTTACTACATAGGTAGCAGCATCTTCCATTCTAGATCTCTCATGCAAAAAAAGGACCTCTGAGGGGGCAAAAACGGGATCGGTCAATGTTATGGACATGTCCGGGATCGAACCGGACCCCTCTCGCATGACAGCGTGATTTACTGCGAATGCTAAGCGAGCGTGATAACCAACTACACCACATGCCCAACGCAACTCAAAGTCAAAAATCTCTACAGGTCTTGTTTATGACCAGGGACCTGCCCTATGTAACTGTTCGACATCCGCTCAACATCGACCACCACGCATCATGAGCACACCTCCAGCAGTAGCTCCTGTTGCAGCCCCAAAGGCCGAGCGTGCATCCTCGGGAGCCCGTATGCCGTCGCTCAACCAGCTCGCCGCGCGCATCAACCTCAATTCCTCAACCAACCCCGCCTCCGCCGCCTCACGTCCCCGCCTCGCCGCCGCCCTCCTCCGGACGAGTTCCCAGACCTCTCTTTCGACGGTCACATCCAACACCGACTCTGTAGCGGTACAACCGCCAGGATCGCGATCCGTCTCGCCAGCAAATCTCTCCGCCTCCGCGCCGCACAGCAACTCCACTACTCCACCCATCCCCGACAAGGGCGAGCAACTCACTACAGAGCGGCTCGAAAGGCTTAACAAGGAGACGGAGAAGAAGGAGAAAGTGCCCATAGGGTACAAGAATATTCCCAGCCTCGACGCTATCACCGCCCGCCTTGCAAAGGCGAGGACGCTTTCCGTCGATGGCTCCGCGAAACCTCCAGAGGCAGAGACCATCGAAGATCCAAAGACACCTGGTCTACGGATAAAGGCACCGGAGCACCCGCTTGAGCATACATGGTAAGCAGAATTTGTTCATGCCATACAATCGCGAGCATGAGGAGTTGGCGTTGGGGCTCGAACGTGCAAAATTCCGGACATTCTTTCGCTCGGCCTCTCGTCTGTGTCTGGTTTGGCAGGTTCATGGGTGATAGATTTTACTTCGGCGACTTTGCGGTGCTTTAACTTCTGCGGCTTTTAGCTCGGAGGTGAGGCTTGCCCAAAGGATTACATGAATTTTGCTGGATTCTCGCCCCGCTTCTGCGACGTGTCCAGGCTGTCGATTTTGTTGCTTCGTAGCGGAAGTGTGACTGCTTGATGGAGCTTAGTCCCAAGCTTGTAGCCATTGAGCACACATTTGCCGCTAGAGCAGCTTATACAGTCTTTTCTTCAAGAACCAGGCTGCTATCTGAGCAACGGTCACAGCCCCCCCTGCGATCGTCTGCCGAGTTTCTTGGCGCCGCAGGAGCTGAGAAGACCAATTTGGGTGAGACTACCTTAGAACGGAGACGTGTACGCGTCATGCGCCAGTCTGGTCTAGTCCGGTTGAGCGCAGGTGCTGTCCGGGTGCTGTCTGTTGCAGCGGACTATTATTATGTTAGAGCCTACGGTTCAATTTCTTACCTCACTCTCGCCTCAGGATGCTCTACCACGACTCGAAAGCCAAGACACCTTTCACCCCAGCGACGGCGGGCGCGATCCCCGAGCCGCCGCAGTCCGCATTCCAGCCGCCCGAGTCGGAAGAGTACGAGGCAGGGCTGACGGTGATCGGCGAGTTCGACACGGTCGAGTCGTTCTGCCGGTACTTCAACTGGCTGAAGCCGCCGTCGCGGCTTGAGCGCAATTCGAATTACCACCTCTTCAAGTCGGGCATAAAGCCGATGTGGGAGGACCCCGCGAACGCAGACGGCGGCAAGTGGGTGCTCACGATGAAGAACAATCCACAGCTGCTGGACCGCTGCTGGAGCTGGCTCGCGATGGCGCTCGTCGGCGAGGACCTCGATGAGGGTGACGAGATCTGCGGCGCGGTCGTGAGCCTGCGGAGCAAGGTCGACCGCATCCAGCTGTGGACGCGCACGAAGGACGACGTCGAGAAGGTCAATAGCATCGGGCGCAAGATGGTTAAGTTGCTTGACGTCTCAGAGGTGGACGGGATCGGCCTCGAGTTCCAGGTACGCAATGTGTTACCCGATTAATCTATTTTTTTGCTGACTGTTCGAATCGTCTATGGCAGTATAACAACGACGACCGTCCAGTTCCGAACAAATTCCTCTCCATCATGGCGCTCCCACAGTCGTCGTATCGCTCGTCGTTCCATATGAAAGGGAATAGCCCCGTCTCAGCGGAGGGCTCCAGTGGAGGAGCACCTGCCCCGGGAGGCGCGTTTGCTGGGTTCGGCGTTGGCGGAGGGGGCGTGCTTGGCACCTCGGGCTGGAGAGGTAAGACGCGTTGAGGAGCTTGGTCCGTCGGATTGGAGGGGGGAGTTGCATTGATGAACCTGGCTGTTGGGTCGGAGTTGGGACGCGTTGATGAGCTGGTTTGCCTCGGACTGTGAGCGGTTTGTCTTGGGCAGTTCTTGGGCGGTGCACGGATATGTGGGGAGGGGTACGTCTTATTTATACGACGACATTCAATGTAGCAAAAGATACGCAATTGAAGAGAATCTCTCAGGTGGGCCAGGTGGCTGTAGTCTTGTTTCTGTAATCCATGGCTCTGATTCTCAAGGGACGCCAGAGATGCGTCCACTGCTTCCCAATGCTCCAGGGATTGCAATTCGGAAGGTTAGTGGTTGGCGAAGTGATAGTGAGGTACTGCAAGTTACCGCGAAGTATTGCAGGCCAGGTTCGACGCAAACACCTCTGATAACGCCGACGCGGAACGCGGACAGTCTTGTCGGCCGCGTTCGAGTCTCAGACTTTTAACAGGCACCGAACATGAGCAGCTAATGTAGTTGCATGAGAGCAGGAGTTTCGTATGTCTATCGCAGTCGACTATGATCAGATTGGTGTAGATTGATGCACTTGGGCCAGGGGGTCGCCTGGCAAATATTTTTATCTCGAGTATACGAGCAACGGTTGTGGTGGGCAAAGTGCTCGTGCCATTACTTTGGGTACAAGCAAATACATGCTCGGGGGACCGGCCAACCTTAACATACGGGAATCCATCCGAGAGTGGGTGCGACTGGGAACCGGTGCTTTGTATATAACGCGCTGACTGCGGAAGGGCCGTGAAGAGAACAATTTTATTCCAAACTAAATAAAATTATCCGAGGGGGAAACGTCAAAACAGGTGTGCGCCACGCAGTGTTGCAAGCGAGGTTCGAAAGGCGCGGGGAAGGTTGTGCAGGGATTCGTGAAGGAGCAGACCTCGGAGGCAAGAAATCGCGACCGGATGGTGAAGCTTGAAGGGGTGCGTGTAGAGAGGAAAGAGGCGAGGAGGCGCAGGCCAGCCTGTCACGACTCAAGAAGGGTACTTACCTGGCTGTAAGCATTCTAGCCTACTCTTGACGAGGTCAGTCAAGGTTGTAATTATACTCAGTTGCGACGGGTCCCGGTCATGAGAAGTGGTACAATCTACGCCCAGAGCGAAGCCATATTCACGGTGGGAGTCACCAACATGACAGAAGACACCGAGAGGACAGTTGATCGACATATTTCCTTCCTGGATCCTCTTGAGAACCTGTTGACGTAATCCGTGAGATAGATTGGACAATATATGGATCATACTACCGAGCTTGGGAGCAGCGAACTCAAAATCCTCCTGTGTGACATTTGGCCACCGTTCTTGTAAGTACCTGCAAATTTCAGCAGTCTTGCACCTGGCATACAGTTGAGTCGAATGGCTTACTGACTCTCGTGCAAGTATGCACTTCAGCACCAGAACACGAAGAATTATCCAGCGTTGCAATTTCGTCTACTCGCATGTTGTTAATCAACTCTATTTCAACAAAGGGTTTGAAAGCTCACTTTACGCGAGTGAATACGCAAAATCGCAACACGGGAAGCATACCCCTTGGCTAAGCAATGCAGTACCAGGAGACTACCTGAACTCTAGGCGCTTCACGGGTAGCTCGACGACTACCTTTGTCTCTTGGACCTATTTCTCACGACCACTGACCATCTCGCATATGCTGTCGCAGACCTACCTCAGAAACACGTCCGTGGTTGCCGTTCGCCGAACGGGTGAGTGGTGGTGGAGAGACCGATGAAGTGTACGTGACCGTGTACCGGCAGCAAACGCTGGGGTACGACTCGCTGCGGCGCGAAAAGGCGGTCGTTTTGTGCGGTTCCTTCAAGGAACACCTCGGAGTTGAATAATAGTACAAATCCAAGTGCATGCTTATGCGGTTGCAAGAAGTGCTGAATGAGATGCAGCTGAAAACTACCTACCACTATGCGAGACGCGCAATTCTCGGAAAACCCCACGCTGGTAAATGTTGTGCAAACATAGGCTCGTTAACCAGCCTCTAGTAGATAGGAAGAAGGAGTCGTTCCTAGTGCAAACAGCAATAGCAATCACAGTGTACAACGAGAGAAGTGACATGGAGAAAAAGGTCGGGCAGGTCGTACTTCAATCCGTTGTTGCGGCGAAACATCGTCAGATTTCCTTCGGAGTCTCAAGGCCTGCGCAAGACTAGGCGTTATTGACACCTTGCTCGGGTGCAATGTCGGCACCTGCAGCCGCCTTGCTCGCTAGATTCACCGCCCTTCCATCCGGGATACGAATAAACTCCAGCCTCCTCGTCCCTGCCCCTTGTGCATGTTCGACGATACCATCGAGGATATAGTATCCCTTCCGTTCGAACTATGAAGAATATGAGAGAACGTCAACGACACCTCGCACACAGAAGATCCGAATAACGAACCTGGATGATATCGCCCTTGTTCAGATCAAGGACGTTCGCATCCGCGAATGCTTCCTGACGGAACTCTGTAACAGGCGTGATCACGTCCTCCAAGGCGTCGTCCTCGCCCAGCTTCTTCTTCGTGATGAGATAATCATAGTCCAGGAGCGTGACATCTACAAGGGGATGCTCCAAGGTCGGGGATGCCAACCAAGTCACTTTCTTTTCGGTCTTCCTGAAATCACCTTCTAGTTTCAGATCCATAGATATGCAGGTGGTACGACCAGACGGCGAAACGGTGTGGGAGCGGACTATGGCATTTCCCCAGGACATGAGAGTAATCTGAGCGAAATACGTCAGCTTCGCAATTAATAATTGACCGTCCACATGCCTACTTCCTCGTTATCGTTGAACGAAGCGGCATCAAGCTGTTCGATGAGGATAGATGAGCCGTACACTACAGTCTTCTCTCCGATGTCCACATTCTTCTTATGTTTCGGCTGCAATCTTGTCTCGTAGCCCGCAGGTCCTCCGAGAATCATTACCGGAACTCTGAAAGAGAGAAAACGCTCAGCACTCCATCACTCTCTCCCTTGGTTGGTTAACTCCCGTACATATCTTCCTTGAGCACAGCCCAGAATCGTGGCGCAACAGGGTCTATGATTTTTTTATTGAGCGCCCAGATGGAGTCCCACTCGAGGGAAACGACCGCCTGTGAGGGACCTTGGGACAGCATGAATTGTCGGATGGTTTCTACAGTCATTCCGCGACGGCGGATCCCTAGTGAGAACGAAGATCGATACTCATGTGATATGAGAATTGCAAACATGACACGGTACCTCTGACAGTTGGGAAACGCGGATCATCCCAACCACGAACAAGCCCGCGGTCAACGAACCACTGAAGCTTTCGCTTTGACAGGAGCTGGTTGAAAAGCATCACCGTAATCCTTCGCCACGATAGATGCAGACACTACCCACCGTGTAGATGAAATTTAAGCGGCTACCATTGCAAGGGATCATCATTAAGAGGTGCCCATAAATGACATGAACGCACCTGAAATCCCAAACAGACACACGGCGCAAGCCGAGAGCCTCGATCATCCAATAGTACTGTGGGTTTCTGTCGCGATACTCGTTCGTCCTGAGCGCGTGCGTCACGCCCTCCAACGAGTCCACGATAGGACACGCGAAATCGTAGGTCGGATAGACCTTCCATTTGTCCCTACATTGCGCGGGGAATTCTCAGTTGTCATACGTCGACATACTATCAAAACATATACCCTGTGCGATGGTGAGACACGAGATTTGTGCGGTAGATAACTGGATCGCGAAGAGCCTTGTTGGGATCATCGACGCTAATCTTCGCTCGGATACACCAGCGAAGGCCTCCCTCAGTCCCAGTACTCATCTCGGAGAATCGCTGCAGGTTTTCTTCGACTGTAGCGTCGCGTCGACTGGAAGGGATACCATGCCACCGTTCGTGAGCCATTTGCGACTGTGGGCCGTGTTGCTTCGAGGGGCACGAACAAGGAAAATCGTGAGGGTGAGAGTTGTCGGTGTCATCCGCGTAGGCTTTGCCGCTCTCTATCATCTTGACGACAAAAGTATGTAGCTGCGCGAAATAGTCTGATGTGTGCGAAACGGAATCTCCGACGATGTTGAGGAGGCGAAGGTCTTCCAGGATTGTGTCCTCAAACTCGGTCTGGTTACAGAGTGATCGGTTTCAAATCCGCGACAGAGAGATGTTGCACGCACCCGTTCCTTGGACGGGTTAGTGTCATCGAAGCGAATGATCAATTTTCCCCCGTACATCTGGGCGAAGTATTGATTCAGCATGGCAGCCTTTGCGTGCCCTATGTGTAGGTATCCACTCGGCTCTGGGGGAAATCGCATGACAACTTGGCCCACAGTGGCGTTTGGGAGACCTAGAGCAAAAGAAGAGGCTGTCTTGGAAGCAGACCGTGCGTTTAGGACTTTAGCCTCGAGCAGTGAGCTGAGCACAGACTGAATAGTAGGGAGGCTTTCCAAAAACGAGAACCAGCGAAGTAGATGCCAATGACGCTGGTTTTTGAGAAGACCCACGAGCTTGACAGAAGCTGTCAAGGCGTGAGTAAAGTGAACGGTCAGTGAAATTCGAAGACCGGCCTTTAATTGCGCCCCAGATGACCCAATCTGCCACGGTGATATCATGGCCAATTAGAAATGTTCGAAATGTGAGATGGTCGTCCAGAAAGTTAAGAGCGGCGAGTGTCTCATCAAACGCCACAAGGGTCGGCATTGTCTTCGCCAGCGACACGAACTCCTTCGTCTATGATCTCGGCTTGAATGGAAAGACATAAGAGGTGAAAATCAATACGACTTACTTTCTTACTGTCTCCTGGGATGCCACACTGGAGCGCATTGACAATACCATCCTCGGATTCGATCTTGTGTCCATCGATCTGGAGGATCGGGATCGTAGCGGATGAATCGAAGCTTAGTTCAGCTTGGTGTGTGTAGTATGCCAGAGCCGCCGCTGCATAGGGAAACGCTGCCGCAGAGACAATCAGTCGTCCAGGCATCATGGTGATAATTATTAAAGTGCTATTGAAGACTCGGAGGCAGTCAAATTTGACTCAAATCTGACTCGTCGTTTCGTCATGTGACTCAATTTTGCTTCGAGCTAAATTGCCGAACGCACTGGAGGCAAAAGTGGATGTTCTGCCTTGGAACAGTGTCTGAACATCCAAGGAACAGATTACATTTTTGGACATGTCACATGTTCTGAACATGGTAAGGAACATCTAATATGTCTCGCACAATGTTCCATTGGAGAGCATGCTGGAGACATGTTGCATGTACCATTCTGGAACATATAATATGTCTCACACAATGTCTCATTGGAGAATGTCCTGCAGACTTGCCGCATGTTTCATTCTGGAACATTTATCATTTTGCTACTATATTCTGGGCTTATCTCTTGATGCAATATGCTCTGTATAATAAGGATTTCCCATGGCCAAACACATTACATTTCTGGCTGCCATTAATCTTCAGAACATTGTGAGAAGATGTTAAGTGCTCCTACTCCAAACATACAAGATGTCCTGGGCACCAAGAACATTTGCAGTACATGTAAAATTTTAGTAAAATTTTAGTATGTATCATACATGTACTGCAGATGTTCTTGGTGGTCAGAAGATCTTGTATGTTTGGAGTAGGAGCACTTAACATCTTCTCACAATGTTCTGAAGATTAACGGCAGCCAGAAATGTAATGTGTTTGGCCATGGGAAATCCTTATTATACAGAGCATATTGCATCAAGAGATAAGCCCAGAATATAGTAGCAAAATGATAAATGTTCCAGAATGAAACATGCGGCAAGTCTGCAGGACATTCTCCAATGAGACATTGTGTGAGACATATTATATGTTCCAGAATGGTACATGCAACATGTCTCCAGCATGCTCTCCAATGGAACATTGTGCGAGACATATTAGATGTTCCTTATCATGTTCAGAACATGTGACATGTCCAAAAACGTAATCTGTTCCTTGGATGTTCAGACACTGTTCCAAGGCAGAACATCCACTTTTGCCCCCAGTGACGATAAGTTCGCGGCCCTTGTCTAAACGGTCACTACTACTTATATGGCCCTCATCAAATACTTCCCTCCCTACTTTCCCTACTCTCGCCTTGGCACTCGTCGCGATCCCTGACATTATGTAAAGGGTATGCCAAAAATATCCGCACACTTGCGATGCAGTTTTGCGAGCGCAGTCTCGATAGCAAAGAGTCCGGCAGCAAGCGGAGAATTAGGTCGCGCAAAGATCACCTAGTCAAGTCGTGGTAGTGACTTCCATCTCTCGCCAGTATGGCTGTCGCGCTACATCTGACCAAGCTTGACCAGCGAGTGACATTCTCCTCTTGCTCGAATCATGATCTAAGATTGTATCTCAAATCCATTGAGCAAGAAACAATCAGTTGGAGTAACACAGTCGAACGCCTATTATACGGCTACTCAACCTCACGCCAAGGCCTGTCGACGTTCACGTCCAGGTCATCATCCTGCAACACCCCGTCGGCCACCCCTTCCAGTGTTAATGCCTCCATTCTCCTTGCAAAATCATCCATATTGGCCAGTCGCGATTCGCGCACCTGTCCACTGAAATCGCTACCGGTCTCCACCGGTGCGAGTGTATCCCAAGAAGGGGCATTGCCACGCCATCCACCGTTGATGTGCGCATAGTTCAGAAAGGAGCGCCATAGCGGGTCAAGTGATAATACCGAAGGATCGCCAACGACGATGAGGAGGGCCTGCGCACGAGTGACAGCGACTGCAGTGAAGCAGAAAGGTGAGTTTTCAATGAGGATACTGAGCGAGAGAATACGCACCGTTGAAACGGCGTGGATTGGCCACGAAGCCAAGAGTGTGTTTCAGGTCATACTTGACGAACTCTCGGCTGCTCCGAACAGTGGATATGATGATCACACGCCGTTCCTGAATGTGAACTTTGAGCTTGATAGCCCGCTGATAGTATCCTGAAGCAACCTACCTGGCCTTGGAACTCTTCCACACTGCCGACCTTAACTCCATCAGCAATGGGTCTCAATACCGCTCGTATCTTCTGGCACTGTGCATGATATGGTGCGATTACACCGATATCAGCGTCCGCTAGAAAATGCATCCCCTAGCATGAGGATACCGATTCCGCATGATGATGGAGTCCTTACTGATGCGTACGCGCCTGTCTGCTCGCAGTAACTGAACATACTCCTTCACTTGTGTCACCTCATCGATATTGAAGAACGAAGGCGATGACGCTTCTCGAAGGTCACGACCAGAGATTGCGTGTACAATGATAGGGAAATTCTTCGATACCAGTATAGACGAGCCGATGAACGAGTTGATGACTCCTGCATCTCCACAGGGACGCAGATCTCCATGGTAGAATCGTTCGTTCGGGAACCTCAATATATTTTCATGGGACCGGAAGTTCTGCACCAACTTGACCACCCTGAATGCATCAGTCAGCCAGACGCACATGTGTTCATCATCCATCGTGAGGATGGACAGCAAATGACTCACGACTTGCCGTAGCCTGCTTGCTCGTCATAAGGCTCGCGCTGCATCAGCCGCTCGAGGTAGCTGACCTCAAGTCCTAATTCGCGCGCGATCGGTGATCGAATGATAGGTCCGAGCTGTTTCGGATCGCCCGAAAGTACGACATTTGTACTGTTGTCCGCCATCGTCTTGACTGCAATCATAACTTCCGGCTCCGTCGCCTGGCCAGCTTCGTCGACAAAGATATGGCTGAAATGCCCACGAGGCATTCCTACGCCATAAGTGAAACCGGCAGAGACACACGTCGAGACTATCACGCGATAGCGCTTTAACGTCGCTACTGGTGGGACGGAATGGTGGCCAGATGCGGTCCTGTAGCTGTAGGTAAGAAGTGCATCGGGGACCTGGTCCTTGAAGCGAGACGGAGCATAGAATCTGAACAATTCGGCGTTGCTCAGCTTGTTGATGAGACGGGAGGCAATGAGGTCCGCGGCACTATTGCTCGGGGCGCATGCGAGAATTCGGGCCTGTGGGTTGTGGTTGATGAGTTGCATGATTGCTTCCACAATTGTGATGGTCTTCCCTGTCCCAGGACTGCCGCAGAACACAAGCGTAAGATAGAAGTAACGCATCAGGATGAAGGACTGTATACTCACGGGCCAAAAACAACGAAGGGAGGGGCACCAGCTGGATGATACACAATCGAAGTAACTGCTTGGAGCTGCGCTGGGTTGTTGGCTATCAACTTGTTATGTATACCGGCCTTCATGGTTGCCACGGATGGCGGATTCCCGGTCGAGACATGTGCCACGAGCGGGAACAGGATTCTGTCAGGATAGAAAGCGGTGTCGAGAGCTTGGTGCTGACGGCGCAGAGGAATACGATTCAGTTTGAATCGGATGTTGTAACGTTGACTCTCAGAGTGGCCTCGGTAGGACCCGTTCAGACAGAGCCCCACTTCCTCCCGGTGTACGACGTGGACATAGCCCTCGTACCACTTCCCTTCCAAAGAATCATGCGGGTGGACCATGATTAGGTCGCCTGAATGAAACGACCATGACATCGGCGTTGTATTACAAAGATGGCAGGTTGGTACTCACCAACAAGGACACTCGGTCGCTTCTCCGCCAGTCCGGGAACAGCCAGACTTAAGGAGGTGAGCAAAAGCGGAAGGAGTCATGGATGGAGACCATCGTACTAGTAATATCTGTTGTGCCTGTTGAGTTGTGTCCCGTTGATGTCATATATTGCGAGGTCGAGCCTATATAACATCATTGTCAGTGAAGGCGCTGCTTCCGTTATAAATGGGCCACTTACTCTGTGCGATGTTCTTCCGCCCATATGAGCGCTTTGAAATGTTGGCCGTGTGTTTTGTTGTCAAGAGTACTGGGCAGAACCGACTGCCGGAAGAAGGTGATAATGTTCGCTGATGATCCCTTGGATAAGGCGGAAGATATGCGGTTGGGAATTTCCGCGCGAGGCAACTTCACCACGTATGGAATGGTATTCTTCGACTCCGGAGGAACGCCCGAGACTACTTCGCGTTCAGGTTCTCTCGTTGTGTGCTTTCGGGGAACGTAAGGTGACTTGGGTTTTAGCAACTCGTGATCGGCTTGACTGCCGACGATCGCTTTTACTAAACGCACGATCACAAACTGCTGCTGAAGTACGGTGTCCTTGAACACCATCTCGAGACGATCTTCATATTGACCACGATGGCTCTGTTGAAACTTCACGGCGATGCGTAGATCCTGCCTATGCAGGAGTGATTGACTAACAAATTGGGAAGATAACGAGAAGCTATATCTGCTATCAATATTGTGATATTTATATCCTGGCGACCACTTACAATGTAGCAACTCTCGTGTTAGACAATGCCGAGAAGAATTTGGCTTCCACAAAAGTGATCTTCGACAAAGGCACCGTGTTTTGAGCCGTAAGGACGATGCTGACACCCTGTTGGGCATTTTCAAGCTCCACAATGCCAAAGTCCGCTCCGGTCTCGCCATGAGAAATGACTACTCCGTGTTTATCCTTCTCGGCCTCTTCAAAGGCTGCTTCGTACCTGGAGAAAGAGACCTTCCTTTGGTGAGACCGCGATAATGTATGTCGAGCCCATGAGTCTTCCAGAATGTCATTCTTGCAAATATTACAGTGGATATGTCCCAGCGGAGTAACTGGCTCTTGAGGCTCAACGACGGGACTAACCGCTTGCCGTGCGGCGGCTCTGATGTGACGTTTCCCTCCAATATGACCGCTCCAATCACTTGGTCGACTGGGCACATTAGTTTTGCATATAGAACAGTGAAATAACACCGTGGTACCAGTGACCTTCTTCAGGTGCTTTTGACCTTTAATATGGTTGTCGTAGACGTGAACACTATAACAAACGACGCTGCAGACTCTGCATATGTGCACATCATGTTTATAGCGACACGCAGTATCGGTGCAGACTCCGGCGGATAGTAGTGCAGGACAGATGGAGACCATTATCGCCTAGGGACGGGGAGAGTCGATGAGAGACAGGAAAGTCCACGAGTGCACCTCATGCCACGCGTTCTTATAGCCAGACCAGGCGCGCCTTTTGGCGCTGAAACTACTTACGAGAAGCGACGTCCTTCTGCTTTGCCACGAGGCAGAGAGGTTAACTCGGATGGGCAAGTATTATGAGGAGCAGCTCTTTAAAAAAAGGAGCGGATCCCAGGATTGGGGTTTAGTACATGAGATCCATGTCATCAAACAGGCCATAACGATTAACGAAGGAGGTTGTGGATACGGTAGAAGTGAATTGGTCATGAAGAGCACTCGGCAGCTTGGCTACTCCGCACTGACAAGTTACTTATGTAGCGTTATGAGGTAGCGACAATCGCCCACATGTGCCCACTGGTGACACCGGCAAGTGCCGTGATCGCATGCCACATTGGACAAGGGTAATCGTTTGTTACGTTCGGCAAACAACGTCCTCAGTTACGACAGGTCGTGCAATAGACATGAATATTGCAAGAAATGTTACAAACTCTGCTGAGAGCGAAGCAAAGTGGTGGAAGGGGCCAATCGTGTAGATGGGGACAGAAGACACTAAGAGAACAGTTTGTTGACCGACGTGTTTCCCTCCTGGTTCTTCTTGAGAACCTGTCAGAGTAGTCCGTGAGATGGACTGAGTAATGGCTTCCAACGTTTGGGTCATACTACGGACCTTGGCAACAGCGAACTCGAAATCTTCCTGTGTGACATGCTGCCTCCGTTCTCGGAGTGCATACATTCCTGAGAATAACAATGAAATGTTTAATGAAACAGTTTTGATGGTGTTCAATCGAGTGACCCACCAGCTTCCGTGCAAATACCACGCACTTCAGCACCAGAGCACTGTCCCATCTTCTCAGCCAGAGCACGAAGATTTATTCCGCGTTGTAATGACATCTACTCGCATGTTGAGCAACATGGACAGGATAAAGGAAAGGAAAACTCGCCTTCCGCGAGTGAATGCGCAAGATAGCAACACGAGCCTCAGGACCTGGAGGTGGGAACTCAATCTTGCGATCGATACGACCGGGTCGGAGCAGCGCAGAATCAAGAATATCTGCAGACTGGTGTCAGGAAAGTGATCACACGCAACAAGGAAAAATCACAAACCTATTCGGTTAGTCGCCATGATAACCTTGATATTCTTCGTCGGCTCGAACCCATCCAGCTGGTTCAGCAGCTCCAACATTGTCCGCTGAACCTCGGAATCGCCGCCGCCGGAACCGCTCTCCCCTCTCGAACTTCCAATCGAATCAATCTCGTCCATGAAGATGATACTTGGCGCGTGCTCTCTGGCCATGACGAACAATTCCCTGACCATCCGACTACCCTCGCCGATGTACTTCTGAACTAACTCAGAGCCGGACACCCTGATGAACTTGCAATCGGTGTGGTGCGCAACGGCTCTCGCGAGTAATGTCTTCCCCGTACCTGGAGGTCCGTAGAGAAGTACACCCTTTGGTTGAGCAATACCAAGAGACTCGAAGAGCTCTGGGTGCTTCACAGGCAGCTCGATGACTTCCTTTATCTCTTGAATCTGTTTGTCGAGACCGCCGACCATCTCGTATGTGCTGTCGGGGACCTTCTCTACCATCATAAGAGATACGAGAGGATCCACCTTGTTCGGCAGAATCTTGTGTATTGTGTATGAATCAGAACGGAGAGCAACACGGAGCGAAGGACGCAGTGTTGAGACATCAATGTCTGAATCGAAGTCGACAACTGGAGAATAAGGCGAATATAATTTAAAGACGTGGTAATACGAAAGAAGATGGCGCACTGTATTTCCCTTCTGGCTGTACTTTCACCAGTACTTTGTTCTTACCCATAACCTTCACTACTTCGCCGACATAGCTGCCAGGCTCGTGGAGCAGCTGCAGCTCCTCGCGTAGCAGTCGCACTTGTATGCGTTTGTCAATATCAATCGTGAGCAGGAACTACCAGAAACCGCCGCTTACTTACCTCGGGCATTCAGCGCATTCCGCTGAGCCTCCAAACGTCGCAAGTTCTGGGTCTTCTGGTTGATGTCAAGTTCCGCGGTCTCTATTTTGGCCTGATAGTACAATTTTATCCCACCAGGAGGCGTAGGGGTCTGCACAGCGACAGGCATAAATGGCAAAACAAGATGGCGAATACGTGAAGAGAGGGCTGTACTAGTACTAGTGTGCTCGAAGGTCTACTACGCGTCCTTGCGTTACTGTGACATCTTTGTAATGTCACAGGTCAGGCCCATCCCGCGAATCATCGAGTCTGACAGCCTTCTAGTCGAACCCCGTCTCCCAACTTAGGCTGAACGTAGTAGCTCGTCATTAATAGGAACGTAAGTAAGTATGGGAATAGTCTGGGTAGACCGAAGGCCCTGGCCAATTCGCGGATTAAGCCGCCGAGGGCGAGGTGGGTGCTTGGATTTTTCAAGGGATCATACGCACGTTTGTTGATGTGCAAGGAAATACCGTGCCCAATCCATTATAGGGAGCTACATTTACGCCGGCGGGGTCTCCGATCATAGGTTCTGCTACCGGGCTCATGACGAGATTGCACCCCGTTGCTTGCAATTTTACAACCGCTGAGCAGAGAGTAACACCCGAAACCGTCCTGAATATGTGACCTGGATAAATGCAGGATTTCAGCGACTCACACTGTATCGTAAGCACACCAAATTGATCAACAAAATTTGCATCTGAGCTGAGAACTGAAGTGAGACTCAGTTGAAGAATTGGATTTACGGGCATCCACAAATTCAGGCCTCAAATGGATCAGAAATTGATACCTGGATCAAGACATCTGGGGCCCATGAAGCCTTCGCAGCTGTCAGAAATTTAATATGGATGGAAGGAAATTGTCACAGTCTGATAGCGTGACATCCAGCCTTTGGGCGAGCAGCAAATCCGAGATGGTCTCAAGTGTATACGAAGTCGCAGCTCCAGACATGTGGGTTCCTGGGTTTTCGCTACGTCCGTTGATAGTCGCGGCATGCCTGGTGTGCTCATAGCAAGTGGCCTAGCGAAAATCGCTCCGCTGGCGTACTGATGGGTCCAATCCTTTATTTCCGGAGAAGCTGATCGCCTCTGACCTTGCATCCTTATCTGATTTTCTCACATCTGTTCTTTCACTCACTGCTAGATGAGTTCCCGTCTGACCGATAACCTTTTCGTCTTTCACCCATCTGCACCTCCGGAATCAGCCGTACTCGTGGGGACCACATTGTCACCGGATTTCGTTTCAACTGGTGATACGACAACATTCGGGGTTTCGCGATTACGGTAGAGACGCCTTTGAACCTACATTTGGTGCTGATCAGCCTTGCACGTAAAAGACGTCATCCAAGCCTATGGAACCACCCCTGCCTCACTCCTCACCAATATTCAGCCGCGTGTTCCTGCCCTGTGATAGCCGTTTCTCCCCAGAGTGGTTTCCCATGCAGATGGACTAGACCCTCGGTATTCGAGACTCGGGCGGCAGGGGCGTTCTCGTCAACTAAAGCTACGAGGCAAATCATCACATGCAAGTGGGTACAAATCTGGTCTCGAGCTCAATCTCCCGGTGGATGCGGCACGCAGGTAGTCAAATCAACATACACTCCTTACAAGACGCTACTCCACCACTGCCGCACCGGCGTCTCGATATCGCACATCTGAATGCACGCAGCACTTCCTTTCAGGCTCCACCGTCGATCTCGAATATGGGTCATGGACTCATGTGAAGGGCAGGGCATCAACTTTGACAGCCTTGGCACTGCAGGCAAGAAAGACTCACATGCCATATTTTTGTTTGAGTGCTGCCCACCCAAGTGCAGCCGTATGATACTGACGGACAAACGTGTTCATTTCTTGCTCCGGTATTCTGTTGATGTCCACTTTGTCCCAGTATCGCGAAATCGCAAAAGCGATATCTTGTGCGTCCTTTTCCATCGCACGACTGCGGAGCATTTGTTTCAAGACGACAGACATCGTCAAATCGAAAAAATGCGTCACACTTACATCGTCCATGCCTTCAGTTTTGCTCTGATGAATTCGGAGATCGTCAAGAATGGAATACTTGCTATGGTCACTGTGGTAGTCGAGTCTAGGTGTAGCGGGCCCTCCTCTCCCGCGGGTAAAATTTCAATCTATCATTCGGCGTTATCAGTGAGCACTGTGTACGGAGGATTCTGAGAAACTCACATCAATTCGGGGGATTAACCGATGGTACGTCGCATGCAGTCTGCTTAAGCATCACTAACGGGTGTTGTAAAAATTTCAAGAGGCGATATCACCGACTGCTCCATGAGGATACCGTCGTCGTTATGTCTGGGCTTCCAGCGCATGCTTGTCGTACGCGACGAAATGGATGTGTAGACCCTCCTTCGACTATGCAAAAGATTTCCTGCTGTATGGTGAGTTTCGTTGCAAAACATCAGTTATGACCCACATACGTCAGCAAGAGGGGCGTTGGACAGCACAGCGGTCATGACACTGCCGTAGAATGCGTGAGGGACTCCTCTCGCTCGTAGGAGCTGGGAGAGCGCTGCTGCAGCCTCCAAAAGTCTTCTTGTTTCGTGCATGGTCAAGAGTGGGGAGAGCGAGAGCTTGTCAAGCTGTTGACATCTTATTGGACTACTGAGTTGCATTCGAAGCGAATGGAGAATACAGGAAGAGCGATTGGGAGAGCCAAGATGTGGTCGGAAGTAGTTCCGTGGCCCGTCAAAGCCGAGAAAGGCGCAGGCGTCTGATACAAGACAACATGTTTGCCGTTCTAGCTCGTCTGTAAGATGATCATGGCATTCGCCACTATCCTTGACACTGTTGCAGCGGACTCATCACATGCCCTCGGAATGCGCATGACCTGCGGAATTAATAAATATGGAGGCCTTATTACACAATCTGGGCTTTGGCGGTGAAAGGTTCTAAGGCTCCGGTTCGCTCATTCCTTTTCTTTCTGTGGATAGCAGGGGTATGGATCAGTGGCGGAATTGATGGCGGAATAGGACGTCACTGTGTCTTACTATAATCCGAGAATTTGTTGTTTGTTGCGCAAAGCATGGTAACCGAGCGGTCGAAAAATACAGAATCCCAATGCAACAGACATTCACGCGTATTCTCGACTTGCTTTGCCCACCTTCCGTGCACCGCTGCGAGGCACAGCTGAGTAAACTTTGTTGCGGGAAGAGTAGAACATGACTGAAGTGCGTTATCCCGGTTTGGCGACGCAGGAGGATGAGGTAAGCACACCGGCATTGCTCCGGGATGGCCGCATAGTCACGGTGCCGCTCATTCGTCCATCCAGACATTTGTTGCGGCAGGACTGTGCTTGTGGTTGTTTCAACTGCTCGTACTAGGTCAGGCTCTCCCGCGCATGCATACGCTCTGGACAGCGGCAGGAAGCCATGTGAGGGCCCTCGTCAACGCGTTTGCCAGGCAGTCCAACGTTCTTCTCCAGTCGCACCTGCTCGGAAGAACGTGTACTTTTCGCACTGAGTCTCGATGTTTTTCCCATTCTGCGACTAAAAGACCCATTCGCTTGGTCTCTCCACTCTATCTGTCTCGCTTTGGGTTGTCTCATTCGCCATCTGGTGGAGCCCGGCGAATATCATGGCTACACAAGTTGAATTTACGGCCGGGTGAACCGTACAACGAACCGTCGGACGGTCAGGAAGAGGCGGCCAAAGTAGCTATACTGGAGAAGGCCATGAAATCGCGTCAACCTGCGGACCTCATGCTGCGGTGTGAGTTCCTTTCTTTGTACGCCGCAACACACTGATGACCGCGACAGAGGACAGGCACAATACTGGATGCCGACGGTTCGTACGTTTTGAATTTCTCCCAAGGCCATTGAGTGACCTCTGTTGCGTTTTTAGGCAACGTGAAGACAATTTCCGGCCAGTTCAGAAAAGCTGATTTGTGTTCGGAACATCGTTTGAACGTAAGCAGGTCGTCCTGCCGATTCTCACAAGCAACTGATAAGTCAGAAGATAGCCCCGTGATCTACGTAAAATAGATTCCAGGATCCCGAACCTCGTGCCCACTATCCTTGTGCGGAAGGAAGCTATACTTGTATGTAGTTGTCTCATAGGCGCTTCTGTTATTTCCTGTTATTTAGCTCGCTATTTATTCAGGTCAATATGCTTCATATTCGCGCCCTCATTAAGGCAGATGCCGTGGTTCTTTTCGATACCTATGGATCGGCAGACTCTAGGCTGCATTCCGTCTTTCTGTATCACCTGGAAGTAAGCGTGTTGTCGTCTGGTATGTCTACCCTATTAACTGCATTTTCTTAGCATAATTTAAGACTCAAAATGTCTGGACTACCTTACGAGTTTCGGTCAGCACCTGTTACCCTTCGTCTTCTCCGCAATGCGTTGTCTCATATAGTACATGCTTTCTCGGAATACCAGGGCACTGGAGTCGGTACTTTTATCGGTGCTAAGTGCTCTGGAAGCAGAAATGGTCTTCATCCGCAATCTTGTTGGGGGGCTCCTGGCTGAGCTGGAAGACGACATTGATCATGACCGCTTTAAGCGTCTTCTGCATTACTCTCGACGCCTGGCTGGCTTTCAAAATCGAGCTAAATTGGTGAGTGCGCTGCATTGGCTCGTAGTCACATCGGACGTATGATTTGTGCTTTCACATAGGTTCAAGAAGCTCTCGAAGAAGTTCTCGAACAGGGTGTGTAACCATATACTTGCACTTTCTCATTGTGGCGTGTTACATCTGTGCATTCTAGACGAGGACCTTGCGGCCATGTATCTGACTGGCAAGCAAAATGATATTGATCGGAACCCTGATGATCATGAGGAACTGGAGGTACTCCTTGAGTCATTCGCAAAACAGGTGGAGGAGATTGTAAACGAGGCGGAAAACATGCAGGTATAAATTCGCTTTCGTATCCTTTCTGGTTGACGAGGGTTCTAACTCTTTAATCAGAGCAATGTACAATCAACACAGGAAATTGTAGAACTGTTACTAGATTCTAATCGTAATGCGCTACTTACTCTCGATCTCAAGGTATGCCAACTTATCGGTGTGTTACCTTTTTGAGTTCCATTGATTTTTGATCATAGGTGTCAATACTGACTATGGGTGTTGGTATCGGAACTCTGGTTGCCGGACTGTTTGGCATGAATGTGAGCCATCAACCTTTCATATTAAAGAGACATTCGTGTAATTCTTCGCATACAGTTGAGGAGTCACCTCGAAGACAATGAATATGCCTTTGCAGTCATGTCGGGCTTCTCCATCATCGTTGCGGCAGCATTCGCTGTCACAGTTCTGCGGCGGTACACGTCCTATACCATAACTGATGTGCGGCATCCTCTGACTATCCTCTCTTGTTACAGACTAGCCAAAATACGGAAAGTTGGACTTTCTGCAAATAATCGCAGGCCAGCTAGGAAGACCTGGTTGCCACATTTGTAGGACGTGTTTCTGTGATTCCATGTCTTGCTGCAGATATCACCAGCCTGCAGTATGAAGGTTTGTGCAACAATCTCACATACGTATTTCTTGCATGTCATAATACATCGCCGTCAGATTACATAGGATCCCATGCAATTAAATTATTTCGCCACATCTCTTACGTTGTCTGCTGGTACGTAGAAGATGACTGTAGTCGCTTTCTGACGCGACTCCTTGTCGAGAGGTCGGACAATTTAGGCGGAGCCCAAACTTTTGTAGCATTCAATAACATGGAGTCTTACAGCGTGTTGCATAATTGCGTGAAACCCCGGGATTTCTCTGGCTTATTTGGCCGGGGCAAACAGACCCATATCCGGTAGAGTTTTGGGCGTACTGCCCGATGCAACCCCGACCTTCCCCTTATGGCTTTGTTTGCGCAAGACAAATAGCGCACAAAAATCCCAAGTTTCACGCAATTATGACACGGTATGCACGTTGGCACGGTAAATCCGTCGAAATTCACTAGTCTTCCTGATGCTTTAGCTCCACCCCAGTTTGGGCACATTGCAGGCATGGCGAAGTGCGGTAATAGAGATATGATAGAGAGGTGTATTCTCCTTCGGTGTGAGACAGAGAAAATAGAGAGATTCCTACGAGACTCAGGCATATCAGTCTTAAACCAATATAGAGCAGATAGGACAGCAAAAGTCCCTGGAAACAATCTTAAATAATATTAATATCGGAAAGTATGATGAATAGATGCCGTGTAGTAGAACGGGGACGCCAGGGGGACTTCTTGTGCTCGAAACACGACGAGTTCGACGCGATTTACAGGCGCGTCGCACAAGCACGTGATGTGCCGGGTCGGCAATCACGACCTCCTAGTAAGAGCCCCTTATAGAAAGCAGACGTCAGACACGGATATCCGAGGTACGAGGTTGAAGCAGAGTGTCTACCATCTGCCTTCGGGAGACTAGATGACTGCTACTCTGCTGTTATGTAGCCTCGTGAAATTGAATGTTTTTCACGATCGCTTCAATTCAAAGTTTCCGCTTAGTCAGTGCCTGGTTAGGGCTGGGTGCGTTCTGGCCCCCCCTCTCAGGCGCCCTCGGTCCTCCCACGATCTATGGCGAAGACCCTGTACTAATAGCACCGTTGCATTCTATCTTCGAAGTATTACCTGAGCTGGGTTGTTCTCTGGTGAGTTCCGTTATCATTAGACCTTTTTGTCTACTGACTGCTTCAATCACCCTATGTGATACACTGCCATGGCAGCAAGTTTCACCCAAGGCGGTGTAGGACCTGTTTCGCTTCCTGGGACGGTACTTTCAGGTATGGCTTCATCTACAAACCCCCTCAACATCCCGCCCACTCCTCCTATCACGACATCCAACACTCCCACGCCCACATCGGTTACTCCCTCTCCATCGGCGTCGTTCTCCTTTACCACCCCGGTCAATCTCACTTCCTGCAAGTCTGGTTTCGTCGGTTGGAACTACTCAGGCCCCGCAGATTCGCTTTCGCTTTACGTTCTGAATGGTTTAATCATCGAAAACGGCACCACCAACCTGAATCAGTCCATTGCCACGGCGCTCGATCCGACGACGCTCTTGTACATATGGTCTCCGGTGAACGTCGCGGCCGGCGGGTACGTCTTAGCTGCTGAGGTCGCAGGGATTAGTGCCCAGTCGTCAGAGTTCTTCGTCGCCAGCGGGACAAATTCGTCTTGCCTCGCATCGGTATCTACCCCTGAACCGTCGGCCGGCGTTTCGTCCAGCAATCATCACGTCGGGGCGATCGTAGGCGGGGTCATTGGAGGCGTAGCGTTTGTGGTGGTGATACTCCTGATTCTCTTCTTGTACCGCCGTCGTCGGCCGGGTCCCATCCTGCCGCGCACGCGTGCCCTCAGCGACGCCGGCGCGAAGAAAGAGGGGCGTTGGACTGGCTTGTCGTCACGCGATACAGTCAACGGCGATTTACCCACGAAGCGCTCCCACGACTCTGTGTCGCACAGCGAGCACAGCGAGGAGACGGCGGTCGAGCAGTATTCCAGCGAGGATATTGCCGAGGCTAAGCTGGGTTCGCCGTACAAGCGGGAGTCCATCGAGACGGTGCCTCCACTACCGTACACCGAGAGCAGGCGCTCGTCTCTCGCGAGCCCGGTGAGCCCTACCTCGCCGCGTCGCAGCGGATCGTATGGGCGCGGGCGCGCTCGCTCGCAGAGCCAGGTGATGGCCCTGACGGATTTCGGTGCAGATCGCGCGGCGCGCCACGTATCCCGGCGATCTGTCGACTCCTCTATACTCGTGCACAGTCCCGATGCGCTGCAGGGTCCTGTCGAGCTTCCCAGCATACATTCACCTGCCGATGTCGTACCGATAAATCGCTCCTCGTCTGCAGGCATTCCACGCCGCGCGGCTCGCAAGCCCGTTCCTACTTACATGGAAGATGCTCCCGTCGATAACGATCCTGCGCCCGTCAGTGGTGGTTTATGGGAGAATCACGGCAGCAGGTCGCACTCCAGGGAGGATCTGGCGGCCGCAGGGATCAATTTACCGAAATTGGACCACAAATCGAGCTTTGGAGAAATGAAGCCGATGCACGTCTTGATTCCGGACATGCCGCCTCCCCCGCGTGACTAGATGCTGCATTGAACGCGGCTGTACGGTGGAGTAAGTTCATTGTAATTCTTCTTGCCAGCTGCTCATGTCAAGCAGGTAGATGAAAAGCCAGGTGTTGGCCGTCTACGTTGGTTGTTGCTTTATTGTGTCTGCTTCTTGACAGTTAGTTGGTATCCGCGTACTATTTATCCCTCAATGTCTGCCCCTATCCTGCTTCATCTACTGGAGTTTACATCCTGTGCCACGTCTTCGCGCTTCTAATTTGCAGCGATTCGCGGTCTGTAGTGACTCTCTCGCAGTGCTCGTCGCTACCCCTCTCCTCCACCACACAGCCGGATATTACGTGTTTAAACTATGATTTCTCATCAAGGTTGTGTACTCTACGATGCCGATGTTTTTCCCTACTGTAACGGACTCGCCTTCACGAATTTAATGGTTTACGAAGATTGCGGAGTGAGGCTGAGATTGGTGATTAATGTGACTTCTGAGCACGTCGCGATAATGAAATTGGGTTGGGCATCGACCACGTCAGGACTTCAACCGTCGGAGACTGACACGCTGGACCTTCGACACGCAACGTCTGTCCATGTCAGCTGCGTTCCATGTCATGATACAACATGGTGTTAGTACGTGATACAGAGGCATGAAGGCGACTCCTCCGGGCCTGATCTAGCAAAGAGGGAGGCCTGTATGTCAGGACGATGTCTGTGACGATGATGGGCCGTCCTGGCCCTGAGCGCGCTTCTCTTCCTCTTCCGCAGCCTTCATCTTTTGTCCGAGGATCTTGGCGCTGACCTGTGCATGGAGATATGTGTTCACTGTTCAATGCGTGGGAGCCTAGAAGACATGCAAGGGTAGGCCTACGTTGCGAATGTGCATTGCGGCGCGGTCGACGCCGTACTCTTTGCTGCGCTTGTAATACACGAGGGCCTCTTCAAGCTGGCCGCCTGCGATCCGTGTCAGGTGTGCGCACAGACTGGTTAGTTCGATGAGAGTACGCACATGCTTCAAGGACTGCTGCGAGATTGAACGCAATCTCGGGGTCGTCGGGTGACAGTGATACTGCGACGCTGCAAATAACCAGTTAGTTACACAGCGCGGTAAGAAGTCCACAACAGACCGGAGATGGTGCAGTGCGAGGTCGGGTCGGCTCACAGGTGACACGATATATGCACTTGCAAGGTCTGTGACAGCCCTTGGTGTAAGCTACAAGGTTCAAATATTGGGAGAGTTAACGGACTGGTGTGGGCATCTGGACTTGACGGCTGCAGAGCTATGGACTCCTTCCACGCCGCTATGGCCTCGTCAAATTCCTCTGAAAGTGGTTGTGAGAAATCGAGACGAATGCCACCGTTGATACCGCATACTGAGGTGATAGTGTGTCACACCAAGGTTGAACAGAGAGCTGGCATTACGCTTGATCTCTACGCTACGTTGGTATAATACCTGGACAGCATTATCATGTAGGTGTCGTATGGTAGACCAAGGAACTCACCTTAGCGCCCTGAACGTCTCCCTCTTCAAGCTTTTGTGTGCCCTGTTCCAGGCATTGCATGGACTCAACCTCTGCTGGGTCCGTGGTCGAGGATGTAGGAGATGTGGAGGTAGCCCATCCTAATGAATTACGGCTAGGTTTTTTGCGACATGGATCGATAGTCTCTGCGTATTACTTACGCTTTGTGGAAACCGATGTGCCTACTCGTTGAAACCGCTGAGTACGGCGGGCAGCAGACGACAAATTATGGAACTGCCGTGCTGGGAAGACCAAGAGATTCGAGCTCTGTCTTGCAGACGCCTTCAGAGCTCCTGAGCTCCTTGCAAACATTCGAAGAGTTGCAGACATGGTCGTGGGGGTGGTGGAATACAGCAGCCTTCAAGTGAGATCTCAGATCTCAGTGCGTATTAAGCCACGTGCTTCACGCGCTTGTCTTTGTGCCACAGTTGCCCACGACGGACTTGTTCTTCGGCGTCGTGTTTCCACTCGCATGCGACGTTTACCACGATGCCATACATCAGTGCTTCCATCGACGCCTTTCTCGTCGCTACCGCCGCTGTCCTTATTCCTAGTTTCTACCTTATACGCCGGGGGCGATCTTCGTTTGTACAGCCCATACGGCCGGACGCGTCGTACCGCACGCTGCTAACGCTCCTCCTCGTCGCGCATAGCGTTTATATCATCTATTTCACCCTCATATTCCGGCCACCGAACATCTTCCAACGACTCCAAATTCCATTGACGGCGCCGCCAGACATCGTCCGCTCTGTTTTGCTCGGACACTCGGGGCTGCCTGCAAACGCCACCCTCCCGAAGCCCCTCGAAACGCTGCTCACTCGTATATCGTCGTTCGATATGCGTACTCTATATGTCAGGTTCTTGCATACACTTTAATTCGCACTGTTCCCGAAAGAGCTCACTCTGTTGCCGCGGTTCGTTGTTCTGGAATGCAGGTTCGGCCAAGCAGTAGTGCAAGACTGCGAACACTGCAAGACCTTTGACGAATACGCGCTCTTCGCGCTTCCGCGGGCGTTGCTCGAATACATCCGAGAGACGGTCATTCTGGGCCTCCTCACGATAACCGGGAGCGACCGTGAACGCTGGCGGACATACACCGTCGGCGCGCTCCTGGGCGCTGCAATAATCGAGGGATACTGGATCCTGACTGCACCCATCCATATCCCCAAGAACGGACAGGGCGTCTTTATGGTACGTCCAATCATCCTGCCGCCTATGCCGTGGCGCTGATCCAGAGCTGGGGGGACCAGTGGCACGACAACCTCTGGTTGATTCGCCAGCTGCTCTTCCTCTCTCTGCCCGTCCTCACGCACAACCTTGCTCCCACACCCGCTACGCCGCCGCCGATCGCGGGGCTGGCCGCCGCACGTGGCGTGCTCGAGCAGACCGTGAACCGCCTAGCGAGCCTGCACTACACACATGGCGCGGTCATGCGCGATCCCGCGCTGCGGGCAGCCGCAGAGGAGTGGTGGAAGCGCCAGCGGGTGGAGGGCGAGTGGGCGCGGAATGACGAGAGCGTACGCCACATCGCTGAGCGGCTGGGGCGCGGATTCGGGGAGGCGCACGAGGGTGTACAGGAGGGGAGGTTGAGGGTTGCGGCGCGGGGGGCGGTGGTGGGTTTGAAGGCCGGGCTGGTCCCCGTTGTACAGTAACATGCGTTTTCCGTGAGCTTGTTGTAGGTATAGAGTTGTGTATCGTTAGAACAACTTGGTCCGGGTGAAGGCTTCACTGCAACCAATCCTGTGGGTCTGCTCCGACGAAAGATGGTCAAGGATATGCTCTTCAGGTTCGAGAGTCATAGCAAATTGAAACATGTTTAGTGATATATTCATGAAGGAACTCACAGCACTCAAATTCTCTACCTGCAGAAAAAACGAAGGGACATACGTTACCGTCGCGACTGGGGCATCTCTAGGCATCTGTGCGCCGATAGCGGCGGTCGCGGTCATCGTCTCTTCGTTGACTGTACGAGCCTCCCTGACGCCACGAGCCTGCATCTGATCTCCCTGGGCGAGAGTACGGACTCGACTCACGCGTATTATATCCACGCGCACCATATCCACGTGCGGAGTCGCGATACCCACCCGCACCAGACCATGAGTCCCGATATCCACGGCCTCTAGAGAGGCCGCGATACCCTCTTCCGCGTGTGGATGGCTCATGGCGGGAGGCTGTGGCTGGATCAATGCTAGGTGCATCGCGTACTCGCTGTAGGATGGCGAGCACATGAGCACGGGTGTATGCTGGTGATTGGTCTGGCGTGCGTAAGTTGAGAATGCGTGTGTGTCCCTCGTGTGGCGCAGGCGGGTAGTATTGGGACTGGAAACGCGAGAGGACGGACAGTGCTTCGGTCGGGGTCTTGATTGTTGGGTGGTTGGTTCCTACATCGGGAGCGATGTGAGCCCCATCACAACGTAAGGGGATAGGTAAGACTTACGAACGCGTAATCGTTCTATGCAGACCTAACAGGGAAGGGTCACTTTGACGTGTCTGGCGTACGCTACGCCACACCGCACAGGTGGCTCACCTCATACGGGGTATCGAAGACAATCACCCAAACATACGTCCCTAGATATTCACGAGCGATCTTTATCCATGTAGCTCTCTGCCTGTTCCAGATGAGCAGCAGCACTACAGAACAGAAAACCGTCGACTTACGCTTCGTCAAAGTTGGTGCGGTCGATGCACACGGAGAGGCCCTGGCTGAGGGAAAGGCGAGCGAGCGACTCCACGCGCCGTCTGTCGCCCAAGTCGTCTTGGTTGCATCTCCGAAAATTTGGAACGTGTTCCTGCAGCGCCTCTGCGAAGGTAGACTGGAAATTCTTCAACGTGAGTATGCATTTGCATTAGACCTGGATGAGCGGATTTACCTTTCCAGAGCCGATGAGGCCAACTAGGAGTAATACTACTTGCTTCTCCTTTATGAATTCTTCCAGTGCGTTCATTAATTTGTGCTGACGTGCTCTGGGTTAGTTGAACTTGATGCTTGGTGGTGGTTGCGGGTGAACGACTTCACTTGCCCGTTTGAACGACAGTTAGTCAGCACAACGGCTGGTCCTTCAGCACTTCGGCGCTTCAACAATCATCGATGCATCGCTGGTTCGATTCCCCGCTCGCTCTGATTGATCGAAGAACCGGTACTGGCTACATATAAGACGTGTCGTTCGAGCTCGGATGATGTTGCAACTCTCCTCCCTTCTTTTACCTTCCCCTGCGAGGCAGCCTCCCGCCGCGCACGCGTCACTGGGCAATCGCACATAGCCTCAACACCGCCGGACACACCTTTCTGCTTCTCCGTGTCGCATTCTTGAAACATGACGCGTCTTTGCATGGTCCGTCAGGGGCGATGCCCTATCCCTGTATACTCCTTGCGCTCTCCACTAACGGCTGAAAGGCAGTGACCTGGTGCAAGTTTGAGGCAGCATATAACCAACTTGCAGGTTATACTACTTGGAGCTTATCTGGAGACGTGCACGGTTATTCTAGCCGTGGTGAGTACCAGTAGCAGACTCAGTGGGTTATTACCCCTCTAACGTCAGCCAGTGGACGATCCCCAAGAGTGATCCACACTCAGCGGCAAATTACCGGACCACATTCGAAAGATGGCATATGGAGTGCGTAAATTATTCGTTGAGAATTCAGAACTTCCACATAATGCGGCACATATACGCGGCCAAACAAAAATACAATCACGGAACCGTCGAGGCACGGTGCGCGGAGTGATGTTCAACACTGACGTACTGACTGCTCGAGTTATTGAGAATTCTCTGTAGGATCAGAATACTAATTGGGTTTCATTCCCCGTCTTGAATGTCACAACCTCTACCGGTACCCTAGGGTAAAGTTGCGATCCCGGTCGTCACAGTACTGAACACGATAACGGACAATTTCATTGAACAAAATAGAAGCATCCGCCGTCTTCCCAGCATCCTACATTGAAGTGTCTACACTGATCTCCGCCCTTTTTTCAGCACGATACACTGATTAGCGTTCGCATCAACAAACTTGATGTCACCGTCCATCACAGATGGCCACCGTGACTGGTGCTCGGACTTGCTGATGTCAACAAGAGATTGTTCTCTGAATGCATGTTCATTTTCTTTGCAACCGTGCGTGGCGCTTGAGCATTTGTATACCTAACATCTGCTCTCTCAAACATGCTGCCGTGGTATTGCCACGTCAATGCGGACGCAATTCACAGCGCCAATTCAGCCTTCCACTGTTAGCGAACATGTCATCACTCTCCTTGCAGGTCCCCTGGACGTCAGACAGTGGCGATAATAGGTATTTACGTGCAATAGTTATACAGCCAAGAGATTGTTTCATTACAAAGTTCCAAAAGTCTGTACGTATGTTGGTTCAATGGTGTAGTGGTTATCATACCTGTCTTACATTTCTTGTGCACAGGCGGTCGCCGGTTCGACCCCGGCTTGAACCATTTTTTCCAGGTCTTCGCACAAGGACACCGCTTGCGGCTTCCGAGAAAGTAGTAGAGTTTTTCCTGGGGAGAAAACATGGAACTCAAGAGAATTTTCCGGGAAAAGAATGTATTTTTCTGGTAAAACATATATAAACTTATTTCTCCAAGAAATATATTTCTTGTTTTGGGTCACAGTTTTTCCTTGGAATTTACTTTGTCTCAGGTTTTTGCCCAGGAAAAGCCGTGCAATGTGCCTTGTGAATATGCAGTGCACACACACACCAGAATGACCAAGACATGTCTCACTAACTTAGTGTTCACCATGTTAACTTACTGACAGCCTAAACTGTACAATATTTTTGACAAAACATGCAGAAGTCATAATTAAGATCTGAAACTGTAGCTTCAAATTCCAAGGATTGATTTGGAATGAAAATGGCTGAAAGTGCAGACTTCAGTTATATCTTGCTTACCTCAGTTCTGATTGAGGTCAGGGAAAAAAGAGAATTTGTCAACCACCATTGACCCTCCCTGACAGGGAATCGAACCCTGCTCTCGCGCGCACCAGCTTGGAAGCTGAAACGGTGACAGGCGCGTGTACTGACCGCTATACGATCAGGGATTGGATAGCATCGTCGTAGTTCAGTCTATATTTACCAACTGTCGCTCATCGCCCTCAGTCTTCGCACTTTCTTGAACTCTACCATGGCGAACAGGGAAGGATCCGACTCTGAAGATGACCCAGATTACCTCCCTCCTGGTGATGCCGGTGAGACAGACTCACAGTGGATCATTGCTTGTGCTAAATTGCATTGTAGAGTCCTCTTCCTCCGATGAGGAACCAGACGCGAAGCGTGCTCGCACCAGCTCCCCACAGTCGAAGGAGATGAACGAGGCGGACAAACAGTATGTATTATTGATCATAATGATATGTTGCCACTTAGCTGAATTGCAATAGGGAGCTTTGGGCTGCATTCCAAGCATCAGTTGCAACGCCTTCTGTGAGGCCTTCGCCGCCCTCGCAGGTCATGGTGAAGATCGTTAAGCGCTTCCGCTTCGCCGGAGAGGAGGTTACGTGAGTGCCCGCAGGTTCCACTCCTCATTCGATTGGGATTGATGTAGTCGTATATCCCAGAGAAACCAAAGAAGTACCGGAGGATTCTGAAGATGCCAAGAAGTGGCCCCGCTGGCGACCACCAGAAGGAGAGGATAACACGGTTTACCAGCCGGAGTCATCAGCAGTCCAATCCGGAGACACTACTCCGTCGTCCAATGCCACTCAGCCTCCGACTACTCCCACTCCTGCAAAGCCCCCTGTTCCTGCAAAAGCAGCCCCAAAGCGTCCTGGTCCTCGCAAACCAAAGATCACACTAGCTTCGGCTCCCAGAGCTGCGAAGAAGCTAACGACTCTGGACAAGTCCGCCATGGATTGGCGTGCGCACGTCGACACTGAAGGGGCATCAGGCCTCAAGGACGAGCTCGAAGCAAATAGGCGCGGTGGAGGGTATCTCGAGAAGGTTGAGTTCTTGCAGAGGGTTGAAGATCGTAAGGCAGGTGCCCTGGAAGCGAGCACGTCAAAACGCAGACGAAGGTGAGGGGTACATAGTATACTGGTATCGTGCTGCAGACGTCGTACTGTATTATACAACCCTTGCAATAGGGAATTGGGTCCAAAATACGCGGGTACAGATTACAGCGGGAGGCACAGGAAATGCTACAAGGCAATTCGACTTGAAGGGGTACTTACATTGTTACAACTTTTGAAGCGATAGTATTCTCTAAGCCGGAGCTTTGCAAACGCGCTTGTGCTCGCTCCAGTGGGATTTCTGACACCCTTGGTCACAGTATCTGTCAGACAGATTATTAGTACTGAAAGTAAGCGACAGCAGCTCGACACTTGCCTTGTCTTCGAGCATCCACCGCACTTCCTGAGGACGGCACTCGGGTTACTGCACCACGAGCAACGGTAGAGGGCGACAGAGTTGGTGTTGATTTTGGGATGTGAGCACCGCTCGGGCTGCGGCGAATCATCATCCACCTTCAGATCGTCTAGCCATGCAGCTAGATCATCTTCCGCTTTCTCGGCAGAAATACTCTTGTCTTCCGACCCGCCTGTGTCAAACCGGGCGATGACGTCCTTCCATTCCTCGACTGCTTTCGGGTATAGATCAAAGATCATCTCTTGCGTGAGCCGCATTTGAGTCCTCTTCGGTGGATTCCCCAAGAACTTGCCAAATTGATCAGCAGTTTCAAGCTTCTTGCGCGCCAGCTGAGCAAATATTCAGAAAGCGCATGCATGCGAGTACGCGAGTTACTCACATCTAGCTCTGCCAGGTTTGTGCTAATTTCCGGTCCTTGGAGGGCGATAGTCAGGATAATGTACCAGTTGAGAATGATCTGCATATTCCTAGAGTCAGGTGGCGCCTCAGCGATGAAGGTCTTTGCATCCTCCAAAGCCGACATCAAGAAGGCTACACCTTCGGAGTAGTCTTTGCCTCCGGCTTTGGCTTCCATGAGGAAGCTGACAGCAAGGTTTCCGGCGTGATCCACGGCGCGCCACAGCATGTAGTTGCGTACGAAGGGAGTGATGTTCTTGCACTTCAGGCCCTTCTTGACGGACCTCAGACTATGCTTGCTATCTCCACCCAAGCCGATCGCATAATAAGCATACGCCAAATTCGGATTGCGCTCGATGGCCTTGTTCCCCAGCATGACGACGTCGGGGATGCGCTGCTTGATGATGAGATACTTCAGGTCGACGATATCTGCCATGTCTAAGTCTGACGGGCTACCCTTCTCGCGGAGCGCATTGGCGCATATAGGAAGCGCATCGGTCCACATCTCGAACGGCAGACCGATATCCATGGCTTCATATTGTCCGGTACGCTCGTTGAACGCCTGGAACATACCCTCCGCAACCGAAAATTCCGTGCGCACAATGAGCTGCGACAGCGTTTTTCCTAGAGCGTATAGGTCGCGATCCTGGGCGCATTTCATCATCGCCTTTTGGAAATCGGCTGTCGTACGCAAGATGATAGTCGTGTCGCACTTGTCTAGACCGTATTGCATCATGATGTCTCCAAGATTCTGCGGGAAGCGGCGGCTCACGGCCGCTATCATCTTCTGTGGGTCGTAGTAACGAATGTCGGGCTCCGAGCCAGCATCGTTGAGGCGTATGAGAGCGCCGATAGCATTGCATCGGATAGTGAGGTCATCGCTCCGAAGACATGCCACGAGAAATGTCATTAACGACGGAATGGCCTTGCAGTCCTTGTAGCAGTGCTGCGTCGCACCGGACAGGAGGCCAAGGGCATGGTCGATCATGTAGTTCGATGCAATTGGTTTTCGGATGTTTTCTATGGTATCCTGGAGAACGTTATGGATCTTCAGTTCCCTGAATTCCTTTGCAGTGGGTGACTCTTCCACACTGATAACAGCACCGACTGCATGAGCTATTGTCACCGTCGCAAGCTCTAGAAGTTTGGCATCATCGCTGTGTTCTCGCATTAGCTCCGAGAGACGGGGAGTTAACTGTGCGATTTCTCTTCGGGCCTCGCTACCACCATGATGGGTCACGTTGCAAAGCGCCTGCAAAGCAAGGTGGCGAGTATACGAATCATCCAACAGAGGTTTCAATCGTGTTAAGAAACCTAAATATTCCTCAGCTGCCTCTTCGCAAACACAATTCTTGGGCACACCTGCTTTGAACAACTTGGTTCGCAGGATGGCGTCGGCAGACATCTTGGCCCAGACACTAACAATCCCCCCAGTCACTTTGACGTTATCCTTATTGGCCAAGAACGCATGGTCAAGCTTAGTTTGAATGGTCCCAAATTTTGCATGGATCTCTTTCAGTCCGCTGCGCGTGGTGAGGTCTACTCACAAAGGTTCAGATTCTCTCGTCTAATGTTTAGACGCAGGACTGACCTGGAAGTTGAAAGTACTCGCATATAAAGTCCGCAGTTATGCTCCAGGTTTGCGCATTGTCGATTCCCTCCAAAATCGCGTTATCCGCGCCATCAGCACCGGTGGACTTTAAAGGACGCCGATCTGCACGAGAACTATGGGCCTTTGGCTTGTTTTTTTGGGTCTTCTTCCCCATGCTAGGGAATAAAATTTGTTCTTGCTGAGTTCCGAACAAGAAGTTCTGATGATACACGTATATGGTCTATATGAACGTCGTGATCGTGGTCGTGGTCGTTGCGAAGCTGCAGCAGAATCGCGATGCGTCTGGTCAAATCGACTGTATCTCGCGTGTCGCGTTTCGGCATTTTCCGCATTAACTTTACTGCCCCACCATGACGGAGGACGAACTTCTGGCTCGAATTGAGCCCGTCGCTCAACTGGAGGGTATGAAAATAAATATCCACAGATACTCCTGCTTACTTTGGGAGAGCAGGACACGATGATCGTGCCTGGCATGTCGCATGGAACCCCGCACGACCCATTCTCGCAACTTGTTCTGCAGACAAGTCCGTGCGCATGTACAGTTATCGCGCAAATCCAAATCCCGAAGACGAAGATTCTCTGTCTTTGACTTTCTCCCATATCGCAACAATACCGACCGGTCATGCGAAGACCGTCCGAGCGATCGCCTGGTCACCGTCCGGGAAGACTCTGGCGACAGCATCCTTTGATTCTAACATCGGCATTTGGGCTCAAGAGGACGATGAAACCGAAGATGAAGATGGTGGCTCGCCTAATGCACAGTGGGAGTGCATGAGCCTGTTAGAAGGACATGAGACAGAGTGCAAGAGCGTCGCATACTCGAGCTCAGGTAATCTACTTGCCAGTTGCAGTCGTGACAAGACTGTATGGATATGGGAAGGTATGATGTGTAGGCCTCTCAGATGCAGTTGATGACGACTGATCTGCTTAATGTCCAGTCCATCCCGACTCCGACTTCGAATGTATGGGTGTGCTCATGGAGCATTCTCAGGACGTGAAATGCGTCGCTTGGCATCCCACAGAGGAGGTCAGTGTATCCATTGCTCTTTTTTACTTTGCATCTCTCCTCGGCACTCACCATCCCAACATACTCCCAGTGCAGATCCTCGCCTCCGCCTCTTACGACGATACCATTAAGCTATACATAGACGACCCATCTGAGGACTGGTTCTGCTTTACGACGCTAACCGGGCACGCGTCAACAGTGTGGTCGCTCGCGTTCTCGCCCGATGGCCAGTTCCTCGCGTCGGGATCGGAAGACAAGACTGTGCGTATCTGGGAGCGCGTGCAGGAACACAAGTGGGAGTGCGTCAGTGTGCTGGACGGGCACGAGCGAAGCGTGTACTCTGTCACTTGGGGCCGTGGGAAAGGTGCGGAAGAGGGCAGCGTGGGCTGGCTTGCGAGTACGGGCGGGGACGGTAAGATACTCATCTGGGACATCAGAGTAAGTCCAGATGGTCGCTCTATGGCCCTACATCTGATTTCCCTGTACCTGCAGATCTCGGTCTATGCTTCTGGCGGCGGCAAGAGCACGCTGACTCACAGAGTGCTCGCACGTCTCCCTTCTGCGCATGGGGTGTTCGACGTGAACAGCATCGTGTGGTGCCCGAAGGAGGGTCTCGAGGACGTCTTTGCGACTGCAGGAGATGATGGGCTTGTACGTGTGTGGAAGGTAAACTCACGTTGACTCCTAATTTATCACAGTCGGAGTAAGTATCTAAGGGAGCGTGCGAGAAGAACGAACACTTTGTATCATTCAATCATGGAACCAATTCAAGTTACTTTCATGTACAGGCGCATTGGGCATGAATGTTCCCGCACAGGTCGCTTAGAAATCTCTAGTGTTGTATTGCGACCATAGGCTTGCTGGGAAGTTTCTGATCCATCTGGTGCGTTCACTATTTGCGCGACAATCGCAGGCCGTGAGTCCGAAGCCTCATGAATAAGGTTGACAGCGATACTGAGCGGATGATTTGCATAGCACGGTTTTAGAGCAACGAAATCGGCATAGTGAGTCTGATCCAAGGTGCTGCCAGGTTCACCGCTAGTTTCAATGGCCTGTGGGCCCTGACATCTACTGACTATTCTCGGATCCGTATCTCTCTGTCAGCAAACCCTGCAATGTTGGGGATTTCTACCAACTCACAGGTGTTTGGTTTATAACGAACGATGCGCTTCGATTCTTGTTTGTTTCCCATGGAACATAACATGACCGCAACTTGACGGCAATGCGACATTATTTTCCATACAGTTTTCTCACAGTACGTGCGCCTGTCCAGCCAATCAGAATCTTTTGTCCGTTCAATCGTTCGGTTTGGATGTTCACGCAGACATCGTTATTAGCTAACGCGCTGTGTTGCCACGGTAGGCATTCCATCATCGTGCCGTGCCTCTCAATGTGTACGTTCGTCAGGCGTCGCCTATGTTTTAGGTACGCAACCTCATTCTGATGGAAATTTCCGTGGACCCACAAGGGTCGTCGTTGTCGATCGCAGTTCATGAATGACAACATGTACGCAACCGCTACCTTTTTTGGTGGTACAACAACTGAAGAACTCTACAGGCCTATGGTATACTTGTCCGCAGCTCAGCATTCCCCAGCTATTTCCTGTGTTGGACATGAATAATACGTATATCCATACTAAAATCGTCTTGATGACCTGGTCCGAATCGAGTCCGAGCATGTACCGGAGAACAATCTGGCGGTGGGGACTGGTCACAATCTGCAGCTTGTTTAGCACTACTGGTCAACGTTAACGGTACAGGCCCATCTTCAAAGCGGGAGTGTCGCAGCTATGGGGTGCACGATGTAGCGTCTAGAAAATGCAGTTGTCTGGTCTTTCGATAGAAATCAGAACGTGCACGTCATTGCACTCCCTCTCTCAGTCGTCGTGTACCTGGTCTGTCTTTCCTTCACACCGAGCGGTTGAGAAGATTATATTGGCTTCGAACACTAGAGTTACCCAGCATGCCATCCCCATCCACGGATGCTCGTGTGCCTCAATTCAGTCAAGAAAAACAAGGCCTGATCGACCATGCACATGTGCTGTACTTCCTCAAAGACAAGATGAGGTGACCACTGCAGCTGGCAGTCTGGCATCGCTCAGGCTCACATTGTTTGATGATTGAACGAGTGTCTGGTTTTGAACAACACGCTCAGCCTGTTGTTGTCTTTTTGAACAGGTAGTCCATCTCTGCAACCTATAAATTGTGACGGGTCAATTGCAAGTTATTGAAGTTAGGACTCCTCAAATTTCTCAAACGGGTGGTAAAAGTCTCGCTGGATATTATTTTTACATCAGCTTGATGAGCTGGTCGGAATCGGATCCGACTCATCCATCCCGGAGAACGATAGTAGAGAACGCTCCGGCGAAGCCTGGGATGATCACAATTTATTCGATGCCATTCAGCGTTGTCGACGTTAGAGATACTAGTACTGCCACATCTTCGCGGAGTGGGAGTATGGTAGCCATGAGGCCTGTGCGTAGCCCTCGTCTAGAATGGTCATTCGATAGAAATATTCGTCAGGAACATGCGTCGCTTAACGTGTACTGCGTACACCTGCTCTCCTCCGAGTCAGAGATTATGATCGTCCTTAGTCTGTCCTTCCTCCTTTCCTTAACTCAGACCGGTTGAGCACCACACACGTCTTCCAGCCAAAACGTCGAACCTCGACGCTCATTCTGCGCAGTCGCGAGGGTTATCGATATCTGCTTCAACGTTTCTCCGGGTATTATCTGACATGATCATGCTAATCGCATGAACTGCTAGCTACTGTAAGTGTATTATACCATTGCAATGCAGTGTTGAGCGTTGGGGCTCGTTCAAACTTACTAGCGACGCAGCAGTCATCGCAGAGCCATCGGCAGCAAGCTTCGAGCGACGGCCCTCCCTTCTCAGCATTCTCTGGCTTCGGACTCCTGCGCACTGCGCCGTACTAATTGAAGTTTACATAGATCACTCAGCCTGTCTCTTCCCCGCTCACATCACCTTCGTATCGTACTCCCACAATGCTCAAGCATAAGAAGAATCAACCTACAGCCCAGGAACTATATCGCGCGCGGAAGCAGCGCGAAGAGCAGGAGAGGGAGGCCTATTTGCCCCCGGGGCTGATTAATCACGGGAACACCTGCTTCATGAACTCCACGCTCCAAGGTGTACGTCCACCGCATTCGCGTCCGCTCATCTGACCTTCCGAGGTATTCACGCTTACTCTCGGTAGCTCCTGGCGACAAAGTTGTTACACAACCTCGTCAACTTCGAGCCCGTTCCGTCTGCCGCGGGGCCATCCGTGCTCGCTCACCGTTCGCCCCAACTGACGAACGGGCACGGATCCGGTGGGGAGTACGAGCGGTCGTGGGAAGAGGGCATGCCGCTTGGAGACGTCTTTGTGAATGTGATGCAGAAGGCGTGGAGTCTGCAGGAGGGTCGGAAGCGGGAGAGTATGAGCCCCAAGTAAGCCTGATAGGGCATAATAACATGATACCCTTGCTGATGGCGCATTAGAGAGATCCTCACCGGGATCGGGCGCAAGTACGACCAGTACCTTGACTTCCGGCAGCAGGACGCGCACGAGTTTCTGCGCCACATGCTCGATGCGATGCGTATGGAGGAACTCGACGTGCGTACTCAATTCTCTCCACTTCCGCGTGTATACTTAGGTTGCTTGTCTCAGATTATCAAGAAGCGCCAACCGCCGCCAACTAAAGACAAGGCCACGCGATCTCACAAGAAGCGGCACGTGCGATCTCTGCCGTCTGCGACTAAAGTTGTTCTGCCCGAGCAGACATCACACTCAGATCCTTCGATAGCATCTCCGATAGCATCTCCTGCAGCTGCCTCCGTGTCTGCGCCCGCGGAAGAGGACAAGCTAACGTCGTTCGTAGACCTGATATTTGGGGGGCGACTCGCGAGCATCCTGGTGTGCGAGAAGTGCAAGAAGATTTCTGTGACGTACGAGGACTTCAACGACATCAGCCTGAGCATTAAGCCCGAGGACTACGTTAAGGACCGCAGGCGTGACCGCCTGAAGAAACTGGCAAAGAAGCTGCGGTTCTTTCCTCAGCCAGGCTCGGGCTCGACCAGCGACCTGGACGACGGTGGGCAGAGGCGGCGGTCGTCATCCGTACCCCCTCCAAGTCCACTCAGGAAGAGCATGGAGGCTATTGCGCACGTTCATGAAGAGCCGCCGATACATGACGGGCCCCGCCGAGTGAGTTTCGATCATGCAGGACCTGCTGCAGAAGACGCGCGGGACGCGGTGAGGGATATGGCAGGAGACAAGGTTGAGGCAACAGCTGAAGCGGCCGAGAAAAAAGAGGACGCGAATTGGGAGGTCACAGACGCTGTAGATGCGACGGAGAACGCTCTCAGGGATAAGGCTGATGGCGAGCAGGGGAAGGAGAAGAAAGAGAAGGAGGATCCGTGGGGTAAATTGGGACGACGAATCAGCATGAGGGTGAGTCGGAGGATGCGGGAGCTGGGAAGCCCCAGCCACTCGGTCGAACGGGGAAGAAGAACAGGATCTAATGATGCAGTCCGATTTTTGGCCAAAAAGGACAAATCTGCGCGTTCCTCTCTTGCACCAACCCCTGTGAACGAGCGCGATACCGACAACGATACATCTGATGCTCCGGTCAGGCATAGCGCCCCGCTCTCGCCGGTTTTGACCCCGCTATCTTCTCCTCATACAGGCACGGCGACATTGGCCCAAACCGCGCCTATCAAGCGGACGCACTCGGACGCGCCGTTCACCCCGCGAAGATCGAGGTCGCCCGTTCCTCCCAAGCTTTCCAACGGAGAGACCGCGTATCTGCGTCGAATCCTGGCGGACGTCAATACCTTATCCACGAACCCAAACCCATTCTCTATGCTGCAGCAGGCTCTGACATCTACGCACTACGGGGTGGGCCCATCCTCCTCTGCGTCTGCTGCACACGCTCTCTGGGTGAGGATGGGTCATCTCCCGGGGGTTGTCGAGTGTCTCCGGATGTTCACCGCCGTCGAAGTGCTCGATGGCGAGAATATGGTAGGCTGCCATCGATGCTGGAAGATCGCAAATGGATGCTACAAGTTGGCGCACCGCGACGAGCTTGTCGGCGAGGACGCAGACAGCGAGAGTGAGGAGAGTGAAGCGAGCGAAGGGAAGCTAGAAGGCAACATAATGGCGCCGAATATCACACAGAGAGTACGCTCCTTGGACGCAGACGAAGGACGGCTATTATCGTCTCCCGATATGTCTACTGGCGGCGTATCACCTGCGTCGACATCAGCGATTTCTATGAGCGTGACATCGGACTCGGAGTATGTGAACGATACCAAGTCGGTATCGACTGCGCCTTCCACTGTCGACATCACGCTGTTGCCAAATGGGGATGTTTTTCTTTCTCCTGAAGCCTCTTCTCTAGCAACGTACAGTGGTATTCCAATCCCATCAATATCTACGACCGCACCGGAGTTGCCACCCTCTACCTCTCAGATGGCTGTGGCCACCCAGTTATCTGAGGCCGACCAGAGCAGGCCACCTAGCTCGCTCGATGCTCCGACTTCGACGGATACATTGCTCACTCCAAAGAGGCACCCACGTTCGCAGCGGAAGGACGCCGCCTCCGGCGAGAGTGACAGCTTGGATGACAGCGATGACTCCGGTTCCTTGAGCGACACTTCAGCTAATACATCCGCATTCTCCGATGTATCTCCTGCTGCATCTCCTTTGGCTTCTCCGACAGTCTCCCCAAGAGCTTCTGTCGAAAATTTGCAATCGTCCGCGTCTCCTTCGGCGGTTCGGCTGAAGACGCTGGACGGGACGTCATCTCCTCAGGTGCCGCGTTCCAAGCAGGTCATTCCGCGACGAATGTACAAACGCTACCTCATCGCGACTCCTCCTCCGGTTTTAGTCGTGCACCTCAAGCGATTCCAGCAGGTCTCGAAGTTGCACGCTATGTCATTCTCGGGTGGATTCAAGAAGCTCGACCACTTTGTGGCGTTTCCGGAAGAGCTGGACCTTGGGCCATTCGTCGCGCCAAAGAAGGAAGACTTCGTGCTGAAAGGGAAGGGCACAAGGCGTACTCCCAACGGTGTGATAAAAGGGACCGAACGCTGTATGTACCGCCTCTATGCCGTCGTGGTGCATATAGGCAATATGGTACGTATTCTGTCTACTTTTCGTTCACTCATACATTTTCCACTCATACATTCCGATAGTTGGGCGGACACTACATTGCATACACAGCTCTATCATCGCCAAACGCGGCTCCCCCTCCGCCGACACCCCCAGCAGACTCGAATTCTCCAACCCTCTCGACCACTGCGCCAACGAAGCCCATCGGCTCCGAATACCAGGTAAAGTCCACGAAAAGTCCGAGACAGTGGGCGTATATCAGCGATACTGTCGTCCGGCTCACCACTTTAGAAGAGGTACTCAAGGCGAAGGCTTATATCTGCATGTACGAGCGCATATAATTTCACCGCTTCATCTTCTCCCACCGTCCTGCACGTTCGTTCGCCGGTGTATCAATACTCTGTGGGATGTGCTGGTCACTTGTACTGGACTGGCGACCGTTTAGTTTGTATTGTCCGGCTCATAAATTATTCCCACGTTGCCGCGGCATATATATCTTTTTCTCTCTACTGTTTTACTGGATATGCACCCATTACACCGCTCAAAGAGCGACGAACGAAGGGATGAGTCCGTACGTCCACACCTGATATCGATAACTGCTCGGCTATAACAGTGTCAATCTCCCACTATCGCTCGAGGTGGGACATTCAAAATATGGTTTTACACAGGAGGTATGTCAGAAAATATACCAGCTTGAATTCCTCTTTGGCTACGCTAAACGTTCATTCTGCACATTCCAGTTAGAGTGGCTACAGTCCCGCGGCTCCTATGGAAAACAAACTGAATATTCGAGTGTGTTGACCATTGTAGCTTCGAGAAGAGCGCCGAGAATTGGTTCCCACGTAAGTAGCGCTTCAGTAGTCTCCCAAAGGCAGGTTGTAGATACTCTGCTTCAACCTTCGTGCCTCAGGATATCCGTATCTGACTGCTTCAGAGACTCTGCGCCAGCGTGGAAGACGAACAGTGAGACGAGATGGGAACGTATCTCATCGGAGCCCTTACGCTTGCCTTTCTGTACATTATTCGGAGATGGCTTGAATATCGCGGTCTGCTTCGAATCATTCGGCGAGTGCTACTTATCTACTTCAAACGGGGGCGATTGTTGAAGATGGATACCTCTTTCTGTCTCCAGTGACTTTCCAGGACATCGCACATTACTCAAAGGTTTCAGTCCAATGTTAAGATGGCGTATACCGTACATTTGCCCGGGCAGCGACAGCGACATATACCGCAAGTATCAAGACTTCGCAGAATGTGGTCATGACGTTATGGCTTGGGTCAGTCGTCCAACCTGGCACAATGGAACACGTTGTGACATCGTGAGCCTATCTAGGTCAACATGTTTCCCCGCGCTCGGGTGGCATACGACATAGCGGACGCGGAATGTCTGAAAGTAAGTGTTCTGGTTGACGTTGAATACTTGTTTGATTGTATCTTGTTTTCCCTGTTCTGAACAGGAAATTGTCAATGCCCGTGCTCATTTCGTCAAGCCTGTCTACATGTACCGGATGTTGTCTTTCTTCGGCAGCAACCTCCTCATAACCGAGGGTTATGAATGGAAACGACAGAGAAAAGTTGTCGCCCCAGTTTTCTCTGAGGTTGATATTTCTTTTACAAGTGTGCTTGAGTTACTTATGTTTTGATAGAGAAACAATAAGCTCATCTGGGACGAAACGATACGCATCGTAGGTGACTTGTTCGACAATGTTTGGGGCAACAACGAGCGTGTCGACGTGGACCACGCAGTCGATATAACACTTCCGGTGTGCATCATTTCTCCAATGCAATGATCTTCACCTCCTAAATATCTCTGGATACAGTTAGCATTATTTGTCTTGAGCGGTGCTGCGTTCGGGAAGCCGGTGTCCTGGACTCAAGGATCTTCGGTTCCTCTAGGGCATACCATGGCATTCAAGGTGGCTCTCACTTTCCCTTGGAACTTGCGTCTTTTCGAGCGGCATACCATAGGATGCGCTGCACGTCGTTTCGACACAGATAGAGTTGAAGATGATTTTCCCGAGTTGGGCACTGAGATGGGGGATCACTCTAAAGCTGAGGAAATTTCAGCAAGCCTACGAAGAGTTCTCCGTATGCAATTCGTAATTTATACAATTTTCCGCGCATTTCATTCGCCCGATCTCACAGAGCTACATGTCTGACATGATTCGGGAGCGCAAGAGCGATGCGGAGAAAGCGGGGGGCGCAGATATCTTGTCGTCGCTTGTGCAAGCGAATGAGGAAGAATTTGACGGCGATTCAAAGTTGAATCAGGGCGAGCTCGAGGGTGAGAGGAACGGCATCTAATGCGCTGAGTTTCCCGTTGACTGCTCTCGATAGGAAATACTTTCATTTTCCTTCTTGCCGGTTTGTCTACAGAACCGTCTCAAAAGCTTTGCTAACGGCCCTTGCTGATGACTTGGTTGCTCTCCAGGCCACGAGGTCTGTTTCATTGCTCCATTCTCTGTAAGGCTCGTCTTATGTGATCGTCAACGATAGACGACGGCTCATTCGCTTGCGTTTACCTTCGGTCTTTTGGCTTTGTACCCCGACGAACAGGAAAAGTATTACCAGCATCTCAAGGAATATCTTGCTGATGGCAGGACTCCTGTGAGTTCTATTACCACTGGCACTGCAAGTATTTTTTACCGATATCCTTCCTTCAGGGATATGAGGAAATGGGGCAACTAACTTACAGCCTTGCGTGCGTGCGGACTCTAAGTTCAATTTTAGCATGCTCACCACAAGTGCAGTGTGTTATACGAGGCGTTACGGATGTACCCTACAGTTGGGTGTCCCGAGTCCCTTATGGCTTCCGAGGCTCACTCTATTCCCATTAGACTAAAAGAGTTCCGAAGGTCAGCACCGAGGACACGACCTTGAGCACTATCAATGCAGGGGGACAGAAGGTCGTCATTCCAGTTCCAAAGGGAACAGAATTATTTACGTCTGCATTCGGGATGCCCTACAATCGTGAATGCTCCTCCCTCTCCGCATGTCTGTGACTCAACCCAAGCATGCATATGACCAGCACGATATTGGCCAGATCCGGACACGTATAAACCTGCCCGTTTCCTTGGTGACTACAACCGCGACGCCTTTGTACCATTCAGTGTCGGTGCACGTGCATGCATCGGACGCAAGTGAGTACTCGTCCTGTCTCTGAACTCATACTGAACGCGCGGATCCTGCGCAGGTTCACGGAGACCGAGTCTGTCGCTGCGCTCACCATGATCATCATGCGCTACAAGATCGAGCTCAAGGACGAACCCCAGTTTGCCGGCGAGTCCTTTGAGCAGAAGAAGGCGCGTCTGTTCACCGTGAATTCCGGCGTCACTCTCGCGTAAGTATGTCTCTCCCGTTCTGAGTCTACTATAGTCCTCACTTTCGGGCCAGTCCTAGAAGGCTCCCCCTCGTATTCAAGCGTCGTTCACTTCTGTAGCTGCAACGTCTGGGTTTTTGGTGGTTTCTTTAGATATGTAATGCTACGATTTACGCCAGAGGTGTACGGTCTCTGGCTGGATGTAAGATAATGAGTATACCTTTGTAAATTCATGCGAGACGATCGAGGCGGACGGTACAGTGTGATTCGCTTTATCAGACGTGTCTTTCGACGTCGATAGAAGTTGCTATCATCTGCAGCGGATTCGGCTTACTGCAAACATCGCCCACAGGGAATTACGACGCATCGACGACCCTGGCCACATTTCTGTCAGCGAATGTGACAGCTCTAGAAGTGATCGTCATGCCCCGTTGAATAAATAGTCTAACATCTCAACGAATAGTTGACATATGCCACACATCTAGATCTAGATCTTCTTCAGTATCTCCTCGAATTTCTTCAGCACAATGTCGTTCTCCTGCACGTTCCCGACCGTGATCCGCAGGCAGCCCACGCAGCCGGGCTCGCTGCCGCGGTAGCGCACGACGACGCCCTCTTCCTCCGCGAGCGTCTTGTACACTCGCTGCGCGCGTACGTTGTCGGGCTTGCCGCTGCTGTTCTTCTCGAGCACGGGCACCACGATGAAGTTCGCGTTGTTGCCGCCGATCGCGGCCCCGAGGCCGAGAGGCCCTAGCATCGCCAGCTTCTGCAGGAGAAGGTCACGTTGCTTGCAGAGCGCGGACACTTTCTGGCTCATTGACGCGACTGCGGACGGGGAGAGCGCGGACAGCGCGAGAGAGGCAGTGGGTGCGGAGATGTTGTATGGCGCCTTCGTGTTCATAAGGATCTGGATCAGCGACGGGTGAGCGAGAGCCATGCCCAATCTGGATACAGGTGGAGAAATTAGGGAATTGTCGAGGGCGAGCGCGTCTCTCGACACGTACCGGATAGCAGCCAATCCGAAGCTCTTGCTGAGCGTCTGCGTAACACAGAGATTCGCGTATTCCTTTACGAGGGCGGCAGCGCTGGAACCCTCTGGGGCGAAGTCGATGTACGCCTCGTCTACTACGACGACGCCCTTGAACTTCTCATACTCGAGCAATGTACGAATCGCAGAGAGCGAGATCAGGGTGCCAGTAGGATTTCCAGGGGAGCACAGAATGACCAGCTTGATTGATGGGTCGGCACCAATGGCAGCCTTCATCTGGGGTAGCAGTCAGCGTTGGAGCCCCCCGGTGTCCGAAGAGCAGCGCCTCACACCTCCTCGACCTTGAGCGAGAATCTGCCGGCCTCACCGCCCTCACCATGCGCGCCGCTAAGCTCAAGCGGGCACTCGACTATGCCTACATCGTTCACCTGGGCGCACACTTTGTACATCCCATACGTCGGCGGCGTGATCAGAATCTTTTCCCGTCCAGGCGCGACGCACACACGCATGAGCAAGTCAATGACCTCGTCAGAGCCGACACCAAGGAACACGTAGTCGGTGCTAGGGAGGGCACGCAGGGAAGCCAAGCGCTCTCTGATGGGGTCGTTGCGCGGCGATGGGTAGCGGTGCAGGTCGAGCGAGAGGGTGGAGCGCAATTCCGGGTCGAGCTCGGAGTCCGCTGGTGCCGCCGGAATGGAGTGACCTAGAGAATTTTCATTTGCATCAAGAAGGATACCTTCTGAGTAGTCATCCCTGGCACAGCGGTAGGGGTGTAGAGTCAAGATGTTTGGCCGGATCACTTTCTCGATGTCGAAGTGAGCGGGAGCGGTGGGATACAGCGACGGTGCAAGTCCGAGGATGGGCATGGCAACAAGGAAATGAAAAGCTCTTCCACGCCTGTTGTTTGGATGGTGGGTGGACTACTTATCAGAATCGCTGTGGGTGGGTCAGAGAAAGACGTTTAAAAGAAAATTGAAACGGTGACTCGGACTCGTCGAAGGATCACTGCAGCCAGAGTCGACCATCTAAGCGCCCATCAGTGTCCAATAATCTAAGCGCCAGGCCTTGTTGCATATGGCCGCTGAGTCTGCCCTGCATGCGGTGCTCACGACTCTCTTGTTTGTAGGTGCCGCTCCACAATTGACATATGTTTTTGCAGATACTATCAGGATATCCTGTGCGATTTCGAAACGTTACAACGGAGGCTTGACACACTGGTTTTCCCGACTCGGATCTGCGCCTTATAGATCTCTGCCGAACAATGGGGTGGTGGCTTCTGCTCCAACAGCTCCAACACACCCGTTGCAATATGCAACGAACAGCGCAGTTGATTAATCTGTAACGGGTTCCGCGCAACATATAAGCCCTCCTTGTCTTCTGGATCCTCATCGCCTGTCTGCGTATCATCCGAGCCCGGTGCTCACCCCCTCACTGTCTCTCACTGTCTTCTTCGCTCAACGACTCGAGGTCACGAACTGTTCTGGATCTTTGTCTGTCCACCACATCACTTTTACATCATCTCAGCATACTCGGGACGCATGTCTCCCTCTACATTTGCTCGGACCGTGTGCTTCCTTGCATCCCTCGCGTTCGCAGCTCCAGTGCAGGGTGCCCCCGCCGGATTCTATGCAGGCGTCGGTGGAGTCGGTGTGTATCCGTGACTGATACGCGCCACATTCTTCCGTGCTGACGGATCCTTGCAGCACCTCTGCTTGGAAAACGCCAGGCCTCGGTCTCTTCCTCCGCCTCTTTCAGCGCCGGCGCCAGCATCTTCTCGAGCCCATCCTCAGCTGCTTCCCTGTCCCCATCCTCCACTGCTGATGGCGGATTCTCAACAGGCGACCCGTCGTCTGTTCCCAGCTCCGCTTTCTCTTCCGCCTCCATCTTCCCGTCCAGTGGTGCTGGCGGATTCTCCACGGCTGTTCCCTCTGCGTCGACCACGCCGGCCGTGAGCAGCAGCGCTGCAGGTTCCTCAGCTGGCTTCCCATCCCCATCAGACACCCCATCCCTCTCGGGTGCCAGTGGTGCATCCGTCGTGACCGTAGTCTCGACCCAGTATGTTACCGTTACTGCTTGCGGCGGTGCGAACCCTACCGCTGCTCCCACCGGCCCTGCCAGCATTGGCTCCGGCCTCGGCGACAGCACCGCGTTCAGCGCACCCACCGGCAGCGCGCCAGATGGTAGTCCCGCATCCGGTGTACCCAGCGGCGGGGCCAGCGGAGGCGTGTCCTCACTCGGCCCCGCCTCGAGCGCTGCGTCGGTCTTCCCCAGCCCGTCCGCATCTGGCTCTGATGGCGGATGTGATGGATCGTCCGCCTCGTCGGCTGTTGTCCCGAGCGCGAGTGTCTCGGGCGGCGCCGCGTCGGTTTCCACTGGCGGAGCGAGCTCGTCGGTTTTCGGGGCCGGTGCATCCTCCGTGTTCTCACTGAATCCCAGTGCCAGTATCCCAACGAGCTCCCCGGCGTTCTCGTTCCCCGTCTCTCCTTCAGCGACCTCGTCCAATTTGGTCCCGCCTTCGTCGGCGGTGTCCGACTCTGCTGCGGCATCTAGCGCGACTGCCGGTTTCTAGACTGTCACACAGCAAGGAGTCGTACATCCTTGATCGGGCGCTGATCTGGAGTAACGTCAGTGCTGTTAACCAAAATGCTCAGTGGGACCGAGTGTGGTTTCGAGAACGAGTGCACGCTCTGACATGTAGTACCATATACCCCGTACGCATCGCAGGTAACGTTCGTACATAGCACTCATGATATATCAACTGCAAGCCCCTGTGTGTATGTCCGTCGAGTGCGATCTGTCTTTCTCGCAGCTTGTGCTCGTGGGTTCATGTGGGAACACCGAATGAAGACGTGGGTAATGCGATTTTCGTTCTGATGTCTGCGGCCTCGGATAACAAGCGTTCTTACCCTTCGTGATAAGCTTCGTACGGTATTGGCAGCGGCGCGAAATCTGAACGTACGCACGCGCATCCGCGCCACATACCCGAAAATATTGTGTCAAGAAATTTCACCTGGAGAGTACTCTACTTGAGCGAGAAAAAATAAAATGCGCCGAAACGGTTTCAATTCACCTGCAGGTGACATTCTGCGTGTTGGAGGGTAAAAACATATGATTGAGAAAATCAGAAGGAGCGCGCTTCGCGCGGGTTCTTGCTCGGGGTCGGGAGACGCGTCGGGAACACGTGACATTACCGATTCCACTTAGCGCCAAGGCATTGGCTTTTTGGATAACTGACTCGGGGTCCAGTTTTCAAGATGCTGCGTCTTCTCTCTCGCCCCATCCGCACCGTCGCCCCAATCTTCCGCAGAACAATGGCTTCCACACCAGATTTTGTATGTTTTGTGTGCCATCTGACTACATCGCAACTGACTGTCTTGCGTGCAGAACAAGCCTCTGTACACACCCCTTGCAGAGCTTGACCCTGAGGTCCAAAACATCATCGACAAAGAGACATGGAGACAATTTTCTGGCCTCGAGCTCATTGCCTCAGAGGTGTGCAGTGTTCCTGTTATTTTCTCACCGCGATCTGACCACTTAGTACAGAATTTGACGAGCCGTGCTGCGATGGAAGCGAACGGCTCGATCCTCACTAACAAGTACTCGGAAGGTCTCCCTGGCGCGCGGTACTACGGCGGTAACGAATATGTCGACGAACTTGAGATTCTCTGCCAAAAGCGCGCTCTCCAGGCGTTCCACCTTGACCCTGCAAAATGGGGCGTTAATGTCCAGCCGTACTCGGGTAGCGTGCGTCTTCCATTCCCACTTGTCGTTCGCACGGTTTAATTGACGTAAACCCTGTGTGCCCTAGACTGCGAAGTTTGTCGAATTTGTTTCTCGCATCGGTGTGCGGACTGACGATTGGCTCGCAGCTTTGCGACTCTCACCGCCCTGCTTCAACCGCAGGAGCGTCTCATGGGTCTTGGCCTCCCTGATGGTGGTCATCTCACGCATGGGTACTTTGTGAGTGTCCCACAATTGCGATCACTTCTTGGTACTCGCGCATGTTTTTGCTCTCCCTTGCTCGAGCGGTGCAAGGACTGATGTACATGGGTCTGTGGCAGAGTCCGTCTCGCAGCCGTCCCCAGCGCTGTTCCATCGCTCTGCGCGGATTGCTGTAAGCTGGACTCCGTCGGCGGTCCGTGTTCTGGAGGTCCCGGCGGAACATATCCGCTGCGACACGGCGTTCCGGAGGCTTGAGAGAGGACTCAGCCGTCGTCGCCATATCTTCCTCCGGTTTAGACAGTTTTCCCCATCCGGTGTGCCGATTCTTGAGCTCCCCAGCGGATTGCGAGATGTGGTAACATAAGTTCGACGACGTGAATGCACTCCTTTCTTTACTCTCTTCCCTTTCTTTGCATACGTGTGATGGAACACTAACGCATCTCCTGCAGACTGCGAAGAAGAAAATGACGGCATCGTCGATCTACTTTGAGTCGCGTCCGTACGGTCTGGACCACTCGACACAGCTGATTAACTATACGGGGCTGGCGGAGGAGGCGCGGGGCTACAAGCCGCAGCTGGTGATCTGTGGCGCATCGGCGTACCCGCGGGACTGGGATTACAAGGCACTGCGGGCGATCGCGGACGAGCACGGCGCGTACCTGATGGCGGACATCGCGCACACGAGCGGGCTGGTGGCCGCGGGTGAGCTCGCGGATCCGTTCCAGTACTGCGATGTCGTCACGACCACGACGTGCGTGTTCTTCCATAAGGAATTGTTGTGATACTGAGGCGCACGTTGTGCAGACACAAGACGCTGCGCGGCCCTCGCGCGGGCATGATTTTCTTCAGGAAAGACAAGGACCTCCAGAAACGCGTGAACGATGCGGTATTCCCTGCGTGCCAGGGCGGTCCCCACAATAACGTATGTAGCCTTCGTACGTCTCTGTCTGCTTGCGTTATTGACGCGGTTCTTCCAAGACGATCGCGGCGGTCGCAACGTCACTGTTGCAGGCGTGCCAGCCTACATGGAAAGCATACGCGAAGCAGGTGATCGCGAACGCGCAGACGCTCGGAGAGGAGCTCGTCGCGCACGGTTATAAGCTGCAGACGCAGGGTACGGATAACCACCTCGTACTTTGGGACCTTCGCCCGCTCGGTCTCACTGGCAGCAAGCTCGAGAAGCTCTGCGATCTCGTCGGGATCACTATCAATAGTGAGTCCGCGACGCCAATCTCTCTTCACAGATTTCGCTGGTTGTTGACGCGCGTTGACAGAGAATGCTGTGTCTGGCGATGCGTCGGCACAGGTGCCGGGCGGTATCCGGCTGGGCACGTCCGCGTTGACATCGCGAGACATGCTCGAGAGCGACATTAAGGTCGTCGCAGGCTTCCTGCACCGGTCTGTACAACTCGCACTTGTGCTGCAAAAGGAGGCGGGCAGCAAGCTACTCAAGGACTTCCTGCGCGTCGCGACGGTGGAGGAGGAGGGCAAGCAAGGCGCGCGGCTCGTGCGCGAGCTCCGCCGGGAGGTGCGCGTGTTCGCGCGGCGATGGCCCGTCCCCGGCGTCGACGTCTCGACGCTCACGCGGCCTGCGGGCATCGAGGAGGATTACTGATTGGCAGTTGGCTGTGCTTGGGTTTTGGTTAACATGGTGACCGACGAAGCGTGAAAAGGCGGACGTTCAACTGGTCCAGCCCTCCCAGACGTTCAACATTGTTTGGGGCTGTACATTTACTGTAGTTTACGACTTGCCTTCCTCAGGCTGCCAGATCCTGTGTCCATAGGGGTGATATTCAACATACTGTACTTCTGGCAAATTGCGCATTGAGTTGTATCCATATGTTTATGGTATGTTGCAGAATTTAAAGTGGGATTCCTGTTCTGGAAATATGTACACTTCGCTCACCGGCAGCGCGGTGGCGCAACTTGACAACCACTACTTAGTTGTCGCCAGAGGAATAGTCTCCTCGTCCAGCTTTTCTTCTTTAATACTTGGAGACTCCCAGAGACTCTGCCTGGGCAGTTGACTCAGACTCCAGGAGATCAGCGGAACTTCATAATGAAGACCATATTACTGACTCAGAGGGAACAGTCTGTTGCTAGTTTGCTTTCACGCAGATACCACCTCGTTCTTGCTTTCTGATGATCTTTCCTACTGCGACCGACTTATTCTCGTCCAGTCGTGACTGGGAGGGCGGAATCTCCCGATGCGCGTCTTACTCGTGGCTGGTGCACCCACGCTTTATCCAGACGCACACAACGAGTCTCCATACGCTGGCCATGGGCCTGGCCTGAATTCCGATGCATATCAATACCCCCGGAAAGCGTGTTCTTGTCTCTGCGGATTGCAAACCGACTGTCTTCTATTAGAGTCATGTTACTATTGTTCTATTCTCGGTCTCCCTGCCAGCCGCCATTGTCCGCGCAAAACACGAGGCATGCTTTGGTTTGGCTTGCACACAGCAGCCACCTTCTTGTCCGCCGCCGCACATAAAGCCTTCAGGCGCGACACTGCTCCACCACTCAATCTCGCGCACGCCTTTTGACTGGAAACCTCCATCGTTTTTGCTATCGTTTCCTTATCGACTTGCTGAGCATGTTGTCTACGCTTCCTCTTACGCTCTTGGCTGTTCTTCCTCTCGTCTCGGTATGGGCTGCGCCCTCCTGTTCACTAAGGTCTAGCAGTGCCAGTGCCTCGGGTATAAGTCAATCACCTTCTGGCTCCTCGGGTTCGTCCCCGTCTTCGAGCAATAGCTCTGGGAGTGGCACGAACGGTGCAGGAGGCGATATCGTTTCGATGGCTTGGTATACGGGTTGGCACTCTACATATCTCTCCCCGCAGGATGTCAGCTGGTCCAAGTATTCAACCGTGACATACTCCTTCGCGTGAGTGCTTATTATCGCTGATCGCGCGCGATGTGCTTATGTGTGCAGCACGACCACCCCGGACGTAAACACGTTAGCGCTCACCTCTGAAGACACCACGTTGCTCCCAGAAATCGTCCAGAATGCACATGCGAACGTGAGAGCACGATATGTCAGCTATGAGACTGTGCATCTGATAGTTATTTCCTACAGGGCGTCAAAGCGATGCTCACGGTCGGCGGCTGGTCGGGATCGCAATACTTCTCCACTGCCGTCGCCACCGCTGCCAACCGCACTGCATTCGTCGGTGCCGTCCTTGGTCTGGTTAAGCAGTATAATCTTGACGGCATTGACTTTGAGTGCGTGTCTCGGTTCACTCTATGTCGAGCTACGTTGACGGAGCTTGCAGCTGGGAGTACCCCGGACGTCTGGGCGTCAGCTGTAACATGATTTCAGACTCGGACAGCGCCAATTTCCTCACCTTCCTCCAAACACTGCGCGCTGAGCCCGCCGCCAAGAACTTGACCATCTCTGCTGCGGTGGGAATACCCGTGTTCACGGGGTCTAACGGATCACCCATGACCGACGTGTCTGCGTTCGCGTCCGTGCTCGACTTCGTTGAAATAATGGACTACGACGTGTGGGGAACTTGGTCCGGCAGTGCAGGTGTCGGGCCAAACGCACCGCTGAACGACTCCTGCTCGACACACCAGGCGGGTTCCGCGGTGTCTGCAGTCGACAACTGGACCAAGGCGGGCTTCCCGGCCAACCAAATCGTCCTTGGTGTCGCCTCGTATGGCCATAGCTTCCTCGTCACCCCCGATAACGCTTTCTCTCCTACGGGCTCCACGACTCTTGCCAGTTATCCGCTGTTCAACACAACGTACCAACCAGAGGGCGATTCTTGGGACGTGGACGCGCCGGCGGGTACTGACCAGTGCGGGAATGCAACTACCGGCGGGTGGGACGGGCTCTGGTACTTCAGGGGCCTGTTCGAAGCGGGCGGGTTTCTCACGGGGAATGGCACTGTCGCGTCCGGTATCGACTACAGGTTCGACTCGTGCAGCCAAACGGTATGTGGTTTGTGAGTGCAGCCTTGCAGAGCGTAACTGATTAGCGATGCGCAGCCGTATGTATACAACCCGAACACGGAGGTGATGGTATCATTCGATAACGCGGACTCGTTTGGTAGGCCTGTTTTACTGGCAGTGAATTTACAGTCAACTGACGGGATGCTGCAGCTGCCAAGGGCAACTACATTAAGCAGGCTGGCCTGCGTGGCTTCGCGATGTGGGAGGCCGCGGGTGACTACGAGGACATCTTACTCGATGCCATTAACAACGCCATCGGGGTCCAGAAGGTTAGTACTTTCGATGTTGTTTCATATACACCCTTCTAATGAGATTGTGCGTCAATGTAGTGAGCATTGGAGACGAGTCCATCACGAGCGCTGTCATTCATTTGGGTATCGAGGTATGTATTAACGACGCACATAGGTTATGTATCACTACGCAGATACCACATCCAATTTATATATCCTTCACGAGCTCCCTCATTCGCTTGTTTACGAACAGATCCTCGTCAGGCCAGCGTCCCTTGGCGACCTCGATTGTAAAACGCGCAAGATCGTCGATCGGCGTCAGCAACGAAGGCAAAAAGCAAGACATGATTGGCGTTATGGCCCAGTCCATGGCGCGCGCAGAAGCCGGGCGCTGGTTCTTGCGGTCTTCCGGGTAGCGCTTCGAAGGGAAGAAATATCCTGGTCGATAGACGTGAGCCTTCATACCCGGCGAGCTTTTGCAGAGCTCGATGAGCTCGCTCTCGGTGCGTCCCTGCATGTCACGTCGTATGAAAGTCTGTAAGTAGGCATCAAAACGCGAAGCGGCGCACCTTGACACGCGCCCACATCTGGGTTGTCTTGCCCGTCGGGTCTGCGCCCTCCCCGCTAAGATACACGAATCTGAACGGGCTCTCCGCCTGCCTTCCTTCGCCCACTCGTGCCTCCTGGATCGCGTGCACGGCCGCAATGAGATAGTCGTGGGTGAAGGTGGTGTACTCCTGCTCGCCAACGCCGAGGGCAGAGCGACCGAGTGCCCAGATGCATGCGTCGTGCACTGCTAGATGACGTGCAAGCTCTGGTGGATAGGATGTAAGGTCGTCGTGCAGGATCACTGCCGTCTTCGATGCGGCGGACTCTGGGAGCACTGTCCACTCGGGTATCGCGCGGCGCGTCAACAGGGTGATGCGCGTAATGGCGGGGTCTGCGAGGGCGGCGCGGTATATTGCCAGGCCGGCCACATAATAACATTCGTGAGCTGGTTGAGCGACTTAGAAGCACCTGTAGTAAGCACGTACCAGCGCCGGTAGCGCCTGTCAGGAGCAGCTGCATTCCCTCAATTTCTGGTAAAGAATCTAAGCTGCGGCTGCGTCTTCCTGGGATGGTATACAAGCTTGTTACGTTCTGCTTTGGCATTCTGCGTATTTATATAGAGTCGTTCAGGCACACGTAAACCGGCATGCAAACGACGTGGACCGTCGGCGCTGGCGAGAGTGACGTCGGTACCTCATCTGATCGGTTAAGATCGGTTAACGCCAGTCGGTTTGTCTCAGCCGTCCTCATCTGCTGGCGAATTTACAACAACACGATGCATTGATCCTATGCGACGAAGGTATACATTATAGCACAGGGCTACCAAATGACAATGGGGAGGTAACACATAAACCGAATACATATGCGCAATGAGATGATTGATGATGAATGGACGGTGAGACGAATGTGAGATGCCCTGTGCTGCCTAGAATACAAGACCAGCGACCGACAAACCGAAAATATGACGACGAGTATAGCACATTTTGGGAGTTGATGGGTTGAGTTGATGGGGCGCCAGAGTTAGATCTTGGCAGGTCAGATCCTGGCCGGACACGGAGGGCCGTTGCTGAGTTCTGTCCCCAGCTTCTGCACCAGGTGCATACCAAGGGGCTCTAGGGCGTCCCTCCACAGCTGCGTCCTGCGACGACCATCGAAGATGCTTCGCGAGCGCTCGCCGATCTCGCCCTCGGGGCCGAAGACGTAAACTTTCTCCTCCTGCCACGGCGCCTCCCCGTATGCGAACGCAATCCAGCGCTCCTGCACTGCATCGCGCACGCGCGAGTACGTCCAGTCGTCGACGACGGGCATTGCCCACTCTTCGATCGATCCGCTTTCGCTGGAGTCGCCGTACGCGTAGTCCGAACCGCTGTCTTCCGCCTCGGAGTCGGACGAGAAGAAACACTCAGGCCCAGAATCCGTTGGGCACCCATCGCCAGACACGGTGGGAACGACGGACGGAAGGGGAACGTTGTCGAAGAGGTAGATGAGGTCGACAGCGTGATGTGGGACGCCCCGTGCAGGTCCTTCCTGGTCAAACACGTAACGCCAAACGCCGCGCCCGCCGCGCTCGCGCTTGTGGCTGGCAGCAATGCACTCGGTGGGCCATGCAAAACGGGAGTCGTTGATGAGCTCGAGCACCCGCTGGGGTAGCTCGTCAACGGGCGTGTACGCGTTGATATCGTAGGCGCGGAGTAAGGCATTCGCCTTGGTGAGCGACTGACACACTGCGCGAACGCGTCGCACAACGCCAGACGCAGTCCATAGTGAGGCAGTGAGTGACCACAATAGCGACTCGTCACCGCAATCGCCAATCATAATAGGCTGGAGCGGGTGTCTGTGGTGCGAGTGAGAGCGAGAACGGGAATCCTTATATGGTTGAGAGAATTGATGAAGAAGGCGGTGGGCAGTTTTCAGCGGGTTCGAATGCGGGATGAGTTCCGGAGAATGTCTGGCTAACTGCTCTTCAGATAGATGATGGTATTCGTCGCTCTCCAACGGCACGAGGAAGCCTGCGAAGCCCTGGCGGAAGAACGTGCCGTCGTCCACCGCACGCATCGTGGTACTGAGGGAGACGAGCTTCTCCGGGTCGACGGCCCGCAATTCTTCTAGCGTATGCACACGGAGCGCAGACATGATTTTCGACAGCTGCGAGCCCGCTGCGTGCAGATTCGGCACCTCGAAGTCAGTCTGTGCGCTCTGGATGATCGCGCGTCGGAATAGCGGGTGCGTATCATTCGCCGCCGAATGAAGATGGCAGAGGATGTCGGCGGCGCCTGAAGACTCACCGAAAAGGGTGATGTTCAGGGGGTTACCGCCAAATTCGGAGATGAAACAGTATACCCATTGATGGGCTCTCCGCTGGTCGCGAAGACCTGTCGTCGAGGGGAGAATATCAGTGTAAACAGCAACAATATTACCAACCAAAGCTCACCGTAATTACCGACACCGTCATCCCCTGCGACTCTGTTATCCTCGCGCAACGCGAGGCTGGCAGCACAGCCGAGTAGACCAAGTCGATAACTAAATTAGGGGTGTCAGTACTCAGGAATATTTGGCGCGGTTGTAGAACACGTACTTGAAGGTCACGACGATGACAGGCTTGCCAATCTGGATGCTCTTCTGCACGAGCGAACCGCCGTCGAAGATCCAGCTAGAGCCTGAACCGCGGCATCCGCCCCTATTTCTCCGAGGTGAATTCACGAGACATAATCGAGGAGTAAACGACAATGTTACCCATGGGTCCATAACATGACGGGGAGATGGGAGTCCGGCGTGGCGTCAGCTGGGCAGGTAATGTTGAGGTTGAGGCAGTCGGCCTCGCTCTGCTTGAGGTGTTGCTGAGGGATGGAGTCATCGGCTATCCCAAACAGCTCCTCCTCGACCGTTTTATATCTTGGCTGAGGGCATATGGGGCTGCCAACGCATAAGGTCAACAATCAATCCGCCAGACAGTTCGTGGATACGAACCCAAAACGAGTCGCATCTGTCTGGGGTGGGTATGTGGTGAACAGTCTCGACTGGCGAAAGCGAGCTGGTATAGATGCATATTTAATGCCACGGTACTGGTGCACCGCTGCATCAGGGGTAGAGATAGAATGCACAACGCCGCTGAACGTGGTTTGGAGCTCCTCATGGAGGACGACGGGCTCCTCCACCGAGTTGAGAACCTTGGCAATCATGCTATGAATCAGACGCAACAAGCGCGAGGGGTAATAGGTGGGAAGCCTGCAAATGCAGGAGTGATATGATACACGGGGGGCGCGCGGGAGGAGAACGGGTGGAGCGGGGGACCATAGGGTCGCGCCTTCATTTGTACGATGCGCAGGGCACAGGCCGCAGACCGATATCGATCGTCCTGAGCTCAAGAAATTGGAGTGCTGTGCCCGAAGAGGAAACCTGCTCGGTGTGGAACGCAGTCTGGGTGCACTCCCGGGAATCGCCGAGAGTGTGTAACAACTATCAACAATATGCTTCGAACTTACTGGAACTCCTTTGCTTCGCATTGAGTCGACCACGGGACCTGCCTGGGCTTCCCCTTTGACATCAATTGTGACGAACACCATGTAGCATAGACCGAGTTCTCCCGACCACCGTCCGTGGAGCAAAGGGATCTGCGACGTCCTGCATGTACTTACGCATCGAACGATGCGCAAAAGATAGAAGGTTTAGACGCGGAAGCTGCGAGGTAAATGCCACGTACAGATAGTTGCGCCGTTTCGTTTTAGCGGAGCCGGCGAGGTCACCAGTCCCACGTCCAATGAAGTTGCGCAGCCTCGCAGATTGGGACGTAAGAATATCTGTCTGGTCTGGGCATTGATCATGATCACTACTGAACCGAGCAGACACTCGGAACAATTCGTGAACCACGCTCACCACAGAAGGGAACGAGCGACAATGTGCCACGCATGGATAGTTACCTTATGCACCGTGATGCGCATTGCACCCTCAACGTAGGTTCATCACAGAACAAGGCGAGTGCATTTCGGACGGTACAGTTCTGATACATCAGCATCGAGAAGTTTCCCATCCCAAATGTGCATCTCATACCCACGCACGCATCGATCCTGTAATGCGGCACATTTAATCAGTACGCCATGAACCGAACCTACGTCTTTTATCTGCTGGCAGACCAGAAAATTTCCAGACCACCTGACCTGGCTGCGTCGATGATTGCCAAAACCAAAAAAGGACTTCCCCTCATGTTATACCTGCGCTTAGTGAAATTAAAAGCGAGTGGAACCACACAGAGAAAATTTACTTGCCAGAGTGATGTATCATGACAGTTTCTGCTTCCGAAGGCCATGCGACTCTGCGAGAAGCACCACCCGCAGTGACACAAATCCGGGAGGGTCTCAAGTGCATTGTTATGCACAAACACGGGAACCTTGAAAGGTCAACGTCGTGTATCGCTCTGTTGGTGGAAGTGGTGAAGGCGAATTCTGTTACGCAGCATTCACATCAGTAACTCGACCGCCCTAGAGAATCACGTCCCGAACCGCCAGCCTGAAAGATATGGCGTATCGAAACCACAATAACCAGGAGGCATCACAGCACCACACGAGACCAGGCGCATGTACCAGGCGACAACTTCTGGGATACGGTGGCGAAGACGCTGTGCTTACAGGACAATCGGGACACGGGGAAATGAGCGATTGTTTAAGTGCGGCTTCTCAGCCAATCAAGGCCTCGACGAAGCGCCTTGGAAGACCGGAAATTGAACTGGCAAGACACGTCACTATTGAGCTGCCCACTGAAGCGTGAGAACAGTGATACGCGAGGGGAATGTTTGGCAAGAAAAAGACCACAGGACACCAGACCAGCGGGCAAAAGGTAAACAAGTAACCGGCTGACCCCTCCATGAGCCTAAGCGTCACCGCAACATTGAGTGCGCATCTTTTAGCGCGCAGACGAGTAGGTTAGCACAGATGATAGTGCAGATTTGCACGACGAGGAGCCACGAGTAGAGCCTGACGTCGATGAGGCCCTGAAGATTCCCCGTGCATACCCGACAGAGCAGATTCGTAAGGGAATGGCGACTCTAAAAATGCATCTGGCCATCGATTACGCGCGGTAGGGCAGATGGCGCCTGTGCGGTTACAGTAACACCCAGTGGTGTATCAAGCAAATAGCCGCAGTGTAATTGAAAGGATGCACCACGCACCGCATCAGCACTGAGTTCCGCAGTGTTCAAATTTCAGGGCTGCCAGGCATCAGATCTGTCTCGATAGTCAGAAAACAGTTACGATAGAACCCCACATAGTTGGGCGATACACTCAAGCTCAGCAAAAAGGCATACGCGGCAGACCGCGATATCAGACAAGCATCGCAGATGAACAAATATAAAGCGAACCATGTCGGCGTCGGGTCGACTAGTAAGTCTAGGACAGAACGAAAAAAACGACTGCGCCTCGTGATGTGCTGCCTCAGATAGCAAGAGGTGCGCCCCAAGTGCACGTCGCGTCTCTGGAGCAGACCACGCGGGCAGAACGTTACCGCATATCTAAGACGCACAGCACAACCAGAGGCGGAACTACGATTGCCGCTGCTGCATGAAGAACAAATTGTCGTTGTGGGTCGACGTGTTATGGCTACGTTGCGCAGCGATACTTCTCGGCGCTATCGGAGACTATCTGACAGTCCCAGAGCACATAAAAAGTGGAATACGGGAGGAACTTCGACTTACATGTAAACTTAGAGCCCTAAAACCATAACGATCTATGCAGATGGAGACGACGACCGACGGCCGACACCGTCTCGTGGCCACTCGCGATCGCTCTCGAACGAATCACTTTTTGTGTCGTCTCATCGTCAATATTTCGACAATGAAGAGTATGCGTTCCGTATTAGCAGAATACTGCTTATGTTTTCCAGAGCAAACCAAAGAGCAAGTCGCAGCGATGAGCGTTGAGGTGAAGATGTGATTGATCACATCTTCGCGATCGGGCATTATGGGCGTCTATGTACAGTGGTTGCCAGCCAACCCTACTCAGGCCTGCGGAGTGGGACTACTCAAAATGCCAGAAAATACATGTGCAGCGTACTACGCCGACAACAATCTACACCTCTGCCGACTATAACGTAGCACTTCATCCTCTCACCCGCACAACCTTCCTTTTACCCTTGCCACCACCGCCTCCCACCGCTGGCGCCGCTTCCTGCGCGTTCATCCCAGCTTTAATCGTCTCTATCAGCACGCCCGACGGTAATGCTGGAGAATAGGCGGATATCCTGCTCGTGATAGGGGGATACGGCATTGGCGGGCTTGGCGGTTTTGGTCGACCGCGGGCTGACGGAGGAACCGCAGGAGCAGCTGAGGCTGGGGGAGTGGTCGCCGTGGACTTTGCCTTTGACGCAGCTTGCTTGCCCTTCGTTATAGTCACAGGAGCAGCTTTCTGCGCTGCTGCAGGCTGCTCGGGCTCAGACGGGCTCGCGGCGGTATGGTATGGAGGCTTTGGGACATTATCGGGCTTGAGCATTTGTATCTGTAAGGAAATCATCTCCAAAAGCTGCTTTTCTGTGAAATACCGTATCGGCATATCATCTCCCGCCGCCGCCAGGGACAGAGGAGTGGGATGACGGACACGTACTGGTTTTGATCGAGGAGTTGACCAGCCGCCCGTCCTTCTTCCACTGCACACGCACCCGCCCGGGGTTCTCCCAGTCCCGCGGGTGCGACTTGTGCACTTCGTGCAGCGTGCCGAGCCCGAGCCTATTCGTCGCATCCGCGATATCTTTGCTGAGCGGCCACCACACACTCTTGGAGCGCGCTATGCGCCGCTCGCCGCGCCCCGACGGGCGCTTGGCGTCTATGTAGATGGGGTATATGCACGTCCACCTGCAGGGTAGGTCCACAGATAACGACCGAAGCGTCATGCGCGGGTACGCCGGAGATGTCACAGGGCTACACACTTTTTGTACGGCGTGATGTCTGTCACCGTCTTCTGGCCTTGCTCCTCGCGGTCTGGAGTGGGTTGCGTGAACTGCGGCTGCGAGGGGGACGCGGGACCTGCGGTGGGCTCGACGAGCGTCGGGACGTCGTCTTCGTCGTCGGACAGCTCTTCGAGGATTGCACCCTGCGTGCCTGTGTTGGGTAGGGGACGGGTTGGGAGAGGTAGGTCGGTGTCATCGTCGAATATCTCCTCAACAACTGCTGTTCGGCGAGACATGTTGTGTGGAATGTATGCGAGGTAGTTGTGAGGTCGTCTGACGCCTCGGAAGTCGACCTCGGATAGTTGTCACGTTTGTCACAATGTCCTGACCTGTGACCGAATTGTCCGTCACAGTGCCAGTACAGTGACCAGTGTAGCTCCCTCCTGCTGTTATGTGGCATGCAATTTAAGTGGATAGGATGGTATGTGTATCCCGATAATTTTTGTATGTTTGAAATCTAACACGCCCCAGGATGATTCTTCTGCTATTGTTCATGCAGGCAGTCTCGGGACAAGTCTCCTCTAACAACGAGACAGAGCTGATATGTCGGCCATTCGGGACATGCGAGCCATGTCCAGAGGATGCTGTATGTTTGACCAGCTTGTTTCTGCTCTCTGATATCCTCACATGGTGATTCGATAAGCTCAACGAGCCCTTCTGCCAACCGTTCGGCAACCGACGCCTGATGCACTGTGTCCCCGCATACCCTTCTAACTCCACCTCTCGACCAGACCCAGCCTCTCCTTTTCCTCCTCACCACGGTCCTCCAGGTGAACCCCGACCCCCTCCGCACCCAAATGCCGAAACCCACCCGCTCCAAGGAGAAATTCCCGCATGGGAGTCGTGCGGGCGCATCGTTGAGAAGGAGCGCGCGGACTTCTACGAGTTCCTCGCATGCAACTTCGTCATCGCCGTCCTCGCTCTAGTCGTGCTCTTCGCGCGCTCGAAGCGGCTGCAGGCGATGCACGCTCGACAGCTTGCAGCGCGGATCGGGCTGGTCAGAGACATACCGGCAGGGTGGGTGAACGGGTGACGGGCGAGGGGCGACGGAGCCAGTATTTCATGCATTCCATTCGTGAGTCCGGACCCTCCACTTGGGTTTCTTAGATAATGACATTGATTGATATTGCACTCGGAAGTATAGTGTGTATTATAGGTAGACGGTCCTGCGCCGTATAATCACTACATCATGATTGTCGTGTGTGAACTTTCGGACTAACCCCCGCGTGAACATCTTAACGGCATTCTCATAGTAATACGCTACACTTTGCTTGGCATACGCAAGATCGGGCCCCGCACTGCCCTCCATGTACCTGAACACGAGTGCTTCTGTCCGCGACGGCGTCCTGTCCAGTCTCCTTCATCCTCCGGAGGCTATCGATCGAGATCTTCGTTCACCCCGAGTACTGGGATGACTCTCATCACGGTGCTTTGTGCTTCGTTTCCTCCAGAGGCTTCCCGATCCCGCATTGACTGGGTGTGGAATTTTCGTCCAGCAAGAGAATCTGCAGTCGATATTGCCCTTCGCGACCGGGAGGGGACGTGCTTGTATCTAGGTTGTCCTGTGTCCTGTTTGCTGCTGGAAGTTGTCTTGCTATGGCTATTACTTGCCGGCGGTGTCCTCAAAGCGTCATGCGTCCCTAGACCCATGCCAACTTCATGGGATCACTTGAATACTGATACTCGTGTGTGTTGCACACGTTAGGGGGCCTGGCAATCTCACGAAGCGCATGAAGAGCTTGGAGGTCGCTAGCCATGGGGTCCCGGGCACAATGTACGAAATTGCGTCAACTGCCAGTGGCATCAGTAATTTGGATGAGGGATAACAGTGATGGTTGCGACAAGGGTGTCAACGTAGGTGCCAAGGTATTGCTGGGAGAGGTGTGATATGCATGATTCCTTTTGTATCAATTTGGCTGATGGATTTCGAGTTAGCCTTCGTGAATACTTGTGCATCTGGTCTTCCGGCGGTTGCTGTGAAAGGGTTAGTAGGAATAAGAGCGTCAATCCAGAAGGTGCGAAGGGCGGATCTGGAGGTGGGTGTCCAGTCCTTCTCTCGATGTGATCTTCCGTGCGAGATTGGGTAAGAAAACTATGGATTCGCCAGGTTTCTTGTCACCTAGAAAACTTATCCTCTAGTGACCTGATTCCATGTCACCGGATATTATATACATTTCCAGTCCCACTTCCACACCAGTGGACGTTCTTCACTTACGTGCTCCACATCCGTGAAGATGCTCCGAGATCTGTCGGTATCACGCTAGTGCGCACGTCCTTCCTGGCAGTGAGTGTATCCCACCTGAGATACGTCGCGAAAGATCCGAACGCGGACCGGTGCTTGACTTGCTCATTCCTTGTCCCGTCCTCGTCTTCGCTTGCAGCTGTTATTCACTTCATCCCAGAGAAAACTATCGCGCTGTGGTTCCAGCGAAGGATGCGACCGTGCGGTCTGTACTTCATGAATCCCTAGGATATGGGCGGTTAACTAGATCAACTTTATGCCTAAGGGATAACCGTAGTTTTACACCTGAGCTCAGACGCTGCACTCACCCTCCTGGAATTTCAAATTCGTGAGATGCACGAATCACCGCCACACGTACCGCACCCAAACCATCGCGCAATTCAGTCAAACCTTCAGACATCCCATTCACTCAGGACAGAGAGTGATACTCCCCGAAACCATACTGTCGAGCTTACTAGAAAACATTGCAGACGCGTGTCATAATTTTCATTTGCATGTTGTTACATTAAAAGTTCTGATTGATGTCATTCACGGAAACCTTCAGCCGCTGCAGATCCATGATCATAGCAGGTGCGACTTTAGTCCGACCCTCCAGCCTGCCGCCGCTTGATCAAGCCGAAGAAGCGGCCGCGCTTCTCCTTTTCCTCCTGGTGCAGCCGCACCTCGTACTCGAGCTCCTCATCGGAGATGTTCCCACCGAGTGCATACCACACAACCGTGGCCATACCGATCACGGCGGTCAGCACGCATCTGCAACACCGAAATGAACAATCAGCATTCCGCGTACGCAGACCACTCCGCGCAGGGTAGCGAGCATAGGAGACGCACCCAGCCATCGCCCCGATGCCACGCGAGTGCCAGCCATTGTTCTGAGGGTAGGGCCCTAGCGGCAGCCCGCTGAGGTCGGTCGCAGACGTGTGCCCAGCGGCGTTCCCGGAGTACGGCATCCCGAGCGCCTGGCACTGGTCGTTCATGAACTGTGGGACCTGACCCCGCTCCTGCGCGATGAGTGGTGCCTCGACGAGCTGCAGCGCGAGCCCGACTTCCAGATGCCACTCGATGTGACCTGTGGTGCGCATGCACGGTCAGTGCATATGCACAACAGCGGGAGGGTGTAAGAAAGATGACAACTCACAGTGGAAGAACCAGACGCCAGGGTTATCGGCGATGAAGCGGAGCGTGACCGAGCTCCCGCCCATGACTTGCACGGTGTCGCGCCGGACGGGGTTCAGCTGCGACTCGTTGATGGGCGGGTTCAGCTCTGGGTCGTCCGAGAGATAGTTCGTCGCGCGGTTTACGATCTGGAACTGATGCCCATGCATATGGCTGATATATACCGCAAACAAAAAATTATTATGAATGCATTGCAGACATGGAGGAGGCGGAGACGAACAAGGGGTGCTTCCCGGTGTCGCCGTTCATTAGGACGATATCGACGACGCTCAGGTGGTCGAGGACGAAAGTGAGCGGGCCGTACGCTTCTGCGACGGTCGCGTTCTCTCCCAACGATAGCTCCGAGAAGACCGCAGGCACGAGCGGCGGGTTATACGTCGTCCCGTTGAACATCGCATGGTTCGTGCCGTCGTCCATCGTGTCGAACACGAACTCGACAGCGATCGTGTAATCTGCAGGCTGCATCCCAATCACATTAAGCGGCACCAGGTTTGTGTCCTCGATGTTAGTCAGGTTGTAGACAGGGCTGAGGTTAGTGATCGGCGCGGAGGAGTTGTAGGTAATGGACGAGGTGACATCTGCATTTCCGTCAGCGTCTGCATCGGAGACGGTTGGGTGGTAGAACGTACTAGGGTTGAGCCCTGGGGGGACCTTGTCGAACATAACTGTATCCATTCTGGCGTGGACTGCCCAGTTGGAAGACGTATCGTTGCGCGCCGTCACGAGAATGGAGTATCTCTGCGCGACGGTGATTTCCAGCATATCTGCGGGATATTCTTCCACGTCCGTCTACAGTTTTTATTATCAGCAATCAGAGGGAAGATAAGACGTCGCTTCGCATACACCGTCAACTTCGATGATGCGCATCTCGTGTCCGTCTATCCAGAAGTACTGTGCTGCGAATCCTCCTACATTGATGAGCCGCAGACGGTAAGTCTTTCCTGGCTAGAACGCAGATCTTCAACGATTAGGTATGAGCCTAAATGAACGCTCGAATGTCGTCACCTCGAATGGCAGCGTGGCGTTCTCGTTGAAACCCACGGCAGCAGTAACAGGGTCCGGATTAGTTCCCGAGATCGGCCCAAGCCACTTGTCATATTGCCCGAAGTACATGATAGCAGAATCTGCAGGGATAAGGTTGCGCAAAGCAAACTTAGCACGCTATTCATACAGCGAGATATGATGGAATAGCGGACGGACGCACTGGGAATAGGTTCGGCACCGCCCGGGTTGGCGATGCTTATGAACTTCTTTAGGAGGACACTCGACTGCTCGTGGTACCACTCGCTGAGGACGACAGTGTACTCTGCGTCGTACGTGTATTTTTCGGTCTCGGGGTGGATGACCACGGAGGTGCGCAGACCGTCTATGTATTGTCCCTGTTATCGGACAGATCAGCGTTAGATTCTCAGCAAAGATCGAAGAAGGCAGTAGCTTCTTAAGGGCCGTATAGAAATGTAGTAGCGTAGAATACTGACCCCGAAGTGCGAGTGCGACCAGTACGTGCCTATTTGGCCGGACTCGTTGATGGGGACGATGTAGTCAAATTGCGCGCCGGGGGGGATACCACTGTAGTAGGCAGCATATTAAGCGCACATTATAGGATAGGATAGAAGGGCAGAACACGATCGCAGGGCGGGACTATGACTTACCACTGAGTGACACCGGTGGTGCCGTCAAACCAAGGGGTGCCATTGAAAAACATGCCGTGGTGATGAACAGTCGTGGGCTGGTCTAGGGAGTTTGTTACGTGCAGGATGAATGAATCCGAAGAGTTAACGTTCACGGCGGGCAGTCTACAAGGGCAGAAGGAAAATATCAGAGCGTCAAAGACAAATAACGGAAAATAACGACGGTAGTAATTGCGCAAAGTACATAGATCAAAGGAAATACATATAGACGAGTCGTAGGATGTCAGAGACTTACGGCCAAGTGCCATTGACACCGATAACTTGACGAGGGTACAGGCCGTCGGGATTGACGTCGTGAACGTAAGTGATGTTCCACCATTGTTCTTGTACTCCCGCGAAGACGGGCGCGACCACGAAGAGAAGAGGAAGGACGCGCTGCATCGTGACAGAGGCGAGCGTTCCCGGAAAGGGAAGGGGTGGGTCGGGAGAGATGGGCGAGGATGGCGGAGCAGAGCAGATCAGCGGGGGGTGGAGGGTGGAAGAGAGATTAGATAAATGGGTGGAGGGATTCGGAATTCGGGGGTGCGCGGTAAGTCAGGGCTAGAAGGGATGAGACGATGGAACTGACTTCGAGTGGCCACCGCCTGAACATGCTCGCTGCTTGGAAGATCAAAAAATTTATCTGATAAGGACTCACCTCATTATGATCGAAAATCTGAGATTGCGTACTTGGCGCCGGGCTAAAGTTATCTGATAATCATACGACCCCTCTTCGGCCGATGCTCCGCAGCACGGCTCGTCTTGGCTCTTCCGGGTTCCTGCACACAAGCTGGAGGAGCAAAGAAGCAACGGCAAAGTGAAGGCGATGGGAAGAGACCGAGCAATGACTGCAGTGTCACGTAAGTCACGAAGCGCCTGGTTGGCCCATCTGGAAGGCTGGAACAAGATGCTTGGGGATTCTGCACTTTCCCGCAAAAGGTGGTCTCGAATCCTTGGCTCGGCTTGGTCGCGGAAGCGAGCAGCACGTGCTTGATGGTGCTGAGTTATCTGATAAGATGAAGACGTGGCCTGATCGCGTGTCGTGCTATCTGATAATTTTTCCCCGTCTATAAACACCCGACCGTCCTTCTCCCCATCCTCTAGCCGTCCGACCTAGCGGCTGTCTCCTCTCAGACGAGTCCCACGTCTTCTCTGTAGTCGCAATGGCAAGGAATCTTTTCTCTGTCCCGATCTACTTCATTGTCTTCCGTGAGACTGTCGAGGCAGCCATCATCATCTCCGTCCTCCTTGGCCTCGTCGAACAGATCGTCCACGGAGAGGAGACACAAGAGAATATATCCGAAGCCACAGGTACCTCGGACTCGCTCAACGAAGAGCAGAAGGAGAAGTCTGCTGCCGAGCTCGGCCAGACCCCCGAGGTCGTCGAGCCCGTGACTGCAGAGAGCGACCAGGACAGCCAACTAAGCACCAAGCGTCTTATCCGGAAGATGCGCATCCAGATTTTCTTCGGCTCGTTCGTCGGATTGTTCATCGCTCTTGCCATTGGCGCCGCCTTCATTGCCGTCTGGTTCACGCAGGCGAGCAACCTCTGGGCAAAGTCTGAGAATCTGTGGGAGGGCAAGTCTCCGCGAAATTACTATTGCTCACTGGTATTGACGCTTCACTTCCAGGTATCTTCCAACTAATTGCGTCCATCCTCATTTTCGTTATGGGTATCGCCATTCTGAAGATGGACCGTGCCAAGCTGAAATGGCGCGTCAAGCTGCAGCGCGCGTTCTCCGGGAAGCGTGGGTGTCTGCATTTCGCCACCGCAGATTTCAGAGCTGACTTCTTTATGCGTAGACATCGGCAGGGGGGAAAGGGCAGGAAAATGGATGCTCTTCTTCATGCCCATGATCACTGTACTCCGAGAGGGTTAGTATCCTTCATTGCGCCGATTTCCCTCTGTCCTGAGGTGCCCACGTGTCCACAGCCATGGAAGCCGTTGTCTTCGTCGGCGGTGTTTCTCTTGGCCAGTCCGCCGTGTCAATTCCCATCGCTGTGGTTGTCGGACTGATCAGCGGTTTGGGCGTCGGATATCTAGTGTACGCATTTGCCAGCCGAACGAGTGAGCTTCACCAGTACATCTCCATCTGCACGCGATTTGACCCCTCGTGTCGCAGCCCTGACGATCTTCATGGTGGTGATGACGAACCTCGTCCTCCTCATAGGTGCAGGCCTCTTCAGTCAGTCAGTCTTCCAACTTCAGGCCCACGCATTCACCCTCCTGTGAGTTCTGCCCGCTCCATGCGGTCCCGCACAATAATTAACGGTGCCATCTGTCGCAGCGTCGGTGCAGAGGTCGACGACACTGGAGGCGACGGCCCGGGCAGCTTCGATGTGCGCGGGAGCGTGTGGCACCTCAACTGCTGCAACCCGGAGAACAACCTCAACGGCGGCGGCTGGATGATCTTCAACGCGATCCTCGGCTGGACGAACAGCGCATCCATCGGCACCATCCTTGCGTATGTCTTCTATTGGCTCGCCGTCATCACCGCTCTGGTGCGCATGAAGTACAAGGAGGTGCCTATCTTGTGGTTTGCATTTTGGCCGATTTGCTGATTTGCTTTTGGATATGCAGGGGCGCACAAAAATATTTGGCCGCGAATCTGCTGCGGCGGTCCGGCGGAGGGAGCGAACGGAGCAGAGAGAGCAGGCGGAGCGCACGGCCCTCGCGCAGGCGGTGCAATCGCAGGGGATCTCGTAGAGGGAAGTCTGCTCCCCGTTTCTCGCTCCCCGGCACGCGCGCCGTCTGCCGTAGGAGAGAGAAAAAAATCTAATGTTTTTGTATTCATGACCGCTCGTCGGATACCTGGGCATGTATCATATACCTCACGCACGATAACGCAAAATAGTATGTTGTAACAACGCTCCGTACCTCTGGGTGGATGTGCAGTGGTGCGAACGATTAGGGGGGAGGATCGAAACGCCTGTGGATGCGTATGGACGCGGGGACGCGAAGTTCTTCCAGATGGTCAAACGAGCATGCGGGACGACGTCTGGCCTTCCACGCGAATTTCCTTGGTCTGTGCAGCGAAAACCTGTGACCATTGAATGGGCCTAAGCGACTGAATTCCAGGAACCACAGCTCCGCCTGGCGCACGTTAGTGGGCGAGGACGGTTCGCCAGCACCTTCACGATGGGCTCGCCCCAAAGAGACCTTGACGCTGCCATCGACGCCACCGGACCCAACAATCTCCGAGAAGTGGGCGCCTTCAGCGCACTTAATTTGAAGCTCTGCTCTCCAAAGGGATTCAAGCTTGACTCCGATGGTAATCAGAGCATTTCCGAAGGCATCTGAGCCTGATTATGTGACGGTGGGACAGCGACTTCTGGAGCGAGACAACGGACACTCTTCGCGGAGGGCAGCGCGGTGAGCGCGAACTTGAACCTGTCCGTGACGCAGCGCGGGACCGAGCTCCTCAAACAGAGAGGACATTCCGCGGCGGGTGTGCGCCGATCTATCGGAATAGGGTGACACTGATCAAGGTTTCACTTTTTTGTCGCATGCAGATCAGATTAGAGCAGGCGGAAGCTGACGGCAGCGAAATGGGGCGCTATCTGATAAGATCAGGAGACCCGTCTCTCCGAGGGCGAGGGCGGCGATGAGCACGAAAATACACCTGCCGGCCTGGCCATGCACCATCCTGGGCGCTGGAGCCACTTGGGAAAGAGGTGAACAGGGGTGGTTGGGTATTCAGCATCATGTTGTGCAGGGCCGAGCGGCACGTACATAACGACATGCTCCAGTGCCCAGCCAATCACGACATGGTGGGACTACAGTGCGCCCACGGTCGACCCTTCCGGCACTAGGTAGAGCTTTCGCAAACCTAGAAGTTGTCGTCCTTGCAAAACGGGAACGCGCAGAATAATTGTTGCTCTGGGTAATTGAGCTGCGAAGAGCGTCAGCTGTCGCCCGTCACCATGCAGCATCACTCGCAGATCAACAAATCGCTCAACACATATCTCGTCACAGATAGCGGTATTTGTTCAAGGTGCACCAGACGGGAGGGTGCTTTGTGCAGCAGTGCTAGAAGCAAGACGAAAGGAAACGCCCGACGTCGCGGCATTAGCTCACGACAATGCGCCAGCAGTCTGGTGGCTCACAGAATTCAATGCATTAATATCGCAGATCGTCCGGGAGTAATGCGGGGCAACCCAGTGACGTCGAGTCGTGAGCTGGGCTATACCGGGCATGGTGTTCGTACACCTGGAGGGTCGCAAATAGCCTATTGGCGCACATGCCACAACAGAAGTATTCGGCAAGGCGAGACAAGAAGAGTGTCGAGCATATGCATTCGCCTTGGGAGATAAAGCGCTGTTAGGATAAATGCACTATTCGACGAAGGACGCTCTTCTCAAGTAAACAATGCCGTTGTCGCAGAGAATAGACCACGCCTTGCCCAATAAGGCATCTTCAGAGCCAAGTGGAAGTTGGAACGGTAATGCAGGGACGCAGAAGCTAGAAGCAAGCGGGCAATGATTCGCAGTGCCTGAAACAGCCGCATGTGACGCCGCTCGAAGTCATCGGTGGATGCCTATGTACGTGATGATGGATGAGGATGAGTGGTTATCATGGAAGTCGCGTCACCTCGTGCCCGCCTGGACGATAATTGAGGCGGAACCATACGGGCAAGACTGGAATGTTGGAGCAGTGCGGTATCAGTATTCTCTGGCCACGCCCGAGACACTTACAGCAAGCCGGGGGGTTAGGCTATGACAAATGTTCGCATTCCTCGTTCGTGGTCTACAAAAAGATCATACAGACAGTGCAAGACAGTAATACAGATAACACAGAAATCACGTATTCACCACATCCATCTTCAACAGTACAGCTTTCTCGCATACAGGACATCGGAGGTTCTCTGCAAGCTCCTGAATGATGCACCTGTGCATGTCATGGGATCAGTCCGGACGAGCAAAAATACTGGAACACACTCGCACCTCTTGCAGAATATATGGCCACACATCGTGGAAGTCGGCTCTTCGCATGTAGCTTTTCCACATATTCCGCAATGCCAAGATGGGCCGACAGTGTAGTCACCTGCCTTACGTTGTGCAACGCTGTCGTTGATCAGGACTAGAGAAAGACAAGTATGAACAGGCATAATGCAAGCTCGTGGACAAGTAAGACTCTCACCTCTCCCGCTATAAGCTGGCGAGAGGGGTGGACGAATTATGATCGGGCGTAGACCAGGATCACTGTCCCAAGACGAGGATCGAGTAGAGGCACAGCCTTCAGAGGGTTGCACTAGTACATCCGCAACCATATATTCATAAGAGTTTTCGTCGGAATGTGCACTTGGAGACCGAAGTCGGGAAAGCACTTGCAGAGGTTCTACACGAGTTAACACCCCGGCCACGGCAAATCATTAGCCATCAAGGACATCGTCCACGTAAAAAATCGAGAAAAAGAGGGGACGTACCAACTGGATCTCTGACACAGCGTATCGGGCTGGCGCTGAACACGAAACTCGTCAGTACGATAGCATGGCATTGCATGAAAAAGCTCATTACCGTGCGCACGTCAATCCTACGCAGTCCGGTTCCACAGCACCCCATTGTGGTTGCCTTCCACGGGTACGCTGGAACGCTGGTGGCGACGTGAAAGAATTTGTGTTTGTCGAAGTAGAGGATGGCGGCGATCGCCTTCCAGGTACGGTGCAATAAGTTGGCAGTGGCGTACCCACACTGCCAGTGAGCTCGCGAGAGGGAGGAATATGAATTATTTGATCATCGCGAAACCAGCATGACGGTGATCTGTTGCAACATTTTCTTCGCGCGAATATGATCGAAGGGCTCTTGCTCCTGCACCCACTCCTGCTCCTGTGCCCCACTGTTGACGCTGTGTGCGCAACGATGATGGGCGAGATGCTGCGCCTCGTCAGTGAGTTTGCGTCACACTCGGACGACGGCTCCCTCGAGGGAGCTAGAGTCCGAACTGGGGGGATTGGGAGACAAAGCGGTGCAGGAGAATCGTCCAAGGACGACTGAGGAGATGGCGAGATACTGAAGGAGCTCATTGACTGTGCAACCGGGGAAATCGGGCAGGAATGCACGGATGACGCCCACTTTCCCGGAACCGGCGCATGAATTGCGCCTTCGTCCCTGCTTTCTCGAGATAGGGGAGTATGGGTGGAGATGTAGTGCTGTGCATGCGTTGTCAGCGCCAGGCCAACTCTCAACGGGCGTCATACCGACCTCGAGAAGCCTCTTGTGGTCAAGAGGTCCGACATTGCATAGCATACAAGACGGATGGTCTGTAGATTCCTGGAAGTGTTGTTCCAGTAGTTTGGCCGACCCAAACTGCTGGCTGCAGGCATCGCATCGCAGCTTCGGGTGAACGGCGGCGCTGTGCTGAACGGCAATGCAATTGTGAGGCAGAGATGACGACTCGCGGAAGACGCGCACCTCGTTGAGGAAGCTGGTGGCTAGAAATACAATACCGCAAAGAGTACATGCCGGCAATGACTTGTGCTCAGACTTGTCTTCCCACTTCTCGTTGGCATCATTGTTGGAGTTGCAGCGATTTTGCGGATGTGCTGTGGTGAAGTGCTATGATACTACGTGAAGCGACACAGTAGAAAGCACCAATGTTGTTACATACATGGATGGAATCCGAAGCGTAGTGGGCGCAGCTGCATGAAAAAGTACTAAGTTAGGCGAGTGAACGTAAGAATGCGATCGATTGTACTTGTGACAAGCGTAAATCGAAGGTGTTTGGCTTGTTCTGCACTGCTGAAACCGTGAGTAAGGATTAGCGCCGGTGGTCGTAACAGATACGTACCGCACGAGCTGCTTCCTCGCGGCTCAACCCACACCTGTCACAGATCAGACGATGTTCATGGAGATTATCGCGAGAACTCTGGTCGTAGGTCGGTGGCAGGGGACGGACGGAGGAACATATCTGACAGTACCAGGACTCCGAGGACAGATGCATGGCTTAGACCAAAGTAGGGGAGACTGCAGAGCCTCGCAAGATATATAGGGTAAAGAAGGCGCCTAGAAGTATGAAAAAGTAATGAAGTCGCCCCACGATAGTCCACTTAAAAGCCGTGCGTGATGCAACGGCCGCCCGGGCGCCAATACTCCTAGGAAACATTGTACAAATAATCGGCGTGGGAGCCTTTAGCAAGTTCAGGAGGTACACTTGAGCAATGCAAAGTCTTGACGACACCGACGAACAATCAGATCACCAAAGCGACGCACCCACCATCAAGAAACAATGATTCGGACGATGAACGACGTACCTTGGAGCTAGGTTCCCCCGTATCTAAGGCTTGTCCGTGTATTCCACATAGCGCCCATGCGGTGCAAAGAATGGCATTCCGTGCGATTTCCCGATAATGGAGAGCAAGAATACGGCTTAAGCGTTCCAGACTGGAAGTATTCTACCGTACCTGAGGCCTCTAGGCCGCGATCTGTTCCGAATGATTATGTCGACTTGACAGAACCAACGCCGAGTAAGCGCCAAAAACAGAAGTGAGAATTATGTTACTGAGGAAAACCGAGTGATGGTTTTGTCAGCTGCAACACCACTGAGTAGCCCAGCAAGTTGCGAAAACGGCAAGACCGCTGAACAGCTGAGAGAAGGTTGTGCTAGCTACAAGACGCTGAGTAGTATATGCCTGGTGCTGTGCCAGTGCTCCGGACATATATGCCTTACTGAGTATCACTCACCTGCGCCACGATGGTCAACCGGAATGAAACGCCCCAGAGGTTCCCTTGCAGTAATTCAAACAGAGTTCTTCTACATTGCTGTCCTGATTACAGTGCAGTGTAGAATCACCATGTCGCGCTTGATTGCCATAAACATTCTGTCAATTCTTCAGCTGGCCTCGAATCGTCTCCTCCCGTACCACCCATTCGAGGAACTTCGTCCACTGCTTCTCCCACAGATCGAGTGCACGTTGCTTTTCTTCCTGACCCATGGCAGCATGCTACGGCGCACAACTGTTATTAATACGAGGCGACCGGACAAACAAACGACGTTCGCTCACCTTAAGGCTGTCCCGAGCAAATTCGCCCATCGTGATCAGTCCAGTGACTTCGCTTGCTACGAGGACCTGATGAAATTGGCTTGAACCTCGGAACGAGGCTGACAAGTAAAAGGTACGAACCTGGAAGAAGTCAAAGGATAGACCCATGTTACCGAACACTGCGGGGTCGTCCGAGCACAGTGCTACAGAGACACCTTGGTTCACCAAGATAGGGAGGGGATGCATCGGCATCGACGACGTCAAACGCTACTCCAAAGCCTAGTTAGCCGGCTTGACTTTTAAGGCAGAACGAAGCTGCGACTTACAAGTATCTCGTTGCTGGTGTTATCATGGTTTGTCAGCAATCATATTAAATCAGAGAACTATGCCATACGAGATGGGGCACATTTCCACGGCGATGTCCTTCTCCTTGCAGATTTCAATGAGTTTTGGATGTTTAGCCAGGGAGAACCTAGGTGACATCAACGAACCAACAAAGTTGTCACCAAGTATCTGCTGAGTATGATAGCTTACCCATGACCGATGCGTTTGGTGCCAAGGAGGATAGCATCATAGAGGTTCATATCCGCTGGGGTACCGTCACCAAGCGTCTCTCCTGCGTGGAAAATGAAGGGAATATCAAGGCCAAGCTCTTTCTGCCTTTCTACGAACTTCGTGAGCGGAACGATGTAGTCAATGAGGGGTTTCAAGGAATCTTCGTGTCCGACGAGATCGAAGCCTAGCAAATGCGTTTGATGAGAGGTCAGTGGAAGCCGATAAGCGTGGAAACATACCTGCAATAAGGTGGGGAAATTCTTGCTTGAGGGAGAGACAGTCTTCCAGATACCATTCGAGTTCTTCTGAGGTTATGTGTCGCAATGTGACATAGATGATCTTCCCATTTGAAAGGGTTAGGACAGAAAAACAAATTCGGAACACAACCGTATTACCTTCGAGCCAACGAACTCATCCTCGCGCCCTTGACGTTTCAATTCATCCTTAACTTCGTTCAGAACTCGGTCGTATATGATAAGCCATTCTCGATGTGGCACGTCCTCTTTTCCATCTGCACCAATCATGCATCTGCTAAACTTCATCAGGATGCATGCGAACACGAACTGAAAGTTATCTCACTTATGCCAGAAATTAACGCGTGCTTCCATGTATGAAATACCATCTTCGATGGAGGACAGGAAGAATTGCCGAATGTACTCGGTCCAAACGGGCACGAAATGAATGAGGCCCTTTGACACGTTTCATCAGCTCTTTTCTGTTAAATGGAGGAACAAATGACTTCTCACAGACGAAGTAACGAAGGTGCTTGTGAACTTCGCCCATATCTAATGCCAGAAGGGTGAGCTTCCGCTACAACAAGACCGATAATGCCGAACCTTCTGTGTGGTGTTGTGTGTGACGTAGGCTTCCGAAGGATTGATCATCAAGGCGCCGACGACCCATTCGTCGAATCCTTCAGGGCCCCCGAGACTCGCGTCGAAATTCTCTCTAGCCTTCTGGATCGGCACCCATTCACCTGGAGTGTACGCCTCATCCGTCAAACTGGTGAAGCTGGTGAAATTGGCTTGCGAGAGGCCTTTGAATTCCGGCAGTGTGCCCTTGACAGTGCTGGCGGTGACACGCTTAGACGCGCGAACGTGCATGGCGGACTGTGTAAGTGCAATCGTGAGCAAAACGCGGGCATTGACGGTGGCATCGAGGTGTGCATGCAAGAGCGCGCCCTTGGGCATCTAGTAGTCGGGTGAATATCTGACGTCTGCTGCTGCTGAAGTCATTCACCTTGTTCAAAACTCTGAATAGTTTCGTCTGAATAATGGTATTTCGCGCTGACAATAGACATAACAATTCAGCACGAACCGGGATCGCAATGGGATAGATATCCCGAGGCTGCACCTGTCAAGAACTCCATACCCGGAAACACATTTGCAGATGTATCCTCTGGAGAATACTCGAATATGCTCTTGCTCTCGAACGCCCATACAGACTTGGCTTCAGCAGTGCGAATGCTACGCACAACAGCGTCCGCTCTCTGCTCGAGATCTGTCAGGCTCGCTCTGTTAAGAGGAGAATCCACTCGTTGTGCTCTGTCTGCATGTATGAGCTGCTTGCGACGCTCCAGATATTCCTCCATCCTGGCCTAGCAACACGACGGTCTAACAAAAGACTCCTTGAATCACATCACGGCGTCTAAATGATTCTGCTTCGATAATCAGCGCAGCTTCAAACCATTGGGAATCTTGGGCATCCAGGCTGTGAGTCTTGAGAGCTACCGTGAAATTTTGACGACACTGACACTTCAAATTTACGGAGAATCAAAGTTCAGACCAAGTGTTGCACTGAAAATTGCGGCAAGGGAGGCGGCCCGCCACTGGCAGGCGCGTGAGCGCTTAATGAGCGCTTCATGTATCTGTCCACGCGACAGCCACAACACACTCACAAGACCCCCCCGGTCTTCAATCATGTTGTGCACATGTGCAAGCGCCACTTTGCAACAGGTCGATCGAAATCCCTGCCCAGGAATTCAAGATCTACCGCGGATTTGTTTTGAAGGCGCAACAGTACACTGAGGGGTGCTGACGAAAGGGCGCCGCCATTCAAACATGTATTCAGGTATAAGCCAAATGTGGTAGATCCTACTGTACTCGATGAAAATGATTTCAGAGGGGACTCACTACGTAATAAAATCAAAATAAGGCATGAATCCCCCTCGACGTGACTTGCGAATCGACTCGTGCAGCGGGTTCGTACTAATGGCGACGCGATGGGGTTATGCAAAGTGCTACGGAACGGTGGTGGATGTCCGAGGCTGCTTTAGAGGCCTGCGCCCTGGGCAGGCTTTTCATCCTGGCGCGCATGCTTGCTCATTCCTCGGATGCGTGCTCCATACTTCCAAAATAACCAGATCCTGCGAGCATTCCATCATCATTAGTATTCCATCACCATTTATGCAACTCTAGAACAACGCACGCAGGAAATCCGACGGCAAGCGCAAACGCGGCCAGAATTGTGTCGCCGACACCGTATCCGAGTGCTTTGTACATGGCGGGGGCGAAGAGTGGGAAACCGAAACCTGCCAAAGAACGTAGGCAGGATACCGCGGCCAAAGCTGTCCAACAAAAGATGGGCACTGGAATATCTACACAGCGACTGAGTTATAACTCACCGGAGGCAGCATGTGCGGTGAATGCGTCGATGACATACGTCTGTATACCTTGGAAAATGAGTATCGTTCCAGCTCCTATGAATGCGAATCCCTGCAGTTCGACTGGTCAATGAGAGATGACACCGATATAAGATTGAACACTTGCGATATCGGGCAAGATCCAATGGACATGCTTTTCAGCACCCCATCCCGCGATGAGGAGACCGATAGGGAGAAGAAGTGTTCCGGGCATCACATTAGCTGCCCCACAAATACAGCGAGATGTGAGGAGAGGAGGTTCCGGGGTAAAAAGACAAATATTTACGCAGACGGAACTCAGGAAGACCCACGCCACCATTTCGCTCCTTGAGGCGACGATAGACACGATCCAGCATACGAGCATTAGTCTGCGATGCAATAGATAGCCCTATAAACAACCACTCATATGGGTCCGACATCAAAAAAATATCGCTCGCAAGACATACCGATGCCCAGCGAGATATACTGAAGACCGGCAACACCAGCCTTCTCGTGGTAAGTAAACTGGAAGATATCCGGGATCGTCGTAAGGACAACTGTGTTTGCCTCAGTAACTCCAGTACAGAGGAAGTGGCACATTTGGTACATACGGTAGACTGTTCCATAGACGAAGGCGAGGTAGATGCCCAAGAGCTGAATGATTGGCTCCTGAGCGAATAAGATGAACGGCCGGAATAGGGACTTCGCGAAGAGCCGTTTCCAACTTCAAGCGACTCCATGAGCAGCTGTGCACACGGTGCAGATCTTGAACTTACCGCCTGTCTTCGGTCTGGTATACCGTGCGGACCGTACGTGAGCCCTTCTCGATATCTAGTTCCTTTTTAATCTGCTTCGCCTTTCGTGCGAGAAGTAATGGGGCATTCGCTAAAGAAGGGAAAGCAAACGATATTGGTAGGACGACCCTTGACCTGAGGTCAACGAACCTACTCTCGCGTAGAAAGAAATAACCGAAAAGCTGAACGACAGCGGCTGCGATGCTTGTGGAGCGGAACACCCAACGCCAAGTAGACAGCTGCGCTATCCAGCCGCCAGCCACCGGACCGATGACCGGGCCCAACAAGGGAGCGAGAGAGTAGATGGCGATGGCTTGCCCACGCTGATCCGGCGTCCACATGTCGCTCAGAACGGCGCCGCCGGTCTGTTCGTAAGAATAAGCTTCCACTGGGATGTGCCGTAACTAGATTTGGAACTCACAGCCAATGGTGCACTACCACCGAGCCCGGAGAGGAACCGAAATGCAATGAGTTGCGCCTTGTTCTGCGAAAATCCACACGCTAAATTCCAGGCTATAAAAGTGTTAGTAAATATATATGAAAACAATAATAACTCTTACCAATAAAAAATAGATTCGAACCTCGCAGGATTAAGACGCGTCCGTACATCTCGCTGAGAGGTCCGAGAAAAAGTGGGCCGACCGCTGTCCGGGCGATTGATCAGAATCTTTGGTTAATCGTTCAGGCGAGGAACGTCTCACCGTATGCAAGGACGAATACAGAGATTGTCATAGCTATTTCAACGCTACTTGTGATATGAAATTCAGCAGCAATCTGGTTGGCAGCGGGTGCTACCATGGAGGACGAGACGGGAGAAATAAAGGTGAAGGCGGAGACAGTTAATGCTGCAGCCCATTTGCGTCTCTTGGACCAGCTGTAACAGAGCGAATCAATGATATTTAGCAAGCGCACTGGCGCTTTCACCACGACGCACTTTCTTGGATTTGCGGGATCATCTGGACCGTCCCAGTCTACGATAATTGTTTCTGGATTATCTTCCACTGTGTTAGCATCTGCTGCGCGCTTCTCTAGAAGGACATTGGAACAACGATTCGAGTCGCCTTGTTTCTTCTGGTCAATCGATTGCGAATCTTCGGCTAGTGGCAACGTTGAGGTATTAAATGGAGAGGCCATAGGCCAGAGGAGAGGGAACCATGATTGCGAGACGCGCTCCTCTTATATGTACAGTACGTCAGCCACCGATCTTCTAAAGAAATGGCATTTCGGGGGAATGCTGGGACACGATGTGTCATTTGTCCTCAGTAAGAGGAGCAACTCAGCTCCGCGAGCCGTTCGGTACACCGGAGTGATGGAAATTATGACAGCGGCTGCCATATCGGATTGTAACACCTGTCGACGTTCAGCGGCTGCGGATGACTGACCCAGTGGGGACTTGGTCGAGACCTATGCATTGTGAGAGAATGTACACCGCTCAGCTGCAAGCTTCAAGCTTCGACTGGCTGTCACCAAGTTTTGTGCGAGCCCAGTGTTGTACAAACAGCGTGGGAACTTCGGTGACACCCACTGCGGATTCAGATTCAGACCAATGGCCCGGGTCATTTAAGTCATTGCATGCATACATCATCACTGGAAGTAACTGACGACAAGTGCTGGCTGCTGCTGGGCGTCCTGACGAACTTAACTTTCTGTGTCTGTGAATGTCCACTGATTTGTGACAGTATTCTTTAATAGACAGATGCAATTTTCTAAAACAGGTTTTCTGATCTGACGGGCACACCAACATATACTGCTCCCTCTGCCCGCAGCGATCGATATATTGATATCCTCTTGACGCGTACGGGCCATAGTGAATTTCCAGCAATGAAGACGCAGGAATTCCCATATCAAGGCTCATTCCATAAGAGGAGCTGAGAGTTACGTCACTATTGAACCTCAAACTTTCGCTGTTGTTATTGCCTCGATTCTAGAGGGAGCTCGCTGAGCTCTAAGATCTCAATTCTGAAAACAATAGGAAGGTCATGGCTTTGACAAGCAAATGTGTTATACGCGAGGTCAGCAGACACCGTTTGCTGGATGTGCCCGACTGACGATCGGCACTGACCTCATGTTCGTATTTCTCAGGTAGTGAAGGACGTCTGGACCTTTTCATGGTAAGTATAAGTACATCGAACTCAAGTTTTTCGACTTACGTTGTCTTGACAGTCCCTTTTCACGATTTGGTGTAATCCCATTTGGTGGGCGATCGACCGCCGTTAAACTCCACAACGGGGATGTGTGGTTGCTTGCATCAACCCCGCTTGACGGTGAAACAAAGAGTAAGCTTGCTGAAATAGGCCCCGTCAAGTACGTGCTTCTCTGATTGTAAACCTGCTAATTATCTAATGCGAAGGAAGTACAGATGGATCATCGGAGCGGACAGGGTTCACTACCTCTACCTTGGTGAGTTCGAACTCTCAAAATAAGTACACATCTCTGCAGAAAGCACTTAGAAGTGTATGCATATCTACTTCTACTATTCCTTACGACAGCGACTGCTACACATTATCTCCAAACCCTTTTTTCTGGGACATACGGCTATATGACTTCTACCCGCTCGGTGTGACTACCGTACGTGATACAAAGTTAACGATTTGTTGTTCTTACAGCGGAGTTTAAGAAAGAATATCCCGACGCCAAGCTCATAGCGGTGGAAGAGGTGAAGAACGCGAAGGAAAAGGAAGGACTAGAGTTCCATGGAGGCGAGTTGCTCTTTCATAGTTGGCTGCTGGTGATAACACTTGATATAGCATGGGGTGCTGATCCCCCTGATACGAAGTACGGATTTGAAGATGATGTGAGTTATAGCCTCAGTCTTCTGGTAAGAAAGTAATTCAATGTGGGCGTCAGATTGAGCATTGGTGAGAGTTCAAACATAAGACTTGGTTCCGCCCACCCATAGCCAACAGTTACTTCTCCGGTCATATCAACAAGGATGTGGCTTTCTTCCATCCGGCTTCGAAGACCTTGATGGAAGCAGACCTCCTTTTCAATCTTCCGGCAATAGAACAGGCGAGTGATTGCACGAGTTCATTGCGTTGCATCTTCTCTCTGTTAACATAGCTGCTCTACAGTACTCTAAGACTGGGTCTTCTGGTCGGCTTCCGATCTTTGGCACGTTGAAGCCCGACACGTGGCTGCACAAGAAGTTTGCGTGGATGACAGGGCAGGATAAGGAGTGCGCAAAATTCTCTGTCTCATCGCTTTAACTAACGTTTATTCCGTGTCGCGTAGAGCCATGAAACGCGACGTGAAGACGGTTGCGGGGTGGAATTTCGAACGCATCATCCCTTGCCATGGTGTATGTACCTTGTTTCTTCTACTAACCGAAACTCACACCACAGGCGTTCTTAGGACGTGATAGAGAAGGATGGAAATGCTGCCTGGAGACAGGCTTTCCAGTGGTATTTCGACTGATTCGTTTTCAAGGACTCTTGGCTCGGACTGGCTCTGTTTGGCTCCTGTTGTATCAATATCGTATGGACTTGAATCCAGGTGTCACTTTTCAGCACTTGCGAGCGGCGTTTCCGTGCTGTCAGGATCGCCTGCCTGCTTCTTCGCTTGGCCTTGCGGATCTGGTCTGTTTTCAATGCAGGTGCCTCGCTTTCAACAGTTGTTCCCGATAACGTAATATGATTCCCAGCGATATACGTTAAAGGAGGGACGAGAAGGGCATGCCTTCCTGGCCATCTGTCCTGCGCGACGCTGTCATGCGCTGGTGCTGTTTGCCTACATCCTACATCTGGCATGCACGAAGCGCATCCTCGCGGAAACCACGAGGGACCCTGCCCGCCGTGCGGTATATCTGCAAACGCCCTGCTGGTTTATACCATTTCCCCTTTCTCTTTCGTCGAAGGCGCTCCATCACGATGGTCTTTTGTGTTACTTGCGACAGGAGCTTCAATAGTTACGAGGCATACAGACAACACGCCCGAGACAAGAAGCATGAGTACAAACCATACCAGTGCGACACTTGTGACGTGGGACACGCCACCCAGGATGATTTGAAAGGGCACTACCGCACTAGCGATGACCATCCCTCGTGCGCTCGATGTCCCGAAGCCTTCAAGGACCAGGCCCAACTTACCGCGGTATGTCATCCCTTGATTGCTGAGTAACGACACGTTATAAATGATGGTACCGTGGTAGCATATGACGGCAATTCACTACATCAAGTGCAACCCATGCAACCTCACCTTCTACCGGGAAGACATTCAGCTGCACTTCAGAGAGTCGGCAAATCACCCCACATGCGTCGTGTGTGGTGATGGCTTTGAGACCGATGTTCTTCATCAGCAGGTAAGTCTACCAATGTCCACAAAGCGTACTGTGGTGAGATCTGTCAAGTTATTACTACTGACGTACTGCCCGCGGCTTTTCCAGCACACGACATCAGCGCATACCGACACACGATGCGCACCCTGCAGTCGACTCTTCCGCACCAAGGAATCTCTGCGGGATCATTACAGGGATTCTCCCGCACATCCGCACTGCGCTATCTGTGGAGTTGGATTCGAGAACGACGAGGCGTGCGATGCAGTGCGTATCGAGGTTCATCACATACGACTTGCAATTTTTACTCTGTCCATACTGTTGTAGCATATGACGCAGAACCATCCTCCTCGGCGCGTCATAGCCTCACCACCTCCCAGCATCCGAACGCAAGTTGAGGCTGTAAGCCCATTCTGTGACTTCACCAATTGGCGTTACGATTGACCCGCCTCTATGCTGACATAGATACAGGACGCCGATACCGTGTTGTCTGTTGCCACCACGCAGCTGCAGTCCTCGCAATCTCCTCCTCTCCAGCCGTGTGACGACAACAGCATAAGTCCTGATGAGCCGCAGTCCGTCCTTCACCAGAGCACAGTCAGTAGCCGACTCTTCATCATGCTCTTTGTACGATCACTAACCCCCCTTTTCCGACAGATGTCCGAGTATTCTCACAGCAGCGCGCTGCGTACGGTCTCGGAGCCAGCCTTGCCCGCTGCTTCCTCTCTCGGTGGGTTCACCAGTCTGCGATATCAGGAGATACGCTTACGGAGCCACGTAAGTAGTCGGGGGTAACTTCGCGAACCATGTGCCAGACAACAGACCAGCATCTGATGTATCGCCGCCCTCGCTCACCTGTGTCGAACAAGACGAGGCAAGTATACCGGGTATCTCGTGCAACACGACTCCGATTATGTCTCAAAGGTCCCTAGAGTACACAGCAACAGGGAGCATCGCTACGCATCTGACGGGAAATCCAACAGCGTCTCCTGTATCTCAGGGTACCTTGGACTTTGTCTCGTAAGCACCGTTAGATTCACCTGAATACATCTCCTGACGAGAGTCTCAAGATTCCCGGGTTTGAGGGAAGAAAGTGCTCTCTCTGAGTCATCTATGTCGACGAGCTCTCTACACATGTCTGATCTAGTATCGGAGACCAAATCACCCGCATTCGAGGAAGCTTCTCCTACACACTCTGTTCGACCTCTTCCGCTATACCACAATCCTAGTAGAGTGTCGCTCTCCCTTTCTGAGGCTCACCTGCGTGCAGCGTCTGAAGTGAAGGAGATTGTTACCGCTCGTCCAGAGCCTTTGATAAGCAGCGTCCTGGCCACTCCTTCGCATACCGTGTCAGGGCAAGACTTCGGCCAGATCAACACTAGCTTCAGTCCACTCGCGCAGGACCCCCATTCGAGGCCGGCCAGTACTCTGCCGTCTCCCCCACTTTCCCCAGGGAGCCGCCGTATGTCCGTCACGTCAGCTGCGTCTGTCCGCCGAGGTGAGCAGAATGTTTTCTTGCCGGAGACGCGCTCGTTGAGCCTTGCAGCACGGTCACGATTGGCGACATTGAGCGACACCGACGCTACCGTCCAGAATGTGCCCGCTTCAACCGAGCGTGCCCCCTCGGCGTCGCGAACTCCGAAGGGGCTCTCTTGGCATTGTCGGGTGTGTCTGAAGAACCCGTGCACGGAGCCTACTGCGACAATGTGTGGACACATATTCTGCCACAGGTGTGTGACCTCTCGTACCTTTGATGTCTACTGTGGGGTGACTCGTATGCTGGTAGTTGTATCATTAAGGAGATTGCAACGAATATGCAATGTCCTGTATGCAAGAAGTCCATGCTGTTAAGACTGCACGTCGAGACGGACTAGAAATACGATAGGTTTATCCTTTGTACTCGTTCGTCATTCGTCCTTAACCTAATGTTCGGTATAACCTGTAACACAATTACTGGAACACACCTCTGGTGTCCTACCTACTTATTGTTCGTTCGACGTTCCGCACAATAACCGCTGTATGCATAAGCTACACGCGACGCGTGAATCACGCGGACGCGTAGTGGCCCTAATGGACCTTCACAAGACAGTGAACTCTCGCCTACTCTCGCCACGCACAGTATTATTAGATGGCCGGTCCGCTGCCAGTGAAGCGTCGAAGTTCTAAAGTGACTTATAAGTCACCCGCGTGGATTTCTGAAGCGCTAGCGCTCTACGAGCCCTTGCTAAAACCTTGCGCAATACTCAATTTTATTCGTTAGCTGATGCGTGTCTCCACGCTCGCTCAGAGTCAATAATAAACGAACGCCGATTCACATCAACAACGAAATTCCTGTGGGATATGCTGTATTGACGTATCTTCGTCGTGTCTTCCAGGAAGTGGTACCCGCAAACACTTGCATTAATTGCGGGAACATGCTGAGGTGGGCATGATTGAAGAACTTGAATAGATAGTTTACAGTGAGGAGGGTCTGCTGAAGTGCTGAAGTGCCCCGATGTCGTACTCTGTAAGAAAGTAAGCCGATAGCCTATCGTCTAGTTCGCTTTCAAAGAGCCCGTGGCAGGCGGGGACGATGTCGCCTTGTATCGGTTTGAGCTGACGGCGGTGGATGTCAACCTCGGAGCACAGCCTAGCGATAGGCTCAGAACCAGACACGGCCTTGCAGAGAGCCACTCTCAAATTATCCAACGTAGCGCGACAGACAGTACAACGATCGCGGTGGAGGACTATTGCACCGTCGACAAGAGGTCGTACCCGGGGCCTCGACCGTCGGTGCGGGAGAGCTTGAAGGATTCGGAAGTAGAGCCGGGGGGAAGTGCGATAGTAGCGCAGTGATAGTCTCAAACGTATTCGCAGTTCGATGACATCCGAACAGCAGGAGGGCGTCTTCCCGGAGACTTGGCAGACCTCTAAGCCCATGTAGCAGGGAAGGAGCTCCTCATACGAAAACGTGGCGAAGACGAGAAGCTCAGACTGAGCAAACAAATGAGGGGTATGTTACAGAAAACCATACATAGATAATCAAGGTCGAGCGGACATAACATCGTGATCCTCACTAAGGAAGTTCAGTAGCAAAGTCAACAGAACAAGAGACGGGTAGTACACACCACTCGTACAACGACAAGCTACGCAACCGTCCCTCCGCATGACCGTACCATAGGATTGCGATCCGCCCATTTCCCATATCTGCGCTCGTAGCTTTCAATTACCAGACGTGCTTGCTCAAGTGCTTCTTCCTCGGGAACATCCGCAGGTGCGAGAGAGGCAAGCAGTTCGGGGCTCTCCAAGTACCCTACATGCGCATATCCGGTCAAATACCGCACCATGTCTAGAATCATGTTATTCTTGGCCATTGTTAGATATCACAGAAATGTACGCACTTGGTGTCCAGAGCTTGCAGTCAATACATATGCACCACAGCTCATCGCACCCGAATTTATGCCGACAGGGTTCTGTTACATCAAACATAATCGGTTTGTGGCAGAGACACTGGTGCCTCTCCGCGCGGTCGAAGTCGATGATCATCGGCTGCCGGTTCTGATAGAGAACAACATTGCATTCTCTGAATTCGCCATGCTGTACACCAGCTGCGTGTATCTCCGTCAAGGCGTCAACGAGGTGAATCCTGAGATAAAATTGTAATTAGTCAAGTCAAAGGTATCAACTAAAAAAGAGCTACAAACCTCAATTGTAGATCGAGGCAATCAAGAGTGGTATCCAGTGTTTTTCCGCAGTATTCTGTGACCAGGCAAGCCGACGGTCCTTCTTCTAACTCTCCTTCGAAGAGACCATAGCATGCAGGGATCACGTCGCGCTGTAGTCCGCGGAGTTGTCGGTATATTTCCGCTTCGTGGCGAAGCCTCGCGATTTTTCGCTTTCCAAACACAACCTTGCAGACGACGTCCTCGGAGCGGTGCCCTTCACATGCCAGTGAGGCACGATAAACTTGTGAATGACCATCGTGAATCTGCTTGGTATTACTGATGACGAACTTTAGCCCCGCGCCGGGAATATCAGTGCGGGACATTTCGTAGATATTTGGAGAATCGCAGTGCGAATGCTGGTCGGGGAAGTGGAGAGTGGTGACCATGGTGGTGAAAAAGCTGATAGAGTGCTGGACAAGCGGGAATGAACCATTTTATGTAAGTTACGCGCGTGTGGCTGGGCACGTGCTCACGCGGCTCAAGAAACCAATACTTACCTCGCGCGATGCTTCAGCCACTCGGCCTTGCAAACCTTGGACGTTCGGACAATAAGTTCCCCGCATTTTGACAATAGAATTCCCACGTGCGAACAATGATGCCGCTCTCCCTTGTGCATAAATAGTATCTGCACTCATGCGTCGATCATCAAGCCATGAGCATTCAATAATGAACTTTCCCATTCCGGCAACAAGGCCATTCTCCGTAGTGTTGTGGCCATTGAATATATAAGGTGAGTTGGATCGATCCTCTCAGACAGCTTCCGTTTCCAACATGTCTTCCACACCTCCAAACTCACCCTCTCCGTTGAGCATCGCGCTTGAGGTAGAACTGCCAGTGACACCAAAGAGGAGGCACCGCCTTATCTTTCCGGTTGAATCACCTCGAACTACAGACGACGATGACACACCTCGCCCGAAGCATCTGAGTCGCGCTGAATTGCTGGATTTCGAGGATCCCAATACTCCTACACCTGCACGTCGTTCTACCCATCGTCCAAAATATGAAGCCCACGAAGAAGGGACACAATCTCCTTCAGAATCTTCCAGCACTTCTACCTCAGAGCAAGGCGAGTCAAAGCGATTCGGCCCGGTCCAACGTTCCTGGTCGCAGAAAGGACTGGGTGTTGCCTTTGCCGTTTGACCCCCCGAGCGCTGCAGACATCCACTCATTGCATGATCTACTCCGAGTGACGCTGCCAGAGAATCCTCCATCATACCGTGACGGTGCCCTGACGGGAATGAAAACAGTGACAGAACATGAGTTCGCAATCAGTGCCGAAGCTCCTCTCAAGAAAGTGGTGAATGTACCAGACCTGGTCACACAGCTTCGCGATCAAGCTGAGAAGCAACTCAGCAATCTCAAAATTGACATGGACACACTGAATCCAGACTTATTGTCTGTTTGCCAGATGCATCCTTACCTCACTGCAAGGAACCTACCCCAAAAAATCCACAGCGAAAAAGACACTGAAGACTGGTGCAATGCCGTTCTATTCAGACCGGCGCTCGCTGCCTTACGCTGTGTCATTGCAAAGAAGATCATCCACAACTTTGAATTCAAATATCCTTACATATCGTCAGCACCAGGTCGTAAAGTTATTCCAGACGGAATCCTCGTCAGGAAGAATACCTTATTCCATCAAGAGTCGGATTCAGATTTCTGGTACATAAAAGACGGAAAGGTCATCCTCACGATTGAGGTCAAGACGCAGCCTGCGTGGGAGAAGATGCGTTTCGAAAAGCTTCAGGCTCTTCCTGTCCATTTTGAGAAAGGAACTGCTATGCGTTTCGTTTGGCCGACGAGGGAAGACAAACCGGACGAGCAAACACGATTGCTTGTACAGCTACGACTTTCGTTTAGCTCGGCCGTCGATAACACCTTACTCGTTTTCCTACTTACAGGCGTGGACACATATAGTGAAGTCAGTGCACGGCATCGAGATCCTTTCGACTCTACACTTGACTACATTCCTGTTGCGAGGGCGAAACGAAGATAACAGTGATACGCTCTATATTTCGCCCAGCTATGATCGTGAGTCATGCCCGATCTACGCAGTCTACTGTTGGTTTGCCCTGGCCATGGGTGTCATAAATTTCGAGAGCTTGAATCTCCCTTCTCCGATCACCACTCGCTGGCCCGATGGGGCAATGGATGAATATCAAGAAACTTGCGGAATCTTGCCAGGGTAAGTGCAAATTTCTCGGCCTTACCATATATCGCGTTTATATTGATACGTGTAGAACACAATACGACGCGTACGAGCTTTCTGCAACTCCCAACATTAATACCCGTGGGCGCGCCGCTACTGGTTAGACGACACGATCTAGGAGACCTGCGGCTTTCGAAGCACTGTAGTTCAGCCGTTGATTGCTACTACGTCGTCCTGTTTTAGTCCCAATGTTTTTAATATAAATGGCTTGCGCGGACTTCAACGCAATGCTGAAACCGTTTGACACACTCCTCATATCGGAAGTATCCTGAAGTCCTCAGGCTTCCGCTTGATCTCGTCAAATATAGAGAACTTGGCACCCAAGGGCAACACGGCTCAAAAGTGTAGGAGTTTCGTTCGAACCCCCTTCGAGGACAAGCACTTCTCCTCTGCCACTCTGCTCGTAAGAATGTCTTCCATGTCACTGGTGTCCGTGCGCGCGTCCTTGGATGTCATTACAAGGTGTGGCTCAGGTCACATAATATTCTGAAGCAATATACTGTATGTAGGTGTAATGAGGGTGCAAGCTCTTCCAAACGACGGTCTTGAAATATCTGTGTGTCCCATCAAATCCATATCCAACCTAACAGACAGTGTCTGGAATAGGCTGTAGAACGATCATGGTTACCACATTAATTGCTAAGTATGAAGTCGTACTGGGGGCACCCGAGGGACAACTTGAAGGATTCAGAAGTAAGACGTTCCTTGACCTGATTCTGATTCGCGAAATCGCGAGTCCGAGAGCCACGAGGTGTCAAGAAAAGTTGTGAACATAAAGAAAGGTCTATTGTGGGTATAACTCCAGAATCCGCAAACCAGAGAGTAGGGTAGCAGGGTCGACAGAAAACGAAGCTAAGTACTACACACCGTTCTTGCGACAAGCTCCGGAACTATGCAATCGACCCTCCTCATCAGCGTACCACGGGATGGGATTACGATTCGCCCATTTTCCATATACGCGCTCATACTGTTCAATGGCTACGTGTGCTTGCTTGAGCGCCTCCTCCTCGGGGACATCCTCCGGTGCTACAGAGGCGAGTATTTTGGGACTCTCCAAGTACCGTACATGCACATGTCCGCTCAAGTACCGTACCATGACTGGAATCATGTCATTGTCAGTCATTGTTGGGTCATACAGAGATGTACGCACTTGGTGTCCAGACATTGCAGGTATGACAAATTCGCCACAGTTCATTGCATCCAAACTCATCCTGGTACGGTTCCGTCACCCCCAGCGTGATCGGCATTGGATGGAGACACTGGTGCTTCGCTGCACGGTCAAAGTCGATGATCGTTGGTTGCAGGTTCTGGTAGAGAACAACATTGCATTCACTGATATCACCATGCTGTACACCAGCTGCGTGAATCTTTGTGAAGGCTTCAATGACGCGAATCCTGTGATAAGATACCGGGTTAGTCAAGGCATATAAGAGCTCGAAAGAATTGGATACCTCAACTGTGAGTCACTTCTCTTGAAGCTCTTATCCAGCGTTTCTCCGCAATATTCTGTGACCAGGCAAGCCGACGGTCCATCTTCCAACTCTCCCTCGAATAGCCCGTAGCATCCAGGGATCACGTCGCGCTGTAGTCTGCGGAGTTGTCGGTATATTTCAGCTTCGTTGCGAAGCCTCGCTATGCCACGCTTCCCAAACACAACCTTGCAGACGACGTCCTCGGCGGGGTACCCTTCACAAGTCAATGAGGCGTGATAGACTTGTGAGTGACCATCGTGAATCCGCTTGGTATTACGGATGACGAACTTCAGGCCCACACCAGGAATGTCAGTGCGGGACATTTCATAGAGTTCGGGATGGTCACAGTGCGAATGCTGGTCGGGGAAGTGTAGAGTGGTGACCATGATGGACGGACAAGCAGAGGAAATGCTAGACAAGTCGAAATGAACCAATTTATGTAAGTTACGCGTGTGTGGCTGTGCACGTGCTCATGTGTGCCTCTGGCCCAGCGCTAGCGTCTCCGCCGCCTGACAATGCAGCCGCAGTGACTTGAGGCTTGAGCCACTGGGCCTTGGCATTCGGACAATGAGATTCCCCCATTTGAACAATGGAATTCCCCCATGTGAGCAATACTGATACCGCTCTCCATTATGTCTCGGTATGAGTTATATCGGCACTACGATCATTAATAGGCGGTAAAGGTTCAATAATGAGCCTTCCCGTTCCGGAAACCTGGCAATTCTCCATCGTACAGTGGCCAGTGTATATATATAAGGTGAGTTATAGCTTGGTTTTACTGTAGACCCTCGTGCGACTTTTGTTTTGAACATGTCTTCGCCGTCACCGTCCACACCTCCAGACTCCCCTCCCGCGTTCAATACTGCTTTCCAGGGAGAGTTACCTGTGACGCCTCTCAGGAGGTACAAAGATATCCCTGCGGCACATTTGCTCTTCACGGACGACGACGACGATGACGATGACGACAACGACACACCTCGGGCCAAAATGCTCGGCTTGCGTGCCTCATTGCTTGTTGTTGATGATCCACAGACTCCCTCCCCTGTGGGTCGTTCTTCCACCCGTTACCGGAAGAAAGCCGATGATGCGACGGCGCAACCGACTTTGGATCCCTCCCCTAATGCTGATATTGACTGTGGAGATGTTCCATGTGACGACAATTCGACCCACAGCGCGAATGATTGGGTATCACCATTGCCTTTAGTAGCTCCCAGCTCCGAATCTGTCAGGATCCACTCGCTGCATGATCTACTCCGAGTGACACTACCAGAGAACCCCCCACCGTATCGCAACTCTGCGCTGAAAGGCATGAAGACTATAACAAAGAATGAGTTGGCGATTAGCCACGTAGCTCAGCTCAAGAAAGTAGTTTATGTGGAGGACCTGGTCACACAACTTCGCGACCAAGCTGAGAAGCAGCTCAGGAATCTCAAGCTTGACGGGAATGTACTGGATCCAGATGTATTCTGCATTTGCCAGATCCACCCTTACCTCACTGGAAAGAATTTACCCCGGAAGATCCACAGTGAAAAAGATACAGAGGATTGGTGTAATGCCGTTCTATTCAGACCGGCCCTTGCCGCCTTGCGTTGCGTCATAGCGAAGAAGATCATTCACAACTTTGAAGGCGAATTTCCTTACATCTCATCGGCCCCAGGTCGTGAAGTTATTCCAGATGGAATCCTTGTCGAGGAACGTACCGTTCCCATTCAAGAGTCTGGTTCAAGCTTCTGGAACATACAGGACGGAAAGGTAATTCTTACAATCGAGGTCAAAACCCAGCCGGCTTGGGAGAAGATGGACTTCCACGAGCTTCAGACTCGTCCAGTGTATCTTGAGAGAGGGACAGCGATGCGTTTTGTCTGGCCAACTGAGGATGACAAGAATCCAGATGAGCAAACAAGGTTGCTTGTACAGGTGAGGTTTTTGTTTGTGTCAGGAGCCGACATGATCTGATTCGTTTTTCTACCTACAGGCGTGGACTCACATGGTGAAGTCAGTGCACGGCATCGAGATTCTTTCCACTTTACACTTGACTACATTCTTGGTGCGAGGCCGAAATGAAGATAACAGCGACACACTGTACATTTCGCCGAGCTATGATCGTGAATCATGCCCGATCTATGCAGTTTACTGCTGGTTTGCCTTGGCAAGGGGTATCATAAGTTTTGAGAGCTTGAACCTCCCTGCTCCCATCACGGCTCAATGGCCCAAATCAGCCCACGATGAATATCATGAGACTTGCGGGATATTGGCTGCGTGAGTGTCAATTTCCCTCCCTCAGTTGATAACTCGCATTGACATTGATGTATGTAGAACACGATACGACCGCTGTGGACCTCCTGTGACTCCCACTATTGCCCGTGGTGTGGCCACACGGTCTCAGGGACCTGCAGTTTTCGGAGCACTATAGTTCAACGTCCAGCCTTTATTTCCCATTACATTGTCCTATTTCTGTTGGAATTTCTGAAATATAACTGGCTTGTACTGACACCATCGCAATGCTAAGACGGATTGCTACATTCCTCGCGAAGTATACTCAAGTCCGCCCGATCGAGTCAAGTTCGGAGGACTTCGGGTACACAAGGGCAACACGTATCACTTATGTACGAGCTTCGTTCCCGCGGTCGAGGTCAAATGCTTCTCCCACCACACACACTGCTTGTACCAATCCGTCGTCTTCCGTGTCTCTTCGAGTGTGGCATTCTTTGGCGTGTGCGTCATTGCAAGGCCTGGCTCACGCAGCTCACAATGTTCTAAAGCAACATACCTCCCGTAAACGGCATCATCGCTGCGAGAGACGCCGGGGATCAGCTGAGAATAACAGCAATACAGTGGGTACGGATCATGCATATTCAGAAGTAAGACGTTACTTGACCTGATTCGCCAAGTTGCGAGCCTTGAGGTCAAGACAAGCTGCGAACACAGAGACAGGTCTATTGTGGGTATAATTCCAAGATCCGCACACCAGAGAGTAGGGTAATAGGCTCCACAGAACACAAGGCTATGTGTTATGTACCATTTTTGTGACAAGCTCTTGAACTATGTAATGGATCCTCCTCATCAACGTACCACGGGATAGGATTACGATCCGCCCATTTCCCATATATGCGCTTGTACTGTTCAACCACCATATGTGCATGCTTGAGTGCCTCCTTGTTGGGTACATCCACAGGTGTCACAGAGGCAAGTAATGCAGGGCTCTCCGAGTACCGTACATGCACATATCCGCTGAAGTATCGCACCATGTCTGGAACTACATCATTGTCAATCGTCGCTCAATTAAGGAAACGCACACACTTGGGGTCCAAACGTCGCAGTCAAGGCATATTTGATAGAATTCAATACATCCAAACTTATTCCGAGAGGGTTCTGCCACATCGAACAGGATCAGTCGCGGGTAGAGACACTCGTGCCTCTCCGAGCGGTCGAAGTCAATGATCGTCCGTTGCTGATTTTGATGTAGAACAACCTTGTATTCCCTGATGTTACCATGCTGCATGTGAGCGAATCTTTGCAAATGCTTCAATGATGTCTATCTTGAAAAAAGGGAGCAGAATACTAGATTAATCAAGGCAAAGGTATTGACAAAAATAGAACTAGTTACCTCAGTTGTACATCAACGCAGTCAAAGCTCATCTCCAGCATATTTCCGCAGTACTCTGGGACCTCCTTCGAAGAGACCGTAGCATCCAGGGATCACGTCGCGCAGTAATTTGCGAATTTGAAGGTATTTTTCAGCTTCCTGTCGAAGCCTCGCTATCTTCCCAAATGCAACCTTGCAGACGACGTCCACTGCGGGGTACCCTTCACAAGTCAATGAAGCGAAGTAGACGACTTGGGAGTAGCCAGTGTAAATCTGCTTGGTCTTACCGATGACAAACTTTAGCCCCGCGCCGGGAATATCAGTGCGGGACATTCGGGAGGATCGCAGAACGAATGTTTGTCGGGGAAGTGTAGAGTGGTGACCATGGTGCCTGTGGAAGAAAAAGAGTACTGGACAAGTCGGAACGAACCATTTATGTTAATTACGCGTGTGTGGCTGGACACGTGCTCACGCGGCCTTATGGGCGTCTGCTTGTAGCAATTGCTGGTCTTCCATGTCTCTTCGATTGCGATAACCTTTTTACTGGAGGTAATTTGCTTTAGAATAGTTTGAGATGCCTGAGCTTCCCCTTGCAATGGCATTGGAGGACACGCCTAGTAAACAGCCTCCGCGCGAGAAATGCTGGGGTCAGCTGAGAATTATAGCCATACAGTCAGCACGCACCTGGTGCCCACCTATCATAGGTAATATCACATATACACCGTAATTCTTGACACCCGAAGCTATATCAGAAGTGGTGGTTTGTGGAGTATTGAAAGGCGGAGGATGGATGCGGGCCTTCCAACGTTGCGGAGGTTAACGACTAAATATTGCTGTTCTCGATGACGACTCCTCTCACCTAGAAATCACAACCTGGTGACTTTTCGCCGAAATATCGATAACGTAACATATGTAGCCAAGACCAGGATCAGCCTCACAAAAAGTCAGTAAGTAGATGTTACGACATCCCCGAGAGACGCATTCGAAGAGCGAACCTGAGTAATAGCCACCTAACAATTCACAGAAACAGTCCGTAAAGAGACAAGCGGACAGTCTGTCTTCAATTTTGCCTCGAGGCAGCGAGATATTAGGTCGTCTGAGTCAGTTAGGATGTTACCGGCTTCGTTGTCAGCACCATTCACCACTCCGAAGTCCACCCGCCGGGCCTGACCTTGAACGACGTCCATTGGATGGCGTTTTCTACGGCACGATCTTCGGGAATCAAGACGGCGGCGCGACGACGGAACAAGTCCTCCCGAGTGTTGATCTTCGCTTACCCGAGTAAAGGGAGAGAAACGCACCGTACGGATGCCAACTCATCCGGGTGGTTGCAGTCCAGGAATCAGGTTTAAATGTCAAAACCGAAGACATGCACTCTGCAGTGGAAAATGCTTTAGTGACCAGTCGTCAATACTGTACTCGAGAAACACATAAAAACCTCCGCGAGAGATAATGTGCCTGTTAGCAACGTCTCTCTTCTACCGGAGACACTACGCGCTCCACCTCCCTCCCATACTTCCGGTAGTACCTCTTGATTGTTAAATGTGCCTCCGCTAGCGCCGCTATTTCGGAACGTCTGCAGGGGCTAGCGACGTAAGCAATTCGGGGCTTTCCAGATACTTTACAGTAACATATCCATCCAAGTATGGCATTGTATCTGTAAAACATGAGCAATTGCTCCTACTGAGGAAACATTTGACACATTGGTATCCAGACATCAGCAACATCACACGCAAACCAGATCTCGTCCATCAGAAGTCATCCCGGTAGGGAGTTGCTATATTGAGCGGGACATTGACGATGTGTGGTTGCGCGGTCGAAGTCGATAATCCAAGACCGCTTTTCTTTGTCACGACAATGTTGCGCTCCCTGAGTCACCATGCGGAACACCACGACCATGAATCGCGAGCAAGCATTTAATAATGCCATGTCTGTGGACGTTGGGTTAGCTCAAATTCGTGCGGTACGAGGTGGGACAGGACGATACCTGAAGTTAAGCTGAAGTATTTTCCATTAGATCACCGCGATAGTCTGTGACCAGGCACGCCGATGGTCCGTCTTCCAGCTCCCCCTCGAAGAGACCATAGCACGCAGGGACGACGATGCCCTGCAGCGAACCTGGTAGTATATCTGACCTTCCTAGCGAAACCTGGCCATGCCTCGCTTGCCGAGAACAACCTTGCAGAGAAAATCGTACGTAGGGAACTCCTCATAAATCAATGTCGCCATGTAAACTTGTGCGTTACCGCTGTGGATGTACCCAGTATTGCTGATTACGAGCTTCCGGTCCGCGCTTAGGTAGTCAGTACGAATCATTTCAAACATTTCAGGAGGATTACGAGTCAAATGCTGGTCGGAGAAGAGCAGAATGGATACCATGACCATGGTGTGGAGGGAAGATGAGATAACGAGAAAACTATGTTTGGAAAACGAGAACAAGCTCAAACCCGAATCGAACCAATTCAACCACGTGAGCGACGACGCGTCTGTGGCGGAGCACGTGTCGTCTGAGATGGGCAAACGACTGAATCTACATTGCGTTCATTAATAATAAAACACGCAGCTGGCAAGCCAGAAAAACTGACACATCGGAATCTACTGCAAATCATGGGTTCTTCCCAACTATCCCCTCGCCTCACGAAGTACTTTGTACACGATGACACGTCTTCAAGAGATAAGTGCATCTGGAAACTGCACAAGGCTATGGGGCCTACATGGGACTATGTAGTAGGGACCTGACTAGCCGAGTGCTACATAGGCAGCTGTAGACCCCCGAGCAAAGTGCCAGTTGCAGATGTGGGAACACATGCTCATTCTCTAAATCTGGGCTCGCTGTGCGAGAGTAGGGAGGATTTCTTTTTCTTTTTCTCCTTGAGGAGGTATGCTCGTGAAGGGCGATGCTCTGAACCAGCTGTAACACCGTGTCCACTGTCAGTAGCGTCTTGGGCCAGGGACAATACGAGCACGTGCTTTGCCACACACGCGCGACTCACATGAACACTGGCGGGTTCGAGTTGGCTGACACCTGCTCTCATCTCACCGCTGTGTTCAGATATGTCGTCTACCCTGAGATTCCCGGATCCAAACTCCTACCCGGAATGCGTAACCTACGATATGGAGCGATGATCCGGGAACCGGGGTGACACTCGTTATCAGCAAGACACGGCTCATCCACAACGGCCAATCCAAGGTCTACCGTGCTACGATGGGCTGCAAAGGACACCCGTCTTATGACGTATTCTGCAAAGTAGTCCTTGGGAAGCGAGCTATTGCTAGGCTGCGAGAGGAGGCTGAGGTGTATTTTCGGTTGTGTGACCTTCAAGGCGACGTTGTTCCTGTCTGCTACAAGCTCTTCGAAGGAGAACTCGCCGATGGACCGTCGGCTTGTCTCATTACTGAGTACCGTGGGGAATCTCTAGATAGATATATGCGGACCACCAGTTGGAGATTTAGGTTGGTTCTTCCCCTGCATATCTGGTGTGATGCCACTTGCTGAATTTTCAACGGCTTTTCTTTGTGTCTTGCAACAGATGCCAGGTTATCAAAGCTCTGGCAGATATCCACGCCTGCGGTATTCAAAATTGCGACTTTGACGTGCGGAACATTGTCGTCGACAAGGATGGGCGACCGTTCATCATCGACTTCGACCGTGCGCAAAGGCACGAATGTACAGCGCCGGAGATAATTAGCGTCGGCGTCCCCGCACCATTTCTAGCAGACTTTGGCTGTGACGAGATTTGGTCGTTTTGTCAGGGTGACTGCGGCATGTGGAAGCCCAGTGCGTTCGGCTATACACTGACTTGCCAGCGGCTGATCGCTGTCCTTCTTGCAGATACGTTTCCGTTTATGGGCGGCCACCTTGCCCTCTGTTACTTCGAGAGTGTTGGGACTCTTGCTTCAAAAGCGCCTAAAGGCACACCAAGGGATGTGGCACTGGAGGAGGCGCGCCGCGCAATCGAGCGGTTCCAGCGAAGTAAGTAACAGGAAAAAAGGTGTGACCAGAACAGAATTTTTTTCATAAAGTATTCGTAGAGGTCTGAAATCGTGTTCATTTTTTTACACCTACCGTCTGTTTTTTCCTTCATTTAAGCCATCGAACTTCCGATGTTGCGTTGTCGAAGTACTTTGCGTACACCATTCTATTGCCTGCTTCTAGTGCTGCACCCGTTGAAATATGTTTGGGTGCAAGCGTCTCAATGCTTGCGAAGAAGTCCACGGGAACTGGCCACCCACGAAGGCTAACATGTCTTCAAGAAATGGAGGTGCCTTAGTTACCGTTGCGTGAAAGCAAGGGTTTACGCACTTCCGACTTCGGTCTCCATGTATTGTGCATGTAGTCACATACAATAAACACCGCGATTTCCCTGATCGAGCGTTGTCGAAATCGATGAAAGGACACTGATTCGCGTCGACTACGTTGTTCTACTCGGTGAAAACGCTTTCCCTGACCCCGTGAGCGTGGATTCTTATGAGAGCTTAGATGACCTGACGCCTATAGCAACAAACAGAGAATCGCAGCGAAAGCCAGCGCCGAGGGGTATCTACGCGATCACCTGCTGAGCTACAGACGTGACAGAGCCTAACAGATTAAGAAATGGAGAAATGGAACCATTACCACTGCGCTCTCGTCGCATCAGCAGAGGCAGAATCGTCAATGGGACGGTGTGCACAACAGAAATTCACACCCGCTACTCTTGACGGACAATCAGGACGTCGTCGACGAAAGAATCTGGCATGCAGGCACGTCATAGAGACACTGTCCGGACATGGAATGAAGGTCATAAGTAGAAAAACATCATAGCGCCACAGTGCAGCCCTGCCAAAATACGCGGGGAAAACGCCCTGGTGTCCAATGATTTGAAACTCATTCCTCGCTCGACGCCTTCTTCAGCATGTCTTGCCAGTCCATAGCTAGCTTCGTCAGTGTCTTGCTTCGAGCTGCCAGTCTTCGTGAGCCGTTTCTTCATAAAATGAAAATCGGGGTTATGCGCACCAAAGACTGCAAGTACATCCTTCAGGAGATCGCGCTTTGAGAAGCCCAATAACGTTGGGGACCACGAGTCCTCCCGGCCCGGACGCCTATACGACGAAGGATGAGCATCTTTCATACATTAGAACACTGGATCAAAGAGATATACCAATAGACAGGCCCAAAGAGCTCCTTGACAAGTTCCTCCGCCTTTCCCCTGAAGGCTTCATCTGCGATCTTCTTCGCATACAGCAGCAACGCTTGCTTATATTCATGTGGACTGTCCAGTGCCTTTGCCGCATGCAGCTTCGTCTCCAAATGGCCCAGCGTCAGCGCTGCGTTCCACCACGGTGGGCGCTGCTTCCCCGCCACACTCTGGTCGTCCACTCGCTCGCTGATTGCGCTCTCTACAACACTGATTACGCCGCGGTTGTTAGAGCTGCTCGTGCGCTGGCGGCCCTGCCAGGCATCAGACCCTTCGGCCCACCACATATCGCTAAGCTTAACCCACGATGACAGCCCAGGATCATAGGAATGCGCCACTCCAGATGACAGTTGAATTACAGGCACGCCATTGGGTCGGACTGACGCTGAGAGGATTGTGCAATTCGGAGAGGATCCTAGGATGGGCAACAGAGACACTGGCGGGAAAGTCGCTCTCTGCTTCTTCACGTTCCTGGAATCCGGATCAGCTTTCCATGCGGCACGGATATCAAAAAAAAAACAGGCATACCAGACGTGCAGTTGACCTGTCGATGTCAAGAGCATCAACGAACCCTTGCTTCCACTAAGGCATGAGCATGGTACGCCAATGCTCAAAGTGGGCATCAGCCTGTAAAGAGGAATCAGTATGACACACCTAGGCTAAGATAATAATGTACCTTCGGCCAGTGGGCGAGTACACATTCACGGATCCGTCTTGCATCGCAACAGCACAGAAGACCGTGGTAGCCGCGAGCGCTAGGACAGGTGAAGGTAGATAATCCAGCCACTGTGTCTGCCTCCCGTTGACATACAGAACCTCAGCGGAACCTACGTAGTATAAACTTCAGCTGCAGCCGATAATGAGACGAACGCACCATCTCCCTCGGGGTTGCGCCCTTCGAAGATATCTTCATTTCCCTCGACTGTTACCTTCAAATACGTCAGTAGAGGTGGAACCTCTAGTCTCCCGGCGAGATTCGGCTGTTCGTTCCATAACCCCAGGGCGCTGCCCTGAACAGCAAGGCCGGTACCACCACTTGCGATCTCGCGGACTTGAACTGTTTCCCGGACGCGATCTCCGCCGAGGGTCCGCGGCTTGCTGGGGACGCGATCGTCCATGACATCAATCGCCTTCCTCTTCCCCTTCCCGCCCACCTGTCCGCTGGTATCGAGAGAGCTGATGCGTACCTCGCTGCTATCCATGGGGAACATCTCCACATCCTCACTCACAGTGGACTCAAGACCGAAGGCGCTCGTGCTGCTGCCGAACGACTGACCTGGTGCAGCGAAGGAAAGCGGTGGGGGCAGAGGGACCGACGAAGAAGCGCCGGGGACCTCGCCGAAAGAACGTGTACTCGGGGCGGCCACGCTGCTGGGGGCGCTTATTCCTCCTGGAGGTGCAGCCTCATTCGCTGCAGACGGCACAGAGCCCGCGAGAGAGCCAACGAAATTGGGCTGTATCCGTTTCTTGTCTTTCTTCCTCTTCGCCACGAGTGTGTTTACGTGCTCGCCGCAGCCTGAGCCGTTGATGGTCACGCCAAAATCACTCTGTGAGTGCACGTGATGTGGTGGAACTTGCGTTTGAGGGCGCGAAGGCGAGGGAGGAGGCGTGATCCGCGTAGATATCGCCTTCTGCAAGACAGGATGTTGCACTGGAATTGGGTGTGAGTATCCTTCGGGGAGTGGTGGAGGTGTAAATCCGAATTTCTTCAAGTATTGTTCTTGTGCAGAAAGCGGTGCAATGCCTTCGAGCTCATCCGCATCAAAGCTGAATACTGCCATTGTTCCATCTGATGATACTGCGTATAGCGTGAGACCATCTTGAGCCCTTTGAAACGCAACGAGAGTCACAGAAGGGTAATGATCTTAGGCTGTCACGGCTTACCAACTTAAATCCATAATCTGCCTTTCGAAGACTTCCTTGGCTACAATGAGAGGCCTGGCTGACTTGGTCTGCCATACAGAGACGGCTCGATCGTCAGCACCAAGAGCAACCACAGAGCAAATATTCGACGCGACGACGGGCAGAAATGGATCGCGCAAAAATATGTGTGGGTTATATGCCTGGAAAATCGCCTTAGCATATGTCTGTGAAAAGGGAGGATCACCTACAGCCACTTCCACAGTATTTTCATGGCCAACGAGGCTGATCTCCGACGTCCATGTGTTCCGAGAAATGACGGCGGCAATGAACACGTAACCCTCGTTATTCGTAGCATTCGATGCGGTTATATGTGCTCCATCTGGAGACCAGCTATGGCGAGGGAGGTCATTAAAAACACTAATTACCCAGCACAATTCTGAGCTACCTCAGACGCCTGAAAAAGGTGCCGGGAGAATGATCGAAAGGTTTTCTGATTTCCGCCTCCAAGTGCCAGTCAGTAGTCCTCCATATTCGAACGGATCTATCGTCTGAGCCTGTGGCGAGAAATTCTCCAACGGGATCCCAGCATACACCCTTGACAAATCCTTGATGCTGGTCAATCTTGCGAAGTCGCTCTGTAGAGGAGGGAATGAGAGAAAAAAATCTGAGAAACCAATCGGAAGAGATAGACGGGATTGAACATACCGAGGGTATACCCACACCAGATCAGAACTTGTGAATCGAGCCCCACAGTTGCAAGATAACGATCTCCTGGAGACCAAGATACGTCTGTTACATCTGCAACAAGAGTCAGGGGCTATGCTAAGTCAAGAAAGAATGCATCCGACCTACCACTTTCGTGCCCTGGCAGTCGCTTCAAAGGCTTCCAGCCTTCTACATTCACTTCGTCTGAGCCCCAGACTTTCCCTCTAGCTGTTCTGCACGCGCACAATGAATCCAAGGCTACACAAATTCAGACCGCAGCAGAAACAGTAACACTCACGGATCGAGGTCCCAAATCATGACAATTTCGTCGTCACTCCCACTGGCAAGCCACCTCCCAGAATGCGCCCACCGCACTACCAGAACCGGACCTGTATGCATCTGCAGCGTGCACAGCGACTTTGGGGGACGGCCAGACAGCTCAGATGCGCTATTCAGTATAGGTTTCGTGCTCCATATGCGGACTTTTGCGTCAAGACCTCCTGTAGCAATTCGGGAACCGTCGGGATGAACGTGAACAGAGAAAATGGATAGACGCTTTGATTGCTCTCCCTTCATCATTGCATCTATGTCTGCTACGTAAGGAAATGTTGCAGGAGGTCGAGTATGCGTACCTTTGTGTATTACCCACGCTGGTTTCGTGAATCTCATCGTATAACTGTTTCCCAGAGCAAACAGCGCCAGCGAGCCTTAGAAATTGACGACACGTTGAAAACCTGGGACGAGCTACAATTACACCGGTGGTGGCTGGAACAAGCCTGTGCGGGCAGAGTCTTAGTTACTAGTAACTTAGAGTGCCCAGCCACGTGTGCTAGATTCCGATCTGCGCAAACCAACACGTGATTTTCACTCAGTCCACTCTTCTCGATTTCTCTCCACGGAAAAGTCTCACTGAACCCTGTGCTCAATATTATCTAATTTTGTCTGCATAAAATTCTTTGATGTTAATTCCTTGTGTCGATGCTCACAAATGTGCAACGGTCCCAAGGTCTAGTACGCTGAGCTGCTGTGTGGTCTAATTCGAGTCCTTATGACATCATACAATGTTATAACTCCTTGTATTATTATTGTCGAGTTCTTATTGACTTCTTCACACACTATCACATTATGGAGGTTAGATTGAACATACAGCGCACCATACCTCTCGCGATTTCCCATCATTGACACTCGATGCAAACATACTCCAGGTGCAATTTTAGTGATGAACTTGATTGGGAGCACTCACAGACTCCCCATGACACAGGTCGTCGATTAAAAACCTTCTGGAAAGAAGTATGTACGTTAGTGATCGTCCTTCGTGGTGTCAACTGCATTGACTATCCAGCAAGCGGAAATTTGATGCTTGTATCATACCAGCGCATGTACCTTCAATATCCGTATCCATGGATGCAGTCATCGCATACATAGACTCCCGTACGTTCTCCTGTTTACTTTCTGCGACATTCAGCTTTTGCTTCGGCCTGTGCCTTCATCTGATTTTTATAAGAACCCTCTGATCGAGACGGTCGCTTCCTGCATCCATGGTTGGCACTCGTGCCCTAGGAAGAACTCCTTCCGCGGTGCGGATTTATTGTGCATATCACATGGCCGTATGAAGCTGATTATTGACAGGCGCTATAGACAGGTAGCTTCATTTGCGCTCTGTTGCCGATTGCAGAGCTACACAGGTAGAGCCATTGCTCCCAAACATTTTCGAACGAAATTCATCTCCCCGCTGTCTATAATCTCACGCACCTTGGATTTCTTGAATATAGTCCTAGAAGCTTAGAGTGGGCCGGATTCTTGCAGATGTTCCGAGTGCGCAGGAGTCATCTGCAAAAGGAGCCCGAGCACGCATGGTCATGCCGGGGGACGACTCTGAAAGTCCTTATTCGCAGTCTAGTTGAAGGTGAGGTGCGTGGTGAGCGATAAACTCATACGCATTGCCCGAAAGCGGTTTGAGCCTGCTGAGCTGATCACAGTTTTGAAATGTATGACAACGTACTATGCTGTCTTCTCTGGCTGACTAGATGTTGTGCAGGAATAAGGCGTCCGCATGTCACACAATTGGCTAGCACGATTAATAGTTCGGTCTCAAATGCGCCTGGAGCTTCTTGTCTGAGTTCCCGAACCCGGTATACGTAGTCTCAACTTAGAAACATGGAGCTCACTGACACAATTCAGGAGGGCGAGGGTACACCTTTCCGCCCTTGGATGAATAGATCCCTCACCTAGTCTTGCACAACGTATGTAGGTCAGAAAGTGGACAAGGGTATTTTTATTCTGTCGTTACGGCTCCCCAGCATATACAGTCGTGACCATGCAACACCATACCAACGATAGAAATGCGAGTGAGAAGTGTGCACGTATAATATTCAGCAGGGGAGAATTTTGAATTTTGATCACATTAAGTACACTGGGCGTACGCAATTCCGTTATCGTGCAAGAAAGCAAAATCAGCCACGAAGTAGAGATACGAATGAACAGAAGAAAAGGAACGTATTGGGAGTACATGGGGAAGGGCATGTGCATCGTTGTGGCGGACGCATAATGCAACCCGCCTAATCATCCTCGAGCTCCGATTCCTCCGGGATGTCCTCCTGCTGCTTCTTCTTGTTACGAGTGGAGGAAGGTTTGGCACGCTTCGACGGCGGCTTAGATGAGGAGGCCTTCGAGGTAGGAGCACGCTTATCCAATAGCAGACATAAGCATGGAGGTCTCAGATCGACAACCGGGACTCACTTTGCGCTTCTTGCTCGACTGCTCCTCCTCCCCCTCCTCTTCGTCCTCCTCATCAGGGATGGCAGCGATCTCGTCCCCAAAGTCCTCACCTTCATCCTCGTCGCTGGCGGCCTTTTTCTTGGGCGCACGCTTCTTGGCTGGGGCCTTGCCCTTCTTCTCGGCCGCAGGCTTCGCGGCAGCCTTTTTCCTAGGCTTCCGCTCCTCCTCTTCCTCCTCCTCTTCCTCCTCCTCTTCCTCTTCAACCTCCTCCTGGGACGTACGCCGACAATCAGAACGACATAGAAGAACCGGGCGTGAATACTAACCTCAGCCTTGGCCTTCTTCGCACGCGACCGCTTGGGCTTCTCAGCCTTCTCCGTCTCGTCCCCGTTCTCCTCCTTCTTCTTTCTCCGCGTCGGCGCCTTCTTACCGGTGTCAACCGCCTCCCCGACGCCCTTGTCCTCGTCGGGGATCGCGCCCTCGTCCCACGCACGGCGCACCTTCTCCTGTTCAGCCTCCTTGAGGTCTGACCAGCCTTCGATCTCGGAAGGTTCGCTGTAGGACGCCTTCATCGAGGCGATCATCTTGGACGGGGTGCAACCCCAGTGGTGCCACGCGCTGTCGATGCCGTGAGCACAGGACAGCGGAGACTAGGGAACAAAACTCACTATGAGGGATTACCGCGGAACGCGACTTCGTTGCCGATTCTGAAGAAATTCTTTCCGACGTTTTCTAGGAACATCGTGAGCACGCACACAACGCGGCTAGATTAACTTCGAACTCACCACCACAATCTGGACGTTCGACGATGGACGATACCACGCGACACGATCAGATAACCTTCCACATGACGAAGCAAGCGGAAACGCACCTTTGCACTTGGAGCGGCCGGACGATGCGTACTCAAATTTGAAGGTGGCCTTCTTGGGCTCGCCTCCATCATCCTTCTTCTTGGAGCTCTTTGCAGCAGGCTTCTTCTTCGGCTTCCCCTCCTCGTCATCGTCCTCGTCCTCTCCGTCCTCACTAGCCAGTTTCCTCGCGGTCTCGGGAATGTCTTCGTCCGCGACGTGGCCTTCCTCCCAGGCCTTGCGTACCTTCTCTTGATCTTCGTCCTTTAGATCGTCAAAACCGTCCAGATCGTCTGCTTCGTCGAACGACTTCTTCATGTTCTCGATAATCTTGGGAGTGACACAACCCCAGTGTCGCCACGTACTGCAACGTTGGCAACCATCAGTACCTGCATCTGCCTCGAAGAAAGGCACCACACATAGTGCCGGAGGTGGAAGTAGATGAAAGAGCTACTTACAAAGACGTGTTTCCCCTGAAGTCGACCAAAGAACCCATCTTTAGTTCGCCCTTTCCGATGGAAGTGCCTGCGCGCCGACATCAGATAATAGCAAAATCAGTGTAATTTGCCGACATGTACCTGCGCATGGCTTGGGACCTGTGCACACAGAAAGGACGCGAAAAACGCGATCAACAACCATGAACAACCAGTTCAACTTCAAGTTCAACCAAAACACAGACCCTTGCACTTTCCACGGGCACTGGGCGCGTATTCCAGACGATAGCCAGATTTTTTTGTGCCTTCTGCATCAGACATCTTTGCAGCGAGAAAAAAAAGAGGAAAGGAGGTGATGGTAGGAGTTGGAGATGGTTGAAGTTGGCGCTGCGCGTTATATCGCTGGCTTCAAAGTCCGCTTGCTGCTTAGACAATACCTCGACTTGCGCACGGACCTCCACTCCCTATGTCATTCTTCAGCGATCGAATATGTTTTCTGCAAACATTGATGTACGTTCTGAACAATTTCTCAGAAAATGACAGGGAGATGTGGCCTGCATTTCCAGATGATGTGCCAATTGGGGTTAGGGTTCACCTTCCACTGTGCCCACAGACTGTCGTATGTTCGAGGACTCGAGAATTTTTGAAGAGGTCTAAGAACAAACTGGTATATGTGTGGACTTGATGTCTCATAGATATGATGGCACGCAGGCTCACCGTGTGGTAGCTATTATTTCACTCATTTAACGCAGGATGTTCCAGGAGCGCATCGGTTGTATTCCAACTCAAATGCCACACCGACCCGCTGGTGCTTATGTAGGACCATTCCACAAGAGTATCATGCTTCTACCCTCGGACAGAGGATAGCGGGGCGATTTCTGCGGGGGCCGCATGCGTCACGCTGGGTAAAATTGAAATGTGTCCGTGAGTGGTTATTTGAGAATTGACTGGAGTGACGTCCGTCTCCATTCAATTTTCAGCACAGTTGGACGGCCGCACAACTGGGCTCCACAGGCTTGCTACCCGCCATCGGATAAGAATGAGTGCGGTGGTTCCGTACAGGATATAAAGGCCACCACTTTACGGGAGCCGGCTTCAGCCTTTCACATTCCCATCACCCACCTGCCCATCTGGCCTGTTCGGCCATCCGATTTTCCTGAAATTTCTCCACCAGTTTACTTGCACTCCCGACCATGTCCGACCTTCTGTATGCGGACATGACGTATTGTTCGCTCTGTGACCGATACTTTCCCGGGGAAGAGGCCCGAGCTCAGCACGTTCAGCTTTCTCCCAATCACCCCAGGTGCGAGCTCTGTCATCGTCGGTTTGCCAACAAGAATTCTCTGAGAAATGTGCGTTCTCTGTAATTGGATTTTCTAATGACGAAGCTACAATATCATTGTGTCAATTTAGCATTGGGTATACTCGCCTCGTCATCATTACTGTGCCGTCTGCGAGAGAGACTTCCGCACGGCTGCTGGACTCAGAGTGGTATGTTTATGGCACAGAAATGGTTTATAATTATTCAAATAACTGTTCCTGCTACACCTACCAGCACGTTGAGTACGCCGCTGTTCATCGCGACGACTCCGATGACGATTCGGACGACGAGCTCGACGATGTCGATGACTCAGCCGAAGGCTGGGAGGACGAAATCGGCCGCACGGCTTTTCCAGAGGAGAACGAGCGTGCGGACGACGATATCAGCGACATAGACGACGGGTACTCGGTGGGGGACGAGTATTGGGACGAAGATGACGAGACGGAATTTGAAGAAAATAGAGACGCTTATTATGGTTTCGCATCCTCTGCCTCTACTTTGTTGCAGCGAGCCGACAGCACACGCGTACGCGTTTCATATTTTGCCCTCAGCGAATCCATTCTGACCGTTCCGCAGTCTTCAGGTAGCGAGGATAACTCTCACCTTGAGCTCCCTGCGTCCGAACCTAAACATGCGCTTCGTGTCGAACATCCATTGAACAAACCATGCGAAGCTAGTGTCCTCTTCAACTGTCCCCTATGCCTCGAGCCGCCGAAAGAGAGCAGCGCTACGCGCTGCGGCCATTTGTTCTGCACGCCGTGAGGATCACGTTACGCCTATCTAAGTATGAATTCACTAATATTGGCCGCTCCTCAGATGCATAATTCATGCGCTGTCGGGTAAGAAGCTGTGTCCCCTATGCCGCAAGCCTGCTTCCCCCAGGCAGCTCCGCAGAATATACCTGTCCGCTGCTTGAGCCTCACGGTGATCTTGTTTCGGTTTACTCCTTTCGCCAGATTGTGCGGACGAATTTCAACCAACGCTGTGTCGATTGTTGGCGGACATTCCCGTTGATTGTGTATAGATTTGTCTCGCGACGTAATACACTCTGTTCAACCATTTTGTCACCAGTCACTGCGCTGTCGTGCAAAAGACATCTCGGGCAGCTCGATGTATATACCACGACAGACAGAGAAGCTATCCAAGGCACAAGTACTAAGGACACGATTTCAACGCTCAACATGAGCCAAAGCAGAATCTTAATTAGTTATTATCGAATCATTCATTGCAATCCGCGATTCTATAAAATAACTGACCCCTAAGGTAAGTACGCATTTGGAGCATGGACCTCGAGAAACACACTCTGATCGTGACATTGCAGAATAAGGTATGACGTACCACTAAACTCTTCGCCAATTCACGCCGTTCGCCACCAGGGTTTACGAAACGACTGTACTTGTAAAATAAAGAGCGCACTGTGCCGGTTGGAAAAATTCGAATAGCAACTCAGAGATGCTCAACACGCTAATCTTCAACATGTGATCAACGAGACGCCGACACCGACTTCTTCGATGCGCTCTCATGGCATCAGACAGTAGATAGCTCATCAACCGCGATGCTGCGTCGTCAAAATAAAACCCATGCATCGTACAAACCAACGTACACTGTACACCATCAGAGAGTAGCACAGCAATGGGCAGATAAGCATGAAGAGAAGGCAAACATATCGATCGTGCTGTACAGGCTGGGGACATACAGTGTCCAGTAAGTAACGCACTGTGTTCCCTCCTCTTGACCTAGAGCTCAAAATATTCACGCCCGGCCATAAGGATGATGCGCTCTGTGGTGCGAAAGGTTTTTAAGTGAGTTTGTATAATAGCATCGCAATTCAGGACGAGTATACTTACAACAAGAAAATTCCATAACATAGAGGGTTTCCTAGATCCACATGACAAACGAACCAAATTTTGGGTTGGCCCCGTTTACCGCTGGGTATTTTATTTTCTGCCCTTCCATTTCTGGATGTTGACAGCCATAGGCGCGGATTTTCGCCAGGGGATGAATAACCTGGCACCTGGGCGAACAGACACGAAACATCCAGTTAGTAAATATGATTCTCCAGAGATGAGCAATTCTCAGCTGGTAGAACGAAGACACTTATTCGAAGATTCCCCGCGATACTCTATGATAAGACAGGCTGAGGGACCGTCTGCGAGTTCTCCTTCGAAGAGCCCGTAACAGACAGGAACGGCGTCGCCTTGCAGATGGCATAGCCGAAAATATATCCAGCCTCCTGGCGCAGCCTAGCAATGGCTAATTTTCCAGAAACAACTTTGCAAGCGACATCGTAGGACGGATAGGCTTTGGATCGGCCCTTGTGGATGCGACACATTCTGCTGACGACGAGCGCCCCCGAAACCTGGATCGTCGGTACGCATCATCGCAAAAAGTTCTGCCGTAAGAGTTTTCCGGGTCTGGGAATATCAGCGTATACGGCATGTGAAAGAGTAAGATGAGGAATTCAACTCAAACTAAGTTTAGGCAAGTTATGCATGTGTGGCCAGGCACGTATGCGTATCTACTGAGCGAGAAATAGCCAATCATGGTAGCTGTAAGTCAGTTAGCACGCACACGGGGTTTCCGTTTCGCGGTGTCAAACGCCGAGGCGGTAAACACTGCTGAAGGGTAATTGCAGATAGAATGTTCATGGAACAGCTACGTCAAAGCTTCGGTTAATAGCCGTGGGGCTGATCAATTTACACAGCAGAAAAAGAATCTGAATCTGAATGTTCCAGAATTGGACACTCACATCCTGAGCATCAATTTTCACCTGTTCTGTGTTACTGAACCTATTATTCGATGTAATATTATGTCAGTTATCCAACTGCATTCGTCTCTCAACCCTCTTGGACGTGTCGGGTCGAGCGCTGACGGAAATCCAGTGGTAAATTGCCGGAGGGTGTCGCACTCTGGACCACAACTAGCTGGACGAAGACTCACTCAATAGTGCACTGCAAGGCCTCTTAGACGTGCGCATTAACGGCTTATTTATCGGTAGTGTCATGAGAGAGCGGCTCCAATCAATGGCGAAGGCATGAGGTATTTACTTGCATGGCACCTCGTGAGTTGGAGGCAAGCATGCACCTGAAGAAGTAGTTTAGTGGGGACGAACATTGTCTGCCACTCACTAACGGCTGTTCCTGCGTGTTTGTTGTCTTTATCTCAGATGTCGGCCTTCTGTATGGTTAAAAGGTCCGCTTGTAACACAGAGAATCAGCATGAGAGCAATGCAGCTAAGGATATATTTACCACGGTTCTACGAAGGGTCACTGACGCACATACCTGTCTTCATAAATATTAGGACCTACTGTTCTCCCAAAACGAGACGCGCACACTTGCCAGACGGGCTCGATCTATTAATGAAGCGAATTGCTTACCCCTGAAGAGTTCAGTCTGGGAGAGTTACAAGGTGCATTGCAGGTTCGAACCGTGGCAGAACGCATATAACGTATGTTCCTGTCGTCCCGCTCAGGCTTCGGAGAGCACTGGTCGTACCCTGCATAGTAAGAAAATCCTTTGCAATACAATTCTGCTTCCAAGATTCAGTGAAATTTTATGATGTTTAGAGGCCCCCCACCACAAATGGAGGGGTTATTCAACGTCGAAACACGCAAACATGAGGTTGTCTTCTGTCAAGTTCCCGGGTTCAGATCAAGTCCAGATCGACTTCGGATCGAGATTTTCACGTGATTTAGGTTAGGGCCGGCTCACTGAGTCTGGATCTGGACCCGGAAAGGACGAAGGTCACCACACAGCGTCGGCAGGGGTTCAGTCGACCAACACACCAAAATCAACATGGTGAGCACGCCGTTCTGTTACCTTTGACCCTGCTGCAGACGTTCTGCTTGGTGAAACTGGGAAAACCACATCGAAACTCAATGGATGGCGACGGCTGCATGCGGATGACTCTGGATGGCTCTTACTCTGCATTGGTACTGACTTCGTGCTGGACAGACCAAGAAAAGAAGAAACAACGGCCGCAACAAGAAAGGCCGCGGCCACGTCGGTTTCGTCCGCTGCTCCAACTGCTCGCGATGCGTTGGCAAGGACAAGGCGATCAAGCGCTTCACCGTTCGCAACATGGTCGAGAGTGCTGCCGTGCGAGATATCAGCGAGGCTAGCGTCTATCCTGGTGCGTCCGCCGCTCTCTGCTGTGTCGTGTAGCGGCTAATGTTGTCACCCGCAGAATACATCATCCCCAAGCTCTACTTGAAAATCGCATACTGCGTGTCATGCGCCATCCATTCACATGGTAGGTCCTGTTAGCCTTATTGGTGTTCAGTCTTTTTCACTTCCTCCAAAGTCGTCCGTGTACGCTCACGAGAGGGTCGCCGTAACCGAGCCCCTCCTCCCCGCGTCCGGTGGAAGGACGGCAAGAAAGTCAATCCTGCTGTCGTCGCGGCCGAGGAGGCCAAGGCGGCAGCTGCACGGGGCGCATAGGTGTTTATATGAAGGCAGTATGATATGTCGTTCACCACGATTCGCGCGCGTCATGCAAGCGTTCAGCCTACGAGTCGCTCCGCAGTGCCGATTGTAGCGTAGGCAAGAGTATATCCTTAGGTTATTCCGAGACGCAACGCGAGTGCTCCGTTGAACACGCTTGCAGAACTGGTCGAGAATTTACTTCATTTCACGATTTATCTATTCCAGCTGTTTGTCTGGCTATCTCCCTGTTTCCCTCGACAACTGTTGTACTTTTCGACTCTACCCAAGTGCTCAAGAGTTCGTCCTTCCAACGCGCGAACGATGTTATCAAGTTGTACGATCTTTTTAGGTCGACGCACAATATCAACTCAAAGTTGGTGGCTACGCGCCGGCGGCATCAGTTCTCGTCGACGCCCATGCTGAGCCATGCTGCTGCTGACTGTGATCAGTCTCGTGCACCCACATACTCTCCGAAAGTCTAGCTCTTCTGATTCAACCCTGGCGTAAGCTCGGCCGGCACCTGAATTCTGGCATAAAATGACATCAACACAGGGGGTAACTCTCTTCAGATATTCCAGTCAATACACTTGAATGTCACTATCCAGAACGATGAGAGCGATTGTCTGCCCCCGCGTGCCGATTGCGCCTTCCGAACTCGTCTACACGACCACTCACCCGACGCCGCAGCCGAAGGCGGGCCATGTCCTCATCCGAGTGAAGGCGTACGGGCTGAACCGCTCTGAGCTCTTCACACGCCAGGGCCATTCGCCCGGCATCCAGTTCCCGCGCGTGCTCGGCATTGAGTGCGTTGGGCTCGTGAAGGATGCGGGCGGAGGGAGCCACTGGAAGGAGGGTGATGTGGTGGCTGCCATCATGGGTGGGATGGGCCGTCTGTTCGACGGTGAGCACAGTGTGGCATGTTTCGTATTGCATGCGCTAACAGCCACTCAGGTGGATACGCCGAGTACGCCCTCATCCCGCACACATCTGTCTCTCCACCGATCAAGTTGCCGGAAGGCATGGGATGGGCCGAGTTTGGCGCAATTCCGGAGACATTCTTGACCGGTATGTGTGAGGCTATCCTTCCACCCAACTCTGCTAACCCCTTGACTTAGCTTGGGGCACTCTCAGCGAGTCCCTCCACCTCCGTCCCACAGACACCCTGCTCGTCCGCGGTGGTACGACCAGCGTGGGACTGGCCTGTGCCGGGCTCGCTAAATCCGCTCTCTTCAGTACGGACCGCAAGCCTACCGTGATCAGCACGACGCGCAACAAGGCTAAGGTTGACGCGGTCAAGGCATCAGGTGCCGATGTCGTCCTCATCGACACCGCAAACTCAGTCGAAAAACAGGTCATGCAGGCTACGGGCGGGCACGGCGCAGACAAGTGTGTCGAACTCGTTGGGGGAACGACCATTAGCGACTCGGGCGCCAGCCTCGCTCCGGACGGTGTCGTGTCGTTCGTCGGCTGCGTGTCTGGCGAGTGGACGATCAAGGATTTCGATCCGATGACGGTTTTGGCCCCTAGGAAGGTGGGTTCTCCGGTGCACTAGCCATTCGTCTATTCGCTGACACCTCTATTTCGCAGCATTTGACATTATACAGTTCGCACGGGCTGGACATCTCCAAAGCTCCGCTGCAGTGGATTGTCGATGCCGTTGCACGTGGGGAGCTGAGCCTCGGGCTCGACAAGGTGTACAAGATGGAGCAGACCGGCGAGGCTCACGCGTATATGGAAGCGAACGCGGCGTCTGGAAAAATAGTGTGTCTGGTCGATTAACGGAACGCGCCAAAATCAAAGCACACAGAAGGATGAATAGTATGTAGGATAAGTTGAAGGCGTTTCAGGTTTTGGATCTCACACTCTTCCTAAATCATAATCTCACTGTTCATTTTTTCGGAAGCTGTGGCTAGTAACTGTAGCTATCAGTCGAGTGGCTTTCATCCACACGTGTACAGTACATGACGTTAGCGTTCGGTTGCCTCATGTTGGCGCCCACGTTTCCCTGCCGCGAACGAGCAGGCCCAGTGGCTTATCAGGCGAGCACTGCCTGCCTTCACCCTGACGGTTGCGAGATTCGGCGCCAGCAGCCACATCCATGCCCATGCTGCGGGTGCAGTTGTAACTGTATTGCTGACCTCAGGTGCAATCCATGCGTCCTGGAAACAAACTCGGAATTGTATATCGATGAGTCAACACTCGCAGACAACTTTGCATATCGAGCAGACGTCGAGCAGGAGGGGTTGCAAAGAACGTTAATGAGCCTCGTGCAAAGTAGTTCCTCGATATCAAGTATACATCCCGATATGGGGGGTTCACAAGCGGGCGTCCACCAGATCTAAGATGTGATGATGATAACCAGCCTCAAGACTTCGCTTTGCGCAAAATGTTTAGCTCAGCTGGTGGTAAAACCTGCACCGAAGCTAGTTTCTATGCGGATCTACCTCACAAACTTTACCTTAGATGTGGGCGATGCCAACACCGCCGGTGTCGCGTCCTTGAAATCTTAGGTGGGCGTCACGACTCGCTGATCTCAAATTCGGAGTCTCTACCATGGATATAGCTGGACGAACACACGCAGCTCAGGGAATACCCGAGTGGCAAAGAATTGAGTGGCTTGTTGGTTGTAGGTGGCGAATGCCACGTATTTTCAATCCTCACTTCCCATATGGCCCCGGCCCCGTCCTCGAGGTGTCCATTGCCATCCCCACAAACATGGAGAGGATAGGCGTATTTCCTGATGTCCTGGTGGTCTCTGCCGCCCTGAAAAAGTATATATGTCCAGTTGTAGTGGTGCTCGTTTCAGGACTCTAACTCCCATCAAGTCACTTTCAATTCGCAAGAAGCAAGATGGATCCCTCGCATCCAGCTGATTACAACTTCAACGAGGAGGGGTTCTCTTCTGAGGATCTTCTTTACATGTTTGATGACACTCTTACTGTTCAGATTTTGCAGCAACAGTACGTCGAGTCTTCTTTTGTCCGCCGATGCTGATGCCAATGCTTGATTCAGGTGTGGAACCTCCTCACATAACGAGGGACTTTCCATCCCTGATCATGGAGCTCCATGGATTTCGGGGTTGGACCATCAAACATCTTTTGGACATTATTGTCATGACCAGCTAAACCGACCCTCCGAGCGGCCTCTCGTTAATTCCACGATGATGTATCACGACGTACACGGTCCACACCCATCCTCTCCGTATGTGCAAGCACCTGTAGCACGCAGGCAGGAGCATATTTCACAGCACCACACACATCCGATCTCTCCTTCAAGCATAGATAGACTGTGTCGATGGAATGGGCAATGCGACTTCGTCTTTGCTGACGCTAGCCCAAGTGCCATACAGCGCCATCTTCGTGAGATCCATCCCCACGATTTACCTATCAATCCGTCGGACCGAACGATTTGCCTTTGGCGCGGAGAAATTCGATGCAATCACTCGATGGCCCAGAGTAATCTGGGAAGGCACCTCGCAGAGAGCCATGTACACTCGACACGGTCCCATTGCCCTCTGTGTGACAAGCCCTTCGCAAGGTCTGACGTGATGAAGAAGCATATGCGAGCCTCTTGCCCCAACAGACCGCATGCAAGCCACGGTCGTCGTTAGAGGAATTCCAGTAGCTGCTCGACGCAGTGCGTCGCACCCTACACAAATTATTCCCATACGCCTTGCCTCGCCGACATTCACTCTCCGTTCGCGTTTGCAGTACAGTTCTTAGGCCCGGAATCATCTCGATGCATTTCGTTGCTCTGTCGATGCACTGTTATTCTGTGATGGTATGACTGCTATCGCTGTTTTGCCGCTGTCCCACTGCTCTCTCACTGCTACGGACTCCGCTATTTCCTTCGCTATCTCCCTCACTATCCCTTCGCTCCCTTGCTACTTGCTCCGTTGGCTACTTATACATGTACCAATTTGTCTTGTGTGTGTACTACTACTTTGCGTTACTTACCTCTGCCCTGAACAGGAAATCGGGATGGTATTGTTTATCCAGCTTGACGCTTGATGCCTGTATACAATGTACTTTACGACCGTTTGACCTCTGCGATGTTAAACTCCATCTCATTTGTAAGCTGTCGAAAACACACTACAAATATTGAACTCGTATGTGCCTCAGACCGCTCACATAACAGCGCACCAGCAGAACATCATGTTGGATTCCAAGTTAGTTGTCTCTGGCGTCGACGTCGCAGTGTAGTAGATGGACTGCAACCTGGCTGCGGTGCATGCGTTGCTCGTCTTTGCTTATTAGTCTAAGTATATAGCTATACGTGACACCTATACATGCTGGGCATCTCGTAAACATCTCCGCTGCGGTGATGACACTCCAAGGTTTCAATCAGTTATCTTTCTTCCTGAATCACAACCTTGGCGGTTTCAGTGTTCTCCTGTGAAAGACCCGTAAGCGCAGTAGTGTGTTCTAGTGCTTTTGTTCGCAGTGCCACCAGATTATGGTGCTACTCTCTTACTCTCGCAGTTCGTTGATTTAAAGCTTCCCGCTTCAAGCGAGGGACTACAAAAGATGCTGCAAAATATTGCGTCCCAATGAGTCGCGCTCGGAAATGTATGTCATGGTATACTATGCCTGACCGATCAGTCGGCGCACCCCCCTAATTGACACTTTGCTACATCTCCATCCGTTTGGCTCCGTTCGTTTTACTACTTCGTAAGTATCCTCTTTACTATATCTGCACTCTTTTTGAGCTTGAACGACGGGGAACAGAAGGGTTAGTATTGGTTGAGTCCTTCATTTTGTACAAGTCACGCTCAAGTCACTCTCCGCTTCATGCCGTGATGGACTTTCTATAGCGGGACTCCTGCCTTTTGAGGTGCCGTTACTGTACTGTTCAGTCCAAGGATAGCAGGCAGAGGGCCCACTGTCACGGAAAAGCGCTAAAGTAATATCCTTCTGGTGCGCTAAAATATTAATAGACTCATGCTATCTTCCACCACCCAAGCCACAGATATCCTGACTGACATTCACTCGAAGCATTGACAGCGAATAAAAGGAAATTCGCGGCAACGCAGATGGAGTGGCGGAATATCTGGTTCGATTAACCAGACACAGCTCGTCATCTTCAAGTTGACCCGTTGCCGCGGTACAAGCACTCATGATTAACCCACGTCCTCTTGGTGGATATATCGCCACAACTCAATATTTTAATAGGTAAAGAACTTGTGGCGATGGCAAGATACCCTGGATGGAGGAAGGCTGAGGATATCCACTTACCTGATGTCCCGCTCAGAATGACATTACCGGGTTATTAGCCTCGTGCACAGTAGAACAAAACTCCTCGTCGCCCTGCATTCTCCTCTCCTCAAATTTCCTTCTCCTCATTTCTTCTTCATCCTTTCTGCTCTCCCTGAGCTGCCCAGAAAGCCGTTTTTATTCATTGATATCCGGGTAATGGAATTAGAAGGCGAACCAGTACTCCATTATTCTTTCCTTGACGAAGCCGCATCACTCCCTTCAGCAAATGGTGTCGGTATCCCATTGCAATTGTACCCAAAGTATGAAAGTTATTCGTCCTCTACTTCCTGGCTACTGATAGTGGTATATCTGTAACAGCCATTGTCGCTGGTCGCCAGAGGGGTACGATGAACTGATTACGGAGATCCCCATTGGGATCATAACGCCAGACATATTTGCCCAAGCGTGGTACAATGTGGAGCATCCAAATACTATTGGCACACCGACAGAGTCATATCCTCCACTGGCGCTGTCTACGTCTTCCTTGCAGGTTGATACCGCTGAGCTGGACGATCTACAACTCTCTGGGTATCCGGATTATTATCAGCAAGACTTACCTTTCCAAACATTGACCCAGCCTTCCACCACGCCATCGCCTCATGCAACAAGCAGTTGCACTGGTCGTCGAGATCCTTTGCCATTCATCTAGATGCAGCCTATACTACTGTTGGAGCATGGCAGCCCGAATCACACACCCACAGTCACACAAACTGGTCCCAGGATACCAAACGCGTTGCCTGCGAATGGGGTGAAGGTTGTCCTGTTTTCCTGAATAGCGATACCCCACGCGATTTACAGCATCACATTCGGGAGTGTCACGTCGATACAGATTTCCCTCAGGATCAGTCTCACGGCGAACAGATTTGCTTGTGGCACACAGAAGGCGGCCCGTGCAATCGCCGCATGTCGCAGAATAACCTGGGCAGGCATGTCGCGGAGAGTCATCTACACTCCTCGCGATCTCCCTGTTCATGGTGCGGCAAGAAGTTCGCCCGTTCCGACGTGATGAAGAAGCACCAAGCAGGTGCATGTCAGATGAAGGCGCGCTAGAATCGTGGTGAGTATAGTGGTTCAGTGCTCAGCAGTTGGAATAATGCTGTCGTCTTTAGGTTACCGCTTTACCTCTTCGATATACACCGTTCTGTCACAGGTGTCGTTGAATTCATTCGTCTTCGTTTCGTTGTCCCACCGACATGCTAATGCTATCCCATTATGATCAGACTGTGCCATTCCAACCTAACTCCCCGTTATTCGTATGCCGTTCTCCGTGACTACTGGCTCCCTTCGTTATGGGTGCATGCTTAGCCCAGCCTACGAATTGGTTCGTCCATTACAGCTTCTGTAGTTTTACAACCGTCCTGTCACCTTTATTGCACACAATGCATACAAATCTCGTGTGATTTTATCATTAAGAATATCCATGTCGATGCGCAGCTTTGTCGGCAGGATATCTATAATCTATAGTCTCCCCGGACGCCGTATTTCCTAAGTACTTCCAGATGTGTTGCACCCGGAGGTCCAAGCACACTTCACAGCGAAGGTCTACTATGGCGCTCAGACTATAGGTGCAGTGCCCTGTGTAAACTTAATTCGAAGGGGAGAAAAATAGTATACTATTGCGGAACGGCAGGACATTCAGTGAATTTGAGCTGGCCAACACAAAGTTTGCGCATGGCTCGAAAGACGACTCTCCTGGAGAGATGACGACGATGCTGATGTATCTGTGATTCTCAAGCATACTGCAGTCCATGCACAGACTGTTACAATCACAGTCACTATGTACTGTTCAAGGGGAACTTCGTCAGCGGGACGGCCAATGACTCGGGTGCGAGTGTCGCTCGGACGGCGTCGTGTCGTTCGATGGCTGTGTGTGTCCGGCGAGTGGACGATCAAGAACTCCAATCGGATCACTGTGTGTGCTGTCCTTTAGGAAGGTCCGTCATGCAGTGCGCTAGCCACTCGTCTATTTGCTGACACCCGTATCAGTGGCAACATTTAACGTTAGGCACACGGGATATATCCGAAGCACCGCTGCAGTCCTCGAGCGCGACGTCACCGGAGATGCAGCTGAAGCTCGGTCTCGAGTCTCAAGGTATTCAAGACAGAGCAGACCGGTGAATCTCATCCACGTATGGAGGCGAACTGGAAAGTCGTGACTGGTGGATTGGCGGAAGGAGCCAGGATTGTAGCGTACGGAAGTATGAGGTCAGCTTTCTCTCCTGAATTTGAAATCAAGGTTGTACTTAGGGAGTGTCCAAACGCTCACTAAGACTACTTAGCATTGTGTGGAAGCTTTGGACAAGTAGCTGGGACAGTAACATGGTCGAATGCGCCGGCTGTAGTGCCTCTGACAACACTGCGTGCTACCAAACTGCGAGTCCCGGAGTCCGCCAGCCTCGTGCCTGCGCACCGAGTTGAGAGTTCGAGAGATGCGGCGCTGCGTCTAATAAATTGCCTTTTCTCCCGAGAACACAGGATAATGGATGTAGTCATAAGGAGTAGGATATATCATTCGACAAGGGCGTTGGCCATAACTTGCACACGGGCCGCGACCGGACAACTTCGACTCGCCATCCCTGATATGTAATATGGAAATTCATGGCGAGTTTATGTCATTTCTTACTTAATTCTTGTACGGTTCACCGCGGAATCCGTCCATCCACACTGCAGATATCTGGACTAGGGCTTCGAGCTATTTGAGATATCGACGGGGAGTTAAAGGTATTCCGCGATATGATGGGGGCACACCCTATTCGATCTACCACCAGCAACAGCATGCTACGTTAATTTCCCGTCGCTGCAGGATGACTATCTACGGTCAATCCATCGTCTTCAAACGATCCAGTCTTCTGGGCAGACAAATGCCACACTTCTGTGGATGAGGGGCTCATGGCGACAACAAGATTGGCTGCCAATGGTGTTCGGAGTCTCGTGAACCGCAACACGCAGCCATTTTGCACAACTCCTGCTCGGAGGTCGCATGTCGTGACCATCGCCATTCGAGTGGCAAAGAATATGTGGATATCCGCATGCTCTGTGGCCCTCTCGATCTTGAAGATTCCCACTGGCCGCCCTCGTGCTATAACTCTGACAAGTCTTTTGCCCTCCCCTCCTCTTCAACTCCCTCTAACGTTCATCCCAGCTCCCCCTCTTCGCGACCGAGAAATCATATTCGTCATGAATCATAACTTCGACAGCGCAGAAGCATTCGTTTGTCCTTTCCAGGAGGATCTCATTCTCCCTTACGGCGGTGAACCCCGCAATGACGCTGAAGAATTCACCTATCGCCCTTTCACATTCCCTTCCAACCCTCATAACAACGGGGATGGGTTCACGTATTCTTCTGGGGAGAATTTCATTCCTCCTTCCGACATCCGTAATGCTGTTACTGGCCCCTATCAGTTGAGATATATTCTGTCCTCTACGTCCTGGTTCTAACAATAGTGTTTTCGAAGTTATGATACTGGGAGAATTCAACCGATGCTGCCGAACCCTACTGGTATCGTGATGCCTGCATCCGCACAAGGGTGGAATATCAGTACGGTGCGCAAGGACACATGCACAATGGGTACTATCCCCCCTCTGATGTTCATGCCACTCATCAACAGGCCATTCACTATCCTCAGGATGATTTATCAGTGCTTCCTACCCAACAACCAGTCACCCACCCGTCTATGATGTCGTTGGACACGGCCCATGTAAATCCTGCAGACACGCTTCTCACGGGTCCCCCCCACGGTAGCATCGCTCCTCAGCCACATGTCGCACCCCAGATTAACCTGCCCAAGCGCTGTGAATGGGAAAACTGCGGTGCAACTCTGCTCGATACTAGCAATGCTGGTATCAAGAAACACCTACGTCAATTCCACTCCGTTGCTGACTCGAAGAGTGTGTGCTGCCTGTGGTGCACAGGCAGCACCGTCTGCAAGCACAATATGCAGCTGGTCAGCCTCGTGCGACACATTGCAGAGATGCACTTGCGTACAAGTGAGGTTCAATGCCAGGATTGTGGCCATCTCTATGTGAGAGCGGACGTCTTGAGGAAACATCGGAAGGGCAATTCGTGCGGCAAACGTCGCTGAGTGCTAGATTCACTGTTGGGTTGATGTTGAACATCTAACCGTGCGTATAAACTTGTAGATGAACACCTGCAACCTTCAGACGCGTGTCGATACCTTGATTGATGGCCGTCTCTTAGGTCTTCCTTTTCTTCGTTCCAGTTACTTGCCAAGTTTGCTTGCATCTTTGCTATCCGTCCTGCTGTGTTGTCTATGTGCTGTTATGTATACCAGATGCTGTCCTACATGCCATTGCTCTTCTACCGTTGACTTTCCTTCTTGCTCTGGCTCTCGTCGCTGTGATAATGTACTTATGTTGGCGAGTCTCGTCACCTGCACACTTCTACCACTATTCCTAGCTTCATTTTCTCGTGAAGTGACATATCCTATGGCCTTACAAATTGATTTTATCAATTTATCAATTGGGCGCGTTCTTTTAGCGATCGAATTGAAGATGCACGTGATCGTGTATTGGCGTGACTATATGGTGACTGGTGACCGGTGACCAGTGTAACCCGTCGCACTGGCCGCTGGTGGGCGCCCGCTGATATAACTCGTAATTTGTTCAAGTTCACCATCCAAGCTCACTGATTTGTATGTCAAACGCTCGAGGAGATTGAAAACCGACCGTTTTATCTGAAGAAGGTGAGCTTGTGACCACTTATTCTGTGTTTTTGACAGTATGGGCATTAAGACAGGACTCTGATGGGACTACGAGCTTCGTGCACCCTCCTCTCACTTGCAACTTCATTCAGCATATCGACGAGATTCGAATTGCATCTGTTTACTCTAACAGCTTCTGCAGAAGATGTTCACACCTTTACCTGAGGGAGTCGTTGATACCTACTCCCTTGTCGTTCCCAGTCCGAATTCTACACTATTTCAACTATGCTTAACCGTATTGGTGTACACCTGTTGATAACGTATCCTTCCAACAGCAGTGCTCTACCGAGGCCATCAACGTAGTCGCCCACCAATTGCGGGGTGCGCACCTATTGCACGGGAAAGCGTTTGCTACACTCTGTATGAACGGTGGTATGCTCAAGGGCCGTAGGTATCTCAACGTGTCGTCCCTGCAGGCGTCTCGCTTCTCACAGTACTCATATGTCTCGTCACTATGTAAATCCTTCCGGAGATTATATGTGAGCTATAACTCTTCTGTCGTCTGGAGTCAATGAATCAACTTATTTGTTGTATCGCGCTCAGGTGACTGCGAAAGAAGAGTCAATCGTCGCTGCACGGACTCCAAGGAGGAGACCTAATTCCCCGCAGTTCCGCCGGAACATCATCACACTCGACCCTCTCCGCCTTACCTCGTCCGACTGGATAGAACTTTATGGTCTCCACTGCCAGGCATACGACCGACAATATCTTTCCTTCAACCCAGCCTCTCGGGTATGGAGACGTCTCGTCAGCTCTATCGGCCAGCCGCATGCCATTCCCCTTCACTATCACACCACGAGCACAGCGCAGACAGACCCAGAGGTTGATTCAAGATCTCCAGTCTCGCTTCAATCCCCCTTCCCTAATGGAACCTTGGGATTCTTGTACTACTACCAAGATCCCGAGCTGCACCCCAAGTTAGGCGAGGTTCGCTTTCGGCTCACGCCCTCCAGTGACCAGCGACGATTCAAGTACGGCGAGGATCTCTTGTTGCCAGACGGCCTTCCGTGGCGGATACCTCTCATCAGCATCGCTGCGAGACAGTCGTGGGTTATGCTGCGAAACATCTTGCTCCGCGACGGCCTTGTCACGGAATCCCTCCTCGAGAGCTGCGTCCGTGACGGCAAAAAAATGACCCCGCGCCCGTTAGTTATTTCTGCGCTGGACACGCCCTTCGTCGTGGATTTCGCCTTGGGCCTCAAAAGGCTGTGGGTGTTTGGCGACGAAGAAGCAGAGTCGATCACGTTCCCGCGCTGGTTCGTGGAGAAACGCCCGAAGCAGCCATCGGCACGGCCATACACAGGTCAGTGTGCAAGTCTACACTTCCGACGGTCGTTGACACGCCCCGCTTCGTCCTGCAGGATCTGCCCTCTGCCAATTAGAGTTGTCCCACCTCCCGGAACACAAGGACAAGCCCGCGCTCCTGCTCCGTGTCGTGAAGGTTCTTCGCCCCGTTGTATGTCAGATCCCGGATTATGACGGCTTTATCGGCAAGCCCACGGAAGGCGAGCTTTTCTGCACGAACGGCGTGCCGAAAGCGTTTGTTCCCAGCAACGCTACCGAGGAGGAAGTCGTACGGCGCTTGACTACAGCTCGCCGGAAGGTTGAGATTCCAGCCAAGCCTGATGCGCTCCTGGAATCCGCTTGAGCTCATGACCACCTGGACGGGTGGCGTCTATCTCCATGCTCTCATTCTCTGCTCGTGCGTCCATATTCACAAGGATATGCAAGAGCGGCGTTCAAAAATTTCGTCCAGGCTGTAGCCCAGACAGGAGTTTGCTTTAGTCCTAGATAGTTGAATGCAATAACCTCCTCCCTCTCTGGGAGGATGTTGAGGTAAATTTACAGCTCTGCGACCCAGCCGAGTGTCCAGGTTATCTACCGCACAGACTGCATACTTCCGCAGCAAGACGATGTTGATCGTGAGTGGATACGTTATGAATAAACACGAGCAAACTAGCGCAACAGCAGCGGAAGATCATAAATACGAAGCAAGAAGAGTGAACATCCAAGCGATTATACAATCATAGCAAGTAATATTCAATGTACACGAGTTGTCTCACTCTTGAGAAGTTCTTCCTCCCCTGCGGAATGCTCTCTCGCGCTCGACCAGCATGTCTACAACTCTATCTCTCGCGTCCTCCAGCGCTGCGCCGAGCTGCTCGTCGGCTAGTCGGCCGCCGCCAAACTCGAACGCCGGCGACCCTAGTGCCGTACGCAGCGCCATGTGCAGAGCTGCGTTCCTCTGCGAGGGCGACGGAGGGGGGGACAACACAAACGGTACGCCTGTCGAGCATGCGGGAATTGATGAGGGGAATATGCGTCTGTAGGCGATGGTCGCGCTCAGCAAGGCACGGACCTCGGCTTCGTCTGTACTTGCAAGGTCCTGCTCGTCTTCACAGTCCTCGTCTGCATCTGCATCCTCGTATGCGTGAGGACGGTGCGGGGGTAAGAGGTCCTGTGAGCAGAAGCCCGTGTTCCAGATGCGCTCGAGCGACATGGCCAGTTCGGCAGTGCGCCCGCCGATCGACTTGCCAGCCGAGATTGTCTCTCGGCGCTCCTGCTCTTCACTGGCATCTTTCTCCGCATCATACACGTACTCGTATTCACCGTCACCGTCGCAGTCACGTTCCTCAGCAGGGCAGCGACCTTCCCGCACGACGGTGCGCACGAAGAGCGCCGCGGCGTGCTTGCGGAGACGCTCCCGGATGAGGATCGCTGCAAGGATGCCAAGTGGAGTGCGCTTCTCGCATGCAGCACAGCGACCCTTGCGCTCAGAGACGTGCCAGAGGCGCCACTTCTCGAGCCATTCGGCGGCATCGTCCACGCTCATGCTCTCGAGGGCCAGCCGCTCATCGGCACGCACGATCTCGCGCTCCCGCGCGCTCTCCCAAAGTGCCGCAGCCTTAGAGTGTGACACGGGCCGCATGATAAGAGCAAGTGTGGATAAATCGGTAGCGGACGCCGAGAAGGTCGAGATGTGCCAGGACATGCACCAGTATGTTTGCACGCGAGTCGTGTTGCAGACTTCGCCTGATGAAAAAGGGTAAGTCCTCTAACGGTTAAGTAATCACAACGAGCTAGACATACGATTAAAGGCGACAAGCTCGCCGAGCCGAACCCATGCTCTCTGCTCCAGCTGGTTCAGCTCGATACCTCTATCAACTCTGCCGGCTTTGATGACTCCTTGCAAGAGTCCGATGAAGCCGTCAGATACACTCAACGCAGCTCGCAGTCGAGTGGCTTCGTCCTCCGAGCCCCGCTTAGCAGGCGCGAGCGCGTCCATCAGAGCGGCCCGATTATAAAACTTGGACTTTGGGGACTTCACGTCGTCCGTCGGCTTAGGCTCTGAAGAGGACTTCACGCTGTCCGTCTTTGCCTCATCAGCGGTTGCAGGCCAAATACGGTGAAAGGCGAAGTACGCGGAGACTCTGGCGCGGACGCTCGTGGCGCGGAGCGCACCAGACAGCCACGGCACGATCACGTAGAAAAAGACGAGGGTGGAGATCAGTAGATGCACTGCCTGGACAACATCGTGCCAACTGTACGAGCTCATATCGGTCACCGACGGTGTGGGCGACTGGGACTGTGCAGGTATATGAGGCGTAAGAACTATACCATGGTGAGCAGCAGGTGAGGAGTTTGCGTGCGAGCGCGTGGACGACATGAGGGGGGTGTTGAAGACCGAGAAGAACGCAAAGACTGCCAGAAGATACTGCTGGGCCGGAGCAGGTTGAGCTGTCACACCTTCCTGCGGCTGCATCAACGCTGCCTGAACTGGCTGAGTGGTGGAGAAGTTGGGGGGCTCGGTTGGCTGAGCGGGTAACGATGCTCCGCCGGAAGCGAGCGCAGACATAACAGCTGGTAAAGGATTCTTGCGAGGGCGACCACGCTTGCGCTTCTCTGGGACAACACCAGGCGTGGCGGGAATGAGAGGCGGGAGCACAGGTCTCGAGAGTTTCTCTTTCTTGACCTGCTTCGCGAGTTTCGCCTTCTTGCGCGAACGGCCCTCGCCGTCCTCACCCTCGCTGTCCTCGCCATCACCGTCTTCATCCCCACTCCCAGCGTCCGCGTCGTCGTCTTCGATTTCATCTTTCTCCTCCCCGCCGAACCTCATGCGCCATTCGCGCTCCCATTCCTTAAGCAGCGCGGGACCGCCGACAAGGCCAGCAATGAGCGACTTCAGTCCATCCTGCTCATGCCTGAAGCGTGCCTCGCGCTTCTTCAGCACGCTACACGAATGCGAGATGAGCAACAAGTAATAGACACAGGCGCGCAAACACCTACCGTATGTACTCGGTAGCCTTGCCCAGCACGTTCGCCTTGCTCATCTTCCGTGCGACCTTGACTCCGTCGACGAATCCACGGGCATCCACAATATCGTTATGTACGTTCAGTCCGCCGCCGTTCTTCGCCTCCAGTACTCGTAGCGCAGGAACCGCCTGCTTCAAGCCAGTGATACGCGCGTTCAGGTTTGTCCGGTACCGCCGCTCGATAGTCGTATGGCTGGTCTTCGGGCGGCCAATGACGGACGTCGCTGGGGGCGCCAACGTTAGATCTGCCCCAGGTGATTCCACCTTACCTGACGGCAAAGTGAAGGAGTCTGGCTTAGGGCTACCACGCTTGCTCGCTGCGAGGGAGGAGTTTTGGCGGACCAGCCGCGGAATAGGCAGCTTCGATTGTCCGCCTGCCGCTGCTAGTTGTTGCACTTGCGCGCTGACGGGCACGGCAAGCATGACGCCCGCCATCTCGCGCACGCGCTGCGCGAGTTCCTGCGCGGGGTCACTAAGGTTGCATTCGCTCGGGGGAGAGCTGCTTGTGACCGAGGCGCTGTCCAAACCGGGAGATAACGATGCGCCGGATGAGGACGAGGAGGACGTAACGCTCAGCCGGCGAGCGGGTCCGCCTTGGAACTCTGTGTGCCATTTCTGCTCCCCTGCTGGAGAGAAGAACATGTCGCCGTCGGCCATGAGGAACGAATTCTCGGGCGGGGGCAGACCGAGGCTGCTCTGGTCCATCATGGACGAGAAGTGCAGTGTGTGCGGGTCGACCGCCATGTTGGCGTCGAAGTCGAGATCCATTGGGAGAGAAAAGTTGAAATCTGAGCTGAGCTCGTTGAATTTGGCGTCAGCATGTGTCCACGACGAGAGTGAAGACCAGTCCTGGGCATTGTCCGTGGTCTCGCCCAGGCTCTGGAGCAGGAAGCTGAGGGGATCAGAGCTGTCAGACGAGAGCTCGCGCTGTTCCAGGTTCGGCGATGGGGTGTGCATCGAGGAGCTGCTGGACGAAGATGGCGGTGTCGAGGTGGTCGAAAACAACGGTGGGGTCGACGTCGCTGGAAACGACGAGTCGGACATGGTGAAGAGACAAGCAGCATCCGCAGGACATCGAACCACTTTCTAGAGTCAAAGTCCGTCACGTGCGCCTGCCTCATTCGGTAGTGTCGCGTCCTCCGTTCTTCCGCTCTTCGAAGGCGGTTCGAGGAGAAATTCCTCCGTGACATCGGGGACATTGGATAGATTGGTAGAAAATGTTAGATCAGGCCCGAGTAGGGGAAGAAATAATTGAACTGTGGATATCTTCATTTTACCGAACCGATATCGGGATTCTCATGGAGCTGCAGCTGCGATGCAGAGAAGACACAACCCTCTTTGCTCAGTATTCTCGAAGTCGAACCACGGCCCAAGAAGTATATATCTGCAAACAACCACTATCAAACAGCAGAATAACGATTATTGTATATTCTGCATCTCGATTCCGCTCGATATCCGAACAACAGAGGAAACTAGCACAGACAATTGCAACAGTACAGCTATGTTCCATACGCCATAATACAGCACAGAAACCCAAGGAGGAATTATACAAGCTCCACAAAATTTGCAGGGAAGGCGCCTTCACGCCCCTCCAGCTTACCCCGCCACCACGTATTCGTGTCCTGGCTCTTCTGCGTTACAACTATGACTTGACCTTTCGTAAACGACAAATCATCCGGCTTCAACATAAACAGCTTAGTTCCGGCCCTGCAACCACATAAAGGAGGAAACGCACCTGCACAGCCTTGAAATTATACAGAGCGATGGCACGGGCAATTCCTTCTTGCGGCTTCAAAGGCTTCGTCAGCTCAGTCTTGGGCGCAAGCTTCACCTGCTTGTAGCTCGAGCCTAGCGACCGCGAACCTCCACCATAATCCAATGCATCAATATCATTGGGTTCAAACGGGTCTCCTTGCGAATACGCGTGCCCATTGCGCGCATTGGCGTTGGCACGGTACCCGCTCAACGATGGCCTGTGGCTGTCGGCGTCTGACCCCGTCAGGCTGGAGCGCGCAGCGTTGAACGGCGGCAGCGAGTTGAACGGCGAGCCGTGCTGGTATTCGTCCGGACCGCTCACGCGTGGGGAGTCAAAGTGCGGATGGCGCCGCAACCTCTCGTCGGAGATGTAATCTGACTCGAACTGCGTCTCGAAGTATCCTGTGGCAGGGCGAGCGCGGTGGGGCGACCACCCGTCCTCTGCAGCGCGAGAGGAGCCATACGGCGGAGAATCGCGGCGGTCCATGGGCACCGGCGCCCTGCTGGGGTCGTGGAACTCGGATGCGAACGACGACCCACTGTCCTTCCGCTTCCCCCACCCGAGGCCCAGCGAGCGCTCCTTCTTCTTCTTCAGCCGTGGGCTCCCACCGTCGCCGGCCCCCGACATCGCGCTCGGCGGCACCTCGCCGTACGGGCCCCCGACCCCGCCGAACACGTAGTCGTCCTCACCACCCTGCGCGCTCAACTCTTCCACCCACCGCCGTCTCCCCGGCATCCCCGTGCACGCCTCCAGTGTCCTGATCAGCGGCTGCGCCCACTCCGGCGGCGGAATCGCCCCGCTGAGCAGCGATTTCGCCGAGGCGTCGCGGTGGTACGCCTGCGCGTTGGCGTCCTGCCGCTCGAGGATGACCGATCCTTCGATCGAGACCCCGCCAAACAAGCCGCGCGTTTTCGAGTAGCTGTACCTGTAGAGAGAGATACATAAACCGACAGTCAGAGAGCCAACAAGCGGACTTACATTGCTGCAAGCTTCCCGCTAGTGTTCACGGATCCGATCGCTTCGCCGTTCCGGCCGAGCGGTCCAACGGCGATACTCAGGTTTCCGCCTAATGTGAGTGACCCAGCAGCCATAAATGATCTCTGTTAATTTGGGTGAGTGATCGTGTATCCGAAATGGAGGGACAACAAAGAGTTAAAGTCAGGAACATGCGCCGGTTCCATACGCAAATCTCCCGCTGGTGCAAAATTGGGTGAGAAGACTCCACATCAGCTTTTGTGCCAGCTTAACCAAGCCATGTACCACAGGCATGAAGACAGGTTTGGCGACTTCGCATGCGGCACATGGGAAGAAGCCAGTGTGACAGCTGCACAACACTGCTGTGATCCAATCAGAAGGACTACCGCCTCGAAGACTGCATGTTCTACAACAGTCCACGAATGAAAACGACGGAGATCTGCGACATTTGACAGACACGAAGATCTGCAGCGATCCAAGCCGTGGTACAGCAGGCAAACATGCACCCAGAGTGGCACCACAATTTATGTCGCGTCAAGAACGAAACGACTTACAACAGCCTGAGAAGATGATCAGCTTGCGCAGCACATCAGTGCTCGTGCCGCTTACCGCTCTCGAATTCAGCACGATCAGGAAGTCCGTCATCTCAGCCCCCGCCTGGCCGCCGAAGCCGACACCGGCGGTGCCGATCGCACTTGGTGCGGACCACGCTATGGAACAACAGGTCGTCGGCGTCGTCATGGGCGTGTGACGGTCACAGCACTCACATCCATCTTCGAGCCTCGCGATGACTAGTCCAGCGCCCCCGCGCGCCGAGAATAAAAAGCCGGCCTTGACGATAGTAAAGATCGCGAAGCCCTTGGCGTTCTCCAGGACGCTCCGTGGGACGACCTAACCGCCAATACAGCCGAGCTCGCAGACGGCAGCTACAACACTCACCCCGTCCAGTCCGTTGTTCCCGCCGTCAACGAACGATTTGACTGCGCGAGAGGTGTGAGAAGGTAGCCCGAATCAAGTCCAGACTCCACGCACATGTTTTGGCAGCTTTGGAGCATTCTTTCGGCAGCGTCTGAGGAAGAGGAGAGTTCAGCTTCATGGTGTAAACTGTCAAGCAGAAGTCGGCCGAATGAATGCATAAGCAGTGCTAATAGCGGGTGGACAAGGACTGTTGCGGAACCCATTGCATCACTCCTATGACCAACCAGACTCCTTCCCAGACGTCGGCGGGATCGGAAACAGACCGTAGAAATGTAGAATGAAAATCTGTAGACACAAACATTGCAAAGAGATAAAGATACGGGCAAGAACAAGGACAAGGACCAACTGCGAGGACAAAAGGATTCAGAGGCCAGTTTCCAACCCTGCTCTTGTTGAAAAATACGTCCTGCGCAAGCAGACGCCAACACTTAGATCCGCGGGAGCGCCGGGGTGCTCGCCAAGCAGTCCCAACAACGCCAATCTTGTGAACAAAAGTATGATTAAAAACCGTACGCGGAGAGGGAGACCGTTGTATTCAAAAATCGAATGAAACAGTAAGAGAAATTCAGACTCAGAGAAAGTGCGGCAACGGCTTACGTAAGGTGCAAGATACGACGCGCGATTTCCGCTGAAGGTTCAAATTTTCATGCAGAAGGTGTGGAGAAACTGGTATCAAACGCAAGAGGATCATATGTGTGATCGTTTTGACACCTTGTTGATGAGAATCGGTGAGGTACACGGCACTCTGGATTCTGCAAGGGTTTTGGAGGGTCTCGGGCGCTTGTGTTGAAAATTTGCACTTATTTGTCCTCATAGTTACGTAAGCTTTCTCGGAAAACTCGAGTTCAGTTTGTTCCGTCTCTCTCCTTGCGCCTGGACTTATCACCTCTCTCCATGTTGCACTGGGAAGGGGACATTTCTTGTTGGCGCAGAGAGACTGATGGGCTCTTCTTTCGCTAGCAGCTCTATGCGTTGTCTCTGGCAATAGCGATGATGGACTTCTAGATAGTAGTGAGAGCTACACTCCTTGTAACCCAGACTATAATTTGCGCGTTCAGAATTTTCAATGCTGAAATTCTGTCTGTTCGCCTTGTTGAAAGACTGAAGAATGTGTGGTAGTTGCTCATACTTCGTTTGTCGCCAGCATCCGACATTTCTATTTAGACAGGCTGCAAGAGTTGTTGACTAGCGTTGCCACCAAGTACTCAACACACATTCCGTGAAAATGCAGTAGTCGAGGTATTTGACAACGACACTAGGATATCACCGCACCCTACGGTGCTATATCAGTCCGTCCCTCCCACCTCTCATAGGACTGATTTTGTAGTCTGCCTTTGGGAGACTAACGGTGCATAGTGTCCGCATAAAATGGCGTTGGCGCGTCCAGCTCGCCAGGTTTGTTTTTGAGGACTGCACAGTACAGTGTAGATTGAGTCCCGTGTAAATTGTAGGCTTGCGTAGTCTAGTTTTTAACGCGGGGGGCTTATCGGTAGGTCCCCAATTTCGTTCGGAGCTTGGACTTTCAGGGAAAGAATTGCGTGACCGATCAACTCGCCTGCAAGATAATGAGTCGGAGCTGGAAATAAGAGAACAAGCGCTCGCCGCAAGCTCACGGTGCGCAGATACTACATACTCCAGGGAAGCGGTCGTTGTTACATTCGAGATATCTCAGTCAAATGGCATGCCTTTTAAGCTGCAGGAGACAAGCAAAAGAAGCACATCCAAAGGGTAACAAAAGAAGCAACTACTGAGGATGGGTTGTGAAAGTTCTGGCTTGAACTTGGACACTGTCACATCCCAATAATTTTGTTCCTCCTTCTAGCATGAGACTGTTGAAGAAATCCGGAAGACTAATTGGGAGTCACTCTGGCTACCACTACCATGGTTGTAAACTGTGCGGCATATTGATATCCCCCACCTAAAATACAGTATTAGTGGATTTAGCTGTTCTGAGGGCTCTGAGGCATGGATTTTCTGAAAATACATTCAGTCTACAGACAGTACATAACAGGAGAATGTCCTGTGCACCAGAGAGCTATGAGGATGCGGCAGAAACGCGAGACTGGCATGGGTAGATGAGAACGCGTTTGACGTCACAAAAAGCGCCGCCAGATTTTATCTATTTTGAGTAACCCAAGAATTTTATTGATTGTAATAGGATTGTAGCCGAAATGCGAGACCATTACGATCGTGTCACAACGTGAGAAATAATGTCACACCAACTAATCGATGTGCCACATTTTTGCACCTTCCAACGGTATTGCGCTCCCATTCCATTCGCCTTTGGGTCGTGACACAAGGCTTTGCCTCCTGAGTGTCGTGAACTTCCGGCTACTTCCGGCAACTGTACAGCTGCAAACTCCACAACATGAGTGGCGGGTCCGGCTCCATCGCTCGTTGCTCCTTCCTTCAACATTCAACTCTCGCCATAACTGATCCGTGGTCACTACTATAACCTTTTCTTTTCACAGGGTTTTTATCGCAGGTTTCGACATTTCAACTGTCATGTATTTCTCCCGCTCAGACGTCACCATCAAGATCACACCGCACCCTGCTCGCGTACTGGCCCCGGATATCATGCAAGACCTGTGGCAATCATCGGCTGGCCTCCTGTGTCATCTTCTTTCTCTGGTTGCCTGACTACAATGTAGTCTCTACTCTTTATGCTGGTGTGGCTTCAGGCTCCTTGGATCCACAAGCATCTTGTATTCTCGTGCAGTGACTCGTGCCCAGGGGTTGGACTCATGCATTGTGCTGGAGAACTGTACATGTTACCACAGTGCTAGAAGCAAGAACCGAACTGTGAGGATCAAGGACAGGTGCGGTGCATTGTGCTCGAAGCTGGTCGTCAATGTTTGATATACCGGCTCCGGTCCCGTAGTGTTGTGCTCAGGTGGATCCCGATCCCCGACAGAAGACTTACGCAGAGAAGAATGTGTATGTATCCATCCAACTCCCCGCAAGTACCGCTGGCAAGCCTGCATCGCCTACATGTTCTGCTGTGACTCAAAGCTCGTCGCACCTCCCCGTACCCGAGACCACGTTTCTCAGAGTCACTGGGTACCGACACATGAACGCGAAGAAGCCATGTTACGTGTTCTGCGTCACGCGAATGATCAACATTCTGCACGCTGGCTACGGTTTCCCAGTGCCTTTCCTGGTGGATCCTGACAGAGACTTATGCGAAGGATACCGGCTCCATCATATGGTACTCGTTGCCAATGTCATGAACCCCGCGCTGCCTACGGCTTTCCCCCGCCTGTGGTAACCTATCGCTCCGCAACATGCTCTAAAGTGTCACAAGTTATGCAGCACGCCTCCAGTTCACGACACCCGACAGATCTGAACCCGAGGATGCCGTTCATCTATTATGAGGTCTCCGATGTGACCCTAGCAGTTCCGGCCCCTCAGCGCTCACCACCGCCCTCAGCACCCATGGCCGCTTTTTGTTTCTTTGTATGTACGGCAGGCAGATGCCCACACATGTACATTATACCCGCAATATATATCTTTTATGCACACTATTATGCATTGTATGCGATACATTGAGGAAATTGCAACGAGCAACCTGAATGCTGGCAGCCGGCGCAGTAAAAGTATTCTAAGCAGTAATACACCTGTGCCTGTTGCAACCGATACACTATGTGATTTTATCTGCATTTTATCCGAGTTCTAACATTTCATTGTTAAGACAGATTGCCCTTTTATCCATTCCGGTCATTCTGATGATTTTATCTATTCTAATGACATTCTATTACGATATAATGGCATTACAAGTTCCGCGCCTTTTTTGTGATGCTTTGACGCGTCGCGTGTGCACGTGATTTGCGGAGATGAAAATACCCAACCTACCGATAAGGACCACCTTAATGATAGCAGACGCCAGACACGGATATCCTGAGGAACGAAGGTTGAAGCAGAGTGTCAGTCTGCCTTTGGGAGACTAGGCTTGCGCACTGCTTCGCAAGAGTTCGCATGAATCTTAATGGGAAGCTAGTCGATAGATAGGGTTGCTCTCCTGCATGCACTGGCAGGTATACATACATGCATATGGCCATGGCTGATCATGGAAGCACCAGATATGACTCAAGAGTCTCGATTCACCGATGCTGCATATAAGAATGCAGAGTCTCGTTCAGATGGACGTCATCGTGCACTGTGATCTGCGGCGATAGACGCACTTCTCCAGCAATGTCGATGGACACCGTCAGGAATGTTGTTGTAATCGGGGCTGGTAAGTTTTAAGACGGAAGTGTCTCGGATGATTGAAGAGTTACTGATACTGAATACGTCCAACAGGCGTAATAGGTCTCACTACTGCGCTCAAAATCCAGGAGAAGGGCGGGTACAAGGTAACCGTTATCGCAGAGACCTTCCCCTCCGATCCCAAGTCCGTCAGATACACGAGTCCTTGGGCTGTAAGTTGATATTTTCGCAGTGATCCATCGTATGATCTGCGCTGATACTACCCAGGGAGCTCATCATGTCAGTCATGCCGCCGCTGACGTGCAGCAACGGAGTGCGTATCCATATCTCAATACTTCAAAACACCTACTCACATGCATCGCCAGAGATCGACGAGGAGACCTTCAAAGTGATGTGGGATCTCTCCGCCCCAGGCGGCGACGCGGAAGGCTGCTTCCTACGTATCAAGGAAAAAGAATGGTTCTACGATGGCAGAAACACGCATCTCGACTGGATGCCCGACGTGAGCCTCGCGCACCTCCGGCTACTCGTCGTTCTAAGCGCTCACCTCCAGCCAGTTTCAGCAGCTCCCCGAGGACCCACTCCTCCCGAACGCGCGTATCGTCTCATTTACGACGTTCACGATCGATACGCCGGCGTACCTGAACTACTTGCTGTCCCGCTTCCTTGCGCGTGGCGGCAACGTCGTCCGGAGCACGGTGCAGCACATCAGCCAGATCGTCGAGGGCGGCGCGCAGGTGTTCGCTCGCGGACGTGCGTCGCCGACGCCCGTCGATGCGTTGGTGGTTTGTCCCGGGCTGGGTGCGCGCACGCTTGGCGGCGTTGAGGATAAGAACGTGTTCCCGATCAGAGGACAACTTGTCGTCCTTAGAGCTCCCTGGGTGAACTTTGGGCGGACAGCCAGTCACGAGAAGCAGGGCGTGTGGACTTACATTGTTCCGCGAAGGAGCGGCGATGTGCGTCGGTCGTTCAAATGGTCTACATGATACATGCACTGATCTTGCGCTCCGTAGGTCATCATTGGAGGGACGAAAGTCGACAACGACTGGTATGTGGCTCCTCTGGATTGACTTGGATGATAGCCGAACATTTGCCTTGTTAATCAGGTATCCCGTAGCGCGGCCTGAGACTACACAGGACATTCTGACGCGCTGCCTCGCTCTCTGCCCCGAGCTTGCGCCAGCCCATGTCCGCGCCGAGCGTGCTCCGACGGTGGAGGATCTGTACCCTCTGATCCAGGAAGAAGGCTGCGGTTTCAGGCCTGCAAGGGCAGGCGGCATCAGACTGGGAGTTGAATGGGTCGATACGCCGGGGAAGAAGGGAAAGATCCCAGTGGTGTTCAACTACGGGTATGCATCCGTTCAACCCTTTGTGGAATATGCGGTTACTCAAACATAAGTAGCCACGGCGGAGGCGGCTATCAGTCGTCTTGGGGGTCAGCTTCCGTCGCGCTCGACCTGTTAGAGAAGGCGCTCGTAGGAGAGCAGTGAGCATTCAATGTTGCAGACCAGAGATTGTTTAGTACATCCGGATACAATCAAATCGGCCGGTCAAAGGACATCGCGCTCCATCTTAGTATTAGACAGGTTTTGCACCAAACCACCACTTCTGTAGGCGTCCATCTGACCCGAAGTCCGCACGACCGGCGAAGTGACGGCCAGCAAGCATAAGCGGGAGCCAGAAGGGGTCGTCTGCCCACATCTGATCGTACGGAATGGGGGGGAGTCCTGTGTTGTGTTCTTTAGGACTACCGTCAGCTGCAGCAGGCTTCGCATTAGGGGTAGCATATGCTGGCTCTATATCAAACCACTGAGGGCGCATTTCGTCGGACCTTTGGCCACAAATAGCATCAACATATGAGGTATACTGTAACGAGAACGCTGCGCACTTACTCGGTGATTGCTCCGCTGTATTCTTCGGCGCGGAATATGTCTATGTGAAAGGCTTGCTCCAAGTCTGGAAGGACAAAAAAGAGAACGCCGCAGTGCTCTAATGGCGCTGCGATGCCAGATTCTTCCTGATGACAGGAAATTCGTTCCAGCAGTACACTTTACAGCATGAACAAAGACGTACCTCTAGCTCGCGCAATGCGGCCTGAGCCGGTGTTTCCCCGGGCTCCACTTTCCCACCAAATCCATTATAACTAAAGACGACCCGTCAGAGTAAACGAACGCAGACTTTGATGGACAACGTCATACAGATCTTTTCCAAATCCTCTTTTCTTGTATCCCAGAAGCAGCTGAAAATGAGCAAGTCGGCATTAATTTTGTCGCTTAACACAGAGCCTCAGTGATTCGTTTCCATGCACCTTTCCATCTTGGCGGACAAACGCATTCGTGTACAATTTGATCTTTGAAAATGGCAGCCAATCCGGGACGCCACCGCGGGCAACTTCATCCAGACGCTCACTGGACATAATTCCAGGTGGGTATATTTCCTCGCTCATGAGACTTGAGAGTATTGATCGCTTGGTGCTAAAGTGGCGACAAGTTGGTGGGATTGAAGATAACCTTGAAGACGTTCACTGCCGCGTCTGTCTGGTCACGTGTGCGCGTTTCGATGCGGTTGCCGGACCTACTACCCCAAACCTACCCTAGAGGTTTATCCTGAAAATTGGCCATATTGATTCCCCTCAAAGATGCAAGCTTCAGCCCTCAAATACGGAAAGTTGGATAGGACTATCACACTGTCACGGTATGCTACATAATTCATGAGCCCGAAATCCATGAATTTGGAGGCTCTCTACTAGCTCCCCGAAGTGATTGTGATGGCTGAATGACACAATTCCGACTATGGGTATACTTACCAGTCACTTCCCAATGTGTTCTGGGTAAGTTAAAGCGGATAGGAAAATGCTCGTTTTGGGGTTCCCAAATAGTATGCAAAACCCAGATAAACCCTCAGGGCAATTGCCCGGGTCCTATCTTCGCTGTCCAGAGCACATCATGCAATAACGACATACATCCTGTAGAGGAATCCAATAATACATGTTCCGATATGGCAACCAACAGCTATAGATACGAGGTATACCTTAGGAATAACCTCATAATTGCCGTTCGACGAACCGGCGAGTAGAAGGAACATGATGAGAATCGTCCCTCAAGGCAATTTTGACATTTTCACCCCTTCGCCTTTTCTGTCTTCGGAGCACCTGAACCAGGTGAAACTTTGGTTGCAGCCCGACGCTTAGCGCGCGCGAAAATGCCCACTTCGGGATCGCGAATGAAGTTGATGATGACCATTGGCCAGGACGGGTGCGAGGGAAGGGTGTCATAGAACTCCGGAGCGAGGGCCCGCAGAGCAGGAAGACGCGTCCATGCTACCGCAGGGAAATCGTGGTGTTCGTTGTGATAACCAACCTGAGAGAAGATAAGTCACGTCCTACTTGTGCCCATGGCAACGCACGTTATACGCGAAGAAGTTGAGCGGCCCATAGTAAGAATACGTCTCTTGTTCGAGACCATCCCATAAATAGTGCTCGGCAATGAAGTGACCTGCGAGAGGATGTAGGCTTCCCGCGAAGAAGCTGGACGCGAGGAGGTAGATGAACGGACGAACACCGAGGCATTTCATAAGCACATAGTCGAAGACAAGCTGCGTGATGAGGTTCATGATGTGCCAAGTTGTGATGGTCTGCGACCTGACAACGGTGGGACGGAAGGCATAGAAGAGGATCTGGAATGTACTGTGTGGAATGAGCTGAGACGAAGAGCTGAGAAGACCACGAACAACCTACGCAAAGAAAACTTTGCCCAGCACGTTGTTGAGACAGATGAGCTCTAGATTTGTCGGGAGATCAGTATCTACACCATCCTCCCCTAGGAACTTGTGGTGTTCAATGTGATATTTCTGAGAGTCCCGGCGTCAACGACGATTTGTATCCGCCAGCCAGGAAAGTGGTCACCTTGAAAGCAGCAGAATACGGGACACCGATGGGAAGATTGGCAAATACAGCCAACACCTTGTTAGCGCGGACACTCTTAAATGCCAGATTATGGGTAATTTCATGGATGGCTAGGAAGAGGTTGTGATTGGCGGTCGCTCCTATAACATACACGCAGGCGAAGAAGACAGGCGAGAATGGTGAAGTGTGCCGAAGCAGGTATGCAATGACGAATTGCAAGGAGACAACGCCAAGAACGACCCACTTTGTGAGCGGCTCATGTCCCATGAGTTTCGTGACCTAGCATACCAAAGTCAAATGACAGGCCAGGGACAGATTGACTTAAAAACACAGACTTCGGGATGTGCTTTGATTATTGCCATGCGTCTGCTGCGATGCGGCTCTTCGGTCATTATCCACAGGAAATCAGACGCATCCTGAGGTGGAGCAACGTGCATTTTGCCATTATCCTTGGACGTTGGCAAGATAACTTCAGTTCGCCTCGGTGTTCGACCTTCCCATAGCGATTCAGCACCACCGAAATAGCTGAAATCTGCACTTGATGAGATGAAACGTGTAAGACAATTTTTGGAAGAGCATACCGATGTCAGGACCTGCAGACGCAGGAGTGGATATGGACATGGTGCTGAGCTTCTTGAGGCGCTTGCGCCGGTTGCAGTTAGCCAATTCCGGTGGTACGACCTCGGAAATGCTGGCTGCGACCGTGTGATCCGACTATTTATACGTATTGTCCAAAGCCTTCCGTTCTTAACATGGACAAACAAAAGCGATCGATCTGTGATCATACTCCGTGACCGTGCAGCCACAGGCAGGAATCTCGCGAGCCTCTCTCTGGGTGTATCACTTGTCTTGTGAATCTGATATAATGTAAGTCTTACGTCCGCCTTCCACTCAGTGATGAATTCTGGCCCTTGCCGTGCTAATTCTGAGGTCGCAGCCGAGGACGTAATTTAACTTGGCTCTGACTTTACAGAGATCGCGCCCATTGTTGATGCGGAAGATCATCACTATTACTCCAAAATAAGTCGGTAGGTGGCATCCGTCTGCAAAATTTTGAAAGACATCATCACTAATGCCGGACATGGCATAAATATGGTTGCGCTAACTAGAAAACTGCAGTAACATGGACCCACGCCGGAGGTACCCACCGCCAAATCTCGATGTGTCTGCTGCTGCTGGTCCTTCGAACACTCAGCCGGAATTTCTTAAAACAAGCATTGCAAGAAAGTCGGGTAAAGTGCATGGTCCCCTCCCGGGATCACATGCTTATCCAATCACTTTTGCGAACAGGAGGCCCTGCAGCAGCACCTTCTCAGCGTGAAGTCTTCACCGATATCCATCGTGCGGTATCGAACAATACTGTACTAAATCTTTCTCAGGGACGAGATAGGGAACCGATACGAGTAACCAAGGTGGCCCACGGCGCTGCACAAAGGCGAGATCGCATAGAAGAAAATGTTTATAGAGGTATCACTGCGCGAAAGGCTGCATATTCCAACACCTCTTCAAAGCTTCCTTCTTCGTTCACATACATCGCTCCCCTCCTCCATCGTCCTGCCCGTCCGATCAAATCAGCGCCCTTGAAGCCGGCATGGATGGCTCTTGAAGAAGCTCATACTCCCGGTTCCTCACGTAAACGCGTAGGAAATGAGCTCTCCAGTCGCTCGGCTTCTCGTATAACAGCCGTAATGCCCACACCGAAGCATGCAGAACCCACTCCATCCAAGCAGTTGTTGGTAAAACGACCTGGTTTCAGAATACCGATGCCACCATGGGATGGCTTTGTTGTCGGACCTGACGAATCCTCTTCCGAGTCATCAGAGGAAGAAGTGCATGTACCATCCGGTGGAAAGCCACCGTGCGTGATTCGTCGTTCACTGTGGCTCATATACAACTCATGACGGGATTGCAGAAGAATGCAATTAGCGACCAAGAGCGCACGGAAAACGGCTGCTTGGTCACATATTCCATCGGGTGAATCATCGGATGAGGAAGAAGAGACTAGTGTGAGCGGCCAACAATCGTGGGTGCCTTCAGTATTATGATGATCTACCCACAGCTATTAACAGGACTACAGAAGGAAAAACTTATCGGCCACTAGTTTTCGCAAGTCAAGGGAAGGAGCATCCGAGAAGGATGCACCGAAATCCGCACCAAAAGCAGATCCATTCGACGTTATCGAAGGGTCCGACTCAAGCTCGAGCCCTGCAACGGAGTCTGCGAATGGCGAAGAAGACGTAGAAGAATTGATGGCCGCCCTGAATGCTCTTACATTACCGACAGTGCGACTCAGGGAATATCGGAGGCTGCCATTTCTCGTACGGAACTTGCGACGTGGTTTCAGGCACCGATGTCGCCTCGCCGGTGTCCAAACGCAACCCGTGCAACCACCTCCTGCTCCCATCAACGTCTCGTATATATACCGTCCGGACAACGACGAAACTTCCGAGGTACCAGATGGAGAAAGGGTGGACAACGATGAAGAGCGAGTGGGTAAGATGTATCAATGGGAATGCCCACTATGCCAGCTCCATGGTCAGTTTAACACCCGAAACATGCTCACTTTCCATCTGGGACGCGACCATGACGAAGTAAAATTCACTTGGAGAGAAACACAAATTGATGTACGCACTGATCCGCTATTCTGCTCTCTGCTGGAGACTGACATATGGCTTTCATGGAAGGACATCCAATCGTTGACACTGAGTCTTGTGATCCCTGATATTGACTCTCAAGAGTCCGAGTCTGAGTCGGAAGATGAAGACGAAGAAAGCGCCTCACAGGATGTCAGAGCGGGCATGCGAGCCAGGTCAGTTGATTATGTTTAGCACTTCGAGCATCCACAATGAGATTGAGTTCCAGTGAGGCTCGCGTGGAGCCTGAACGGATGTCACCAGGCCCCGCTGCTGTAGCTCAACTGGCTCCCATCTCATCTCTATTCGATGGTCCAGCTGAAAGGACTACCATTGACCTCACGGATATTCCCCCTTCCCCAGTTCTCATTCCGAAGAAGTTTCGTGCCGATTCCCCTACCATCAAGACTGAAGCTCGCCAGCCCTCTACCGCTCAAGTGAGAAAGCAAGCGTCTACTCGAGGTTCCTTGCCCGAGCGCTATCCTACTCCTCCGCCTCCCTCGGATCCCTTGGCGCCAGCTGCACAATATCCTTATCTTCCAGACCAATCCGAGGACGGCGAAGTTTACTATTCGTGCCGTCCGGGCGGGCCTCGGATATTCGACCTTCTCAATACTCTGCCCTTGGAACCGTTTGGAGTGTTATCATGGTCAATTGTAGAAAGAGAAGAGGAACTTTTTGAATTAGACGATGTGCGAGACGAGGACAAGGTCCTACTAGCTCTCTGGAACAGATGGATCATGCTTAACCGGTCAGCGTCTCAGTCGCGTTCTTTCGGAATTGAAGTGATCGACACCTTACAGGATAAGCTTTGTCTACAAAGGCTATGCTAAGGGAGTAATAGCTTTCATTGACAAATATTGGCGGATGATCCATCGCGCTGCAGGCTGGGGGGCTCTGAGAGGCTTCCTTCTGGTATACTTCCGCGCTTTTTGTATCCCCTGTGCTGCTTATCAATTCTTTCACGTCAGATGCTCGTGGCGAACAAATTCCTTGACGTATCGGAGGTTGTTCGGATCCTGAAGCATTATGAAAACCACACTGGCATGGAGTACTGGTACAAAGACGACTGACTCTCCCGAAGTGTATAGCTGATCTGGATTTTCTCCTGTGGTTGTCGCTGTTGCATAGATATTTGGTCAGTTATCCCAGGTGTATGCACAGTGTTGTTACGACGGATCGCAAATTGTAGTAGAATGTAAATCTGTGCTTTTGGCTTCACGAAGTCGAAACCCTAGCCTAGGTGTTATTGAATTATTTTGGGCCAAAATTAGAGCTCCTTTTCGTGTGGGGAAAGTATTCTCACGCACTCTCTCTCCTTCGCTCTTCTTCGCCACCGCTGGCGATGGTCTCTACTCCTTCAAAACGCAGCGCCTCGACGACTCCGGATGGTGCAAGACCTCTCAAGAGACAGGCGACATCCTCTCCAGAGGAAGGCGAGCTCGACGACGCGTCTCCTTCACCTGTAGCGCCGGCGACTAGCGCAGCCACCCCGCCACTGAAGCTCCCAAGTAAGGTCAAATTTCCTTTCAAGAAGAAGTCTGTTGTCGAGCCGGAGGAGATTCGAAAGAATGGTGATTCGAGAGCGAAGGGGATGGTATACGAACATGTGTTCGAAAGCCAGCACCGCCATAAAGAAGACGAAGATTGGAGACGGTCGCGGCCGCGTTCGCGCCAGGGGCGGCACGACGTGTGGACTGCGGCCTCTCGCGCGGGAGACAGATGGGAACCTACAGCAGATCGTTACGAGACTGGAAGGTGGGCACAGCCGCAGCACAGTTATCCGTCTCGTTACCCTCCCCGCGAACGCGAAGCGGACGTCTACCGCCCGAATTCTCCTCCTCGTCGTGATTGGGAGAGAGAACGACGGCGGTCATCGCGATCGGTGTCTTCACCTCGTTCCCGGTCACCACTTTCTCCGGCGTCTACAAAGGAGAAGCATCGTTTGCCACCGCCACGGTCCACCACTTCCGTAAAGGACAACTATTACGACACCGAGAGATTTTCACGGCGGGATGATGATTACAGCAGAGAGCACCGTCCCCGAGACGAGGACCGGCACTACAGACCACCACCGCTAGATGATCGCTGGGACGCTAGACGCGACTGGCACAGAGACAGACGCAGAGACGGGGGTTCATTGGACCGTGAAGGTGACTCCTACCGCCCGGTGTCTCCTCGTGCAATAACTCCCCCCCGTCCTCTTTCACCGCACACTCCACCACGACCTCAGGTCGAACACAAATCCCCCATGTCTTCACAGCAGCCGCCCGTATCTCCCGCAAATACTGTCCAGCCTTCGGCCCTTTCGACGGGACATTTGAATGTGGCGTCGCTACCGTCAAAAAAGCCAACCACACCTGCGAACATACATTCACCTGTCTCTGTGCCTTTGGCTAAAACTCGCTCGGACACCAGGAAAGCAGAGAAGAAAGATGAGAAACGGCAAGTTACGCGGGAATCTGTCGTGCAGCGTCCCAAACGCAAGCCTGTAGAGCGCACGCGGGAAGACGAAGAGCGTCTTTATGGCCGTATGTTTGTGGGCTGCGGAAGGCAGGAGGACTACGATGTGTTGACGAAACTGGGTGAAGGGACATTTGGGTGCGCTTATTCTCTCCCTATTGGACTAGTTTACCTCCAACAACTACACCGTTTCTTGACTCATTTCGCATTTTTAGCGAGGTCCACAAAGCCGTACATCATAAGAAAGGCCACGTCGTCGCTTTGAAACGGATCCTAATGCACAACGAGAAGGAAGGCATGCCAGTTACTGCCTTACGTGAGATCAAGATTCTCAAGGCACTCAAGCATCCATGCATCGTAGATATTTTGGATATGTTCGTGGTCAAAAGTACGGACAGTTATGTTTTGCTGACTTGAAAAGTCTATCTAAACGCTCTCCCTAGGTAATGGCAGGGAGTCACCACTTTCGGTGTACATGGTCTTCCCGTACATGGACCATGATCTCGCAGGCCTGTTAGAGAATGAACGCGTGAAGCTTTCGCCCAGTCAAATCAAGCTCTACATGAAACAGCTACTAGAGGGAACCGAGTATATGCATCGGGTTGGCCAGACACTTGCATAGCTCTGGCGTGCTGACTCACATTACCTTTTCTTGAAGAATCACATTCTTCACCGCGACATGAAGGCAGCGAACTTGCTGATATCTAATACTGGTTCTCTCAAGGTTGCCGACTTCGGTCTTGCGCGGGCGTACGATCCCAATATCGTCAGAGGGGGCGAGTTCAAAGAAGACTTGCGTGGTAAGGAGCGTAAGTATACCAATTGTGTGGTGACCAGATGGTATCGGCCCCCAGAGCTGCTGCTAGGCGCAAGACAGTATGGTGGGGAAGTCGACATGTGGGGTATTGGGTGCGTAATCGTATTTTGCCTAGATACTCCGTGTGTGCATCTAGCTAGCTGAGTCGGCTGACGTTGCCATACAGCTGTGTTTTGGGCGAGATGTTCTCGCGAAGACCAATACTACCTGGAACGTCGGACTTGGACCAGCTCGACAGAATATGGCAATTGTGTGGAACACCGAATCAGCACAGTTGGCCAAATTTCGATATGCTGCCCGGTTGCGAAGGAGTCAAGCGATTCCAGATGTACTCCAGACGAGTGAAGCAAACCTACGAAACGTTGGTGTCTCATCCCGAATCATCGCGGCGTCCATTTCTATATTATGCATACTTACCATCTCGCCCAGTACTGGTCCGGAAACATGCGATTTGTTGGACAAGCTGTTGACGTGCAACCCAAGAGAGCGCATCACAGCATCGCAGGCTCTGGATCATGATTACTTCTGGACAGACCCTCTACCGGCGGATCCAAAAACGTGGGCATCCGCTCCATTGAGCGTATTTCTTCCTCTCGTTGCAATGATCACTCAACCTTTTTTTTTGGTCTCTTCTTCTACACCCTTCTGTAACTGTTGTTGTGCACTGGCCATCAGCCTTCCAACGTACGAGGCGTCACACGAGTTCGACAAACGCGGCCGTCGCCATCAAGGTCTTGCAGGTCTGCCGGGTCCAATGCATATGGATGGACCACCAAGACCCCTGCCGATGCCTCTCATCCAACAACATCCGATGCATTCTCGACGTGGTCCACCTCCCCCTCGCGAAGTATTTCGTACCGGACCTCCGCCTCAACACTACCCTCATCCGCCGTTTCCCCCTCCGTCATCTTTCTCTGCTTATCCTCCTCCAGGATATCCACATCCTCCCCCTCCCCCTCCTCGTTACCCGGTTGGGGGACCTGGTCCTCCAATGATGATGCCGCCGTATTCATTGCATCCTGGTCAGCCGCCTCCGCCCATGCCACCTTGGCAGCAGCCCCAAGCCATGAACCGACCCGCACATCTCCCTGCTCGTCCTCCGATTCCCGTAGGTCGGGGAGGTGGCTACAATCCCCGGGACCCATATCAATCGCGTCAAGAAGCACTTCCAGGGTATGGCGGCGGCGAATTAAATTACGGTTAGATTTGTTTGTCCAAGGTTCTGATGCGCGTCCTTGTCGTAGTACTTGCTCTCGTGGATTGTTCTCTTACTATTTACCCTCTGCACATACATACACTATACATCCTAACACTCGTCCATATCGTTGCATACATCCTCCATTACATTCGCAAGTTATCGTTGGCTATCGGACGTCCGTCGTAGTCTATACTACATACTGCACCAGTGCGTGTCATGTCATATAATCGTGCATCGACTTCCAAACGTCCAAGCTCAATTACTGAATTACATGCCGGCGTGCGCCCAAGCGTGCGTCTATATTATCCAGTGCTGCATATAGCCGTCGATTGTTCTCCCGAGTTTGGCCACATTTTCGTGCTAGTGAGGTGTTTTGTCCGATCCTAGCTTGTCTACATTTTTCCTTCACGCCTTCTGTGGGAGAAGCCGACAAGTCCGAATTGTAATTGTGAGCTGGTCCAGCCCGGGCGCATCGATATCGTAGGTGAGAATTGGGTGAGAACAACATTGGGGAGACAGCCTCTTCTATGGCATGCAACATTTTCAGCAGAAGGCAAGCCATTTATTTGGGTGAAGACGATATAAGGAACCCTTTGTATGGCAGTTGCAGTTGACCTTGTCTATTCCTATATGGCGCTACGTGTCCACGTTCTTAGTCTTACAGCCGTTCGCAAAAACAGAGTCATGTCAGTCCCGAGGCGGAAAAGAGCTCATAGAGAAAAAAGAAGGTAGTGAGAGTGCTATGCATGACATGGGATATTACAACAGACATATGACAACACAGAGAAAGAAACGCATAATGATATGCGAAAAACATAACCATCTGTAGACAAGTCAATGCTGCCCTAGGCCATTCGCGTTCGCAGGTGTGCCCAATGCACCCATACCTACCCGGTCAAGCCAAGTCCGCATGGCCTCCGCCGCCTGTAAAGTGACGGCTAGCTTCGAGGCCATCATGCCACAAAACTGCGCATCATGCACTGCGAGCAGCTCCTGCACAGAGTTTCTGAGCCCGTCGAGTAGAGGCTGGACCTCTGTTCGGACGAACGCCGTGAGCGATGGCCGAACGGCGTCGAGGATCTGGTCTACATCCCACGGACAGGTAGTGATGGTCGCGGGAGGAGGTTGCGCTAGCCGCAAGATGACGGCGGCATTAAGCACGCTAATTTCCTTCCGCATGGTTTCCAAGCTGGTTTTGTAGCTTCCCTGCAACTAGACCTATGTGTTAGACACGGCTGTTCGGTAAAGGGAAAGCCACTCACTTCTTCGATCTGCTTCTTCAGCTCATGGTTCTCCAGCTTCAGGCGTTCGCTCTCGATGAGCATTGTGCCGCGGTCACGAATGAGGCCTCCAACCTCCTGCGCGAGCTCCGCGATCTCCTCGCCTGTGGTCGTTACCTCCTTCTCCAGCGACTCCAGTCGTTGCGCTGCGCCCTCGGAGAGTGAGGGTGACCGACGGCGCGCTGCCGCATTCTGAGCCATCTCCTCTCGCAGTGCAGTCACCTCCTGAGACATATCGCCGTACAGCGTGTTCACATTGTTTTCGACGCCAGCCAAGCTCTGCTCGAGGGAGTCCATCCGCTGCCTCATCTCATTCAATTCCGCGGCCTCGACCAACGTTGGCGCGTCGCTGCCACTACCGTCTGTCGACAATTTGCGCCGCTTCGCCGGCGTTGAGCTACCTTGTTCGGCGCGCACTCCACCAGCGTGCACGCGCGCGCTGACGGTCTGCAGCAGCTCACTCAGTTGTGCAACGGAGCTTCTCAGCTCCTCAATTTGTGTGACAAGCTCGGTATTGGAGGGCGGTTGTTCAGTAGCGAGCGCGGGCAAATCATCGACCTCCGCTAGGGCCGACACTGTGCGCTTGAGCTCGGCCTCGCGTGCAGCGCGGCGGGTCTCGAGGTCCGAGACGTGCGCCTGCACCCGTGTCTGCTCTTCTTCAGGCAGACTCGTGAAATGTGACGAGCCCACGAGCCGTGAGAGGTCGCGCAAATCACGATCGAGCTTCTCCCTTTCAGCACGGACGGTCGTCGCGGTGGAAAGAATTCTACGCAAGCCTACGTCAGACAAGCGGACAAAGGTGGACAGACGGTGCTCTGACTTACTCAATGCGAGTTGCCCATGTCTTGCGTTTGTCTTCGGCGGTGAGCACCGGGTCTGGTTGTGCCTCCGCCTTCACCGAGTTTGTGATTGATCTGGGCACGACTTCCACGGGTACCACCTCGGGCGCGGTTGCCGCAGGCATGACGATCTTCAACGTACCCTTCTTCATCGGCGCATCACCAACCCTGGCCGCTGCAAGAACCGGAGATTCTGATAACTTGATAGCAACATTATCAGACGTGTTGGATTTGGGGAGGCTGCCTTTGCGACTGTCATGGATTGGAGAACGTCGCTCGGTCAACCTCCCTGGGGACAATCGGTGCGGCCGAGTGCGAAATGGAGAGGAATTTTCACTGAAAGACACTGAGTCGTTTCTCCTTTGGCGCTCCTTGCTTCGTGAGCGGCGGCGGGGAGATACCGAGCGAGACTTCGGTCGGCGGCGCGGCGAGCGACCGGGAGAACGTGAGCGGGCTGGAGAATGCCCCCCTCGGTTGCGCGGGACATATGGGGAACGGGGACGATGATGCACAGGAACTATTGGCGGACCGTATACCTTGTCCATTTCCTCGTCTGCGAGGAGGTGTGGCGCCGGCTTATCACGGCTCGTTAAAGCTTGCTCCCAGCCTGGTTGGTCCGGATGTTTGAATGTACAGTTTAGACGAGTGCAGCCCCGCACAGTAGTGGTACCGCGGTGTAGGTATGGCTTGCCTTCATTATCATACCACTGTGATTGGGGTAAGCTTCAAGATGGTTGGTGTGAAAGAACGAGAACGAACGAAACACCGCACTGTCCTCATCTCGGTGAACACGTCCCTTCCGCCTCAAGGTCTTGCCAATATTTCAGCTACTGCAACTGGAATTAGGTGCTTAGAGCGGTCGAGTCTAGCCAACGTTTAGCTGAGAGTCAAGATCGTGAAGTATGCTGGTGTCCAACTCTGCGTTAAACAGCCGTGCCTTACCAAGGCCTTATGAACTCTGTTGTGAACGTCCTGCTTGAGTCTCAGAGATATCTTGCTGAATAGGCTGAACAAAGAACAGAACGGCGTCGTGAAAGCTGGCTTGCATAGAGCGCCAACTTCATGATGAACATGAGGGTCATCTGCCGAGCGGCGAGCACGCACATGCACATGTACACGAATAAAAACTATGATTTAGCAGAAAGAGCTCTGTACCGGTCTACCACAGAACTGCACGCGGCATAGTCAGGCGGGCGTGCAGTGAGGACAAGCAACAGAACTCTGAATGTCAGGCAAGTCTTTGGCTCGGGACGGAGGAAGGAAAAGACAATCACTCCAAGTTCCGGCCTGCCACTGCATCTCATACACGCTGGCTTCAGATACTGATACATTTTGCAACATATGCATGGTAGGATTGCATATCACATAAAGCTTGCGGCGGCGGAAACAGTAGTAACAGTAGGAAGGAGCACAGAAGATAGAGAGAGCGCGAACACGATCACTGAAACAAAGATGTATCAGAATAATCCTACATCAAGGTGTCCAACATGGGCAACGTACGAATTGAAGTGCGGCACCCTTCGTCTTCTTCTCGCCACCGAGCTCGAAGCTGGGTAGTAGATATATTCATTAATATGAGGACTATGGGGCACTACAACGACGTACTGCTTGCAGCGCTTGAGTGACAACTGCATCTTGTATTTGCATACTGTGCACTCCAGTCTCAGCACGACCTTCTTCGTTGTCTTCGCCTAGCATACAAAAGAACCTCTCAGCTCCCACTCGCATGGCACAGAACCAAGACAACGTACCTTCTTGTGGAAGACGGGCTTGGTCTGACCACCATAACCTGACTGTTTGCGGTCATAACGACGCTTTCCCTGCGCAGCCAGCGAATCCTTTCCCTTCTTATACTGCGTCACTTTGTGGGGACTGCACACCTATCAGACCTCGCACCAAACAAACAGACGAAGACGAGACTCACGTGTGCTTCCTGCACTGCTTGCCCTTACAGTCTGTGTGTCCCTCTGTCAATAACTGTCTTCATGCGTGATCTATGACCGGAAACTCACAGGTCCGTCGTGTCCTGTTCGATCACAACGTAGTCAGTATCACAGCATATATACGCATATGTTCTGCACGCACTTGGGAATGTTAACCATTTCGATAGCGTCGTCGCCGTTGACGAAGTTTAGGGCGCACCGTGGTCTTGACTCTCGATAGTGACGAGCGGCAGTCGCCGATATGGCAAGCAGTTGCACTTTTAAAGTTGAAACTCCGTCTCAACTATTAGACCAAGTGAAATCATTCAGAGTGATCGAACATCTAAACATTACAGTATTGAAATACGTGCTGAGAAACATCTTCTCTCATGCAGGAGGTAAATGGTGGTGAAAGGGAGCAAGATCTACATAATGGCCTTACATCTAATTCGAATCCTCCGTTTCTACCTTCGTGTCTTCTGCCATCGCAGCACTCGCGTTCCAAGAGATCGCAGCGATATCACTCGGAGATTTGAACACCGTGGACAGCTCAAATCTGGCGTCACACCCTCTCCTGAACTCCTCCGTTCGCGGTGACTTGATCACTTGCAGGAAACCTACAACCTGCAGTGCAGTCTAATTTGTTGGGAAGATCAGCCAGAAGCATTCTTCTAAGATGATCGGCGCGCCGTACCTTGATATCCATATGTACATCGGGGGCAAGAATAGCAAAGACGGCATTTTCTACTTCTTCTCGTGTAGCCTGCAGCAGCTGAGACACTTTTGCCACCGCAAGGATCGCTTTGGCGTCGGTGGAGTGTTGTTGTAGGTGCTGCGAATTGAATACTTCCAAAGAGAGCTCTTCAGGCAACAACCTTGCGAGCGCAGAGGTGACTACCGGGCCAATGGGTGCAGGAGGATCTTGTGGCAGTGACGACACTAATGACAGATTATGCGTTATACCAAAATGAAGGTCTAAGGAACACTTGCCTTGTATTCGGAAGTGCGCAAGGCGAATATGCAGCTCAGGGTGATCGGAATCCAAAGAACGCGCGTTGTTTAACGCTTTTACCGCTTGCAAGTATTTCTCTGCAACACGAAGTAGGCTCAACCAGACATTTCAATGACAGTGTAGTGAGCTTACTGCGTCGGACCGCAACATCGTAAATAGCTATCCACGCATCGATATTGTCTTTCGCGAGCGTGCTCAACGGAGCGACCAACTTCGCCGCTCGTTCCAGCGGATCAGGCAACTGCAATAACTTCGTGCCATCTGGGTCATCGTCCTTCATGGGACCGGGCTCCAGGCCCTTGTCCTCGTTAGCACTCGGGGCATTTGGAGTGGCTGCGACAGGTGCACATATATGAGTACTCCTAGAGTGATTGTGGAGATAACGTAAATACCCTTCTTGGTCTCGTCATGGACCTTCTGCGCGGCCTTCTTGGCCTTTTTCTTGGCCTTCTTCTCCGCGTCCGTCAGATGTCCTATTGCAACAGGATACTCAGTGATCGGTGATTCGCCAAGTCGTAGAAACCCAGACCTGTCGACGTGGAGCTACTAGCGAGGGAAGGGTCGTCATGTAGTCGTATGTAGATCTGCATAAAATTGTTAGAAAATACTGGTATTGATGTGGTAGCGGGATGCCAACACGAGATGCAGCCAGCGCCGTGTGGATATATGCTGGATGTGAGCGGAGATGATCTTCCCACGAAATCAGACTTTCACGACAACGCACAACACAACAAATCAGACACCGAAATAACACAAAGTCAAACACATACCCTAGGTAGGCGTTGATGGTGAAATGGCGGATGGAGTACCCGTGAAAATCGAACTGATCATCCTCGAATTCGTCGAAAACCTGGCAGGAGCGTCGTGCAGCATGAATCTCCGATCGACAGCGAACACCAGGCATGGATGGTAGCCCTGCGCAAGGTTTCAACAATTGCACGGACCTTTTGCACAGCAGTGTACCTCTTCAGAGCCAGCCCCATGTTGTCCTTGCGCACGTGCGCATCCGCCTCCTCCATGAGATACAGCAATGACTGCATTTCCTCCAGATCCGCGCCTGGACTCGGTGCATCTTTCTGACCGATCACAGACACGCCGCGTGAGTTCACCACTGAGGACCGATGCCCCGCCACTCACCTTGGTGAACAGACCGAGAATGTCATTCGCTTCGTTGACCAGGTTGGCTCTGAGCCTATACTGAGCGCATTTCGTATTTAAGAACCGATCTTGGAGGTCTAGCATGCGCGCCTCATCCATGAACCGTGCTGCGCCTATGAAATCGCCACAACGCTTCAGCACCCGCGCTTTAAACATGTACAGCTCCGGCAAGGTAGGCGTATGAGTAATGGCCACGTCCAGTAGGGAAATTGCACGCGTGTGCCGGGACAACTTCGAGTGGTGTTGGGCAAGGAAGTAGAGAGTCCATAGGTAGGTTGTCGGTTCCGATGCTGCGTCTGATGCAGGTTCCGCTGCCAGCTTCTCCCGCTGCGCCTCGACGACCTCTTCGATCACCTGCTGCTTCGATGGGTCCGCATACAGCGCCTTCACGTCAGAGAATAGCGACGGAATGCCCTTTTCAAGTCCAGACACCAGGTATGACTCAACGAGCTCTCTGAATTTGTCGCCTGCAGAGTGTGAGCTGCTACCATAACTACGCGCACGGACACAAACATACCAACCGCGATGTTCAGCCAGAGACGTCGAGGCGCACTCGCCCGCGGTATCTGTTCCGAAAACTCGCCTAGATATCGCACCGCCTGCTCGCGATTCTCGTCCGTGATCGTACCTGGGCCTGATCAGACGTCGCGCTGCCTGCTCAAGAAAGAACGCGCACCGAGCTCGATACCACGGCTCGACAGGAAGCCGCTATAATATTCATGGCAGTCCGGATTCTGCTCAATCAGCGCCTGCCACGCGTCGTCCGCGCCGTCCATCCCGAGCTTCGACATCAGCCGGGCTGCAGCGAGCACTCAGTCTCGCACACCACGACATCGCGCCGCCCGCGCACGCGCACACCACGCACCTCGGAACTCCATGATGGCCATCCGATCGATGATCGCCCGCGACTTGGCGTTCACGTCCAGCAGCGCCAGCGCCGAGCTCGCCTCCCCCATGTCTTCCAGCAGCCGGACGTGGTAAACCAGCGTCTCCGAGTGCTCCGAGTCGTAGTCTGGGACGTTCTGCTCATGCATGTGGACCCCGCGCCCGGACTCGAACCCGAACCAACCCACGCACCTTCAACGTCGATTCGTAGTGCTCCAGCACCTTGCGCGCCTCCGCCAGGTTCCCGTTCAGATGGTACGCGACCGCGAGCCCGATCCAGTGCTGCCGCAGCGTCGGCCGCAGTCTGAGCAGCGTATGTCGCGTCTCCACCAGCCCGTCGAAGTTGCGCAGCTGCGTCTGCAGGAGCGCCGCGTCCCGCAGGATGTTCAGGTTTTCCTGCGAGCCGGTCAATCGACCGCCCGTTTGCAGAGTCGGACTGCTCACCTTGTCGAAACGCAACGCCTGTGTGTACGATTTCAGCGCTTCCTCATAGTTTTTCTCTCCCTTCTGGATGAGACCGAAGACGTGCCAGCAGATGTGGGACGTCAGGTCGAGCCGGATACCCTGCTTGACGAGATCGAGGCCTTCCTCTCTTCGTCCCATGTGCGTGAGGATGAGACCTTTCATGCAGAGGGTTTCTGTGCGAAATATGTGTTAGCTGAGCAATAACATACGAGTGCCAACAGATGGCAGCTTCGTCCAGTCATGCCTATCACACCCGATCTTGAGGGCCTACATGTAGAACGACGTACCGCCATGTTCTGGAAACTTTTTGAGGATCTGGTCAGCGGTTTTGAGGCCTTTCTTGAGCTGCTTCGCTTCGTAGAGGCCAAGTAGTTCTTTGAAGAGTGTAGCCTCCTTCGAGGACAATACTCGTTTGGCGGGAATCCCTGATGGAGGCATAGGACAACCACAACACTGAGTCGGACGACTAGCAGGACCGTGACAACTAGAGAGGTTCGAGAACGTCGAGGACGATGAGGTCGGCAACAACACCTCACAACAACGCGGTACGCGCTCACACTGCCGGCCACTTCCCCTCACTCTTCCACTCTTTTCATGACCTCGCCACCGTTTTTGATCTCGGATTGACAGACAGATATCTGACTGTTCATCTCTCCCAAAATATATTCTACAGTATGAGTTATGTTTATATGCGCAGTCCATTACTGAACCTCCTTCACGTAGGCATGGTTGCTCAGACACGAACAGGGGGCCACAGTAGCCCAAAGAAGCTGAAGTTTCACGACAAACTTGTCGGGAAAGGACTATCTACTGATGCGCTCCTCAAAAAGTTGAAGGCCCTTCATACAGAGCTCGCAGACATGGACCAAGAGCTCGTTGATGTCAACTCGTTGTCCGCAGTGCGCAAAGAGCTTGTCAGCACGTCCATACTTCTTCACAAAGACAGAGGCGTCAAGGCCTACGCTGCATGTTGTCTTGCCGACCTTCTGAGACTCTATGCTCCAGACGCGCCGTATACCCACCACGAGCTTCGAGACATCTTCCAGTTCTTCTTCAGGCAACTATCTACTGGTCTCAAGGGCTCCGACTCTCCGTACTACAACGAGTATTTTCACCTGCTTGAGTCTCTATCGACTGTCAAGAGTGTGGTCCTCGTCTGTGATCTTCCAAATGCCGACGAACTCATGGCCGATATATTTCGTGACTTTTTTGGTTTGGTCAGACGTGATCTCGCGAAGAAAATCGAACTGTTCATGGCCGATATCCTTATTGCTCTTTTGGACGAGTGTCAGAATTTGCCCGCTGATGTCCTCGAGTGTATCATGGCGCAATTTATGGATAAGAATGCTGTACGTCGGCCACGTTCTAACTATCAGTTTACGGCTAATGCTTTTGTCAAAAGCGCATGGATCAACCAGCTTACCGTCTCGCCGTTCAAGTGTGCAACGCGACATCTGACAAGCTGCAGCGCCATGTCTGCCAGTATTTCACCGATATCATTGTACAACATTCACGAGACGAAGAATTTGAGGAAGTTCGCACGGCACACGACCTCATTAAGCAACTCAACCGCTCGTGTCCAACCCTTCTTCATAACGTTGTTCCCCAACTGGAGGAAGAGCTCCGTGTAGAAGAGAACCAGATCCGCGTCATGGCCACGCAAGTCCTCGGCGAGATGTTCGCGGATAAGGGTGGAACAGAATTCGTGAAGAAATATCCTACAACATGGAATCAATGGTTACTCCGGAAGAATGATAAGGCATCAGTGGTCAGAGTGGCATTCTTGGAAGCAACAAGAGGGGTGCTCGTTAATCTGCCTGAGATGAGGGATCCGATTGAAGGTATTTGTTCTTTCTCTGTATGCAACGGTTCCTATCCTGATCTCCATTCATAAGAGGCACTCCGTCTCAAATTGTTAGATCCTGATGAAAAAGTCAGAGCTGCTGTCTGCAAGCTGTATTATCAGCTAGATTACGAAACTGTTCTTCACTACGTCTCGGAGAAGCAGCTGCACTCTGTAGCCGGTCGCTGTCTTGATAAGAAGGTACTGTCTCCTCGACTATGTGGCAGAAAGTCACCTCAATTATTTCATACCTTTCAGCATTCAGTCCGTGTCGAAGCTATGAATGCAATTGGCCGGCTCTACAGTCTTGCTTATCCTGAGATGTAGGTATATTCCGATTCTTCTCTACTTTTCGCTTAAAACTTTGTCCATAGCGAGAACAGCGATCCGGCTTCTGTGAAACATTTCGCCTGGATACCAGAAGCAATTCTGCACATGTCTATGACCACGGGAGAAGTGAAGTCAGTCAGAGTCTGTGCAGAGATCGGACTGTCTCACTTACGTGACCTCGCTGTCTGTGATAGAGCTGTGGCTGAGCAAGTCATCGCTGAATACATCTTACCCCTGCCCTCGCCACCATCATCATCAACTTCCAAGAACACAGAAATCGACGAAGCAGCATGGACGGATCGCCTCTTATTCACCATGCGATTTTTGGACGAGACCGCCATCAACGCCTTGCTGAGCTTCTCAGCATTGAAAGTAACGTGAGTTCAACCTAGCCGTCCCCTTACCTTGACCATTCACAAACTTCTTACCAGGCGGCCCACCGGGTTTGAGAAATTCTTGCAATGTTGCGTCGAAAATAATGTCTGTCGTGTTTTCACTTACACTCTGTGCATGCGATGAAACTCAATTGTAATAGGGCGGTGTTATCGACGATAATGAGGAAGCTATCACTGAAAGACTCAATCAGGGAATTAAGCGCATGTCAGGTCGGTCGGGATCATCTTTCTTTCTCCATCGCTTATAAATTGATTCGTGTGATCAGCGCTATTCCCGGACCCGCAGAAAGCCGCAGAGGACCTGCATGCATTCGCGAAACTGAATGAAAACAGGCTCTACAAGTTATTAAGAACATGCATGGATGTACAAGTGGATGTGAAGGGCCTAGTGAAGGCTTCTGTGAGTAATGTTTGAAAACTTCCTCCTGAATTCACTCATTGTGGTCTTCTAGAATGACTTCATGCGACGAGTCGAACAGCTGTCTTCATCTATCGTGCCGACGATGACAATTCTACTACGGCGTGCGAGTCTCCGGATTGTGAACCAGTCATCAATTCCCACATTCGTAAAGCGCTTGCAGAAAGGTGATGCAGGAGGTGACGGACAGGGCTCGAGTCAGGCGCAGGTTTCGGCGCGCAACGCTCAAATCTGGATGAACTACGTTTCGAAGCATTGTCCTGCGATCTATCAATCTCACATTGGAGAGCTCTCCAAGGCGATTGCTGATGAGAGGAATAGCAGACTAGTTGAGGTATGCCTTCAGGCTCTTTCAGCAGTGGCAGGTTGGGATAACAAGTCAGCGCCTACTGACAAGTATGTGGCGAATGGGTTTCTCTTGTTGTTTTTGTTTGACCTGACGGATTTGATATGACAGGCGCACCATGGAGCGAGTCATGCGATTTGTCATGGAGTCCAATCACCGACACGCCAAGTTCGCCGCGCGGTTATTGGCTTATTCCAAGAACTCAGAAGGCCTATGTGAGCAGGTGGTAGAAGTCAGTTTTTCACTGATGCCTTTGTTCTGGCTCGAGAGTTGATCTTGATCTCGTTCGTTACAGTCAATTGCGGATGGACTTCAGGACGCGGATCCCGAGCTGCGTTTAGCCCACATTGCAGTCCTATCACAGTTTTCCCTACGAATGCCAGATGCTTTTGAGCCAAAGAGTGATGTCATCGTGGCCTTCCTCCTCAAGCAAGTTCTTATGGCGCCGAATGAAAATGTGGGCCTATGTTATTATAGCTATGATAAACTAATCATATCGCTACCAGGAATACATGGAGACCGACGAGGAGAATGTGGAGGAGTGGGGAGAAGAGGCCGACGTGACCTCGGAAGTGAGGGCCAAAGTTCTAGCTCTCAAAGTCTGCCGCAATAGGTGTCTTGCGCACGCTGCGGATGCAACGGCGCTCGAGATAGCAAAGCCTGCATTGAAGATGTTCGCAACGTTGCTGCAATACAACGGCTCTCTGAGCGCAGGGGCACGGGATGAGTAAGTGCATGCCAATATCGGTCATGGTTCGGCGACAGGACTAAGTACATTATCAGTCCGAAGACGAAGTCGCGCATGAGGTTACAGGCCGCAATCTCTCTGTTGCATCTAGCCAATGTAGAAGCGTTCATGCCCGAGATCTCCCCTGGTTTTGTTGTTTTAGCTCTCATGGTCCAGGTGAATACCTACTATATCTGCATCGGAACGACGAAAATCACTGACATCTGTCTGATGTATAGGACTCGTGTTTCCAAGTTCGCGTGCAGTTCATGGACAAGTTAGTTACCCTCTTAACTGCTCGCAAACTACCAGTCCAGTTTAATGTGCTTCCATTCTTGTCGGTACACGACCCGGAAGCTGATATTAAGAACAAGGTAAGCAGATGTGGTTGTGCCCGTTCAGCCAACGTCATTCAACATTCTGTTTTAGGCGAAGGCATACGTGATCCATTCCATGCGCACCATGCCCAAAGGTATGAATAACAGCTCCTGTCGTGGGCCAGTGCTGATACGCATCTTACCAGCAATCAGACTGGCGAGCTTTGAGATGCTCTTCATTCGTTTTCTGCACGTACTAGCACACCATCCTGATTTCTCGCTTACACCTGATCCCTTTCGTGATATTGCCAAGTAGGTGACCGCTTATCCTTGGGTGTTATTGCTCACACCTGGCATTGCTAGAACTATGGATTTCTATCTCGACCTCGTTGCATCGAACGAGAACATTGCCTTGTTATACCATCTAGCTCTGAAGGCGAAGACTGTGAGAGACGCTGAATCGCATACCTATAGCGAGGTAATATACTTGTCAACTACGTTGCACCTTTGGAGGCACTCAACATCGGACCACAGAATCTCTATGCCGCGAGCGAGCTAGCCCAACACTTGATCAAGGCACGCGCCAAGTTACACTCATGGAGTCTAGAGAGCTATCCAGGCAAAGTACGCTTACCGGGTGACATTTTGCGACCTCTGCCCAATCCAGAGGCTGCCAAAGAGGTGAATGGGATCAATCTTAGTTCTGAGTGTGATCATTCTAACGCGCCATCGCTCTGGCAGATCATGAAGACCGTATACTTACCTGACGAAGCACTAGCATGGCTCTTAGAGCAGCCAAAGCAGCCAAAGCCTGGTCAGGAAGCAAAGGTATATGTCATCGATCCCGTATCAACTAATTGTCAGATGGATGATTTTTCCCTTCAGGAAAAAGCTCGTGCAGAACGCAAAGCCGGAGCAAAACGCAAGGGTGCAGCAAAGACAAATGGCCATGCAAAGTGAGTTCTATTTACAGTGCCTCGATGGCTGGATCTCATATCATAACGTAGGCGGGCTCGCACGAAGCGTCGAAAAGCAGATGATTCGGATGAGGAAGAATCCCCTCCTTCAGAGACGAGTGAAGAAGATGAAGAGGAGGAGCCGGCTACAGCTAAGGAAGAGGAGGCGGTATCTGAGTCCGAGGACGAGGCTGAGCAACCAGAAGAGGAGAAGCTAGGTAGAGGGGCAAGGACACGGGCCAAGGTGAGTTTATATCCCCGCGATGCGACTGCATGCACATAACGTCCAATAGGCGAAGTTGAAACAGCAAGCGAAGAGAGCTGCGAAACGCAAGGCGAAGGCCCCTTTGCCAGATAATTGATGCATGTCTACTCACGATCGATAATGCCCCTTGTGAATATGTAGATACCATTTCCTGTAGATGTTCGTTAGCGGATGGTACTGTATCTCTGACTGCAATTTTTCCCTGTTGTCTTTGCACGGTCTTTATTTTTATATCATCTAGGCTGCTTCTCGTAGAGTCGTACTTGACTCTGTTCGGATTACGATATGGACCCGGATCATCAGATTGGCGATTTCAGGCCGGTAAGATACCTACCTACTCTACTATCCTAGGCACAGTTCTGCAAAGTGCGCATCAATATGCAAAATGCGAATATCTCGTCCAATTCTCAAAAATATTTTAATGGGTTTGGTTAGTAGTTGTATGGACACTATCTAAACATGTTTCAACCCTGTGTATGATAATTTGTTGATGTGGAAACAAATGGGAGAGCGATTGCATGGTTTTGCACCCCAATGTAAGTGCCGGAAATACAGCTGATGTGGAGATCCTTCTTGCAGTACTCATCCTAAAATTTTGCCACCCATAATATAAGCCTTTTTAACATGGAGCTACCTTCAGAGTGACCCCGATTGACGCCATGCGAAGTTGTTCTTGCTCTATGCTATGTTGCGAGAAAGACGCGTTACATCCATCCGCCACAGCGTGATGAAATTCAGACTCCGTCGCCCAAAGCGGCTTTGCAGAACTGTGCACACCGCTTGCGTTGACCGAGCCATCAAATTTGCCGGGCATGCCGAAGGGCGCTCATCGTGACAGGCTTGTGACGATTTTGCATTACCCTGCGCACTTGCACTCTCGTCACCGGAAGGTCTCCGAGAACATAAGTTCTGGGAATTTTAACATGCTACTTTGATAACCTTGTAGAGGGGACATTATTGTACATAGACTGCAAGTTTCAAGGGATTTCATGAAGTTGTCAGGGAGCTATGAGCAGCACACTGAAAGAGTTTGCAGAACTGTGCCTAGGATAGTACCTACCTACCTTTGATCAATTGGAGCGCGATGCGTGACGCGTGACTGACGGTACCGTTTAACTACTTACCTTGTGAGCTTAATTATCTACTCAGCTCACGCGCCAACTCCGCATTCATTCATCTTCCTGCCCTTCTTACGCGATCCAAACACCACAATGTCGGGGCAATGTGCGTTTACGATCTAAATGAAAATATACTCTGGAAGGTGCTAACTCCAATCGAGAAAGCACAATCACAATATGCCGCAGCTTCCCGTGTTCCTCTGATAAAGTCGCCTAGTCTTCGCGTGCCGCGACCAGTGAGTTCATTTATTTGGTGTCCGGGGAAATCACTTAGATACAGTGTTCGTGAAACAGGTTGAGTTGCCTCCAGATATTCATCCATTGCCTGACAACGTTACTGCATATGTGAGTGATCATCCCATAATCCACCCGTGGTAATCCTGAAGCGGTCTGTGCACTGCAAGTTCGTCTATCCTTTTACCCTTGAGCCCCATGTGCTCACTCTGGAGGATTCTCGGAGATCTACGCTTGCTGCGCATACAGCTCGTCGGGAAGCCTTCCTAAAAGCCCGGGAGGACGAGAAGGAGCGGCGGAAACTCGAGGCTCTTCATCGCATCGCGCCCGGTTTTGAGCCTCGAGGTACGCCGCTCGTCCCTGTCAAGCGATTTTCCATGGTCCCAAGCCCACCGTCGCCTGTGTCTCAAGAGAACACGGGGCACACTTCTTCCAAGTCTGTCATGGAAGATCTCGTAGATCAGCTGGCTGCACTATGATTCGAAATGATTTTCTCTGTCTTGTCGTAGTTATGTTATTGGCAATGTAAAACGTCAGCAGTGTGTACTTATGATGAATGTACATTCACTCTACGAAGTCACGTAATCAGACACGGATGGTTGAAGCAGGGTGGCTACAACTGCCTTTGGGAGACTAGTAATCACCGCACCTACTTACCTACCGCGGTCCAGGAAGATTTTGCAGGGAACGTGACCGGGGGCAGGGTTGCTCAAAGGGGAATTCCGAGGACCCCTGCCAGTGCGTCAGAATGACGCACTGCATCTTGTATTTATGTGACTTGGAGAAGTACATAGAACATACAAACATTCAGAACTTGCCACCTTTGCTTGATCATCTACCTCCAACTTGTTCGATTTATCTGCTCGAGCGACGTCGCGATGGCGAAGGGGAAGTCCTCTGCAACGTCAGCAACCCGTAAGAAACATGCCAGAAAAGCTGCGGGACATCTCGACGAGCCAGCTGTGCCGAAAGAGAAGAAACCGAAAGGAAAGGACAAGAAAAACGTGGAGCCCAGGAAAAAGGTGTACATCCCACCAGTGAAGCCGGCACCAGCCCAGCCTGATCCTCTCGATACACTTGGCCTCGCACAGAGGCTACCGCCGGAGCTGTTGGTGGTGCTCAGGAGACTTCCAAAGAAGGATGCAACTACCAAGAGAAGAGCATTAGAAGAGTTTCAGTCTGCATGGGTGGATCGAGGCCGATTCGAGGGTAGTGACAGTACGATTGTGCATGCCCTTGTGGACGCCATTCCCGTCTGGGTATGTCTCGGTATTCATTGTATTCCTCGAATGTTGTCTTATCCCGGCTTAGCTTCACCATGTTCCTCCGCTGTTTCTTCACCCTTCCCGTCGTATCCGACTGCTAGCCGCAGGAGTGCACTCGTCCTTGCTGCGTTTGCCAGGCTCAGTCCGGGATCAGCTTCTATTTTTCATACGTGAAGTCGCATCCATGGACCAAGCGCAGTACATTCTCGGGTCGTGGTGCATGGCAGCGCATGATGTTGATCGTCAGGTCTCCGCTCTTGCCCGGGACTGTTGGAACGATGCCGTCTCGCTCTCCAAGGCATCTGGAAAGAAACTTGTTCTGAATGAAAGCCTGCTGGCCTCCCTGTGGGAGTTCATACAGAACACGCTTCTTGATCCCATGGCAATCTACCTGTACGTAAATCCTCCTCAGTCAGTGACCCCAGCGTCCGCACCCCACAAGAAGGGCGGGAGACCCGTTCCAAGATCCATTCCGCCAAGACAGGACGAAGATGCCAGTATCCGGTCAAAGTCCGAAGAAGACGAGGAGAATGTGCAGGACAGGATGGCAAGGCTACGGGTGGGGGCCTTCGGTTCAGCGGAGTGGGTACTAAGTGGGTGGTCCATGTTTTTCATGACGTACCTGTACGCAGTTGAAATAATATCCATGTTCTTCGGTCTCGCTCCTTTTTTTCCGCGCAGATGGCCATTTTGACATGGAAGATGGCATTATCCCAGAAGAGCTCCTCGCGCCGTTCTCGAACCCAGTTCTGTGGTCGGCGCTTTACCATCTGCAGACGCCGCCTTTCGTGCAGGTCCAGAGCGCTGGATACGGCCAACCTAATGTGCGCAAGGCGGCATGGTCTCTGCTCCAGACATTACTCCGGACATGTAGAGGTACATCAGAAGACCTTTTCTACTGTCGTGATCTTCGTGCTTATGCTAACGTCAGGACATCTCAAGACACAATTGCCAGTATTGAGCAGTGCTGTACTGCGCTCAGCTTGGATTGAGCCAGATCAGAACGTAAGAGGGTCCATGTGGCAGCCACTCCTCACGTTTTTGAAAGGTAAGTGGTACCTATCGGTGGTGTCCTTCGATCCAGATGTGAAGTTTCATCGCGTAGAATTTCCGAACGCTTGGGAAATTGCAGCCACATCCGAGAAGGAAGAAGAAGCAGACGAGTCTGGGTCTGATGACAGTGAAGATGAGACTTTAAGCCCAGCACAGAAGGCCCCAGCTGTTCCAGCTCTTGGCCCTTCTAAGGCATATCGAGAATTTCTGCAATTCCTTGAGCTGGGTTGTGCGGGCATGCCGCTGCAGGGTTATCCAACAGTGCTTGTGATCTTGTCCACTATCCCGTCTTCGGTCAGTTTTTTACCGAGCCCCCTTGGTTAACGCACTGAACTGTTTCTTCTCTAGATACTGGCTTCAACGTCATCCCTCTCCCCGCTGGAAGATCTCTTCGCCTCGTTTTGGGCCGCCATCGACGGGCGCGCTCTGAGTTCGCTGGACCGGACTACAACCTCTGCTGCGTTCCTCTCATCTTTACTGGAGTCCCTGATATTTTTCGTGCGACGTCTGATGAGCAGTGCACCTGAGGACGCGGCCCTCCTGGCGATGGGTAGCCCGGACGCAGATCCCAGTGCTTGCACTGAGGTCGCTAAGAAACTTGCCAGGGAACAGTTCGCCAAAGCGTGGAGGGAGCTCAGTGCGGGCCACTTGAAGGTGGAGAACGCCACTGCCGCGTCCCTACTAGCTCGGACCCTGCTGTCGCTGAATCGACTGGATACCGGTAGGCCGAATATCAATCGGATTCAGTGGATGCTTGGACTTAATGTCTAATCTACAGAATTGTTCCGTGCTGCATGGGATGTTCTGTCGTCGGGCGTGAAAGAACAATTTAAGTACAACAACACAGTTATTTCACCGCTGATCTCAGTCCTCCTAAAAGTCTTCCTGAAACAATTCCAACAGGGAAGCCTTCTCGAAGGTGCTACGAGGGTCCTCACCGGAGATGTCTTGCAAGCCGCCGTTCGGCAATGTGATCAAATGCTAAACTCCATAGATGCTCCTTCCGCCGAGCGCATCTCGTCGCTGGTGAATGTCTTGGACACATTTGGCGAAAGACTGTTTGACGATCCTGAGCTTGCCGCGGTGCGCAAGAGGCATGTATCATAAGACATAGCTGGTTCTCACCGTTCCATCTTTATATTCGCAGGGTATCGACGAGACAATTCAACGACATGCGTACCAGCTCATTTCCTTCGCTCCCTCCCTTCTACTTGTATATCTCTCGCACCGCAAGGATGATGCGCTGTGCTCAGCCCTATGGCACAGAGCCCTCCTGGAGATTGCATCGCATCCGGACACCGCAGTCACTACACTTCCGCCTCTTCTGGATGCTGCGGAGAGAGGATTCCTTCCTCAATACCTGAAGCATGAAGTGAATGAACTGGATGATCTGGCTGGTCGCCTGCTCACTGTGGCAGTGACTGGTACAATGGGAAATCCCGAACTGGCGCTTATTCAGAAATTGCTCCGCGTATCAGGTATGGTCCATTCTTGTAATACATACCGTTCAGTCTGAGTTTTTCATCCTCCGATAGATTTCTTCTTCTCGGCGAGTTGCACCCAGGGCTTGGTTGAGAGTATCTGCCATGCGTTCGCTCACCACTTCCATACCACCTTATACGACGAATCTGTGGCGTTAGACTCATTTGACACCCTCCTCGAGCTCGTCCGTGTCCTGGTGGAAAACCAGTCTTTACCGTTGCCAGCCAAGGTCTCTGTCGCTTTGATGCCGGACATCTTCTTGTTCGCCTTCTTACTTCCCCAGTTCCTGCAAGTAGAAGCAGAGCAGCTGCTATTAACTAGATCACTCTGGGAGGCTTGGCTGGCACAGGTGACAGAAGGTGTGCAGGAGAATGCTCGCGCAGTTATCCGTCGGAGACTTCGCGAGTTGCTCGTTGATTGTTCTGCACGACCGGCGTAAGTTCACCTCGATAACAGGCTGCTTTGGCTGACAATCTCTCCTCCAGCCCTGAGGACATACTGCAGATGCTGGTGCAGGATTGCCCCGGCTTGGCCGTTGATGTCGTTCACGATGTCTTCCCATCCAGAGACGACGTGGATGTCATGCTTGATGCTTTACCATCGATGCCTGCTGACCCAAGCTTAGCTGCAATGGATCCTCTTGTCCCACCGTCCTCTCAGTACGAATACGAATGGTCCCACACTGAAGCCTTCGACCACGCCGGGTACTCGGAATATTCGCGTATCATCAACGGTCTGTTATTACATCTCATCCAGGACCGCCAAGCTGCGAGAGAAAATATGTGGGCACTGCGGCATTTCCTCGCATTGTCTCTCTACGCAGACGATTTTGTCAAGGTCCCCTTTGCCCAGAGTCCGGTGTTCAAACCTCATCTACCGAAGACCGTCCTACAGGAATTGCAATCGCGGGTGCAGCAAGTAACGACGTACCTCCTGTCTTCTTCACAAGAGGAAGGTTGGCACGCCAGCGCTGTCAACGAGGTCCTTTCGGGTTCCGCGATCTCGCATACGGATGAGGTCGGGAGGCTCATTGGTGATCTGATCGAGCACGCGAAGCACGACGATACAGTGCGAGAATCTCGTATCCTCTACATGATCTTACAACATGTCCTCAACAACTCTAGCAAGGGAGAGGCCAATCTTTGGATGTCCCTATGTCGTAAGCTGGAAAAGTCAGGTCAGATTCTGCTTTCCTTCCCGCACCGAGACTTTCCTGAAAATTCCATACAGCCCCGCAGACATCATTAGCAATTGCACTTGCAGTCACGCGCTTCGCTCCCGAGCCGCCTCTATTGGATCGCTACAGAAATGAGTTAGCAGCGGCAGTACTTGGAGTCCGTCCCTCCAAGGCCAACACGGATGGTCTCTGGCTCTTACGCAGACTGAATGTTACTGCGCCTGATCCTGAATCGGACGTTGTCTTTTTGTCTCAGCCAAGAGCGGTGAACTTCATGAAGGCATGCCAGCAGTGGATTACGTCCGATGAAGATTTGGACGAGGAAGTCCAGGGAGAGATGACCTCCACCTTTTTCCATCTTGTACCTATCCTGCAGAACATGCCCGGTGCCCACTGGGATCTAATCTTCGATGTTTTGGAGAACAATCTCGAGGTACGTTTGAAACGCTCTGCATGAGGGAAGATGTTAACATCTGGGTCAGAACTCTTCCTTCACCGAACCTTCGACTTTGGTGACGTTGAGCAGATCATTACGGCTGTTCATCGCGATACAAGACTTGGTCTCCACGAACAAAGCTTTGCGTGCTGTATGGGAAGACAGACGGACAACTTGTCTCACATTAGTCCGTGACCTCGTGGCCACGAAGCTTGGTGAGAGGCATCTGTAAAGCAACATTCTCAGATAGCTGATTGCGCTTTTCATAGATGCGGATAGGTCATCTTTTCCACTATCCATCTGTCGCGAGCTCGCCTTGCAGATTGTCCAGGACCTTCCCACGTCTCTCATCGATGAGACCACGTTACCAAAAGCAAGTGATCTGAGTTGTCTCCCAAACGGTAGTTTCTCATGATGCCATCCAGTTCTGCCATATCATCACCGACGCTTCTATTGACGTGCAGCGAATGGGCCATCGACTCTTACACGAGGCAGCGAGGAAATACACCGAACATCTGGTCATTGAGGCAGCTGTTGATTCGGAGACTACCCTGCGGCCTGAACTCCCGCTGGAACTGGTCCATATCCTACAGCGCAATTTGAACTACGAAGACCCTGTGGAGCATGACGATCAAGTGCGTGTTACCTGCTGTCCTCATGTCTACGCACTTGGTTAACTTCGCTCACAGCAATTATCCGGATACCTCCTCGCGTGGATGATCGTCTTCGATCTGTTCACGAATGCAGTGTGTACATATCAAATGTCTGATCTTCTTCACCTCATATTATTTGTCTAGTCGCTGAAAGTCCGATCTGGGTACATTGATCATCTGCGAGATCAAAGTTTGGTGTCTTTATATTTCCTGCCCAGTATCCTGAACATTCTGGGATTATACGGGGGTATACTGAGGGCATTCAAACTCGATGTCTGGGCTGTAGACGAATACTATCTTGATTGTAAGAATCTTGATTTTCTGGTGAATATCGGAAGGCCTCATATTCTGCTCGACAGCCTATTCGACAGATTCTCCTTTAAGCCTCCGGCTACTCGCCGCTCATCTCTACTACAGGGCACTGCTAGTGGTTCCATCACTGATTCGGGATTGGTTGCGAGAGTGTAAAGACCGTCAGCTCTTTAACACAGTCACAGCTTACACGTCCAATTACTTCTCGCCGATCATCGTCCGAGCCGAATTGTCTGAAGTCAAAGATCCTGACGCTACGGCCGACCTGGTGGACGAGAATTTCACCCTTAAGACTGCAAGCGTTGTCAGCGAAGTGACAGCTGCGTATATAGTGGATGAATATCAGTTAGAGATCACGGTGAAATTGCCCTCGGATTATCCTTTGCATGGAATTGAGATCAAGGATACAAAGCGCTTGGGAGTAGCTGAAGAGCGGTGGAGGGCATGGGTGCTCGGTGTGCAACAAATTCTGTCCTTCAGGGTGAGTCCGTCGTCGATCCTGTCTATCCTGAGATAATATGGACTTCTCTCAGGGCGGTCGCATCGTTGACGGTTTCAGCTTCTTCAAAAAGAATGTGTCGTCACACTTCGAAGGCATACCTGAATGCGCCATATGCTATTCGTGAGTCGGGGGGTACCGATGCAGTGATGTCATCTCATGTGTTTTTCCTAGCATTATCAGCGCGACGGACGGTAGTCTACCGCGAAAGCCGTGCAGGACCTGTAAGAACCGCTTCCATGCCGGTTGTTTGTTTCAGGTTTGCCGTTCCACGTCTTCTTTGCATAAATGTTGCCGCTGACGAATCGTACAGTGGTTCAACACTAGCCACTCTTCCAGTTGTCCGCTGTGCCGTTCTGAAGTAATGTAATACGTTATTGCACTGTACTAAATGTATTGTACTACCGCTCCATCAGATGGACTTCGCTGCAAACCTAAGGTAAACCTAGGGGAGGACTTGAGCGGTTGTGGAAGATTTCCGGGGCGTTCAATGCGATAATACTATTTGATCGGTTCTGCATATAGCCAAAACACTCCAAGCTCCCTCCCTCCCAGCCCATCACCCGCAGACGGCTCTGGCTAGCGTGCGCAGTAAACATTAGTACTATGGTATCAAGCTCACAGGTTTCCGCTCTTCTGGTGGCTTTGTTCCCGAACTGCCTTGCAATGCTTGGGTGGATACGATCAGCCAACTGAGCTGCCCAAATAGGCAGGCGTTGATCATGAGAGCCTTGAACTTGACTCACTTAGCCCCAGAAGGGCCTACTTCTGCTTGCTCATTCTTAGCCACTGGAGGAAAAGCGTGAGGCAGAAATGTAAGCGAGAGATGTAAAACGTTCTCACCTACCTTCTTGGCTGATGATGCGGCCATTAATATTGTCCATTGAAGCCAGGGTTCCAAGCAAGATGTCAGCGCCATGACTCACGGGAATTCTCCACGGGCACTAAATCCGAGCATCGCTTGACGGTGCCGCTACCATCCAGAGCAGTCGCCCAGTGAGAAAGAACTTGCGACTCGTGCGGACGAGCAGCGGGGACTACATAGATATCAAGATATACAATGAATCTCGGGATTATCTGTCACTCGATCTACCGCCAATGTACTCTCCCCGCAACGTGCATTCTGTTGTGCAGCCACCCTGCGTAGCTCCGCACTTCCCGGCGAATCGTCTTGGAACGCTTGCTAGGTAAGTGTTGAGTTCATGATGGCTGTGCAACCAATATCTAAACCACGGGCTTGGGTTACGTCTGCTGGTAATGTAACGGGAGCCCGCAGGCCCGCGATCATGATGCCATCCTTTGTGCAGAAGGGTAGGTTTCTCAAGCTAAGGGGTCGATATCATTTGTCGTGTAAGGGACAGAACTGGCGTTGATGAACGCCGCCATGTGGTTAGAACGACGACTTGGATTGGCTGATAGCTGGCGAGCGATAACTCAACCTCCGCAACGATATCGTGGAGTGTAGAGAGAGGTAAGCCGAGCGCATCTTCGACTAAGATCATTGTTGTAGATGCGGCTGGCAGGAAATGCACCCGCACATAGCATGGCCCTGCAGACCGCAGCAGGACACCGATGTCTCTTGCGGCGATTTAGTCGAGCTCGCCAATGCTGTTCATCGCACGGTCTTCCGCAGCCTATTCATGCTGCACTCGCGTTGAACGTATAAATAAAGCCAGCTAACGTCCAGTAGGTTCACCATCCCGATGCCTTGGAGCATGTCGTCTACATACCACCTTCCCTTCCCCAGTTGGCGGCACACCCTATTCTAACGACTTCGCTCCCTCTACAGTATTCGCCGTGCTTTATGCTCTGCTCCTTCCCATACATATTTATCACATGAGCTCCAAAAGAGCGTCGAGCGGTACGTGTAAAACCCACTTGAAAATCCAAAATATTGTCTCATGATGTCGATTCAGTGTCGTATTCTTCTCTCTCCGGGCGCTGGAAGCTCGCAGTGCCTCTGAACGCCATTCTGTTTCCCTTGTAACGTACTTGCAGTAAACCCTCGCTGCCGGTTTATCCATCGGCCAAGACCTGGTGACGCTCATCCGCTGTGTCCCGGTCAACTCGACCAAAGCAAAACCCACTCACCGCACGAAACCAACGACGCCGAAGCACAAGAGCCCTTAGCTGGGCACGCGTATGCGATATTCCTCTCTTCTGGACCCTTGGATGAGCTAGCTATGGACAGACCGCGAGAGCGGTTCTGGTTGCACCGCACCTGCAGAGCCGCTAGCATCATCTTCTGGGTTTCGGTCAATCCTTTCTGCCGTATCGGGTGCCTTGTATACCAAAGCGGTCGATAGTGGCAATGAGGCGAACCTCGTCCAACAGCTAAGCCTCAGCACCCTGTGTGTCCTGACCGAGGTTGTCTCTACAGGTATGCGTACTGCCGTGGCATTTGTCCTCATCGGGGCAGTTTGCGGTGGTGCGATGCGGGGATGGAGGACGGTACGTATCGCTGGCAAGCCTGCGTTGGTGCTGTCTACTGTGGCCTTCTTGCTCGTAGGTCTTCTTATTTACCTATCATCCGCCTATACTAACTGTGTCTTCAAGATGACCTTCTCCGTGTACCGTCTGGACATCATGCACTTCAAAACAGCGTCTCTAGAGTAAACAGGCCCCGGCTCTCTCAATAGCACGGGGGACGAGGTAGCGTTCTACATCCTCCACGTTGCGCTGAAGTGGCTCAGCGTGGTGATTCTGCTGAGCGTGAACATAAAAGAGACCTTCGGGACCGGCTCTTTCGAGGACTGGCAATCTGTTGATGACAATAAGTAAATTGTACGAGGGCACTTTCTTGAGACAGACAGCACTTGTCGTCTGCCTTCTCCATGTATTATCCAGCATTCTTTCTGTTGATGTATTATTGGCTCCTGGTCCGCACACAGCCAAGGGTAACCTTGTAAATACGGATTTATGGACTTTCTATCTAACTCAACTTACTAGATCCACTCGTTACCACGCATGCCTGTAGAAATATTGCATGTACTTGCGTGTGTTGCCCGTGTTATCGTCGTTCCAACATCGTCAGCCCGACGGGTCTAACTTTCAGGATACGGCCGAGCGTGCGACACGTCTGACGGGGACGGGCACTGCGTGTTGAACGTCCGGCCATCATTTCCGTCTTAAACTTTTGACACGATGCGGGAGACACGGCAGTGAGCGTCCTGGCGGGTGCGAATCATGTGTTACAGTGCACGAAATCTGACCGAAAGATTTCTGAAGCTTTGAGGAACGCTGCATTACTACCGGCTGCCGGCCCAAAGCCTCCAGCGGGCTCTGTATCAAGTGCTTGCGTAGGAACATCCACGGTGTGGAATTCGGGGCCTAGGTACAGTCTCGTCCACTGCGTTGCCTGAGAGACTTGCGTGATTTACGGGATGCAAACAGACGAAGAATCTGTGTTGCCGTCTTTCTGTGCTTGTTCGTGCTTGGCTAGCGTCTCGCCCTGATCTTTGAAATGTTCAGTATCGTCAGTACTTGGTCACCGTGGGTTTCCCAGAAAACATTACTTAGATCATGACCTCCTACTTGATTATGCGCTCGGATCTTGATCCAGATTATGCAGATTCACGACGATTGAGAAACGTGCTCCGAGATCCTCGGCATAGCAGAAACCTGTTGACTGAAGAGTGCAGTGCGTGAGCTGCAAACCTGGTAGCCAAAATTCGGGTGCACTAAGACTGGACTTCTGTAAATTTTTGCTTCCGTCCAAAATTTGAATATGGCGAGGAGCACGAAGAAAAAATTCACTCCGAAATAGAGAGGATTTGCAACCGAAGCGGGAGGTGGCCGGTTGTCTGCCGTTGCGGATCGGGACGGACAAACCCGGTAACGGCGATTCGTCTGCAACTTTCTTGACCACCGCGGTCCGCGTCTGATATGTTCTCGCTCAGATGCATATGTTCTTGAGGTTCTGGAGACGGTCTGGCTTTCGTTGGTTTCCGTGGAGTTCCGGCGAGAAGGGAAGAGGGGTATGCGATGTGTCTAGAATACTACAAGGATAAGTGCATGAGGTGCGCGAATTACTTACTCTGTCTCACCAGGAGGGGTATTCCAATCATCTAATGATACAACAATATGTACAGCAGAAGCCGAATAACGACACGCATAGCAAGCACCACAGCTCAATGCATTCGCGCTAATAGCGAATTCCTCCGCCGATAGTGGGCTGCGTGAGTTGCGTGCATTGGTCGGTGCGAACCCTGCGTCAGTTTTTGCAGTCGGTCCATGATGTCCCGCGCGAGGAATACGGTGCCCTTCTCCTCCTCGTACAGCGTGCATCGGTCGTCTATGGGCTCGAGAATGTGCAGGTCCGCAGGGTGCACCGTGGTGCTATGCGAATACCGGAACTGGGTGATGAATTCATGTCGGAACACGTTGACGTCCGACGCCATCAACGCGGATGACATGCCCTCTGGTGCAAGAGACGACACTGACCGACGGGCACGGCGGTCAGGCCTGGATAAGGTAGGATCCTTAATCAACTCACTTTGCACCAGACAGACGCTCCCCTTGATCTGTGCGAGCGCAAACTGGGCTGGAGCGTTCAATGCGGATGACTCCTCCGGCGCGACTCCTCGAATAGAATGGCTACTCGGCGACGAATTCGATGGCGGTGGCAAGCCGAACGAGGACGAGCTAGCGATGGGGTTCATGGTGGGCATTTGTTCGTGAGAGAGAGGGAGAGAGAACGATGTGAGGACGAAATAACGAGTTAGAAGAGGCAGCGCAATGCTTGGGGACAGACGAGTGCTTTTAAGAGACGAAGCTTGGTTTGAGCACGCCTGTGGCCCGATCACCGTGCATTTATAACATACCTCTCAAATTGACATGCTTCGACCACGAGGGGCCGGGACAGTCGAATTCTGAGACTCGTTCCGAATCGGAACTTTTGGAACCCACCCGCCACAGCTTCCAGAGTTAGCTATTCCTGTCAAGTTTCCGGCATCCAGACGCCAATCATGAAATTTTTGCTACATGCAAGAACAGCTGCGGTAGGTCCCGGCAGCGGTAGATAGACAAAGCGTCTGGCGAGTCAGTGAAATTTGATGCCGGCTCCGGAAACTGACAACGAACGAACGCCCGCCTGAACATGTCCGTGCGCGGCGGCGGTGCGCCTGCAGTGACCAGCATGGAGATGAGCTGGCTAATAGCGTGCAACATTCATCCTAGATACAGGCTCGTCTAGCGCAATCCAGTTCCCGCAGTCCCCTTCTAGCTCCACCCTCTTGTTTCCTGTCGTTCTTTGCCGCTGAGTTTCGACTTCGCGTGAGGTCAAATGACTCGACGTATTGAAACGCACCAAGAAGAGAACTGGGTTTAAGAGAGGGAACATAGGTACTTATCGAAACGTACGTGTGAACTATCGATGTAAGGAAGCGGGGATGAGTGCGTACGCTGGTCACTGGTATGTTTTGTCAGGAATGTCGTGACTGAAAGCAGCAATGACCAATCCCGTCAGATGTCGAGATTCTGTCTGCCCGTTGGCGACTTCTATCGTGGCGTGGTAAAACAGTTTCCCCGGAACGCTCGTACAATTCAGATTCTCAGTTGTCAGATGCCAGGAATTGGTGGCCGCTGCTGGTATAGAGAACATGAGTGGTAACTTCGTGTGCGTTCCTGTCCCACCTTATGCAAACGGCGGCCGAGATGCAATGCAACTTCACGAACACCCGAACTGACAAACAGGTCCACTGATCACCAAAAAGAAGTTTCCCTTCCTGAGTGATATCTGTCCCAAGCATAAGTAGGAAATCGCCGAAGGTACATGCCGCGGGATAGCCGCGTTCCCCCCCGGTCTACAGCAAGTAAACATAAGAACAATTACAGAGAGAAGGATAAGTACTGAAAGGCTCACCGCACGAAATGCGAATGCCTAGGTGTTCCCGAGTCAGGCTCGAGAGCGAACGGCCTGTACTATTCGGCGAGAAGTAGCATCCTCGGCAAGAAGTAGTATCTAATGCCAGCTAGACGGCACGAAGAGCCGAAGAATCGAAGAGACGGTTAACGCAAAAAAAAGAGTCCATGGGATAATCTGAAAACGAGATATCTGCAACTTGTCTGCAGCCAAGAGCCATCAAGGAAGGAAGCAAAGCGCAAATTGGGTCCATAGAGCTCTGAGTCGCGCGCACCTTCCAAGGTGGAGTTAACGTGGGCTTCATAAACTGACGCCACGACACCTGTGCACTGTGCAGCATGACCGACATGCACGTTTTCAGTCGCAGTGTATAGAGAAGTCAGGTCGTCTTTTCAGGAATATATTGCGCACAAACGCCACCTAATCGTGCAGGCTTGCATCCATTCCGACAGGCGCACTATTTCAGATTGAATCATACTAGGTAGAAATGCGTCCATTTCACGTTGCGGGACAGCTGTATGCGTGCACATGTAAACAATAACACTCTCAGACATGGGGAAGACAAATCTACCTTTCACCAAACTTACCGCATGTCGCGAACAGCCTCCCACGCACGCTGGGACGTTCCTCATGGTGGAGTGAACACTGGAGGAAGCTTCGGCACGCGGAACAAACACGACTTGGCATAAAGGAAGCCGGCACTCCGCGGTTGGGTTTGAATCGGAGCCGTTAGCTTGTTACAGCTGAGATTGAAGTAGGTCACATGACCGCGATGCGACTAGGGTATACCCACTTCATCCTCGACTACTATCACGTGACCTTTTTGTCACGCTTGGCGGGAGAAACACACTGAATGGCTAATTCCTCCATGCACAGGACAAGCATCAAAAATATGCTTCTGTAACTTTGTAGAAGATGATTTTTGAGATTTAGTTACAGAAACAGATTATTTTATTTTGGAGGAGGGATGGAGAAATTAGGCTGCTAGTGCTCCAAATTCACACCTTTCCCCGCCAATCTCGCGCCACCGTGACAGACTTTGGCTGAGGCACCTGATGTGTCACGCTGTGACGATAGTAGTCGAGGATGAAGTGGGTCTATCTTAAGTCTCCGAGTCGTGCCTTCCTCGATTCCCCTCTGCCTAACAGCGTCCAAGCAGTGCCTCGTCCCGTCCTTAGACTCGCACCCCATATTCATACGTACACGCATTTCAGTCTCTGAGATATTACAGTAGTTTTTTTAGTCTGCGACCTGGTGCTGCCGCACTCATGTCTCGGTTCAATTGGCTAGATTTGCTGCAGGACGACTTACCAGTTGACTGAACCGAGACCTTCTCTAACTTACTAACATATTCTATCATCTGATTTGGTCTTCAGCCCTATCTTGATGTATTCTACACTGATTTTCGCAAATGGGTCCAGCGTTTGTTTCTCGGCCTCAAGATGCTAAGTGCACTCCTGCTGCGGGCAATTTATTAGTGCTCCCGTCTGGTGCTGCCTGCGGTGAGTTGCAACATTCCATGTTGGTTTTTCAGCCTTCACGGGTTGGATATGTTATGATTTCCTTCAATCAACCTCATGCTGCCGCAGTGAGCAACATTCTCCTGTTGGTTTTCCAGCTTTCACGGGTTGGATATATTATAATTTCCTTCAATCAATGACCTCATGCTGCCAGCGGTGAGCAACATTCTCTTGTTGATTTTCCAGCTTTCACAAGTTGGATAATACAGAAGATAAGTTTGCTTCAGTCAACATTGTTGCTGAGAGGAATGTGAATCAGTTCCCACGCAGAGTGGTTGTATATGGATGAGTTATATTATATCTTAGTATGATTGAAGACACGACTTGTTCTGATGGCAAATTTAAAGTGAATGACCTTCAGAATACCGAATAGCACTGATGTAAGTAACATATTCCTGTTGCACAACACTAGTAGTAGTCATTACCTTAGGCAGGTCCAAATTCTCAGCTAGCACTAGCTTGATGAACATTACTGTATGTCTTAAGTTGGTGCAACTTATTTACTGTGGGCTCGGAACTTGGAAGTAGCCTGCTTGGTTTTGTAGTACATGTACTGATACTTGCTACTATTTGCGAGCCTGGTTGCAGTATTTTTGTTGGTCTATCAATGAATTTGATGGGATCGCCTGACTGCAGAAGAGTGTAGACGAGTGAACGAGTAAGTAGTAGCCGACTACAAACGCTAAATAACATAGCAGAGTAAGTTACAGAGGTTATTCTAGGCAACGCACGTGGGATTCCAAAATTGGACCGGGTTCGCTTCGGACTCTTTGAGCGCTTCCTGCATCTCGCCCTCGTCGTTCACCAAGTCATGTCGGTCTCTCCCCCTATCCGACGCCTCTCTTCCGCGAGTTCTAGCAGCAGAGAAGACTTGATAAACCAGTATGAAGCGGAGGAGGAGCGCATTATAAACGTGCTGTCGCGAAAACTTGAGCAGGTTGAGTTAGTCTTCACGGTCTACATCGCCGAAGTTGCTGATCTTTTTGCGACGTTCGGTATGTAGCTTCGGGAGGAGAAGATTGAGCTGGAGAACGCTCTTGAGGCAGAATCAGAATCCCATGTCAATAGGCTGTCTCGAGAGATCTCTGCTTTACGACTTGCCCAGCAACACCCTCCTGTGAATGGCAGTGGCGGTGGCGAAGTCACCTCGCATTCTTTGCCAAATCCCGCAGAGCCCTCTGCAGAGATAATGTTGGATGCCATGCGACGCGAGAATGAACAATTACGGAACAGGTTGGTTGACACTGAGCGAGATTACATTCGAATAACCAGGCTCAACGAGATTTATCGTGAGGAGCTCATTGAGCATCGTAGGCGGGTGAGTATCGCTGTGCCCATACGGTTCCTTCATGCTAACAGTTCAGTAGCTTGGCTTACCTGTGGATAATCTGATTGGCCTTTCCTCCATGGATCCGTATTCTCAGCCGACGCATCGCCGTTCGGGTTCGAGTGCATCATCCCCCTCCACGTCTGTACTTGTTCTGCCCAGTCCGCAAATAACGAGACATGTCTCAGGCGTCCCCATCCCACGTCCTTCTTCTCAGGTCCCCCGCCCAGGAAACAACTTCTCCTCTGAATCCACCACACCGTTTTCGCACTCACCATCGTCATCGTCCTCCTCGCCGTTCCCCATCTCTCCACTTCCTGCCAGCTACCTCAGCATGACCACCAACGTGACTACCCCACCCTCATCCGCCTCGTTGACCAATCCAGCAGTGCCCTTCCCGGGGTCGGTCGGACGCGGACTATCATACCCATCAGTTCCCCCGCCCTCTTTATCATCCTCGTTTGGCTCTCCTTCGACGTCATATCACACCGTGTACCCAATTTCATTTGCGCGACCCTCTCAGGAACGCGATACGACGCCGTCGCCCGTCGATTCATTCAGCAGCCGGAGGAACTCATTCCATCGCCGCGGCAGTTTCGAGCGGCGGATCGCCGAAACTGGCAGTCTCAGGAGTGCCAGTAGAGGTCAAAGTCACAGCCGCCGCGCGAGCGTAGAAAGGGGAGCGCGAGTAGCAGAGACGGGGTCCCTCATCCCTCGTGGTCTTCCAGAGGGCGATAGCCTCATCGAGACCGCCGAGGATGCGGAGGTTGTTGCTCAGGAGAACATCCCAGCTGGAGACGAGAGTAAGCCGGAAGCGATCAAGGTGGTAGAAGGCGATGAAAAGGCTGTTCCCCAGGCGTCGTCGTGACCGCAAAGATAATCTCAATTACCCGTCTGGTTGACACCAATGTGCTGCTGTTACTCTCTGGTTGATAATCTTCGGACCTTGGCAACTTCCAGGGAATGTCATGTGTATTATCTGTACTCCGTCCCCTCGGAAACGGGGGAATGTATTTATCGTCGCATACGATATCCTGCAGCGGTGTAGTTAGTCTATTCCGAGTAATCTCAGACGTCTTGCTCTTGAATGTGATCGAGCGCACGAGTAGGCCGCCGATAGACAGCTCAGCATAAGTAGCAGATTCAGGCCGTGTATTTTCAGGCGAACTGTTCGAGTTGCACCAAGTAGACTTTACGCGAAAGGGGTCTCAAACCTTTGAGCTGGAAAGACAGCAACAATAAGCGAACTCTGAGAGTAGTCCGACCGCCTGAACGGTGCCAGCTAAGGTCACCGAACGACGGTAATATCGCTACCACCGACTTGTGATGAACACGCTCTGGAGAACACATTACAGCCAGGCAGTACATACATGCACTATACCGTTAGTGGACCTACTGCAGACCACGAGCAGGTGCAGACATGCCCCATAGCCTATAAATCAAGGCTTGTGGATGCCGCAGTCAAGTCGTGCCATCTGAACGCGCATACGACGTACTTATTGCACGAACTCACACCTGGTTCGGTCTTGGGGAGCTCAAAGCTTGGAAACTTCGAGGCGCTGAAGTCGTCGACCCTCTTGAACTTGTGGAAAGCTGAAGTCCTCCACTTCTCAAACGTGGCCATCGGCAGTCAATGCGACCTCCTTATAGTCGTAGATTAATCGTACCGACGTCGCCATTTGGGAACCACATCTTCATAGCATTTGGATGGCTACACCCATGTGTATCGACGGCAGGCGCTGCCACACCGACGATGAGAATTTATATTCTCGGCGACCTCTTCATCGACTTCCCAATTTGTCAACCATTGTTGCCAAGTAGTTGCGAACATAGGGAATAGAAAAGGTATCAGCGCCGAGAATAGCGAAGACCCACTGCGCTATGTAACACGAATTTGTCGTCGCGGCCGTCGTGCTCACCATCTTTGCTATTGAAGAACTTGCCTAGATCGCTTGCGCAGTTGCGCAGCTCACACGTCAACGCGGTAGGCAAAGAGAGTCGATGAAAACTCTCAATGTCAGTGTGACAGTTCCTACCACGGCAGCCTGAGAGTTGCCGGCGCATCCTCCAATACTTATCGTGATGGACTTCCACCTCTAGCCCCCTGCGGAGGTGGCGATTAACCATCCATAAGGCGAAAGCGGTGACATTTATTACAAGACGACCTCCAGTGATTGGGATTAGAGGTCGGGAACTCCGAGGCCAACTTGAACTTGTAGTTAGTAATGCTTGAAGGGCAAGACAATCGCAAATCGCGTACACTGGGGAACACCGACCACTGCTGCGATCGATGCATATCGGTCGAACAGCTTCAGCGCTCAGCTCTCGTACAGCAAGCCACGATGGTCTCCGGTAGCGGAAGCTGCACTGCTGCAGTCAAGCAACCAGGCCACAGGCTTATACAGATTGAATTTAGAGTGCGGAGAGCGGGCAAGGCAGTTGGTAAGTCACCGATATTTTCAAAAGGGCTATCGACGTAGAGCCTGAGTAGTTTGCGCTTAGGCTGTCGAACGAAGTTACAGTGACATCGGACTGACGGAGGCCCGGCAGTACACTACGACCGTCATGCGTGACAATTGCCACACCTCTTACCTCAAATATTGCAATCTGTCTGAGAAAATATGTCAAACCAAACCATTTGAATCCACCTGTACTTCTGATATCGAATGCGCTACAGTGAGTCCGTAAGCCTGAAAGCTCACGGTACTGCAGCTTCTCGGAACCGATACCTCCTGGACCCAACCTAGTAGCCTCGCTCCCAATACAATGCCATTCCTTCATTAATCCCCGGCACGCCGCGCATCGCATCAACGCCCAGTGGTGCGTAGCCGGATAATTTCACCGATGCGCACCACACTGCAAGAATGGAACGTACCCTAGACCTGCAGTCGGAAGATTTGAAGTACGTGCGCAAGAAAGATTCGCCAAGAAGCGGCAACGACGGTATGGCCAACCCAGCACAGTGTTCAAATGAGCCGGGATTTGCATCATCAAATGTCGATGCGGCGGCAGAGTAGTTCTGGATGAGAATCGCCAGGTGCGTCCTCAAGTGACTAAGATCTCCAACTGTCTCGCGTGAAATACACAAGGTGGCACTCAATTATTAGAGGAGTTCAGACATACCAATTCGATGAGCTGGACATCCAAGCTCTTCCCAGCGAATGTTGGGATCGAGAGAACTAATCACTGGGATAAGGGGGAGTGGAGAGTCCTTGTAACCAGCAGCCAGCAAGACTCTATAGGCAGTTTCGAGCTGGTCATCAGGAACAAGTAAATGCATATGCTGCATCAAGTTTCGGGTCAGACCCCTGCGCTGGTGGCATAAGATATACCATCGACCCACGTTATCGCTGATTGGGACGCCATAGTACAACATTGCCCATTCGCCCCATAAGATGATCGGACCTATGCCAGACTGAGCGAGCACACTGGTAAGCTTTGCTGAGACATCCTGGAGGAGCAGGTCTGTAAATATGTCTCCAACGGTCTGAGTAGGCGTCAGCAGTTTCGAGGAGTGGCCCATTGAGATAGTATTAAGTTCAGTGGAAACGTAGAAACGTATGAAATTAGCTGACAGTGGTCTTAGCCTGTCTATGGTTACCATCAGCAAAAACGGGAAAATATTATATAAGGTTACACCGAATACATCGGGGTAGTAGGTGTTGTGTAAGTTACAACGGACTAATAACGTTTACGCCGATTAGTAGTCAAAATAAAGCTAGTAGAGGTCTATAAAGAGGATTACATAGTACAGAAATTGATACACAAGTTACAATTAAAATACACATTGTGGGAGAGTTGTCGTGCAATGTAACCCAAGGAAATGGTTGCTCACCGAGTTGTGAAGTCGGAAGAATTTCTAGACACCTACATAAGCCTACATAGGATGTTGTAAGGGGCGCCTGTTGGGCGCCTACTCGCGCTTTGCGATCCGTCGTTTCAGGCCCCCGAATACCGCACCAAATGCATGCATTAACGCAAAGCTTTCGTCCAGGCCCTCACAGTGAAAAGATCTGAAGCCGTTTCGAGACAACGTCTGAGGCAAGTCTGAGGCTAATCTCGACACACCGCGACTACCGTCCGCCAACAATTCTCGCCACCCTCAATCATATATAAATTTGCAGCCTCTCCCGGTTCAATGCACACTCCCAGGTGAGTGCCTTTACATGCCCCAGGTGAGTGCCTTTACATGCCCCAGGTGAGTGCCTTTACATGCGGCTAACTTGGTATCTATATTGTACAGATCTACTGGGTTCGTCGGGCTTGGTTGGCCACTCATCGCCGCCGGAGCGGAGCGGCGACATGCAATGCGTTCTATGTCAAGCTTTATTATTATATGTCCACAGCTGAAGCATGTTGATTTTTAGTGTTGTTGATTATCGCACTTTGATGGGCACACGGGTTTTGGTGCAGTGAGTTGGCCTAACTAGGTTTAATGTAGAGCACTCTGTATGCCTTGTATTGCAGCAGTAACAATAATATATTGTGACATAATTTAAAATACTCCCACTATTGAGAATTATGAGACCGATCTGAACGAATTGGTTTCGGTCTGTTTAGGATGGTCTATGCTAAATTTTGTACTAGTAGAAAGTTATGTGAACTTCATAACCTGGAAAATTCTTCGAGAGTTTAGAACTAATTATACCAGTTGGCAACTCTGCAATTTGGCTCAGGTTTACGATGCAATGTATTCCTTGATGAAAAAATTCTGCAAGTTACATGGAATTATGCCTTTATAATCTCTTTGGAGAAAATTCCCATTTTTGCTGATGGTTGTATCACTTCAGGGTACCCTTTATCCCTAGCTCTTAGCAACAAGATCTTCTATAGTATGTCATAGCTAAGAGCTTCTTAAGTGTCAGACTGACCATGGTACCTATTATGTCCCAGGGCATTCTGTGGCATTGCCCAGGGTATAGATAGGGTATAGGCTGGGCATATGGGATGATTATTATGTGGGATATCCTACTAGGCTAGGACATTAATTGTTTATCTCAGTATTACTGGTTGTCCCATGGTGTCAGGGGTATATAAGGATGTCCCACTGTTAGCAGAAGATGTATTTTTAGGCTGTTGTATATTTGTTGTTTCATATTTTCATCTACTGCCATACTGTATAAACCTTAATTACATAATACAGTAAACCAGTGCTTTACTGATACTTCAAATGAGATGGGAGATCCACAAATAGTGGGATATCCCATACTAAGTTTTATATTCACCTGCAGTGTTATAATACTAATTACTATTAGTGGTATGTATAACATGTTCATTAGATCAAATAACAACTAGAACAGGCCAAAAACAACAGTTCTTATTCTCCTATTTTAAAAGTAATTATACCTTTTCTGATGCAATGTTCAAATTGACGTGATGTCACCTTTAGTATATTGCATCTAATATAAATATTCTATAACTTTCATTAATGACCAGAAGAAACACAGTAACTCAGTCTACTTATACACTAGCAAATAAGAGACACTTTAGTCAAGTCTGCTACTATAGAATGTACCTGAACAAAGCAAGGAAGACATTTGCCCTAAGATTGCAGTAAAGCTGCATTCACAAACACATTCACCCAATGACTTCTTATACTTTGGGACATTATGCTATAGGATGGGATATCCCATCTAAGGGACCTGTTACTCTCTAATCTTAATAATACGATGACTAGTATAGGTCTTTAGGTAATTATAGTAGTCTAACAGATATATTCAGACAAATAATAGTCTGAATAGCTGTCAGCATACAAATAAATCACATTTTGGGATGTCCTTAAAATGGAATGTCCTTAAAATAGGATATCCTTAAAATAGAATGTCCCATTTTTATATAAAGTGTTAATAAAGCACTGGTTTACTGTACTATGTAATTACAGTTTATTCCTGGCCACGAAGTGGAACAGGTCTGAAAAGCGGTATTCCAGTTTACCTGTGGGAGTATATATCTGTTTACAGTAACTCATTGGTGATGGCAGACCGGTAACGTCATGTGCATATCTGGATGAGGCGACTACGAAGTATTAGCGTGCGTAGGCTACTGCTCAGTCGAACCCAATGCCTGCATTGGAATAACATTATGTAGAATATAATAAGTGGATGCTGGGCGAGGTCCACAGGGATTGGGAATGGTGAAAGACTTAAGTATCCTGCAGGTCAAGCCCTATCGTGTCTAATAGGGCAGTTGTGACAGATTTTGCAATAGAAATGAAAAAAATTTATCGCATTTTGAGTAATTTTAGCACCATTTTTCCCCCACAAGGCAGTTACAAGTCCCAAATAAGGAATTGTCAGGGCGCATTCCTTTCTTCCGACAAATAATACCCATCAGCAGACCATAGCCCATTTCAATCTTGAGTGGAGGTTTAAGCACATTTGGCGGGGCATATGGAATGTTGGAAGCCTTATGTACACTTGGAATCTTAGTTTGTGTTGAAGCTTATAATGTGACATTGGATATGTGAGGTAATAGAAATGTCGACAACATCAATCATCTACGATGACAACAGGCTTCCCCGATTTCCGTCAATTGAGATGACCTAGTCGGATCCAATGCCTGCCAATATGGTAGCAGGTTCTGAAAGAATATGATTCGATGGGACAGGACTGCGCTTCAAACATACCAATGCCCAATGAGTTATAATCTGATTATCAGGTTACCTGCATCTAGGGGACCGATCTGTTCTGACACTAACACGGAGAGGGTCCACGTCCTTGTTGCTCTACCATGATGGAGACGGTCATGTCGTTCCAGTCGTGCACGATGTGTGTTGTGTATATCACACTGCACGCCATGCCGGCGTATATGCTCACCACTGATCTTTCATCCAATCTCCCCTTGGCCCGCCCAATCTGGCAACCATCATCGGTGGTCGCAGTGGTTCACGTCGCGCAAGTTTGAACATTCCAGTGCTGCCGTGCCGCGAAGGCTCGCACCCGCCCACCGCTGCCTGCCATCTCTCGTGCCCACGCCTGTGTGTGTGCTCTCCTCCTGGCATCTTCTCATTGTCCTTTCGACATTGGCCGCGCCTCCTTCCCTCCCCCTTGGTCCGAGCCCCTCTTCTGGATGGTGCAGGATGCGTGCAACGTGCAAGTGTGCGAGGTTCGTGGGCTGGCTGGGGTGGCGGGCCCGATCTTTGTTGCCCGTATCTCATCCCAGCATCAACGGTGTTCGGTGTCCATGTGCGCATTGCGCGACTCATCTGTAGCCCGACAACGGTCATAGTCTGTGTGCCGCCTGGGTCCCTACTTACTCTTCCATTGTACCTATAAGCATTTTGCAGACTACTAATACAGCTAATACGTATCTCATTAGTAAAGACTGGTCCAGTCCTTCATTCATTGTTCAGAGCAATCATAGCAGGCAATGATGGAGCAATGAGCAGATAATTATATAAGTCTTTGCTTGCAAAAAAAGATGGCATGCAAGGCACTCCATTTCCGGCATTTGTACATCAAATTGGTGTACTTGCATGCCGACACACTCTAACTGAAGTGGTGCTTGCAAGCTACAACTACTACAACTGCCTGCCCTACAGGTAAGATGCTGCCGCGGCAAGCACAGAATCAGCTCCCGCACCATGATCACACTTCAAAAAATCACAGAACTGGCAGGGAGTATATTGAGGCTCATACTTTTCACGCAGAAAGTGCAGGGCAATGTCGAGGTGCCAGTTTCACTTCTTCTGCAGAGCCTCCACAAGCTGGATGACCTTTATGCGCCGATTTGCCTCTGTCTTCAATTTCGGCACGTTCCGATGCCAATTTGCACCCCACTCTTCACACAGCAACCACACCGGCAGATAATTTCTGATCCCCTCAGCCCATTCCATCCATATGTCGGTGATCCGGCGTACCGATTGGTACTCGTAGTATGGCAACCACTCACCGTGGAAGTCCCACTGTGCATGCTGTTGAAGCTGTTCATCACCATGCTTATGTGCGAGCACAGCCCACTTCAGAGCCTGAGGAGTGAGCGACGAATTCTGTGGCACAAGGGAAGATAATGGTGTCGATGTCATCGGTACTGTGCCACTGTGCACTGCAACTGCAAGATGTGGCATTGGCAAACCCACAGGCTGATGCATTGCAGCTGCCATCACGGGGGAAGGCGCACATGCACCAGAAGATATGCGAAACTCGTGATGTGAGGAGGATGAGCTTCCCACCGGTGAATCATGCAAGCTCGAAGCAACACTGGGCGCAGCGCTTGGAGATGCCATGATGTTGATGGTGATCACCGACGGTGATGTGGAAATTGACGGTGAGCTCAGCCCGGGTGTGGTGAGATGGGCCTGTTGTTCGACAGTGTGGACGACCGGCATCATTGGCGACAGTGAGGATGGCGTCTGCAGCAGTGTTTGCGGGAGTGGCAGTGATGGTGCTACTGGTGGTGGCAGCATTGGCGGCAGAACCGCAAGGCTGTGTCTGTCTGAGGCTGTTCGCGGCATGTTGCACATGTCTGGCATGGGTGTTGGTGTTGACGAGCCAGAAGAAACGCTGCCGCTGCCACCGGCTGCGAGATGTGAAAGACGTCAGGAGACTACATCACATCCCAATGGCAGGGATGAAGGGAGACTCACATCGATGTTTGCAGTTACAGCGGACTGGGGCAGAAACTGCCTCTTCGAGCAGAGTCTTGAGCTGACTTACATCGTGCGACAGCGCATTCCACCTCACATCGTTGAGTTCATGATCTCGTTGCTGAGCCAACTCCAGCCCCATCACAATGCCCTTGACACTGGTGATGAATCGCTCCGGGAGATGCTGAAATGTGAGGCAGCTTTGCTCCTCAGCCGCGCGGATGTGAGTGTCTGTTACACGGCAGCAAAACACGAGTATCTAGTCGAGTCGTCAGGAGACAAGGTCTTAGTCTAAGACACAAGTCCGTTCAAGTGACACTTCTGGCGATGTCCTCGCACTGAAGGTCAATCAGAGTTCGTTCTTATGACTCGTAGTAGCTGTCTGCTACTGACGGTCGATCTCAGTCAAAGGCAAGTGAAAAGCTGGTTTAATGGTAACCAGGTCAAGATGGGGATCCAGCTCGACGAGGTCGTCTACTTATACAAAAGGTATCCGCAGTACTATGCAGTAATACGGGATCGTTCATTGGCTAGATAAGGTGAGACGACGTCTGGGCAAGGTAACAGCGAGGAAGTAATATGTATGAGAAAGCTGAGTAAGATCGTGAGAGATAATCAGTACTAATGGGGATAACGAGTCGTGTATCAGAACGAGGTAAAGATGAGGCATACATGCATGTCTTGCATGTGTGATAAGAAGAGGGTCCGGAGTTGGATCTGGTGTAACCCTAGACTAGGGGTTCTGGACATCTGGGTATAGAATCGGAGGTTGCGCTCCAATGAGTCACGTGTTGGCTCATGTGGTCTGGTAAAGTAAAGGGAATGAAGAAAGAAAAAAGAAAAGATGCGCCATAACTGAGGAGCGTTGTAACAGTGTCTGTGTCGGCTGCGAAAGCACGGAAAGTCACAGTGTTGAATGGTGGATGCTGAAATACAAGCGCGCCGGGGTTCCATGAGTAGAGAACAGCCATGTCCTGCAACAGGACATGGCAAAACCAGGCGAGGACCCTAAAGAACTGGACGAGGGCGATGTCCTTCGTGAGCGCCTCTGCTTCAGCCCACGCTCGCATCGCACGCTCTTGATCTTCAAGCCACGGGAAAATGGCCGTCTTGAGTGATAACAGCGGGTCTGGGATGGGATTTTCAGCATGCCTTTTCGCTGCGACGTGCCATTTGCCACTTACCGAGGACATCCCGAGGGATGAAATACGTGCCCGGTTGCCGTGCGTTGAACATCGCTGATCCAACGAGCGCGTCAATGGGCAGTTCACAATCATAGCAGGAGCGGAATGATCCGCTCTCACTCCACCCGCCAAAAGCCTTGGTGTCACTTGCGGAAACCCCATGGCTGCATGTGTTCTGTGCCGTGAAAGATCGGCCAGTGTGGGTTACCTTGGTGATGGAGATCTCATGTTGGAGGTGAAGGGCATTGATGCGGCTGCGATGGGCTGCAAGAGTGTATCAGCACATATAACTCACAGAGGTGTCATCAGGACTCACCTTCGTATGACATCGGTGCATCCAGCCGCGAGGCATAGAAGACATGATACCGGTACCAATCCCGCTGACCGTACTCCCCAAAGTTCCGATCGGTGACGTCCGCACCAAAGTTGGGAACTGTATTGTTCTGGATGTGGAAATGGCTGTAAAGCTGCAGTGTGATCGATCCGATGCTGCAGAGTTCGATGAGGTGGTGATGAAAGGCACCGAACTTGTCAGTCCACCCATTCTGGTTTGTCTTGCCATTGTTTGCCATGAAAATAAGGGCCTGGAAGAAGGAAGGTTGTGTCAGTATGTGGCAGACACCCGCGATTCTGTCAGAAGACTCACCGGGACCTTGTGACCGAGCTGGATATCATACATCGGGATCTGGCGGACTGATAGGTCGGACCACAGCAAGCTGCGAAGGTTGTCGCCCCGAAAAGCCATGCTCAACGATGTGAGCAGCATGGCACGATCTCTGATGTGTGTCGCAAGCTTGCGAACACCCGAGGAGATGTTGAGGAAGCCAGTTGCTGCATTTATTAGCTGGATGTTGCTGTAGGTATCTGAACATCGTCGTGAGCCACCCTGCAATGACGTGGAGCATAAGAAACAACCACGCACCCGATGATGTCCCCGCAGCCTTGAGTGCCTAAGCTCTCTCAATTCTTAGAGGCTCGTTGTGCTTTGCGGCATCTTCAATGGTGTGGATGCACTGGTCAGCATGGAGGCTGATCCTTGCATCCGGCACATCCTTGTGCAGATGTTCGCGGTTCTTGCCATGGCTCTCGAGTGCTGAGATTGCCTGTGCTATCACAGACTTCCAGACGGTTGTCCTGTCTTGCGCATCCACGCTGCCATGTTTCCTCTGCACGAGTGAATGGTCAGCTCGACTGGGGAGGTAGATGAGAACTCTGGAACATACCTTTGGGTGGGTACTTTCATATTGGAGAAACATGACGGCCTTCGCGGCCGTGATCAGCTCTGCCGGGATGGCAATGCAACCCGAGACTTTGGCTGTCTCTTGCAGTTGAAAGGTTGCCCACCAGGAGAAGTAATTCCGGACGTGACGTTCATACGAGATGCCGGTCCCACGGTCACTCTGACTTCGCTTCGCGATGTCCATGCGCACTTCATGAGAAGCCGCTTCGAGTTCATCAAGTGATGCCTCTGCAAGCATGATGTGGCCCGTTGGCATACTGGGCGAGGTCGTGAACTCCGGTGTGATTGCCGTATGTCGATCGTGCACCATCATGAGAGGCGTAAGGTCACGGATCGCCCCGAAGTCAGTGGCTGTCTGTGTCGACAGATGGGGGCTGCAGGGCACCAGCGCCAGTGCCAGCAGTGCAACAGACACCTGCCACGTGACACACGGCTCAGCGCGTGTGGATTTTGACAACCGCACCTTCTTGCAGGCTAACAGAGATGGCGGGCGGGGAATAGCCATTGGAGGAGAACTGTCCATGGTCGCGAAGTGAAGCAGCTGTAGGAGGGGTATGGTTGTGAGTGCCATTGCTTGCATGAGCAGCCAAAGCCTATGATCCTACCGAGCAGAAATCCGCAAAGGCAGCTACTCAATATAATGGAAATAATGTACTGCGAGGTGGGCAGCAGGTTAGCCACCGGTGCAGGGATAGTAAAGTGATGCTGTGAGACTCGCAGTAATAATGTGAATGAAAGTTTCAGCAGCATCAGGTGATGAGTGCACGAACTGCATGCTAGCCCGGTGATGTCAGCGATGGGACAAAAGTGGGTGTATTGTGTTTCGCGGCTCCGCGCGGGCAGCTGCTGGGAGGAGTTGTGGCTCCGTAGCTAGAATTAAGGGTGTATTCTGTTTCGCAACTCCACATGGGCAGCTGCTGGGAGGAGTTGTGGCTCCATAGCTAGGATGAAGTACTAGTATGTTAGATCTGTGAGAGGAGGTCAGAAGTTTAGGACTAGCGTTAGAAGTCAAATGAAATCATACTTACATGGCACAGGACGGTCGAGATATCGCAAGGCGAAAGCTGCAAAATGTGTCAGGATCTCTTGAGCAACAGTCTGTGCAGATGAACTCGGATGTTTCTGTGAATGTGAGATGTCAGCAGCTGCAACGATGCATGAGTATCGTCCATGCTTACTGTGCACCAACTGGGCCCAATGTCGCAGCCTCCTCCGCAGCGGGTTTTGCGACTGACGACAGCAGCGAGTGGAGGAGTCTGTGCTGACAGCTTGACCTGTTTCAACTGCCTGTCAGGGTCGACAGCTTGACCCATTTTAACTGTCTGTTGGGGTCGTCTGTCGTCCGGGGCACACAGCAGCACAGAAAAGGGAAGATAAAATAGGGGGAAAAAGAGCAACCAATTGGACGGCTGCAACAGCAGAATGAATGGCTGAAACACAGCGTGGCCATCGGGGAACGTGGCAGGCAGGGCCCATGGTGGGACCTGGTCAGATTGCTTGAGATCGACCACACGGGGGGTTTCAGCACTTTCCGTTGAGAGAAAGGCAGTTTTCGAGCAGCCGGGCTCAAGCAGTAGGACAGAATTAAAGTGGTTATAATGTAGCAGTCATGCAGACGAGAGGTGGTGGCGTCCAGGCTACGTAGCATCTGAGGGCGAGCAACAGCAGAGCAAGGTCAGCAACACGCATGCCCTCCTTGGCGCTCAGTGCGGCGCTTCTTACGACATTTACTAAAATGGGCTACATGGCACTGGAATATTTTCTTTTCAATACAACACAGCCGGTGTACTTCCTGTACTCTGACGGTTACCTCGCTTGCCTTACGCGGGGGGTTACCAGCGAAGTTACAACTGGGGATTAGTCAGGGTCGGTAGCCTGGTGTATACTATATGTACTGCTGTGGTCCCTAACCCTGTTTTGCTTTTGCGGCCTGGGAGACAAAAAACGGAAGAAGTTAACATTGGACATGATCTCGGTAATCTTGGCTGTGTCGAAGACATCCCAAAAATGCAGACCAGTTGTCAGTAGAATGCAAATGATGGCCCGTAGAACTAGAAGTGCGAGCGTCAGCCTAATCCTGGGGCATGCAATCTCTGCTTGCAAACAGATTGAAACTCCGAAAACCTCACTAATTGACTGATCAAGTATCGCACTTTTGCACCCAATACTAGCGGTATTCTTTCTAATACTAGGCCCCTGTAGGAGTGTGCTACATGACTTTGTGCCACCTCAAGAAACAAGCAAAATCATTACAATCATGAAGGGTGCATCACTTTCTCCTGACTCTCCAAAGGGATACTGGGGCCGAGTGACCTCACTTTGATACCATCCTGCGAGAAGTTTAGTAAGCTCCTGTAGATTATCGAGTGGACCTATAATATAGTTAGGTGCTGGAGGTAGTCTATCTCCGCAAGGCTCACTCGTGGGAGTGAGACGCCACGATCTTGATTTTCGAAGGCCGGTCTTCCTCGCGAGCAAGGGATGTCTGTCGGAGCCATAGACATCTCCACTGCTGGATGTGCGGAAAATCGAGGGCATTGAGGACACTGGTGAAGAGGCAGCTCTACATGAGTAAGATAAGCAATGTGGGGACAAAGGACTCCAATGCGGCAAGGCTTCCTTACCGGACATTGAAAACTTCAGTTTGCAAGTATGGCCCGAGGTGGGTGGTGAACGCAAGCCAGGTGCGAATGCGCTGTTCATCTGACATCAAAAAATGGTATCCAATGCATGAAGAGGTCCACGGTGTGAGTTCGGCCTGCTGGCCATGATGTCAACAGGCCATGGGTGTCCAGCTCGCCGGGATTGCAGGAAGCATGGGAGTGAGCCAGGATCATGTACGACATCTATAATGGAGTCGACAGTGCGCATACGCCGATCTACAAGAACCTGAGGGGCAGAGGGAATTCATCGTCACAAACCTCGCTCATATGATATCAATATCTGGACTTTGCATGCAAAAGGAAAGGGCATGCAAGGCACCAATGTGCTGCTCCTGGGATGGCAAAAAATCGAATCAACCATGGGAGGGGCACCTGCATTGCAGGCCCTGCTTGCTGACAGCTGAACCTTAAAGCTGTTATGAGGAAGAGAGGAGGATGAGGAAGCTACAAATGTACATCACCCAATGTAAGAAAACAGAGTCACCGAGGTATACAATGAGCAAGCATAGCCCCATTCTGGCAGTGTGGGTCTCAAGATGAGGAGGGACGGGCTCAGCTTGTGAGTCATCAAAACTTCTTGTGGAGGAACCACAACAAGAGCGGAGTCCACTCGAAGTGCAGAGTGAAATGTCCTCTTCAGACGTCAAAAAAAGGGCATTCCCAGAGGCAGATTCCCGAGTACACAATAAAGCCATGTCCAAGGTGTCCGAGGTGGCAAACACAGGACGGGGAGGATGCAGCAGGCTCATTTCAGCTTGGAGAGAGCCGACCACAATGTTGCTTTCCGAGACATGCCCATGAGACACGAGAATATCGAGTTTGCGTGAGTAGGGGAATGTAGTACTGAGAGCCCTTCTGCATGCAGACTCTGAGAATTAGGAGTGTAGACAGATATATCTGGAGCACACTGCAGCAGCCATGCAGTATACATGAGACGATGCAAAGCAAACTCACGAAAAGGGAGGTGAGGTGCTCAGCTCCCCCATGTCAGATGCACTTGCCATTCCGAAGAATCCGAAATCATGCCAGACACCGCATTCAGCACGCGAGACACGATGGATGACTTGCGGAGGACTTGCAAGAGGTACCTTGCCAAATTGCATAGATCTGCTCAGCAGCTGTGTTATTCGTGAGCATGCCAGTTCTGTTCAAAAATTAACTTCAGGAAGATCACTCACAGGTACTTTCGGGATTGGACAAAGCCAACAAGCTGCAGGTAGTCGCGTATGGGAACTATTCAGGGCGATGCTCGTGCTGAGTAAATCATGATTTACATCAAAATTGTGTTGCATTGCCGATGTTTTGTCCTTTCCAATGCAGACTTCTCTGTGAATCACCCTACCCAAGTGTGCAACGACCTCCACATATAATCCATGAAGGAGACAGCGAGCTGCTGCCAGCTCGGCTTTGAAGGGGGTGACAAGGGTCTTTGACATGCTGATCAAGCAAGGTGACATCAACCGAACGGACAAGCTGACGTCAGTGTCGAAATTGAACCGTCACCTAAATGCCACCATAAAAATGAAACAAACAACGCGTCACTCAACGTTCGCGTCATTGAACGTTTGAACTTTGTACATAGCGAATTTTTTGACGGTTGCTAATTCTGTTAGAAATCACGCCTTAGTTCCCAAATAGGAAGGTAGTGATGGCGGGTCAAGATGGCACGTGATTACGTGTCCTAAAATAGATTTCTGTATATATACAGTTCTAGACGCTCCACTTTATATAAGCAAATTTCCTTCTTTGTCTTTCTTTGTAATCATGCCCTCGGCTTGTCTGCCCTTGGGCGCTCCCCAATTTCTGGAGCTCCAGAAATTTGGGCACTACTTTCCAATACTCCCCCTCAAGCCGATGGGCATTTCGAGCTTCTTTGTGAGCTTCTCGTGCCTTGGCTTAGGGAGTGACTTTGTTAGGATATCCGCTATCATGTCCTCCATGGGACAGTAATGGATATCAATATATTTATCCCTCAATTTCTCGTGCACATAATGATGCTTTACATCAAAATGTTTTGATTTTGCGTGGAATTGGGGATCACGTGCGATTGAGATCGCCACCGTATTATCCTCGAATAAAATCGTAGGATCTTGTTGCTCGAAACCTATTTCTTTGAATAGTGTTCAAAGCCACACAGCTTCTTTTGCCGCTTCGGCGGATGCTATGTATTCGGCTTCCATGGTGGATGATGCGATCGTGGTTTGCTTCTTTGAGCTCCACGTGATCGTGCCATTTCCTCATTTGAATAAATATCCCGAGATTGATTTGTGATCTCGAATATCCCGAGATTGATTTGCGATCTCGGATATCGTTTACATAGTCTGCATCTGAGTAGCCCACAAATATGGATTGATCTTTGGGCTTGACATCTGCAATTGGCCTGTAGATTATTCCAAGTCCTCATGTTCCCAATAGATAGCGGAGGATGCGTTTAGCAGCAGTCCAATGAGCCATTCTGGGATTGGCAGTAAATGAGCTAAGCCGTTGCATGGCGTGAGCAATGTCTGGTCTTATGGCAATTGCCACGTACATTAGTGATCCGACGAGCAATGCATATCCGTTGTCTCGGTCGCATTCATCATCAGTTTCGGGTTCTTCTTTTTCAAGCACTGTATTTGGATCAAGAGGCATCCCGACCGTGTTGGTGTTCGTAAGCCCATTCTTGTGTAGGATAGACTCAATATATTTTGTCTGAGAGATTTTGATTGTCCGCTTTGAACGGTCTCTCTCAATTTCTATCCCCACAATTTTCCGGGGTTCACCAAGGTCGGTAACTTCAAACATATTTCGGAGTTCGCTCTTCAATTGGTCCATTAGTGTGCAATCATTGGTGAATATTAATAGGTCATCTACCCAAACGGTGATGATTTCTATCTTATCACCTTTGATCCGAATGTACGCACATGGATCCGAGAATAGGCGCTTGAATCTCGCGTCTAGTAACTTGCAGTTCAGCACGATATTCCATTCTCGGCCAGACTGCTTTAGCCCGTAGAGGGTTTTCTTTAATTTACATATGTGATATGTTCCATCGCTGTATCCTTCAGGTTGCCGCATGTACACTTCTTCTTTGAGAGTTCCGTTAAGATAGGCACCTTTCACGTCCATCTGTCCGATCTCCCAATCTAAGATTGCGGCTAGCCCGAGGATAGCTCGAATGGTTTCGAGGCAGACTACGGGCGCGAATGTCTCGGTATAGTCCATGCCTGGGATTTGAGAATATCCCTTCGCAACCAGGCGGGCTTTGTATTTAATTATTTCACTCTCTTTGTTTGTTTTCTTGACTAAAACCCATTTATTTCCTATGGGTTTTCGATCTTCGGGAGGTTCCACTAACTCCCAAGTCTCCATACCCTGTAGTTGATTGAGTTCCGTCTGGACTGCCTGTTCCCATTTGGGCCACTTGAGTGATCTCTTGGCATCACTGAGTGTCTTTGGCTCATCCACATTCGCATTTCCATGGGTGCTCATCGCAATATAGACTAATTCAGCATTTGATTTATCTGGATCATTATCCAGATCTTCGTCTGCCTCTGGGTCATGCATTAGACGGTAATCATGCCGAACTGTCTTTCTTTTGGTTTGTCTGGGCTGGCTTGGTGCGTCCGTCCCGCTTTCCTCGTGTTCATCAGGATCATCATCCCGTCTGCGCTTTTGCGGATTTTTGGCAGGTGACTGTGGTTGTGAGGTTTGGGACTTCAGGTCTCCTTTCTGCATGCGGCATGTCTGACGCATTGCTAGGTAAAGTGCCCGGAAATATATTTTGCTCCCCCTCACACTGTGCTGTGAGGATAGGTACATCGGATCCTATTTGCTCTTGTGGCACGTGAGGCGCGTTGCCGGGCAAATGGTCCGGGAAATTCGAAGAAAATTGGAAATTATGCGAGATTTTAATCTGGCGCGTGTGCGCATCATAATATTTGATGACTTTGGGTCCGTCCATGTATCCAACAAAAATATACTTGTTGGCATGAGGCGCTAGCTTTGATAGTGTTGCGTCCTCCGTGAGGACCCATACGGGGGAACTGAATTCTTGTAGGTACGAGATATTTGGTTTTGTCCCATTCCATTTTTCTTCAGGAGTTGCCCCATTTAACACCTGGGTAGGCGATCTATTTTTAATATAGACTGCGTGAGCAATCGCTTCAGCCCAAAGATAACAAGGTAAATCTCTCGCATAGATCATCGTGCGCGCTAGTCCAAGCAGTGTGTGATTTAATCTCTCAGAGACTCCGTTCTGGGATGGTGAGTACAGCACAGTCGGACCCATCTCGATCCCTTTCATTTGACACCAGTTAATTAATTCGGTGTTCATGTATTCTCAACTGTTGTCGAGCCTGAGTCGCAAGGGTTTGTTTCCAAACTTGCACTCGATATAGGTAATATAATTCTTTACCTTTTTAGTTACTTCATCTTTATGCCTCATAAATAGTACTGTGCTTCGATGACTGTAATCATCGGTAAATGTAATAAACTATTTCCACCCTTGTAGAGCGGCTGTCTGCGCAGGTCCCCACACATCCGTGTGTGTTAATTCTCCGGGTACCTTGCTGCATTCATCCGTCTCTTTGGGAAATGGCTTCCGTGTCGCCTTTGCTTGGATGCACGCCTCGCAATTAATTTCATCTGGGCTTGGCGAGATTTCTAGGCCATCTACAAGCCCTTCACGATATAATCGCATAAGCGCTGGTTTCCCGATATGGCCATAGATCTTGTGCCACTCTTCCCAGGTATGCGGGCCATATTCCTTAGCAGTATAGGTTCGTGCAGGTTGCGGAACTATTGGACGCAATTTCAATGAATATAGTCGTCCATTTTTCTTGCCTATATAGCAAGGGTGTGTTTATTTTTATCTATTAGTATTGCGCGACTATTTCCCATAAGTACTCTTCCTCCCGCGTCATCTAAACGTGTGATGGAGAGGAGGCTATTGGGTGCTGTCAGCGCATACAGTACACCGTGGAGACGGAATTTCACTTTCCGGTCTCCTACTTTACTTTCGACATTGACCGTACCGCAGCCCAATGCCTGCATTGGTTGCGGTCCGATGCCCGTGATCGCGTGATCTTCGAGCGCCTGATAGGTCACGAAGACTTCACGACGATTTGTAATGTGCGAAGTTGTCCCAGAGTCGGCAAACCACTCATAGAAAGAAGCGATTTCATCATCAGATCCAAGAGATGCAGTGTCGCTATCATTATCGTAGGCTATTTTTGCCTCATCCTCTTTCAGTTCGACCTCACGTGCTTCGTAAGCACGTTCCGTCTTTTGCCGCTTCATCGGCGGGCCCTGTCCGGCTTTGCCGCCGCCTTTAGCCCAACAATCTGTGGCCTTATGCCCGAATTTTCCGCAATTCATACATTTGACCTTGTCGTGGTGCCGACACTCATTACCAAGATGTCCCGACTTTCCGCAGATCGAACATTTTTTGTATTCCCCAAAGGGGCACTTCTTTCCTTTGGCAACCAACCATGGCTTGGTCCGAGGATTGACCGCGCTCACCACGCTCATGCCTTCACCTATTTTCATCAAGAATGATGGCAATCAATTCTTGTGATGTAAGCTGAGGGCGCACGTTGTCAGCGCCTTCAGCGCCAACGTTGCCGCCCACGGCGCCAAAGTAAGAGCTGAGGAAAGAATCCCAGCTCTCCGGTAATGAAGTGGCCAGGATGAGCCAGAAATCCTCGTCAGAAACAACCTTCCCCATTAGGTGGAGTTGTTCCTGGATCTGTCGCAACTGTATGATATGATTGGAGATATTGTCTTCTTCCTTGGCTTGCATCCGGTAAAAATGCCGGCACAGCATGAGAATTCCATGCTGTCCACGCTGTTCCTTGACTGTGCGGAGCTGCTCCCACATGGCCCGTGCTGTCTCGGCTCCAGCGATGTGCACCATCTGGGAATCTCCCAGCGATAGCACAATTACGTTCTGGGCCTTGAGGTCCTTCTCTCCCCAGGCGCTAATCTCCACCTCTCTCGCTGCGCTATTGGCTGGGTCATTACTCGGCTGCAGCTTCGGTGTCTTTCTGGTCACATACTCCTGGAGACCCTTATCATTAAGGATGGCCTCGACGCAGCACTTCCACGGGAGCCAATTGTCTTCCTTCAGGAGCGAGATCCAGTAAGCATTACTATTGCTCGTATTATCAGCGCTGGTCGACATTATTTGTTCTCATACTAAGGGGGTAACAAATAGGGGCTGTTGTTATCCGAGTATTTATTGGCTAGAGCCGGGGCTCATAACCTGTTAGAAATCGCGCCTTAGTTCCCAAATAGGAAGGTAGTGATGGCGGGTCAAGATGCGTCGGGGCGCGTGATTGCGCGTCCTAAAATAGATTTCTGTATATATACAGTTCTAGACGCTCCACTTTATATAAGCAAATTTCTTTCTTTGTCTTTCTTTGTAATCATGCCCTCGGTTTGTCTGCCCTTGGGCGCTCCCCAATTTCTGGAGCTCCAGAAATTTGGGCGCTACTTTCCAACAAATTCTATGCATCCACACTTCAAATTCAACGCTTCATATTTAAACCTCGAGCTTCTGCGCACAGTGACACACGCGCTTCCCTTGGATTCGTCACGCGTTTCAATTCACGGAGACACTATGATTTCATGAATTTTCTGGATCTTCTCGCACTTCACTCTCTGCAGATCAATCTATGGTGAGACGCCGGGACTTCTTCGAGAGTCCTGAGGAAATAACGATAACAGGGAGCAGGGAATATCAGAATCTTTCCAAGTAGGTACGACTGAATTGCCTTTTCCATTTCTCATGCTGCTCGGCGACAGGTTTATGGAAGTCTTGCAACCTTCAGTTCGATACGTCTGTTGAGAAAACCACGGAACCTCCCTTTGATATCTCTGCAAAGAATGCTTGCCCGGGGTCCACTGCAGCGCGCCGCGGTAGTGGGCGTTGTCGTCGTTGCGGATGCGGGCGGCGTCTAACGGCGGACCAGCTCACGGAACTTCTGCCGTGGAGGGCGTTATGTGATGCGGAGAATACCTCTGACGTGGTGCTCGAGATTGGACACTGGCGCAGCCGCGGATTATAGGCTGTCGTTGGCTCGAAGGGCGTGTCACCTCGCAGAAATCTACTTTTACGGCCCGCGGACGAAACTACCGCTGGTGAGCACCGCAACAGCGCGACATACAATGTCTCCAGGTCTCAGCCGCGAGAGCAATTTTCAAAATATTTGCGAGTACTCCACCCCGACGGACTGGTGGTTCCCAGTCTTCTTACTCCTTGTCATATGCTGCAAAGTCTGCACAGTGGACACCACAAACTGCAGCAGTGCGCATCTAACATACATTGTGGTCCTATCAAGTCTAGGGTTGTTTCTGAGGGGTACTATGCCCGTTCAGTCGGCGCACCCCCTTAATCGGCACCTTGCTACATCTCCCTCCGTTTGGCTCCATTCGTTTTACTACTTCGTAGGTATCCTCTATACTATATCTGCACTCTTTTTGAGCTTGAACAACGGGGAAGGGAGGGGTATTGGTTGAGTCCGTCATTTCTTTACAAGTCACGCTCCAGTCACTCTGCGCTTCATGCTGTGCTGTTACTATGGGTAACACAAGTGTGACCGCTGAATAGGAGGGTGTACCGACTGAACAGTCACGGTCAGGCATGGTAGCTCTCGGAGTTCATCACCAAATTCAATTCAATTGCAAGCAATATAACTCTCCGCAGTACTATAGAGCAGGTGCGTACGTACTGGGAAATGAAGGCATTATGATAACCCCGAGACCTTGCAGCTGCTTCGATATCGACTGTCAGCGCTGTCAGCGATCCGGATCCATGGTGCTGGAACTCTCGGATGTCTCCGCCCATGGAGTGTCCTTATAAACCTTGGGCCGCCAATATGATCCCATCCCCTCTACCAGCAGCCTTTCCTGTTGAGTTCTCTCTCTCCAACGACCAATCTTGTTTCTCATCTCAAATTGTTTCACTACAGACTTGTCAAAGTTCAAAGGCCGTAGTCAACAGTCGATCCACTCAGTAATATTCCTTTACCGGCTTTTTTCACGGATTTTGACCATCATTCTCACTTAGACAATGTCTAATAATCCCGCCCTCGATGCTTGTGCTGTTCTTGCACCAGCACTGGAGAGTCTCGGAGTTCAATACGCTCTGATGGGCGGTGCCGCATGTGCCGCGTTAGGCTCTGGACGTGCTACAAGAGATATCGACCTGTGCATCGTCGCCAATTCTCAGTATGATGCTGACAGACTGTCTCAGCACTTGAGGACCCTTCCTCAATTTACGGAGGTTGATGAGGACGGCGTTGGGGTTCTCACTCCCGCTATCCGACTCGTTGATAACACTGTCGTTCCTATCGAGATCTTTGACTCGAGCACATGGCCGGAGCGTCCTCAGTACCAATACGTCGAGAGCGATTCGATCGATCGCGTCCTTTCCAACGGCACTACCGTCTCTCTCTTCTCCGCCCCTTGGCAGCTTCGCGAGAAGATCGCGGCTGCCCAGCAGCGCGGACAGCCGGGCAGCCTTAAAGCAATGACGGATATTGCAGATATCAGGTTTCTCTGCTCAATCATTCCGTCGGACCAGCGTCAACAGGGCCTCCTCGAATTCGCCGACCCGCAATATGTTGACGCATTTCAGGGTTTTTTGCAGCGCCCTGACGTGGATGACGGTCTTCGCCAACAGCTCTCCGAGATAGTCTCTGTTGTGGATATTGAACTGCTTCCGGGGCCTAGTGGGACTGGAGGTGGCCCTAGCGGGAGTAGCGACGGCTCGCATGGCGGAGGGGGGTATCCCCACGACGAGCTTTGACCTTAATCCACCATTACTTCACATACCAGTGTGACTCTCTTCCAATATCGGCAAACGAAAGTCACTTGTAGTCTATGTCTACGGTACGCGGATTGGCGACGGTTGACTTTCAATTTGCATTGTTCTGCTTAGATTATAGATGATCTCATTCTCATCCCCTGAGCCAGAGCCACAACTGTCTCGACGGCCTCTCTCTGATTGTGTACTACTCAGATTCTCATGAAGTCTGTCTGTATTGTAGTTATATCATGAAACACTGCGATTGGTCCTATGTAATTGTCTTGGCGGTTTCCCAACTGCTTTTAACGCGCATGGATGAAAGAGCGAGATTGATCATTTTGGAGAAATTGAGACCCGAGCTAGTTGAGGTTCTGCAACTGACTACTACTAACTCGTATTACTAGCCGTTATTTCGCTCTTCCCCTTCTGTCGCGATGGCTCATAAATGATTCCGTGTGGTGGTGCAGAGCCCACACCAGTTCAGATTGGGCACTGCGAACAGCGTCCCACTTCTTCAATACGATCGGACCAGTGGTGAGCGGTCTATGATATCGTCGTCTGCCCGATGTAGCACTAACCTTGGTGCACGTTCAACGTTCAGTCTCTGGAATCCGGTTATCATCTGATCACGCAATGCGCTCCTTGCACTGCTAATCGAAATGGCCAGATAACGCGCAGGAGCAGCAAGCACTCCTGCCAAGTTCTGTGCCTGCCAGGTCCTCTGCACAAATCTCGAGCGGCGGGGCCCGCAGCGGGCCGCGCGATCACGACGAGGTCAGGAGGGTTCTGCCCTTCAAGTCCACTCGCTGCACCGGAGGTCTGCCAGACTTCACCTGAAAAACAACTCAGCGTCCGCTCAGGGGGCAGCCACGCCGCAGATCTTGAAGCGGCGATCAGAGCCTTACACAGACTGAAGGCGGTTGGTAAGTCACGGGCATTTTCAAGAGACCTATCGACGGAGAGCTTGAGTGGTTGACTCTTATTAAGTCGTCGAACGAGCTTATCGAGTGAGAAGGAATAGAGATCGATTTCTTGCAGATGGTGGTAGCGCACCAAAGGCGTGAGATGAAAGACGTCCGGTAGGACCTGACTGATTAGCTTGCAACCAAGTCGTTCAAAGACCGTGATCGTAACATCCAGGTGTTTCAAACCACCAACTCTGCAGAGACAAGCCTCCAACTCGGAAGACAAGGCAGACGATCAAAGACATCGACCAGAAGGAACTCGTACATCCTTAAATGTAGTGCTCTTGAGGGAAACAATTACCGCTTGAAGGGCGGCAGGTATGGGGACCTCAGGTTGCTCATCCGTGATAGCGGAAAGCGAAGGACGTCACGCATAACAACACCGTATTCAGTGAAGATGTGAGGGCGCCTGCCCTGACGTTGACCGATCCGGGTGTTCGCAGCCGGGCACTGCCACGGGAGTGAGTGGACGCTTCAATGAAACAGTGCACATCGTTGTGGTATCGACGAAGGTATATATATGGTGAGAGAACAATAGAGCGAACCAAATGTCAACAGACTATGAATCCACCACAGAACTGCCGCATGTTCACAGAGCACGAACGCACAGAACAGAACCACCGAGACGAGTATGATCCGTGGGCTTACACATGCCCAATCTGCAACTGAATTAGAGGGCTATGTATCGAGAGTATTCCAGTTCGACGAACAGCTCTCCAAACGTCGTATCAGTCGAAGTAAATGCCTCCGTTGATATTGATGCTCTGGCCTAGTCACCACATATTCAATCAGCCAACCTCCAGAGCCACCTCCACGAAATTATGCCACTCACCGCTGACAAAGTTATTATCTTTTTGTGCAAGGAAGGAGACCAGGTTGCCGATGACGGAGGGCTGTGCACCTGGAGTGCTCTTCTGTAAACGCACCGCCTCGATCTATACATCTGTGGTGAGCCACATGACGAGGGACAACGACGGGCTACTAACCGGGGGTACGTCTTTGTCGTCCTCAACTTTTTTGGACTCCGTTACTATCCAAGAGTTATATCAAGATCATGAACGTCTCTGTAAACGTGTGGACGTACACATCGGAGTGTAAATAATACCAGGGCAATAACTGTTCACAGTGATGTTGTACCTCGCCCATTCAAGAGCTGAAACAAAGTATCAAGGAAGCCTTAACTGTACTTCCTACGAGATCAAGGAGGCCAAAACGCACCACAAGTTTGAGTAAGTCCGCGCACGGCAAATTTCGACGCGGAGTACGCAGAAAGATTGGTCATACCTGGGCGTGCAAAATCCTCATAAGCTCGAGCGCCTTTGGTTGCGGATGCTAAGCAAACGTACCCGTCTTGCCAGCCAATGAACTGGCGCCTAGAGATCGCTGATGAATATTCGCAAAACACGCCACAGAACCAAAAAAAATCGCTGACCGATGATTCGTCCACCTCGGCCTTGCTTGATCATCTGCAGAGCTGCATACTTGAAGGACAGGAAGATACCTGTAGCATTGATAGACATAACGCGATTGTATTCTTCGAGAGTAGCTGTGACAGCTCATCAGCATATCGTATGTCACAGAAGACAGGAAACAGACTCTCGATAGCAGGCTTGTTCATGACGATGCCCGCGTTAGCAACCATCTACAAGTCAAAAAAAGCATTCAGAATACGCGGTGCTTAGCTTGGACACAAATACATACCACGTCCACACCGCCGAGAGAGTCTACAACTTTATCAATCACGGCCTTCACATCACTCTCCTTCGACACGTCTCCGGTCACAGCAACAGCTCTTCTGCCCGTCTTGCGGATCTTCTCAGCAACCGCATTGAGTGACTCTGCGCTTGCGGAAACATCGGTCACGGCAACGTCAAGGCCATCATTTGCAAGACGCAAGGCGACGGCCTCTCCGATTCCTCGAGCGGCACCAGTGACGATAGCAATACGGGCAATAGACATTGATGAAGAGGCGTATAGAGAGGCATCGCTCTGCACCGAGTATTAAGGCGGTCCCTGCGTAACTAGCGAAGTGTCAGCAAAATGCCCGCGCCGCCTGCCAAAGCTCCCATGACCATGGTTCGTCAAACGTTTATTGCGTGGTCGGCCGAAGTCCTATCTGGCCTGCGAAAATACGACGTCGCAGCTCGATCAGAGCCAGCTCCGCTGATCAGACCTGACCAAGTATGACCGTACATCGTCTCCTCCTGACTTGTTACCATGCGACCAAAGTCTGTGTGTGCCGAAGTTAGCCACTGACATCGTGGCCGACGAGGTACATGATACGTACCTGAGCTATGCAATTGGCGGAGTCGGTGGATTTTACTCGTGTGCTCGTTTCCTCGTCGAATCAGACGTCCGCGGTTCGCGCGTTCCGTGGCTTGACAGTCCAACCTCCGGTCACAGGCCAAGCTAATCGAAAATTTATGATAGATCGAATGAGATCGTGTCAGCTGGTCAAATTCAAATCTCATGAATCTTGGCGCCGATGAGCTGAATGCTGCTTAAGATCCTCGGATCAGCGAACACTTTCCAGTTCTTCCCCCACAATCGACTACTCCATCTGGGCTTCAAGCACTTTTTGTTGCCCCCTGGCTAAACTGACGAAATTATGCAATCCATGGCCCGCTCGAACTAAGAACATGAGGTTACAGCGACTTCGGACTGACGGAGAACGGAGAACGGATGAATTCGAACCGACTACGCTACACAAAATAGCTCAGGTACGTAATACCTCGTCGGCCGGCTTGGTAATACGAGACAAAAGAGGCAATGTAGGTAAAAAAACATATGTAAACTAAACGAAGAGATGATGGAGGCGAGGGGGAAGCGCGATGGTAGAGGCAGCCGTTGTCGAACGATCAGGACGTAACCTGCGTTTATATTCAGCCCAGATTCTGCCGGCGAGAAAGATGCATGCTCGATGCCAACAGTGCGCGATTCTGAGCAGAAGGCGGCGGCGCGGGAGTGTTTCGCCTTCTGGTAAGGGCGGTAATACACCGAGAAAATATCTCGCATGATATAGGGGCCACATATCATGGTCAGTGAACAATATGCGTGCAGACGAGAGGATTTGCACTGAGAGGTCATCGGGGGCGGCGGCAGTAGTGAGAATGCCCGATGTCTCAGTGAGGGTGTCTGTACGAGCGTGTTCGCGATGAGGTGCGAAAACCGGACATATGACGAAGACGTGATGTGCGGTTTCGAGGGCGTCGCACCCGAAATGGCATCGCGGGGAGATGTTTCCAAAGCGGTGGAAGGCAGTACACTACCGTGACGACAATCATGCGTGACAATTGCCACACCTCTTACCTCAAGTACTGCGATCTGTCTGAGAACATATGTCAACCAAACCACTTCAACAACCTATACTTCTGACATCGAATCGAATGTGCTACAGTGAGTCCGTAAGCCTGAAAGCTCACGGTACTACCACCGCTTCTCGGACATCCAAAACTACTCTGCCACCGCATTGACATTTGATGATGCAAATCCTGGTTCATTTGAACACTGTGCTGGGTTGGCCATACCGTCGTTGCCACTTCTTGGTGAATCTTTCTTGAGCAAATACTTCAAATCTTCCAACTGCAGGTCTAGGGTACATTCAATTCTGGCAGTGTGGTGCGCATCGGTGAAATTATCCGGCTGGGCGTTGATGCAATGCGCGGCATGCCAGGGATTAATGAAGCAATGGCATTGTATTGGGAGCGAGGCTACTAGGTTGGGTCCAGGAGGTATGGGCAGAATCGCCAGGGGTGTTTTCCCGAGACTAAGATCTCTAACTGTCGCACATGAAGTACACAAGGTGGCACTCAATTATTAGAGGAGTTCAGACATACCAATTTGATGAAGCGGGACACCCAAGCTCTTCCCAGCGAATGTTGGGATCGAGAGAACTGATCACCAGAATAAGGGGGGAGAGTCCATATAACCAGCAGCTGGCAAGACTTTATAGGCAGTTTCAAGTTTCGGGTAAGACCGCTGCACTGGTGGGCAAGCACACTGGTACAGCGTCTGCGACTATGACTGCCCCTATCCCGACTACAAACCTATGCCGAGGCCACGTCATGACATGCCCGCGAAGAACGCCGTGCAGAGAGGGCGCGGAGGGCAATTTTACCTCGAAAAACACCCTCAGGTCGGGTCTGCCGTGTTCTGAGCACGACGCATTGGCAGATGCGAATCATCGAGCGCGAGCTTACATTCATTGATCACCTCCCAGCAGGCGTGACAAACGAAAAGAAAAACCGGAATCCGCACTAGTAGTCCCCACTCAACCATACTAAAGACCCCCGTCAACATTGATGCATTGACCTGCACGTCGACACGATATCATGAGCGACTCATCTTCCGACGCTTCAAACACAGTGCTCACCAGTGATGAAGAACGACTCCGGCTTCGCGAGATAGGAGACAAAGCTCGCAATGACCGTCGGTTCAGTTTGCGGGACATCAAGGGGTGATCCTGCGAACTGACTTCCGAAGTCAGTCAGTGTCGAAAGGTATGAGCTAAGTAGCCTCACCTTCTTCGCCGTCGAGACTGATCCCCCGTTGTTAGTATCGTCAGCATGCAAAGCTGGGGTCATGTGGTCATGTCAGGACATAGCAGCTTGACATAAACGGGGATTTTGCACGAACTCGTCGGAGTGAGGATGACACCCGGGGCATAGCCATTCACAGTGATCTTATGCTTTGCCCATTCCGAAGCTGGGACACGTTTGCTCGTGAAGTACGAGTATAATTTGCAATGCACGCACCACAGCTCTGAATGATCCCGCGAGCAGCGAACTTTGATCCGCTGTAAGCACCCATATTTGCCGCAGCTAGAAAATATTCTTCGTTCAAAACGGGGTAACCGAATCGACCTTGCATAACATACCTCTCTTACCATCACCGGCCGAAGCCCCTATGAACGGTCCCTTCAGTCGCTGCAATAATCAATTACATGACATGGCTCACCTATAATCCTGCCACCTCGGCCCTGCTTGATCATCTGCAGCGCGGCATACTTGAAGCACCAGAACAAGCCTTTGCCGTTCACGGAGCAGACGAGATCAATATCTCCAGACGTGGCTGTGGTGACTGTTAGAGCATATAAAACGAAAGCAGGTAAGAAGACGTACTCTCGAGCATGGGCTTGGAGACCATGACGCCGGCGTTCGCAACCATCTACGGGAAGTAGCGTCAGCTTTATCAGCGTATCCACAATTCCGCAAGACGCACCACGTCCAATGAGCCAAAGGTTTCCACGGTCTTGCCAACCAAGGCCTTCACATACTCCTCGGACGATACATCCCCAGGAACGGCGATCGCACGTCTTCCTTTGGCCTCAATTCGCTTCACTACCGCCTTGAGTTGCTCAGACTTAGTTGGAAGGTCGTTCACGACAACGTCCAGGCCGTCCTCAGCGAGACGCAGCGCGATAGATTCTCCCATGCCCTGAGCGGCACCAGTGACCACCGCAATACGCAAAGACGTTTCAACAGTCGACATCGTAGCTTGCAGCGAGGAGAGCGAGAGAAGAGGAGCAGTTGGAACGCACGGTTCAGGAGGTCTGCCCTCCCGACTTTATAATCGCTAGCCCATTGCTTGGCGGGGGCGGAGAGACAGACTCGGCGGAGCAACCACGATCAGCCAAGAGGTAGGTAAGTCCGGTGGTATCCTCTACCACCAAGTGTTCTGCCACAAGTGATAGGATCTCGGCAGGATCCCAAGAGAACCAAGCTGTCTAGGTTTCCGAATGCAGGAGGGGGTCAGGGGTGCTGAGCGAATTTTCCAGGAGAGTCCTTCAGTGAATTTTCCAGCAGGGGGTCCAGAGGTTTCCAGAAAGGTCGGGAACCGCTGAGCGAAATTTCCATCCAGGATGGGGTCCTGAGTCGCCGAGCAACGTCTGCAAGAGGGGTCAGAGGTCGCCGAGCGAGCTTTCCAGGAGAATGGTGAGTTGCAGAGCCAGATTTTCAAGAGGTGAGCAGTCACTGAGGGAGGCCTCCAGGAGAGAGGTCAAGAGGCACTTGGTGGGTCTGCGCATATGATGCGCCCTAGGATTTTGCTGTGTTGCACCTTCGGTCTTTACTGCATCGCGCTCCGAGTCCAACTGGACCCTAGTACAGAAACTTCCAAGGGAACATGTTAGACATATAATGATAGATCACGCACCAGAATTCCGCAGACATTGTGAAGTTGGATGATCGAACGAAATCAAGATCTTCTCCAAGGACTAACATTTACGTGCTGATTCTGTATCCGTACACAATTCTTGAAATGACATAATGAAGGACGTCGGATTATGCAATCCCAAGTTTCCTCTCAGGGAAATTCCACCACCAGTACTGAACGGCATGTGCTGCTCAGTCGAAAAAGGAGCCTCCATTGATGTTAATACACTGGCCTAGAGATGCCCACGACCCAATCAGCACTTTCCTTAATGGTCTTTGAACGTAGAACTCTAATACCCACCGCTGATAAACTGAGATTCGGGCCTTGCGAGGTAGGATACGAGCCCTGCAATGGCAGAGGGATCTGCCTCCGGTGAGTTCGCGGGCATATGAAGAGACTGCGTCACAGTAGGTGATGTGAATGACAGTGAAGTGAAAGACGACCTAGACCAGACGGCGCACCTCCTTGAACACAGCTGGACCAGTGCGCTTGGGATCATTAGGATCTTGGACTGTTTACAGGATTTCTATCTATTAGGTGATCGATACGAAGGAGATTAAACGAACTCATTGGAGTACGGACGAGTCCGGGGGCATAGCTGTTCACGGTAATTCCATGCTCAGCCCATTCAAGTGCTGCATGTCGTCAGAATTAGTGGGAACTCACGTCCTAGTCACCGGGAAGGATAGTCCACCTACCGCAAGTCTGAGTCAGACCTCGTACAGCGAACTTCGAGCTACAGTACGCAGACAGAGCGAATGCTCCTGAGCAGAGATTACATCGTACATAAGAAGTAAAGAAAGCTAAAACAATTGCTTGGACGCACCCGTCTTGCCAGCCATGGATGCGGCACCTCAAAGCAAAAGATTAATTGGTTCACAAAAACAACTTGGAGTATCCCTTACCTATGATTCGGCCGCCTCGCCCCTGCTTGATCATTTGCATAGCAGCGTACTTGAAGCATAAGAAGGTACCTATGACGTTGACAGACATGACCCGATTGAAATCTTTGACAGAAGCTGTCATTACATCGAGTCAATATCAGTCACAGGGCAGTTTCGCGGTGAACACACTCTCAAGCACAGAATCGACCACGAGGATTCCTGCATTGGCAACCATCTATAATCCTACAACTCAGTATCCGTGCGTCAGTTGAGAATGACGACATACCACGTCCACGCTTCCCAGGTCATGAACGGCTTTATCAACCATAGCCTTCACATCGTCCTCGTTGGACACGTCCCCTAGAATAGCGACAGCGCGTCTGCCCTTCTGCTGGACCTTCTCAACAACGGTTGCCAACCCGGCCGCCATGGGAGCTAAGTCATTTAACACCAAATCGTACCCATCCTCTGCGAGGCGCAGGGCGACGGCCTCTCCGATGCCTCGGGAGGCGCCTGTAACAAGAGCAACGCGGGGAGTGGACATTTTATGAGAGACGACGGGTGCGCTGATATTCCACTTTGCGAATGATACGCTGGGCGATAGAGAGCCCCGGTACTTATAGTCCACGGAGACGATTAGGGGCCTATCATGCCGCTTGCGTTCTGGCGAGTGATATTCTGACGAGAGCAAGTCTAGTCAACCTGTCAGTAAGAGGGCCGCACTGCCTAGCGCGGGAAGTCAAGCGGCATACGAACTGGTTTCTCACCTGAGGAGTAGCAGCTGTGGGGATCCAGATCAAGGTTCAACGGCCTAGTAGCAGACATCGAACGGTCCGTGACACTTGCCACCATATGACTTCATTCCCAGCAGCCACTTATTCACGTCGGAGATGCGCCGAGTAAACACGAGTGACCTCGGGACCGCACTATGTGCGGTATCTGATTTCATGACCTGGTCATCGGAACAGATGTCAACCGGACCTGAGGTTAGAGGGCGACATTCGTGAATACCCAAATTCCTGCATAGGACACACCTGCGCCACCCCGGGGTCAACTACTGTCAACAACAGTTCCGAGAGTGGAAGTAGGAGTGGATGGCGCACCCACATTTAACGATGTGATGCCTATAGCATGTGCAAACGTCGAGCAGTCTATGAAATCTCTCCGCTAACGTCAATTGCGAGTCTTTGGCTATGTCTGAGCTGGCCACTGTTCGTTGAGCATAAATTGCCTCTAGGGATTTCCCATGCAGTACGAGTGCAATACAAGCACTCAGTCGACGGTAGCCGTCCACGCCGGCCTGTACCGAAAGTCTGGAGAGCAAGAGGGTACGCCGCCTATCCGCAAATCTTGCTTGAGAAATTTGCCACCGCACAGATTCTAACACGGGCTTGAGACGGAAGTGATATAACTCCCTGGTCGCACCACCTCCATGTCAAATAAAATGAGGACAGGCCATGCAATACAAGCTGAGAAGTTGCTGGAAGTTATTTCGATGACAAGGTCCAGCTCCGCCCTGGAACACGAGCTGGGTCGGGTTGCTATACCAGCGTGAGAAAAAGCAGCGCATCACCCGTCGGATATTACCAAATAAGGAATCCCGCACTGCATCCGCGCGGGCCCGCCCGGTGAGTCAGGCGGACAATAGGGATCCCGCCGCCTCGTTGCAGGCCAGCGCACTTCTTATGGCCCCGCCGCCCCCTGAGTAGATGATACCAATGTCATACCCCTACCACTATGTGGACTATTCCAATCCTACTACTCCCCGTGTGTATACATGGGACATTGAGCAAGACGCCGCCCAAGCTGTCCAGCCTCAGTCTTTCCATGTTCAAGACCAGCAGCAACAACAGCAGCAACACCAAGAGCATGCGCAGCCCCAGCCCCAGCTCGAAGACACCCGCCAGCAGAGCCAACGCCTACACCAGACAGTATTCCAACCACCGACGATCCAACTCCAAGAGCGCAGAGTGCCGAGTCAGTACCGCTTCGACAACATCACAGAAGAACACTTCCTGCAGGCCGCCACCGTAGATGAGACGCGGTCGGAGACGTCGAGCAGGCGCGGCGCGAGTAAGCCGCCGCTGCACGTCACCAAGGCCGAGCGCCCCAGTGTGAGCCCTACTGCATCGTCGGCTGGCGCGGGCCCCAGCGCGATGCCTGCACGAGTGGCTCACGGCCGCCATGTGCAGCACGCACACCCGTACCGGCGCCCGTCCTCTGCGGCGTCGTCCTCGGGTGCGCGTGGCGCGCCGACTTCTGTGAGAGTGCGCAGAGAGAGTGAGATGCCGCATCCGATGATGCCCAGCCCTCAAGCTCCAGCCTCAGCGGAAGAGCAAGCTCAGCTTCATCCCAGCACGAGTGCAGCGGGAAGTGCAGGGAGGAACCTCAACACCATCGCCTCCGCTGCTGCCATCTCCGCCATGGCCGTCTCGTGCCCCGCAGCGCAGCTGTGGAGAGACAAGCTTTTGAGAGGTCCAGACAATGCCGTCGGGGGAACCAGGTACGCAGTGAATCGACCTTCCTCATCGACCTCCCGTTCACCTTGAGCATCACTGTTTCGCCCGCGAAGCCCCGCCCTTGGTGGGATGCCGACGCCCGCGCAAGCGCAGGCTTTCCCAGGTATTCGTACGCCAGAACCTCCACGCCGTTACACTATTCGGATGGACGTGCAATTCGACGCGGCGGATGACGCGGCGGACAACATGCTGACGGCGATGCTCGAGCTGCCCGGAGTGAGGAAGGCCGACCTGCGCCTCACGCTTGCAACGTGCCCGTACAGTCGCGTGCGCCAGCTCACCATCGCGGGCACAGTACGTTCCACGCTCACCCCGAGGGGACACACCGTGCAGGAGCGCAAATTCGGCGAGTTCGCTCGGACGTTAGTGGTTCCTCCAGAGACTAAGGTGTGCTATCCTGTACCCGTGTTCATATGAGTGCCCACCTGATGGCGTAGCAGTCAGATGACGTGCACGCAGTGATGGAGGACGGAATCCTCACCCTGAAGATACCCGGCGGGCATCCCGCAGAGGCGGAGCCGCCACAAGAAATCGCAATTCAATGAACGCCAGTCGCCCGTCGCTTTCGTACACCATTCAGACCGCCCCGTCCAATAGACGCTTTCGCCCAAAAAATACAATATTCAGCGTCGTGATACCCCCGCACGCAGTAATCCAAGTTCTCGCACGCAGCACGTCTTGTTCCGCTCTTCGCTATCTATCCGCTTTCGCGATCTTTGCCAGCCAAAAAATGTATCATAGAACCGCATCATCTAGATCCACCCCTCTCATCCAGCGTAGCGTACATGTAGATGTACATGGTACCCAGCATCACCCGTCATCTATCTTGCGCGCCCGCGTAGCACGTTACGGACGCTCTCCATACTGTCTCCGTCTTGTTCTGCTCATATATCAATTTAACACCTCCTCACACGGCTCAAAGATGTTGTACCATGAGATGGGTGCGGCAAGATCCACCCTTGGAACAGCGCAGAGTGCAGAACCGAGAGGCTCAATACAACTGACCCTTAGGGCCAACCACAGCATCACCAGTGTCAACATGTTGTAATCATCACAAGGCATAAAATGCGATCTCTGATTGCTTGAGCCAATGAAAAGAATTCTTGCTCGGACAGCAAGCTCTTCTGACCCAAAAGTGAAACACTGAAAGCATCCTTTTTACACAGTTATTGTGCGCTATTTTTTGTGGTATTTCTGTCTGCGAGCATGTTCCGCCGCCACCTGGCGGCCCTTCGAGTATCACAGTCTAATTCATAATCGAGCACGGCCTTACCAAGGCTGACAATAACAATGAGGGAACGGTCCCAACAGCCCAGGTACACGTCAAGAATGCAAGATAGCCTCCAATACTTACCGCTGGCAAACATCTCCCCCTCAAGAGCAGAAATCAAAGACAGGAAACGAAGCACACAGAACGACTATAACGGATACAACTCACCTGCAGCTGGTACCAATTATCGCCCATACCGATGGAGGAGTCACAACCGTATCTCACCTCTAACAGCAGGAAAAAAAGAGACCCCCGTCGACGTGCAAGCTTGTCAGCTGCCAGACACGCTTGTAGCGCGCACTCTGGTAAAGAGCGACTACTGTAGTCCGAACCACGACCGAAGACTTAAAAGACTTAGAGCTCGTAGCCGCAGTCCAGTTGACGCCTTGGGATCAAATGGCGCCAAATATCACGTGAAAATCGGCAACTTCCACAGTCGACTCCGCATTGGCTACAAGCTACTAGCGTTGGGCGTCTAAGCTCAGTACTTCCCACTCACTGCGGTCAGACGACGAACTTGACATTGATGATCACGTTGCTCTTGTGGGCTCTTGGCGAAGCCACGAAGAATCCTGCCTCGGACTGCCTGCGGTTCAGGTCATCAAAAGCACATGCGTGACGTACGAAGGGCTCCGGTAAAACTTCTGCGGTGCGATGAAGCCTTCGGCGCAGAAAGTGGCGAAGGAGCGATAGGGGAGAGGAGAAAGTGCGGCAGATCATGGGGGCTGAAATGGACCACGCGAGCGGCGAGCGCAGCGATGGTGGAGGAACGGTGTGAATCCGAACCCCTCGCAGGGAAAACCCGAAAAAGCCATCCGACCTCCTCTTCTCGGAACTTCTCCCGTCCATGCTCGTATAAGGAGGTTAACGACAGCGTCGACGGTCAGCATACTCGACATGTCTATCATCGGTGCCCTCTCCAGCCTCAGCCTCACTTCCTGGCTCGCCCTCATCGCGTCTCTCGTCGTACTCATTCATGTAGTGCCTTGGCTGCTCGATCCGCATGGCATCCGCTCCTATCCAGGTCCATTCGTCGCCAAGTTCTCAGATGTGTGGTTGGGCTGGGTAGCACCGGCAGGCCATCGCTCAGAGGTTGTGCACGATTTGCATCGCAAGCATGGTACGTACTGTTCCGCTTCATCGGCTTTGCGAAGAGATTGCCGTATCTGTACACCATTTGGCCTTCTGCAAATCCTTTCCCTCAGACCACTATAGGAACGAGGGAAGGAGCGACGAAAATTTGACAGGACCTGCGTCTGACGGGACTTCGCAAGCTTTATCAATAAGCGCCTATCTTGCAAAGCAGTCGCATTACCTGCGCCTCGCTGTATGTCTGCGCACGGAAGTTGTGCACCGATTTTTATTTCCCGATGCTTCACTCTTACGACGCTCATAGCGAGTTCTCCCAAATTTCACATTATCTGAACCAGTCTTGAAATCGATCAAAACCTGATATATGCACTGCAGGCACATTTGTACGAATCGCCCCCAACCACCTCTCCATCTCAGACCCGGCAGCAATTCAGGAGGTTTATGCGCACGGGAACGGCTCCCTCAAATCTAATTTTTACGACGCGTTCGTGTCCATCCAACGCGGGCTTTTCAACACGCGCTCGCGGGTTGATCACGCGCGCAAGCGCAAGATCGTCGCGAACATCTTCTCGCATAAGAGCGTGCTCGAGTTCGAGCCCCATGTGCGCTTGCACGTCGCCACTCTCTGCAATCAGTGGGATCGCCTGTACGACCTCGGCGCGAAGGGTTTGTCGGGTACTGAAGGCGAGGGCGGCTGGAGAGGACGCGATGGACGCGTCTGGCTAGACTGTCTCCCGTGGTACAACTACCTCGCCTTCGACATCATTGGTAGGTGTTCAGACACGATCCAAAAGACTAGACCCAACTTTAACTTTCACCCAGGCGACCTGGCTTTCGGCGCGCCATTCGACATGCTCCACACCTGCGCCGATTCTGCACCTGTTGCAGTGCACCACAAAGCCGCGATAGACGGGTACGGCGACATGTCAAAATGCCAAAGCGTGCACTTCCCCGCTGTGCAAGTGTTGAACGATCGTGGCGAGTACTCTGCGTCGATGGGAGTGCTCCCTCCCCACTGGCGCCCGATCGCGAAGCGTCTCATACCCTGGTACAGCCGCGGAAATCAGGCTGTGCAACGTTTGGCTGGTATTGCTGTCGCGGCCGTTGCCAGGCGCATGACGGCGCCGTCGGACCGCACGGACTTGCTCGGAAAGCTGCAGGAGGGCAAGGACGACGAGGGAAACCCGATGGGAGGGGGAGAGCTTACCGCTGAAGCGCTCACGCAGCTCATCGCTGGCTCCGACACGACGTCCAAGTAAGGCTTCATGGTGATCGAGCAGCCTTCCGTCTGACCAGGTCCTGCAGTTCATCATGCGCCATCACGTACCACCTCGCACACAATCCCGAAGTGCAGCGCAAGCTGCAACGCGAGCTGGACGAGGCGCTCGGCACGGACGATGACCCTGTCGCAACGTACGAGCAGGTGAAGCGCCTCACGTATCTCGAGGACGTCATCAACGAGGCGCTGCGCGTGCACTCCACCTCGGGCATCGGGCTCCCGCGCGTCGTTCCCGCGGGTGGGCTCACCGCCTGCGGGCGGTTCTTCCCTGAAGGCACCATCCTGTCGGTGCCGACATATACCGTGCATCGCGATGTGCAGGCGTGGGGTGCGGATTCGGACGTGTTCCGCCCGGAGCGATGGCAGGAAGGAGATAAGGCGATGATGCAGGGGGCCTTTAACCCGTTCTCATTCGGCCCTCGGTGCGTGTCACTAGAGCATTCCAGCATTTTTGGGACTAACCAAGATAATATTTAGGAGCTGCGTTGGCCGCAATCTGGCAAGCATGGAGCTGCTCGTTATTGTTGCGTCCATCCTTCGCCGGTTCGAGTTCGTCCTGGAGGAGCCTGAAAAGCCTGTATGTTTTTCTTTGCTCCCCTTCACGGACTGTCTGAAGTATTCATATTATCCGTCAGCTTCAGACTCGAGAGGGTTTCTTGCGGAAGCCTCTGGGATGCAAGGTCGGTATCAAGCGGAGGGATCTGTAGAACGTGGGACCCTGGCGTGCCAGTTGTTGTAGCGAGTTCATGAGGCCGATATTTCAGCCACCATGCATGTTGTATAGCAGTACCCCCCTTGCAATAACATACACGCACTACGACGCTTCTCTCACTGCACAGAAAACGAACAACATAGTGAACACAAACAAACAGCAGTGAGGAAAAGGTTAGAGAATAAAATAGAAAGAAAACCACAGCACCCAGGATTCCCGCGTGGTCCCCCACCGTGGTACTAACTGGGCGGCACTTCGGTTAACTGCGCAGATCGGACGGAATGCGGTGCTTTCGAAGTTCTATGGCCGTGAATGCTTTTCCTTCCACGTAAATAATATATAAAAGGTCAGACGAGGGACCTTCGAAATACTGTCGCTTCCGGAGATGAGTGGTCAATATATCAGGTCAACTGGATATTATTTTGGCATATTACGCAACATCTTTGTGCTTTTGAGTTAGCCCACTCGAGAGCGCCTTGTCTCTACTGCGAACGCCTGCCGGACTTAGGCTAGCCAGTCATGGTACGTCTGCGACTTTCATGCGATGCGTACGCATTCAAGCGAAATATCTGCAGAACGGCAATATTGAAGAACTCGTTCTCTCCGGGAAACTCTTCAATCCCCCATCACGCTCGTCTTCCCCCGTGCGCTCACGCTCCCCCTCTCCATCCATTGCAGCGTGGCCGAACGACGACACCGACTTTGACTATGACTCAGATGCTGAGCGCCGAAAGGCGATCGAACATCGTGTTGCCGCCGCCCAGGAGGACCAGGACTCTATTGGCCTGGGTCCCGGGCGCACTGGCGTGAAGGGCGTAATACGCGACCGCGCAGAAGCGGTGTCCCTGGCGCGATCCAAACGGGCGCAGGAAATACGTGACCTCAACCATGCCATGGAGAAAGCGAGTTTAGGGGGCAAGACCTGGGCGGAAGAGGAGAGAGACAGGCTTGCCGAAAAGACGCGCCTGGAAGGCGGGATGGATGAGACACGGATGTGGAAGGGACGTTTCGGTCACCTGAGGGAAGTAGGTGTGTCGAGCTTCGTGCAGGCTGTAGAAGAGGACAGAAACGTGTGGGTGCTCGTGCACATATACGATCCAGTACGTATCCCGCTGCGTTCTCCTCATTCATTCTGAGCAGTGCTCAGTCTCTAGACCGGTGTGCGTCTCTTGACGACGAGCTTTCGCGCCTGGCGCGATTGTACCCTTCGACGAAATTCCTTCGTGCGCGCGCCGGGGCACTCGGGTTCGCATCGACATCATCGTCGAACTCTTATTCCGGCTTTCATTCATCGCTCCCTTTGAATCGATCACATCCTCGACGGATGTTTGTCCCAGGGAATTACCCCGGCGACGAGGACGATCCTTTCGCTGACAATGACGAATCAAATGTTGATAGTCAGGATCCTAGCCCGCAAGACGAGTGGGAAGATGACGCGGTTGATACGGATGTCTTGCCAACGCTGCTTGTCTACCGCGGCGGCCAGTTGGAGCACGCGTGGGTGCGAGTCGATTGGGAAGCAAAGAGCGGAATGCAAGAGTTTCTGAGACAGTGCGTTGACATTACAGCAGCCGGGTTTCCTTGGGAACTCCGTCGCTGTGTCGTGCTGAAGTGTTTTATCATTTGCAGACACAATGTTGTCTCGGACGCCGATATTGGTATGAAGCCTGAACGCGGGTTGTCCCTGTCTGACGACGACGACTTCGATGATGGTGGACTCATCTTTGGTGGAAGTGACGACGAAGTCGGTTAGTGTGTGTCAACTGAATAAGTTTTGTTGCAAGTTATAATGTACTCCTCGATCACCAGCCTAATTCTTCACCTTGGCCACTATTTTGCATTTTCTCGGTCTCGGCTGCCGTTGCTTTGAGTACTTATGGCAACATGTGCAGTTGTAATTGGGTCATGTCGTTGAAGTCAGCTTAAAGTGTCGTTCCCAAGGAATCGGACTGTCCTGTCGACCCGGCTACTCGCATAGTATTAGTAAACTGACCGACGGCTTCATACCTAGCATCGATAGCGACGGCTTATACATTCGTCTTGGTAAGTCGTTGAACTGCTTACAAAGTGTGTCATACCTCACATCTTCTGACATTCTGTAGATTCGCGTTTTATGCCAAGTCACAGAGCGCTGTAAGTTCCCACTTCTTTAGGCTGTGCGCTTCTTCTTGGCCAATCGTGTCGCAATGGTCTGCTTCTATGTGCGCAGACGTCCTGTGTGATTTTCTCAGGCATCACCTACAATATTCCCACTCGATTTCGAGTGTTCTTACAACAGCTATTGGTAATATTCATGCATCTCTCTGAATTACCCGGGGCGCGGGGGGAGCAGCAGGTATAAATACAACAGCGGCCTCTCATATTCTCATCAAGTCAGGCCTTCCTACATCTCAGAAACATCCTATATCCCTCTAGCATACACTCACTATGTCGCACGGCAAGCAGATCACGCTCTTCACTCATAAGAGTGGTCCGAATGGCTGGTGAGTGACTACCGCACATGCAGCTCTGCGTGATGTTCATAGGATGCGCAGGAAGGTCGCGATTGTTCTCGCTGAGCTTGGTCTCAGCTACGAGAGCGTCTATCTCGACTTCAACAAGGGCGAGAACAAGGCTGAAGCACACACCAAGTACAATCCCAATGGACGTATCCCAACCATCATCGATCACGCGAACAACGACTTCGTGGTTTGGTATGTCATTTAGTTCGATGCTGCGAATGCCGTTGACTAAGTTTCGAATCCGATAGGGAGTCGGGCGCGATCCTCACTTACTTGGTAGAGAAGTACGACAAGCAGCACAAACTGTCCGTCAGTGGCTTTGAAGACAAGATCATTCAATTGCAGTGGATTTTCTTCCAGGCCAGCGGTCAGGGGTGCGAACCAGTCCATCGATGTTCGCATTCATGTCTAACTGTTCTCTCGACGCTGTAGCCCGTACTTCGGTCAGGGTGTGTGGTTCAGCCTCTACCACCCGGAGAAAGTACCCAGCGCCGTCGAGCGTTATCAGAAGGAGGCCGTCCGCGTGCTAGGCGTCCTTGAGAGTGTTCTGTCCAAGCAGGAGTGGCTTGTCGGTGGCAAGTGCACAGTCGCAGACCTCTCGTTCGTCCCGTAAGTCCGTCCTACTTTCACCATATAGTAGTGTCCGATCAGGTTTTCGCAGGTGGAACAGATTTGCTTTTGGCGGCCTCCTCAAGGATTTCGAAGGCTTTAATTTGGAGAAGGACTTCCCGGCGGTTGCTGCGTATGCAATAGCTTATGCTGTCTCGAATGCTCGGTCACTGACGGTGAATTCCGACAGGTGGCACGCAAAACTGCTGGCGAGAGCCGCCGTCGCGAGCGTCTTCGCTATCAAGGAGTCTTCCTAAGCGCGTATAGAGTTTGCTGCAGAACGTGCTGGAACGAAACATGTATTGTCTAAGGAAATCACAAGGATTGTATCATTCGTAGTGGGTAAACCTATCTGTGTGAATGTTGAACTTAGGGCGTTGGTCAGTGTTTCTCATGAAGTTCTTCTCTGGTACCTGTTGTATCTCGATGTGCTGCGACGACGCCACAACAGTAACCGTGCCATTCAACTCTGTACCCCCCCTTTCCTAACGGGAACGTTACAGGTGGACTGGTAAATCAGTACTCAATTACCGAAGGAACGATACACATTATGCTTATTGATTGTTGTCTCGTTGAGAAAACCAGACTTCGCCGAGCTTGAAAGTGCCGATGAGTAGAAATAACTTCGGTCTAACCGGGATGCCGAGGGAAGACCGAGCCCATTCGGCATTGAAGCTTGAAGTCTCCTTGCTACGCAGGGACAGCGTCGGCGCGGCAGAGACGACCTCCACTGTAACCCGATTAGGGCGCTCGGGCTCAGACGGGGTCACATCCCATCCCCCCCGGGAGCACTAAAGTCTTCAGCGAATTTCTGCCTTCGCGCTCGAATGACATGCAGTCAGCAGGACGTCCGCCTTGAGCACATTATCCGCGGAAAAGCCCATTCGGTCGTTGGATCCAGTGGTTCAGGAAAACAAACGTCGAGCACACACTAGTGAGCACTCAACGCCAAACCAGCTCTTGAAGAAGGCCATAGGCAGAGTTCGTTACACGCAGAAAGCTATCGTTCCTCGAGGACATGTAACACCGGTTTCACACCATGATAAGACGTTCGTTGGTGGAAGATGAGTATAATCGAGCACGAAACGAGCGAAATCTTGTGTGGTGCAGCATGTCGGGTCAACATCTCAGAGAACTGAACATCCTTGCACGCCGGAACGCCGCCTGAGGCAAGAGGTCACGATAAACTACATTCGCGACGGATATAGGCTCAGCGAGAACCACGGAGAATACCGCTGTCCGCATGGGACTTCGTACCTATCACAACGCCGGTACCTAATGCCAGACGTTTATGTCAATACCAAGTCGAGAGTACAAACCACTATTTGCGTTCAATCCGGGACACCGAGCACGAGAGATTCTATGGCACGTCGCAGACGTCCAGACGTCCACTGACGGCGGACAGGCCGGAACTTCGAGCGCCGTGAAGGTTGAACGCGTCCGACTGGAGCATAGCTTGAAGCAATGTCTGATTAGATATGTGTTTGTGTGTAGGGCGCGGAAAAGGATTGCTGTCTGGTAGACACAGAGTTCGTCCTGTGAGCGTCCTGTGTGAGCGCCATGATATTGAAGACTTCGATATCCATGAGAGTCTCATATATGTGCGGCCTCGCCGACGCCGAAATCACTCCGCAGTCTTGCAAGGAAATTGCATCACCTGATCTTCCTTTTCCTGGCGCTGTATTGAGTGGAAGCGCGGCATTCAGTGGAGGTGCATGCGTTCCGAGTGATGGAGGCATGTGCTCTCGGGAAAACGGGAATATATAGAGCTAGACGGAGGTGGTACACTGTCAGTTAGAGTTGAAGAAATGATTATTGAAAATGAAAGAAGAACGTTCGTATTATTAGCCTTGGCTGCAAAATTGATAGCGTACGAGCCCGATCCCGGTAAAATGACGTTCACCCCCGGGAACAACTCTGAATTGAAGGGCGTCCACGTGTCCAGACTGTCCCGGAGCTACATGCGAGTAGCCAAAGAACAAGTACGTCGCCCAAAATTACGATATGGGTGAGGCTAGTCAAGCAGGCGTGGCATTGTAATTTGTGCGCTTGGTAAACTCAATCACTGGAAGAACCCGATGGCCACATACCTTCTGCGGGTTGCAGAACTCCTTATAGGTTGCCATAAGTTTGGTGCTATGTGCCCCCGAATGTTCTGTTTCCCAGCTTAGCCGTGTGGCGAGGAAGTAAGACTTCAATTTATCGAGGCTGTCTCCGCGTTTTCCATTCAATGAAGTGCGGGAGCTCATGCAACAATGGTTAAGGTTCGAAAGCAGCGCTGTGGCGCACGGCCATCTGAAAGAGAACTGCGAAGGATATTGAACGAACGCACGACCGAAGAACGAGATAATTATAACCACACGTACTGACCAAGCGCGCACCCGGTTCGAGAAGCGCTGCACTGAAAACCGCTGCTATACCACGCCACGACTTGCAGACTTACCACGAACGCTGACACGAGTCAGGAAACGAGATATAAGACCACAAATCGCTTAACTCGACGAACGTCTATAGGAAAGCTCCGCAGAAAAGCGCGGAGACACTGCTTAGAACCAGCTGACGCGAAGAGGCTTCAGATATACTTACTTCGCATACGTGTTCTACTCAGCGTCCTGCGATACAAGGTTCAAGGGCGCACACAGGTCCAATGCAAAGGAAGCCCACCGGAGGATTGATGGCCGGGTCCACGGGACGTGCCAAGGCTGTTTTGAGGAAATGGGAGATCAGGCCTTCAAGACAGACTCTGGGTCAGGACGAAAGGTCTATCGAAAAGTTGGAAGTTGAGGAACAATAACGAACCAGGCTTGGGTGCACACCTTGTGACGTGTAACACTCCAATTAATTGACACAGCATTCAGCTTCACTAAAAATCAGCAATAAATATGCAGTAGACGTGTATGATCCCAAATACGTTGGCCGCGCAACTTGGGAGTCCAACTCAGAGGGAAAGAGTGCAAAGTCTGTGAATTGCAAGTCGGGAGTGAATTCAGGCGTGATAGTGGAGCGCGTAATTTTAAACTCCGACTGTAGGGAACACAGGGGAACGGCAGCTCGTTCAGTCTCGGGGTCGCGCAACGTCAGAAAAAAATTGGGAGTCACACAGAAGGTAGTTCATATGTTGTATATTTGATCCAAAAGGTCTGAAGGAAAACGGGCTCGATTTGAAGGAACCGTGACAGAGATGCGACCGTGATTGCATTACTGGGTAACGATAGTACGTGACGTAAAAAATATAATTCAGCAAACCCATATTTGGTAATTTGCTCCACGCGCTCCCTTTTTGTCCAGTTCACCCACCCTCTGTGACTGTGACATTGGACTGAACTCCACTACGTTCTCACGCCGTGCGGAGATCAAACCGCCGACATGCCGCAGTGCTTAGGGATGAAATTTAGTTTACAACCGTCTCTAAACGGCTGCGGGAAGGCATCCATTCTCTGAATGCCGTGCAGACGGCGAGCGTGATTGCTGACACAGCACCGAGGCGGACGCCAGCTGGAAGTCAGTTTGACTCGATGCCGCTCGTTGTTCACGCAGTACTTCGTTGGCCAACGGAGATTAATATTGTGTGTTGTATTGAAAAAACACCTACGATTGAGGAAGGATCCGATGGGCCGGCGGCAGGAAGTGACCATAAGAAGAAGAGCAACGTTCGCACCCACCACCTCGACCTTCAGCAGCTCTAGCACGAACAATGCGCTCCCTGTCCGCCCAGCACTCCCGTATCGTCCGCCGAGTGACCCTCTCTCTCCGCGGCTTCACGCAGAAGCTGCACAAAAAGAGGTCAGTCGACCCGACCGTTTGATATCTTCGCGAAGCTAACGGCCGCCAGAATTCACACATGCCTGCAGCCCGCTAGCGTACCCTACATTCCTCCAGAGGTGTGGGGGCTCATCATACACCACGCTTGTCTTCTCGACTATGACCCGCTCGTTTCCATCTCTCAGCTCTCCTTCCTCGACTCTGCTGCCTCTCATCTCGCATGTTATCGCGCCGTGATGCGCATCAAAACCACTCTCTCACTCGTTTGCCAGAGCTGGCACCACTTTGCGCAACCATACCTATTCGAATTTGTCTGGATCTCCTCTGCCGCACAGGCCAAGGTGCTTGCTCGCACGCTGCTCATCGAGTACATATCCTCCAGCGATCACGGCACTAGCGGCAAGTACATCCGTCGCCTTCATATTGAAACCCCCGCTCTCGAGCGCTGCGCTCCTGCCGACCTACGAACAATCCTTGAATACTCGCCCAACATCTCTGTTTATTCCGACTACCATTCCGTGCAGCGTGGCGTAGGGGACGGCGCTGCCGACCCTCGCTGCAGCCCCGAGGCCATCCTCCGCCTCGTCACCCACCCGAAAATGCGCCGCCTCAGCTGGACAAGCTACGATGACCTGCCGTTCGAACTCCGCATGTCCCCCTTCCTTACGAATGTCGCCACACGACTCGAGTACCTCGAGCTCTCCTCTCGCTCTTCTACCCTCCGCGGTCCATCCCCCGACCACGTCGAGTTTCCCGCCATGGCTGTGTGCCTCCCTTCTCTCCGTGCACTCAAAGTCTCCCTCGATAACAACACCTTTGCCGTCCTCGCTTCGTGGGACATGCCTGCGCTGACCAACCTCTCCGTCCTTTCTTCTGACTTCAGTTACACTGGCACCGGCTTCGCACAGTTCTTCCACGCACACGGTCTCAAGCTGCGCCAACTCGAGCTCGGCCATTCTTCATCGCTCGTCGAGGAATATTATCTCACTACGCCACACCATCTCCTACAGATGCAGCAGAGTCATACCCAGCCGCCACCCGTCCCCCTCGCCGAGTGGTGCCCCAATCTCCGTGAGTTCATCTGCTCCGCCGACGCCGAGTGGCACTGGCGGAGCCCCGACTGGATCGCGCCGCACATCCTCCTACCCGCGCACCCCCGCGTCGAATTCATTGGCATCCGCGACATCGATACCCGCCTCCTCGAGGACCCCGCCGTCCCGCACGCTCCCGCCGACACGCCCTATTTCCTGCTCCTTGAGCAGATGTCTTCCATTCTCTGCCACGACGCGTTCCCCAGCCTACGCTTCGTGCGCGACCTCAGCACGGAGAGCCATCGCATGCGCACCGTCCGGCCCTCGGAGCGCGTGCTCGGCTTCTGGTCGCGGGTCGTGCAGAAGTGCCACGAGCGCGCCGTGTGGCTGGAGGACTGCGATGGCGTGAATATCACGCAACGCGCTCTGAAGCGCGCTGCGTTGGTGCGGGATTGACCGCTTGTGATGCGCTTCGTCCGTCCTCGTCCTTTCGTTTATTGGCTACATGTTCATTCTTACGGCCAGTCGGTCGCGTTTCATCTCAGCATTCTATCCGTCTTGTTTCAGGTTATATCCCACTCATTGAACTCATATATCCTCTTCTTGTGCCAGTCGCGTCTTGGCCCCGCTCTGTAAGCTGTCATGCACATGTTTCGCACCCTAAGAAATGGCCTAAAATTTATATGATTCAAGTCAGTTACCATGCGTGCCCTCGAGGTGTGGGACCTATATCATACTTCAACAAAAGAGACTACAGCGTTCGAGAATGGGGTATCTGCTTACGACGTTCACTATGAGATACGCGCCAAAGGAAAGGCAGATTCTGGATGTCTCATTCTCAAGAATGGACAACTACCGCCACAGAGCCAATGTCATGGCATGCTGGAGATAATTGCAGGTCTTTTGGCGATTCCTCTTTTTGGCGGTGCGGACGCGACCGACCAGATATCACTGCCTGCGGATGTCAGGCTATGTGCGCAAACATGTTTCTTGGGGATACGAATCCAGGCTGCAGTGTGTGTGCAACTGATGAGAAGGCCAGTTCCACATGTGGGAGTTCGGACGCAGGTCAAATCCCCAACTTCGTGATCAACAGGGTCGCAGGAAAGGACAACACCGACTGAGCCACAACGGTCCGGATATTCTTCAAATGTGTACTCAACGTGATTTCTGTCAGATCCGTTCGCAATTGATCCTGTGGAGGAAGCTCCGCTACGTCAAGAGTGCAGTACCTCGGGTATCGGCCTCAGCTGAAGTTTCGGGCTGCAGTCAAAACACAACACCTGGGATGCTCCTTCTTCGATACCGCACTCCCGTTTCTCCAGCATGTCGAAGTCCCTCGCTGCCCTCGGGTGGCTCCTCCTCTCTTGCTTCACAGCGATCAATCTCTTCACTGCGGCAGCGCTCTACCGAGCATCGAATGCCTCTCGAAGGCCGAAGCCGGCGCCTCGGGAGTACTGTGAGTCAAGCGCCATCGTCGATGCGGCGCCAGCTCACATCGTCGCACCTGCAGCCTACGTGGGGTGCGACTACCCCCCGCAGCTTCCCCTCGACATCAGTCCCGCAGCGTTGGTCGTGAACACCACGCACCGCTACGGGCTCACCGCGGACGACGACTGGGGCACGATCTTCCCCAACGGGAACGGGTGGGTGCGCCTAGGACCGGACGGGCGCGCGTTCGCGGTGTCCATGTACCACCAGCTGCACTGCCTGGACGCCATCCGAGTCGCGATGGTGCGTCCTCCTCCCGGAAACACGCTGATCCCCAACCGCAGCTGAGGGCGTGCAGGCAGAAGCCCGCGCGGTCAACCACGGCGATCCGACACGCCCGGCGAACCCGAACCACTCGACGGGCGAGGACGCGTACGCGCACGCGGACCACTGCTTCAACTACCTGCGGCAGGGCCTGCTGTGCGCGGCGGACCTGACGCTGGAAGTCTGAGGTGAAGAGGCGGCCGGATGGCGCGCTCGATAATGGTGCCTCGGGCATCGGCATGGTTCACCAGTGCAAGGACTGGACGCAGGTTCGGGCTTTCCTAGAGGAGAATCACAAGCGGTGGGAGGGGGTCGGCGAAGCATAGGCCGTGCATGGCAGCGTCGATACTCTGTACTCAGACTTGTACACCAGTGAAACAGACTGCTGTGGTTTCGACTGACTGCACATGTGCAAGATCATTTGGTAAAGTTAGACATTATCCGCCCGGTTTACAGGTTGGCACGCTTTCATCAAATCTGACGACGCGTAGTTAGAACAGTATTTCAGGGAAAGGGATCTCACAGGCTCCCTTCACAAATATTAATGAAGCTAAATAGTCTCAAGACGTGACTCTGCTCAGTGAACGCGATCATTAAGTCGTGGACAGACACCGATCTCGCGGTACGATCCCGTACGATAGAAGCGTGCAGGTGGTAACAGAGCCGCTGAGAGTTCTGTGAGGCAGTGTGAAGGGCCGTCCACCGCTCGATCATCACGCCTCGTCACGCTCGCGTCTTTCGTCGCTGAGGACAAGAATTCGAAGTGGCTCGAAGTCGACAAACGGAAAGCGTTGATAAGTTGAAGTTGTAAATATCGTTTACCTTCACAGTGACATATCAAGAACGACTTGAATACAGTCAGATGTCAATCAAACCGTGACGTCCAACATGAATTGAAGAGTACGGAAGGTGGTGTACAGTAGGTAGTAAGTAGAGATGATGAAGCCGGGCGTAAGTAATAAGCGCGAGAATGACGATGGCAAAGCACACAAGAGGGGATACTAGTAATACATACAAATAGAGCTTGCGAACTGTCATGAATGCAGCAATAGGTGTACGAGTAAGATGGCTGATGCTACACTGAACGGATTGCTCGACCAGCCTCTGCGGGCGGTGAGTGGAGAAATTGGATGTGTCGACGGTATAATAACAATAACTGCGAAGTATACATGAGATAAGAATATTGAGACGCGTAAGAGACATAGGCTCACAAAGTACACAAATTCGTTCCATACCAAGCATGGATAAATGAATAAACCTCCAGGGTCAACGAAATACTGTACACTGCTCGCAGTCAGATTATAAACTCTCGACATACAAAGAAAAGACATACGATGGAGCATGGTGTAGATTATGACTATGATGACCGCGTCGTGATGGGGCAATAGCGCAAGATATGGCGCTCGAGTAGCCCAGGTCGCCTAACATCCTTGTCGCAATACGGACACTTGACGTTCGCACGCAAGTGCACGACGGCGACATGCTTGCCGAAGCTCGCGTAGGCCATTTCCCGGCCGCATCTGTGGTGTCTGTGGTCCCATTCGCAGGTGCCGCGAGTCTTCTTGTTCCATGGACCCTTCAAATGGTATTCCTTGATGTGCCGCATGAGCCCAGCGGCACTCACATCGTCCAGAAGAATGTGGCAATCATTGCCCCATCGACAAGGAACGCGCTTTATGGGATCTGGGAAGGGTTCCGGCAGCGGCGGAGCGGGTATGTACGAGCTATCCTGTTGTTGTGTATAGGGATGGCAGAGAGGTTGTTGACGAGGATCGAGGGTCTGGAAGATGAAGGGATCCGAGTCAAGAGCGGGGGCCATCAGCGGACGGCTGAAGTCTTCCCATGACGGGTAATACATGGCGCAATGGTGAAGAGCGAAGAGAGTCGATCAGATGATCGAGAGGGTGAAGAGTGGATAGTTGAGTGAGACTGTGTGCTTGGCTTGGACATTGCGATTGCGGTACCACCTTAGATATATCCCCGTCTGCACAGGTTTTGCGCGTGTTCTGCGTGCGGTTTACTTCAGGAGTTGATTTTGCTACTCTTCCAGTCATGAGAAAAGACAGAACAGCTTGAGCTGGCGAGGCATCAGGACGGAGATTGCAGCACATGAGGCGTTTGTCAGACAAACAGCGAGATTCTGAGAAAAGGGTGGAAAGCTCAGCCACAGCCAAACTGTAGGCGCATCAGTGAACGCGTCTGCCACGTGGACGATGATCATGTCAGATTAGACTCGGCCACATGGCGACGCAAGGTTTGACCTGGACAGTACTACCTCCACTCTTTACTACCTCTGAGAGCAATAGCGAGCAAGATCATGTATATTGGAACGGGTGAGAAGAGATGAAACCCGAAGACATCGAACTTCGAAACTTGAAACGCCGTGGATCGTCCACGAATATACTTGTGATTAATTGCATCTACTGACACAGCCGCGTCGCCGCGTGTTGAAGGAGTGTTGATGGCAAGGGAAGGCCTCGTCATACCTCTCATCCAACACGTTCATACTAATTCTACCTTTGGTCTGCGAACCCCTGCAGGGTGGTTGTGTATCAAGCTTATTACCCGAAGGGAATGACATACGCAGGGCCGTTCCTGCAAGGGACTTCTTAGTGCCATCCTCGCCTCCAAGGTTGTTTTTTGACTCTGTCGATGACACCTACTCTGGCAACAGGTATTCATGTCTCATGCTGCATGCAACAACCAACGTGCAGACCCTATGTGCCGTACCACTGCCTTCATCTTATAGCTCTAGCCCGGTAGTCCTGCACAGGCGCTGAAACACCATGCTTTCACGGATACTAAGTCCACGCAGTACCTGAGCTTACGCGTACGTTTCCCCTCGTTGTACAAGGCAACGCCCGGTGCTACTAGCTGTTGCCACCGCAGCAGTTGACGTTCCCACCCTGGAATGCCGTGAGTGTGTATTCTACACCGTGTTGTTTACATACATTCTCACCGCCGTGATTCTTAGCGGTTTTCTTGGCGTTTCCCCCGCGGTTACGCTGAGATTCTCGTTTGACGGAACCAGCGGCACATGGGACGCCCGCCCGCGCTGTCGGGTGGCGGGAACGCCGGTCTGAATGCGTCAGAAATGCCGCATCGTGCCATGGAATCTTTAGAAGACTCGATTGGCGGGTCGATCGGATCCTGAGGAAAGCCGATCGTAGGGATCGACCTCGATCGTCAACTTGCTCCACCTGACCTCCACACACCGCAACGAATCTTCCTGTACGTCCTCCAAATGTGTGCTTGGATTTCCGATGACTCCAGCAGCTGTAGGAATTTATGATGATGAATAATACATCCAGCACATCCCAGCTTGAACCATTGTATGCACAATAAAGCGGACTCGAAGTCCTTTATTGGAGTCGTGAGTTTGGTGCGCATTGTCGGTGTGACATGAACACATGATAACTATGAGGCTGAGCAGGCTACAGATTGGAGGTCGATAACTGGATACAACAAATAGCAAATGACGGCAGTGGGTGGCAGAATGAAAGCAGCAAATGACAGCAGAGCGTTGTACGACGAAAGCAGGAAAACCATAAAGTGGGTCGTAGGTATATGGATATGTGGACAGACAAACGTGGTGAGTGGTAACAATCTCGTGAAGCATCGTTGAAATTTATCATACCACCCAATATAAAAATGGCCACAGCAATCACGGGCGGTCGGGATTCTCCCGGCACCAATCCCGGACATGCCTCGCCAGTGCGTCTATCCTCGAGAACCTGTCTCCACAGAACTGGCAAAAGCGCTCTAGCGAGTGAAGGTGCACCGAGGCAACGTGTTTTCCAAAGTTCTCGTGCATCATTGATCTGTCGCACGGCGCTCCCTTAGTATGCCATTTGCATAACCCGGAGCGTCTCTCATCCCATTTCCCTTCGAAGTGGTGTTCGCGCAGGTGGCCCTTGACCGCAGCTGCTGTCAACTTCTCCAAATGCATGTTGCAACGCCCTCCGTCCCATAGACAGAGAATTTGACAAGCCGCTGGAGCAACAGCTAGGTGGCTAGCTTGTGGAAAGGGCGTGGAGGAGGCGATGTCGGCGTACGCTGGGGTGGGTGTGATGCTAAACGGCTTCGCGGACGAAGATGAGGGTTGTAAACCGCGAGCGTGCTGTCCATCATAGCTTGTGTTTTCGGATGACGACATCGCCATGTACAGATCTTGATAGGAATGTCCGAAGGAATCGGTAGTGTCGTCAGAGAAGGCGATGTTGGGGTTTGACTGGGGATACCTCAACTCTGAAAGAGACCATGGGTCCATGTAGGAAGATCTGATGATGGTGTGTTCATAGCTTGCAACATCCGATGGTATGATGCTGTATCCGATTTGCCCTCTGACATTCGTGCATTGTCCTGGCATAGGGTTCCACTCCTGTAGGTTCGTGGAGCGGCCGGTTGTGTCTCCACATGCTGCTTCGGACGACGAAGCTAGCAAAGACTCGTGAGCTTGAACATTCTGTGTGGGAGAAGTGTATCTAACGATGTTGCTAGTGATTAGCAAGGTTTCTGGACGGCACTGCGGTGCTTACTGCATATCTTTGCGTCTGTGTTGGCACTGACCAGGTTCGTGGCGCAATATGGTGCCGAATTTAGCCCCGGGTGCGTCCTGAGACTGCTCGCAAGTATGGGTCTGCTGTTCGCTGCCACTGACTGACAAAAGGTGGGGAGTTGGAGACAGCAACAAACGGCGTCGTATATATATCTGCGAGCACCCTCCTCGATGAAAGTTTGGATCCCGCCAATGTATACGGCGAATGGTGGGTGAAGCAGTTCATCGCCTCACAACCCTGTCCCAGCCTTGCCAGAATCGCGCAGATGACGAAATTAGTATCAAACCCTGTGATCCAATTGTGCATCTTGAGATATTATCCAACCGTGACAGTTTGGGCACACCAGATAACGATATCTAGGGACTTCAGCTGACACACGGTGACGGAGCAACGCATCCATGGTGAAAATGGTGTTCTCTGTCTCATCAGCAGTAGGTCCAGACGCAGAGAAGCTGTAGAATTGAAGCGATATTTGTTCAATGTACGTAAGAAAGGTAAGATTGTGCTTCTGGCGGGGACTTGCTTTCCATCAAGTGAATGAACTTTGGCTGTACTTTGATATACTCGCAGCCTCGGTTGGACACCTTGTTCACGACGAGGTTGCTATGATTCTTGCCCGGGGATTTCGACCAGATCGGTTTATTCAGTTACCTGCTCTTGCGAATGTTCACCTGCACCCTTCATTCCGAGTGAAAGCTATGAACTGTAGCACTGCAGACGAGTGTCGTACTTACGAGGGTTCTCCGGAGGTTGATCGTTAGTACGATCCGCCCCTTGGAGTAAGTCATGCACTGGTGGCTGGCTGTATCAGCATCCAGGGGTGATGCAAATACCAACAAAGCTCCGCTGCAACGAGTATTGTAGCACAGCCTCAGGTGTTGGCCGGGGATATTCTTAGATCAGGCTTGTTCTCTATTACGGTGAGGTAACGGACCCTTGGAGATGCACCTACTGGCACCGGTAATTGCTACGGATGTCGACAAATGTCCACGGCCGTCTTTAGATTTTTTACTGATGCATCGACCGGAACGCCGTCATTAAATGCTCAGCTGACCATATGTAAGTCGTACCCAAGCAAAATTCCGCGCAGCGAGGCCCAGTGTGCCGTGTCGACTTCTGACGAGTGCTGGGGTGCATCGCGCGGAGCCGCCGAACTATGCCGATAATCCGGGGATAACGGACATTGGCATGCTCCTGAGCGCAACTACTTCGAATATACCTGCCGTCCTACGTCCGCGTTCTCGGGAGCTTCGAAGATGTGCCAGTACACAGCGTAAACGATCGACAGCATAATCGGACATTGAAGCTGCTAAGCACACAACCACGAGCGCATGATAAGGGTGTGGAACTCCAGAGCCGCAACTCCGGAGCGGGAACGCGAACTGTTGCACATATGGTAAGTGACCGAGAAACAAAAATCGCAAATATGGCTCGCGGGGGGCAGCACAATCACTGAGTGAACGCACGAGATACAACACATCAAGCACTGAGCGAGATCAGAGCAAGATGGAGACAGGTACAACCGTATGGGAGCCATGAGCGGCGGTTTGATATCCACAGTTAACTAGTAGCATCAACGATAATGTTGAGAGAGCAATGGCTATGCGCACAACGTGTATTCACACCTGGAATTCGTGCGCACATTGTCAGAAGGTTCTTTAGCACAGTTTCCGCGATATCATGAGGTCTCTGGCTCACATTTCATCCCTCAGATGCGCACGGGGGGCTCTTTTCCACATTTGTCTCCTTACTTGCTGACGCAGCAGGTGCCTCTCGAACCTCCTGTGCCATAGACTCCTAGCGAGTGTGCCATTTGCCATTCTGGGGGAGATTTTGGGTTATCTATCTGAGAAAAACCCTATTCCATTCAAGGAAGTAAACTTAGCTGCTGCTCCCCGATGAATCCCAGTGTCTTTCCAGAGATATTAGTAGTGGCTGTGGTAGAGATGATCGATGACAAGCATGCATATTCGTAGACCATCTTTACGACAGCCACTGCGGCTTCAAGGTTCTTTGGCACTTATATGGCTCACCCCTTTTCACATCGTGCTGTCACAATGCGAGGCAGAGGAAACGGGTTCTATTAGTTTCAGCAACTCGCACTTGCGTCTGAGAAGCCGTTCCTTGCAGATAGGTGAAAAACAGAATACCGTTGTGCTTCCGCATTCTCACCTTCATCCTGATCCTATCATAGACACTCCTAGTTGATGCCGGGCTCGCAATTTCTGCGACATTCCCAACGGCTGTGCGCGCGTACATATAACTTTCTCGCGTATCTGGTCTAAAACTCGCGCCAGCAAATTTGGCACCTGAACATTTGGTTGGGTTAGGGGAGGAAATAGGATACGGCGGGGGGCCGAGGAATTACCCACGGTCCATTTACGGGTGGTGAAAGAACGTACGACGTGCAAGTGTGTGATGTATTGCCCAAGTCGCAAGCTGTTCAGAGCATCGGTCTTGTTGAAAAAACGTAATTCTTGCGTATCGGATGACCCAAAATCCGTGGCTGCACGGCAAGTAAAAGTGTGCGCGAGTGTTGCAGAAATGTAAAGGCCGACTCGGATAAACTGAGGATAACTCGGCGTGTGGATCTGTTACACCAGCGATGGATTCGGGCATCTTGATTATCCATATGGGCCTGTGACGCGGTGAATCATCATCAGGCTTGGAGAATTTGATCAGGGGACTCGACGTACCCTTTCTGCAGAATGTGGAGGGGGGAAAAGGGTCTTATCCACTGTACGTGTAGGGTTAACGTTATATCAAATCCTGCGGGAAAATATCTCTCGGAGTCAAGGCTACAATGAGGACCAGCTGGCTGCGAACAATCCATCTTGATTCATGGGATTCGGAGAGAATTCGGTGGGAATCTATGCCTTATACCTAGTACGATGACATATATACTCGTCATAGATTTTGTCTTGAAAAGATTCAACTATTCCTGCGGAAAAGTACTCGAGCTCGCGGCAGCCAGATTGATGGGAGTCGCAGAAGCTTAGCGTATCGAGTCACTCAGTCAACCTCATACACGTGAGTGGAGGACCCCCGACAATTGGTGAATAGGCCTGATCTGGAGAGGGCAAAAATGTCCGTTGGGAAAAGGCCGTTTCGGGCCCAAAATGTCCGTGAAAAATTAGGCCTCACCACATTTTTTGCCTCCGCGGTCCACGTTTCTCTTCAGGTTTTAACCCTAAAAAGGTAATTTTGGGCGCTTCTGAGCCGGCGGCTATGCCGCCTCCTCCTCGGCCCTGCCCGCTCTCCCTCGCCGGCCTTCCACAAGCGTTTGTCCGGCCTCGAATCAGGCCGCTGCCTCCCCGATGTCCGCGAAATGGCTCAGGCTATCCGGCGGTCAACCCCCCTGATTTGTCCGTGAATACCAGGCATGAGGCTCTCGAAAGTTCAAAATTTGTCCGTAACTGGCTCAGGGACCTTCCCCAATTGTCGGGGGTCCTGTGAGTGGTCAAATTATAGACTCCGAATTTGGCCCGGCAGTAAGTAGGCTTGACAAGTACTACTTGTACTACTTCCACTGTCTAGTGCATCTTTGAGCGCAATTGAATACGATCGTCTACATCGCAGGTGGCCACAAATTCGAAGGCTATTGCAGAAGACATCGAGATGCGGGGGTTACCGCGCAGCGGATCCAGGTATCTACTTAATTGTGATTAGTTCTACCCGTCGTCGCCGTTGCGTTGCTGCACGTTGGAGTGGAGTGGTGGTGCAAGCTCGTCTTAAGGGACGCCTGTCGATAGGTATGCTTGCACTGATTCTCTCCGGCTCGAAAAGCTCGCGGAATGACAAGCTTTCTATCGTCCCCGCAAGGAATCTTGTCAACACGACCCTCACCTCTCTGTCCAAAGATCGTGTTTAAGCTCAACCTACAGCAACTAGAGTGGGAGCGTGCACTCATGCGCCCTGCGAACATGCTGTCCTTAAATCGTCATGCTGATCCTTGCAGATCTACCCACGTTCTGCGCATTGACTGGCGGTCGAACCCCATGCTTGAATGGATACCAAGTTCATGCATGCAATGCTCCCCCTCATTGTGTAAGGCATCGCACAGTGCTGCTGGCTGTTGTTGGCGCGACATCGAGGCTCTAACACTGAAATAGCGTAAGTGTGTACCCACCGTGTCGCTTATATACATCCATTCTGAACGCCGTGATTCTCAGCCTTTCTCGGCATCTTCCACACGGTTACGCTAGAGACTCCCGTCTGCCGGAAAACTCACAGAACGATCGCACATCTTTGTTGGGTGGCGAGAACGTGTCAAAAAATGCTGGGTCGTGTTATCGAACGTTTAAAACGCTCGATTGTCAAGTCGATCTGAATCTGGAAACGTCGATCGTACGTATCGAGTGCCACCGCCATCGTGTGCATACTTCAACTTGCTTCACCTGACCTGCACACTCCGTAAGAGATTTCTCTCCCCCAATACGTATGGGATGGTACTGACGCCGGAAAGTTGAGAAGTCCATATAGGACGCCAAGCAATAAACTTGTGGCTGTTTTATTGGACTTCGGAACTGAGATTGATTTATGGGTATAGTGCCTAGTGTTACCCATATCAGAAACATGACTATGGAGCAGGATATCAATATGCCACAGAGTGCAGAACGATAACGGAATGCAACATGAACGGCGAAGGCCAGTGATAGTAATGTCCAAATAAAATGGGATGCAGGGTATCATTGCCTAGAAATGTCCGTAAAATAAGTGTAACGGGTCGTAAAACGGTCATGAGCCGTCTTTGAATTCATCATACCACCAAGCATAGCCTATGACCTCTGAAATCACACGCGGGCAGGATTCTCCCGGCACCACTTCCTGACGTGTCTCGTCAGGGCATCTATGCGCGAGAACTTGTCTCCGCAAAAGTTGCAAAAACATGCCAGCGCGCCAAGATGCACTGACGCAACATGTTTCCCTAGGCTTTCATGTTTCAGTGACTTCCCGCATGGCTTGCCTTCGGTATACCATTTGCATACCCCCTCGCTCTTCTGATGCCATTCGCCTCGGATATGGTGTTCGCGCAAGTGCCTTTTGATCATACCTGCTGTGGGTTTGTCCGGATACATGTGGCCACACCCTCCATCCCAGAGGCAGGGAATTCGGCAGCCGGGCGACTCCTGCACAGCGGCCGGATGTCCTGCCTGCGAGATAGAGGTGGCGTGCCCGGTGAAGGCATCTCCAAACTGGGAGTAGTCGGATGGTGGGAGAGGAACGACCCAGTGAGAGTATTCTGGACGGTAATCATGATTATCATATATCCCGGGGGTGATGCTGGAGGCCCCGATTGGAACTGCAGCAGCGGATTGCCCCGCAATCCATTCCTGGGGAATAGCGTAGCCACTCCCTGGGTGATTCCCGTACTCCAAACCAAACGGTAGGGCCAACTGGGAATCGTAGGCCCCGGCAGAAGTGTGGGATTGCCCCGCAATCCACTCCTGGGGAATAGCGTAGCCACTCCCTGGGTGATTCCCGTACTCTACGCCAAACGGTGGGGTGAACTGGGATTGGTATCTGACAATGTTGCTGGTGGTCAGTGTAATTCATGGATGTCAGCATGGCAGTCCTCACTGCCATTGTCTTCCCCCGTTTTCATGCTGGCTGGGGTAGGGAAACATAGCGTCGAACTGAGTTCGGCGGATATCCTGGAACTGTCGCCCTGCCGCTCGCGACGACGAAAACCGAAGACCGCGAGTGTGCAAGTTTAAGCAAAGAGGTGTGCGTTATATATCACGGCGTCCTCCATCCTCTCTGTGGCCTCCAGTCGGCGAGAGTCGGATCGAGCACAGGAATATGTTCTTCCAGTGGGTGGAGTTGGGTCATCGCTTTTGACGTAGTTTTTCTAGTCTCAGCGTGGCCAAACTCATATCCTCGTTGTACAACGGATATCACAGCCTGCAATGTGGTTGTCATGTGTGCCGTTCAGTGGTGCGTCCTCGAGTTGTAATCGTATGACTGCAGGCTCACCAATCCCCTCTTTTTTCCTTTTGCAGGGCGACAACATGCTACTGTGAACGCACAATGGCATGGCATGATTCTCCGGTATACATGATTCCATCCTATTTCTGTTGAACAGAGAAGTACGATTGTCACTCTAGATGATGCGTCCTGTGCCTGATTTCGATAAGCAATGCTTCTATCAGAGAAGCATGACAATGCTGTGCGTAGGCATACGAAACTCTCGCTGATGTCTTCCGAATATTTCGACAGAGAAGTTGTAGTCACATCCCTATGTTCACTAACACGTCGGCAAACAGAACTGCGTGGAAGCTCGTAAACTAGTACTCAGGAAGGAGGGCCACATTACGGTGGACTTCTTTACCTGCAGCGCGCCAGAGCACTGCCAACGAGTGGCGGACTCGTCTTTGGATGTTCTTTCGGCGGAAGTCGATCACTACACGGTGACCCGCTAGCTGTCCGTGATTCATAGATGGCGGGCGTGGCGATACCTGGTACTCGGCGGCCTCATACGTCCCCAGTCCATTCAGCACTGTTCGGAGTGTCGGCTCCCAAAAGTGTTTTTGGAACAGGACTGACTGCGGTCGGTGAGGCGCCACTTCGGAGACCGTATGTAATGCACTCACCAGCACTCACAGCTAATGAAGATGTCCGCACACTTCAAAGGCGGCCTACATGTGACATCCAACGAGTAAGCACAGTATACACATAGATCGATTTGGTGCCTGATACGTCATTTCGCCATTTAGCGCTCAGCTGACTCCGAGCCAGGCGAAGTTTGCGGCGACTTGCGCAACGGGGCTCCGAACGAGCTCTGGGGTGGCAAAGCGTCGCCGAGTAGCCGGACTTAGAACTGTTCTAATTGTTCGCTCGGTCGGAGCTGCGAACCACAGAAGCACGACGGAGAAGTCGCGTTGCATAGCATCCTGAAATATTAGTTTCGCTTCGGGCACTTGTGTGGAGCCGCTAAGACTCATCTCAAGATACTAGGTTGAGCAACTGAGAGCACGACGAGACGACGGACAAGGTGCTGAAGCACGCCACAGCGAATTTATTTGGAGAATGTACACCAGGTACTTCAAGACACACCGAAGCTGGAATGGGGAGCCGGAACGCCAAGTGTCGTGCGTAGTACGAGGAACAGGTTGCAGATGAGGTTGAATATCCAAGTATAGGACTGAATGAGCACACGACAGCAGGACATAGAGCGGACCAGTGAGTGCGACCAGAGCGAGAGGGACAGGCAACTGTAGGACAGTTGAGAAACAAGTGGGGCCAGCCACGATTAACGACGAACATCGTGCGATGTCTCCGCGTGACCTCTCCACCCAGTCCCGGCGCAGCAGGCTGTTAGCGTGTCATTTCACCTCCGCACAGCCAACCGCGATGACCTCCGCTTTGGCGCCGCCAGTGGTTACAATACGAGTCCTTCCTACAGGTCGCGCCAATCAACCACTCATACATTGCCATCGGGTTCTCCTGCTCACCTACTGCCAACAGCACCTATTCTGTGTCGTCTCTGGCACAGATCGGTCCTGGCGTTGCAATTCGTTTGACACCCGTACTCCGGGCTTCCCCGACTTCGTCGCCAGTATCCAGGCCATGGGTCTAACTCTTCATATCTCAGATCCCACAGTCGTCTCTCCATAACAGATTGGAACTCTGAAATTACATGCCGTTATACCGGAGCATAGCGTGGCATTCCACCGCTACTCTTCTCGCGTTTCGTATCCTGTAACCTCCGAGAGAGCAGCTCCGAGAACGCGAGGCGGCATCCCACTGACTCGGACTTGCAGAACCAAACTACTGTCAGTGAGCGGAATGCGCAAACAAAACCCGTCCGACGAGCCTTACAGGCTCGATCGCCGTGGATGCCCATTTGGGCGATCCATGATAGGGGTCCGGGTACGCCAGAGACCCAGTAATCCAGGAGACGCATGCAGTCGACACGTTCCTGCGGCGCTGGCACAGGTCATGTCAGGTACGGGATCGAATCTCCGCTTTCCCGCCTTATCCTGTCACGTAACATTAAAATGATCCATCCCTGGTGCATGAGCGGATGTCCTCGCACTACAGGATTGATCGCCATAAGCCACTAGTGCCCAGGGTGCACCTGCGGGAATAAGGATTGAGCGAGGTGGTCACTAGCGTATAACCGTTGCTTGAAACTTCGACTTCTCTGCAAGAGAATAGCCTAAAAATTGACCAATGCAAGTGTTGTCGTACTATCGTGTCAGGATGCAACATATTCACAACCAATCCAGAGATGGCATTGGACCAAGAGAAATCTTGAATGTCACTGATACCCTATGATACCACACCATGGGTTGATCGGATAAGGCGCGAATTAACTGCACGATTCGATTAGGAAGTGAGAGACGAACCGTAAACAGCGGACTGATGTATTCGTTGTACTCACTTCATGAGTGAGCGGTCTCAAGGATTGCCATACTCTCGATCTCATCGCTCGCCGTTGGTGTAACAAGCAGCTGCCAGAGCATGGTGCTGAGCATGGCTCCCAACAGACCGTCGCCTCGTTGGATCTTTACCCAGCCTGTAATTGGCTCGAAGAGAAGCGATTAGATGACGACCACGAACCAGCTCGTGAATCAGGAACTCACATGAGGGTGTAGAACCCGCGGAACATATACAGACACTAAGTACAAGGTCGCATTGCACATTGGACGTGATCAAACATGGCGCAACTTGAACACGATTTCACGAAGGGGAGTTCCACTAACAGACGATCTTCCGAACGCTTGAACTTGAAGCAGGTTATTTACCGGAGTATGCTAGTGTGGTGATCTGCGTTGGCCCGTCTGCGGAAAGGCGAGTAGGTTAGAGTTACACTTGTGTATATACAACAAGGGTGTAAATTGGAGTCAGTCGTGACAATCCTTGGTTACTTACGACTGATATGGGACCAAGTTGTGCAAACGCGATGGTGAGCAGACAACGTTGCAAACTTGCGCGCGTCCCACATCTGCTTGACCGTGGACAATATCGTCTGTCGGCGTCTTCGCGGCCACCGGGTGAAAGTCGGTCTCGGCCGTGGGCAGCTCGAACCCACTCGGGTGCCGTACCGAACCGTCTGCCATGCGTAGCTCAACAGGAATCTTCTCCTTGCGAGATCGAACGGATGAGGCAAGGCCCTCGCTGAGGATTCCTGCGTTGAGCTCCGCCATCAGCGAGCCCCCCGCCTCTTTACGCTCCGAGATGTCGTCCCGTTGCCGCTTCCGCTCGACATAGAACACTGGCACAACGTTGTCCTCCGCTTCTTGCTGCGGTTATGGTGGACGACTCGTCACTCCAGGCCAACGCAGGGATGCTCTTGCAGCGGTTCTTGAATGACGAAGATAGAGATGAGGATGAGGATGAGTCGTCGGCCGCGCGTCCAAGCGCAGAGGCATGGGACGAGTCACGGTGCTGCATGAGGTGTAAGCGCACACTGCGCGATCGACGGCAAGTCGCTTCTTCCTCCATTCCCCCGTCTTCGTAAACGCTCCACTCGCGTTCGATAAATCTCGCCAGCGTCGCGATCCCATCCTGGGTCCCCAGGATGGTTGGGAGGTCGCCTCTTCCAGTATATGTCGTTCGGCGTCATAAGTTATCTGAGGTTAACTCTCGGATATCCTGAGGAACGAAGGTTGAAGCAGAGTGTCAGTCTGCCTTTGGGAGACTAGTTAACTCCCGAGGTCAGACGTATGAGATACGGAGAGGTCGGGCCAACTCTGAGCGCCCCTATTGATACAAACCAGTCTAACATGCTACCAGGATCTGTCGGTAGCCCTCATTTCTCTCGTCACGTCTGCAGCTCGCGAGGATCATGCTGCTTACACACTGCAGCAGCTCTCTCAAGCCATATTTCATGCACGGTGTGCAGCTGCGCTTGTAATTCCCTCAAATTTACGACTGTTTTCCCCGCTGATACAGGTTTTTGTACCGGGAACCTCTCACACTACTACTCCCCCTTCTAATATCCTGTCCATACGACGGTGCCGATAAGCTCATTCACATTATGGGCCAAGAGAGTAGTGCCAAAGAAGTCGTTATGGTAGTGCAAGAAGTTGCCGAACATCTTGAATATCTTTCTCAAGCAGGTGAACAAGTCGAAGAGGTAGACTGTGGCTTGTCTCCTCTTAAGCAGATTGACCGCCTCGTTCGACTTTATGCGCATTGTGAGTGCGTTATAAATGTAACTTACCATACACACCCCACCTAGCGCTATAGGCGTTCCGCGCTTGCCAAAGCGTAACAAACTCCCGAGTCAAGTCATGGAGCCGTTGCTGTCTGCTCGTATCTCTGATAACACAGTTTGGCGGTTCCGCCGATGATGACGAAAGGGCACTCGTTGCTTCAGTATCCGAGTCAGTATTATCGATCAACAAAGGTGTCCTCAGACTCTGCAGGATTCCCACTGCTGATCTCTTCGACTGCTCATCTACACATGGTGTGTTATTTTGATACCCTCAAGATCTTCTCAAAATGGATCCAGGTGGACCCATGCTTTAAAACGATCTGTCGGAGGGTTTATGGGTCGGACTATCAAACTTCAGATCGGGAACCTGGCATTGTACCACTGGAAAGCATGGTACATAATTCTTCGCTGTCCGCCTACAGCTGCAGAATCCATGAGAGGTACCTTGCTTGGATCACGCACTGATCCCCTGACGAGCCGCTCACAACTCTTCCTTAAGAGATGTCTAGTACCTCAGCATGCTCCCTTGTTGTTCCGGTGGAAGAAGTCATCGCACCAATGCGGCACCGGGAAGACCACAACCATCAATATTGGGTCGTATGGTATGTATCCATCTGGCACGCGACAATGATACGAATTCATGTGATCCTGCCGATGTACAAGAGAATATCTTTCGAAAAAGCGGATTTTTAATAATTATCCCTTGGATCTTCAGTATTCTCTGTCCATCTGGCGGAGTCACATATTCTTCGAACGTTCCATATCGCAAGCCCCCTCAGCGGAGTGAGAGCACCCCCTATAGGTGCTGGTCAAGTCCACTATCGAACAAGTAGGACGACAGCCACTCAGTGATCCGAATGTATCTCGGGCGCCAGCTTATGAGAATCGCGTTGCCAAGATAGTCCACTATTTGGGTCGAATCAACGAGAGAACGCGGCGAGATGATCGACAAGCAGCTAAGCACACCATCGCAATTGTATTAGGAGGATATACACCAAGACACCGGTACACCAGAGCCAGGACAGATAAGGAGCGGGAACGCGAATTGTCGTACGTAGTGCGAGAGGAGGACTGCAGTGGACGTGGAGTGTAGATGCAGCACAGCGACCAGGAGAACGCAAGACGGCGAGACACGGCGTATGGACTAACGAGCGAGACCAGAGCGAGCGAGAGGCATAGGTGATTGCGAGAGCAGAGAATAAGTGAGGACATCCACGATCAACGATCCACGTCGCCTCGTGCGATGGCTCCCCAAGATGTCTCAGTGCACAACGAGGAAACCAGTATCTGGAGATGAGAGACTATACTTCGACCTAGAATTTGTGCGAAAATTAGCAGAAGCTCGAACGTGAACTTCCTTGGCAAATGTTTATGAGCATAAAAGCTAAAGAATCATCAGCACCAGTACGAAGGACGTAAGTTGAAATACAGACTTACCGAAGGGCATGCCATTACCTTCTGCGTTGATGCAGCACCCCGAAGAATCACATGCGGGCGGGATTGTTTGGGCAATGATCTGCCTGATGTCTGGCCAGAACATCAGACCGCACGTACATCCCGCCGCAAAACTCACAAACCACCGCCATGGCCCGGAGGTGCGACGAGGAGATGTGTTTCCCATAGCTGCCCTGCAGCATGGGTCTGTTGCAAGGAACACCGCCCTCGTGCCATAAACATCTCCCTTTAAGGCGCCGACGCCATTCGCCATTGATGTGGAAGTTCCGAAGGTGCCGCTCGATACTGCCCATTGATAAATCATCCAAACCAATCCCACAGCCGCCATCCCAGCGGCACTCCATACATGGAGCAAGCATAACTTGTGAGAGTGGGTGAGGATCAGGCATGGGAGGGGGGCGGACCTCTTGAATGGCAGGAACGTAGCGAGGGTTAACGTACGAAGGCACCGGCGCGACAGTTGGATTGTGATTTGCCACCCACATGTCCTCGTCGAGGAAACGGGTACTATCTTGTTGGAGTGATGCCATGGGTATCGGACCAGTACGCGTCATAGGGATAGCGGAGGCGCCGATGAGGCTCTGTTGATCGCTCTGCGGGACTGAAGGGTTGAACAGTGGCCACTCGTCTACTCGAGATGAGCTCGAAGTTCGCGCAGGTATGGGCATAGAATGCGGCGGGACAGGAGAGGACATCAAGCTGGGATGTGCGGCCCTGAAAAAGAGTCCAGGGGAATGAGTGCGGTGTGACACAGAGACCGAAGTGCTCGGAGACGCACTTGCGGTCCGAGTGTGCTGATCGGCACCGTACTGCCCAAGTAGGCTAACAGCATGAAATTGGGCCTCAGCTGCGCCACGAGATAAGGTATCCTCCAACGAAGGTTGCACGTCTGAGCTGCAGAAGAATTCAAGTCAACATTCAGCTCGCCGAAACAGCTGCAAATGCTTCTGCATACCTTCCCCATGACAGATAGGTGTTCGGAGCATCAGCATAAATATCTGGTAGTCCTTCTGCATCATAAAAGGACCCATGTGCGAAATCCGGGAGCGTGAGCTCTGGATTAGAGGGAGAGGGCTGGAATGTAAAGTGACAGGATGGTGGCATGGACATAATGTAAAGAGGATGCGGGGTACTAAGGTAGGAGAGAACGAACTGAGGAAGATTTTATGATAGTCGAGCTCCAGCGCTACGTACTATGTAAAATAGCTTGTAATAATATTGTGGACATGTCAAGAGCCTTGGCCGCGCGTCGTCAGCTGAGGCGCACTGTCCATTTCAGGAAGGTCCAGTGATTGATCGGGGATGCGCCAGTCTCGACGAGCGCCTTGTAGTATAATCGTAGAGTCAACTCCGACTCGGAAGACCTCTTCGCTAATCACCATCTGCTGCTACCATACTCATCTTACTCTCTAATGTTTGAAGATATTGGACTGTTTGCCGTGCTGAAGCGGCGTACAGGCCGGGAGTAAAGCGGCTCGCAGATCAGACAGCTCGGAGCATTGCCTCGACTGTGGGTCGGATGCACTACTACACTTTCCTCCGCCGATCTGGTCGTACAGCCAGACTGAGAACGGTTAGAGGGGTGGCAACCGTATCTCTACGTAAGAAATGCAGCACCACATCCACTGCTGTGGACCATCTTGATGAGGAGAATCTTCGGTTGATGTCTTCTTTGGATCGCACCGCAGCTTGTGTCGACACACAAGTATGTTGATGCAATGCCTCCGCGGTCTTCCACTCGCCAGAGTCTCCCATTACTGTGAGTCGTGCAAAGGGCATCCGAAGATCTAACTAATGGAGGTCCGTGATCAGACGTTCACTGACTTCCTGTTCAATGTGTATATACTACGATTGATTAGACTAGGTCGCCATAGATACGACTACTCATTTGAAGCGACATAAAGCTTATGCCGCTATATGTTAGAGCCGCCAAAATTGTTACCATACATCCCAAGACCAAATGAACCCAGGACTCAAACCAATCTAATGCGCTACCTCAACGGACCAACTCGGAAAAGGCAAGGTGAGTAATAATATATCGGCCGCATGGTGGAGCATTTCCCGTGGCAGCAAACGCCCTATCTGTAACGATATGGTCGTCCGACACTCCGACGATAATGAGAGAAAGCCGCCACTGACAGTCACCTGTTGTCTGTATCCACCCGCGGTGTACAATGTGCACCATTCTGAGGCCGCTGAATGCACGTATTCAGCTTATTACCATCCCACCATCAAGATTCAACCCACTGCGCCCATTCGAGAGCCCAAACTCCGACGCAGCATCCGCCTGTTCCGGGTCTGTGGTCCGATATCTGGCTACAATATGAATTAGTGACTTCCCGCGTGAGGCTACATCCATGAATTACTCATTATTTCATCAGATCGAGTTGTGTCCTGCAATCGACACCGGATGTTCTGCGCCATTTCTGGCGAGAGCCAGGAACGTCGCGATCGGTACGTGCTGCTGCATTTCATCTGACGCCTTTCTGTGAATCTCCTTGTCAGAACTCATGTCAGCAATTACGTCTATCGCTCGCATCTCAGATTACAAGATGCATTCCATAGCCCGCGATTGAACTCTGCAGCCACGCGGGAGCGCAGCGTCGGCGCTCCTTACGGTGCGCATTCTGCAGCCTCGGACAGCATCCCGGACCACACCAGATAGTTTCCCCGCTGACTGTCCCCGCGGAAGCGGTGGATGAAATCAATGCCGGCGGGCGGGATTCCCAAACAAAACAATCTAAGGTCTTCTGACCATCCTCAATTTTCTGAGCAATCCATCTGGGAACCCGAGGATCAGGGCGACTCTGTCACCGCAGGTGCACGCGGTCAACACGTTTTCTGCGCCGCTAGCACAGGATCATGCACGTCTCAGGTACACGACCGAGTATCCGTATTCCGCTGTAGGCTCCCAAAGTTAATCTGTCGAGTGCATGAGCGGATGCTCGAATACACGGATTCCACTCAACGGTGTCAGCGAGTTAACAACCGAACACAACATCCAGGACCAACCCTTCACGAAGCCAAGTGATGGCCAGCGACACCCTGTCTCTCGTGCTTCCGTGGTGAATTGTTTCAGCCGAGCGTATGGCAACTTGAGACTGCTAATACACCACCACGATATATTAAGCATACTAGAACACCGAAACCTTCATGGTGAGAATGGGAACGCGGATTGTGGCACATAGGGTGCGATGGTGAGGAGCAATCGAGAAACAGACTGTAGAGAATATACTGTAGAGATAGCACGGTGACCGGAAGAATGCACGACAGTGAGATATAGCATAGACTAACGAGCGAGATCAAAGAAAGCGAGGAGCATAGGCAAATATTGTTCGAGCGCCGAAAATGAAGCGGGGACACCCACGCTCAACGATCAACGTTAACGATGACGTCGAATCGTGCGGTGACGCCACACTACGTTTCAGCACACAACGCGAGAACCAATATTCTTGCCGAATAGCTATGGGTGTAAATGCTGAAAAATGATCAGCATTCAGCATTTAAACGAAGGATGAAAGCTGCTGCATAGACTTACTGAAGAGTGTCTGATTACCTTCTGCATCGACAAAGCACCACGAAAAATCACAGCCGAGCGGGATTGCTCGGACAATGGTCCATCTGATGTCTGGCGAGGACATCGGATCGTGCGTACTCCCCGCCACAAAAATCACAAAACTTGGCCATGGCCCGGAAGTGCGTCGAAGAAATGTGCTTCCCATAGCTGCCTTGCAACATCGGGCGACCGCACAGTTTCCCCCCCTCGTGCCATAGACATCTCCCCTTGACCCGTCTATGCCATTCTCCGTTGATATGGAACTGCCGGAGATGTCGTTCCACACCGCCCATCGACAGGTCATCTAGACCAATACCGCACCCGCCATCCCAGCGACACTCCATACATGGGGCAAGCATAGCTCGTGAGGTTGAGGGAGGTTCGGGAACTGGAGGGGCTGGAACATCTCGAAAGGCGTGATTACTATGAAAGTCAATGTATGGCGGCCCTGCCGCTGCAGTAGGATAGGAAGTTCCGGTCATCATACTCTCGCAGACAGCACGGGTACTACCCTGTGGGAATGATCCCGCGGGTATCGGATGCATAGGCGTCATAGAGATAGTAGAGGCGCCCATGATGCGCACCGGACGCATAGGTGTCATAGGGATAGCAGAGGCATTCTCGATGCTCTCCCAATCGCTTTGCGAGTCTACGAAGGGGTCAAACGGTGCCCACCCGTCATCTGGAGACCGGTGGGAAGTTCGCTTGAGCATGGAAACAGGATACGGTGCAACGCGCGAAGGCATCACATTGCGAAACGCGGTCCTGCTAAAAAGCCCAGGAAGACGAGTGCGGTGTGACACAGAAGCCGAAGTGCTCGGAGACGCACTTGCGGTCAACATGTGCTGATCAGCAACGTACTGGGCAGGGAGGCTGACGAATGGAAGTGAACCCTCAGTTACATAGGAAGACACTGGACTGGTGGACGCGAGAAGGCCGTAGCTGCATATGTTTCAACATCTGGTTCGGCGAAACGACGAAGAACATTGCATACCTCACCCATGACCAATCTCTATCCGAAGCATCCTCGTTAATGTTCATGTCTATTGATGCTTCTACACCGTGAAAGGATCCACGTGCGATGTCTAGAAGTTCGGGGTTGTTATTAGACAGAGACATCTGCTGTATGAGGTAGAATGAGAGCATGAACAAGCTACAAGAAGGCACTGGGATGCTATTATAGTAAACTAAGACAAACGTAGTATTTTATATGTGAAGTGCAGTGCTGCACAGTTTATTTTGTGCTGAATTGCGGCCATGAGGGAAGGACAATTTAACCTTGAGTTACGCAAGCCCGCTCCCACGTAGGCGCTGGTTGGTGGGTTTTCCCGTTTTCCATTTCCGGAAGGTAGCATCAGGTCCGAATCGACCGACACTACCATCTGCCTGGGCGTGTTGCCTCTGACTATTGACTGCTGTTGGTATACAACACTCCAATAAAACCCTCTGCAGACATGATAGATGACCACTGCCTTGCAGGGCCCCGGTGAGATATTGACTCTGAGTCGAGCGTACTTACCAGCCCTTAGTCTGATTTCCGTACGGCCCGAGTACTCTGGAGGTGGATCAGCGTCTTTATCTCTACGTAAAAGGACTGCAGTATCAGCACCATAGCTGCGGACTTCATTGATGAGGTTTCCCCGCCCTCTCTGTTCCTTGGGTACTGTCACAAGCTGCTCGCACCGTGAAGACCACTCGCACATGCCAATTGGGGCGTAGACACATAGATTTAATCGCATATCTCAGACCTTCAAAGCTTCATGGTCTATGTGTAACGCGTTGCCTTCAAATTTTGACGGGAGTCAAATTCTCGGATGTGAAATCGCGGCCAACCATTCATCGGAGGTACGTTAGCTGAATTCTTCAAATTATTGCGCGCATAACTGTCTTTCCGTTACACCAGGCTTCTAGAGATGCACAAGGATGAGTATGCGCCTTTGCATACGCCCGTGGCTGTCCGCTTCTGTATACTTCGTCATTTGTTGCGGCGAAATGCTGAACTGCTTAGTCAGAGAAAGTCTGATGGTACGACTTTGCATGCGTATGATACAATTTGGCCATTGAATTCGCCCGGTTTGTCCCCACATACCCACTCCGGTGGGCACCTATGATCCTGATGCTATCTCACCGATCTGGAACCTAGTACCGACGCGGTACCTGTACTGTGTCATTGGCGTCCAGTGATCACAGCTGCTATACGGTGATGCCGCGTTCTTCTTCGTACATATCTGCGAGGCCAAAAACGGTGTCAGGTCGAAGATGCGGAGCGACTCGAGCCTCGGACATGGGCCGTGATGTCATCTGGCTTCGTGAGTAGCACCGCTGCACCGCCATTTCCTCTTTAAATCTGGCTACAAAAGGAATAATTTTACAGGGACCACGATCATCAATCATACAACGGGGCCTCTCCATTTTATGCCGTGTGCAGCTCGTGTTCTGCGCCGCGACGATTTATCTCAGCTGGGCCTGCTTATCCATTTCATGGACTTCCAAGTTCAATTCTGGTCTCATCTCAACCTTATCTCACACACACCTCAAATCACCATATGCGTATCCCTGATGCTCCGGATCCGTGTCTTTGATCTTTCGAGCGCGGCGAATGAGGCGTAGATGTCCGCTGGTTTCCTGATGAAGCCTCAGCTTTGCCAGATTTGTTCCCTCCCGTCGCGAGCGTAGCGCGCGCTGACCTACCGCCTGACCTGTAGCACCGGAATGATCCTCGTCGACACCGTTTCGGGTAATCCACCATGAAACCGAGTACGCGGGCGGCTGTCATGGCAGATTGCACGCAGTCGACACGTTCTCTGCGCCGCTAGGTCAGGTGTATGTTTCAAATGTTTTCTTCCCATAATAGTGCTTCCTCAGTCGCGTGCGTGGACGTCCACAAGCTGAGGCATTAAGACGGATCGTGCTTTTTGTCAAACGGGATTTTCAGGGGCAGCAAGTGGCGGTCGGCGGGCGCCCATGCAGATAAAGATTGAAACAGCATGGCAGGGAGAGTATAGTATGTACTAGTAGTATGTAGTTTGGATGTTCGAGGGGGCGAAGAAGGAGATGTGTCAATATACTGATGAACTACTCAGCAAGAAGACGAAATAGCCGAAAGATCGATGGATGTTGCCATGATGGACTGAACAGAGACGATGCACGCCAGAATCGAGAGGTACGCTAATGCTGACTTGGGTTTTGCGGAGAAGATACAACAGAAGGGAAGAGATAAGAGCGCACGCAAATACAGCTACAGAACTGACTCACGTACCTTGAGAGGAAATATGATCATAGCGGAAACAACAGCATTGGGAAACTTGAGATGGTTGCCAATGAAAGCTACTGCAGAAGCACTAAGATGAGAGTAAGACCGGATGACGAGGCGGGAACAACAACGGTGCAATGAGCGAGGTTATACATCATAGCAATGTGCTGAAGAAGTGGTGAAAGAGGTCAGTGAATACAAAGAGTGATGTTATAGCATCAAATGACGAACTATCTTGTTCAGTCTGCACCCTCTCCCTCACACCCATTACGTAGATACTCGGCATGTATTATCCGACACAGGGCTTCGCCCTGCAACAGATATAAACTCGGTAAATAAAATAAAATAATTACGAACCGTGAATTTAACGAGAACATGGTAAACGATAAAGGTCCAAAGAGGAGCACGATACAGGAGCTTCATGACAGGCCAAGCGACAACGACTGATGTTCCAGAGCAATAACAGGATAAAAGACAGTGGGGCATCCTGGCATTGAAGAAGCCACGGAGGACGGAGGCGGCACAAGCGACGAACAACGTGGATGGATGCAGAGCCCATACATTGGCGTCGGTCAATAATGACTGGCTCTGGCCCTGCAGTTATACTTCTGGTGCTTTTTGAGCACGTCGAATCGGCAGAATTTTTTGTGGCAACCGTCACAAATCCGAGTAGTCCTCCGCAAGTGAAACGCAGCGAGATGTTTGCCGTAGCTGCCCATCGACATGGAGCGACCACACACGTGGCTCCCATCGCGCCACCTGCAAATCACCCGGTGCTGACCACCTTGCTCGCCAATGACATGCTTCGCACGAATATGGTGGTTCAGGCCACCGGGAGTCAAGTCATCGAGCCATTCGTCGCATCCGCCATCCAACTGGCATCGTATGTGTCGCGGAGAATGAATGGCATTAGGACTCGAAATAGAATGCTGAGCAAAGGCGTGACTGGTATGAGATTGCGGAATAAGAATTGGGATGGAGTTAAGTGAAGATGGGTACTCTTATCCGCTAAGACGAGAAAGGGAGGATACTTGATAGGGCACTTGTGGCGATTCATACTGAGCCTGAGGATGTACTATTGTCTCACTGAGCTGTGCCGCAGGAGTGGTCTTAACGAGGCCAGGGATCTGGAAAGTCTGACCATCGGGGGAATTGATAGAATTGAAAACGTCATTAGACAGAAGAATATGACGAGACGTGTTTTCCGGTATCGTGCGTGGAGCACGATACTTCCCGCTAGACGAGGAGGTCTCACATTGAATGTTCCCGTGTGCGAACCTGGTGCACGGCTGCGGTGCTGTAGTATCGTATGTTTCAAAAGAGGAGAAGGGGAATGTGCTTGGGCCAGCTGGTACGGGGCATGCTGCCAGCAACGTGGACTCTCGAATGTATGTCATGGCTGTACAACAGACATGGGTTAGTGAAGGCTCCATGGACGAATGATGGTAACACCGTACCCTCCATCTGATGCACGCAGTCCGACAGGAGCTGACGCAGCTTCGTGTATTAACAAGTCATGTCTCCTTCGCTCCTAGTCAAGATACACGAAGAACCTGACAAGCAGGGTCATCATCTCTTAAATCATAGCGCACGTCAGCCATTTGCTGACTGATAGCCACCCCAGCGAAAATACTCACTTGGTCGGACATCAAAAGAAAAATACTGATTGGTGGGGTCTCATTCTCCCGGCATCCCTGGGATGCGGAGATGAACGGTCCTGGGCCCCGAGCTGAGTATCTTCCCAAGAGGCTCGAGAACTCTGTCATTGTCATAGGTCCACCCGGCGTAGGACCAACTCTGCTATACTGACATGCGTCCATTGGTCCTGCATCCATAGTGGATGGCCAGAAGATGGTGTTTGGAGCCAGAACCGGAGTGACCAATGACTATGGCGTCTGGCAAGTCGCCCGTCTTTGTATTCTGATAGGTCACTTACGTCTGTCCAGTCGCATTACTTTCGCTTGATATTTCACGCGCTTCAACTCTCTTGTAAGTGGACGGTGAGTGCCTCCGCCTCGCCACGCATGCCTCCATATGCGCGGCGTCGAGGCCCTGAGTCCTATAGCTGACGCCTTTTCACTTTGCACGGCAGAGCGCACATTTAATATCCGGGACGCGTGGTCGGCATTGACCCACTCCCCGTTGGCACTGGTCAGGCAGTTGTCAGACGAAGCAGTGTCGACGCATGTCTAACTAATGCATCTTTGAGAAGTCGAGCCCCGTTCGAGCGCGTGAAATCGGACTTTACCAGTACCTCACGTAGGCTTGGTATGATGACCAAGTCACGCATTGACTTGACCTCTCTCAAGACTGAAGTCAACCCGTGTCTGATGAGGGTCAGCATGTTCCCGCGAGTCCTGACCCCTGCCTTCGAAGACTAGGCCCCTCTTCATCATACAGGCGTCCCCTCCGTGTGGCTCTCGTATGAGCGTCCTACCAGCTATGGCACCCCGACATTCGCGAGACACGATGGCGGTGGGCACTCTGTTCAGGGCGAGGTCCTCTCGCATCTATGATCTATTTTTGTTGTGTTACTATAGGCATACGGTGCAAAACCAGCGTTCTCGCCTTCTCAGCTCGGGTCCATGGCCCAGATTTACATTGCGGCCGCTCTGTGCAGTTTCACGGAGATCCTGGACCTCACGTCGAGCTGTCGCGGTCCAAACCGTAGATTACGAGATCGTGTTTCACACCTTCATCAGGGTGGGAGTCCAAGCCCTATCTTTGATATCTTAGCGCACCGCGAAGGCAGAAGTACTGCACTTACATCCTGTTCTGGTACCGATTCTCGACCGGCACGGACCTCCTCATGGCTCAGCGCGTCTATGCTGATAGGAAGCGAAGGGAACCTGCTAGTATTTTCGGAAGAGACGACATATGAACAGAGCAAGCTCCGCACCGTCGGCCTTACCCCCTCCAGAGCTGTGCATTCGCTGCTACGATGGTATCTGCAGCCGCGTATCTTACGATTATAGGCTGCTGCGCCTGGTTACCGTCAGTACGCAACAGAAGAACTGTATCTGCATCTCATCTGATGGACAGCATGTGGACGTCTTCCACATGGTTTTGCCTTTCTGGAGGTAACATGCCCCTTCCTCATGTCCGATCTTCGATGCGGATCGCAATCCTTCCTTCTGTGTATGCGAAATTCAAATTCAGTACACACCGCACACGTCCAGGTGAATGAACATTCAACAAAGCACAAGGGGAACGGAGAACGCTACTTGCTAGGAACGGCGGAGCGCAAATCTGTTCATGTAGAGGGCAACACAAAACACGATGACGAAGGGGGGAAGTAGACGCCTCGGACGATGGACTCTGGGCGAAGAGTGTTATGTAGTGTACAAGTATGTACATGCGTATAGAGAGCAAAATGAGAGCATATAAAGAGAACAGTACGAGTAGCACAACGATATACAGGCGAAAAGCTAAACATCTACGATAATTCCGACAGTATTTTGAACTCGAACGTCAAAATAAACAGGAGAGCATATGGTTTGCATAAGGCATAGAACTGTGGCTTCGAGAGAAGTACATCCGAGAACTGGTTGCAGGTGGACAGCATACTACATAAGAAGGGATGAGAGACCGAGCAGTAATTCTACCGTATGGATGGTGGACTGGTGCGAATCGTATCGTAAAGGAGAAGAATGCGGCCGATACTTGAAATGGGCGAGAAGATGCTACAGGAACGAGAAAGTAAAAAGGTTGACGGATGAAGACACAGCCGTGAATGGCGAACCGTGGAGGGGAAGAGCCGCCAGCATGAATGGGAAAGATAGGGAAAGATGCGATGAACCACTATAGCAATGTGTGCCAGCGATACGCTACAAAAGCGGAAGGAGATGAGAGGGCGAGGATATGCAGATGTACCAGAATGGCGAACCAGAGCGGAAAGTAAGAGCGATATAATGTACGAGATCTACTTGATGAGTCCTACAGATGTGTCCAATGGTGAGGTGGTTAGTGACTACAAATACAGATACGAACTGCGAACCCACGGTACGCGGAAATCTAGCAAGCGTGGAAATCTTCAAAAGGAATTTGAGTAGACGTAAATGTATAAACGGGCCCGCGAATCAATTGAGATGGCGATTTGAGGGTATGATGATATAGCAATATGTGCTATGAACCGGTGCCTTGTTTTTTTGATGTAATCGGAGAGAAAAAAGGCGAAAGTCTAACAGCGCAGTATCTTGACGTGATTAGCGACGAAATCGTAGCGTTCATAGAGACGTGTATCCAGGTTGAATGGGTAGATCGAGAAAGATGGGGGAGCGCGAGTGATGTCAAAGTGCTGATGAGCGGTGTCAATCAAACACAGAAAAAAAGCGTGGGACGAACGGCTTACCGTACGCTCATAGGTGACCAGCTTCGTCCCTCGCATGCAGTAGCTTGTGCTTCTGAAGCACGTCGCTCCTGCAATAGGTCTTTCCGCAGACGTCACAGACGACAGCGGTTGACTGCAAGTGAATTGATGCTACATGTTTGCCGTAGCCTCCCTGCATCATCTTGCGTTCACAGGGCCTGTCTCCGACTACCCATGTGCATGCTCCCCGAACCTGTCGGTTCCAATTCCCGCGTAGGTGCACCTCCCTGATGTGACGCTCGATACCACTCGGAGTCACATCGTCTAACGTGACATCGCAGTCACCATCCCAGTGACAGCGCGTGCCCTGCAGAGGGTAGACAGGCGCGTCGGATGAGGCTAGCACCTGCTGTTTTGGGCGTCTCATAGAAGGCACTGAAGAGACCTGGTCGGAGTGATCATTGCGCTCGGGCTGTGGAGGCGATGTGGAATTTTGATCATCATACGAGCACCGGTGATGAGAGATGGGAGGCCCTGTGCCTCCGGACGGGACTGGGGGAAAGTCATGGAGCTGCGATGGGATCATTAGCGCATTGAAAGAGGCCACAGCGGTGGTCGCGGGATCGACATCGACGTGAAGGGTCTCCATAGAAGAATCGTTCGGTGTGTGGAAATCATCGAATGAATTGTTCAGTGGAAGAACACTGAATCCTTCCATGTAAGACATATCATGGTTTGAGGTGGGATCAGTGGCGAAAGGGGGGTTAGAAGTCGGCAAGAACGCCCTGTCATGGGAGGGGGCAGATCCGTCCACACGCCGCTCTGCATTGGAAGAGGAAGACGGAAGAGGCCTTGAGTTGAGAGACAAGGCACGAAGCGCTCGAATAATCTCGTGGGCTTCGCTGCGCGAGATGGCGATGAACACCGAGTCGGAGATCAAAGGGTTTATTACAGGGTTGGGGCCGCCGAAGAAGTCTGCACCTGCGAACGATGCTTCATGACTACGTAAGAGGTATCTCCAATAATGAGCGACAGGGCTGATATATTGTGGTAGGAACGTACCCGAACTCAGGCGCGCGAGGCCCGAAGGGAACCGGACCAATGCCGAACGCAGCGCCATCGTGTCTAGCTCGCGGAGGATAATGTTCCCGCACACAATCCATGTAGATTGAGCCAATATTATCCGAGCTTCTCGTGGTTCCTGACATTTCTGTGAAGTGAATGGCAGCTGAAGGAGGAGGTTGTGGAGGTGAAGTCGCTATTAGGAGAGCTTTTATTGCGAGTTGGTCAGAGGGTTGCAACTGGTGAGCGATGAGCATGTGCTGCGGCACCGTATTACACATGAGCAACACCAAGCAGCCGCCTGGCGATACCAGCTGCTTGGGCAGCAGACAGGTGGCAAAACAAGCGGGCTTAAGATCGATCAGATCACCGGCCCAACTTCCCGAGGATGTTCCCACACTGCCATTGTCACGATCGGCACTCCGTAGCGTGCCATTTTTTTTCCGATACACCTACATCGAGACCGAAAACCGGAGATGAGAGCTCTGTAATCTTTATTTGATTTTGCATGATCGAAGACTGGCCTAGGGATGGTCCCGACTGCACATATACTCCGAGCTTCTCTTCAGCCGTTTGTTCAAGGCATTCATAGTATACCAAGGATGAGCTATAGCTATGAGCTACAAGAGCTCCTCTCTTTCTCTTCTCCATTGCTGGATTCCAATAACGAGCTATTAAACTCATAACAGCTTCACACACAGACGCAAAACCCTGCCTCAGTGCAAGTTGATTCCTAACATTTTTTACGAGGTGAAGGACCATTGAGTTGATATTTTGGGCTTAAAACTATTAACGTAAGTTCTTTGTCAAATGAAGGCAGAATAGAAGTGCTCTCTCATCGAACAAGATTAGCCACGGACCCGACCGTAGAGGAACCCGTCCGCCCGAGGGCTCCGTGGTAATTGTGACATACCCTGATGCGGCGGTGGGCCAATTTTTCACAACGTAGGCGTGCGCCCAATGATGGTTTCTGCATCGAGGTGGCCTGTTCGCGGATTCTCGCGCCTCCGCATGCATTGCCCCCGGATCGATCCCAAACAACCTGTTCCTTGGTGGATATATTCGCTCGTGAAGTAACCACCTGCCCTGCCTTTTTCTGTGATGAGGTGACCCGGAGCATGCTTCAAATTTGCACGGCTCTCCGGCCATGTTCACGCTAGAGTCATTATGTATAGCCCCAGGTCACAAACCATCAAGCCATGAGTCAAGGTACGCCAGTCGTTTCTCAAGGCAAGAAAGCTGTGACAAGTGCGCGACGAATTCGTCAAGAACGGCCAATCCGATTGACCGTATTTCTTCATGCAGTGAGACGGTTAGTCACGTAATGGCCCGGTCCTCTAGCCAGTGGAAGTATGCAGCCACCTACACAGCGCCGTTACCCACCACTGATAGGCCCAGCCTCACCCCATGGGCATCGCGCATGCGATATTTCCCCGTCGACTCGAGAGACACAGCCGCAGTCGTTCCGTGCGCAGTGGCAGAGATCTCGCCACAGGTGGACGGTATGTATCAGAGAGCGGAGAGCCTCCCGGTGTTGTGAAACCCTCCTGGAAGGTCCCCTGCTGACCGCCGTTGTCGAGCCTTATGTGGTCTATAGGCGCCGATCAATTCTGTGGTTCGGGCGGGCGCGAGCGCCCGCACCCTGTCCTTTCCCTCGTCCGTCAACGATGCTGTCCTCCATCATCCGCAGCACACAGCACCTCCTGTTCGCTCTTCCATATAGCACCCGCTGTCTTGAGCTCTATCCTACGCTACCGGCCCTCCAGCATGTAGGTCTGCCCACGGCGCATACTGTCAGATCGTCTTCTCTTGGATAAGACCGATTTTCGTGCTCTAATCTGGTCGTGCTGCAGGCCGTCACCTAACCCTTAGGTCCCGCTCACTGCCTCGGCTCCGGTCCGTGGCGCAGATCACCGACATCGCGACGCTGAGCCTTTCACAAAGATCGCTCGCGCTTACTTATAATCCATGCAGCACTTTCCAGGATCGCGGCTAGTGGAAGCACCTCAAGATCATCATGGTCGAGGCTAGAATGGACCCCCGCTACATGGACCCTTCTTGGTGTGCCCCTTCTTGGTGTGTTAAATGCTACGCGTGTCCATTCGTTTTTGTGTCGAGTAGATACTGACCTGAAACATTATATTGTCCCACAGATGCTCCAGAAGGGCGACAGAATGTCACTCGCTGCACCTTTCCAATTGTCCAACTCTCCACCTCGCCGTTCTGGAAGATATCCGCACCTGTCCGCTAGTGAGGCGCCTCCAGGATCTTGCACCTACATTCTTCGGGCACCACGAACCCATCGGGATCGCATCTCCGCCTCATTGAACCCGCGTGTCTTGTCGATACTTTAGCCTCCGCGAAGACAAGCCTGTCTTGCCCACGTTCATTTCGCAATGCAGATCGCGCTTCTTTGGACTCATGTTCGGAAGGCAACGTGGGGAACACGCGGCCACGAAAATTTAATCCAGAATATTGCGCTGTAAAATTGAATTGTTCAGCAAGATGTTTATGGTAGGGTGAAGTGTGAGTGGCAGCATCCAAACGGCAGTGCCGTGGCCTGGCAGCCGCTAGTGAAGATGGGACGTACCGAGATACTGCGGTGAAGAGGAAACTGGCATTGCGTGGATGCACCAACGAATGCGACGGAAGGCAGAGATTTGAAACGTTATCGATGGAGCAGCTACTTCGAGAACGGCACGAATCGCACAATGGCATACAGAAATTGAACAGAAGGGTCTGAGCGCGGATAACGACAGCGTTGAAGTTGAACACATTAATTGCGCGGGACACATATCATATGTATGAAACATGCACCTGTGGTAACGAGAAGGCTTCATGCGTAGATAGATATGGGCGGGTGGACCTTAGGAAGTGAGAAGATGTACGAATAGGTAATTTAATGAATGGTGCACCGAGAAGCGAGGGGGTGCGGCGTAGAGGAGAAAGATGCAACAGATAATGAAGAAATATAATTTTATGAACGGCGAACCATGGGAAGTAAAATTGTAAGTAAGCATCTGAACCAACTTTCGTCGACGTCACACTGAACAGGATATCGGGGTCGATGGACCAATGGCAAGGAGCATGTGAAACAATCAAGTTGCAGAGCCACTGCCACGCAGGGAGAACTTCATGTGACTGTACAGAAGGACGACCGGAGCGACCTTCAGACAGATAGCGCAGTGTCCCGGCACTGCAAATAGATGTATAGTTGCATTTTAGGAGACATAGATTTTGTTGTATCTGACTAGGAAATTGCAGGATGCGACACGTTGGTGATATAGGTATGCCGAAGACACGGAACCTTAGCAATGAGGTTAGTGGAAAGGAGGAGCTCTAAGAAATAAGTGCTTACTAGGCCCATAAACCACCAACGACGCCCTTACAGCCTTGTGCTTCTGAAGCACATCGGACCTAGAATAAATCTTTCCGCATTCTTCGCACGTCGCGGTTGTAGACTGCAAATGAAACGATGCTACGTGCTTGCCATAGCTGCCCTGCACCATCGGACATCTGCATAACCCTTGCCCTGTATTGCACCTGCACTCCCCAGGATGCTTCCGAACCCAGTCTCCGTTGATGTGTTTCGCTTGAATATGACATTCTATACCGCCGGGGGAAATATCGTCCAACCAGACGTCGCACTTCCCCCAGAGGCAACGTGTAAGCACAGGCGGATAAACAGCCTCGTTCAGAGAGGGAGGCGCCTTCTCCTTCCGGCGGAATGTAAGAGGGTGCGAAGATGGTTTCTTGACGCGTAGATCTTGGCGTTGTCCGCGTAGAGCCACTGCGGTATTCTGATCGTGAGATGGGAGTCTGTGACGAGATGTGGAGAGGGTTGCGGAGGAGACCGACCAAGGAGCTTGTTGAGCTCGAGATAGTGCCACTGGCGCGCCTAATGATGCATTCGCAAACGACACGGGAGCTAAATCAACGCAAGGAGTCTGCGATATCCACGCGTCCGGTGCGTGAGAAGGGTCGAGTGGAAGCATCAATGGAGGGATATCGTGTCCCATAAGGGCTGCTCAATTCTTCTGGTTCATTTCGAGCGGGTTCATTTGGCCTGAGCCTCGAGGCAGGCCGAGACATGCCATGGGATCTGCCGATCTGGAGTGCTCCGGGTTGCTGGTCACCTCTCAGAATTTAGGCATTTTCTTGTGGCTCTGTTGCATCTAAAGAAATGTGATTTTGAAGACTACTTCCTCAGAATCTTCTCAGAATAAAGTATAGACTTTCAAGCAAACTATTCTACTGTCTCTACTGCCCGGCAAGCCGGAGCACTCCACATCGGCAGATCTCGTGGCATCCCTCGGCATGGTCTCGGATCTCTCGGCCTGCCTCGAGGCTCAGGCCAAATGAACCCGCTCGAAATGAACCAGAAGAATTGAGCAGCCCTATACAGGGGGCACCCACCGGGACTTTCCGTGACTCCAACCCCTGTGGTTGTTGTCCCTCCACTGGTGTACGGGGTCCATTTCTATCTTTTTCAAGCACTTTCGCTCAACTTTCTGACTACACATCACCTGGGCCACTTTGTGCGCTCGGAATCTCGGGATATGTTCTTCACATGTGTATACAGTACCTCCGGCAAAACTTTGAGATATTTCTCCACTGTTCGAGTTCACAGCCGTCGTCGAGGGCAGTGGCGTTCAGGCTTTGGACCCGATGAGATAAGATAAAGAACATGACACCGTGCATCTCTTTCCTTCATATCTTCCAATGCAAATGTCAGGCATTTCCGTCCTGAATCCTGGATATCCACCCATACTACTCGCGCTCAGAACCGGTGAACAAGCATGGGCACATTACAATTCATCATCTGGGAAGTATGAAGCAATCTGTGACTTGTGCGATGCAGTCATTGTACTCACGAAGAATGGCCATCCGCGGTCACTTGACGATCATCGTGGTTCAAAGACTTGCGAGAAGAATCAGAGGGTTAGGACGAGAGAGAGGTTACGGGAAGAAGTCAGGGCCATACTCCCAGCGAGTGCTGAGTCTGCAACATGGCGGTCAGACAGCACTGCGCTACCTTCTCAGTCATCATCTTCGTCGACATCTCTCACCTGTTCTGCTGTCGCATCACCATCGGGTGTGCGGATTGCATCTCGGCCTGCAACTGCCATGTCACAAGAGGCCCCCCCACCATTAAGTCACCGTGGATCTTATTATCGCCTCTCCCATTCCCCGTCTCCCGAACGATTAAGCCCCCTCGGTAGCCTATCACTCAATATTGGTGACAGGTCTCAAGAATTTGCTGATTCACGCTCATCATCCCCAGAAGTAATGACACCTATGCTACAAGAATGTACAGGCATCCTCGTGCAGTGGACAGCCGGTTCTGTGTGGGACACATATCCGTACCAGCAGCATGAAGCCCGTACATATCCATGGGAGCCAGTAGGGATCGAGAATCGCGAGTGGCTGAGATTGCGATCCACTTTTTGCGCGATATTTGCATCGGGCCAGGATCTGTCTTGCGATTCATGCCGAGGCATCCCTCATCTACCACTTTTCAAGAAGTTCCTCGATAGAGCTACGGAGGTTCAGGATCATACACCCTGGTCTTACTTGACTCATAAGCAGCTGAATGCCATCTGCACAAAAATCACGGGTCAGTATCGACAGCTACGGCTGAAGGTGTGTTCTGCATCACTCTATTGTCTGATTTGTGAATCATCGAGTCTCTTATAAGATGCGAAATGCTGATCGGAAGCTGTCAACTCTTCGCAAGAAGACAAATGAATATCAGCGTCTAATGATGTTTCTCTCAAACCATCAGTTGAAGCGTTTGCATCACATACTGTCCGTGGCCTTACGCAAAGGGTCTGGTCCACGTGCTGTTCTTAGTCAACTCCAGCGTTCCATTGCCAGCCTTCGAGCACCTGGCGGCAAGTTCGAAGATCGAGAGGTAGAAATTGCATTTCTTGTGAAGGCACTTGGTGGACCACGTCTCCTGTATGCACTTCACAAGTCCCATGGTCTCCCGTCGGCATCCACTGTTCAACGAAGCCGAAAGGTGCCCCGCCTACATCCTTGCGTCGGGATACCCGTGCACCAGGAGATTAGTGCAAATATTGACGCATTATTTGATCCTGTGCAGAAGCGTCCTGCGCAGGTATTCACGTCAGGGGAGCTAGCTGGCCAAGTTCTGATGATTGATGGAGTTGCCCTCGAGGAAAGGTGTCGGTACCTGCCCGATAGAAACTGCATAGTTGGACTCTGCCGTGAACATGCACATGCCGTCGGGACGCGTGTGACCAGTCTTGAGGATATCCAGAATGTCGAGGCTGCACTGCATGGCACATCACCGACTTGTTGTTATGGCAAGGACGGCACAGTGGCGGCGATTGCACCATATGCTCGAACAGATTACTATAACCCCACACCGCTGCTTGTATCCCCCTCATGCAAAACTGAGACGGGAGAGAACCTGGCGGCATGGCTGCATACTGTTCTTGACACTTGGAAGAAGCAATCCATATGGCGAGAAGACTCACGGACCCATTTGGTCACTTGCCAGTGATGGTGAATCCTCATTCCGTGTCGCCAAGTTCATGCTGTGTATGACTGAACCTGTAAATCGGTGCTCGGACCTTGGCCGCAGACTGGTTCAACTAATTGGATTGAACTGCCGGACTGGGCCCGATGGCATTGTTGCTACATGTGATCCTAAGCATGTTATAAAACGTACGTGGCTTGTTGTTGCTCTCTTGCACTCCGGCTCATATTGTGGCGTAGGTTTTGCAACCCTTCTACGCAATCCACAAGGAATATTGATTCATGACACAAATATTACCCGACAAGATATATTTCAGCATTTGCAGACACTGCCGGGTATGACGGCTGAGAAGGCACACCAACTTTTGGATCCTGCTGATAAACAGAATGTCCTGAAAGCTGTGAATTTGATTCAAGAGCTTCTCAAGCTCAAGGATCATGAGCAACCACCAACTCTCCCTTCCGAAGCTCACCGCCGGCACATGCTCACTTTTCTTGCACGGTTACTCGGGTGCTTTGTTCTCCCATTCATCTCCACCAGTCTCAGCCTTGCGGAACAAATCAGGTCACTGGTAACATATGCTCACCTTCTTGCCGCAATGTGGATCAAACATGGTACATCATTTACCACCGGTGCACTGTATGCAGACTCTCAAGCGATCATCAAGAACCTCATTTTCTGTATCCTTCGATTACAGCTTATTGACGAGAACATCCTGTTCTACATCATCCTAGAAGGAACTGACCGACTTGAGGCTTTATTCAGTGACTGTCGGACACAGGACCATAGCCGCAACTTCGATGTCTGTCAGCTTTGTGACAAGTTAAGTATTAGTGCGCTCCTCAGCTACATTTTTGAGCGCAATCAAGATTTGGATCGCGGCCACAGATGCTTGAATCTGAAGGACGCCATGGGTGTGGACCATGTAAATCCAAAGTCCTGGACTGGAGACGTCAAAGTTGGGCATGCAGAAGTTGCCTCAGAGTGGAGAAAGGGACGGGTTGAAGCTAATAACATACTGCGGGAGTATTTTGGACCCGAAGCATGCGTCGACTTTGACGCACTCTTCGGGCGCGAAGGATACGACCTCCTGCGACCATCAGGCAGTTACGTTGGGGTCAAATATGACCCCGATGATGCTCGAACTGAGAACCCGGTTGAAGGGTCAACAGTTCCAGTCCCGATGAACGTCACTCCTGGGTCTCATTCCACAGACACGGCGGGCGACAGTGACGATCGGCGAGAAGCCGTGGATGATTCAGAGACATTTGATGACGTACCTGAGGGCATGGATCTGGACGACTTTATGCCCGATACAGAGGATGACTCTGGCACCGATAAGCCTTCCTTTCATTCGGATCAGTTTTTATTGATCGAGGGGAAGACATACCTGAAGTCATCCGTTGTCACATCGCTACTCACATCCAATCGTTCTCGCAAAGTCACAATGAGAACCCTCCGAGCACGTGGAGTCACCATCGAAGACCTCCGTGGCACTGACAACTGGGATTCAGCGGATCTCTAAGGGGATGACATTGTGAAGTTCGGCGACATCGCGGCCTGTTTGGTGCGTGTCGGCCAAAATATCTGTCTCGGTGTTCTCGAGATCACAGGTTTTGAAAGAGGGACTGATAAAGGCCGACTCACCGCTGTGAAATTGGAGGACCTCGAGAAACGCGACTCGGACCTCCATGTTACTGCACAACTCCTTGAGCTGGTTCCACAGGGATCTCCACAAGGCGACAATTCTGACCACTGGTTCTGGACACATCAATATATTCGCTTCGGGGCAAGGAGCCAAAGTGAACGATCCACTCACAACCAGCATATCCTCACCATCCCCGCCTTCCTCGTCCATCCTCTCGGACCCTCTGTGGTTCCATTTAAACCCTTGGAAGTAGCCGCTGCTGCCGCTGATGACGATGACGACAGCGATGATGATGGCGACATGTTCGAACTGCCGTGCACCATTCTCGAGCCTCAACCGCAATCGGGCCCATACTCAGGCAGGAAGTTGCAGCGGATGACTTGGTCCTTACAGGATGCGCAACTCAACGAAATTTTGAACTATGCATGGGAATGGTTGAGTCCTGATACTGAAGAAGTTATCAGGAATGTAGACTTACTACCATCTGTCGAGAGTGCAAGCATGCCATACAAGGGCAGAGATCGTGGGTTCTCGTCGAATACTTGAACTTGCTGTGTATCTGATGTTACAACGCTCCCCACTTGTGGCGCGTCTTTTCTTTTTCTTTTCCTTGTTCCCTTTACGTTACCAGACCACGTGATCCAACATGAGACTCATTGGAGCGCAACCTCCGATTCTTTACCCAGATGTCCAGAACCCCTAGTCTAGGGTTACACCGGATCCAACTCCGGACCTTCTTCTTATCGCGCATGCAAGACGTGCATGTACGCCTCATCTTTACCTCGTTCTGATACACGACTCGTTATCCCCATTAGTACTGATTATCTCTCACGACCTTACTCAGCTTTCTCATACATATTACTTCCTCGCTGTTACCTTGCCCAGACATCGTTTCACCTTATCTAGCCAATGAACGATCTCGCATTACTGCGTAGTACTGCGGATACCTTTTGTATAAGTAAACGACCTTGTCGAGCTTGATCCCCATCTCGACCTGGTTACCATTAAACCAGCTTTTCACTTGCCTTTGACTAAGATCGACCGTCAGTAGCAGACAGCTACTACGAGTCATAAGAACGAACTCTGATCGACCTTCAGTGCGAGAACATCGCCAGAAGTGTCACTTGAACGGACTTGTGTCTTAGACTAAGACCTTGTCTCGTGACGACTCGACTAGACGCTCGTGTTTCGCTGCCGCGTAACATTAGGTCGAGATCTTATTACTCTCTGTGACTTCCTAGAGTCTAACAACGAACTACCGACCGGACCGAACCTTGAAGACTGAACGATACACCCGATTCGATTGCTAAAGCACCGTTTGAGATTACTCTGTAATCGAGGTAGCTGAAGGGATAGACTGATCACTCATCTTCGGAGAGGGGTCTGTCCGAGAGACCAATAGGCCGAGGAGGCTGAGGTAATCACTCGAGCAATCAGCAAATAGGTGTACCAGTTTGAAGACAGAAGACACTCTACGGGCTTGTTAGCCGACGACGAACGAACCCACTTAGTTAAGGACGGTGTGCAGTCTACGTGTAGACGTAGGCCACACAGGGGAATTTATCCACGCTGGATCTGAACTTTATCAACCCGACTGCTCTTCCCAAGCAATACATCGATCTCCTCCCATCTCAGGCAGAGTGGGACGCACAGAGGAACGTACACGTTTTAAACGGACGACCTTTACTCATCAGACCAGATCAACACATTGATCACCCAAGTGGTGACTACGAAGCAGGCCTACCCCATAACGTTGGAGGGCTCGTACTATCACACATCGCAGACAGCGGCATACCTATCTCTTATCCAGGAGAAAGACCAGACGCCCCTTGGAACCTCCCTGTCCAGGATCCCGTACCCCAACCGATTCTTGCACCAATCATATCCGATTACATACCACCGATGGCTACAGTTACCATGGATGAAGGACGTCACCATGTCAGCCAGAAGGAACTTGGTTTTAGAAAACCCGAGATCTTCAACGGTTCAGACCGTTCGAAGCTTAGGGAATTTATAAACCAATGCAAGAATTACATGGCCGGAAATAGCCATGTCTACCAGGAGGACAATCAGAAGATCGCATTCGTGCTATCGCACATGCAAGGAGGAACAGCAGGATCATGGGCACAGAGCTTCATAGAAACGGAACTCACCAATGATGACTTCCTTTCTTATGGGAGTTGGAGAGACTTCATTGCAAGTGTGAACAAAGCATTTGGCGATGAAAATATTGAAGAAACTGCTCGTACCTTGCTGCGTAACATCAAGCAAGGAACTCGTACTGCGGACGACTACATTGCCGAATTCCGATCGCTTGAATCCAAGGCGAAACTAGAAGATGCCGGAAATATCGAGTATTTCAAGTGGGGACTTAACGACCCACTCAGACAAAGGATATATGGGATGGAAAGCATGCCCAAGACACTTGACAAGTGGTACGAATACGCCTCGCGGTTTGATAACCAATGGAGATCTGCTCAGATCTTCAAGCGAGGAGCCACTACGACGACGCGAGGAAAGGGCCGATCTGTCCATCGTCCCTACTACTCGGCTTCTGCAAAGGATCCAAACGCGATGGATGTTGATCGTGTCAATATCTCGCGCTTATCCCCAGACGAGCGACAGAAGAGAATGAAAGAAGGACTATGTTTCCTATGCGGAAAGAAGGGCCATATAGCCAACGACAGACAATTTCACCCCCAGTCTGGAAGTTTCACCCGTGCTAGAACGATACAGCCCGGGTTAGACACAGACACGATCACATGGATCAAGAAGATGCGAGAAGACCTCGCACAGAAGAAGGAGACGTCGAAGGAAGAAACCAGAGAGGAACAGATCGCCTATGTGCGAAACGTCTTCAACGACATGACTGACGAAGAACGAACCCAATTGGGTTTTTGAGACGACGGCCACTAGTAATGCATGGACCGTCGCATCTTACCGTATCTCCCCTCGTTATTTGTAACACTAGCGGAAATTCAATCACTGTGAATATTTCGTTGGGAGAGAAGGAAGACGTTACAACAGAAGCCTTAATCGATTCCGGTGCAGCTGAAACGTTCATGAACATTCGTTTTGCGGAAGAAAATGATTTCATCAGATGGGAATTACCGAAACCGATTACAGTCATGAATGCAGATGGCACACCAAATCAAATGGGTACCATTACTCATTGCACCTGGAAGATGATGAAAATCGGAGGAAGGAAGACGCTTACTCGCTTCCTCTTGACCGGCATTGGCAAAGAAAACATACTTCTCGGCATGCCGTGGCTTAAACGCCTCAATCCGATGATCAACTGGGAAACTGGTGACTTTTGGTTTGGTAAAGATGCCAAATGGCCACCGAAACCCACCGTCGAAGATGCACCAGATAAAGAAGTTTCGATTTTCAAGGAAGATGCACTCCCAGAGCTAATCATCACCGAAACTTCCCCTACCTCGTTTGGGCATTCGGAATCTATCAGAGAAATCATGACCGATAACACTGAGCGTGGCGAGTTACCCGCAGTGCGGAATGATACCGAACTAGATGACCTACCATCAGAATCCCCTATGGATCAGCTAGGTGACGACGATCTAGTTATATCCTATATCACAGGAGAGCCGGTCATTGGGATATTTGAACCCATCAGGAAGGAGTCACCTTTGACGAATGAAGAGACTGAAACCGCGGTCTTCACCATACGAAGAGGCCCCGCCATTGGAAGAATGACACACAGTACTCGATCCCCATTATTCTGTAACGCACAGAATACGGTCTTTTACAAACCATCCGGTAAATCACAAGAATTGGCACAACAGGCACACAAAGAAGCATCAGCTGTAGACAAACCCAAAACCGTCGAGGAGTTGGTCCCCAACTACCTCCACGATTTGAAGTCCGTCTTTGAAAAGAAAGCAGCTGAACGCTTTCCAGAAACCAGGCCCTGGGACCACGCCATTGACTTGAAACCCGATTTTATTCCACGCGACTGTAAAGTCTATCCGTTATCGCTCAAAGAACAAGGAGCGATGGATGACTTCCTGGAAGAAAATCTGCGAAAAGGATACATCCGACCGTCGAAATCTCCCATGGCTTCACCATTTTTCTTCGTAGGAAAGAAAGACGGAGCACTACGTCCTTGTCAGGATTACCGATACCTGAATGAAGGGACGGTGAAGAACGCCTATCCTCTTCCGCTCATCTCTGACCTTATGGATCAATTCAAAGGCGCATCGATCTTTACGAAAATGGATTTACGCTCCGGATATAACAATGTCAGAATCAAAGATGGTGACCAATGGAAGGGCGCATTTAAGACAAATCGCGGACTTTTTGAACCTATGGTCATGTTCTTTGGACTCTGCAACTCCCCGGCGACTTTCCAAATGATGATGAACGCACTCTTCAAGGACATGATCGATGAGGGATGGATAGTCATTTACATGGATGATATCCTCATCTTCTCAAACGATTTGGAAGAACATCACGTTCGAACCCGACGCGTACTCCAACGACTCGAAGACAACGACTTATTCCTTAAACCGGAAAAGTGTTTCTTTGATGTTAAAGAAGTCGAATTCCTAGGCATGATCATTCGAGAAAACTACATTGGCATGGACCCTATCAAACTTAAAGGAATTGCAGAATGGCCTGAACCAAGCACGGTAAAAGGTGTTCGCTCTTTCCTAGGGTTTGGAAACTTCTATCGGAAGTTTATTGCCAACTTCTCGGATATTGCCAAACCATTGACGAATCTTACGCGCACTGCCGCTGGATCTCCACCTTTTGAATGGACGACAGAATGTCAGACAGCTTTCGACACGTTAAAACAACGATTCAGTACCGCTCCAGTACTGTTACTGCCTGACAAGGCAAAACCCTTTATTGTTGAATCCGACGCTTCCAAGTTTGCTACGGGTGCAGTTTTACGCCAAGCCGACATCAATGGAGACCTCCATCCTTGTGCCTACATTTCACAGACGCTCAATCCAGCTGAACGAAACTATGAAATCTACGACCGCGAACTCCTCGGAATCATTCGAGCCCTCGCTGAATGGCGCCATTATCTTGAAGGCTCTCCCCATCCCGTCGAAGTTCGCAGTGATCACAAGAACCTCACGTACTTCCGTACAGCTCAGAAGTTAAACCGCCGACAAGCACGATGGAGTCTCAAATTATCACAATTTGATCTTCACCTCATCCATGTCCCTGGCACTCAGATGATCCAATCTGATGCACTATCTCGTCGTAACGGACTCGATGACAGTGAAAGTGACAATGAAGATCGCGTTCTTTTACCCAATGCACTGTTTGTGCGATCCATTTCCCCGACATTATTTGACGAAATCAGGAATCACGCAGCAAAAGACCTCATTGTTCACGAAGCCCTCGAAGCGATTGCGCACAAAGGGCCATTCCCCATGAAATCATCGCTTTCTGACTGGGAAGTTCGCGATGGTGTCATCCTCTACAAGGGAAAGATCTACGTTCCACCATCCGAAACTCTTCGTCGTGACCTCGTTCGACTACATCACGACTCCCCTGCCATGGGTCACCCTGGAAAGTTCAATACTCTTGAACTGTTACGTCGTGAATTCTGGTGGCCCGGCATGTATACATTTGTCTACAATTATGTTGAAGGCTGTGCCGCCTGTCAACAAATGAAACCGAACACTCATCCAACGCGTATTCCTTTGGAACCAATTCCTGCCGACCCACACGCATTACCATTTTCCTGTTGCACCACCGATTTCATTACCGACCTTCCCATTTCCAATGGTTTTGATTCAATTATGGTCGTGGTAGACCATGACCTTACGAAGGGGGTGATTCTTACGCCCTGCCTCAAAACGATCACAGCCGAAGGAACAGCCAAGATTTTTCATGACAAAGTATACTCGCGATTTGGATTACCCGACCGAATCATCTCGGATAGAGGACCTCAATACGCATCCAAGGTCTTCCAAGAGTTAAATCGACTACTCCAGATCAGATCATCAATGAGCACAGCTTATCACCCTCAGACGGACGGAGAAACAGAGCGAGTCAACCAGGAGCTGGAAATCTATCTTCGACTCTATTGCGGAAACAACCCTGAAACATGGGCCGACCGCCTGCCAGACCTCGAGTTTTGTCATAACACAAGGGAACACTCAGCACGGAAGATGAGCCCATTCCGCATCATGATGGGATACGAACCACGTGGACTCCCTTCCGTATTTCCATCCACGAACATTCCATCGGTTGAATCTAGGCTTGACATGTTGCAGAAGATAAGACTAGAAGCACTAGCCATGCACGAGTTAGCCCGACAACAGATGGCGGACCGAGTCAGACAAGGATCGCCGAAGTTTACACTAGGACAGAAGGTCTGGCTAGACTCGAGGAACCTGAAGGTCAATTACGCCTCGCGCAAGATAGCACCAAAGCGTGAGGGGCCATTCGAAATTGTCAAAGTCATCGGACCGGCCAACTATCGTCTCAAACTCCCGAAGACCTGGCGAGTTCATTCCGTATTCCACGCCGCCCTTCTATCTCCTTATCGCGAAAACGACATACATGGTCCGAATTACATGAACCCACCACCTGATGTCGTTGATAACGAAGAAGAGTACGAAGTCGAAGCCATCCTGAATCACAAGACATACCGAGGTCATCTGAGGTACTTAGTCAAGTGGAAGGGATATTCTTCAGCAGAAAACTCGTGGGAACCTACCCACAATTTACAGAATGCCAAGCAAATCCTCGATGCATATAAAAGGACCAGGGGAATCCAGTAGAGGAGAAGAAACCCGGAATGACTACCACAACGGCTTTCCTCATCATCTTCCTAATCGTCCTTCACTGCACAACCCTCGCCTTTCTTTGGATCATCCACCGAATCCTTATCAGACGACTTATCGAACACACACTCTTCACGCGAGACAGCCCGCACGCTAACGGCTGGGGTGATCAGAACGATGCCTGGAACTGATCAGGCAGCTCTTATCTCTGTGGGAATACTCTTTATCGTCCAATGGATTTTCATCTATTTGATTATTACCCGGATCCACGACATTCTATTTCACATCACAGATAACCGCGACCCCCTTAACGACCGAAAGGTATAAAAGGGGGAGAAGACGACATATCATCCATGCCCACTTCCGCTATAGACGACCTTGTTCACAATATACTCGCTGAAGTCGCCTCCACAATTATGAGCATACCCGCATCGCCTACGCTTGTCAATGGAGTACCCTCTCGAGCACAGACACCCTTTATCCGCACCTCATCGCCCTCACCTTCTATCGAACTCAGTCACGCATCGGACGAACAAGAATTTGCCACACGTCTGGTCTCGGCTATCCGTGTTCCTGTCGACTTCACAGATATCCTCGTCGCCTTACGAAATCGCCCGCAAGATCGACAAGCGGTGGTTTCCATGCAACGAGCATTAGAAATGGTCGAGTGGATGCAGACGGCCAGACAAGAGCTCATCGCAGCAGAAGAAAGGATGAGTAGAGCCCGGACCAGAGTCGACCAAGTCTGGTCGTTGATGCGCAGTACGGTCACTCGTACAGCACAGGAGATTTGGAGGGAGCATGGGGACGAAGACATCGGACACATCCTCGGATACACCACTAATGGAATACCCGCATCCACTCCTCGCTCGTCGCCAGAACCAATTCCCGTTCGACCTCGCCCTCCTCGTTCGCACGTACCCAGTGGACGATCTCCGTTATCCCAACCATCTTTCTCGACTGCATCCACTTCTTCGCGTCGCAGTCATCCCTACAGGAATGGACGTATCCCCGAACAAGGATCACGAACCAGCCGGCGGACATGCTACAGATGTGGAGGAGATCATTATGTCCGCGACTGCCCCCGACGACGATGAAGATCACAATATTTCTTGTGGGACAAGAAACGTTAGACGGGAGCTGATGTTACAACGCTCCCCACTTGTGGCGCGTCTTTTCTTTTTCTTTTCCTTGTTCCCTTTACGTTACCAGACCACGTGATCCAACATGAGACTCATTGGAGCGCAACCTCCGATTCTTTACCCAGATGTCCAGAACCCCTAGTCTAGGGTTACACCGGATCCAACTCCGGACCTTCTTCTTATCGCGCATGCAAGACGTGCATGTACGCCTCATCTTTACCTCGTTCTGATACACGACTCGTTATCCCCATTAGTACTGATTATCTCTCACGACCTTACTCAGCTTTCTCATACATATTACTTCCTCGCTGTTACCTTGCCCAGACATCGTTTCACCTTATCTAGCCAATGAACGATCTCGCATTACTGCGTAGTACTGCGGATACCTTTTGTATAAGTAAACGACCTTGTCGAGCTTGATCCCCATCTCGACCTGGTTACCATTAAACCAGCTTTTCACTTGCCTTTGACTAAGATCGACCGTCAGTAGCAGACAGCTACTACGAGTCATAAGAACGAACTCTGATCGACCTTCAGTGCGAGAACATCGCCAGAAGTGTCACTTGAACGGACTTGTGTCTTAGACTAAGACCTTGTCTCGTGACGACTCGACTAGACGCTCGTGTTTCGCTGCCGCGTAACATCTGATCGATGTATCATGTGCCTCTTGGCAGGAGAGAACCACTTCATGGTACTGAATATACCACCGCACCTGTCTGTTGAGAAGAAAACAGGCAACACACTCGTCGTGTGCTACTTGTGTGCAGAGAAGATGCCACTGTCGAAGATGCGAAATCATGTTGGCCACCATATTCTGTACTCAATGCATGACATTGATGAGGGCGACCGCGTACTTCAAGAGGTTTTTTGGATTTGGCTGTCGAATAACTGAGTCTCCTCTAACGATGGTTTACACAGGTCGGCATTGATCCGTGCGGATTTTGTGGTCGCGATGGGTGTATCATTCAGCTCACAAAAAAAGCGAACAGCTTTTCCATTGCTTCAAGTTGTAGGTACCACTACACTTCTATGAACTACGGTGCTGCGATCAAATCCACTAAGGCTTCACCTTGTACCAATGTCCCTATCCATTGCTCTCTCTGTCCTCCCACAGCATCAGGTCAACCTCGGACCATATGGAAGTACAACACACTGTTCCACATCACTATGGAGCACTCGAAAGAGGACGGAACGCTACCACCAATCGCCCCGCAACTTCTCGTGGACATGCATATCTCACGAGCCAAAGAAGCATTCATGGAGATTGACGAGCAGGTTACTGAAGAGTGGAGGTTGGAAAATGAAATTCCGAATACCGATGTGATAGAAGAGATGCGCGAAGGGCTCGCGCAGAAGAGGAATAGAGCACCGTCGACAGTAGTTAAACAGCCTCGCAGGAAGGCGGCAAGGTATGGTACTTAGTAGTAGTAGATCTATCGCGTTATCTCATCTATTTCCATATCGGGCTCGGGGGGTAGGAGATCCGGTGCACGGGGTCCTCCTCTTCACTTTTTCGGGTTGAGGTCGATAATTTCCCGTTTGGTTGCCCCCTGGCCCTATATGAGGAGAACCATAATTGGCGCAAGGAACCGCAAGAGGGTGGCACCGGGGAATGCCGAGACCGGAGGTGGGGGGGGGAGGGTGTGTCGGGGTCCTTAATTGGCTTTTCGTACCTTAACCCAAAGTGCTCCGAACTACTCTAAGTGGCTGTCGGCACGTTTCTACAGGTATCCGCGCGCCGTAGACTCTCAAATCTGACAGTTCTTGCTCTTGTGGATCTATCTGAGCTCCTGTGTGTCCATCTATTGTTAAGAATACTTTAATCATGCAGCCACTTTCAACCCCTCCTGTCCCTCGATGTCCTCTCGCTCTGCGTACAGTGGCTGCCGCGCTCTCATGACAAAAAAAGAAAGTTGCGACATCGAAGGTGAGTTGCCTGACTTTGTATGCTTTGCAATAACTTGCATCCTCATCTCTTCACTATCTGATTAATGGTGCACCTACAAGGGTGGGGTGTGGCAAGGAGAATTTGCCGGAAATACAGCATCAGTTTGCTTCGGGATCCCAGTGGGTGTTCTGCTGCGACTGCAGAGAGCCGGCATGCGAAAACATGATACAGTGCAAGAATCCTGGATGTCATAGCTCGGTATGTGTGTTCTCTTGACTGCACTACTTGCTGCAGCAGCGGCCGAGCTAATCTACTTGATAGTTCTACTTCGAATGTGTGAACATGGTCTCTGCACTGCTGGGGGATTGGTTCTGTGACGACACGTGCAGAGAGAACATGCACGTCAGATCATCAACGAGATATCGCCAAGGCCCGTAATGTTGTCTCGTGTTTGTCTTGCTGCTCTAAAATTTATTGAATAATATTCTTGGTCGACTGTACTTGACATAGCTGACTAATGTTACTATATATGGTACTTTCTCACGGGAAGGGGGGGTGGGGTCTCTGTCCAGGGTCTTATTTGGCTTTTTCGACGTCAGGTAGAGCACAGATTTTCTGCCACCCTCTTGAGGAACTGGGACAAAATGAGGATCGGGGATTGAATTGAATGACCAATCATTGGAAGGCAAGGGGGCAGATCCTCTTACACGCTGCTGTCCGAGAGATGTGTAGGATAAACTGCGGGACGGTTGGACTTATTGTTACAAAGCTCCTCTCTGAGGAACGCGCGGACGACTTCCGCCTTTACCTTTACCGATCATGTGACAATGATGTCACAGAGTCTAGACTGACCATGTGACAATGACGTCACCGACCACATGACCATGATGTCATCATGGTCATCGCCCTTATCTATCCGGCACGGATCTACCAGATCATCTGATGATATGCGCCTTGTGCTCAAGGCATGTTTACCTCATGTACAAGATCCAGACCTAGGACGCGCTTCCTATCACACATGCGACAAAGGCATGTTTGCCTTACCTTTGCCTTACCCTTACGATACAGATACCGAACCTCATGGGCATGGCCCTAGACCCTGATACATGCGCTAGATGCACGACGACCTCGCTGCTGCCTTGTCTTTGCAGCACGACCTTATCTCCATATGGACAGATTGTCTCTCACGCAGAGTCATGACTGACTCAGCATTCTCACGACTGTGGGACAGGTGTACGAACCCTGTGCCCTTGTATTGATACCGATGGACCAATCGTAGTTCTAGTATTACAGGTAGACAGACGCCTGTACTTGTATATAAGACTGACAGGACAAGCTGGAGTCCCCATCTTGTCCTGGTTACACATCAACCAGTTTTACCATCTACATCTGTGCGACAGATCGACCTTGGTCCGCAGACAGCGGCCAAGCGTTCATAAGACTACTCCACTGGGCCGACCTCTGGTCATCGCTGTGACTGGAGGTCGGACCCCTCACGATTGACTTGAGCCCTTGCGAAGGCCTAGTCACTAGATGACGACGAACTGGATGTACGGTGGCACGACTGGCCCCCGTGACACTTATGAGACGAGGAATTAATGGCTTCCCTTAATTCGTAGGCATTGACAGCGGAGGCTAGTGCGTCGAGTTGAAGGTAGAAGGGTCCACAGGAGGGTTGACGGTGCTGTTGCCGTTGAAGTTGGCAGCACTTGCGAAGGATGCCTGGTGACTGGAGGGAATATATCACCTCAGGTCAGTGACATGAGCTTGGAACATGAGCAACAACCTACCCTCTTTCTGGAGTAGAGGCGTCGAAGACAGAGTGTATGACCGATTGATTCAGACTACCCTCTGACAGAAACCGGCAGTCTCTCGTTTGCAGGGGAGAATGCTCCGTCATGTCATTCGCATGCATTGTGATGTAATGATTCCAGCTCTGAGATGGTCTTGACATTTTGATATGAGTGGATGATAGTAAGAAATGGCTGAGAAGTTCGGTATGAGAGGGATGGACGAGATGGTGTGAGGATATGGTGAAGAGGCATTGGGACTTTATCGGGGTAATTTGAGGATGGCGTAAGATGCACTCATTGCGCGCGTGCTGCTCCATGGTATCACACATATAATGCATGCCAGGAAAAGGCAAGTTGGTGGCCAGTGAACTACATGCGCAGCATACACATTACCGTGACTCGGTGACACAAATCCCAATGAATTCAAGATCGATCGGCGAAAGGCGGACTACAATTGTTCCGAGTCCCACTGCGCCACACAATCTTCCTCCAGAGTTCAGCTCACACGGGTTATACTATGAATTATCTTGGAGCTATCTGATTGCTAAATGAATCCCTCGACATCGAGCTACATGTGCCGACCTTGATGAAGAAGAACTAGTGTTGTTGGTGGCTTGGCTTTTAAGCCCAAGCCAGGCCAAGCCGAGCCGTAGAAAGCCCGGCCAAGCCCAGCCCAAGCCATCCGGCAGCCTTGCCGCTGGGCCTGGCTTGAGAATGCTCAAGCCCGAGCTGAGCCCGCGAGCCCGAGGCTTTCGGCGCTATGTGCAGCAAAAATACAGGACTGCCTAACCCAACATCTGGCCTCATTCACACCTCACTGCTACCTTTGCTGGCACTCCTGGGCATACCAGAAAATTCCTCACTTTCACTATGACAACCCCTTCTGTGATATGCTCTTTTTTCCCCCAAAGGTGAGTATCTTCATGAAGGTATGATGATATTGAAACCCTTATGAACATTCATAGACTGGCACAACTCACCTATAATGCTATCCTAGAGGCTGCCAGTCAAGTTGAGCTGTCAATTTCTTATTGATCAACTATCTGAGTAGGTCACCTAGTAGCTACATACAAAATATTTTTTTTCTTCAGCAGGCCCTGGCTTAAGCCCAAGCCAAGCCTGAGCCAAGCCCAAGCCCTACCATCAGGCCTAGTTTGGAGTTTGATGAAGCCCAAGCCTGCTAAAGCCAAGCCAAAGCCAGGGCTTTCAGGCCAAGCCAGGCCCTCAACAACACTAAGAAGAACATAGCTTGCATTTGAAGTGTCTGGCCTTTGAAGTGCCTGGCTGGATAAAAACAAGAATGGATTCTAGCATCTGCGATCAGGATCCCGGCCAAGTTGAATGTGGTTTCCGCTGGTGTTGGTGTGTGCTCTCTAGTGCACGGGGAAATAGGTCTGACAGTCTATTTGACCGGTAAATTACCCAGGCTCAGTGCAACGCCTCTATTTTACCTACGTAAATTACTGTAAATTACACCTGGGCTACTTGACGCTAATTAGCTGGTAAAGTAGCGTAAATTACAGTGTAAAATAGCAAAAGGATGTTCACTAAGGCCACCTAAACATTGCTTTGCGCTTTCTAGTGAGGGTTGATGTATTGTTGATGTATCCATGGCTTCTTCCATCTATCACTGTAAACTATGATGTCTTTGAGGCATGCCTTCATGCACTTCCCCAATTTGGACAGGTGAGATTTGTCGCCTTATTTATCGTCATCAATTCTCTCTTGTACACGTCGGTTCTGTCTGCTTTCTGACTATGTATAGCCCGTTCATACACTCATGGCAACCCATACAGTATCAGTCTATTTTACCCTATTTTACCCTGTGTCACAGGCCCGTTTGAAATTTACAGTAAATTAACCGTAATTTACACCTGCTAATTAGCCCATGTAATTTACACCTACCTATTTCCCCGCGCACTACTGCTCTCAGTAGCGTTTTCGATCCCTAGATCGGTGTTTCAATTTCTAACTACCGCTGGTGACACTCAACCTCCGAATTCTCCGAACGTTCGGCGACTGCGCCTCCGCAGGGAGGATGAGAAGGCTTCATCGCGTGACGCGGACGTAGCCTTAGGTCTCTGCTACACAGAATCTATTTCGGGCTTTCAGTTTATTTGTTTTGGTGGATAATGTTTTGTGGCAAGTCCTAATCCGCCCTCCAGTTCCACCCACGATGACAGTGACCTCTTCTGTTCAGCATGCGGCGAAGTCGTTCAACTTTCCAGTGATGTTCTATAGATGGGATTATGATCCTCATCGGCACCATTTAGTGTGCTGGTCGCGCTGTATGGACCATCATGGGGTGGTGTCTAAAGACAGGACTACTGTGACAAAGGTACACGGCCTCAATACATTTCAATACAGCAGGGTGGGATATCACACGTTGCTTCCGTTCCGTAATCCAAGTACGTGGAATATCCCTGCAGAATGGCGAGTCGCATGAAGCGCATCCCTCTAGCGCAGTCGGTGATTTCAAAGCAGCGGTATTGCATCCAATTCCAAGTCAGGGACCAGCACACCTCCACTCACACAGCAGTACTTACATCGACATGTCCAGCCTTATTCCGTCGGCTTCATCAGCAAAAGTCAACTTTTGCTTACCTCCATTTAGCTCCCTTATCTCCTTAATTAAGGAGGTCTCCATTCTTATTTGGGCAATTAAAGCCGATAAGGGTGAATAATGGAGGAATAGGAGAAGGGATCTCCTTATTTTTCCTTAATCAAGGGAATAACACCAGTAAGCAAAAGTTGACTTTTGCTGATGTTCACGCAGGCGCCCATGCCCTATCGAACCACCACCTCAATTATAATTATAAACGCAGCCGAGGCCTTGCAACCATCTACAGTATGTGTCACGACGTAGATTCCCAACCTGCTCCTCATGGAAAACCTCGGTGGAAAGCCTCACTTACTGGCAGTGCGAATCCGCCGTTATCAAAGAAATAATCTCCCTGCTGAGCGCCGTTGTCTCCGCATCTGTGCCGCAGAGCGTCAATGCACAGCATGGTCCGGCGCCAAAACCTTGGTCAGTTCTGTTGACCTTGGCTGTGAGGACAGGCCCTCCTTCGCCTACCATGCTGTTGCCTCGCCTCATCTTAACATAGCCCTCTCGCCCCTCAGTAAATTATTCTCCCCTGATGTCTGTGTCCTGCTAGTACCTCTGCTTGTCGCAACCGAGCTTTCACTACGATTGGAAGACATCTACCGATGGTGTGTACTCTCGCATTCTCTCAGCATTTGGCTCCTGTCAGTGAGACTCCTCTTATAACGTTTCGCTGCAGGCCGTCGCCCTAACGTTACTAGGTCCTTCTCGATGACGGTCCGTAGATCGTCGATGCCCCCTCTACCCCTTGACGGAAATCGTTCACAGTCTTCGTGATGCTTTCTATGGCTGTGGTGAGCGACAGCGTCTGTCCTAGATTGTTTCTTTCCTTCGTCGCGGTAGGAGCGAATGGTTATGGCTGTGAGTCCTTTGTTTTCTCGGTCTCAGGAAAACATACAGATACTTAAACGGCATGAGGTCCGATTAGAGACTCCAGAAGAGCAACAGAAGTCACCAACTGGCTACCGTCGGTGTCGTTCTGACCTGCGTAGGTACGCAGATACTCTGCCCGCTGTTCGAGTTGGCGTTCGCACCTATCCGAGGTCGGGATGTCTCGAGTCTGATGACTAATGCACCAGCACTGCTCAGCGATCATGACCTTATCTCTGATGCATTTTATACATCGAGTCCGAATGTTCCAGGCACGTCTGTACCTTTGTAATGACCTTTTGAGCACACGTTCATTTCCGGTGTAGACCAAGCTTTTTTTGGCCCCGCAGGGCGCGCTCACGAAGGTTTTGTGTGCGGACAAGGCTTACAGGCCCCCGTAGTGCTTGGCAACAGTAATTGCCAGTCAACACTCACACAGACCTTACCCCGGCCGTACCCCGCCGTACCCTGCCGTACCCCGCTACCTCAGCCCTCTCCGTCACGCTCTCCCCTGGGGTTCAAGCTTCAACTGTCCTGAACCGTCGGGAACATTTTGGTTCGCGGTGGTCATCCTCGACTTGTGTCAAATCGTTGAGATATCGCTGACCCGACACTTCTTCAGCAGTTTGCTATCCCTCGTTTCCCAGGTACTCGTATGGTCTCACCTCAGATCTAGTCTTTGGCAATATCCCTGTACTGCCTCTTTCACGGGGGTAAATCGCACTCCGCTCAGTGGGTTTCAGGAATATGACGGACAGAGGCATCTACTCTAGATGCCGCACACTTCGTCGAGCTTGGAAACAAATAATCCCGCGAATCTTTTTTGTCCCTACATTGTCGCCTCTTTTTGTTGTGTGCTTCCTCGGTGAATACAATATATTCGTACGTTCATGCTATACGCAAGACCGAAAGATGTAGTTCGCCGGTGCCCTGCCGTGGTCTCCAACCCACATCCAACGCATCCTGTCAACGTGGTCGCAACCGTGCTCGAATCTTGTGAAGTTTAACCTTTTAAGGACTGTAAATCAATCACAATTTTATCTCCGCGAATGAACCGGGACGTCGCAGGCATGTTTCCACGATTTCGTTCACCGATAACGCGTTCAATTGGTGGTGCCAACTGTGTTTAATGATGTGCATTTTTCCAAGGCAGTACGGACGACATGCGGACATGCAGTGTTTTTGTGGGCTACAGTATGGTAGGAGCGAAGGGAGGATGTACATAACGAACAATAATCAAGATGGCAACGTTCGCGGTCAAGAGCTAACAGCCAGTCAGTTTATAGATGCAGCGACAGGTGAGGTGCAGAGCAGAGTTTCGGAATGACGCTGAAAATCTGCCTGCCGACGACGTCTCTAATAACTCGTATAAGATATTGGTTACGAGAGCAATATATGCGGTCGCTCGTGATGGGCGGAGGGCGAGATCCTACAGGAATACGAAGTAAGACGTCAGGAGATAAAGCTACATCGGTGAAAGACAAACCATGAAAGATGCACGATAGGACGGAGAGAAACCAACAAATATAATAGAGATCAACGATATGGAGTAAGGTGAGATGGCGAGCACATCATGATGCGTGTGGATGGCGAACCAAAGGGGTAGTCGCGCGAACCAAAAATAATGAATAAATAGAACCGTGCATGCCAGTGGCATGCTATGGAACAATCAAGATGATGAGATAGTTCGGAGATAAAAGTAAAAATATAAGGGGCGAACCGTCGGAATAAATTATGATGGGTGTGTTAATAAATATGGTGAACCTGCACAGGTGTGGGCACTAACAACAAACTGTAGACCATAAGAATCATGTCATCGAAGAGAGTACACCAATATCTGTCTTGCGAGATCGTGCCGAGAAACATTATTAGGAGAACGCAGACACGACATGCAAGAATCATTTGCTCACCAAGCTAGAGAGGGGTGGCTACGCCCTTGCAGCGCTCCTTCTTATGCTTCTGGCATACATCCTTCCTGGAATACTTCTTTCCGCAACCATCACATACGACCGCGGTGGATCTCAAGTGGATTGCTGCGATATGTATTCCAAGGTTTGCCTGCGCCATTCGGTGTCCGCACCGCCCGCTATCGGTGCACCACTCGCATAGAATCAGGGCCTGCCGGTCCAAAACGCCGCAGAAGTGAATGTCCTTAACATGGCGCTCTATTCCGCCTCGCGTGATGTCATCCATCAGGACCACGCATTCTCCACCCCAGAAGCAGCGCGTGCGCATTGGTAGAAGACAGGCCACATCTGATGCGAACACCGTCGGCTGGGGGCGCTCGAGTGTGTACGGTTGGGCGCGGTGACGACCGTGAACTGGTGGATAAGGGGAGCGCCCGTGAAGGTAGACAGAAGGCACTGTTTGGTTCACTGGTAGCATGTCAGCCTGATATTGATAATCAACCGCATGTGGACGGGGCGCGCCAGTGCCCGCAGTCGCAGAAAGTGCATTCATATTCATATCTTGACCGGCCCGTGGATAACGAGGGCTCAATGGATAGTTTGATTGAAGGAGATATCTTCCTCCCACATGAAAGGTGTCATGATCACTTGTAGATACAGCGAATGAGTTGAGATCGGATTCGGAAGGCCCTGAGTAAGGTGGGTTGTAAGAAGGAATATGGAGAGAGTATTGTCCAAGCGGTTGCTCTGCGACACCATTGTAAGATCGAGGAAAAGTCATCGTATCCAGATTGAATGGTAGGGAGTGTATCGGCGGTTGGAAAGTCTCGTAAGCGGGAGTGCTAGGTATACCGGAGAACGTCCAATCAAAGCTGGGATCATTCACAAGGGGGTCATTATTGTCCATTGAATCGGCAGCATCTATCAACGATGTCCCATGACTGTACAAGCGATATCATAATGATCAGTGACATTGTTGAAAAGCGCGGCCTGAACGTACCCTCGTCGGTCGACGGGCGTGTAGGGAATCGATTGACTCGGGCCAGAGCCGCAAGGGATCCTATCGTCTCTTGCTAGTGGATCGTTATCCGAACGCGCAAGAGTTAAGGCAAGATTGTTCCAGTGCTGAAGCGATTGCGACATGTTAATGGATAACAGCAGGGAGGAGAGGGTGGAGGTACTAACTAGGTGCCCTGTTTTTAATCATTTCATGAAGTGGTTGAGGTCGTTCGTTCGAAGCATGTTTGTGTGCATTGGTGGCTACAGACAGTGCGATCATGGCGAAGAGCACGAGAGTGGTGAGTACTATATTTGCTCCTAGGCGGTACGAACGCAAGTCCGAGTCACTCAGATTATCTTCGGCCGTCATGGCATTATCGTGTGCACTGTCACGTGTGACGCGCGTGTACTCTATCATGATCTACCGCCATGTCAAATGCCTCTCTACTCGGTGCATATTTTTGCCTCATCGTCTGGTACCCAGCAATATTTCCTGGCCAGCTCAGGTCGATTGGTCTTTTCGACTGCAAAGAATTCGAGACTGTAGCGAATGGCACGTAGGACACAGCAAAGTCAGTGCAAAGTTGGATGTATCTATTGTGAAATTGCAACGGTACGAGCCGAGTATTCAGCCTACCTAATGTTCACCGTCAGGCTGTCGATTTCCTGATCGCCCATCTTTCCCCGAAGCACGCATGGTACGTTTTGCTATCTTCAGCGCACGCAAAAACCCAGCGTTGCGCAGCTATATTATTGCACCTGGTGTGTCTGTGTCTTCGACACACCCATCAACGGCGTCACCGTGACGCAGGCAGTGATTCGCCATCATCTCCATGGTGAAACGACCTTGAGCTTGCAGGCAGGATAGCACGCTTAGACGTGTATGCCACGAGGCGTCAGGCCGTTTTCGGCCAATCGGAAGGCCGAATCAGCAAAAAAAATTCTTTCTCGGGGAGCCTGAAGGCGCCGCAAAAAGACTCTATTTGGAAAGGTTAGTGTCATCGGTGAAGCTCACGGCCCGTGGTTGCGCCTGCATCAGCTATCCCTGTAGCACACTTGGGTGGAATTCTCACTTGCAGTCGTTCTTATGCTGATGCTTACCTCCATCACATTCGAACAGATCTTGCGTCCCTTTGATCCATCCCGCCTCGATCCCTCTGTTCACGGAGATCGGGTCCATTGTTAGCAGGATCGGGGTTAGTGGAAACATCTCGAGATTGAAGCGGAAGTAAATGGGCCAATCCGCGACATGCTGATAACCGAACCCTATAGCTGAATCGTCTGTTGTGTTGCGTCATCAAACTGGTCCAGACAGTAGTGCATCACAATCAACAGGAACACGAGTTAGCGATATGTACCGACCAAAAAAAACTACCGAGAAAGCCGTCGCTATGGGTACCGCTCCTCAGTCCATATATACCTATCTACCGCAGCTATTCGTAGGGTACTATGCCAGACCGTTCAGTCGGCGCACCTCCCTACTCGGCGCACCATATATAGGCAAGAAATATGCGTTACGCGAGACCAGACGCCCACGTCCAAGCCCAACGGTGCTCTCTGATTGGTGGATACCCTGAAAGTGCCGATTAGGGGGGTGCGCCGACTGAACGGTCTGGCATAGTAAGCCCCCGAGGATCAGCACCCACGTCCTTCGCGATCTCATATATATTTCCTTTCACGCACTGAATCCGATCGTCACAAGGCGTGTTTTTCGCTTCGAGGTGACAGTATTGGAGATTCGACTTCCTTAAACGTGTGGTTAGGTAGCGTGTGCAGCACACGACGACGAAGGAGGGTGCGAACGGATACGAGTGCGCGAGGGGCAAGCTGGGGGTCCAGAGTGTCCAAACAAAATGAGGATGCACAGAGCAAAGACAAAGCGAAAATCCACAGCCGACTCATCTTACGGGCTCGTAAAGACCAACAATCACAATGATACGAATAGAATGGTGACATGCAAAGATACAATTAGAAGCATCCAACAGCCGACGACAGTTGAACATGGACGTCGAGCCTCAATTGCATATAATATAAACATATCATTTGCATAAGACATAGGCCTAGAACATAATATCGATGGTAAATGGACACGCATGTGCTGAGGGGGAAAATGCTACATAAGTGACTGTCCGCGCATGAAATGCAGTGGCGCCGTGAGCGCGGAGAATACGGAACTGTACGGGAATGGTGAACTGGGGAAGAGACGCGTAGCGTAAAAGGTAAATGAAAGATAAATAGATGATCGCGACCAAGCACAAGTCAATGATATACTGAAGTGTGTCGAGAGTGAGGGAATCATGATATGGGTGTAAGCAGTGAACGATTGGTGAATATGATTATGGCAAATATTCCAATGATTAGCATGAACTAGCGAAATGTGAATAGATTAGCGGGATGGACGGGTAAACCGCAAGGAATGTGTGGTCAGAGGGAGTGAGTCAATACATATCCTGAATATAGCTGGGAAGAACACAGCCAGTCGATGGAGCACTGCCCCGATACTGCAAGCGAGAAAACTGTGATTGCGACGCGGTTCTGAGTGAATAAAGCCTGTTAACACTGCCGCAAATACTGCAGACGCTGCAGCATAAGACTTAGCGCCGACAGAGATGGGACACAAGATGGATCACTCACAGTACTCATAGAGGACCTGGCACACCCCTGCAGTGAGCCTTCCTGTGCTTCCAGAGCACATCCTTCCTACAGAACATCTTTCGGCATACATTGCACATGACAGAGGTCGACCGCAGATGCTTCGACGCTACGTGCTTGTCGAAGCCGCCCTGAGCCATCATGCGTCCGCATCTCTCATCCCCAGTGTGCCATCTACATTCTCCCCGGACGATGCGATTCCATTGTTCATGTATGTGTACGGCCCTAAGATGACGCTCAACGCCGCCTGGCGTCATGTCATCCAGCAAGACATTGCACTGTCCTTCCCAGAAGCAGCGCGTGCGGAATGGCGAAAGAGCGGCAGGATCCGAGGCTGGCACCGCCAGCTCAGGTTGCTCGATTAGAGTGCGAGAAGTAGAAGGGACTGGATAGGGCCCCGTGAGGCGGTGATCATGAAGTCGTGAATGAACCGGCCTGAACTGCCGACCAAAGGGTGGGCGCCCGCGACTAGTCATGGATGCGGCTGAGGAGACGACCGGCGATAGAACGCGTTGAGCTTGAGCATGGGCTATCGTCATCTGTGGTGGAAGTGTAGCAGCCGGAACGGTGGCTACGTCGATGCCAGGATCCTGGTAAATGCCAAGGGCAGGTGAACGACAGGGGTAGTCCGGTGGACAGACATAGTTTTCTCCCTGGTGAAAAATGTCGTACTCGACACCAGGAACGCCTGTATCATTAGGGCCGGAATATGCATTAAATATATCGTTGGGGGGCGTGAAGGGAGCACACTGTTCCACACGCTGCTGTCCGACAGAAATATGAGATGGCAAACCTGTGGGATGTCGGTCGGAATAGAAGGAAGAGGAGGATGTCTGGGGTGCATTGTAAGCTTGAGCAATAGGCATGTCCGACAACAAGTCTCCAAGCGGGTCAATGTCACTGATGGATTTTGCGGGGCCTGCCAGTGCGAGCGAGTCCTCGTCGCGACTATGTAAGGGGTATCGCCGATAATCAGCGACACATCTCAAGGGCAGCCGTAAGAACTCACCTTCCTGCAGGCCAGCCAGCCTCGAAAAAAGACTGAGCAACTGGATGACTCGGACCAGCTCCGTACGACATCCTGTCATCCCTTGCTCGTGCAGGATAACGCTCTGTCAGACGGTTCGCGTCGATAGAGCCAACCTGGTAGGAGTTGTCAGTAGGGCTCGTCATGTTGGTGGAATAGGATGGAGAGGAACAACAGGGGAACTTGGGACAGAAGGTCTCGACGTGTGCGTATTAAATAGAGACTAGCCGGCTCCTCAGCACTGAAAGGAGGACAGTGGCCTTGATGAGAACGTGGCTGCAGACACATAGGCTGCCTCATGGTCGAGGAGGCCTGAAGCTTTCACTGCAGGTCGCCGTGGATCAGATCGATCATTGATACATAGTAGTCAATTGAATCCTCCTATACCTGTCCAGGTGTTCATTCAGAATTACTGCAGAACATCGTGAATCGAGCCCGACCTTGGATGTCAGAATGCCCGTTGCCAGTGGGGCTCGCGCTCACTCGATTGCGAGTCGTCACGCGTCACGTTCCACGGCATGATTCCTCCCACCGCCGTGACATGTCCATCTGGCCTTGATCTGGCCTCCCGCTTTGCGACGGAAACGAGTCGTTCGGTGCCACAAGCGGATCTAAAAAGCGTCTGTCCATCCAAGGAGCAAAGTTGGGATGTTGTTTCAGAACCAATCTTCAATGTGTGGCCATGATGCATCGGGTATCACAGCCAGATATAACTCGTGGTCACTCCCCCTCTCTCCTCGAGTCTCTCCGTCTGAATAAGTGCTACACATTCGGTCAATTTTTAGCAACCTGCTGATTTTATTTGCAGTTAACTTGCCTCGTGTTCAATTGCGGACATATGCCATTGTGCGTATCTTTTTTTCCCGTCTTCAGTATTAGATTTATCGACAGTTGATAGCAGAACACCCTTAACTCTGGTCAATGCTTCATCATTTCAAAGCAGGGCCAGATAGTCATTTTGATTGAAGCGATTTGTTCAGTTTTGACAAGTACGGGTTCGTCTGCCGGATGTGCCGGTGGAACTGCAGCTTGGCTCAGAACGTGTACAGTGGCTGAGGACGAAGCTGTCACAGTGTCTTTCAACTTGCAATTTCAACGGTGGCACAGGTACTTCGGGAACATAGCCAGTGTGCGCCATGCTCCGCCCATCCTCTTCATTCAACCACCACGACCATCGCGCATGAAGGTGCCACCAGGCTTTACATTTAATGGGGTAAGGTCTGAGATGGTGGCGGTCAATGCACCCCAGAACACGGCCTCGATGCCTTCTCATTCCACGGTGGGCGGTCATTTATGGTGCTCACCCATCATTGATGCGTGCAGCGTAATGCTGGGTCTGATTGTCCACCATCGTTGCTGACAGCGCAGTGGAGCACGCAGCTTGCTTATGCAACGATCCAGCTGTGCCATTGAATCCGCATCTGGGTCAGATGCCGCGCCTCCATCAGACTTACCTAGCTCCGAGACCAGCGACATCACACGAGCAGGGATGTACCATCGATTGTATGGCTCGAAGTTGTCTCATGAGCAGAACGTGAGACAGCGCGAAGGTGGCCTCTATGTTGGCGATGCTGTGTTTCCGAAGGCGAATGTTGTAACCTGTGCCTTTGAGCGCCATATTGATTCCGGCGCACCGCATTCCACTCAGAATCCGGGCGCTTCTGATGTCTCTGCTTTGGCGCCCCTTAATGGCGGTGGCGGCTTCGAAGTTCCGTGCACCGACCATCCCCCAATGCCAGTCGACCGGTCCTACCTCTTACCCTAATCATGATCATCCCGGCGTCCTCCCCTCAGCCATACACTCTGGCAGAGTCCCAGCTCTGTTGACGGCGCCTTACACCATGCTCGGTAAGCATCTGTTCGCGGCCTACCCCGACTTACCTCACCGTTGACGCATTGTGGCCAAATAATTTGATTACGCCTCGGTTCTGGTCCGTGGCGCAGATGTCAGCATCATCGTCGTTCACGGAGATCACTCAAACCTCCCCTGTGCATTCCAGGATCATGGCTAATGGAACGATCAATCTCAAGATCGTGTCTTCATACAGAATTCGCCGAGGCGGGAGCGACAGCAGCGGGGCCAGTTCGTCGTCTACATGTTGTTCGCGAATGTCCCTTCTCCTCTCGGTAAGAGACGAGCACTTATCGCAGTTATGACATATTGATGAGCGGTGCATGGAGCTCGATACTCTGTTGCAGTATCGGTGGTACCCGCTATAAGTGTTCTCAAAGGCAAGGTGGACTAGTCGTCGTGCAGAGACCAAACCTTGCAGTGCAATCAGAACATTGCTAGATCCATTCAACCAGCAGCGAGACGGCAAGAAAAACGGACTCGGTGCTCACAGGTCAATACCGCTAACCTTCCAGCTACTGAACTCTTCAGCTCGCCGTTCGCGGGGAATTCACAGCGATTCGCTGACGGCGCTCCTCCAGCGCCTAGGCTACTCCATCGCGCGAGTAGGAATGCCATCTAGATCGCATCTCTCCTCGCAGATGCATGGCGATCGAACGCATTAAACGTGGCTCAAATTTTCCGATGTCATGATTTGCCCCACATTCCATTTGCTGTGCAGATCGTCTGTTCCAAGCCCGCGGTTTTTTGTGGCGGCGCATACCGAGCGCGTCTACAAAATCAACAATGACACGAATTCGCGGACACAAGAATCGCCCAGATGGGGTCGCGTCCGTGAGGGCAAAGTGGTGAGTTCTTGAAGCAAAGCCTATATCATGGGCAGTCACGGCTTGAAACGTTGAAGACGACGCTGTCCGCAACCAGCCAAATAAATCTACGTGGATAGGATTGGTAATGCTGAGAGTACGCAGATACAGCAAACGTACGGATGGATGCAATATCTACTCATGGAACTTCTTGCACTTCACAGTCTTCGAGCACGGATAGATAGAGGTGATGCGTTTTGCGCGAGTTCCCGCAGAATGTAGCACGTGAAAAGGCATTTGAACGGATGTCATAGAATAAAAGGGAGCTGCAATATTGCACGTATTGTATCCGCAGTGCGTGCAGGATGTCGATGAGCCAGAGGGACAATGTGCCATACAGTAATACGAAGAAACTGCTCATCAGCAAAAGCGGGAAATTTTTATGTAAGGTTACACCAGTTACATCGGGGTAGCAAGCGTTGTGTAAGTTACACAGGACTAGTGATGTTTAAACCAATTTGTAATCAAAGTAAAGGTAGTAGAGGTCTATAAAGAAGATTACATAGAATAGAAATTGATACACAAGTTATAACAAAAATACATGTTGGCAAAGAGTTGTCGAGCAATGTAACCCGAGTTAAACGTTGCTCACCAGGTTACACAGTCGGAAGAACTTCTAGACACTAAATATAATGTTGTAAGGAGCGCCTATTGGGCGTCTACTAGCGCTCTCTGCAGAACTCGCTCCGAGTTGGCTCTTGCGTCGCGTTTTAGTTTTCAGGCCCCCGAATACCGCACCAAATGCGAGCATTGAGGCAAGGCTCTCGTCCAGGCCCTCACAGCGAAAAGATCCGAAGCCGTTTCGAGGCAACTCGGAGGCAAGTCTGAGGCTAATCTCGATGCATCGCGACTACCACCCGCTGACAATTCTCGCCACCCTCACTCGCGTATAAATTCGCAGCCTCTGCCAGATGCCCGCCAGGTGAGTGTTGTTACTCGCAGCTAACTATATTGCGCAGGTCTACCAGGTTCCTTGTTGCGTGTGCTTGATCGGGCTCTCGTGGTTGGAGCGACTCGCATAGTGCATTCTATTTCAATTTCTACTGTTTTATGCCTCTGGGCGGACGTGTAGTGTATGTTGATTTCTAGCATTGGTTGTTACGGCGGTACGCGGGTGTTGGCGCGGTAAGTAGGCCTAACTACTTGTTTGTTATGGTGGCACGCGGGTGTTGTTACTGCGGTAAGTGGACGTTACGGCGGCACGCGGGTTTTGGAGCTTGTAAGTAGGCCCAACTAGCTCTAATGTAGAGCACTTTGTACGTCGCTGCAGTAATAATAATATGTTGACATAATTAATTTGGAATACTCCCACTTTTGAGAATTATCAAACCGATCTGAATGAATCGGTTTCGGTCTGTTTAGGACAGTCTGAATGTAGCGCGTAATAAATTTTGTAGGAAGTTATATGAGCTTCATAACCTGTAAAATGTTTCCAGAGTTTATAACTGATTATGCCAGTTGGCAACTCTGCAATCTGACTCAGGATTACAATGCAATGTATTCCTTGGTGAAAAAATTGCGCAAGTTACATGGAATTACACCCTTATAATCTCTTTGGAGAAAATTCCCGGTTTTGCTGATGCTGGCGCCAAACGCGCCCCGAAAATTGTTTTGGCTCCGTGCCGGCCGCGCCCATCAGTGCATGTGACCGCGACGCGTCACGCGCCAACGGCCCAACAACTACAACTTGAACTACAGAGAGAAGACAGAATAAGTGAGTACCCTCGGAGTGCCTCAGGCGTGCTGCCGCCACTACTTTCAGATTGTCAGGAGATGTGGTCAAGTCTGTAATTTGAGCTTGAAGAGGTAACGAGGCAGAGCATCTTTCCAAGCCTGGTTTGCTGAAAAGGCAGGCCACGTTTGCTACTAGCACTCACGCAATTCACCCACAACTCAAATGCGTAGGGAGTTACATGGACAGAGCACCAGCAAAAACATGTGGGCGACCGCCACCTTCCTGCAAACGGCAACGAACATGTCATCGCCAAAGTGAAGCGGGGAATACACTCCAAAGTTCCATCCACTGTGAGTGTCTTTCACACACTATGTATACTGGCATGAACAGGAGAACAGCTAGAACAGTATATCGAGGAATCCGTCGCCTTCGGCACCACTCCAACACACATTTCCACTTATCCAGGGCAAGGCATCATTCTTGCGGGCCCACATTCTTCGAACACTGCAAATCGATTGCGATTTCCTGCTTGTGTGTATCACGCGCGGCGTATGCACGTCTAAGGCACATTTTTACCCTTGCCCTTACGGGTAATCATTCTTTGCATGCGGATAGTTTCGATTGAAGCTGAATTCGAAGGGAGTGCGAGCGGCCACGAATTTGACATATCGAAGAGTTGTCAGAATCAAATTTGTCCAGACAGACTGCGCATGCAAGGAGCGAAAAAGACATAAGCAAGGGCCATGCAAGCGACACCAACAGTAAAGCTATAGGCTATAGTTAATAGTAACTAATAGTTACTATACTATAGGCGAAGCAACAGATAAGAGAGGTCAGGAATTTAGAGTAAATTTAGACTCTGAGGCTACCAGCCGTAATCGATAGCGTTGAAGTCGAACACAGCAAAATATTATTTCGCATCGAATACAGAGATATGTAGGGTTAAGATGACTATGATGGATAAAAATGCAGGGATGGAGAATGTGACAGAGTTGCGAAGGAGGATGATTATACAGTAAACTCTAGAGTAAATTCAGAGGGGAAGCGTGTAACCAATATAGTGATGATCGATGGGATCCAGCGATGCGGTACATGTCTGTGTCAGAAGATGATATGGTGGGAAACCGGCGTTGTATATGAGTGGTGAGGGGGGGGGACGAGGTGATGAGGCGCGAACAAAGAATGGTTAATATCTAGTTCAACGCACATCAGCGACATGTTAAAAAGTGGCGGAGAAGATGAGACCGTCAGCGAATAATGATATAGATATAAGCGGTGAACCGTCGGAATAGATTATCATAGGCAATTGAATAATAAGAATGAACTCGCATGGACCCGGGCTTGTATAAAATATGCAAAGTAATATATATCCTGTGGCCTTGTGCGGTATTTTGATGTCGCTGGAGATGAGCCTTCGAGTGAGCATCCCAATGCTCAGTGGTAGAGTAATCGTGGTGGAAGGCAGAATAGGCAGATCAAGAACGATATGGCTGTCACAGAAGCAGCGAACGGATGAAGGAAGACACGAAAGCTGCAGAACAGTGTCAGGCAAATCGTACGGCAGGACATGCAACACAGACGGCGCACCAAGCTCAGCAAGGACCAGCCCTGCCTCGGTAGCTCTTCAGCTTGTGCCTATGGAGTGCATCACCCCTGCACAGAGTCTTCCTGCAATTATCACACAGGACCGCCGTTGAATACTGCAGGTGAACTGATGCAATATGTGTGCCAAGGCTTCCGAGAGCCATGGGGCTTCCGCACAGTTCTTTTTCAAGTAGCCATCTGCACATCCCCTCTTTCAGGCGGTTCAAAGTCCTGTGAAGATGCGCCTGTTTGAGACGATGCTCTATGCCACTGGGACCAGTTTGAACTTGAACAGGTGATGTGCGTGTACTTGTGGCTGACGGTGGCTGACGGTGAATGCAGCCTCTGCATCTCGGACGAAGCCCCCTACCTCTCAGAATGGATGGACAGGAGCCTGGGTGAAACAGTTGTAAATAATGATATAGGTATAAACAGTAAACGGTTGATGAATATAACTGTGTCAAACATTCCAATAATTAGAACGAACTTGCGTAACGTGAACAGATCAACGTGTTTGATGGATAGACCGCCAGGAAGAACGGCGACTGGCACAGCCAGGTCGACAAAGTACTTCCCCGATACTGCAAGCGAGAAAACTATGGTCGTGACGCGGATCTCAGTGAATGAAATGTGTTAACACAAATACTGCAGATGCTGCAGGACAAGACTCAGCGCCGTCAGAGATGGGACACAAGACGGATCACTCACACTACTCATAGAGGACCGGGCATACCCCTGCAGTGAGCTTTCTTGTGCTTCCCGAGTACGTCGTCCCTGCATAACACCTTATGGCATACATCACACATGACAGCGGTCGAACGAAGGTGAGTCGACGCCACATGCTTGCCGAAGCTGCCCTGAGCCATCATGCTTCCGCATCTCTTGCCCTCAGTATGCCATCCACATTCTCCCCGGACGCTGCGATTCCATTGATCATGGAGGTGTACGGCCTTAAGATGACGTTCGACACCTCCTGATGTCGTGTCATCCAGCAAAACATCGCACTGTCCTCCCCAGAAGCAGCGCGTGCGGAATGGTAGAAGAGCTGCAACATCCGGGGTTGGCACCATCAGCTCAGGTTGCTTGGTTAGAGTGAGAAAAGTAGAAGGGAGCGGGTAAGGCCCCCTGTGGGGGTGATCATGAAGTCGTGAATGAGCAGTCGGCCTGGACTGCCGACCAAAGGGTGGACGCCCGTAACGAGTCATGGACGGTGTTGCGGAGATGACCGGCGATAGAACGCGTTGAGCTTGAGCATGGGCTATCGTCATCTGTGGTGGAGTTATAGCACCCAGAACGGTGGATACATCGATGCCAGGATCCTGGTAAAGGCCAAGAGTAGGTGAACGACAGGGGTTGTCCGGTGGACAGACATAGTTTGCTCCCTGGTGAAAAATGTCGTACTCGACACCAGGAACACCTGTATCATTAGGGCCGGAATATGCATTAAATATATCGTTGGAAGGCGTGAAGGGAGCACACTGTCCCACACGCTGCTGCCCGACAGGAATATGAGATGCCAGATCTGTGCGATGTCGGTCGGGATAGAAGGACGATGAGGGGAACGAACGGGATGATTCGTAATTAGCAATAGGAATGTCCGAGAACAAGTTTCCAAGCAGATCAACGGTACTGGTGGACTCTGCGGTGCCTGCGAGCGAGTCCTCGTTGCGACTAGCTGAAGATCAGCGACACACCTCGACGACAGTAGTAACAATTCACCTTCCTGTGGGCCATCCAGCCCCGAGGAAAGACCGTGCGACTGACTGACTCGGACCAGCTCCGCACGACATCCTATCGTCTCTCGGTTGCTCATATCGCTCCGTCAACAAGCCAAGCTGATTCCGGTATTGGAAGGGGCTCGACATATTGATGACAGTGGACGAGAGTATGGCGCAGAGTCGAGATGAGCTGGGCGGAGTGGCGACCTCGTATGCTTAAAAGCGCTCCTGGTTGAGCCCCTTCGCGCAACAGTGGCTAAATGTGCACCCAGTTCGCCTGGAGAATGCATGGTGGTCGACACAATATGATCATGGTAAAGGAGGTGAGACCACTGTTTGCGCCGGGGCACATTTGGCCATCTCCTGATCGCGGGCAGATCAGTTGTGGACCCACAGCAACGGGCCGTGAGGTTCGCCTCGAGTCAGAAAGATTTCGAACCACCGAACGGGTGCGAATCAAGGGGGATTTTGGCTGACCGACGCATGCATGCGGCTGCAAGTGTGAGACCGACCCCTTCCTATCTACTAGAAGGCGTTTAACGAGCCTAGTGTGAACTAGTGTGAAGGTGGTCACCGTATCACGGCTTCTCGGATTTTGCCGTGAATATACTTGGCCGCACGGGCGGGCCATTCACTGGCAGTTACTCGTTTGTCGGACTCATTCTTGCTTTCAATTTCTTCTGTAATGTGAATACTGCAAGTAAATAATTTAGAGAAGTACGTCAATATCACTATGCTCTTGTTGGCAGTATTCTATGGACTCCGCCTTATTGCCAGCAAAACTCAGTCTTGTCGTGAGATTGGCGTACTTTCTTCCTCGCTTTCACCGTTGTACCATAGTCATTGAATCCGCGTCTCTGCACCGCTTATCGACAACAGCGCTCAATTTGTGGTCACCGATATCTCCGCACTCCTGAGATATTTTCTGTCACCCGAGGTGAATGCACGTACTGTATTTCCACTTCCTTCCGCAATCTGCAAGATTCATCCAGCTAGCATCTGTGGCGTCCAGTCCGAAGATGTGCCGCCGTGCGTGCCGTTTTTTTGTTCTCATATATCATCGTATTGACCTAGAGTTCATGGCGCCGTGCTCTCAACCTCAGAACACGTCAAATATCGATGCACGAGGCGGATATGCCATCGTCAGCATGCAACGATCTAGCCATCGATCTTCTGTTCGTCGGGAACGTGGTCGGGCCATCCAGTGCCATCGCACAGACTGTAGCCATTCATCATCTTGGCGGATAAATTACTGCACAAGATACTCATTCGTCCCGGCATCTGTTGTGATGGGGCGGGGGCACGGTGCGCAGTCAGCCGTGTTCACCATCACACCATGACTTCTTTTGTGCACGAGCGTGCCACGAGCATTCCACGGGGCGTGGCGTAGAATGGGGCGCCTTGAAGGCCTGCCCGGTGGACGGTCTTTCAGTGGTTCTCTTCCACCGCTGAGTACACGGTGAGCCGTTTCCTCCAGAACATCGAGTCGGATTTTTCATCAGTCCTCACTGACCGTGCCATGTAACATGCTGTGCAGTTGTGCAGAGATCGGGTATGCGTAAGTATCGCCCCCCTTCCCGGCATGTATCCGCATCGTGAATCCCCCGTCCCAGCAGCAGAATCATGAGCACTGGCCATCGTCTGATCTGTCTCTTCTGCCTAAAATGATCCTATGAGAAGTAGACGAGGGACACGTGAAGCGCTACATTCCAGAGGATGCTCCTTGGCATAAGTGTTTTCTCGTGTTGCTTGAACGGCACCGTCAGGTCCCGGAAAGCTTCGTATGATTGGGGACGCTCAAACGGTGGCTCTGCTTTGATGCTCGATGCCGGCGGCAGGCTTCCGGATGCCCGCACCGACGATGTTTGCCTCCTCGTGAGTCCATAACGCTCTCCGTTCCATCGCCCGTGCTCGTCCTGGCGCAGTCCTTTCTCGCTCTCGGATGAGATCCCCGGCGTGTCTTGTATTTATCTATGGCGACGGTCCCTGGATGATACATTAAGTCATCTAGCACTGCGAAGGTGAAGCAGATCCCGACTCGGTTTAAATCCTCTTACTATCCTGATTAATTACTCCCGCCTTGATTTTAACCCGCGTACCGACACCCACAGCCTCGATCGCGGAGATCATCTCTGGGGCTTGCGGAAGCATCGATCTCAAGATCAATGTTGCACTTCGCTGAAGGAGCAAACGGTCACACTGTGCCTGGTTTTCTATATGTATTCTCTATGTGTCTGCTTCTCTTTCAATGGGACGAGCGTTGAGATCAATTGAGTCTGCAGATCTATTTGCAGGTGTGCCCCCTTGGGTGTTTTGGCTCCATACACGACAGAAATCGAAAAGCCATTGTGATCGTATCTCCGCATTGTAGCAGAATCTCTAAGATGTGGATCTACCTTTGTGAATGCGTCTCTATTCGCATGCCTGCATGAAAATCCGCATGGTTACGTCCCTCGCGTCCACGGTGATGCTATTCCCAGTACACTGAAAAGACATTACTTTCTCGGTGAGAGATGAGCTCGCATTTTATATCCGATATACTGACGACTGAAGTATATAGCCTGATCCTCAATTGTAGCATGATACTAGCCAACGGATAGTGATCCGGCATGATTTTACCTATGCGATGGCAATATACTTTGGCAGTATATTCATTGCGCGTTTGGCAGTGCAGATGATCCGGATCGCTTTCTTTAGAAAGGCATGCACGCGTTGGCAAAAAAGTATCATTGACAAGAATTCAAAAACACGTCACCTAACTATTGCGCTGGTGAATTCGGCACGCGAGTGGAGATCAAGCAGTGAGACGTCCGAGCAAAGCGTGATACTGACAGTCACAGCACGAGACGTTGAAGACGGACTAAACAGAGAACCTATGCTGCGCGCGAATATTCAAATAACGTGAATAACACTGGTAACATGGAGAGAACGCGTCTCGATACAGTAAACATACAGACAGATGCGCATGTAGGCTGCAAGTAGGGATAAACTGGGGAGTCCTAGCAAGTATGGCGAGGAAGTTACAGCACGAAGAGCACTACGATGAAGCGTTCCTACAACAGAGATCCAACGGCGGGAGCGAACGAAGAAGATCGAAAACAGATGTGTAGCAGCGTGAGAGAGAGCAGGTGATTAACTACTGCGTTTGCAGGAACAAGTAAAGTGAGAGCAGTTGAGCAGACCGATACAACAAATCCTCTGTCGTGCAATTATAGTAAGCGTGAGAGAGCATTTAGAAGGACGGTCCGATGCGCATAGACTTGAGACAACAGTGATGGAAATTGACCACCAATGCAGTGGAAATTTGTTTAACCCGGGTGAGGACGCAAACAACAGGTAGGATCTCGCACGTTAGTGCACAGGGCACGCGGAAGACTAGAGCCTTTATATAATGACCTCAGCGCACGATCAGTGACACGAGCATACCAACTTACGAGACATATACCACTCGCGGAGCACTTCATCAACCAAGTTTATCCGCGAGAACGTATGCTGTGGGGACGTTTGCATGATTTGTGTGGATTCGCGTGCCCTGTGGTCACATCAAGTCTGGAAAGGATTCCATGACACTTTTTGCACATGGATGCCGTCAAGCGCAAGTGTGTGGAGGCGATATGCTTCCCGTAGCTGCCCTGCGACATTGGACGATCACACGGGTCGTATCCTTTTCCATTGGACCACTTGCATCTACCCGCCTGCTGCTGTTCCCAACGACCGGTAATGTGCCACTGCTGAAGATGACGCGTGATGCCTCCCGGAGACACATCATCCAACCTTGCGCCGCACCCGCCTTCCCACGTGCAGTACACCCAGGGGAAGGGATCGGGTGACTTTGATTTAACGGGAGATTCTGAGAGAGCAGACGATGGCTCGGGAAAAAGACCATTATTACATTCCGACTGGCAACTCTCATATGAGCGCACGCTGGAAAGTTCATGAGCTAGCCGTTGCGCGCCACGCTTGATTGCTTCGTCATAAGACTCATCGGGGATAGGGTATATCGATAGATCGTTAGGATGCAGATAGGGTGAGGAAATATCGAGAGCCGGTCGCATTGCGGCTTCAAATGGTGAATCAGAAGAAAGAAATGAGAACAATGATGTATGAGCGAAATAATGATGCGCACGACAAGGGCTTGTAACATTCTCAGCGGTATAGTCTGAGACGTTGATGTCAATGTGAGAGTCATCGAGCACGGTAAATTCGGCGACGTTTGCAGCCTTGTCATCCCTACATAACGGGAATCAGCGACGATCCACAATCCGCACCACGAACTGCTAGGAAAGGTAGCTGCAAGAACATACTCTCTTTCTGTCGCATTTCCGATGGTCATGCCAACAATCGGTTCATCAACTTCGATGAGAGTCATGTCGCTTCTCTACACCTTGGTGAGGCCGCACGTAGCAGTCCCAATTCTCTACAAGCTCTTCAAGATTCGGCCCGGGGTAGCTTTGGATCTTGAGCACGTTTCATGTTCAACGGTGGTACAGGTTGTGGATGTACTACATGGAGCATGTGGCTGCATGCATTGTCGCTTGAAGCTCCGTGTGGGCTGCGGGGCCCGTAAGGCCAACCCTACCACTATTCCGATCTCTGAAAGAGGCGGTTAACATTCCGACAGAGCGCGGCACGTGCATGAAGTGCACTTTTCACGTGAGCTGAACCAGAAGGGCCGGATTTCGATGATGTTCGGCTGATTTGGTCTCGGTTCGCTTTGAAGACATGTAGATAGTTATCGCCAGGTGAGCGCGGTTGTCATTCTTACGTGGAGATACTCTTATTCGACAGTGCAGGACATCACACTTGTTTATTGTCGATGACGCTCCTCTGTCTTCGCGGGAGACAGTTGTATGGTGCTGTGCTGTACTGTGACTGTTATTGGCCTGGCCGTGTTCTTTATGTGGTCGAGATCGACGCGACGTGGTGTGGTGGGAGGTGCCATGCATCGCTCGCTGAAGGTAGAGGTCAATTCGCTGCTCGAGTTTGAGCTCGCTGTTGGATGTCGCGAAGACTTCGTGCGGGCTAATTCTCTTACGATTGTCGAACACTGTGATCCGATGTCGGTGCAGCATGATGTCGCTCTCGATCCGATGCTGGTAGCGCTATGGGTTCCCGTTGAATGGTTCGTGGGACGGTTTCCCGCATCGATATTACGGCGCATCGCCGTTGCCCATGGCTTTGCAGTACCATCCCGGGGGGTCGACACGATAGCTCAACGATTTCGCGATCATCGGTGTGACATTTGCGGGGATTCGTTCGTGATCGTGTTTCACATGGATTCCATCGCATGGTCCGAAGGGCTCAGGGACGATCAACACTCTCGGACTGGTCAGTGGTCGTGGTCGGAACTGAGTGCATTCAGTTTGTTACATGGTGAAGTTGATACTCCGGACACGGCGTTGCGGTACGTCTCTCATTCAGATCCACTCATAGGCTATCAGGACAGTGCCGTGGTGGCGGATGTCCCGTTTGATTGTTTGGTCGGGCGACTGCCTCTGGTGGAATTGCTACAGCTTGCGCGTGCTCATACGGTCCGTGTTTCTCCACAGACGGACACGGTCGACGCTGCGGTTAGACTGTTACACAGTCACCATTGTCGCGATCTGCGCTGTCAGCACTTTGTCACATTTTTTGAGCGTGAACACAATGCTGCTGAGGTTCCGGCGGGCGTGCACCAGTGCGCGAGGCATGTATGTGATGTGCCTATTGGTGAACGTAGTGACAGTGTGAATTTTCCGCCGGCTGTCCTGACAAAGCTGGAGCAAGTGGATCTCGTTCGTGAGTGGTGCAGTGCGGTTGCTCCGAGCAAAATTTACGAAACTGTGTGTGCTGTATGCGGATGGAGTGTTCCATTAAAAGAAGTCCACGTCATCTCTCAGTCATCAGTGGATCTGACATTGTTAGCACGCCGATCGTGTGGGGTGGCAATCGTTGATGATGACCATCAGATGCAGAGTCCGATCTTGTGTTCTGCAGGGGAAGTGGCAGACGGTGGTCTCAGTGTGTGTGGTCATTGGTATAATGCATTACGACGGGTACGTTGCCAACACTATCTTTGGCAAATGGGCTATGGCTCGGGGATGTGCCAGACGTACTAAAAATGCTGAATTTCGTTGAAAAAATGTGCGTTGCACGGTAACCCGGGTCGAAGATGAAGAATATCGGAGGTAAAGCGTGTCGGTCACATGCGGAGTTGGCGATGCTGGTGATACCGAATAGGGGCGCAGTATGTGACGACGTACGACGGGGAAGGACGCACAGGGGCAGGGCTATTACGCCCACGGCGCGAGCGTCAAGACGATTCGGCCTCAAGCGGGCTGTAACACGTGTGAGTACGAACAATATTGAGCAACCAGAATCAGGCTCATCTCCATCTCCCGCATGATACTTTCGTTTTCTGGTCAAATCGTCATGCAGCCTCTAATTAATTGATATATCTACCCGCCACAGAGGTACATTGCACGCTGCAGGAAGACGTCGACCTGATTAGGATAGGCGTAGTGCGTCAGGCCTTCAATTAGCTCTAGTCGTTCAGTCGGATCGAAAAGCTGGGCAATGATGTCAACGCGAGTGGTAGCAGCACACGCCAAGTTGCGATCGATATTGCTGCCAACCTTCCTCTTGAATCTCGACGGGGATCTCGTCCAAAATACGCGACGTGACCGAGTCCCACGACGATTTCAGGCGGCTATTCCATGGATTGACAACCTCGTTTTCTTGCTTTCGTGCGCTTCGTTGTCTCTGTTATTGCTATCGAAGGAAGGTATGCTGCACTTACTTATCTTAGCTTCTGCTATTGATATCGTACCTCAGAAGCACTGTTCTCGCGTGAACATCGTCATTTATTGCATAATGTCGCTTTCTGTGACCCGGCTGACCACGCCTGTGAAAAGTGCGAGAGGCAAGTTTGTGCTCGAACTGTATACCACTGTCTGGCCTTCTGGTGGACCGCCTACTCCTCACAATGCCAAGATCTTCACGACGGACTCGGTGTTAGTTCCCTCCAGCGGTTACATATCTCCAGGGGATGCGGACGAAGGCCTGGATGATATCCCTGCCAGTGTAACCGACACATCTAACGAGGACGTTGCGATGAGTGCCGAGGAAGATGAGCAAGCTGAGGAGGACAGCATACGGCCCATTCCGTTCAAGCGGATAACACTGGATTTTACGCCCCTGTCGTCCTATAACACTTCTCTCATAGGACTCCCTCCCCGACTTATCGTGCGCTCCGAATACGAGGAACTCACGACTTTCGCAGAAACAGTTAATCGTCATACCATCCTCACCGGGCAACCTGGCGTCGGTACGTTGCAAGCGTTATCACATCTAAACTATTTCTAACTTCGAACAGGGAAATCCTACGCACTCTATTACCTCTTGGCTCGACGTCTTAGTTGTGGTCTCCCGACCATATTCGCCAAATCAGACGACCAATGGTACTTCTTTTGCGATCTGGGGGTGTATCTATTGAATCCCACCTATCTCGATGACCTCCTGGAGGATTTCGCCCAGATCCACGCATCGGATCCGGTTGGCGCAAGAGAGATCTTACAGCGGCGCGCCATCATTCTATTCGATTCCAGGGCTGAAGAGCCGTTTCCCAGAATCAGTGGACTTGCACAATGGCGATATATCGTCGCGTCGTCTTCGAACAGAAAGCGTTATAAACATTGGATGAAGGAAAACGAAGCTCTATTCTGGGTGATGCGCACGTGGTCATGGTCTGAGATCTATGCAGCCAGGTTTGTGCTGTTCTCATAGCCGCGATGCTTTTCTGAGTTCGCCTTCACAGAGAAATGCAGAAGGGTAATATTGCTACCGACGTCAACCAGCTTTGGACTGCGTTCACAAAATTCTCGCACGCGGCACGTGTGGTCTACAAGATTCCTACGCAAGTACGGCAGGACGCGGTTACCGACGCACTCTTTACCCTTTCACCACAGTTGTTGGCGTCAATGATGCGATCTGCTGAAAGCGTCCACGCAGACATCTCCAGTCAACTGGTTGAGGTCAACCCTTACATCGGTTCAGACGGCCAAGTAAACAGGTCGCGAATTATCGAGAATATTGCTACAAGGTTCATCCTAGTCCGGCTAGTCCGGCAGACCGCTATTGTTCAGAACGTGGAACTTCGTCGGACATTTGAAGCCCTGTATGCCGAACCCGCAGGTCGAGCATCCGCGGGAACGGTATTCGAGCTTGCTGCCCATGCAGTCATGATGCGCCAGTCTGAACGCGAAGTCAGATCGTTAATGAACGGTTCTATCTCCACCATCATCTTCAAGCACGGATCTGATATTGTGTTTGACACTGGCGGTCTTGACTGGAATCAGACGGAGGATGTACTACAGGGCCGTCTCTATTGCAGGCCAGGAGTACTCAACTTTCCAGGGATCGACTCTTTTACTGTTGTCGATGGTTCCCCCGTCGTCTTCCAGATGACAGTTGGACTCAGCCATCCGGTGAAGATATCTGGTCTGGAGCACATTTCAAGGTTATTGGGTGCGACGAACATCCGATCGAAGAGGTGGTCGCTTGTTTTCATCGTTCCAAAGGGCAATGCAGGCAATTTCACAACCCAGGCCATGAACCCACCTCACAAGCGCAAGAACTGGGAACATCGAGTGGATCAGTATGTGCTTGGATTGGATCACAATGAGCTATGGCCGACCACAGGTACGCTCGCAAGAATTGTCATGTCTCATTTTCTGAACATATGAATGGTCAGCTGTATAATCTCACTGAAAGGATATGACAACCAAAATTAACCTTTGTCCAACCTTGTTATGCGCATGACTCATTTTCCTAAGTCTTGCGCATTGTTTTACCTTGTAACATACCCTGGTCGCACGTTCATGTCGCGATGTAGAAACCGCGCCTGCGGACACTAGACCCAGCACGCACAACTCAGAATTCAACTCTCAAACTCCATTAAGGTGCAACTGGTTCGCGACAAAGGGAATACATGCGAGGAAGGAGGGCTGATTATCAAGTCATCACCAGTCCAGCTGGAGTCAGCTAGGATACGTCACCAGAGCCAAGAATCAACTTAGGATACGCATGGTAGTAATGTCGCGTAGAATACAATACTGGACGGTAGCAGTAACGATAGCAGTATATGGGATCAATCGCACGGAGGATAGAACGAAGGGAAGTAGTAATGATAACGCACTGGGTGGGATTAATTGCACGAAACTGCCGAATATCTGTAGAATTCCTCGCGGAAGAAATATGAAGGACATATAGCCAGAGGCGTATGATGCTCAGTAGTTAGAGACATATGATTCTTCCGAAGTCCGAAGAAGATCAATATCAAAATCCTGAATGACGAGTTCAATATGCGACCAGGACTATAAATATCAAAACTCATAAGGGAATCTGGGCTACCGGATTGTAAGAATCGCAAGTTTACGTGCAAGGAGGGGCCTTGTACTGGCAATGCATTTCCTGGTGCTTTCCCGCAGCATCAAGCCTGGAGATTAGTCCATGGCACTTCTTGCACATCGCCGCAGTCGAGCGTAGATGTGTGGAAGCTATGTGCTTCCCGTAGCTCCCCTGTATCATCGGACGGTCACAGGCTACGTTCCCTTGGGACCACTTGCACTTGCCGGGCACTTGCCGTCCCCAACTATCTTCAATATGACAACGTCGGAGGTGGCGCTCAATGCCGCCTGGGGACACATCATCCAACCCGGCACCGCACCCGCCGTCCCATTGGCACGGCACACCGTGGATTGAGGATGACTTTGGCGTAAGAGGCACATCCGGATCATTAGAATGAGCTGATTGCGGAAGCGAAGAAATCTGCTCAGTATTCGTTATCACACAAGATGCCTACAAGCAATTTAAAATGAGTACTTCGCTGTGTGCCACTTTGGTGATGCTAGGAGCTAACTCGGTATGAAGGGGGTGACAATTGATGCGTCGTGGTTGAACAATAAGGGGCCGTGCACTTTGTGGACTCCTGCAATGGGGCCTGCAGGATTTGGTGGGGTTGCGACCTCGATTCCAGCGTACCAAAGAACCTTTTCTTTGAATTTTAACACCATTAGCTAGATGGCAGACAAGTGTTGCAGCAGCGACATACGCCCGCTTTAAACCGCTAATGTTGTCGACTGGCCGGTGAAATTCGAGAACAGACACGCAGATTAGCTGTTGATGGTCATACCCCAACTCACAAAATATGTGGAATGGAGAAGCTGCAGATACAGCCACCACTGGCCGGGAAAATTCGAGGACGGACACACAGGTTATCTGTTGGTGGTGATAACCTAAGTCAAAATATGTGGGATGGGGAAGCTGCAGATACACCTACCAATTGTGCCATGTTGAACGACGTGTGGAAGATAGAGCAGGTTGGGACTAGGATGCAGGTCAACCATGCTGTCTATATACTTTACTTGAGTAAACCAGTGCTGTAATTCCGATGAGCTCTGACGAGAAGGTGGACGATCGTTCAGGATATCTTGCGTGTGGTTCATGGTGGAACCGGATATTGCCGGTCCGGCCTCCACTTTACGATACCCAGAACCAGCGATATCCAGCTAATGCATATGTAGCCACCTCGCGCATGGTGATAATGTCTCTCGAAGGTCTCTCATCTCCAGCTGGCTACGCCCGTTATCAACCAATTGAGACTACTCACTGTCACTCACATGAGGTTATCCACCGGATATCTGCAAGTCTTGACGACATTATGTGACTTATATGTGACTCTGCGATCCACCTCTGGGGTTTGGCACAGCGTCTTCAGTGCACCTAGTCCTTCCCAGCTTGAACTCTAAACATAGGAGCGCAGACTATCCGTGGTCATGCGAGGCGGGGTGTATAGGCTATCTGTAGAGGGCTCGGAGAGTCGGAGCAGTCGGCGATATATACTTGTGTGAGTCGTGACGGATATAGGATATCCCATTCAGAGCCTGAGGAGCTGGAGCCTATAGCCTGTGATATCTGACTGTGCAGAGAGTGACCACAATATCACTTTGAAGTGAAGTAAACGTCGACAACGAACTCTTGAGTGGCTTCGGACGAAGTATCTCCGCTGTGCACGTTCCAAAATATGTATGATCCTCGCCAATGCAATGATATGCGTCGGCTTGATGCGAAGTGTCGATGCGGGGAGACTTATTGGTGAGAAGTATTTTTGAAGTGAAGTCGGCGGTACCTGAGAATTCGAAACAAGTATGACCTGCTTTTTCATCCGACGCGAATTTCAGGGGCAACGAGCAAGCAGGCGTGCCCACGCAAATAAACATTGAACGGGATGTGTAGGGGGGGGTGGTGTACGTACGGATGTACCAGCAGTGTAGTCAGTGGGTGCAAGTGTCCTAGCAAAGGTGCGACAACGATGCCGCGGGAAGAAGATGAAGAGCAAGAAGGCACATCAGGGGACTAAATACGAGCCAAAGAATGCGTCGTGATCCGGGAGAGACGGAGGATGAGTATGTTACGAGAAGCTGAATAAATACGAGCACAGAATAAAAATTGTAAGTAAAATAAAAATACTAGTGGATATCACAGGTACATATGGTGAAGCATGAAAGTACAGTAAAATACAAGATTAAGCAGAACAAAATCGCAGTCGGACATGTGATGCGTGCACGTACAACAACAGATCTGAGACAGCGGAGATGAAAGTGTATCGAGAGCAAATCTCTAGAGCGTTGGGTGAATGAAGATCCCGATCAGAGCTGCTTCCGCGCCCTATCGGAACATAAAGATACGGAAGTGCAGCGCCTGGATATTAGCATCAGCCACTCGTCTGACTAACAGAATAACGCACCAGGCACACGAAAACAAATATCACTTCCAATTACAGCTCCCTGTCCAAGACCAACGGCGGGCAAGGACAATGAAACATCCAATGCTTCTTGAGCTGATCACGCCGTGAGAGTACGCTGCCACACCTGCACGTTACCGCAGTTGAGCGCAAGTGCGTCGAAGCGACGTGCTTGCCGTACGATCCCTGCACTAGGGCACCGTTGCATGGTCCGTCCTCTGTGTGCCATAGGCACTGTCCCGGTAAGCGCCGATCCCAAATGCCCAAGATATGATACTGGCGAAGGTGGCGCTCCACACCTCCAGGGGACACGTCGTCCAGCTCGATGCCGCATCCACCACTCCATCCACAGGGCTGGCAACGTACGGCAAAACAATCGAAAGAACTGGACATTCCAGGTATCGAGAGTATTGGCGGATCGCGAGAAGGAGGTAGCGGCGGAATATGAGAGGACTGTAGAGTAAGTAGCTGAGGGGAAGCTGGGAGAGTAGGTTGCGAAGAGAATGGTTGTAGAATGGAGGTCGGCATAAGGTAAGGCTGCACATAGGATTGTAAAGAAAAGGATTCTGGAGTAGAGGATTGAGGGACGGAGGTCTGCAAAGAGGGCCGTGGAGGATCTAATTGAAAGTAAGACGATTGCGGGGAAGAAGGTTGCAGAAAGGACAATTGTGGAAAGGAGGACTGCAGAGACGAGCTCGTCGAAAATGAGGGTTGTTCAGATAAATGAACGCTTTGGGATCGCGCATCGGAATAGGGATCGTCAGGTGCGCCTACTTGACCAAGGAGACAGATGGCAGGTGTGGAAGGCGCCGTATCTCGATTCCGTAAGATAGGATAGTGTTGAAATTCATTGAGGAACAATGGATCTCGGGGACCGTAAGCTTCGTGATCCACGGCCGAAGAAGTAGAACCGAAAGCGGGATGTGAGCTGGGCAGCTCCGAGCGAGGGTAGGACGGAAGGACTTGCTGAACGTGATGCGTGACGCTTGTTTGAGGGAGCGAAATAGTAGGGGAACCTGTGTAAAGAGGCCAGGTGGAAAATGGTCGTATAGTCTCGTACCCTCCGACGTTATGAGGTGGAGAGGGGGAATTTCCTGGGTTAATTGTGTTATACACAACGTCGTCAGCCAGCATGGTGGGGTCGGAAAAACCTGCGGACGAAGCACCATGCCTGCAAGAACGGTTGGTGACGATGAGTAATGAAGCATAACGCGGGCTACATACCCGATAGACTCCGATTCACAGGACCTAATAGGTAGGCGTACGACTGGATATGCAGCTTCGAAGAGTCTCCTCTCGTCAATAGAACCGTCGTCACCGAACAAGGTATGGTCGTCAAGGGTGTCTAGCGCGACATCTGACGCAAAGAGCACAGCGTCCTCTTGCGCGGCTTGCATTCTGTCCTGAATGTCAGAACCGAACTGTGATATGTCGACGAGACCAGCAGAGACGGCGTACTAGCAGGGAAGTGGGTATGATCGTGGTTGAATATTGGAAGACCAAAGCATCGCTGCCAATCTATATACTGCGGCATCCTGGAGTGAGACATGAGGGTGAAGAAAGATGCTTCGAGCGGCTGGTAGGCGCACGTTGACGCGAGGCAATCGGGTGACGATGGGACAGCCAGCGTGCAACACACGCTGCTCCGGCCCATCCGCGAACGCTACTTGTCTCAAGTTTGTCTCCATCCTCCACCCCCGGGTTCCGAATAACACGCCACTCTGTCCAGAAAATATTCATCGGCTTGCGTAGCAGTTCAAGGTGTTTAGACTTGGGAGGATGGCGACGAGTTGATGATCTCAGTAGAAGCTGTTAGCTGGCACGCGATGACGGTGGAACGCGGGCTGCAGTCTTCTCCAACTGTTTGGGAACGTCAACGCAAACAATATCAACGTTCATTTTACAGCTCAGGCTTCTGCTTGCCCTGATATATATCTTTCCCTCCCCGGCCTGATTGAAGCATCTGGGCGTTCCAGATGCCAGGGTAGATGTCGCGCAGGCCCCGTCAATATGGACCGTGACTAAACTCGGAGAAGACAACTTCAAGGAGCTGATCCGTGTCAGTCAAAGCTATCTTCGAAACTTTTAGCCTTATTGCAGTTCAGATGTATGGTCCTCAACCGATAGCTAGCCTCTTAGCCGGAGATATCATTTTTCGTGTTCGTCATTTTTCTGTTATCTTGCAGCATCGCTTCACCCGTCCTGCTTACATGCTTTTAGAATGGACCCTGGAATGAGGTGATTGCTCAAATAGTCTATCCGTTATTGTTATGAGCAGGCCCTGGCATACTTCGGCGTGGTAGTCTGCCCCAATTTCTGGGCCATCCGGACGAACTGCCCCGCCTAGCCTTCTCACCTCCTCGACCAAGTACTATCAATGGGCCACTCGGATCACAAGGCAGGTTCCTGCTGTTGTCGCCGGGTCTCTCCTTCCATGCTCACCCCGCGCCGATTTCCACCCCTTCGGGCTGATTCTCGGAAGCCTTCTCAGAATCTTGGTGGCTCGCCTCATGTCTACCTGCCGCCCGCGACTAATTCAAATGGCTCTTCGATTACCTCACGGAGAGTGACTTTACTGACGCCAAAATTCGTAACTTCCCGGGGCGGCCGATAATCGCAGGAACACTCATGGAGAAAATTCCTGCTCGCCTCTCACGGATCCTGCTACTGCCTCGTCTTTACGACCACTCGGGTGCGCAATAGCTAGTTTCCATGTCTCTCTGACTAGTCTGCGAATGGTCGGCGTTGGTGCGGCCGCCTTTGGTAATTGCTATTGAGGCGTCTATCCAGGCTTTACGTTGTAGAAGGCACTGTCGACAACGGTGAGAGTATCGCACTGGCAACATGATGGCTCGGCATTTTCGTCATCCCCTTCCGAACCATGCTTCCCCAGAACCATAGCTCCGTATGGGTCTGTCCACGCTTCTTCGGTTGGCCATCCGACCGCACACTCGTGCTTCTCTATGCCATACTTTTGCTCATTCTCCCGGCCAGGGTCGCTGGCCTAGCCTTGAGCGTCATTTCGCGTACGTCGGACATCGTGTACTGGTTCACTAACGTGATGGCTCATTCTTCGCCCCTGTATATTTTTGGGCTTCCAGAGGCTATGCCTGGTCTGGATTCTCGAACCGCTCTGCTGCCCGTTGTAGCCTTCGAATGTCCAACCCTACCTGGCAAGGACACTGTATCTTGGATCCCCGGGAGACTCTATCTGCTCCACCATCGATGCACGCGTGTTCTTCGTGGGTGGATGAAAGTGGCCCGCCGGTCGCACACTCAAAGCATGGCTTTCACCTCTCTCAGCGTCAGATATTCCCCTTCAATTCCGCGGCTTTACGTGTCCAATGAGATGTCTTCTCAATGCGATTTTTCCGAAGAGGCGCATGTTCTGTACGTGTGCTCTTCGGTGTCATATTTGATGAGTAACAATATCGCTGAGGCACCCTTCAGCAGGGCCTTCGACCGTGCAATAGCCCCAGCATCGGCACTATTGTGTCCAATTTCGCGTCGATTTCGGACTCTCTGCATCTATTCTGGAGGGGGTTTGTAATTTCCAAGAAGAGGGCCGAGATTATACCAGGAAGACTAGGATCCATATTTTAACAGAAGAAGGTCACACCCTGGAAATAATCTAGCGCTCTAAGATGTTATGCAAAGTCCAGTGCTGTAACCCTTGGAGGTTAGTCTAGCCGCTATCTTTTCCGTTTGGCTTAGGTTGTTGTACCGGGGTCGCTCTTGCACGCTGTTTCCTCGTGCGATGTGCTCGCAGTGTTTGCATCGATCTTCGCAATGAAGAGGTTCTTCTCCGTCACTTACGCAGGCCGTTACCCTTGTGTTTACCTGCATTATTGTCCACCCTCTTGATTTCAAAAGACAAATGCTCTCCGTGCGTAGGCTTGTTTCGTATGCACGGAGACTGTCGCCTGACGATATATCTTTTGTTGACGATGTCGTGTTCACTTCATGCTTGTCATTCATCGTCACGGGTGGGCCGTGTAAGCTTTGGTCTCTCCACGAGCTCCATCCCCTCGATCTCACCACGCTCGTCACCTCTGCATCGCCCTTCTTGCTATATCCAAGTCAATGACTGCAATCCCCTTTCCCGTGCCTCCCCCGGCCATGTACTCGCCTAGCAGCAGCTTACAGTTTTGCCTTCATTTTTCACAGGATATGACGCGTTCCCTCTTATTTTGGCCACTCCTCCGCGCAGACGTCCTTTCTTTCCTAGCCGCCAGTGAATCATCGCATGGCCCATACGTCTGACGAGTATCCATACTCCTTTGAGGACTATGGCGCAGCGCAGCCATCAATAATATCATTCGAAGTCGTCCCGCCAAGTGCCCGGCCCCATCATCTAGAGTTGCAGTCCGGTGACGTCGGGCTTTTGCTACCATCTGCTCCGAGCCTTTCGTTGGATGATGAAGTCATCTCTGGCACGAGGAGTGCTTGTACCACAAAATCGCATGAGTTCGCCGATTTCTGCATGGAATCAATCGTTCTGCGCGTCTGGTTCTGCTACGACCCTTGACAAGCCATGCGATGACTGTAATGTTTCATTATTGTTGCTTACTGCTGATCTGATCGCGCTTGTTCTCTTCTAACGCAGGATGTGATTACATTGAAGTCCACTGGATCATTCATCTATTGCTCTCGCTGCTCCAAGGCGAGGATCACCCCAGGTGTTGCGCCGTCTCGGAGATCGTTCCCACACCGCGGAAATCCAGAGCCAGTGATGTTCGAATAGCATGGCTGCGACAAGACTGCTGGAATATCTAGATAGAGGAATCGACATGAAGGCACAGCACAAAACCCGGCGCGTAACGATCCATTCTTAGTTCACACGGTAATCGACAAACGTGTTACTAGATAACATGAACTACCGAACATACGTTTCGAAAGTGGCCTGGCGTGCCTACGCGAAGAATGCATGAACATAATACTGGAAGGGGGGATGTGTATAAGGACGTGCGAGAAGGGTATATGGTGTGAATACGTTTCTGAGTCTGAGCAAGGTGCGACATGACATACTTACAGACTGCGCGAAGGATAGCAATGACTGATAGCAGAAAGACACAATACATCGTGTCTCTCCATTAAGGGTCATAAGCCATTCTATTGCAAAGTTGATACAGGGAACAAGTGGAAATGGGGATAGGAAAGAATACAGCACAGAGGTACCGTCAAATTATATCAAAATGACTGCATGCAGTCGAACACGCGAGTCATACAGCGACCTACTGGCGATAACGCAGATGAAAGCATATCAACGACAGGTCTCCAGAGTGTTGGTATATGAAGACTGGGATCAGAACAGCGAAACAGGAAATGGAAGCTCAGTGCTTCTGCATGCATCGTGCGCAGAAAGAAGACGGAGATATGAGCGTACAGAACCTGAGTACGATGTCAACCGCACCTTCATGGTAAAAGAGCAGAACAACTCACCAGAACACAAGCTCAAACCGATGGAACACAGAACTCACAGACACAACTTACAACCGAACGGGGCCATACCACATCAAATGTCTCTTGAAAATGTGTTCCTTAGATAGCAGAGTACCGCACTTCCTGCAAGTCAAGTGGTAAGGCACTACCCCGGGCGCTGCCGCTGCTAGGGGCCAGGAAGGTGGCATTCGCGTAGATGGCGAAGGATGCCGCCTGAGGAAAGGTCTTCCAATTCTATGCCGCACGCGCAATCCCACAGGCAGGGCTCACCGGAGAGATGAAACTGAAACTATGAATTGGGGACGGCAATCGCACAGAGCAAGGAATGAAGTGAAAGCATTTTATTTGTCTCCCCCGTCCGCTCGAGAGCGAGATACAAGCTAGATACAGTAATTATTGTCTACCAAAGGGCTTCGCCCTCGAGGACAATAAACGGGATTCAAAAAAAAAAGTGAAAGCATTCTAAATGATCTCGCAGAAAGCAAAGACACCGGGGCAGTGAAGAAAGCGATGACACCTGCGTCACGAAATACAACAAACATAAGACAGCGAAATAACAATGGCAAAGCATTCTAGATCATCGCGCAGAAAGCAAAGACATCGGGGCAGTGAGGAAAGCGATGACACCTGCGTCACGAAATAAGTACATGTACAATGGCAAATACAGAAATAGTCGTTCCTCGCCAGATCCAGCGGCGAGGTCCATTCCCAGCCTGGAAAATGCAGAAAAATTAAGATATGAACGACCACCACAACGATGCGGCATGTAGGAACTCTCACAACTAGTATCAGCCCACCCCGCACCTTCACGCACTACCCTTGCATCGGCCATTCCTGTGCTTTTCCAAGACATCTGGCCGTGAAAAGCTCTTCCGGCAAGACGGGCATTCTACGGCCATGGACCGTACGTGGATCTCCGCGATGTGCTTCCCGTAGTTACTTTGCATCATCGGACGCTCACACAATGCGTCGTAGCCGGTGCTCCACAAGCACCTTCCCCGGGTCTGCTTATCCAGCTTCTCTTCTGGATGGTACTCTCGAAGATGGCGGAGAATGCCACCCGGGGATACATCATCCAACCCAATGCCGCACACACCTCCCCACTGACAGGGCACTGGAGGAGACCGGAAGTAGTTGGGCCGATATGGTTGTTCCTGAACCTCAGGAGGAGGAAGATCCTGAGGCATGGAGGAAGGTGGTGGTGAAGATGGCGACGGGGGAGAGGACTGAGATGGCAATGGAACTGGAGAGGTAGGACATCCTCCTACACCACTTGGCCCAATATCGGACAACGACGGATCGTCCAGCCCATCGACTTTGACAGTGGCGGTGAAGGTAGGCAGCAGACCACTTCTTAATGGTGCCAGGGCCAGATTTCGGGGTATCAGAGGAGGCGCAAGCACGCAGTGAACTTGATGGGCGGGAGACGCGGGAGGGGACGATCGATGATCAGTGGAGGAAGGTGTGGGGGCGGCTAAGGACTGATTGGCGGCGATCGCATGCACATCGCCTCTGGTCGAGCGCGGGGTGGTTATTGAGGCGGCACCACCGGAGGGGGTGAGATCGTCTTCATCACTGAGCAAACCGTGCGACCCGCCAGTTGCCGCATTGCGTGCACACGAAACGTCCTCTGCGTCCTCTGTCTTCGGCGCCTTTACATTCCGAGCTTCAGAGCTACGACAACTGTCAGCGCTTTGATGAGCGTTGGTGAGCGGTAAGATACGATACGTCCACATACCGTTTGTGGGGTACATTGGAGATAGTAGCGGTATTCGTATCCATGTAGGTGTACGTGGCAATTGTAAGCTTACAGAGGCGACACGTAACCGTGAAGCAAGACGACGAGGGAGAAATGTGGAAGGCCACCGTGTCGCAAAAGAATGCGGGGGAGAGTTGCTGGAGCACTAATGCCGTCGAACTTATATCGAAGAAAGCACGCGGCAGGTCAGGCAATTGGAGGATGACTCAAAAGGCTAATAGACAGCATACAACTTGCAGAAAAGTGCAGATCAGTATTCTGCGATATTCAGATAGCAGCCTGGATATCTCAAGGTAACAGCGGAGAAATATCTGTTAATATTGGCAGCTGACGTGCCCACCGCATTGCTCTGCTCGTGCACTGAATGGGGTCTGCATTGGTTGACTGTTGCAAGTGGTCGAGGACCGGCGGGCGCCGCGAAATTTTTAAAGCTGGAAAAATGCGAGAACGTGTCCGTGATATTAGCACAGCTTATCGTCACGAGAATCAAAAATCTGACCTTTTAGGGCTCTAGCGTCTGAATAATGAACTAGAAAAATACTATCTTCCAATTGTGACAAACATTTCCGGCTGCGCCTCGACAGAAGGCCGCCAGAAGCCCAGGAGAATTTCGTAGTCGGGACGTAGCAACAACTAGTATCTAATAATGTGAGGTCTCGTTCGCCATGAGTCGATTCAAACGGAGTTGCAGGACGACCAATCACCATTTGAGCCCACTTGCACAGGAACTTTGTTCGTGGAGAACATCCGAGTGTTCCCCAGCGAAGCCCTGACTTGACGCCGACAACGGCCAGAACCTCCACGTTCCATACTGCCGTCGCCTTACAAGAGGCCTATCCATGTCAGATTAATCCACGCCATCATCCTCTCACGACGTCTTCATATAATGTGAGCGTGCACGCTAGAAGAAGTCCATACCTAGTATTTGCATGATATCCATCTCTTCGCGTGAATATGAAATCACGATGGTCCCAGCATTGCCGCAAATTTCCCGGCCGCATACCGCGGCCTGCCTCATAATCAGCAACAAGTCATCAGATCTGCGTATGGACAGGATGATGCGAGAGAAACACGAGTGATACTTGCCCGAGAAGGTGCAACGGAGTGCAGGATATCCTCGTGCTCGTAGAACGTGAGTGTTCGAATATCTGCTCGGAAGATGATAATTGTATTCAGCTCGCAGGTAAAGATTATGGGCGGGGGGAAAGTGGACCCTGAAACGCTATGAGGGCCGAAATATCGTTATTCGTGCCAAAGAAGTATGTCGAGCTGTAACGCTCGGTGTAATAGCTTGTTTCTATTGCTGGGCGGTTGGATTGTACGGAAGAACATATTGAGAAGAGGCTGTTAATTTCTGTTTGGTCGGCGACTCGGAGGTAAGGCGCGACTGAAGTTGTCACGTAGTCCAAAGTTGTTTCGAATGGGGGAATTATTGTGGCCCTCAGATTTGACTCTGATCAAGTAATGAGTCGGCGTCAACCAGCTGCATTAGACTCATACTGATTACCAGGTGCTAGTGCCGACTGAGTGCAATTTGGGCGACGACGGTTCGTAACATCGGCCAGGCCGGCACTGCCGGGCATTATATGACCAACGCCCCGCTGTTTCAATTTGCACTGCCGCCAGCATGGTTATTTCCCAATCTCCGATATATTCAGAACAAGCACCCACGTGCTGTGGCGCATACAAGGCTTGAGCCTGCTTTTCTCCACTCAACGAGATGCACAAATCTACACTTCGAGAAGGGTAGTCGGCAGAAGTTTATCGTTCACTCAACCCACCCAGCAACACGGAGCATGACCTCTGAGTCACCATGGGCGTCGTTTTCGGTTTGTGAATGCAACATGCGCCACATGGCAGACGCGATATCTATGGTATCTAGTGCACAATATCTCGCGTGGACTCATGGATCCGCAGTACTTGGTCTTCTATCCGTCAATGCGGCTGCCATCCGTTCCATGACCATTTTCTCCGGAGAGATATGACGATATCTGCCGCTGTCCTACCGCCCTGCGGTTACCGCTTTTCCTCCTTCCTTCGGCCAGGCGTATACATCTTCGCTGTGCATTCCTACTGCATCATTATAGGAACGACCTCGGCGCGCGAAGAGCGGTGACGGCAGTGGATGGCGATGACAAGATGGTGAGTGCGAGCGCTGATTGGTGGCGATATCGCACCGAAGATGCTGACGGTCCCGCACCTGGATGACGCGGCGTGTCGCTTCGCGAAGGATGTAGCGGCGGAGGATGGTGGTGACAGAACGCAAAAGTCGGTAACGACGCTCGACGGCGGTGGTGATGGGGCAACACAGTGACGACGCTCTCGGGCCGGATGAGGCCTGAGGCCTTGAGGACGAGGTGGGTAACGGCGGTGGTGACAGGGCAGCGTAGTGGCTGTACGCGGCGTGGCATCATGTGGATAAACCCACTCCACTCTGCTACTTACCTGTGCTTAGGTATGAAAATAAGTCCAACAAACCGTTGACCAACGGTGTCCTTCGACGTCGTGCTTTTGATATTCTTATCTCGACTTTGTCTTTGGATGGTGAGTGTGCTCGCGTCGGATCTGTTTGACCTTATCACCATCATTATAGGTCCGTAGGCCGACAGAGCGGAGATCGAGGGTTCCGTTCTTTCCCACGGATCGCAGTATGTCCATACGAGTGCTTGGTCCGACACCGTCATTGGTTCATCGCGGTCAACACAATTCTGGACCAAAGGAGTCCTAACCCGTTGCTATCTACCGCCGTCTTCGCCCTTCGACATTGATACCTTTTCAAGCATACTAGAGTTAAGCATTGCTGACTGTGTGAACAGAATGTAATGGCATACTATAGTATGAGCCGTTTACCTCGGGCCCTCCTTGACTGATACCTTGCCAGCTAGCGCTTGGTCGTGGGTTCAAATCATTTTTGTGGTTCAATGGGTGGACCCTGTGAATACACTTAGTAATGTCGTCCACGGCAATACATCTTCAAGGACAGAAGAGACCTTCACACGTAGACCGACCGTTGTTGCAGATGTTACTCACCGTGAGGTCCTAAATATTACATGGTGTACCTTACTCGTTTTCTTGCCAAAGGAAGCTCGATGTAGCCTCTATTCTTTTTCAGATGGTTGAAGCCGATCGGCGAATATCCGGCGCATTTTTCTGACTTCAGCACCAAACAGCGCCTGTACCACTGATGTAGTCCACGGTGCGAACATTCCACATAAAAATGATCGCTCGGCGTCGAACGCAGTGGCACATAAAGCTGGTGAGTGCGACTTCTCGAATGGATCCGCCTCAGAAATGTCGTTCAGAATGCATCTGCATGAACTCTCCCTGCACATGGGTGCCTCCTCGCGTGCCTTTTCTGTGCGATAGTGGCCAACTTTGCATAGATCCTTTCTCAAGCTCGTTGGCGCAGTGCCGTGCGCGAGTGTCTCCCTCCGACTCCCAACACCGGAATAACGAGGAAATCGTGTCGTGCGTGAGCGGCTTTGGTGGGGAATTCGTTCGAGCGCGTAACAGGGGTAGATTGCTTACCGGTAAAGTAACGTCTATTATTTCGGGCGCAGCTCACACTATCTCTGCATAATATCCTTCGTCTTCTGCTTGGGTCACGCTTGATCAGGTGTGCTCGGAACCATTAATTTGCGGCGCAGTGTTTTACTCTTTGCACGCTACCCTCCTAACCGCCACTCTCATCTCAGATACGTATCACTACCGCGGTATTCCCATCACCTGCCGCTGCATTGAATCCTCCCTCCATCTCCCGACCCGTTATCCGTCCGCGTCGCCATCCAGAACCTCTTGTGGTGCATCAAGTTTTACATCAGTGTGTCGTGATTGTCTTGTCAATAAATCCCCCGCACTGGCAGCTGTTTTTCAAGATTATCCGAGACAGCATGATATGCGCGGTCTCATGTCCCACAGGAGCTTGCCTCCAATCGTCAGTACTCACATCATCCGGAACCTCAAGTATTCATTCATCACCCACGCCTCTAAGTTCCGTCCTCGAGTACCAAATGTTCCTGCAACTGGTTTGACTGTTGGAAACATATTTCGCACTCTGCGAACCGACCCGCGCTCGTGTGTTCATTCCCGCTCTTGTCCCCCAACACCTTGCCGATCCTGCCTCTCCTCTGACTTCTCTAGCAGCGTATCTACTGTCTCGAGGCTTGCATATCCCGAGATATCGCACTCGGCGCCCAACATAACCCCCTCAGCTCTCAACCAGTGTTGTACTTCTTCAATCGGCTCGATGATATGTTGCAGCCTGTTCACGTCCGTCTTCTCGCTATGTCGTGGTCTGCCTGGTATTCGATGGTTCAAGACAATCCCCATCTTCCTGGTCTATGGGACTGGAATCGGGTATAGATTACTTCAAGCTTCCGCAGCTCCATCTCTTTTCACCGCTCCATCTCTTTTCGCCGTTCCATCTCTTTTCGCCGTTCCATCTGTTTTTACCGTTCCATCTGTTTTAGCCGTTCCATCTGCTTTTCAGACGATTTCTCGTCCATCTAGTGCTAGTCATTAAACCGGGGAAAACGATGATGCCAAGCCGCTAGGTCCAACGGTTCCTAATTCTCTTTCTTGCTTCAGTGCTAGATCTCTGCAATCAACCTTTACCGATCTGAGGTTCACGACCATGTATCCATACTACGAGCTACAGCTTCGTGTCCTGTCAATGTTGTAGGAGAATATTGTACATGGTGCGAGTACTTCATCGCTGCAAGGACTATTCCACGGAGATTATCATTTCGTGGAAGGCCATGGTACAGGTCATAAATCCGTAATCATCGGCATGCCGTCACGTAGTACAACTACATAATGTTGAGAAATGAGCGAGATAATACATCAAAGGATGCATACGAATACAAATAAATGCGCCAGCGTATGAGAAGCAGCCAGCGAATTACTGGACAGCAGAAACGAGCCTCGGGGGAGGGTAGGTAAGCCAGCCATCAAGGCCGCTTGACAGCCCCAAGAATCCGACCGAGAAGCAATGTCCACACATTGGACCATGGGCAATTACATATTCAAGGCTTTCCCTTGCACGCCCGCCGCAAGTGCTTCGTCAACACATCCTGTCGTGCATAAGTGTTCCCGCAGTTCGGACACTCCTGCTCCGTCGAGTGCAGGTGCATCGAAGCGATGTGCTTTCCGAGGCTGCCGTATGCCATGGGGCGGCCGCACTGTACGTCGTTCTCGGCCCACAAACACTTCCCGCTCGCCCGCTTGTCGGGCTGCACACCAAGATGGTAGTCGCGCAGATGGCGATCGATCCCGCCAGGGGACGTATCGTCCAGCTCGATGGGGCACCAGTCATCACCCCAACGGCAACGCACACGAGTCGGAATGGAGAAGTCAGGTTGGATGGGATCCTGCCTCTGAGGAAGGGGGTGCGGTTGAGCTATGGGAGCTGGAGGACAGTAGTGCGGAGGAGCGTAGTACCCTCCTGCACCACCTGGCCCTGTCTGGCGAAATGAAGGGTATGAGGGACCGTTTGACAATGGAGGTGCGTACACCTGGGGTGTAGGGTTCATGGGCTGCATGTTGGGGTAGTATGCCGTCCGTGGTGGGCGGGAGGACAAATGCCGTGTAGGTAGTGAAAAGACATTATAAACGGGGTAAGGCTCGAACTGTGGATGAATAGCACGGCCAGTGGATGCAATGGGGTCAGTGGATGGGTTTCGGCGGAAGGATGCATTGCGTTGAGTCGAAGAGGAACGGTGAGCGGAAGGCGAACGGTGAGCGGAAGAAGAACGGTGAGCGGAAGAAGAGCGATGGGCGGAAGAAGAACGGCGACTTGATGGCTCTGCAATGCTACCGCGCCCGGAGCGAGCGCTCAACAGGTGTGCGTCGGGAAAGGCCGTATTCATGCTTGTACTCATGGATGACGGGTACACGTGGTATTCGGGCAAGTCAGACCAGCGACTCCGCCCCGCTCGACGAGTCTCTATGTCCCTGGACGTCGTGGGACGATTACTACAGAGAAGAGAGTAAGTATTACATGACAATGGGGTGACGTAGGCCGACGTACGCTCTCTGTCGCATGCCAGTCTCTGCATGCTCGCCGATGTTCATCTCCAGAAGGGCAGAGGCCAGCTCTGACGTGTAGTTATTGCTGTTAGAACGTGTTGCGTCGTGCTGCATGGCGTACAGTATATTTCGAAGGGAAAGAGAGGCGAGATGGTAAAGGGGTGAGGACAGACTGGGTATAGATGCTATGCGGGACTATTGAACGCTTATAAGGTTTTTTGGGACCCTTGGTGCATACGTAAGTGAGAACATGCATGCACGAGGCGCAGCCACTCGGAGCTTGGACCACAAATACAATCGGCTCTTCGGTGAAAGGTCAAGACGGATGATGTCTTGCTGAAAACGTAGGCTGAAACGGGATCAAACTGAAAAACAAGGAAAGAAAAAGTGTAGCTGGATGACCGCTAAGATACCTTCACTATTCGGATGGACCATCTGTTCTTCCCTCTTCGTATGGTTTTCTAGTAGATTGTGCGGTGTTTGTCAGACGGGCGTATCCACAGTCCGCGTCGGCAATGCTCGAACTTCTCCCGTCACAGAGGATGTGTCTCCGATGAAGGCAGTACGGACTGCTGAACGAGAAGACATCAGAACGTTATGTCATATTCGGATGGAAGTCCTAGGCATATACAGAGTCATTAATCATTCCTCACCGGCCCGATTCCTCAGAGACTTATAGCATTCGTAGATAACCAACACAAGGCATTTCTCATGGAATCCACAGCTATCCAGGATCGTGTAAGTAGTCGGATCGGACTAAGATGAGGTACCAAGGTTGAATATGGGTGTTCGCAATTGAAATCGGGGTCGTGAGGTATCGGGAGATCACGGTGCTTGAAGGAGGGAAGCCCTCATGTGTGCTTATCGAGATTTCTGTATTCCACACAGGGCCCCGAAGACACTGAGTCCAAATTTCAGTTTGACGATGGATGTGCACCCGCAGACGCACGACGTGTTCGATAGAACCGTGGCTGGCGCCTCAGAGACAGCGGACATCCAGAGAGCAGTGGTCATTGCTCATTTCGGTGGTGGTAGACTCGGATCACCGACGGTGGCAGCTTGGTATGGCCGCGGAGTACTCATTCCGATTTCACTAAATCGGGTTATAAGGTGGTGATGGTGAGCCTTTTGCTTACATAACCATAGGAGGTCTGCCTCCTATTTCGGCACGTCGGCATTTTTTGAGTGTTGGGTTCTGCGTTTCGTTTGCTTTGCTTCTTCCTACCGTATTATTGATAACAATGAACTGCTGCTTTTTGGGTATGATCATCGTTGTGCTCGTCGTCGCTGTCTGTGCGGTTTTCTTGCCGCGTTTTGTTGATGTGCGGTGTGCGCGTCAGATTTGTGCGAGGTACACGTGTTGTCCTCAGCGTGGTGGTGCCCGGCGAACGTGTCGCTTGTCGGCTACCTTTGTTCGTTCGTTTCGCGTCGTGTGTGGTACCGGTGAATGCCTCTCCACGGTCGCCCATGTCGAATATCAAGGGTTAACCACGGTCGCTCGGTTTCGCCCTGTGTTTGAACGGAGTGCGTCATGTATTCTGGTTGATGTACCTATGGCAGTACTGACGTCCGTGTTACCTTATCGTTCTTTGCTTATGATCGCGAAATTGCATCGTGTCGGTCTCGATCATACGCGTAGGCTGGAAGACGTTAGTCTGCTTTCAAATCAGGGTGCTTCACCGTAGTACACGATTTCGGAGTTACATAAGCAACTTGATCTCCGAAACGCGTCGAGTAGATCTGGTGTAACGCGACACGTCGGCCTCTGCAAGACAACACCCTCTGCGTCGCATGAATTTTCCAATAATTATACATTCCACCATCCTCATAATGTCAGAATGACTTCTACATTCATTGGGCCATGCTCATTTCAATTCAGTTCACCTGAGGGACTCACACTCTGCCGGCAAATACTTGCGAGATCTCTACCTTATGATCCACATGACTATCAACTGGAAGGTGTCTACAAGGCATTATAAGGCACCAATGTTCTCCCTGTGACAACAGGCTCTGGGAAGACAGGAATGGGAACATCTTTGCCTTGGGGGAGGTGAACAATGTCCTGCAACGTCCTGACACAACGCGACGACCCACTGTTTCAGCCAGGAACCCGAGGTCGGCATCACGGCCGGATCAACGGCATCTCTTCGGCATCTGCATTCACGAGTGAAATCCTGTACTACGGTTAAGGGGGCGCATTTGAAAGCAGACCTATATCAGTCCATCCCTCCAACCTCTCATAGGACTGATTTTGTAGTCTGGCTTTGGGAGACTAGGAAGACGTCGAGTTGTCATTACGAGCACATGTTTGCAGTCCATTTTGTGGGGCTCTGTACTCTGTTATGGTGTGTGTGTGTGGCGATCCACCTTCTAATGCTTTACCGGACAATTCGTGTCTTCCATCGCAGTTCGGTGTGGATATTCCAACTGTTCCATCTGTGACTGTTGACCATCCTCAGGTGCGGTTTCCCCCTGATCCTCCTTGTGTCGCAGATCTGGCTCGATTCATATCTGATTGGTGCGAGTATACTTCTTTCACTGCCATCAGCGAGAATCCTTGCGCAGTGTGTGGTGAGTTGATGATTCATAGTATGTTGACTTCTGTCGCTCGTAAGAATGTTGATTTGACGCTGTTGATACGCAGAGGATATGGTGTCGAGTGCGAAGAGCGCGGTGAGACGTCGTCGATCATATTCAATCGGCATGCCCCCATCTTATATTCTACGTACGCTCGTGATCGCATGTTGCAGGTGTGTGATTCCTGTCTGCGTAGTCTTATGAGGCATCGTTTGCCATCGCATTCATTGGCGAATGGATTGTGGCTGGGGGATGTTCCCATGGTGTTGCGAGATCTTTGGTTTGTAGAAAAACTGTTGATTGCGCGTTATCGGCATAATTTCTTTGTTGTTCAGGTTGACAAAGGTCAGAGAAAGTTGTGCGCGAACGCTGTGGCATTTCCACAGCCCGTTGCACGGATGCACAGTGTGCTTCCACCTTTACGGGAGGATTTTGATCAGTGTTTGGCTATTTTGTTCGTTGGATTGTCTATTCCTACAGTGGATGATGTGAAGCGTACCCCTTTGTTGGTGCGACATGGTGTAGTGCTTCGTGCGTTGCAATGGTTATGTTTAAATCATAGCGATTATACTGACGTACAAATCTCAGAGAGCAATTTGGCATTGTACGCTGAAGACGAACCTCCTGTATGTGTGCTTCATCGTTGTATCGATGGCGGTGTTCCTGGAGAAGCTATGTCATCGTTTGAGATGGAGGATGAGCGTGGAACTGAAAAGGGGTTTTGTCCTTTTATTGTTCATGGGCTGTCAGGTGGTGATCTTATAAACATGTCTTACAGCGAGAAGATCGCGACCACTGTAAAATATTTCCAGACGGGGGGAAAGGTGTTAGCATATGGTCATGATGCTGCACCTGCTAGTATGTATCATAACCCTCAACTTTATCCCGGTATGTTCCCCTGGTTGTTTCCATATGGATTGGGAGGTTTAGAGAATCCGAATATCGAGGTCAAATTGAAGCGGCAACCTCATCTACGCCATTTATTACTCTATGCCGATCGTCGGTTTCAAGTCGATGAATTTTTTCCGTTTATTGTGTTCAATCAAAATCAAATCCACGACAGTAGTAGTGGTGGCTATATATTGACGGAAAAACGAAATTTTGAGTCTGTACGGGAAAAGATTATGACTATTAATTCTTCAGCATTGGAGCGATTGATTGACCGCGGTAAACATGAAGAGTATGTGCATCCAAAAGATGCTGCGGAACAACAATGTTTTGAATTATTGTCAATTATCGATCATGTAGCGGGGCATGTACAAGGATCGGCTATGCGTAGGAAGTATCAACACAACGAAATCAAATCTCTCATTATCGAGAAAGGTGTTCCCGTATTTTTCATTACGTTCGCCCCTGTCGATTTTAAGCATCCGATATGTCTGTATTATTGCAGTGAGAAGATTGATTTGCTTGATTCTCATCCTTCCGCGGGAGATGCTGAACATCAGCTTTGAGCAATTGCTTGAAATCCGGTTGCCTGTGCTCGGTTTTTTCATCTGATGGTGACGTCCTTTATTAAGAACATTTTACGTGCAGATTCAGGCGAGTGCAGTCTATTTGGTCCGACTGAAGCATATTACGCTCCTGTTGAATCTCAGAGACGACTGACACTTCACTTACACATGGTTCTATGGATTCTAGGTTGTCTCAGTCCATAACAGATTCGAGATAAAATTCTGTCTGATTGTGAATTTAGGCAGCAGTTGCTTGTATGGCTTGAGAGTTGCCATACAGGAGATTATTCGACAGGTACATCGACGGAAGTTGAACAAAAGATACAGGTGAAGAAAACCACATTGTGCTTACGTTCAGATGGTATATCTTCATCTGCCTATCGAGATCCTACGACCCATCTACTGTGTCCTCTGCCTTCGATGACAAATGCGCAGCATGAAAGCGATTGGTATCAGTCAGTGTGTGAAGCTGTGGATGAGATTGTTTACACATCGAATCATCACGATCCTAGACATAATCGCGATTGTTTGCGAGGTCCCAATCGCTATTGTTGAGCTAGGTTCTGCGGGAAATGTTCGAACATACCATCGTCGATCAAGACACTGGTGCTATACGGTTCAAGAAGACGGAGGAGTGGATCAACACATACAATGTAATATTGTCCTATGTTTTATGATGCAATACTGATGTAACGTGTTTGGTTTCAGGTACACAGGTTCGAGCGGTAATTGCCTATGTTTCTGATTATGTTACGAAATGTCCGCTGACTACCTATTCCATTTTTCAGATGGTGAAGGCTGTTATGGATCGCATGGATGATGTCAAAACTTTGGGAGATAAGATGTCTGGTGCCACTCGAAAATTAGTTACAAAGATTGTGAATGCTCTTATAGCTCAACAACAGACAGGAGGTCCGTTTCTTTGTGCTAATCTGTTGGGGCATCCCGATCATTATACCAACATGCGATTCAAGACCTTTTTCTGGTGTACATTTGTAAACTATGTCGGTCAGTCACAGGTTGGAACTGGTGAAACTGACATATTAGCTTCAGAGCATGTTGTTATCAGCATGACGGACAGCGATGTAGTTCCTATTACACGAATAAATGATTATATTTTTCGGCCCATGGTTTTTGAATCATGGACACTATATGATTATCTGCGTAGGACTGTTGTTAAGCGAATCCCTCATCGACTTGCAGGTGTACCTGATGCCGATCCATCAGCACCGAGTGTTGTTTCGACACTGGATGAAGGACCGGATGATGGTGAAGAATTGTTAGATAACGACGAAGATAACGTAACTCCCGCACGACACACCTTTGTAAATGGCCATCCGTCACGACTTACACATGCTGTACATGTTTTGCAGTATCCAAAAATATTGAACTTTGTCGGAGGTAGTTTACCTAGGCGTGATAAAGGCGATTTGAACGAGTACAGCAAGACTGTGCTTACGTTTTTCTCTCCATGTGGATGGCGGAATGGAAAGGATATTATGGGTGATCGGTGCACATGGAAGGCTGCGTTTGATGCAACTGTATTTGCATCACATCGTGCACGAGTAATGGATCATATGAACATGTTGTATGAGTGTCTGGATGCGTGTGACGATTATTCTGCTATTTGCTGTGCATTGGCAATGGAGGACCGTGGAATTGCTTCATTTGAAGACAGTCTTGCAGATGTACTAGAAGAAGATATTGAAATGCAGCGTTCGACACAGTTTGCGGATGGTCATATATTTGACTTACTTCAGGTTATGGAGGGTGTAGGCACTAACACTGCAAAGATCCAAATGCATATGTCGGCTATATCTGCATTATTAAACAACATTTTCGTGCGGTCTCCGGTCGAAGAGTCAATGGAGTTAGAAGACAATGCCCCTCATACCTTTCAATATCGTACCCCTGCGTGTTGGAAGGCTGTAGTTTGTAATGCAAAAAATGCTGTCATCGCAGCATGATTGCGGCAACGCAGTATGCATGATGTCTCAAATGAACCACGTGACTTTCCATCTGCCATACGTCCAGTTCACGTTGGTGAATCTGCCGGAATTGTGAAAATTGTCAGTGCTTTTGATTCTTCTATGTCGACTTGCCTCTCCCCTTTGATACGTGCACCTTAGGATGCCGCATTACTACTGCTTACCAGAGTTATCAAATATTTCTCTCTTAACGATGAACAACAGTATGCATTTGTTCTTGCTGCTCGTTCTCTCCATCACCATGAAGATGACCCATTGTGGATGTATCTGGGAGGTATGGGAGGTACTGGAAAATCGCGTGTATTACATTCCTTGATGTGTTTCTTGATTGTTCGCGATGAGGCTTACAGATTTCTCGTGGTAGCGCCTACAGGTAGTGCGACAGCTCTGGTGGGTGGAGACACTTATCATTCCGTTCTAGGTTTCGGGCGACAATACGATGGAACGAATGCTCCGAGTAAATCAACCAATACACTGTCAAAAATACACGAACGTGTGGCCAAAGTTGATTTGATATTTTTAGATGAGGTTTCGATGCTCTCCTGTACGGATCTTTATCATATATGTTCTCAGTTGATGCTCACCTTTTCAGATTTTGTTCATGCATTCAGTGGTCGTAGTATTATCCTCGCAGGTGACTTCGCGCAATTGCCACCCGTGGGTGCTAAACTGTGTCTCTACAGCAGTAAAGTCAATTCGGGCATTGTAGCTGAACGAGATGAAGATCAACAGGCAGCAATGAGAAAAGCCTTGTGGCACCAGTTTACCACTGTCATCATTTTGCGTCGCAACATGCGACAGACTGGTATGTGTATCGAAGATCAATTATTTTGGCGGGCATTAGAGAATATGCAATATAAGGCTTGTACGCAAGAGGACTTTCACCTACTCGACTCTCGGGTTGTCGGTCAAAGTGGCAATTGTCTGTCTCTCTCGGATGATCAGTTTCGGTATGTATCCACAATAACTGCATTGAACGCTCACCGGAATGCTATTAATTTATATATGAGTTCTCGATTCGCAGCAGATCACCGACGGACTCTGCACCATTTTTATTCTATTGATTCATGGCCCAAAAAATCCGCGATTTCGTCATCTATACGGCAGTCTCAATGTCAGAGTGATTGTGTATTGGACCCACCTCGTATGTCATCTTTTATTCCGAGGAAATTGCAAGAGGTGCTATGGAATCTTCCGCCTTGCTCCACCAGTAATCTTGCCGGTGTTTTGCCTTTGTGTATAGGTATGCCTGTTATGCTAAAAATGAATGAAGCAACCGAGTTGTGTGCGACTAATGGCGCTGAAGTGACAGTTGTACAATGGGATAGTCACGTGTCCAAACTGGATGAAGAAGTTCTCGACACTCTTTTTGTGAAGTTGTCTGATCCACCTAAGAGCGTTCAGATTGAAGAATTGCCACCCAATGTCATCTCGCTCACACGAGCCAAAACTAGTATTCAGTGTTGTTTGCCCGATGATTCTACTGTTCGTATTGATTGTGAGCAGGTACAGATTCTACTCAACTTCACGATGTCAGATTATGATTGTCAAGGACGAACGAGATGCAATAACCCATGCCATTTGAAACATAATGGCAGACATCAATCGATATACACTGTGTTATTCCGGAGCTCTAGCTTAAATGGTACACTTATTCTCGAAGGATACGATCGGACGAAGCTTCACGGCGGCGCATCGAGCGCTCTTCGATGGGAATTTCGTGAACTTGAGATGTTGGATTATGTAACGTGCGCACGATATAATAATGAACTGCCATCGTACATTTCAACTACTACTCGTCGTTCTGCCATAGATGGTTTGCAGAAATGGAAAGGTAAACACTTCGTCCCTGCAGACATACCTGTCATGTTGTCGTGGATAGATGTGGCTGATGATGACTTAGAGCTTCCTCCAGTTCCTCAACCATTTCGGATAGTGTCAAAAAAGGCTCAGTCACACGGTTCCCAACAACGACAACCACAATGCATGAACAAACGTAAAGCCAATACAAGTATGTTTGTTCCTGCACATGAATTCGAGACTAAACGTCAATGCACAACAGCATCCGCACTGTCACCTGGTTTTAATGCGTCAAATAATACGACGCTGCAAATTACTCGTATTGGAATCTTATGGGATGCCGATAATTGGAGCTGCGCATATGACTCGGTGCTCACTATACTTTGGAATATGTTTGTCGATGCAAGAATCGATCGTCTTCGTCTCCCCGACAATGTATTTTTCATGGATACTTGGCGTGGCTTTTCTGGCATATCTGATGGGGAATTGTCACTCGAAGATGTTCGAAATCATTTGCACAACAGCTTATTTCAGTCTAACACGGTACGGTTTCCTAGATTTGGCCCCGTCCTCTCAGCATTGACTGATATCGTCGAATGCCTATTTCACTATGCTCAACCCATTGGGTCCCAAAGTTCATGTTGTACTTCATGCAGATATGTTCTACCACTGTCTACAACTGACTTCATCTCGGATACAGTGGTGGTCATTCATCAGCAATTACTGAGTGATAGCCATGGTACTCCTCCCTTTTCTGTCACCTCTATATTGCGTGCCCACTGGCTAAATAATTCTGACCGTCGATGCACAATGTGTGGATCAATCGTGTCTACTGTAATCAATTTCTCATTTGCCCCATCCTTCATTGTCGTCGAAGTACAACCTTTGATTGATGGTACATTCTTGCATTCACTCTCCATTGATACTACATTATCGCTCTTACTCGGAGCTACATGCTACAACTGGCGACTGGTCGGCATTGTTTATTTAGGTGGTAGTCATTTCATAATTCGATATATCACGATGGATGGAGGAGCCATTTGGCTGCACGATGGTGCGGCAATGGGCTGTCAATGTTTACGCGAAGCCAATAACGCAGAAAATATAGATTTCACGTGTGCGATAAACAAGCGAGCCAGTCATTTATTGTATGTACTTGTCTCCTCATGCCACCTCTATATTTGCCATGGTCGATCCTGCATGACTGATGGTATATATCAACATGTAATACATAATCCGTGAGTTGTGTTTCTGAAGAGGTATGTCGAAACTTCTTACCAGCATAAAAGCAGCTTCAGCTCGCATTGCGCGTTTACAATGCTATTCCCGAATGGCGACATTGTCTAACTGTTCGTGTACATCTTCATGTTCGTTAGAGTATATGCTGTTTCACCACAGACCGCACTGTATATGTCTCAATATGTGTTTCAGATAGAGGACGGAATGCGTGCGAACGTGAATCACCTTCGCAGACGGGTATACAAAGTATCACTATGCGACTCCATAACATCTTGCTCGTGAGTGGATGTATACTGTTCCTCATCTGCTGGGAGTATATCACGGGTAACTATGTCGGTCTGAGTTGCGTCCCTGGCAAAAGGCAGGCATGATATAAACAATGGAGTGAACATTGATGTTGCATTGTAAAGGCTGATTGTTATCCTCAGTAAATATGGTCACCTGTGTTAGTGTGAATACATCTCTGGACTTGTCTGGTGTCTACATCTGACATTTTGTGCCTGATGACAAATGAGGTGAATAGATGCGGTTTGGCATGCACGTGATCGCTCCCTATTTTGATGATTCTTGGGCCACAGCTGCAATGCAAGTCCTTTCTATCTGTCGTTCACAACGTATTGTTCAATTTATTATCCGTGAATGTGTGCGGTTAGGAAGTACAGTCCTGCTTACATCTCATTAATTTCATTGCACTAATCACTGTACCACTAGATTGACAGAAGACTGTATTCTCGATATATTGTGCTTCTGCGACATATGCTCAATTGTGGCCTGGGGTTCTTCCCACATTGTTCCTCGTCGTCTCGTGTCGAATTATCTGAATAATCGGTACAACGTCGGATTGGCCCGTTTTGTCGACAATCCCAATGGGCTTCGCACCACTTTGCATATTTCCCAGTCATTGATATCCGGCTCTTTCACCATCAATTTCTTGGATCCAGATGGCACATTCGTATCCAACGATCTAGATATCTATGTGCCTGTTGGATATCACCTGTGGTTGACATGCTACCTCATTGAGGTCGAACATTATGCATTCGCAGAGGACGCAATTTGGCTGCCGTACACGTTAGGTTTTGGAGTGGACAAAATTGTCCACCTTTGATGCGGATATCATCGGATCGATATTATACAGAGTGCAACACAAACAGCACTTTATCCTTTGGCTTTTTTCTGGACAACTGCCGTTATGAATTATCTCACAGCAGATGGGTTCTGTTGTGCCTATCCTGAGCTTACCCTTCGCCGTCGCGGTCTCTTGAACCCAACCTCTCTTTTGGATTTCTATTATCCACCACCTCGTATCCTCGACTGTATCAATAAATATATACACCGTGGCTTCCAGTTCTGAATGTACGACTTCACATGGGGACGCGACGATAACATCAATATCGAATGTAATGCATCCTCTGCATGCCCTAGCTCTGTACGTTTCTTCGGAGACAGTGCATGTTTACTAGGATCGTTCTCCGAGGATTCTGAAGCAGAAGAAGAGGACATTGTCACACAGCTTGCTTTACCCAACTTATTGACTGTCGTATGGTCTCGAGGTGGAAGAGGGTGTGGCGGCCACTGTGAAGTGATAGAAACTACGCCTCCGTCTATGTATGTAGTTTCTTGTTTCAATTTAATATGAATTCAATATCGTATTCAACTCATTTCTGCATTACGCTGTTGGTGCAATGAGTACGAGGATTCTTCCGAACTGACATCAGATATGGAATGCTGTTTAATGCTAAAATCGTGCTCATACATTATGCACCTCATACGTTGAGTTTCTATGTGATCGCAATGAATAGCATACGTGCAATGTAAGTCGTTTGCAATCTGATCTTTCAGCCACAATGTTAAATTCATCTGAATCCGATGATAATACAGCCAATGGATGAAGCCCTACTGGCATTTGAATGTTACTTTACCTCGCACATCTCCTTGCATATCAATTTCTATCAGGTACACGGTATGGGTCATTTCGCGCCACCTCTTGCGCTAAATGAATATGACATCCCTAAGGAGTGTAAGGCAAAGGTAAGCTGTACGATGATAGCATAAATGACAAAGACTACATTGTAACCAATCAACCACAACTCGACAGAATTGGTAACCCGGCTTTGCGATTCTGACTGCATTTGGATAAAGGGGGCATACACTTACTATAAAAATGAACGCGAAACACCTCTGCACTCACGTCCATTCTCGCTCGAACAGCAAATGAACCCCTTTCACCTCGCGGCCTCCGTTCACAGGATCTTTCTCGGCACCGTTCGGCTCGAGCATCTCACGCGTGACGCTTGTGGGTTAGGTGCTCACAGACTGTCGATTCATCAGCCTTTCTTCGTACGCTACATAGTTGTTCAGTACAAATGGTGTCTTCTATATGGTATGTATCCGTCTCACTTCAATCAGCGTTATGCTGATATTATGTTGAAGTGTTTATGAAGACATAGAGGCTGAAATCATTTCATACCTCGACCTTTCCACCCTTCTACTGTGGCGGAGACTTAGTAAATGGAGGACAACTCTCGTTCACCATGAATTCAATTGCACACTACTTGCCCTCTTATCCCCTTTCATTGTCAATCCGCGATCCTTCGAGGCCTGTTTAGTCCGGACCAGCAGTGTTATCACTGGACACGGCGCACTATGGTTTATTGACCATAACATGACATCCTTTCCGATGTGCTTGGATATTTGTGTTCCTCGCACAAATATGCGCGTAGTGCATTATTTCCTTACCCGCCATATGCGAATGACATCAATAGCTGTATCCACACAGGAAGAAGAACATTTTTTGGCGAGGGGTTGTACATCCATCAAGAGGTTTCTAACGTCGACTGGGTTCCTCATTAACATATTATGCAGTGCTTCGGAGTCTGCCCTCTATCCAATTACCCACTCCTGGACAACGTTACTGATGAATTATGTCGCGCCCAATAACTTTGGCTGTGCATATCCATCACTCACTCTGCTTAATCGCGGTATCCTCATCTCCCGTGTCTTCAGTGAACATGAATACATTGCACTCGCCCAATATCTCACACAACAATATCAGTTCGGTTTCCATTCTTCAGATTGGACTGATACCCCAGTCAAACATCCCTGCCGTACTTCGTGGTCTTGCTTCCGACATTATCATGAATTCGGGGACCGTGCCAGCCTTGTTCTTACGTTTGATGGATCCCATGCCATCCCGGCTGAATGACCTTCGACCTTTTTGCCATTGTTTGGCATACGATGGAGGTTTTTTGGTCCTCCCTGTGATCGTTTATGTCTACCATGCCACCAATCCAGTAAATGGACCTTCACGATAACAGATAGCTACAAGAACTATGATGACATACTTGATGATGATGCGTAGACTCGACTGGTATTTGCTTTGAATGCTCATCTACGTTATATATGTCTAATCATCTCGTGTAGAGAATCGACCGAGAAAACCATTTATCAGTGCAATATAGTAATCAATATCGATATACTTGAATTCGCTACTTACCACAGAACTAAACCCACTTACTGACTCCAAACATACTCCTTCATTTTTCCTCTTCTGCCAGCTCACTGGTCTCACCGTCACTCATATCCTCATACAAATCTTCAGCATCACTCATTAATACATCTGCGTGTTTGTTGATATTGACTCCAATCCTAGACGATTTCGTCGATGCTTCAGAAGTTATCAGCTGTTGTCGTCAATGTACCGTGCTATAACACATACCTTCCATGCTTGCATTACACTTATCCTCCGCAAAATGAATGCTATTTTCTGAAAGACCCAGCCCCGATGGAGCATACACCACAGAGACCGATTTCTCCTCTTCGTCGGCTGATCTGGCCTAAAGTGCCTTCTTCAATCATGCTCAGCCACGTGCGCAATAACCCATACAACTCATCATCATGAACTCACCTCACACTCAATGCTCGTTTCCAATCGGAGCACTTCATACATCACGAATTGAACTTATGTCTCCTTACAGTTTCCCCTTCGAAGATGCACCACCTCGACGAATGCCGATACGTCCACAAAATCACCGGTGTTTAGTATCATCGGGGAGCATAGGACTCGATGACCTTCGGTGTCTAGGTACGCAGTTGTGCCCACTCTCCAACGATGACTAATCTTTTTCGCGGCCATATACCATTGGTCGGATCGTTCCAAGGCACTTTTGACATCTGAACGTCCCGACGACAACTATAGTTGACATTATATACCAACCACACGCTTTAAACAGTTCATCTACTCACCTGTGTAAATACCCGCTGTTCCAATTTTATGGCAGAATTCCTCAAATGATGGTCCTTGCTTGCACCTACCCCGAGAGTACGCAATACAACTTTCTGAATGTTTTGCAAGGTCTTAGTCTGTGCTTCAAATGCATCTGTCACATGTTTGGGATGCAATGTGAGAGTTTGCACTGCTCGTGGAGCATCTTTCTCGTGTCTACAGTGTATGCGATGTTCAATTCTATCGAGCCTGAAAATACATGCACACTCACCTCGTCCAGTTTCCCACCGCACCCAAACTAAATTCTCCCAAAAATCCTTGCAGACGAATGGTGACCGACATCTTCACCCTATTGTTACTCGCCTCAAACACTGATGGGCAGTACAACAACACATGATTGCAGTGCCCTGCATCATCTTCTTCTGAGTCGACATATGCCCACTTGCACAGCCGCTCCAATCTAAGTGGAATTACCCGCCACGGAGCGAGCGTATCCGGATTTATATGTTGCATATTCGAATCATAACGAGGCAAATATTCCGGAAACATGTCGTGCGCCATCTTTCCGTTACCATCTATGGTTGACCTCGTTGCTCAATAACATAGACAGAAATATCGGTGAGTGCAGGACTTACGCTGAACGAGCGACATCGTGAGCACAAAATGAATCCTAACGAGGTTCTTGGGGAGGTGGAACCGCACACACGGTTATTCATCCCTGTCTCTTTCGTTTATCATCCCATCCAGAACACAAATAGCCGTAATCATCGGGCCTCGAACCTCACGGTGTGTATGCTATTGGTACATTGCTTGCTCCGCTTTGATCCCGTTAACAAACATTAACGCAGGACGTATACTGAAACAGGATGGTTTGTGACTCTTATAAATTTCGACCAATTTCCTTAAGTTTCTGCATAACAGAGTTAACGACCCCCGTCTCTGCCCCACGTTTTGCTACAAGGCGCATCACCGATAATTCTCAACTTCGCATCTGTGCAACGCGATGGATTCCATTGATGTTCGAGTAACCCACATTCTACACGATGTAGTAATTCCAGTCTCCCCAGATATACTTGCCCCATACGTCATTTCATCTCCATCGTAGTGGCTATTGAATGCCCTGTTAACCTTTCAGACTTATCCACAACTTTCTCTTCTTTCACAATCTGTCTAATAGCCAATACTCCATTAACACTGTTCCGCCCAACGCCTGTTATGCTCGCACTGCTGCTGGAACTTACTTCTCTGTAAATGGCAATGCCCTCACCGTATATGCCATTGGCACCATCCAATCTCTCCGAATCCAAGCTAATCGGTGTGATTTTACAATGAAACTGCTCAGCAACACTGATTCGCACAAGTTGTCGCAAATATTGGGTACGTCCTCTTCAATTCCAACGTCGTATTTTGATCATAGTCTTGCCAGATCATCCGTCAGCAGACTCTTTTGCTTTCACTTGTGACAATGTAAGACCTCTATTTGTGCCTGTTTCCGCATTCATACACTGACCACCATTTACCTAGAATTTGGTCACCTTCCTCGATATCACCGCCGCTCACCTCCTAAATCACTCCCTCCGATACCTATCTCCATCCGCTATCAAAATAGGAGACTTATGCTTGTTTTATTTCCTCTATCCCATCCCCCTCATACTACGATACATATCGAATCCGCGGGTGTTCTACTAAGTATGCCACACACTGATTGAGGGTGTCTACACTATTCGCTATTGGCATGCTATAGCGAAAATGCCATGTTAATATGCTCGGCAAAATCCATGTCTCAGCTTCCCATACACTGGCTCCTGCTCCACAATCTTACCCACTTCACCGAAGATTTTCAACCACCTAGACCACTGTAACCCCTATCTCATTTTCATGCATAGGTGTTGCTTTCCACCCTATGAACTCGGTTCTCCTCGTTGCTTGTACAATCATGCCTAAAAAATGCTCAGCTTCTGATGCTGCCATGGACGACCGCGCCACGAAACGGTAATGATATAACCCATATTCGAACTTTCCTGACATCGCGTTCCTAGCCCTGCCACTCAAGCAACCCCCAGTCCTCCGTCGGCTTCTGTTTCCAAATCTATCACTCAGAATCTTACAACAACTACATCAAATGCCTCTTCAGAAACTTTACCTGACGTGTTCATCGACCCCTCCTGCTATTATCTGTATGCTACTCATAATATGTCTAGGCTGTTATCTGACATCGTCGAGCTGACACCTCCTCGCCTCAGTGAACGATCAATCAACAGTCTATGCAATTGGGAATATAGTCATCCGTTATCCCAGTGAGCCTCTCTATTCATTTAAAATATGACATACTGATCGTACTTACCTTATAGACAAATTCGGAAGATGAGCAAATATAATAGTGGATCCACCGGACATTTCGGCATTACATGTGTCCCTGAAAATGCTAACTGGGGCCCGTTTGGCTCTGACAATGACCTCCAGCGGTTCCTGTGTATCGATAGCAAACCGATTATGATATGGCTTGTCGGCGAAGTTCAAAGAACGAACGCATGCAACGGTTACAGTGCGCCTAGCCGCCTGAGTATCGGTATTTATCCCGTAGTCGAAGGCGATGCCCACGTGGCTGTACAACTACTCGAAAAGTATGCGTGTGAGAAAAATCGTACGTTATTTTACACCGCCTCTTCCTACACTACCATACTTCCTCTACTCATAGGACAATCCATGGATATCAACCCGATTTGGGCCAACAAATATATGGAGAAAACGTTAAAAACTGGAGAAAAACAGGTACCTCTTACCCAGTGCACCAACATCCTCACTAATTCACCCCCTAGGCCACACCATTCAAGGACTCCTTCAATGCCATGGAACGTCTTGGCCCAAAAAATCAGATGCAACACTAGCCAATATAAGAGATCAGCGTCAACGACCTTGTTTTACTGTAATGCAATTTGTGCCGCTGGAGAGTCAACGACGACGGCAAAGCTCTGTACACCGGACCATGGAAATATTGGCGAACTGCCTTTGAACCGCTTACCATCAACATGCTCAATATCGGCCCTGAACTCGAACAAAAGGAAAGAGTAACGGAGGATATCAACGATTTCATTTGATTTTTATATCTGTATTTTATCTGTATTTTGACCAATGCATGTATTATTCCTCCAACCACTGTAGTGAAATCGGAACTGGCGTGCGGACGCAGCGCCAACTCTCCACAAGTAGCCCTGTTGCGGTTGGTATTCCTCTGTGACATGTGACGTATAAGTGAATCTCTGAGTTCAAAGCAACGTTTAGATCGACCCGGGACACGCGAACCTTAAACGTGATGTGTGACGCTCCGCCTTCACCGAGATAGGCGCCCGCGCACATTTTCAAGTGTGCTCAGTGGTGTTCGCGCTGCAGAGCTGTGCCCGTCCCATTCATGAGCCGGAAATTTTTGCCTGCATGTACAGGGGTATTGTAGCGTACAATCTATAATTGTTTTCGATTTTCTGAGGGCACGAAAGGCCGGAGATTCGAGTAGAGGTGTCTCTCCCAGCCAAATTACCTAAAGATATTCTACTAGCCGAGCCCGTAGCGGTTCTCGGGCGAAATCGGCATGTCCCACGTAGACTATCGCGCCTGAGCTTTACATGGGACATGCATTTTTTGGCTGGCGGGCCAGCGGGCTGCGTGTCCCAAGTCAATTTTCGATTGGGGGCATTCATGGGACACGCAGCCCGATATGGCAATCCTCCACGAACATATTCACTTCGCTGAGCGCGAGAGCGCCCAATCAGTGCCGGCGTGGTGCCTGCCGCCCGTCGGTTAGATGGCGCGTGCACCACGGCCATCAATTTCGACGCCCCGCCCCTGCCGCTCGCCACCCCGCCCGCCCGCCCTTGGTGGGCGCACCATGTGCGTGTCCCGGGACATGCATCATGTAAGTGACTTTCCCGATATGGGCACGCCGCGTGTGTCCCGTAGAAACAAAGCTTGCCCTCATTTCTTTCCTCTCCTCCTTTCGCGCAACTGATGGCCTTTTGTTAATGTCCAGGGCCCAGGCAACTTGATGCGATCAGCTGGACTCCAGGCATACTCGCGACCTTCGAGTGGCGTCTACTGAGCATACGCAGGCATTCGATTAGTCCTCTTACGGTAGCTTCTCTTTTTTTCTTTCTCGGACACTAGCAACTTAACTGTGTGCTATCCCCCTCCCCCAATCCTCTACCCCTATATTGACCTTGTATGTCGAATCGACAATGTTGATTTCATGTTTAACTTGTGCATGATGAACTGAAGTTCGATACCTAGGTAAGGTTGACTTGGGCACTTGGTGCTCTGGTCCTGCGTAGCACTGCCGACGGTGAGCACGAGGATCGCCCAACGGCACGCACCACACTGCTGTTCAAGAAAGACTGCAGAATAGAGAAAAAGGTGTGGGTGGGTGGGGACAGAAGTGAAGCTTGAGAGCGCGTAGAGCGCGAGAGCTGGTGGACGCGGAACAAGAACCAACTGTGACTCTGTCACATTCCGCGTCCTGTCTATGCTGTCACGAGTCGTAGAACTCGAAGGGATTCTCACGTTCGAGTTCTCTCAACTCGTGCCTTGCTAGCAGGAGCTGTGAGTAGATAGAGCAGCTCGAGCCCAGCAGTGAGGTGCAGGTGATGGGTGAGACCAGGCCGAAGCCTGCTCCCAGATACCCCTGAAGGTGTCTGGGGGCCTGGGGGTGTGCCGACGGTGAGCACGAGGATCGCCCGCTAACCACTTCGCCGTCGCGATTCGCTTATTTTTTGTCCTTCACACACTTATTAACTTCTTCTTACGACTTCGCTCTTACGACTTCACTCCTATGTAAGCACCATCGTTTACCGGGATTCGATGCCGAGGCTGACGATGTTAACTCCCAGGTCTCAGGAATATCATCTCGGACAAAGATATACGTCGCCCGACTATGCTCGACTAAGACGATCATCGATACGGGACCACGTCCCTTTCGGCAACAAGTTCGGCACCTTCTCCTCTAAAGACGACTCCCCGCTCGCAGTGAGGCAATCAGCCAGTTTCGCACGAGCACTGCACCACGCGTTCACCTCAGCGAGCTCGACACATTCTCTGAATAAACTTCTTTATCTGATACAGTCTTCTGTCGTCGAAGTGAATATTTCCAAGTCGTAGTTCCGTTCCAACATGATGTTGTTATCCGGCTGCATTGCGATTGCACAAAATGCAGCCCGTATTGTTTACTTCCAGTCCTCCATCACATTCCAGGGTGATATACACGAGATTCTACAATGTCAAATGCGAGCTGCTGCGATCTCTCCCTTAATACTCTCCGGCGTTCGACAGGCCGGTCTGGGCCCTGTGATGAGCATCCCGCTTGGCCTTCTCCTTATCGATAAAGTCGAGCTGGTGGAGGTATGAACATCAGTGGAATCACTACATCGAAGACGGAGGACAACTTACACCTCTCGTCTCGACGAGACGGTCGATGAAGCCTCCTGTCAGGGCGGCACTGCGCAGAGATTAGAACAACGCTGGTTGCTGATACTTGTGAACGCACAGGAGCTCAGTTGCCTCCTTGTGGTTGGCAGGCTTGCCATTCGCCTCGCAGTGCTTCTCGTAGGCCTTAGCAGCCTGTACCGTTGTACTTAACAGACGATTCAACTCAACGTCACAGGGAAACTCACCTCGTACGAAGCAGCAGCGGCAATCACCTCATGAGAAAGATGCGCCTGGTGGCTGCCCGTAACCTGATACCACTTCGTTACACTAAGGGTCACAGATATAACACTACCACATACCTGCGCGTGCGCCCTAGCCTCTTCGCCCTCGTGGTGGAAGAACGGCATTCTGAACTGGTATAAACGGGTGTGTAGAGAAGCGGGGAATAGCTGATGAAGCTGAAGAACGGAGAGATCAGCTTTATATAATCCCTCGATCGGGCAGTACAATTACGAGTCGGCTGGATTGGGATGCGTATCGATGCCCTATCGCGACGATCTCCCGAGCAAATGTAGTAGAATCCCAGCAACTCAATATCAAAACGCACGTGAAGTAAATATCTCGCGTCATAGGGACCTTCGTTTGGCTTGGCAATCGGATCCATGGATACAAGGGTTCGCCGGTATCGCCTCGCTGATGACACTGAAAGCTGCGCAGAGCAGTGAACCCGTAGGCCGCCTACGAAGGCCGACTGCGCATCGTGAAACAAGTAGAGAGAGCGCAGCAAACTCAATTGTTTAGTAGGTGACCACAGTCTATGCTTCTGCAGAAATTTGGCGAAACAGCAACACTATCGAACATATATACTTTAGACGGAAGCATAAGTACAGGCGGATTAAGGGTAGCACCAGGAGAGAGCGAGTTGCTGGGTCCAAGCTATGGGGATCTAGGTAGTGGGATACACGCAAGCTGCAAGTACTTCGCGAAGTGACACCTAGTGACACGAACGGATATACATGTTGCTTGAGCGGTGCTTGAGCGTCGTGTGCCCTGAGGCCTGAGGGACCGGTCGCTACAGTCTCCCCCAGCTCAGAGTGTGTATCGGGACCATCAGCGTAGCAACTGTCCATATCAGGGACGGCTCACGTTCATCCAGAGTGCGGGATTCACACCGAGGACCACCCAACCGTGGTGCCACATGAGGCATGGGCTCGGTGCGGAGTCCCTTGATAAACGTTACTTCAACCACGGCGGTATGCAGCATGAGGATTAGGTATTAAAACCGAAATGTCAAATATTGTAAGTGGAACAGCCGCGACGTGTACTTGCTAATGGTGAAGGGGAGTGAAACCCAGCTCGCCACCCATGCACACTACTACATATGTAAGACAAGTAAAACTGACGCACCTCTGACGTCCAGTGTAACTGCGTCGCGGCAGGAACAGAGTTGCCACCAAAGGGCCGGGACCATAGATTAATACTTCTTCGATGTCTCGGCGGCTGTCAATGAAGCACAAATACAGTCTGTGAGAGAACGCGATCGACAGAGAAAGTATTCGCCTTGAAAGTAGGGTGAAACGGTTAGTTTGGAATGAGAATAGATGGTAGATTAGACGGACAGGAACCGCAAGCGGTAAAGAATTCTCAAAACATGCTTAACGCATTGAGTGACCCAAATTACTGCACGCGGAGGTGCGCACCGAGATATTGCAAAGACACGTTAGAACTGACTCTGTTCGTCCTAGTAGCAACATGGACAGTCAATACCATATATCCAAACGTATGCACACATCTCTTTACCTGTACCACCACAGCTCTGAAGCACCTGTGTCAGTCCTCGGCATGATGTTTGTCCAATCGTTAGCGGCACGCCTGCCGCAACCTACTCCGGTCACGGTGTTCGCAGTAAACCCGGGCCTCTGCCACTCGCAGATACTGCGCGAGGCGATCGAGAGCCCCGTAGTGAAGCATCTGACGGCAGGGTACAAGGCGATCCTCTCGCGCACGACCGAGGTTGGCAGCCGGACACTCGTGCATGCGGTGACCGACCCCAATGAGCGTACGTTCCACGCACACTATGTTAGCACATGCATCGTGGTGGAAGAGAGTGACTATTTGCGGACAGCGGAGGATAAGGCCCTTACGGAGAGAGCTTGTTTTCGGGAGCGTGCTGTACTGACCATAGTTTAGAACGAGACTTTGGAAATACTTGAAGGGATCGATCCTAGGGTGAAGCAATTTGTTTCGGAGTATCTATCTTCTCTAGTAGACCACTCGGCCTAGTCGCTTCGTTTACCTGCAAACTTTGTTAAATGATACCTTCTTACCCGCAACAGAAGACCTTCATAAGACGTTCTTGGAATGCGCAGAAGTCCGCAACAGTATTACTGTGCTTCGCCTGCATGTCCGATAGCCTTATTTGCAATTCGAGAGTGCACATTCCGATCATGCTTCTGTTCCAAGCCTGCTTCGGCTATTTGGGCAGTATTGATCGTCGTGATGCCAGCAGACTAACAAGCACAGAGAAATAGCGCATGATGGATGGGCTATTATGCTGCATTGCAACCTAGAAAGTACCACAAGAGACTAGCTGGCGGGTTCCAATAGGTACTGTTTGACGATCTGCTTCACTTTGGGATCGATCTGCTGAAGCACCTCTACGGTTTCCGCCTATGTAGGGACCAGGGGTCAGCTGTATGAGAGTACATGCAAGTGAACCGAGTATGCACCCATATTTCGTCTGAGAGCTCCCGTTCCACATTCCCTTGCGCAGTCAAGAGGCCACGACGTTCCCGCCGCTGACGTTGTGTCTGTAGAATGTCTCCTGGCGTGTACGGACGTGCGGCTGTCAATCGTGTGTGTGAAGAGGGCCTTGACACGAGCAGTCCCTTCGCCTCGCGGAAGAGCTGGTAGTGGCAGGAGCCCCGGTCGAGGGCTATCACTGTCACAGGGGTGGGCTTTGGCAGGTCCGCGCTCACCATCATGGCCAGGACTGCTCACGGGCGATGATATCAGCGAAGGTGATCGAGGGTCGACAGAACCAGAGAGGGGCACGTTTCGACATCAAGTATCTCTTCGCCATGTTCCTGGAGAGTTCGGCGAGCTTCAACTGTATAGGACATCTTCAACATCGGATGTACTGCTCGCAATACTTGGGACCAATACCGCCAGAATCTTCGGCCACTGTGTCACCTTGGTGAAATAATACGCATCGATTGAGACAGTGGTCAGGGGTGATGCAGATCCAACCATGACGCCTTGATGAGGTTAGGAAGTAGGAGGATGCTCAACAGAGCTGCAGACTTCGCTATTTTCCAATTAGCATGCACGGTGACATAGAGGCTAATCTCGAAGACCTACCAAATCTCCCAATCGTCCGCAGTGGATGCATAAATACAGCGTCTTGGAGCCTTACATCTCCCTAGATGGGGGACTTGTCGATGAACCGAAGGAAGCCAGATCCAGCAGACCAACTAACAGATTATGGCCGTTGGAGACGGGCTCGATCACTTAACGAACTGAATTAACGAAGATTCAGAACCAATGCTGCTCGAGTAGGTTCTTGCGTGCTCACATTTTCCGGCTTCTTCGCCCTTCTTGGCATCTCTGTTGGTTACCATGGACTCTAGCTGGGGAACCTGTTTTGCGGTTTCAAACCCGAGGCAAACGTTGGCACCAACCACGGCGACAGACTTGCCCCGTAGGCTCGTCGTCAGCAGGTAAACTTTCGAGAACTAAGTATTCACGGAAGAAGCGAGGCTCATCTTGAGATGCGGAAACTGGGTTCACCAGAGATCGACTCGCTCCCCACACTGTTGCACGTTTTAAGCACCTCGACTTCCTAACACCATGTACTATCCCTGAAGTTGGGTGAATCGCCGTCTCCAATCGGACCGAGATTGCCATCAGTGCTATCCAGATGGTAGAACCTCTGCCTCACTTCCAACGTAGTCCGTTCGAGCTGTTTGCCTGAACATTACGCCACCACGTACCTAACCTCGGAATGCCCTCGGAATGCTTTGGAATTTCTTTGTGACACCAGAGAACCATCGTGATCCCAAGTCGATGCTCTGCTCGCACTACGAAATTCCGATGTGCAAGGCCAGAGTGAAGTTGAAGAAGCGCCTTGGAAGCGTCCTGCTTATCTTATCTGCGTGTTTTATCGATGACGGCGGGCTTCCGATGTCACAGCGGTCTCCTCCCGTTTTTATTTCCGGCCTGGCCATTGGGTGAAAAACTATTGCAGTTTATTCTCTCTATCGCCCCATGACTCCTGCGCGACTAAGTCACCCAGGCCGTTCTCTTGTCTGGACGAGATAACTTGTCTTACCATGACCGACTCATCCCAAGAGAAGATCCCGACGAATGTCGATATAGAGAACGACATCGCTGCACTCTCCCAGGTCGCCGAGAGGGAGAAGGATAATCTGCACATCTATAACCGCTGGACGCAGAAGTTACTCGTCTGGGGAGTAGAAGCGAGAGGTATGTTCTTGGACAAAGTTAACTGATTTGACCCATCTGACGCTATGTAGGTATCCTCCCGGTACCTGTTGAGCACCGGACTGACACCCAGTACCATAAACTGTTTTTCATATGGTTATCTGCGAACTTCAACATTCTATCGTGTGTCGATGTCCCTTTTTCGCACCAATTATGCTAAGCATAACGGTATAGGTTTTCCGCAGGCACTCTGGGTCCTGTTGTATACGGCCTGGGACTGAGAGACTCATGCCTTGTCATCTTGTTCTTCAATCTGCTATGTAGCGCTCTTCCTGCCTATCTGTGAGTAGATAACACATCTCCATTGATGCATGTTCTAACTTGACTGTCAGAACAGCATGGGGTCCGAAGCTAGGTTTGCGCCAGATGTGCCAGGCCCGTTACAGTTTTGGGTACGTGCACCCCATCCGATCAGTATAAAATCGCGTTCATGTCAATCTGTTCCAGTTTCTTTGGGGTTATTATCCCTAGTATCTTCAATCTTGCATCAATGTGTGGATTTTGTATCTTGAATTGTATTCTTGGCGGCCAAACACTTGCCAGTATCACTAACGGGAATCTCAGCTGGAGGTCGGTGAACGCCCTGAAACGTCTCGTAGTGTGAGTGCTGACATTGCCGTAGTGTAGGAATTGTAGTAATAGCTGTAGTGTCTCTTCTGGTACGTTTGATATCTCGTCATTCGAGGAGGCTGTCCAACTCTTGTCGAAGATATCATTTTGTGGTTACAAAGTGATTAATTGGTACGTTTTTGTACTTCTCCCCCCTGTGATGTCTAAGTAAACATGTGATAGGTATGAGCGACTCGCTTGGCTACCTGTCCTCATCAGCTACGTCGTAGCCCTCGGCTTAGGTGGCAAGCATCTATCGAATCCCCCATCGGCGGCTCCCGCAACTGCCCCAACTATCCTATCATTTGCCTCGACGATTGCAGGCTTTGTGATAACGTACTCCCCCATGAGCTCGGACTTCACCATATATTACAGACCTGACGTTCCAAGGTATTTCCACTATATTCTTCGGAAGTAAAAGGCGCTTACCTCATGACGTAGTTGGAAGATGTTCTTGTATTCCTACCTTGGATTCAACATCCCAATTGTATGCCGATTTTCGTGTTTCTGCATGTCATGTTATATATAAGTTGTCTCCACTAGATTCTCGTACAGTGTCTTGGTGCTGCCGTGGTCGTTGCCACACCATCCGTCCCAGCATGGGCAGCAGGCTATGATGGTGGGAATGTCGGTGGCCTATTGGAGGCCATGCTCAGCCCGTGTGGAAACTTCGGGAAATTCCTGACGGTGCTGCTTGCACTCAGTGTCACGGCAAATATTGCGCCGACGTTCTATTCGATGGGCCTCAATTTCCAGGTGTTTATCCCCGCCATGGTTGTCGTGCCGCGATACATGTTCGCTTTGGTTGCCACCGCTATGTACGTCTCCCTCGTCATATACCAGACGTCTTCAACCTGAGAATGTCTTTTGCGCAGCATTATCCCCCTGTCAATCATTGGCGCGCATACCTTCTACTCCACACTCACAAATTTCCTGGGGCTGATCGGATACTGGGCGAGTGCCTTCGGTGGCATCGTCTTGATGGAACACCTCGTCATCCGCCGCAACGACTTCTCCGCATACGACCTGCGCTTCTGGAACAATTGGCGCCACCTGCCGACGGGTCTCGCCGCGCTCGGCGCGTGCGCGCTGGCCTGCGGGCTGATCGTGCCGTCGATGGACCAGGTGTGGTTCGTCGGCCCCATCGCGAAGAAAACGGGGGACATCGGATTCGAGTTGGCGTTTGTATCAACTGCGCTATTCTACATACCCCTTAGATACCTCGAGTTAAGATTCAAGAAGCTGGTATAGACGATGGTCGCTATCGCTGGATATACTAGGAAGTTGCACGTACGATAGATGCAGCTAGAAACGTAGATGTAGCTAGAAACGTAGACTGGGTCGGAATGTATTGATCATATGCCACAAAATGACGGGGCTAAACTGTGCCGCTGGCTGTTACGTATCTTGTATTTCCGAGGGAGATAGACTGCAGATGCGGATCGTACATGAGGCCACCTCGTTTACCGCAGAAGTGAGATGGCCAAGATATTATGAAGTGCCGCGGAGCCTTCGTCCACGCTAAGACGTCTTCTCTTCCTATCACAAAACACAATGTAGCCCAAGAGGTGCATCCGATTCTCATACATGCGCATCCACACGTGCACTCAAGCATACACACTTCGGGTGTATCATGGCGAGAGGACACAACCGTAGGAGAGGATACAGAAGGGGATTCCGGGGGTCTAACACGATGAGATAATTCGGGATACCAATACCTGCCAATTATGAAGAGCAGCGGAAGGGGATACACGCTGGCAGAAATGGTAGGAAAAAGGAAATTTCCGCGCATCTGTATCGACGTGAATGAATATATAACGGTGAAAATACTCGTGCATCGCATAAATGCAATGTCTTTTGAGTGTCGAGTGTCGTGCTGGACCACAGCACTTACCACAAACTAGAACACTGAATCTGAATACTGGGGGGGGGGGGGGGAGTTAATGAGCTAAAAATATGTCGACATGTTCATTACTCACCTTCATTGCTATACAAAATGCAGTCCCGGGAAAGCGTGTCCCCTGATAAGAAGGGGTACGGTGAGACTCTAAGAAATACGTCACTGACGGAGGTCCTATGTCGAACAGATGTGATTCTTGCGGCACCTCAGAATATGAAGAGGTAGTTGTCTTCTATACGAAGCCGATGTATTAGCCGACGTTGCATGCTGGTCGTTGTGAGGTTTACCTCAAAAATCGTAGCCACATTCACTGCGACGAAAAGCATCCAAGTAATATCGGAAGAGCAGTCATGCCACCAAGGAATTTGAGAGACAACGTGACGCGCGAAGCCGTAAGTGAATATTGGAGTGGCCGAGTTAACTTAGGCTTCAAACGGGAACTCGGTGTCAAGTCTAGGAGAGTGAACACTCTTGGTATTTAGAGTGAGCCAAAGCAGGACACCATGGTTCGGGAGTGCGCATTTCGTCAGTCCAGGCAGAGCCCCACACAATGTTCGATATAAGGTCGCAAGTCAATGGCCGTACACATGTACGCAGAGGCTACTGACAGGTACTAACGTGATCAATTAAACAGAAGTGAGAGACGTCTGGAAGAACGACCAATATTTCGGGCTTCGCTGCGTGAGTCACGCAGTGGAGCTCATCGCCATAGCGGTGAATCTTCAAGCGAAACTCGGGAACTTATGTCTGTCCCCATATCAGTCGAGCATAGAGATTGAACGACGGCGCCAGCTTATGGGCATAGGAGCGTGAGCCAACAGGAGACAGCAGCTTGAATTGTGAGCTTGTGGACTTGGTATCGACAACAAGCCTCAGCGGCCAGCCGCTCTTGGTGGCAACTGCCAGACGGCGCAGAACTAAATTAGGCAATCGTATAGTTCCACCTCACCGGTGGCCGCCCCGACGGTGAGCCATGTCCAATGTCTTTGAAAGTCACAACGACATGTCGGCAGGAACATTGCTTCAGGATAACCCTGGATGAACCCTGCTTTACTGTTATGTATGACTCTTCTTGCACAGCCCGTGGGTCAACTCGGTCACAGGCTCGGGCATAAGTTGAAGGTCAGGTAGCTCTGTCGTCTGCTACTTACCATCCTACCCCTGCAAAGTATGACGACTTGCGCTAATTCAACATACTCCCCCCTTCCTGACGACGACGATAAGGAGAGCAACTCGCTGCTCGCCGTTCGTGATGGCGAGCAGGCGAGCCACGCTCCCGCGAGATGGTCTATCTTCGAAATCATCCTTGTCTTGGTCGTCCTACTCAACGTCGTCCTTGCTATGTTTTCTGCATATTTGGCCTTGATGAGCTTGAGAGCTTGGTTTCCGGAAGCTTTAAATGTGGCTAGTCTTCCTCGCCCGGACCAGTTCGTAGGCCTTCCCGGTGATCCTTATGGAACGTGTGAGTTCGATGGATCCACGTTACACGTTACCTCTTCCTTCTCCTCAGACTGCGAGATAGCGAGTGGAACGACAGATAAGAGTTACTAAGGGGCTTTTACGGCTGTGTGTGTAGGGGGTTGGTTCGCGATTAGCACACTGATGGTGAGTGCGGGCCCTCCGACGCGAGCGAAAATTGAACTGATTGAGAAAGTCAAAATTTTGTTCGAAGACGCGCATGTTGGCAATTTGTGTTTCAATTATAATCTTTCCCCTGCATCTCGCACCTCTCTTACTATTTCGACCTGCCGCTCAAAATTCTTAGCTCACGGCTGAGCCTCATTGAGCCGTAACATCTGTCGACTACCCCGCATTGTACATTCCATAGTTTTGATGGGTGAGTTTATGAGGAAAGTCCTCAACTGGAAGCGGCTAGTTTCGAGGTTTCTGTGACAGATGAATCCGAGGTCAGTCTTACGCATGAGACGCACGATCACACATTATTGCTCACTCCCTCAGCTAGGGTATACGTGGAAGATTTTCAAGAATAATACTCTAGGTACGATTGACCATGATACCCACTGTAGGTCGCGTGCGGCACAATGCACATTCGTGTGGGAGAAATACCGCATTTCGCACAAGTATTACTACTGCTGCCATTGCTAAAATCCACGACCAGGCGCCCCACCAAGCGCCTTATACTTTACGTCGAAAATCTCATATTCGCTCCGGACCGTGGTGTTCCTTCCCTCATCCATCGATGATGCTGCTCCTCGTCGATTATTGTCAGCCAAGCTCTGTCCTCTCCATTTAGCCCTTGCATGTAGGCAGGTAGTCCCTACTGCCTAAAACAGGGGGACAACGTTGGACAGGCATCTGCGTTCCGTGAACACTCTCGTCTCAGCGTTCGCATGCACACGCTCTTGTACGGTTGCGTTACTGGTTGTCGTCCAAGCATTTAGCTCCCCTTCGGCCCCGATATATGGTACACATCGCAGACATCCCTGCCGCTCCGTTCACGGAGATCATTCGTACACCGAACAGAAGCTTCGATCTCGAGATCATGTTTTTAAGAGGTGATACTGCTAGTCTTTTCTCCATGAGGTACGACAACATATATAATATATAACATACTGACGCGTACAGCGCGATTTCTCCCGCGACACTGTGAAATGCCTCCTTATCGGACCTTGTCAAATCATTTCTGAGACCGAACTCGAGCTGGTCGGTACGTGGGTATCAATCGTTGCTCTTAGCACCGCCACGGCACACCTATCTCACTGCACCCGGCCCGCCATTTGGAACGGTATTCGCAACTATTCCGGTGTGTGCGGGGTTCCGGTGTGTGTGCGGGGGGTGGGGGTGGGGATGTCGGGGGTAGGGGAGGACATCGCCGATATTGGCTGACTTAGCGTCTTGTACGGATCGTACACCTCGGACATGTTCTTGAGGTGTGTACGCCATGGTACGTGGGAAAACATAATATCCAAATATCCAAACGGGGCGGTGAGTGTACGAGAATGCAATCGCAGAAGTGAACCATATCACAGTAACTAACTAGGGCCCGGAACTAGGAGGGAGGCGCGAACAAAATGGACTAAAGGTATAGTACTCAAGATCGAATGGCGAGAAGTCCGTAAACAAAATTAGATCCGTGAACGAAGGTGAATGAACTAATAGAGACCATGAGATCAATCGCAAGGAGTGGTGAAGGGCGGATCCGAAATAAGACGCCTTTAGAAACAATGTGCAGCATCCGGCACTGCATACGGTAAGATTGTCGTGTTCCGCACGACACGAATCGAGGAAGGATGGCCGCCGCACGTCCAGCGAACGGTAGCGGAAGAGGTAGATACTGTAGAAAGGCGTCAGACGAGAAATATAACAGGAAATACATCACGAATAATTCACCGAGCTCAAACACGATCGAGCCCGTGTTTCTTCAGCTGGTGCCTCTTCAGCGCATCCTTTCTGCTAAACTTCCGATTGCATGCGTCGCATACTGCAGCGATCGAACGAAGATGCGACGCCGCTACGTGCCTGCCGAGGCTTCCCTGCTGCATCCTGCGTTTGCACAGTCCGTGCTCGGTGGGCCATCTGCACTCCACCTGCTCTTGTCGGCCGCAAATATGTGCATGCTTGATGTGGCGGTTGATGCCGCCTGCCGTAATGTCGTCCATTAGTACATCGCACTTTCCGTCCCAAGACAGGGCGTTAGGCGTGGGAGATGAGTCACAGGGACCGAAGGGGGTGCCGTGGTCGGATTCGGAGTGCAAGAAGTGAAAGACTGCGAAAATGGCTGTTCAAGGACATGGCGAGGAAGTTGTGGACCAAAAGCCGAGCTGAAGTTCGAGGGATAAGCTGCGCTCCCGTGAGAGTACGTAGGCGTTACCGTGAAGGCAGCAGGCGAGAGACCGTAGTTAGCTTGAGCTTGGATTACCGTCGCATGCGGTGGAGCTGGTTCGGCGGCGGGGTCGGGAGCCACGCACATGCTGCGAGTTTGAGGATTCCAAGTGTTACGCATGTTCGAAGAGAAGGGTGAGTGGTCCGACGGCGGGGGTTTTGCCATAGGAAAATGGCTACGCTCGGTCGCAGGGATACGCGAGAAAGTGGCAGGTGGACATCCACGCCGTGACGTGTCACCGGCGGGCATGTAGGGGGCAGGTCTACCATACAGCCGTCCAACTATTGCATGGGACGGCGAAGGTGCGGGGAGATTGTCGTCGTGAGATGAGGCGCCATTCGCCTGGATGACTTCAGCATTGGACATGTTGGGGAGCACCGAGTCCAAGATGTGAGAGTTGAGGTCGCTGTGGCCGATGAACCCGGCAACCCCCGCGGACGACACCTCGTTCCTACGCAAGACAAGCACCGATGGTCAGCTCGGACATGGACAAAAAAGAGGCCGGGACGTACCCTCGTCCTGCCAAGAGAAACTCTCTGGAGCAAGGCAGGCCCGACCCACTCCAGTCAAGTTCAATCGAAGCCATATCGTCTCTCGCTTGGGGAGAACACTCCACTGGACCATTCTTGTAGGCCGAGAAAGACTCATTCCACAAAGACGACATGAGGGCGTATTTTAGCAGGAGTGAGCTCAAATGAAGATGAGCAACTGCAGGTTGAATGCGTTATAACCTCTCCGAGCACATCGTGCAGGGCACAGGCTGTGGCAAGCAGCTGCTGACTGTTTCCGCATATGTGGGTACTAGACGGGTAGATAATAGCGGATGTAGACACAGATCCCATCCGGAGGAACGAATATTGAAGCAGGGTGTGCGGACAGATCATTATTCGGCGGTTGGCCATTGCTCATCATCGATCATCTCCAATGCGGTGACGCGGACGTGTCGTGATTGACGCCGTCGTTGGCGCTCATTATCTTCGGGAGTGTCCATTTTGTTCGCGCCTTCCTCCTAGTTCGGGGCCCTAGTTAGTTACTGTGATATGGTTCACTTCTGCGACTGCATTCTCGTACACTCACCGCTCCGTTTGGATATTTGGATATTATATTTTCCCACTGTACCACGGCGTGCACACCTCAAGAACGTATCCGAGGTGCGCGACATGTACAGCGACTGCGTGCCCAAGCACGCTTGAATTTGCCAATTCGAGTTCTTGTGAGATGGCGCCGCGTCAGCCAATATCACAGACGAGAACAGTTACGAACACCATCTCGAAAGGCGGGCTCGATGGCTGAACAGTCGGATGGGTGCGTCGGCCTGCTCGACTTCGATTATCGAAATCATCTGACAGTAAGCAGGTGCGTCAGGGGACGCGTTTTTCGCGTCGGTCGTCAGTATGTCGTTGATGGTTTATATTCTCGACACTCACGGTGAAAGGACTGGGTCATGGACCGACGAGCAGTGAGATACATACAAAGAATTTGTGAAGGGAAAGCACGATCTCGGGATCAAAACTTTCGCTGGCCATGCTCCTGGAACACTCCGCGCCACACGGTGTACCAGTACTTGATCTCCGCGGCGAGTGCAGCAGCGATCATGGATCGAAGCTGAAGAGCCAAATGCTTGGACTCATCACCACCTAGCCTGTAGAGGGTGAAGTCATGTATAACGCGAACACCGAGACGAAGCGAGAGTTTTCGCAGAGGGCAGATTATCTGTCCGACATCATCATCGCCCTATTTATGCTGGCCTAGGATATTCATGCAAGTGCTTGATCACCCCCAGTGAAAAACCCATCGTCGCGCTATAACGAAGTGTGATAGAAATGTAGCGGTCATGTGATCCCAGGGAAACGCGTCATCTCACTGCTCAGTAGCGGCAAAGTCGTGCTTGTTTTTCCCCAATCTTCCTCAGCATGACCACGGAGAGTGCAGAAGGCCAACCCCCCTTCTTCTGGTTAGAATCCTTATATTGCTTCCTCATGCGCTGAAATCCCACTAGGCTGTTTGACGATGCTGCCAGGTGTGTAATTTCGATGTGAGGAGGAGCTCCGAGTCGACCTGATGGATGTGTGTGTTATCGCTGGGCCGAGGCCTCTCAGCTCAAGTTATCATCCGCATAGCAGCAGTTCTACCCTGCGGTTGAAAGATCCGCGACAGTGATGGACCGGTATGCGACACCAATACATTTTTGGTATCTGCGCTAACAATGCATTTGATTGAAGACGCGCAAGGAGATAGAGACCCGGTGGCAGAATTTCAACGAGAGACACCAGGAAGAACGTGATACAGCTGCGGAGCTTCCAGTTCCTCGCGCAGGAGGGACATCGAGCAAGGTTGGTGTCGATATGGCACCTTGCATGGGTGGTTGATCGTTTCAGCCCAGGGAATATCGGGAAATCAAGACCAACTCAGGGACTTCCCATCCGCATGCCCGCCAACGTCTCCCACTCGATGGCATGTGCGACTTGGCGGTCATTGCCTTGACAGAACACGGAGCGCGACATGGGAAATCACGAACGGGACTTGCGTTGTGCGGATCCGTGCACTAGTGAGAAAAAGTACCGGCTAACGGACATCGTGATCCGGGGAAAAGCCTGCGCATGCCATCGACTTCCTCTCGCATGTCCAGCGGCGAGCTCATTAAACTGGTACGGGCGATCACCGCCTCTGAAATAAATCACCTCTTTCTGCTGTTTAAATTGCCCAGATTGCAGAAGATTTAATTTATCTTCGTACTGAGTTCCAGGAACAGTGGCACAAAATTACGTGGAGAGTCAACGGCTTCGACTCGGGTGGTAAGCCTGCTAGAGACTCAAGGATGATGCGTTTATCCGCTGGATCTGTTTTTAATGAAGCGACATGGTTTCTAATATCTTCCGGCACTCAGAAAACTGACAGCCACTCTCGCGAGATAATTCAAAAGATGACGATCAAAATCCAACCTAACCGAGTGGGACGCCGATCGGATACGAAGCTTATGGGCTCCATCCCCTTGTTGCCTGGGCTCAGCCTGGCTGTGGTGAGTATTCCTTTGGCTGCTCATTGCTCTAACTCATGCGTAGCTCATCGTGCGCCATTGACGAACGGACATCGGAAACACGAGAAGACATAACCTTTGCCGTTGAGATTTATCAAACAATCTGTCGGCATCTCTCCGATTGTCTTCGTGGCTGCAATACCGAATCTGGGAGACTTTCAAATCACAACCAGGATCTGCAACTGAATTTTAAGCGACAGTGGCAGTGTGGAGTTTTATGGTGATCTCACTTGCTGGAATTATTGCCGGGTCGGAACCTATACAGAACGCTATCGCCGAGTTCACCGGCGGGAGGGAGAGGATAGTCGAGGAGATATTTGATCTCGCTAAGTAGAGTTTTCTCAGCTTCATACCTACCTTCATAACTTGATATTCACGCAATCTAGATGTTGAGATGGTATAATAGGGTATAATTGGCCCGAGGGCAACATATGACGATAGAGTGAAATTTCTAGAGAATATGTCCAACCACGCGGTACAATGTCAGACGACGGGACGGACCTGCGGGGCTCCGACAGCTCTATCGCACAACTTGGCAGCTGGGCTTAGCGATGTCGTTCAACATGGATGCTACAGCACACTACGCAGAAGGGGAACTGCAACACCCAATACAGGAACGACATTGGCTGTGTTGAACAACGGCTTTACTAGGATTTTTCCTGGGTGATCTATACTTGCCGTCCCAATTCTTTCGTGCTGCAATAATCAAGCGTGACGTACAGTGTCGCCCAAGGCTGGTGGTGAATCGAAAATTCGTCTTCGCGATGAATAACCGTATGTGGCAGCGGTGCGAGTTCATGCTCAAGAGCTTCACTGTCAGACCCTGCTTCTGGATCAAAGCCGTAGCTGCATAAAGATTACGACGCCGCGTCAAACACAATCACGGTGGGAGGGATGTTTTCAGCGTGAAACAATTGCTGCGTAGACCAGTATGTAGACGGATCTGAAGACCGGTAAGTGGACGGAAGGGTCAGAACGTTGTAGTTGACAATGATGATTGTTAAGGCACAATATCGGACTCTTAGATATACGGAGGTCTTCCAGATGCGAGAGAACTTCGCTGCTTCGCGGGATGTTCAAAGCGACGAAGCTTAACCAGTCCGACGCAGAGTCCCATAATGGTGCCGCTGTTCTGGCGTTAAACATTCATTCAGTCATCGTCGCTGAGTTGTATGCGACGTAAATCCTGAAAGTAATTATAACGTCAAAAGAAGGGAACACTGATTACAGAGCTCAACCACGGTTGCTTAATTCAAGCATATGTTTTATGCAGGTTTCAGTTTCGGGAGTTGTTGTTATCTACATTTCGTAGTTTTCCTACTCAATATTGCCACACCTATGCAGTTACATCCAAGCACTTCGAACGATACCTATCTCACAGAACGTACCATGAAACGGTGGCCAATCCTAATCAACTCAAGATTGTATATGTCCGTTGTACAACGCTCAGCGTGATGCAGCTTCCATTCTCCTTGAAGTCGGCTACATTGCCAGACGGCGTTCCACTTGGGCAACGCACACTCGCACGCCAACCATTCGACGTATGTTCTGCCCAATGCCAGGAATTTCCCGTATCCCGTTTGTATATTGCCTTGGAGAACCCACGGCCCCGTACGTCAGTCTATCATAAGAGATTCAGTATCACTCCGAACGATCATGGTCTGAGCACAGACGCACCATGTGAACCTCGCATGCCCATCATACTATGTGCACCTTCAGTGGGTGTGGCAATGTGGAGTCCAAATAATCCATATGCGCATCATACTTGCCCGCTTCAAGATCCACACGTGCCTCAGGTTCGAACGGCGGATGACATGGCCCAGTGCTCTCGAAGGAGATAGGGAATGAAATGGTGCCCGAGTCATTGTCAATCGGAGATAGCGGACCGCGTGTCGGCTTAAACTGCAGGACACTTGGTGGGGTGACCAATGCCTGGTGCCGACGTTTCACCAACCGCAGGATAGTTATCACGGGCGGAATTGCCTATTAGTCGTGATTCTAGTGAGTCTGAGCAGGCGCAATGGAACTGTACAATTATCTACCTGCAACTGTCCTAAGATCGGAAGGAATGCCGCCTGCACAGGACTGTCGACCGCAAGGACAATGATCACGGCTACTGTGAGGATACTGTAGACCGTTTCAGATGTGGTGAGCACTGCCACTAGAGAAGTGCAGGTCGTTGGCCCAGTGAAGCTGTTCCAGATTCCGTGATACAGGTAGAGGACTCGAATGAGGATTAGGCAGGAGATGATCACGTTAAGCGAGAGCGACAGTGCCAAGAATGCAACACAACGAGGGTTGCGCACATGTGCCCGTAAGTCTAAGCCGAGGGCGGCAAGATCGGGTAAGAATGCACAACCAACCGCTGACTCTGGGATTTAAGTTTGCAAGTGTCCGAGATGGTGAGGAGCATACACACCTATCAACGCAACAAGCAGCAGAATGGACAAAAACCAAGCCGACCATTTGTGGCAGAAGATGGAACAGATCCGGTACAACTTTGCAAACATTCAGTGAATTGGAATTCTACCGATTGCATCGTATGCGTACCAGCAGCGCATCGACAAGCCAATTCATAACGATAAAGCTGAGATTGATTTGAGGAAACATTCATGCAGAAGAACATCTGTACTAACATCGAAGTCATAGCAACGTTCGTCGGGTTACCACTGTCTTGACTCAGGAAAGTGAAAGGGCCTCCTGGGCAATTCCCGTGATCTATGAAGACCACGATATCCCACTGCAGCTCTAAAGCCAAGCCGGCTGTGGCGAGGGAGAGAAGAAGGACAGAGTAGGCTAAGGATAGCCAATCCCGCCTCCCAATTGGCCTCAGATAATATCTCAGAGTCATCACAAACAGGGTTATGTGGGTTCCTGTAGAACCATGGTTCAGTCGCCAAGTCGAATATGGGAGAAGATACCGCCTGACCATAAGCCACTGCAGAAAGGGCCGTTCCAATGAAGTTCGCCCTCTCCAGCTGTAGCTCAAGAGTTGATGCATTGTTATGGGTAGGACAAGACATGGCGGGAAGAGAAATCCGCCGTGATACCTAGCACACCGGGAGCGACCTTTAAATACTTCGGAGCGCTTCTCAAAGGCATGCACTAGAAGCCACGCTTAGGGACAATGAGCGTAGTGACTGCACGACATCAGGATACGCCAAAACGCGAAGCCACTTCGCGCCATTACTTCCAAGGGAGCAATTCTAGGACAGCCAGCATCCATAATAAAACACAGCAAAGGAATTTCTCTGATTTCGAACTCACCTGAAACCTTATACACACACTTCAAACCTGCCGAGAACGACCGGCTACGTAAACGTTTTCCAACTACCAAGTACAACAGTTTGTCGACAATTTGTCGATATAGACGCCAGTCAACCAAATGAGATCACTGTGGGCGCCTTCCGTGCACAGCTGCCATAGGCACTGCTGGCTCTTCCAGAAACCAAGGTGGGAGAACCACATCCAGAAGCACACAGCCTGAGCATTGCAAAACAGCCACAAGGGGACCAAACCCACGCGCGATTTACTACTGTACGGATAGCTAGGGGCGTAGGGCCATAGCGTGTTGATCATGATGCATGAGCTCTTAGTCGTCTCTGAACGCCGGCGTAATAGGGATTTCGCCTGTACTACGATGTGTCTCGCGTCCTAGTCTATGCGCAGTCTTATACGCCGCTATTCGAGATGCTTTCCAGAGCACTAGTTATCCTATCCAGCCACATATCCAATATACCGAGTTGCATGACAGCATGGTCTCCATGTATTGCGCTTCCACCCATCTCTTTCGGAGCATTTTATAAGCAAACAGAAGGGACAGCATGATGTACGACCACATGCCTTCGTTCCATGAAGCCAATCTTCCCCGCAGTTGTAACAAAAGATTCGCGTTCACGCGCTTCAAGGTATCCGGATCTCGTATCCCGGTCTAAAGATGGTCGGCAGAGATGGTCTTACAGGTAACGCATCTACGTACTCGATTTTGCGTATCCCTCTGCAGTAACACATAGAGGAATGCCAGGCATTCGACAAGGCGCAGAGGTTCCGGTGTCTCCAAGAATTCGTCCAGAGATAAGTCATCCGACGCGAAAAGATCAGGCGGATGAGGCCTCAGGATGAGCGGACCGAGAGCGCGGAGGAACATGGGCGAAACAAAGACATTTCGATCGCTTTCTGCAGAGCCGGGAGCCGTAGCAAGCGCCTCAAGGACGGCTTCTTTCACCAGACCAACGGCAGCGACGCGCATCTGAGGTGACAAGTCCGAATCAGTCAGAAGTTCGTGCAAGAGATGGAGGCGCATCGGCGAGGGAGTGAGCGAGAGCACGGTCGATAGCAGGCGGAAGGTCTGATGGCGGGTCGACGGGTCTGGATGGACACCTGCGAGTTGTGGAAGAAGTTGGGCAAGAGGAACGATTAGATCCGATGGGAGGTCTGGGCGAGGGTACTGCAATCGCAAAGGTCCGATAGAGGAAATCAAGTGATAGAGCACTTCATCTAGGGCTACGTTCGCTTGGACAGATGTGAGTATCACGGGAAAGAATGATGTGAGCAGAGGAAGGGAGAGCGTGTAGGACGGTAAGTGTGCGAGCAGGACTAATGCAACACGAGAGGGTCTAGATTCAAGATTAGAAGGGGTGACACCCAGTGCATCTAGTGCCGACTTAGAACAGGTGTTAGGTCACTTCCATTTTGCGGACGAGATGACGCACCCAAGCTTTCGACACAACATCGTCACCTGTTGCAACATTCACGCCTGCGGAGTTGGGTACCACGAGTCGGGGGAACTGGTTTGCGAAAGCTACCCGTGCTAGATTGGTTTGGATGCTGTTTACGCAGGCTTCCACAGTCGAGTACAGCAGGTGTGCCAGAATGTGCTGTTAGGCTCGTATCAACCCGGTTACTTGGAAATACAGGATACATACTCCGCATCTTGATCGTTCGTCGACATCGTATGCAGAGTCTGAGGACACCCATTTATCGATCGATAATACTGACTCGGATACTGAAGCAACGAGCGCCCTTCCGTCATCATCGGCGGAACCGCCAAATTGTGTTATCAGAGATGCGAGTTCAGACAACAACGGCTTCATGACTTGACTCGGGAGTTTGTTACGCCTTGGCAAGCGCGGAACGCCTACAGCGCTAGGTGAGGTGTGTATGGTCGGTTACATATATAATGCACCCACATTGCGCATAAAGCCGGACGAGGCGGTCAATCTGCTTAAGAGGAGACAAGCCATGGTCCACCCCTTCAACCTGTTCATCTGCTTGAGAAAGGTATTCAAGATGTTCGGCAACTTCTTGCACTGCCATAACGACTTCTTTGGCACTACTCTCTTGGCCCATAATGTGAATGAGCTTATCAGCGCCATCGTATGGACAGGATATTAGAAGGGGGAGTAGAGTGAGAGGTTCCTGGTACAAAAACCTGTATCAGCGGGAAAAACAGTCGTAAATTTGAGGGAATTACAAGCGCAGCTGCACACCGCGCATGAGATATGGATTGAGAGAGCTGTTGCAGTGTGTAAGCAGCATGATCCTCGCGAACTGCAGATGTGATGAGAGAAATGAGGGCCACCGACAGATCCTAGTAGCATGTTAGGCTGAGTTGTATCAATCTCGCACGCTGTTACCTGCCCGTCAGCGAGTTTCAAATCTTGCTTCAAGGTTTCCATTCTATCAGTATTTCAGTGCAGCTTTATGTACGAGTAGGTCTGCTTGGGCACATCTGCGTGCAGAGGAAGTTTAGCAAATAGGTCGAAGATGTGATACAGACGCCGCGGCAATCCCCGCTGTCACGGACGGGGGCAATGTCACAGAGCATCACAACCATTACTGTCACACGCTTCCAATCACATGTTTTTCCTGTACCATGGTACGTCGATCATTGTCATTGTGCATGACACCCAACTTGACTTCGTACCATTACTGTCTACCTCTAGCCCACCCTACTGTTCTTTTATTGACGGGAAAGCTATTTCCGTTCATGCTTCAGAGATAGAACTTGCCAGAACCCGACCCAGAGAGCATAATCATCATGCCTAGTCTGGTTCCTCTTGCAATTCCTGCAAACTTCCGGCGCCGGTCTCTAATTACTCTCTTTTTTGCTGTAATGCTTCTCCGCTCTCGTCTGGTCTTGGTTCCAAGGTCTGTGGTGGATAAATTGAAAGCTGCGACGGCGCGGAAACGGGCCACTCCAGAAGAACTTGTGCTCGCTCTACAGCAGGTGTACGTTAACGAATTAGACGGGAATAAGACCATTCTTGTACCTTACAAGGACAGTATCTCAAAGGTTAGTAGTGCTTGTCTCTCTGGAAATCATTGTTTTCGTTGGGGTTGTGCCCGGTCACACCGCGGATGGGGTAGCGCTGAATTGGCCATTACACTGTACAGGCCGTGCGAGTATGCAGTTATTGTGACTGTTGTGATCAGTTATGCGAGAACTGGATATTCAGCATGTTCTAGTTGGTCCGGAATGTGGAACTTTTTCCCTTTCTCAATACATGGCCAGAGATATTATATGTATACAATGGATACAGGCGGGACTTGTCTTCATACACGGCCGTGAATCCGGCACGAGCGCTGTAGGCGTTCGATCTCGGTGGGCGTGGTCTCAGTCGACACGACAAGATTGCGTTGCCGTGATCTGAAGCTGTACATCTGGTCGATGAACGATGTTTAAAACGAGATCACTCTTTAGACTTGTCGCTGCATAATTATTTCGGAGCACAACGATTGAACATCTCTGGATAACCTTCTGTGCTTAGACTCATCTCTAGCTTTTTGTTTTTGATCTTATATTTGTCATCCGAACTTTCCTCAAAGTAGCTGTCCAAAGGGTCTCGTTCTAGTTTTTGCCTGCCTATGTGGATGATGTGCACTGCTGTCGAAGTCAACTTGCTGATTCGTGTGCTGACATAGAAGTATTTAGGTCACGATCCACCCAACATCTAGTGCCAGATTTGCTACCAATGCAAAACACTTTCCGCTGGTTCCCGCCTCGCACAAGCCGAACCTCGACAAGACGTTCCTGCGACAGCTCCTTGCGATTTTACGCATCGCCTTCCCCACATGGCATTCCAAGGAACTACTCATTCTCATCCTGCATTCGTTTTTCCTTGTCTCGCGGACAGTGCTCAGCGTTGCCGTTGCGCGACTAGATGGGCGAATCGTTCGAGACCTTGTCAGCGCAGACGCCCAAGGCTTCCTGAAAGGCCTCGGATTGTGGTTCTTGCTCGCTGTCCCCAGTATATGGACGAATTCAATGGTAGGTGTTGTTGGAGTTTTATGTGTATCATCAAATGACATGTAGCGGCAGATTCGGCATCTGCAGTCGAAGCTGTCTCTTCTGCTCCGGACGCGCCTGACTCGCTACACAGATGACTTGTATCTGTCTTCGTCTCCGGACTTACGATACTATCGTATCGCATTGGAAGGTGGTCTGGAAGATGTCGACCAGTACATCACCACAGATATCGCCTCGTTCTGTGACGCCCTGTCTGGAATATAGTACGCCGTCATATATACTCGGTACACATATTCGCTCACTGAAAATTCAGTGGCAACGTGCTTAAGCCGTCGCTGGACCTTATCCTGTTTACTTCACAGCTGTCACGCACGCTCGGCGTGCGTGGTACGTTGCTGCTATTCTTAAACTACTACGTGACTGCGCGTATCTTGCGCGCGGCGACACCCGCGTTTGGCCGGCTAGCTGCTGTGGAGGCGCGATTGGAGGGTGAATATAGAGCTGGAATGGGAAGAATTGACCGAGAGAGCGAAGAAATAGCGTGAGTTTTTCCATAAATTCCTTTAACCGCACTTACGGATCCGATCATTTCAGGTTCTATCGTGGTGGCTTGCGGGAACGCAGCATCCTTTGGCGCGCATACTTACGACTCATCAGTCACATCAATTCGATATACAAGGTATCCAGTCTTCACTGTGAATTTTGACGCTGAATTTACACGCGCCCCAGATCCGGATAGCATATGAGTGGACAGAGGACTTCGTGATCAAGTACCTCTGGAGCGCGGCTGGATACTGTCTGATATCAGTACCGGTCTTGCTTACCCGGCGACGACACGTCGGTGTCCAGACGTATGGCCCCGGAGGAGATGAAACTACAAACAACGAAGTCGCGAACAGAACAGAGAGTGGGTCATGTTGACTCGTTCTCTTTGAGCGGGATACTGACGTATATTGTTAGCCTACATCTCTTCCCGGCGACTGCTTCTCTCACTCGCCGATGCGGGCGGGCGGTTGATGTACGCCTACAAGGATTTGCTCGAACTCGCAGGCCTTACAACGCGAGTCTACACGCTCCTCTCCACGCTGCACAACCTTCCACCGCTCCCGTCGACGACCGACGACGAGTATGTAGATCGTATTGAGGTCAAGGATGTCGACGTAGGCATACCTACGCCCGCGTTCTTGCAGCCCGCCTCAGCAGAGGAAGTCACTGACTCAGAGCCGGCATCGCCCGGCGCGTCGTGGGTGCTTGTTAAGGACCTGTCGTTCATGCTGCGCGAGGGCGAGCATCTGATGATCACTGGAAGCAACGGCGTCGGTAAGACAGCAGTGGTGCGTGTGCTCGCAGGGCTGTGGGCGGCGCAGGGTGGAGGTGTCGTCCGGCGTCCGGCAGGACGACAGGGTGTTTTTGTCATACCGCAGAGGGCGTACATGGTAACAGGGACACTATTAGACCAGTGAGTAATCTAACGGTTTGCATGATGATTTTTTCCTCAATTGCTTGTGCAGGATTATATACCCACACTCGTACCCCGAGTACTTAGAGTCAGGGAAAACGGAGCAGGACCTTATGGACATCCTCACAGCGGCCAACCTTGCATATCTGCCTGCGCGTGAAGGCGGGTGGAATACACGTAAGGAATGGCGGGATGTCTTGAGTGGAGGTGAGAAGCAGAGGGTAAGTGATTATGAGCCTTATGAATGTTTTTGAACGTTCAAGTCCTCCACTGTATAGATGGGTCTCGCACGTGTCTTCTATCACAGACCGAAGTTCGCTGTGCTAGATGGTGTGTACTACAGTTTTATTTCCAGTCGATTTCTGATTTTCCGGTGCTATATAGAGTGCACAAGCGCAGTATCTAGCGACGTTGAGGGCCGCATGTACGAGCACGCCAAGTCGCTCGGGATCACGCTGATTACGGTCTCAATACGGTACGTCGCGCGCAACAGAGAGTGTGCTCGACACTGACAACGTCCACATGTCGACAGGCCATCGCTCATGCGATACCACACGCTACTCCTGACGCTTGCAGGCGACGGGACCGGCAGGTGGACGCTGTCACGGATCGGCACCGCCGAAGAACGCATGGGGATTGACCGCGAGATTGCATCCCTCGAGAGTAAGCTGGCTGACGTCGAACGTTGGGAAGAGAGGGTGAAGCAGCTGAATAAGGTGTTGTCGGCGCGCGAGCAGTGAGTGTTTCTTTTCAAGCAGCCATCTCGAGCATCTGTGCTGTGGATTATCTTGACTCCTTTTTTTACCTTTTGATAACACTTTCTCTTGACCTCTATCATACGCCGATTGGTCGCGGTTGATTTTCGACTTGCGACTTGCGGTCGGCTGTCACCTCATGCTTTCGAGTCCGTTCCCAACGTAGCCTTTATTCATCTATGTTTACGAAATAGAATTATCCCCATGTTGTCGTATGGGGTACACTCCTACAAAGTCCAGTTCAGGGTCTCCTTCGACTTGCTTAATATTGAGAAAAGACACAAGTCACATTCACCACATAAGTTACATCCTCTCCAAGCCTTTCGACAACCCAGTACATATACATCTAATGACTTTCACAACAAGGAAATGAAAAATGTAGATGATGGAACAGCCAAAGATATTGAATAAACTACTATGGTGCGAGTGTTTTGTTCAGTCGTGGAGACCGGCGAGGCTTTGGAGAAACTTCAGAAGTGCGGCTGGTTGCACCCGGGTACTCTGCGCGTCCGCGAGTGGCATCTCCACGTCTCTTTGCCGCGGGTTCCATCATTGGGTCTCTCCGGCACTCTTTTGCTGCCCGTAGGCGTGTCTGCCGGCATCGGCAAGTGAGAGAAGTCGGCAGGACAAGATGCAAGCTATGGTTTATGTCAATATCCCACTTAAAGTGATTGCAACATGACCCACTCTCTGTTCTGTTCACGACTTCGCTGTTCGTAGTTTCACCTCCACGGGGGCCATACGTCTGGATACCAACGTGTCGTCGTTGGATAAGCAAGACGGGAAGTGATGTACTCCACCGTCCACTCATATGGATCTGAGCAAATGTAATCTCAGCCTGAAAACTCATAGCGAAGACTGCAAACCTTGATTTATGAGTCGCAAGTATGCGCGCCAAAGGATGCTGCGTTCCCCGCAAGCCACCACTATAGAACCTGAAATGATCGGATCCGTAAGTGCGGTTAAAGGAGTTTACGGAGAAACTCACGCTATTTCTTCGCTTTCTCGGTCAATCCGCCACATTCCAGCTCTATATTCACCCTCCAAACACGGATATCGCAGCGCGTACCTTTGAATTCATCCATAGAGATAGCGAGCAAGAACCACAATCCGAGGCCCTTCATGAAGCCCTTGGCGTCTGCGCTGACCAGGGCCCGAACGACCTGCCAATCTAGTTGAGCAACGGCGACGCTGGGCACTGTCCGCGAAACAAGAAAAAAAGAATGCAAGAATGAGGGGATCCTTGGAATGCCATGTAAAGAAGACGATGCGTAAAATCGCAAGGAGCTGTCGCAGGAACAAGCGGAAAGTGTTTTCATTAATGGCAGCAAATCTGGCACTAGGTGTTGGGTGAATTCAAGTTCGTCGATGCAGTGTCTCCGTAAGTACTTGCTATATTCGGAAGTGCGGCACCTTCCGGGCCTGGCAGCGAGTCTTTCGTTTTCTTCCGTCATCTTCATTTCACCGAATTTCGCTGGTTACTTCACGTGCACGCTCAGTGAGTGGCCTGAAGAGAGGGGTGCACGGAGAACTTTCGAGTTCATTTGACTATTTCCATCGTGCTGACTCATCTTGTGCGGGCCATAACAGTCAAGACCAGTTGCTCAGCGCCCTCGGCCAACGTCGTACTCTCTCTCCATCTTGCATGTCTGTGCAGACGGCACCACATCCGGATCCCAACAAGGATGAGACATCCGTTCCTAGTACTCACAGTAGGCCAGGGACGTCGAGCAGACGACGGAATGCACCAGCGGCACCACACCCGAATGGACCTGTGACGGGAGAATCGTCGAGCGGTGGATTTCTTGGGAGTAGCCAGAGAGCAAGGCCACCTCGGAGTTCCGGTCGGGGTAAATCGACTAGCAGTGCCTCTATCGAAGGTGCGCACTCCGTTAATGCAGCTGGTCAGAGTGCACATACCCCTGCTGGCCCTTCCAGTCGACCGCATGACAAGAGAAATAGACTATACCACCCCCTTACTGCAGATCCTAAGCATACCGGCCAGGGGGTCACGTCAGCGTCCACCGAGAGCCCTCCTGCAGGTCCGGAGACAGGTGCAGACACCGTAAAGCAGCCATCGACTTCTCGCCCAAAGTCGCGGATGAACCGTCGCGGAGCAAAGTTTGGCGGCAAACTCACTGAATCACCATCAGAGGCTTCACGCGCAGACAAAAAACCGTCTGAGAGATATGGTCGTTCCGCGCCAAGAGGAGACGATCTTACCTCGACTCTTATTCGCGCACTCAGTACGCGTCCTTATCCAGATTGTCTCATTTGCTTTTCGGAGATACATCCTGCGCAGCCCACTTGGTCCTGCTCGCCCTTACTGCCCGCGACTGCCACTGTGGACGCAGAAGACGGCGACGAGCCGAAGGACAAAGCGGAAGACAGCATGCGCTGCTGTTGGACCACCTTCCATCTCAAGTGCATCCGTCCGTGGGCGGTGAAGAGCGTCAAAGATATTGAGGACGCATGGCGTGCCCGCGGTGAGCACAAGACTGGCGACTGGCGCTGTCCGGGATGTCAGTTGAAACGGACGGTGGTCCCGAGCGGGTATTGGTGAGTCTCATCTGTCATCTGATATGTGTTTGAGTTGTTCATTTTCCTCCAGGTGTTTTTGTGGTTCTACGCCAGAACCCAAACCTCCGCGTCTTGCGACACCGCATTCGTGCGGCAACCTTTGCTCACGTCCGCGTCTCTGTGGTCATTCTTGTCCCATTGCGTGCCATCCTGGACCTTGTCCACCGTGCCAGGTGACGACGCAGTTGCAATGTCATTGTGGGAAGCGGACGCTGTCTTTCCGATGTGCTCATCTTGTGCCCAGTAAAACGGGACTCAGGCCTGCTTCTGAGTTATCGTGTGGGCAGACGTGCGGGAAAATTTTGGACTGTGGGAACCATACGTGCGAGGGTACATGTCATCCTGGTGCTTGCAAGCCGTGTGCAGTGCGAGTTGCCGTGAAATGTTATTGTGGGAAGGATCAGAAGGAGATCGGATGCGGTGAGGGCGAGGAGAAAGAGTGCATAGTGGTGGAAGGCGGTGCGGAAAGGCAGTGGATTGGGAAATACTCGTGCAAGAATGCATGCGATAGGTGGGTGTACTGTCAAAAGGATATTCCTATCGTGCTGACGGTTTTGTGACAAAAGGTTATTCGACTGTGGCCTTCATCATTGTTCCAAGACATGTCATCCTCCTTCCCGCACCCGTACTCCCTGTCCCCGCTCTCCAGCCTTAGTGACGCGCTGTCCTTGCGGTAAACACGAGCTATCCCCAGCTGCATCCCCATTCTTCCCGCCACGCGTACTTCTTACCCGCAAAGCATGCACAGATCCCATCCCGACTTGTGAATCCACTTGCATGAAGCTGCTTAAAAGTTGTGCGCACGCCTGCTCTGCACGCTGCCACACGGGACCGTGTCCTCTCTGTTCCATCCTGATCGTCCGCCCATGTCGATGTGGCGCAATGACCCGGAACATCCGATGTTCGGAGAACCAAGCCCGCACACAAGATGGAACCTCAGAGAACGAGATTCTATGTGATCGCGTGTGCGGCGCGCTGCGTGCGTGCGGGCGACATCAGTGTAACCGTGTGTGCTGCCCGCTCGCTTCGCTTGCGGCTCTTACGAAGGGGAAGGGAAAGAAGCGCGCCGTTCCAGAGACGGCGGCGATGGCTGTTGCGGATGAAGCAGGCTGGCACCAATGCGACCTTGTGTGTGGGAAGATGCTCAGCTGTGGTAATCACCGCTGCGAAGAGCGCGACCACAGAGGAGTGTGTCCTCCTTGTTTGAGGAGCTCTTTCGAAGAGGTCTGTTCTCGCCGGCTCTTATCCGTAGTGAAGTTATAATGACCTTTTATTTTCTTGTAGATGATTTGCCATTGCGGCCGAACCATCCTAGACCCTCCCATCTCGTGTGGCACACGGATTACTTGTACATACGAGTGCTCGCGTCCACCGCTGCCGTGCGGGCACCCCAAGGCAAAGCACACTTGCCATGAAGATCCAATACCCTGTCCTCCGTGCCCATTCTTGACGACGAAGCGATGTGCCTGTGGGAAGAAGACTGTGGACAATATTCGATGCTCGCAGGAGAAAGTGTCGTGCGGTACGGCTTGTGGGAAGTCAGTGATAATTCAATTTTTGCGCTGGTTTCATTCTGACGTCTTCATCGTTCAGGCTCCTGTCTTGTGGTTTTCACCACTGCGAACGGTTATGCCACAGCGACCCGTGTGGGCCATGTACCGCTGTCTGCGGCAAGTCGCGCAAGCTCTGGTTCGTACCCTACCGTCCTGTTTCTTGGTTGGGATTTCTTATTACGTCTGTTAGTCTCCCTGCACATCACCCCTGCGCATTTCCCTGTCATGCGCCCGCATCCTGCGATGAATCGGAACCCTGCCGTGCAACGATCTACCTGACCTGTCCGTGCGGTCGCATCCGCACCCCGATTTCGTGTGGTCGGAGCACATTGAACCCGGCCGGCCGGGAAGGATCGCAGCAGATCAAGTGTTCGAACGAGTGTCTCGTTGCTAAGCGAAATGCTCGCCTGGCTGAGGCTCTGGGCATCAATCCGAACCGTACGGACGGCAGACAGGCAACGTTTAGCGATCCTTTGGTTGCATCTGCACGGGCAGATCCGAAGTTCTGCGCCTTGGTGGAGAAGACTTTTGACGAGTAAGTTGGAGTTATCCCTGCCGTTTCGTTGCTGATGTGGTATTTGCTGTAGATTTTTGTCCTCCGACAAGAAGAGCCAAATTTTACCTCACATGACCGAGTCACGGCGTAGATTTGTGCACGATGTAAGATTCATTTCCCTCGCATCTTGTTCTACTTGAGTTAACTGGTGTTTGCTGTACAGCTTGCCGTCGTGTACAGAATGGACACGCAGATGATTGACCAAGAGCCCCAGCGCAGCGTCCAGCTACTCAGACGCATCGACTCCCGCATGCCGGTGCCCATACTTTCCGCCGTTGCCGGAGTAACGCCCCCACCGTCAGTGCATCCACCTAACCTAGGCAAGCTCGCCGATCTGCGTGCTCCTTTACCGCATCGGCCATCACCCTTCTCGACTCCTCCGCCACAAAGTGCCAGCTCTTCAGCGAGGCGTGGATGGACGTCTGTCGTCGCTCCACCCCCTCGTGCAAGTCCGGCTGCAGACGTGTGGTCGTTGCCTGCCAGCAGCAATGTGAGCAGGCCCCCGAGTAGGCCTGCTGTGTCGCCGGTGCCTCCCGTCGTGCAACCCCCAGTCGTTGGTAATCAACCTGAGTATGTTCCTGATAACTGGGAGGACGATCCGTAAACTGTGGTTGAAGATGATAGAAGTCCGCATGTACGGACGGCTCAACTAGACTAAGTTATGTCACGCAGATGCATCGAAACCGCATAATTGAAGTCAGTACATTTAGTAGATACCTCGCTATCTTACATTTATCCAGTGCATATATGTTGGCGATAACACAATGGCCAGTCAATCAGTCGGCGATCTTAATGACCAACTTTCCCGTGGTCTTTCCGCCAGTGAGGTCCTTCTGTGCCTGTTGCACACCCTCGGCTGTGAATGGATACTCTCTGTGCACATTAATCTTGAGAGCGCCCTGGGCTATGAGCGTGTAGAGCTCCGTCGAGTATCGACGGCCCTCTGCCGGCGTGGCGACATAGTTGCCCAAGCTGTAGCAAGACGTCAGACGAGCACTGGCTATGGGGCAGTACACGTACGTGGGCCGAAGCAGACGGAGGTTTTTCTCAGCTAGCTTCAGCGGGCTAAAGGGTGGGACGGCGCCCGAGGCGTTCCCGACGGACACCAGCGTGCCCTTGCGACGCAGGATTTTGAAGTCGTTCTCAAATCTGAAGTGTAGGCACCGTCAGGTAGCAAATTGACGCACACCTGGTAGGCACATACGTGTCTTTTCCGACGCCATCGAAGACCACGTTCACGCCTTCGCCATTAGTGATCTCGAGCGTGCGCTGGACAGTGTCCTCGACGGGGTAAAGGATGACGTGGTCTGCGCCATGTGCGCGGGCGATGGCCGCCTTGGCCTCCGTGCTCGTCGTGCCGATGACGGTCGCGCCGCGGAGCTTCGCATACTGCGCGAAGATGAGCCCTAGTCCGCCGGCGACGGTGTGCACGAACACGGTGTCACCCTTGCGCACGTCGTAAGCCTCGTTCATGAACGTGATCGCGGTCGCGCCTGCGGATGGGACACAGATGACGTCACGCGGTGTCGAACATGTGGGCCAAGGGACGTACCTTGTGTGAGCGCCGCGGCCGCGGTGTTCAGCGTTACAGCATCTGGCACAGGGAAGACACTATCCCAGGGCACACTCACGTATTCCGCGAAGGCACCGGGGCCATACTGACGACATCGCCAACGTTACTATCATCGTCATCCTAACTCACGATGAAGTACGACGCACCACTGCCACCTTTCCGCCGATCTTGAATTCGCGTAGCTTGAACTCTTCATCGGCCAGAACGGATTGGTCCGCCGGGAGAGCGGCAATCGTCCCCGCACTCTCGCTGCCCACAACAAAGGGGAAAGTTTTAATGGGATACAGACCTTTCCTGAATGGAATGATTAAGCTATGTTCGCGGTCAAGGAGCTCTACACTCACCTGTAATAGGTATCTATGAAATTGACGCCTCCGTAACTGGTCTGTGTAGCGCATGATCCCAGTCAGTCAGCAATAGGCCTGCATCGACGTAGACTCCCGCTGCTTGACCTTGACCAGAACATGACCAGGTTCGCTTTTCGGAAACGGTACCTCTGTCTTCTCAATGACATCGAAGTCGCCGGTCTTGGAAATGGTGATCGCAGAAATCCTGGAGGGGAACGACATCCTGTATGGCGAAGATGATAGGTGGCGACTGGATGGTATGGGCTGTTGATGCAGTGGAAAGTGTTTCACCGGAGAGTTCGAACAGCAGATTCTGGATCGAATGGACGAGATGTGTGGGGTCTTTAGCGACGCAGACCTGTTATGAGCGGAAAGCATTTAAGTTGGCAGACTGATCATTGCGCACGCAATTGTCGTCATTGGACGGGAAATGATTATAGAATACACAACTTATGAGTTACTGATGTATTTCTTTACATCCAAAAGTCCCACACGGTTTCTTCTCCGGTTCGCGGGGGAAAACCCTATGACTCCGCTACCTGCAGGTTTAAATTTCTTAGCACCGTGCCTAGGGGAAGGAGGCACATAACGTGACTACTCAGATCTCAATCTAGGTTACTGTGGTGCCGCGGGGTCTGATTTGCACCTCTCTTTATTATTTCTGACACGTTCAGCGACCCTGGGAAAGCCCAAAAATTATCCACAGGCAATGAGCAGCAACGCTGCAAGGAATATAGGCTTGAAATCTGGGTGCAGGAAATGAATTCCATGGATTTGGCGGAAATTGGGGAAATTATCTCGGGGATTTTGAGTTTAATTATGTAATATTGTCACGTATTTGGAAGGTTTTCAACTTCAGCTTGTCTCAGCATTTCGGAAGTGGACGCTTGTCCCGTATATCGTTCTTACTATATGGACAAACGAAGAATTCGCAAAGGATGAGAGTACTCAAATAATTACGATTGCATACTTGAATACAAGAAGCACTAATTACAGAGCATGGTCATAACGGCGGTATCGTACAGATTATGGTACAAACAAGCGATACAGTAAGGTATGCATATATGCAAAGATACTTCCCCCTTCCAATGCTCCCAAAATTGAATGCAATGTGATGAAGTCCAAGTGAGCACAAAGCGCGGCGGGTAAATCAGAAGGGGTTCACCCTTCCTCCTCGTCACCCTCCCATCGTCTCTGCAGGTCAATATGCCCATCCTCGTTGCCATGGATATACAGCCAAGCTTCGAGCCTTCTGCCCAGCTCTCCGCCGCGTCCGCCGCAGATGTCGCCGGTGGCATTGAGCAGCTTCTCCTTCTTCTTCTCCTCCGCGACGACCTTCGCGACCATCGGGGCATGCGCCCGCTTCTTCGCATCGTTGTCCGCGTTCGCGCCCGCATCTCCTTTTGTTATGCGTTTCTGTGCCTCTTCGTCAGATTCGTTGAGCGTGGGCGACCCAGACGACTCCGAGCTGCAAATGACGTTGGCATGGTCGATGGGAGTGTGCGCCTCGGCATAGAGCTCTTCCCAGCTCCTGAACCAGTCGGACTCCTGGTCCGAAGGGCCAAGGATGCTCTCCACGAGCCCTTCTTCCCAGCCATCCCACTCGATGCACCGGTGCGCCATGCGCAGACGCGCACCAGTAGATTCAAGGTTGAGCCACTCCGTCGCAATCGCACCAAAGTCCATCTTCCGACCCTCGACAACGACGGTGCGGCGCTGAGTGGCCATCTTCTCTACTGTAGCTCGGAAGAATTTGGCAGTGAAAGGGCTGGACTGCATGAACGTAGGGACGTGTGCACACGCCCATAACGGACGAGTAGTCGTAGATTCCCAATCGATCACACAAGTCTGCATTATATAAATCAATGTTGGGCGAACGCAGCGAAGAAGAATGACGCACAATCTTGGAGTGATCATTCTCATCCACGAAGACGTTCTCCAGGCTCAAGTCGTGACAGTCTAGCGAAAATTCCTCTCCGCCACCACCGTCGCCCTCCTCGTGCGCCACTACGCCCAACCGCTCCATCATATGTACAAACCTGCTCATCTCCTCCCGCACGCGATCCTCGCGCTCCGTGAGATGGGCGACCAGGAACGTGCTGCGCTGCATCCTCCGGTAATCCCTGTACATGGTATCACCCGGGCCGTCCCACTCCCCCTCGCTCTCATCCCAGTCCCACTCGTCGCTCTGGTCGCTCTCGTCTCCGGGCAGCCCCTTGACCTGGTGGTGCCGCGAAGCTAAGATCTCGTCTGGGTCCAGGTGCAGTCGGTGGGGTGCCACCTTGCCCTCGTTCTCGAGAATCACCCCGTTGATCTCCCGTTCCGCGCACGCGAGGAGGTAGGCGTGCGTGCTGTCCCACGGCCCGCGGTTAACCTCCTGCGGGTGCAGCAGCTCCCCGCGGTTCGACCCGAAGAACGGCCACGAAATAATCGGCCCCAGGTGGAAGTTGCCCGCCCCGACGAAGCACGGCCTCGTGGGCGATGTTGCCGTGGGCGTCGGGGACATGGACGACCCGCCGCCCGGCCCCGCTGGGCCTGACCCCTCGTACAGCGAGCCGATGCGCGGAAACCGATACGCGAACAGCGGGATCACCAGCGACGCGAGGTTCTCCATGAGCGCGATGAGCTCATTATGGCCCATTGAGTGGAACACCTTTCCGAGTTGGATCCCTTTCGCCTGTACGGGAGGTGGGCGTTAGAATAGAAGGGCGTCACGGGCCGCGAGATAATTTTACCTTGGACATGAGAATGTATTCCCCGCCCAGCCGGTTGTACGGATTAGCGTCGTAGTCATACACTGTGGGCACGGGGATGGACGTGTGTTCGCGGAGATACTTCATCGTGGCCACTTCGGATTCTGTCTTAAGACGAGGCATAAAACGCCGAGCCACACGGGCAACCACTTCCCGACCATCTGCGAGTGTGATCAGGTAGCCCTGATGGAGAGGATCGGCACAAACACTCAGGGAGTGAGAAGGCATAACAATGGTATGTACATACCTTATGAAAGGTCCCTGATATAACGCGCATCGGAACCATTGAATCAATATATTGACCACTTCCAGCAGCACATCACACATACCTGCGCCCAAGAAGTGAATCCGTGCTACTTCAGTGCTCATTCTCTCATGCACGATGTCTTTGAGCAGCTTTCTGTCGACCTGAAAGGGCGGGACACCATGTATGGCGGCATCAGCCTTCGCTTCCTTCTTCCTATCTTCATGTTCAAGATCCCAGTCCCACACCAGCGGTGGCTTCGAACAAAGATCAGGCTGCATAGGAGTGAGATGGGCAGAAGAGGAGGTGGCAGTCGGGGTATTGAGGTCCGGTCCCGAGATATCGTTCCGAAACATGCTGTGAGTCGGCTTATGCATGATAGACTCAGTTCGGCGTGCTTTGCGATAATACTGACAGTGGTCAGTAATCGGCTTTGACTTAAAACCCAGTGAGCTATAGGGACTAGAAATGAACGTCAGGTATACAAGATGCTGCCGAGGGGAAGGGAAGAGTTACTCGTTCACCGCGGCACGGTTCCAGTTGCAGCCACCCTCGCCAAGCGCCGCATGTGATACGAGACGAGCGGGCATCACAAACAGCCAGCGACCAAGGAACGTAAATCTTTCGGATTGGAGAACAGACTGTACATTCTTCGAGTACGTAGACTATATACACGCTTTTGCATATCTCTACCCCGTCTTTCCCCGTCTTTCCCCGCATTTTCAATTGTACAATCACCGGGCACCGAGCTGGAACCACCAGTCCCAACATGCGTCTGGATGTCGTTTTCGGACGTCGGCAACGTGCGGTAACCGGTTTGAAAGGCAAATTCGCGAATGACGCGATCTAGATCCGAGGTGCCGCTCCCTATATGGCAGCTCTTTGGCACCAGCACCGCCGGCCGCGCAGCCTCGCATCACTGCGGGGTACGGCCCAGCCTGGAGTAAGCGTTGCATCGCGTATACGGGACGCACCGTTATCGTATTACAGCGAGAGCGTCCAGATGACCTTGAGAGCTTATTACAAGTATGATCCGTAAGGTTAGATCCAAGAAGGCCCGTCACGCGTCATTTGCGGTGGCGTATGCGGTCGAGAGTTGTGGAGCGTGACGCTGTTGGAAATGCCAGACTGTATAGATAACGGAGACGTCAAAGCAATCGATGGTCCCCATGCAGACACCGAGCAAGAGGAGTAGCTGAAGGTGGACCGAGGGCTTACACATCTCGCGCCATAGCAGACGTGATGTCGACGCCTAGAGTTACTCAGCAGATAGCCAGTTCAACATCGAGAATACGAGGGAACACGCGTATTTACGCTCGAATGTCTTGTCTTGTCTAGGAGAATATGCATATTAGCAACTCGAAGAAGAACCCTGCGGCGATAGAGCGACTAAAGTCTTGCCCGTTGTATAAATAGCCACGGAGCAACACTGTCAGTCGGCCCCGAGCGGAAATCCGGTGAATGAACAAGATCTTCGGAGCGCATAGAATTGTACCGGCCGAATGGCATTCAATGTACACGAACCATAAGGACTGCATGCAGTCACCATCAGGATCCTCAATAGGTTCAATTAGTTGCAATGGATTACACACCTGGGAGTGATATGTATCACGCCGGCGAAGTGAACAGCATGTTTGAGTATTGACTTAAGATTTACGGGAGGACTGACGCTGCTCACGTCGCATCGCTTTGCAGAGCTACGGCGGCCCCAGGGAAAATGGCCAGGGGGTGGGGTCCACGCCATTATGTATCAGCGACAGAGCTTGACTGAACGCTCAGTTCAACATACTGTAATTGCATTGGTGGATTAGAGAAAAGTGGAAACAACTCAAGACATACAAAACACAATACATCTAGACGGGATGCTGCCATCGCAATGCGGACGTGTGTCCGGTCTGATTCGTGTCTAAAGTCTGCGAGGGACGGGTAAAATACAGCACTTCATAGCCTGGCTGTGATGCATCGGTGGACATATGGAGAGTAACTCTGCTCCATCCTCCGAGCGCACCGCATGCACCTGAATGAGACCTGGATATGTGGCGCAGGATAAATGCACAATTTTGGCAACTCGCACTGTAACACTTCGTGGGCACATAGTTGAGAGACTCAGTTGAAGCATTTTGGTTGTGCATCCACAAACTCACATGGTCAGAAATTGTTACAATGAGATAGTGCCATATCGAGTGTCTGTGCGATCGGCAAATCTGAGTTGGTCTCAGTGAGAGCAACGAAAAACGAGGGACGAGAGAAAGACGCGAAGTTGCCGGCGTGCCGCATTTGCAGCTGCGCCACTCAATTAGATCACGTGCAACCACAATTGAGCACGTGGGAGGCCTGCAAGGCGAAGCCAGGCGTGCGACAACGTCCTTCTCTTGTCCTCATCGCCTACAGAGCCCAACGTCGACCATATCCTCAAAGACGATCCGAATGTTTCGTTTGCTGGTATCCTATGCTGCAATGCATCAATAAGTCTTTTAGCGCTCTTTTTATTGCAAGTAGATGTAGGTTTCCCCGTCCTTGTATTTCATTCCCAGATCACCCCACTCACGTTCTACCATTTCACTGACATTTGTTCAGGACACCGTAAGCGATTTCATCTATACAAGTTGGATGTTCTCCATTTACCATGCCCAGGCGTGGTCTGCAGTCCCATAGCACTAGACGGCGGGGCGTAAGTCGTACGTCACCTGGGCAAGATTCTCTCTTTCTGTTGTGGTGAGAAATTTGTGATACTTCCTGTTCCCTGAACTCGCTGAGGGTATTTGTTCCTGCAGAGCCTTAGATAATGCTTAGTTCTTACGCCGTTCCACTCATTATGGCGCGAGCACTTGACTGGTGTCTTCCATCAAGACGTGCTGTGCGGCAAGCTGATGTTTGTTATGAGGAGATCCTTAATCTATCGAGCCGTCCAATGTCGATTCTTTCTGTGAGTTGTATTTTCATCCGTTGCTCTCAACCTTTCTTTCTCGCTTTCGATCCGAGACTTCGCATGCTTTGGCTAACATCATCCCTTGGTGCTGCAGATGTACTAGGCCCCTTGTAATCATAGATAGCGTACACTGCATCTTCTCCAAGTTGCAACGCGATTTATGGCAGTTTCGATCCACTTTGCCTGGAGGTCTCTGGTGTAGCCTAATAAGGTAAAACGATTATGTCAGCGTCCGAGTCCAAAAGGCGGTTCGGCCCGGCTCTGAAACTCATCGCGCCTGGCGACGACGCCGCCTCACGCAAAGTCTACCGTCCGAGCTATCGACTATACTTTTCTGCCATCTTCCCTCCCTTGCCCCATGATATGCCCCGCAACCACAACGCAGGCCCTTCAACTCTCCGGAACCGCAACAGAGTCACCAACAAGACCCGTCTCAAAGTCATCACTGAGAGCATCGATGCCGACCCGATTGTCCTTGACGAGGATGAAGAGAAGGCCAGAGTCGTCTCCACAGCCGGTGTGGATGCTGAGGATGCCAATGTGAGCCCCGTTTTCCTCACCGTCGTCGTCGTGCACGCCCTTGTTGGTGGCCCCCTTGTGGCACGTCCTGATTGGCTCTTCGCGTGGGAATTTTGTTCCATGGAATGCTGACTAAGTCCTTATTTTGTTCCATTTTAGGAACATCACCTTCAGGCGGTCTTGTTTGCAGCAGCGACACGCCATCAAGCCGGTTCGCGTTCAACGCGAGCCGCGTCAGAGAAGGAGAAGGCGGCGCCAGCCATCCCTACTCCCGACAGCACTGGCTTGGTGGACAATTATGAGGAGTTGTACCATTCAGACCGGTGGAAGGACCCTCATTCGTATGTCAAATCGTCCGACACGGTTGAAGAAGCGTGTTCTTTCGCGCTCACCAATGGGTTCATTTACTACATGGACGAGCGCGACAAGGAATGGCTTGACAAAAACAATGAGGAGGCCAGAGGAGAAGGTACGAGTGCTCAAGGCGCTCTGTCCGCCGCCGGCACGCGTTCCGGGCGAAGCGCAAAAGCCAAGGGCAAGGAGCCCGAGGTTGCTCAGCCCGTCGTGATGACTGAAGACGAGTTCGAACTCGTGATGGCCTTGTTTGAGAAGGTTACGCATGAGAAGACTGAGTTTTTGCATCATGTCAGTCCATCAGTATTGTTAGGTCCTTCTGTGTTTTCATGTATCTATCGCTTCGATCAGGGTCTGGAGCAAGGAGGACCATTTCCGCCCTTCTCAGACTACCAAGAGACGTTTGGTTCTCCGTTGACACCGGTGATGTTCGCGTTGTTCGCTGTACCAGACTGGATACCGCCACCCGCCCAGCTTTTCCGTTTTGCTCGCGTCGTCTATCCATACTGGCGCGAACGACGGTCGGAACGTAGAGGACACCGAATTATACCCACTGTCAACGTAGGTGCCCAGGGTTGCACACTTACCACGAAGCTCATCCTTACGTTTTCACAGCTGGACGAAACAGATACCCTCAACGAATCATATATATGTTTCAGGCGGCGCGAGATCAAGGCTATTCGGAAGACGCGTGCTCAACAGACGACCTATTCCGACAAGATGACACGCTTACAAGGGGAACTGAACACCTCGGTGGAGCTGGCGAAGAATGTCTTACGACGTGAGCACCTTAAACGGGAAACAGCTATTCAAGGACATTCCGTCTGGGACAAGCGCCTTTCCCTCGTCGATCTGAAGCGAAAGTATTCAAGTCTAGGGGGTAAGGAAGACGAGGAGCTGCTCCACGATAGGGAGAGGGTGCCGAAGAAGCCGAAGATCGACACTCCGTACGTGGCCCCTTGCATTTTAAATGTGTATATGTTGATTTTACAACGCAGTCGCCTTCCGTTCAAGCTGCGCACACGAGACAACGGCGATTCCGCTTCTCCTGTCGTTGCTGAACCTGCCATCAAGCCAAAGGAACGACAGGCGGCGATACGAAGCCAGATCGAGCAGGGGTTGGCAAAAATCAAGGAGAAAGACCGTCAATGGGAAGATCTCGTCGATGTACGTTTCGGTTCTTCATTTGATCATGCACGTACTGATCCAATCTTCTGGCAGAATCCGTATCAGCCTGCACCGGTGTCACTTGCCTCTCGTATGTACAAGATCATCTCGGCCACTCGTGCGCTCTCTTTATCGACGCCAACTACCGATAGCAGCGAAAGACCATCGACTACCTCGGCCCGTGCAGGTCGTCTTCGCTTCGGTAGAGGTGGCCGGATTTATCTTGATCGACGCATTGTTCGTGCACGCTCGGAGCATCATCGAGAGAGTTGCGAAGGGTCCGAGGACGACGATGACACTGACGCGCAGAGTCCTGCTCGCAAGGTACGCGGGCGATGGAAGTTCGACGCTGACGATGACCCTGCTGTTGGTCCGGAAGGGCCGGACGAGCAGGACCGCATGCTGGTTGACGACTTCCAACCGAAGTATGTTTTGTTTGTTGAGCGAATCTTCTAAATGCTGACCTCTTTTCACAGATACTTGGTGCATCGTATGACGTTGTTGAACGAACAGGATCACCAGGCGATGAGTGTGGATGCTGGCATCGCTGTGACTGGCGCAGACGGCCGACAGCAAGTCGTCACACCATTCAAACCCCAGCCTGCCATGCCTCGTCGAGAGATACAGCCGATGGCCCAGCGTCCCGTACCGTCGTCTTCCGTGATCCCTGGGCAACAGATTTCCAGCATACACCACGCAAACGGTGTCCATGTCCCGATGCCAGGTACAAACGGCATGCCTGTTGCAATGGCTGCGCAGCTGAAGAAGATGGCCCCTCCAGTCGGAGTTCCGCATATGCGCATATCATCCAATGGTGGGATTCGGTTACCTGCAGCTTCTCCCGTCCCTAACATGCACTCAACTGTTCCTACCCCTCTTGCGTCACCATATGCGACTCCGCCTGGTAGCGCTGGACAGGTCAATGGATTTCACGAAGCAAGCGGCCAGGCTTCAGACGGCACCGAGCAAGATGTGAAACTCGCCATGCAGACAGTTCCGAACGGCAACGGACATCTTGGGAGCGATCACCCTGTTGCAGATCCCTCTACAGCGACCGGTGCCTCCACTTCACCTCTACGCGCGAAGGCGCAAGTACAGCAGCCCGTCGCCATGCCCACCGTACCTAATGGCTACCATATTCCTCCGATTAATGCTTACCCCACTATGTCGAAATCTCAGTATATGCACGCTACCGGCCGGCCGAACGGTTTGACCATGCAACAAATGCACAACATCAAGTCTGTGTATGCTTCGATGTCGCCGTCGCCGGACACCTCTATGCAATCCAACAATAATGCAAATATGGCAATTCGAGCACCATCCACCTACATGGGACATGTCTTGCCGAATGGCGCGAACTATCAAGTCCAGTTCACCGCGGCGCAGTGGGCTACTGCTGCTGCCCAGCAGCGCTCCCCGCCTATGAATGGCGTAGTTGTGGATGGGAACGTCAGCGACGCTGCGGCGATCGCTGCCTTCATGTCTCCACCTCCTCAGGGCATGCCGGCCAGGGTGCCGTCTGCCAATGGAATGTCACCCGCTCCTCTTGCTCGAGGTGTGGGTTTGAGCGCCGGACAGGGCAGAGTGTCGCCGGCTAGTGCGCAATTCGCGCGTCTTTCCGCCCCTCATTCACCATCACCTCTCTTGACCAGCCCGTCTCTTTCGGCGGCCCAAGCGCAGTCGTCTCCCGTGCGGCCGCCCTCAATGCCCACCCCATCGCCCTCTCTACAGTCACGACAAGTTGTTGGTGGGCCGGGGGCAGGATATTAGTTGCGTATGTTATTTAGGTCGTTATTGCGTCTTCACACCGTCCTTTTGTAGCTTTGCTTTGACTTTATAGTTTAACTCGCATGAGCTTTCCATGAGATGAAACGTTTTCGGTTGTGGGTGATTGTCAATTCGTGATCCCAAATTCTTCGCCCCGCGAGTTCGCTGTGAGAAACCAAGCTGAGAATATTATTGTAATGGAATGTCGCTTGATTTCCTCGGAGGTTTACCCTATCGTGGTTGTCGTCATGGCTATCCAGCAACCTCGACCATCTAGATCTTCTCTGCGATCGAAGCTAGCGGTCGTCTTCGAATTTTTCTCACTCTGACCGGAAGGTGCGGAATGGTGGCGGGTTGTCGATTCTCGAATTTGCAACTATCTGCTCTATAGTGGAGCTCATCGTGCAGGTAGAGTAAGTCCTGAGACTGAGAACGTACACGCATTTTATACGCCAAGAAAGTTCTTTCCCGAAACCTGTGCTCAATAAGTTACGATCTGACCGGTAAGTTTGCAAACGCGTACGATATTCCCGATGGACCTAAGCTTGCTAAACTTATCGCCCATTACAGATATCATCTGACACAGCTGGATACAGACTGTCCAAGTTGTGTGCAACTATTTTGCCCGAGGTGGATCGTCGAATATCTATCGGTGTGGTCTTCCGTCGTCGAGACGCATGCCTTCGTCGCTTGCTATGAATCCGCATCCTCGATAAAGAACCTCCCTGGCCTGAAGTTGAATCAAGAGTCAGCTGTTGTTTTGCTCTCCCTGTCCGAGTCGATCATGATTGCGACAGCTCTTGCGGAGGAGGGTCCCTATGCATATGGTATGTATTCGTGCTCAAGTTCCTTCAGTAGAGCTCCCTGGCTGATTGACCTGTAACACTATTAGTGACTTTTGAAGTAGCAATCTCTGCTACGTGTTTTCTCATATGGGACACGATCATCCATTTTTCGGATGAGGTGCGTGGTTTTCTAAGTGCCTGGGCAATAAATTTTACACTTTACCGCTGTTGTCTGTCTTAACGTCTGGAATAGGTAGAATACATTTGGCAGTGTGTATTTGCATTGAAGTATCAGTGTCCAGTACTCAATGATTCTGTTTCAGGCGGCCAAATTCATACGTGAAGTGGATGTATGTCTTCGTCAGACATGTTCCATACCTTGTACAGGGGTAAGCGGTGGGGTCTACTATCACGCAGTGTCCTTATGGATGAAATTGACGCAGATCTATTCTTACCCTTATTGCATCCTCATACACCGGGCGTGTGTGGTCACCCAAACAATGCAGCGACTGGATCATTTACCAGGTATCAACCATGCAGGCCATCACCATGGCCGTCGACACGATCCTCATCATCCGCAGTGCGTGACACAGCACTTTTACTCCCGGAGAAGATCTCATAGTTTTTTTTGTTATTCGCCAGTACATGCAATGTATAATCGCAACAAAATGATCCTTTCCACTGTTTTGTTTCTTTTCTTATTAGAGTGTGCGGGCATGGTTACTGTACTAGCTCTCACCATCCCAAAGATGACGTTCACCACGGGGTGTATCATCACATCTACGCCTTCACACTTTGTCGTCTTTTGGTAAATACATCTTACTTTTTTTCTCTCTCCGTGATGGCTGACTGCGTGGTACAGGATCCTGTCCTTGGTTTTTGAAACTGTTCTTTTTGCGCTGACACTCTTCAAATTCTGGGGAAGTGTAACTTGCACTTTGGGGAAGCATTCCGTTGTCTACGTGCTATTCCGAGACGGAATATGGGCGTATGCGATCATCTTCGGTAAGCTCCCTCCGCTGCACCCCACTCCAGTTCCGAAGGTCTCATTTGTTCGTAGTGGTCATGTTGCTGAATACTTTGATGTATGATCTCGTCAAAAATGCCCTCGCTGGCGTCTGTTTCTTGTGAGCCAGACTGATTGAGTCGTTGTGCTTTACTGACTCTGGATATCCAGTTGGGAGCTGGCTGTCATGTCGTTCGCAGTACGTGTGTAATTCGTACCCTAAAGCTACGTTGTTCAAGTCTGTCTATCCAGGGTTCTCATGTGTTGCTCAATCTCCGGCGTCTTGCCACTCAAGTCCACACGAGCGATCCCCTCACGACGTACTGGAACAGTCCATCCGAAGGCGAGCTCACGCGGATGGAATTTCCACTTCGCACTGCTGGTCCCGGGCGAAACATCGCCGCACACGGCGTCTGCTTCGAGCTTCAGCATCTCGAGCGCCGAGATACCGTCCCATCCAACGAAGTACACGCAGACAGTAGAGGGAAGACATGAATTATTCTGCTTTCTTTATGACGACGCATGTACCGCATACGATATAGCCCCATCTTGCTGCACAGCACCCGCCCGCTGTCTGTTGTAAATAACGATATTTACCACCGAGATGTATTTGTAGCTTGACACCATATTAATGGGAGTAGAGGTTCACCGGTGAGAAGCTCCGTTTGGATCAGGAATAGACTATTCATCGCCAGCATCCCCACGTTCGCCGCCAACGTGCGCGACTTGTTCAGTCCCAGAGCCATCGGACGGCCGCCCGAGGAACTTCCGCGGCTCCAGTTTGAATCGGTGCTTGGCCTTGATTTGACGCTTCTTCATGCGCTCCTTGCATCGGGCACAAAGCGTGCCTACATTGTTAGCGGGGACTATGCGATGGCACGTCTTATTACTGCACGTCAGCTTGACGGGGATCAGTTTTAATTGCATGCGGTAGAGCTCGGACCGGATCGACTCACGACAATGGCGTTGGCCGGCTCGACAAGCTGATTGTTGTCCGGTGGAACAGGGTCGACAACCGACGGAAGATTGTCGCTAATTTCTGCTGGCGGCGGTGCAGCTACAGCTGGAGTATTCGGCACGGAAGGTGCCACGATAGGAACACTCGAAGGTACGCCCTCGTTGCCAGCAGCCTCCACCACTTGACGCTTGCTCGCCTCCGCGGCCACATTCTGGGCATCCAACGCCCGCTTGCGCCGTAGCAGGGACGGAGCATGCGGTGCCCTGTGATGCGGCTCGCCTGTGCGCGCAGAAAATGTGCTGTAATAGCTGGCTGCCTCCGCAGCAGCGGTATACGACGTGGTGTTGGTGTGCGTGTTCTGCGCGGCGTACTCTGCACGCGAGACGAACGTCGATGAAACCGAGAACAGTGGCTGGTTTGGGGTCGGCGGGTCAGGTGGGGGCGGGGACGTTACGTACGACCGAGGAGGGTAAGGTTGCGTGTACGGCTGGGGCGGGTATGGGTAAGGCGGCCCGTACGGTGGGTATGGCACCTGGTACATCGGGGAGGGGCCGTAGGGCGGGCGCATGTAAGAATATGCCGCACTGTAGGGATATGGTGGCGAGCTGCTCCCGGCCGGATAGGGCTGCATATTGTAGGGAGGAGGGATATAGTATGGCATGTGATACGATGGCGCTAGATATGCCCCATTCTGATTGGGTTCGGAGTTTCCGTTTGCATCGGCGGAGGGTGCGGCGGGCGCACTAGCATCACTGCTAACACCAGGCTGAGGTGGGACCATTGACGTGCTGGCAGCTAGAGGATCTGTATTCGAAGAAGGCACGGTAGGGGCTGCTGAATCCGTGCCACCGGGAACAGCGGGTACAGTAGATGCAGTTTTATTAATGAGCTCTGCAACCTTGTCCTTGCGTTTCATTCTCTTCTTGCGGGCTCGTGGAGCTGCTTCGCTTGGCGCAGTCCGGCTGGCTGTCGCCTCGGGAAGAGGTTCTTGGGGGGCAGCTGCGGACGAAGCAGCGGCACCGGTGTCAGTAGCAGGTGCAACGGACGTGGAAGACATCGAAACCTAAACGATCATAGATACGCCAAATTAGCTATGGATGAAAACTCTGAACATGATGACTGACTGCATTCGTCCGTTCTTCTGCTGGTCCCGGCAAGAGAGGATCGATGAAAACAAGATGACCCGGCACATCGAGATCGAAGTCGGCCTGCGCCTCTCGTGCAACGTCAGGCTGCGTTGACGATGCAGCACCAGGTTCTGCACCAGCAATCATCGAGCTAGTTTCGCCTGTACTCGACTGTTTCGTTGATACGACAGCATTCTTCTTCTTTTTCTTGCTCTTGATCTTTTTCGCCGTGTCTCTGCCCTCTCCTCTCTTCCTCCTCTCCTTGATCTGCTTGATCTCCGGCGGGGGCTCCACGAAGATGCCACTATCGCGCAGAGCCTTGTACCTCCGAATGGCACGGTCGCGGGCGCGGCACGAGTCACACATCTTCCAAGGGTTGCTGGGCGAGAGTAGGTTGAAGCATGCCTTGATAGAGCAGACATGGTTCGTCCTCCTCGACCCACGCGCAGCAGGCGGGATGCCCGTGCTCGGTTCGCCAAGCGGGGTGTCTGCAGGCGTGCCCATGCGCTGCGCAGCATCTTCTGCATCCACTTCCGGCGTATGTTCCATAGCCATTTCCATGGACGTGTCGAATGTGCCCTCCGATCCTTCCTTGCTGAACTCTGCATCGTCACCCGAGCGTCCGCTCACAGCCGCGGCCCACCCGTCGTACGCCTGAGCCTTGACCTCCTTGTCACGCACTCGTTTGAGTTTGCTGTGGTGCCGGTTCTGGATCCGATGTCGCTCGCAGCGCAGGTACTGATAGCCACCCGGGAGGATCTCCCGGCAATGCGAGACGGTGCACATCCGCGGCGCGTGAAGCACCTCCCCGCCCGCATCGGGAGCGGAAGTGGACGCAGCCTGGTTCACTCCTAATCCGTCTGCCTGGTATTCGCGCCATTCAACGTCGCGTTCTGGGAGCGGCTGCAACAGCGCAAGCACGATGAGCGCCATGCGACTACGGCGAAGCGCATGCGACCGCGACACGTACCGGTAGTCCTGCGTCCGCCCGGCGCTTCTCCTCCTCCGTGCGCATCTGCTGCAGCTCCGCGACGGCGACCTCCTTCTCGCGCTTCCACTTGGCGCGCTTCGTCGTTCCGTAGTTGCGGTACCGGTCGCGGCACGGCGAGCACATCCTGAAGAACGAGTTGGCCGGCACGAGCGCCTTGCAGCCCTTGATCGAGCAGAACCGAGGCGGGAGCGAGCCATCGACGACACTGGGGAATCTCGACGAGGACTGAGATGCGGAATCGGGGGAAGCGGCAGATGGTTGCTCCTGTTGTTGTTGTTCATGATGCTGTTGCTGGACGGCGTGTGCTTCGAGTGAAGATGTCGACGTAGGAAGAATCAATGCACCAGCAAGCTCAGAGGTTTGAGAGAAGAGCCGGGGGTCAATCGCATGGTCCCAGCTTGGGTCACTGAAAGGAAATTGCGTGGAAGCTGCAGACGCGCTCGGTGTTCGAGGCTGTAATAATTTCAGCTAAGCACATCAAATACGCGAGACAGAGAAAAGACAAATGAAATAACACAAATCGCCGAGCAGCGTGAAGTAGCCCGGCAGAATGAGAAAATAATGTAAACCGAACATTTGGACGTCATGCACAAACAGAGGCGGCACTCCACGCGCATATAGTGACCCTTATTTGACCAGAGATTGCCAGACATCATTAAATCCACATCCCGCAAAAAATACAAATACCAGGGAGATACAATACTCACCTCGTCGCTACCCGGAACACGGTCCCGAGGCACTACGGACGCGCCTGCCTGCTGCGATTGCGGCTGTAACAATGGCGGCAGTTGTGACTGGTGATGCCCTGCGTCTCCTCCATCATCTTCGGTCGTGTCATCCGGGGGCATCCACACGACGTGGCCGTTCTGCAAGCCCATCGCGGCCTTCTCCATCTTGCGTTTTGCACGCTTTGTGTTGGCATAGACGCGATGTCGTCCGCGACACGTCTCGCACATCTTGTGCGCGTAGTCGTTCGGGAGCTCGGACCCGCATCCTCTCACCGAGCATAGACGAGCTGGTCCCGAGCTGTGGTACTGAGTAACGTCGGTAGCGGGCTGCACACCGTCGACGACGTGGGCGTCGTTAGCGTCGACGCGGGGAGTGTTGGCGATGGTGTCGCCAGGGTAGAGGAGATTGGGAAAGGTGAGATGGTCGCGATAATATGCGCTCATTCGTCGGTACTGCCAGTCTCCAGACGTCGCCCTAGTCCCGCTGTCACACAACAGTCGTCGTTGCGGTTTGCAAGAAGTCACTCCGGCGGAGTTTCAATTATCCACTACCTCTCTAGCGGACTTCTGGCACCAGGCCTTTCATCTACAACCTTTGTACTGAGAAATCGGTTAGGCCATTCCAGTTGCAGCAGGTAATACCAAGGTCATATCGCGCTTTTGGAAATTTTCTGAGAGATTACTTGCTCTAGCAATTTTGTTGAAGGCAGGAGCTGCGTCAACTCAGTCTCCGGGGTCCTTGCGGTCTAGTAACAGAACGTGGCAAAGTTCAACTTTCAGTCTCTCGCCTCCACCACCAGCTAGCCCCATCATGGTCTATGCGAAGCTGAGCAGCACCAAAACGCGCGCCGCCCCAAGCGCGAAGGTTCGCTCAAGCCCGCCAACCCAGCCTTACGTGCCGCCGCCGTATCACATAGGTTACTTCGCGTTTCCGCCAGTGGCCAATGTCGCTGGGAAAGGCCGGCCCGGAAACCCATCTTTCATGTTCTCGTTCTATGACGACCGCAAGGCCCGCGAGGAGCAGGCACGCGCCGCGCGCGAGGAGCAAGAACGCGTCGCGCGCGAGGCACGCGAGGCTGAGATACACGCGAAGGAGCGGGCCTGGGAAGAGCGCTGCCGGCGGGCAGCGCAGGCGCGTGAAGAGCAGCTCGCACGCGAGCGGGCGGAGGCTCTGAAAGGTGAAATGTGGTGGGTCCGCTTCGGCTTCTATTTGCTCGACGAGCGCGGGCATAAATTGGTCGAGCGCACCGAGGCGCTGCGCGCGGAGGTCCGCATCCTCGACGAGGAGACGCGGCGGCTGACTATGTGGAACGCGTACGAGTCTCGCTGGCGAGAGTTGTTCGCGTCGAGCACACCTGTGGCCTTCAAGGACGTCCCGTGGCCCCTTCCCGCCACACTCTCCTCGGTCGATGAGCTCGCAGACTCCGAGGCGGCGATTGAGGAGTTCATCTTCGCGACGCTCATCGTCAGGACTAACACGGTGACCCGACGGGAGAGGCTGAGGGCGTCTTTACTGCGGTGGCACCCTGACAAAGTGTCAGCGGTGTTCGTAAGGGTTGTGCCGGAGGACATGGAGGCCGTCCGCGACGGCATCAACACAGTATTCAGACACTTGAAGGCATTGCAGGACAAGGAGAGGCAAGTATAACTGCAATGGTCGCATTCTTTGTAAAGACATACTGTACGCACTGTCTTCCTTCTGATACCTCTTTATTCCAGGCTCATTCAGACCATAGATCTTCAATACCCACAACATGTTTACTTCCCTTCTTGAAGCTCGTCGTCGTAGATCGTGCGCATGTAGTTGTCACTGGTGGTCCATAGCTTTGCTGTCCTGTAGACACATGATCGTATAATTTATCAAATCTTGGAGGTACTTGCCCGTACACTTCCGTGCAAACGGCAGCGGTAAGCTGGTGACGCCGATGGAAAGGGATCTTCGTTCCCGAAGGAGATTGGCGTACAGACATAGGCGCTGCCACACACCGAATTGCATGTTGGTCAGGAGTTACAGCACCTTGAGGACAACCCGGCCGAGCTAATGGGCACAGGCACTTCCTGGACGAAAAGAGAATAAATAAGCTTGCCAGAGGTCCTAGGATGGCCCGGCCGAGCGAATGGATACAAGTCCTGAATGAAAATACTAGGATAAGCTTGCCAGAGCCTCGCAGGCCCTGCGTGCAGTCAGCGTGCCAGATCACCACAGTTTCGGAAGGCATTACACCTACAGCAATAAGAACAAATCATGATGACCTTGAGGTACTAAGTAGCTACAGGCCCCTTCTATGACCAACGTTCCCGAGCGGAATTGGCGTATAGCATCACAGAATTGCATATTGCCCAGGCGTTATAGCATCCCGAGGACAAGTTAACCTGGCCGAGCGAATGGTCACAAGTCTTGTATGAAACCGAGGATACGAAGAAAGGATATGTCATAACTCAGCAGCGTGCAGTCCAGCAAGACAGACCACCGCAGTCGCGGAGAACGTCACACCTGCGCCAAGAAGCAATTATAACGACCCCGAGGCCCACTAGCTGCTGGCTAGACCTCTCACGACAGCTTAGAAGCAGGGGAATGACCTCACACGGCGGAGATACTGGTTGCGAGCATGAGGAGCACGCACGGGGAACGCGTTCCATACACAGCTCCCGATATCCTGCCGGAAGCGCCAGCATCGGATTTGTGCGGTTGCGCGGGACGAAGATTTGACATTTTTCCGTGCTCTGAGGAGGAAGGGAAGGCACGCACCAGGTGGAGGAGGCAGTCATAGGGTCCAAATTTGGAGCGATTCGACCAGAGATATTCACAGGAGCCCTGCATGCGCGTAAGGCTCGCAGCTTCAGCCTTCGGATAAAGGATATCCAGTCAGAACTTTACCAGGAATACCGGTGTGGATAGGAGCTGTCGCTGGAAACATCTCCTCGCTCTCAAGTCGAATACAGGAAAGAGGAGTAGGCGTAAAAATCCAGTCCGTTTGCAAGTTGAAGACTGATTTTGCGATTTCAAAGATATACATAGAGGTGCCTGGGTCACGGTGAGATCAAGAAACAATCTTAGACTGCCCCTCTTCTTGCATTCGAAGGCACATCGGGCACAATGAGATGGAAGAAATTTTCGTGCAGCCTAGACCGAGTGCTGTACCCGTCACGACGTCGTTCGGTATAACGCTATGAGATGCGCCTTCATCCGAGCGGATATTTCACGGTGAGGGGGGTGATATCCCAGCTCACCGGGGCGGAGGCAAACAACTTGCGTATGGGCGGTCCCTCATCGGTGTCGTCTCTGATAATGGCACAGCCAAATCGGATACCCCAGGAAAAAAAAACACAGGATTTATATGTCCCCGCAATGCGTTCAGGAACAATTTCGGTCGATCTCGAAATGTGAGATCGACTGTGTCGATCAGGTGCCAAGTACTGGCAGCGGGCGGGGATGTCATGGTATGTATGACAAGGTAAGCCACTAAGGGAGAGTACTGTACATAGTACGCGGCGGCATGCATGTAGAAAATGTGACGGTGCATCGACATATTAATCTAAATTCTGTTGGACAAAGATATCTGCACGGGATGGTGAGAAATACCAAGAACCGAAGCGAACTCTGCTGAGCCACTATCACCTTGTTCAATGTTCATCGTTCAACGTTCAACGTCAATGATACTCATGCGGACAAGTGCAAATTTCTGCCGACCTGGTTCCACATGGACCTCGTCTTCCTTAATCATCGCCCTACCGTGCCACCGAGTACAAGGATGTCCTTGTATGGCCAAGCGCTCCTGCGTCTACGGAAGATAGCCATGCGGCGTCTGACGCGCTCGTGCCGTGCACGCATCATCCCATGCAGCTCATAAGCCTGAGAAGGAGGCAGACAGTCTTCCAGAAATAACGGGTCACGCCGACACACTTCGCCCGTGCCGTCCTCGGAGAACCGCCAGGCTCTTGGTGTACTTAAAGTCGTTGTGCGCTCCTCCAGCTGCCTCGTTCTGGTTATCAATCCATCATCGTGGAATAATTTGTCCTTCCATTCCGTGTCACCTTTGTTCATATTATCTGGCCGGGCCCCGTTCGTATTCTCTCACCCCGGTGCCACTACCACCCAACTCCTCCTTCCACCTCGTATACGCTCAATACCACACGGACACAGTAATGGATCACAACAGCATTGAGTCCAAGAGCGGCGGCGGCGGAGCTAACTCAGAGCAGACAATTGTCTTCCCCGCCGTCCACCCCCGTTCAACTCATCCACAGTAGGAGTCGACATCGATACCGATTCTCTGCGGCGGGTGCTCACTCTCTTGCCAATACAGTATCACCCCTGTGGATCGACAGCATCAGTCGCGATTGGCATCTGATGACTCGAGGTGAACCGTTGTCTACACGATGTTGCGTCCAGTTGCGGCTTCTAATAAGCAAACAATATCTCTAGCCTTAGCATCTCACTGTATGGCTATAACGATCAATATCTGGCAAAAGAGTCGTCCAAGTAAGATGGCTAGTAGTTGCTTCTGTTCAATTCTGACGTTCTATGTTTACTCAGCTGTACGCCCACCCTTGACCCGAATGATGCGCAGCCGGAAGCTATATTCTCTTCTGACAATCTATGGTTTGTGCCGTTGCTGTCATCAAATGCCCACTTGTTGACATCATCGACAGCAGCTCGGTCGCATTACAGGGTAGCAACGCTGCAGAGCTGAAGGTCGAGGAATCTAACTTGTGAGTATAGGGCCCCACACCGATATGCAACAAGTGACGTTCTGACACTGCGTCCAGTAGGGTAACCTATCCCGACCTGCAAGGATTCGATGCTCAGGCTCCGTTGTATGAGCCACGACTCGCCCAAGTCCCCCCTCATGTTCCACAGTCTTCTCGCTATCCTCACTACTCTTCTACAGTTCATGAGAGTAAGCCTGAGTTGGATCGAGTGGATCGGTGCTCACGTTGGGGTACCACATCCCTCCCCCCCACCGCCGGCCGGTACACCGGTGAATGGGGGCCGATGGAAGCATCTCCTCCGTTTTACCAGAGTGCCACCCCTTCGCAGTTCGAACATGCTACTTTACCAGCCTCTTCAGGTCACCTTCACGGCGATAACTATCAGGTTTGCCACTCTCAGTCTTCGCACTCGCACCCACAGCACTCTTATCCTCATCACGTCCACTCCCAGTCGCTGCCAGAGGTGGGAAGCTCGAGCTCGCTGCACAACCCTCACCTACCCTTCCCTCAAGCTCGCACCAACACGTACCCCTCTGCTCTATCGTCGCCAATGCATCCCGTACATTACACACAGCCTCACGCCTCGGATGCGTACGGCGGCGCTTCTCAGCTTCCCTATCATCCTCGCTACGCTAACCACGCGCACGGCGCACAACCATACCCGCACGACCACTACCGCAACGGGACGTACGCCCTTGTCTCGGAGAAGCCTCCAGTGACGTACGAACACCCTGAGCCTCCTCCGCGCGATTATTTTTGCCAGTGGGTGACCGACAACCGGGGCACGGTGTGCAACATTCTCCTCGACGACGTCACACCCTCGGGCATCACGCGGCACCTGCGGGAGCACCACTTCCCCTCCAGCGAGTGGAACAAGTCGTACCGTGGAATATGCCGGTGGGGCGGTTGCACCCGTTCTGAGATGGACTACGCGAGCTTTGGGAAGCACATCGCATCGGTGCACCTCCGCGGTGCGGTGCTGTGGGAGTGCGAGTACTGCACGAGGGACTTCTCTCGCCGGGATGCGATGAAGCGGCACTTGAAGACGTGCCCGAGGAGTCCGACTTCCGAGGTGAGCTCAGCCCTATTTGCGCCAGAGGCCGTTCCTGAGGACATGCAGAAAAATGCAGGTCCGTCCCGGCGTGCTGGGAGACACTCTTCCAGCCTGAGCCCATAATCGTTATGGATGCGCGCAAAAATTCGAAATGTTGTCTTCCAAATAATGTCCATCTGCAGCCTTGGCTCGAATGTAGATGGTTCACACCCGCACTCTGACTGGCCCGGCTTCGGCTTCACGTATGCCAAGGATCATTTAGGGTTCGGGAAACCCGAACAATGCAGCACAAGTCGAATTGCTTTGCCTGATGCTTGTCTCTCCTCGCGCGTCGATATCATTCATGTATGTACAATGCTGTCCTAGTCCACCGCAGGCTGTAATTGTATCTATACGTTCCAATAAGATGACCGAACTAAGTGGCCACGACACCGACAGAGACTGCGACTTTCATCAGCAGAGCCGTAGAGTACACTGCATTGATAGACAACCTTGTGCATCTGCCGTGGTGTCTCATTGACTACCCAGTTACCACAACGCTAAGCTCCCAGTCAACTTATTCCATGTAAATGCCGCCATTAACGGAGAGTGATTGGCCTACAGACTTCTCAGTGAGAACTCAGTAGCTAATAGATAATCCTGACGCTGACCGGTGATGAAGTGGGCCTCCGGCTTGATCAAGTAGGAAACGACGCTCGCGACGACCTCCGGGGTTGCTTCCGGACCATCTGGACGCTCTCCCAACAGCTGTATCGCCATCCATCCGTCATCGATAGGACATCAAGGGTGTAAATGTCAGCTCGATCCGGAACAGAATACGTAAGTGGCGAACATGTTTCAGCGCTGCTCCATGGTTGCCGCCGAAGTACTTGTCTTCTTCAAACACCGCTGTGGAACCGGGTCGCTGAGCAACGCGGGAGGGACTTCGGGAGAAGGCGAACGTACTCAGTTGGGTGAGAATCAAGCCTGGCGCGTATGCGTTCACGGTGATGTTGTACGGTTGAAGCTCCTGCGCTGTTTGATGCATGTCAACGGATTTGCCGTGCAACCCAGCGTTGGCTCGAACACTGACCAAGACATTGTGTGAGGCCTCTTATGGCGAATTTCGTCGTGGAATAGGCAGACGTCTTCGCGACACCTATGATGCACATCGTAATCATGCTTGCGGAGTCAGGCGCTCCACTCGGTATGCGTACCCTTCTTTCCAAGAACAGAAGACGCCCCTGTGCCACAGTTGGTGAGCGTTCCAAGATATTTACTGAATTCGAGACGGCAATGACCAGTGAAAGAAACGACTGACCAATAATCCTGCCACCACGACCCTGCTTGATCATATGCTGGGCCGCGAACTTGTAACAGAGCATGGTCCCGCGCACATTGACTGACATAACCATGTCCCATGTCTCCGTGGACACTGATCCACGGCATTGTAGGAGACGTTGCGCGAAGAAGTCGGAAGAGAAGCGCACGTACTTTCAGTGAGCGGTTTGGCTCCGCCCCCAACGCCTGCATTGGCTATCATCTATGCACGGCAACGTCCGCAATATGCTCTGAAACACGCGGTGGTATTGAACATACTACATCAAGCCCGCCTAATTCTTCGACGGCTTTCTCAACCATGGTTTTCACTTCCGCCTCGACGGAGACATCTGCAATGAGCGGAATGGCACGGCAGCCCTTTGCCTGGATTTCGCCTACGACCTCGTCCAGCTTCACAGAATTACTTGCGATATCGTTAACGGCGATATCCAAGCCGTCGTCGGCCAACCTAAGGGCGATTGCTCGCCCAATACCCTGCCCAGCTCCAGTGACGATCGCCACACGAGGGTTGAATTCGGCAGACATCGTCGCTAATGATTCTGAGAGTCTAGGCCGGGTTCACAACTGTTATGAGTAGGCAGGTCCTCTTGAGGAGGTAGAGTGGGGAAGCAATGATCCTGAAGATCGCCAGATATCGTCTGCTCGAGCGCTTCGAGTAGCCCGCAGAATGGTAGTTCTAGACCTAAGCTGGGAATAGCTTAAGCTTGATCCAGCATGATGCGCTTGTATCGCGCCTCATATTCGTAGTCACGATGTAGTGGTGTCGAACTTAGTGTCCAATGTCGAGGGGGGTACAAGCAGCGTGCAACTTGAAGCTGCCGCATAGCGATAGCTTGACACCAAAATGGCCGATTTGCCAAATCGCACAGGTCGGAGAAGGTAAATTTTGATGAGATAACGTTGGCCAGCTGACAAGTCCCGGGGAAGGTGCGGAGCGCGAAAAGGCGTTTAGAGAGATGTTATTCATTTTGAAGGAGGGGTCGGACCACACCCTTCAAACGCGGATTCTGGGTAGGTTTACCGTCAGCCGACAGTCTGCCATGTACGCTCAAGCGCGAGGACGAGTAGCCTGACTCGGAAACGGCAGGCGTTCAAGAAAGTTGGCCACGTGACAGACAAAACAGGATCAAACAACACGAAACCCGCGTAACTTTTCGCGGTCACGTTCCACTCCTATGTTCCTTAACAACAATTCAGGATCGAAAATGCTGCTGTCGTCCCCTCCTAGCACGCCGTCTCGCTCTACTCGGTACCAGTCTATTTCTTATGGCTTCTTTCCTTTGAGGTCGTCACCGCTCGCGTCGTCGTCGCCTCCGCCTGAGGGGAGGTCACCCCCATTGATGGTCACGCAAGCGCGTCGTCGTTCGCAGTACAAGGCGCAGCTGCCCAGCTCGCCAACAACAATTCGCACCCGGAAGTCTGAACCTCGGAGAGCCAGTCTGGGTGGATCTCAGCGTGCTGAGGCGGTGGTACCAACAGAGGAGGCACCGAGGAAGGCGTTTCTGCGGGAGCGATTCAGACAGCGGTGCATCGAGCGCGCACAGAAGGATAGGGAGCGGAAGATCAGGGGGAAGAGGTATATGAGCGACCTGAGTAGTGATGGAGCAGATGAGTGCATGGATGAAGACGACGAGGACGAAGAGGCCATCATGGACGACGAGGTATGTCTGCGCGACACATGGCCCAGAACGTGCCTGTTCATGGTGCATAGCTTTTCCGTCGAATCATGTCAAGCGCGAACCGCAAACAGCAGCACAGCTACCGCTTATCGTACTCCTACGACGTCGGCTCGTCGTTCGACCCTGATCTCGAGGATCTTGACGAATGGGAAGCACAACTGAATGGTATTTACTCGTACCGACTCTCGTTGACAATGTTCGCAATAACTCATTTTGCACTGCAGACGTCCAGCCCGACGTTCCTGTACCTGAAGACTATGAAGAGGACGAGATCGCGGCGTATGCCGAGGAATACCAGTTGCACCTGGAAGATTTGGATCTGGAGCAGGTCTTCAGCACCAGCGACTTGGAGGACCAAGGCGTTGACCTCGAGGATGCACCCATGTTCACGCGCACACAGGACGAAGGCAAAGGCAAAGAAGTTGTCTCCGCCTTCGATGACGATATCGACATGGCCATGTAGATGATGCTCGCCGGCCCAAAGAAGTGACGGACTTATCTGTTTTACCGCCTCTGTATTCTAGGTTGCTTAATTGCTTTGAACTATCGCATTGCTACATGTAACGGACTGTGCGCTACGATCTTCAGTATTCCTCAAACAAATAAACTACCCCTTCGACTGAGTACACGGAATCAGCGGGAGACATATATATTGTCAAGGCTGGTACAGTAGGGCACAGTGCATGGTCAGATATTCCTGCGCAATATTATTTGCACAAACTACGGGCACCGTACGCTAGTCGCATACGAACTACGAATGCGCATAGTATGATTTACCAGAATCCTGTTGAACTTTAGTGATCCCGTCGTCAGTACCCGCTGGTCACACCGCGAAAGGAAAAAAGCTTCGCCTACGCAAACTCATCCATGGTATCTCCAATACGGTATACCTTACGTTCATACAGTCTAGGTTAACATTGAGACGGCTCTTCTGGCTGTCTCACTCGCGCCGAGTCAGTACTTGTGGAACCTTGGGTGGTTGTCACGGCTAAGATGGACGGTCACATGAAACGTCACACCGTTATTTAAGCCAGCTGCCACTCAGTCAGCGGCCCTACTTTGGACTCCTTCAACGGTGTCCTCATCCTCTCGTATTCCCTCTCACTGTTTTTGGCCCACCCAACACCTCTAATACCTCACATCAGTCAATCGCAGACATGGCTTCCGCTTATTACGAGTTTTACCGGGGTTCCTCGTGCGTACCAGCCACTCATATCGTGCAGCCCATTGACTGCTGCACCATGGTTCTGCAGCATCGGAATGGCTCTGACAGATTCGCTCGATGAGCTCATTACCAGCGGTGCGATTACACCGCAACTTGCGATGAAGGTTCTTCTGCAGGTCCTGTACTTTCTCGGCCGTGCGCAGTTGTGCGGTTAGGAGTGGCTGACACATGAGTGCACAGTTTGACAAGTCCCTCGCGGACACGCTGGTGAAGCATGTAAAGACAAAGACGACTCTAAAGGTGCGTTTCGTGCGGTGTGCGTACGTGGGCGATAGGCCGAATTTCTTTTCTGGGCGCTAGGGTCACCTGCACACATACCGCCTTTGTGACGACGTGTGGACATTTGTCGTCACGAATGCCTCGTTCAAAATGGAGTCCAACGAGCTCATTACGGCAGGCAAGGTCAAGATTGTTGCATGCAAAAACGGGGATGCTATCGAGGCTGGGAAGAAGTAAGGCCGGTGCCGTTGGGCGGCCACATCAACTTGACCCCTGTCCTCCTACCCCTCCTTCCAAGTCCATGTGTCGACTGGAACCCGTCAGAATGGATCTGCACGTCCTTTGTTCATACCCTATCGTCGCTTGTTCATTTTTTGTATCCTTGTATTCATAGGTGGCTTTCGCACCTGGTAGACGCGAGCAGAATTGTTCTCCGGATAGGACTCGATGCTACGCAGCGTATCTATATTAAATCATGTATTGGACCGAGATGCATATGTTTTCCACTACAATTACAAAAGCTGTCCGGATCCGCGAGAAGCCCCCTTCGTTCACAAGAAGTAAAAATCCAAGAAAAAGATCAAGCGCACCATCTACAAACGTCTTGCAGCAATATTTAGTATCTGACACAACATGGAGATTTCCTCAGATTGCATCTTTATAGATAAGGATATGCAGGGCTCCGTGGAGACCTGCCAGAGTGTTAATCAGGTATTGGTGAGAGCGACCAGCCTAACGCACCCTTCGAAAAGAGGCTCGGTGCACGCAACGTCCTCAATCCTCGTTTTCAGCCACTTGATAACATCAGGACCTAACGACGCGCAATCATACAGCTCCAGCTGGCGAAGGCGCGCGGGCGCGACGACGCCGCCCAAGTACGGCACCGGGCCCGCCGCAGAGATCTCGGGGTTGCGCGCCTCGACCATCTGTACGAGCTTCGACACGCCGTCCCCGTGCGTGTGGTGGCAGCCGCGCATCGCGAGCGCACGCAGATTCGGGCAAATCCAGTGGTCCTGCTGCGGATCGTCGTCCGGCGCGCCGAGTGTCGCCAGCAGCGGCTCGAACGGCGCGCTCCCGATCTGTAGTGACAGCAGGTGATCGAGCTCCCCGAGGAAGTGCCACGAGGCGACGCCCGCGCCGCCGTAGTAGAAGCCCGAGTTCGCGCCAGGCCCGAGCCCGTAGGCGAGCGAGAGCCGGGTCAGCGACGGATTGTTGGAGCGCGCGAGTAGCGAGGCGACGGTATCTTCGATCGGATCGCGCGCGTCGATGTCGAGGATCAGTACGTCGAGCGAGGGGAGGATCAACGAGTCGACGAGGGTGCTCAGTAGGTAGTGTCCCCCAAGGTTCAGGACCTTGAGCTCCTGCAGCGTCGTTGGGGTAAGCGGCAGCACGGGCGGGTTCGGAGAGGTAAAATGCAGTGAAAGCGTCTCGAGCTCTGGGTTTGAGGCAATGATGTAGAGGATGCGATCCAGCGCGAGATGTACCGTCGGCAATGTGCGCAGCGAGAGTGAGTGCAAGTTGCGTAGCATCGGTGCACTCCACTTGAACGGGACGTGGTGCAGCGTCAGCGTGGTGAGGCTAGAAATGTCGAATGTTGAATTCGCCGACGCAGACGGAAGCCACTTCCAGTCGTGGTAGAACGCCGAATCCGCACACGAGACCTCGAACTCACGCAACAGCGGCGCATCGCCTGTCACGTCGGTCAATCACGGTATGCCGGTATGAGCGTGCACATCCACACACCTTCGATCGCCTTTAGGGCGGTGAATGAAGCGAACTGCTTGTCGAACCGAAACACGAACCTCTCCCAGCGCCGCATCTGCTCGACGAGGTAGAAGAACGCGATGTGCCCCCAGTGCATGCTGGTCTTCGACCGCGACAAAGACGGCGCTCGTTCTGCAGACACGAGCGGTGGCATGTCCCATGGGTCTTCCTGAGACGCGGTTGATGGTGCGGACGCGACACCGTTCGCGACGACTAGCTGCGCCGCCTGTGCGATCGGAAAAAAATGGATGCCTGCTGTCTGCGGCACTTGCACATACGTCGCGTGCGCATTAGCACCTAATCCCGGGTGGGCCAACGGTGACGGCGTCGTTGTCCAACCAGCCGGCCCGTATGTCCAGCCGTGGGCAGAGGTAGAAGACGAGCGGCGGCGGCAGGACAAGTCGATACCAGAAAACGGCTCTGAGCGCAGGAATATCTCTATGTCTAGCGGTACACTGGTGCCCGACCGTTCCAACCAGAGCCGAATAGTGTCTGCGGAAGTACTTTGTGTAGTTACGAGGCGTATCTAGGAGGAAATAATTTAGCGTCAAATGAAGACCATCCCCTCTTAACTCATGCGGCTCACCTTGGACCAGAGAACGGGCATCGACAGTACAAGGCGACGCCACAGAGAACAGACCGCAGAGAGTACCCACGCGCAACACGGGTAGTCCTCGAAGTTGAGCAAGAAGATGTAGCGAAGCAGTTCGTGCGGCAGCCTCCTGATGGGCGATATATAGGCCAAGGTTAACGCCACTTTCTCTTGCAGAGCTGCACGCTCCCTCTCCATATCACGGACAGCACATCGAGACTCTTCCACGATGCGTGCAAGGTCATCCTCTGCCGCCTGTATCTTGTCTGAGAGTACACGGACAGCAAGCCTATCCGACACTAGCTCTCTCCGAGCATCTGCGAGCGTCGCTTGGGTTGCTGGCTCTGGTAGATTGACGAAAGACATGGGTATGCAGCTAGATCGTGGTTAACCCAGTGCCACGCGGCGCGTATATCAGGATCATTTCACGTTGGAAACACTTCGTACATACCCAAATTAACCCCTGATATCCAGCGATAACCAAGCGGATGGGTGCAGCGGCAGTATGTGAGACTTGAGAGTGCTTCGACTGGTGATCTCAGGCTATCCAATGAAGACCTTCCAAACCGGGACAAGTACCAGGACCCCGAGCACGCTTATATACATGATTTGCCAAGCAAGCCTCATGCACGTTCGACCCGTGTGTCTCCATCACAATCCCTCCGCCCAGCAAGCTCATAACATGACAGGGAAAACGCTGGGAAAAGGGAGGATTCCGCAGAAAAGACTGAGGAGAGGGACTGCATTTACTTGTACGTGACTAGAACAAACTCTATATTTTTCGTAATTAGAGACTCAAAATTTGCAGAGGTTCAGCGTCCCGGGAACAACGTCAGACACGTTAGTGGTGCGCCACATGTCAGCTATCCTCTTTTTCGCCGTTGGCTCGGATACAAATCGACGTCGACGAATGCTCACGGCCATTTTCAGCGGTTGACATGTTCTCCTACTTCGCCCACCGTAAGAGTTGGTGAGTGGAAGAGGGCGGTGTGGCATCAGCCAGTTTACTACTGATATGGTCGATCAGTGCACAGAAGCAACAGGAAAGGAAGTCGAAGCTGGAGTCTGTTCCCGCCGTTTACTCCGCCCCTGCGACAAATGACGATCGGAGGATTCTCTCGCTATCCCTTGCGGAGTTGGTCGAAGAATGCAGCATGAATCGTACCTCGCCCAACGCCGTACTGCAAGCGTATGGCAAACGATGCTTGCAGGCCCAGGCTGCTACCAACTGTCTGTCCGACATCATGTTCGACGAGGCCGAACGAACCGTGACCTCGGGGAAACTCCTCTCAGGCGTTCCAGTGAGCCTGAAAGATTGTGTCGACATCGTGGGACACGACACCCTTCTCGGCTACTCTTGCAACGTCGCAAAGCCTAGGCAGTCTTCCGCGTCCATCGTGCATATCTTGCAGGATGCGGGCGCTTTGCTGTACGTGAAGACATCTGCACCAACAGGCCTCCTTTCCTTCGAAACAGAGTCGGACGTCCTAGGCGTGACCACTAATCCATACAATCCCAAGTTCTCACCCGGTGGCTCTACTGGAGGTGGTGGGGCATTACTTGCGTATCAGGGCAGCATGATAGAAGTGGGCACCGACCTTGCAGGCAGTGTGCGGTTTCCAGCTGCGAATTGTGGGGTATACTCGCTGAAAGGTTCCATCGGACGGTTCCCGGCCTACGGATGCACGCCTTGCCTTCCCGGCTTGCAGGGTGTAGTGACGGTTACTGCTCCAATGGCACAGAACTTGGCCGATCTAGAAGAATTCTGGAAGCGTGTAATGGAGATGAAGCCGTGGGATTACGATTCAACTGTACGCTGTTGTTTTACTGTCCATTTGGTGTCTCAATTCCCCGACGGTGAGCACAGTGTCTCCCCATGCCTTGGCGACCCGTCAACGCGCAGTTTTCGGAGGTCAAGCCTAGATGGGGTGTCATATGGGATGATGGTGAAGATAATGAGCATATGTCTATTTCTTGGCTGAGGCGCTGACCGGGAAGCAGGCATAGTGACTCCGACACCTGCATGCAGACGTGCTTTAGTGGACACAGTTGATGCTTTGAGAAGACAAGGTTTTGACGTTGTGGAGTTGTAAGTACATATATTCCATGATGATGGACATGTATTGACTCGACGTGTTCAAGCGAGTCTCCAGGCATACCCGAGGGAACGAGGATTGGTTTCGGTCTCATTGCATGCGGCGGTACGTGCCTTATTAACCATTTCACTGTCGCCTCGTACCTAATTCACGCTGCAGCCTCCCCAATCTTCAACTCACTACGAACTTCGGAGACCCTCAATTCCGCATTACGCTCTTTCGGTATACTCGTCAGCCTCCCTCGTTGGGTGAAATGGCTGTACGCGCTCCTCCTTCGCCTATTCTCGCGACCGCTGGGTAGGAACGACACTTGGGCAACTCTCGCTGAGAATTGCTACAAACGCAGCCCAGTAGGCGAGCACGAGTTGTTGGTGCAGCTTGAAGATTATAAGATGGCGTGGCACACAGCGTTGCAGAAGCAGGACGTGGACTTCGTCTTGACGGTCCCACACCCCTCGCCTCCTGTGCCCTTGGGCGGCACCGGGGTCGTCTCGCTCATCGCTTCCAGCTACGCGTTCATTTTCAGTCTCGTGGGTGTTGTGCTACTTCTCTTACCACTGTCGTCGGCTAACGTGTCGAAAAAGCTTGATGCAGTCGCGGGCGTCGTCCCGGTCACATTCGTGGACAAGTCACTCGACGCGTTGCCTGCAGATTTCAGACGTAGTTCCGCGTACATGAATATGAGCGACATCGGACGGGCCGTCCATTCCGTCTACGACGCCAGAGCAATGCATGGCCTGCCACTGGGTGTGCAGATCGTCGGTCCTCGACTGCACGAGGAGAAGGTGCTCGCGGGCATGAAGATCATCGACAATGCTTTACGTGCGGCTGGACGGGGTTTCGTCCCTAAGCAGTTTTGACCTCGGGTTCACTTCATGCTATGTCTATTCGCGGAGTCGTAGATAATCGCTAGAGTCTGGTTGGATGCATCTTGAGATCCTCTTATAGCAGGAATTGTACGTAGTATAGTAGTAGTCTAATCCGTAAATATAATTTTCTCCCCTACTCAGACTGTTCGTTCAGCTGCGTGGTGTGCATCACACCGAAGAGTAGTCCTCTTGCTTCGGAAGATGGTCAAGGTTTCAACCGTGCTCACATCTTTGAACGAGGTTGTATACAGGTAATACTGTATGCTCCTGCTGTCATATATCTTACACCGTGCGAATATTGCCTGGGAGCTTCAATCTCTTACCATAAACACGAATGTCGAATACGTCAAGGAGTGGACTTTGAGCACTACACGGAGGACTGTTCTTCAAGGTTCTGAGGATAAGACTCGGAGAAGCCTTACTGGATTGGTTTTTTTTACTCGCAACTGGCTGCATGATGGGTCAGTGGGGCTACCTTGCCAAGTTTCTGATAAGCTCGCGGCGAGCTATCTCGCACACCGTGACTTGGGAATTGGGTATTTCTCATCGTATCTCCGCTCGTCTTGAGGATCTACCCTCACAATGCTCCGAATTGGCGTCGATGTAGGAGGTGAGTGTCATTTGCCCCATCCTTCTATGTAGTTACACGGAGTGAGTCTATTTGCACGGTCAAATGGCAGGGATACGCATGCCGTGCGACAGAATACGATTCGGATTCGGCGTCTGAAATCATCGAAAGAACGGTGTTGCTCGATTTTTTCGCTGGTCATGACTCAGCCATCGGGATAACATCGAATACTGACACTATGACTCTTGGATATCGACCGGCATTATTCAGCTGACATATTAATGACCTGCGATTGAAGGCACGAACACGGATGGTGTCCTGATTGATGTCGCTCGCCGACATGAGTCAACCCATGGTGTGCTGGCACACTTCAAAGCCCCCACGACTGTGGATGTGTCGAGTGGCATTGAAATGGCTGTTCGTGAAGTTCTAAGACGGGCCGCAATATCTCCCTCATCCGTCGCTTGCTTGAGCATCGGGACGACGGCGTTCATCAACGCGGTCCTGGAGGCCGACAGCCGCCGACTCGCCAAGGTTGCAGTCATTCGGTTATGCGGCCCATACACCAGACAATGCCCGCCTTTTATAGATTTTCCCAAGCGCTTGCGTGCGCTTACAGAAGGATACGTCGGCTATGCGGACGGCGGTCTTCAAAGTCAGTGTCTGTCCGAGTCGATTGTGCTGAAGCATGACTCATTCGTCTCTCGATAATCTTCAGTCGATGGAGGAGAAATCGCCCCGCTGAACGAAGAGCAGATAATTGAACAATGCTCAGCCATCAAACAGAGGGAGCTGAAGAATGTTTGCTTCCCTTCTCTGCTGCATTCCATCCTCGGACTTACCTCATTTACATACTACAGGTCGTTCTGTCGGGTGTTTTCTCTCCACTCGACAACGACGGTAGGCAAGAGTTAGCAGCCATGAAGATTGTTCAACATGAATTGGGTTCATCAATTAACGTAGTCTGTTCTCGCGATGGTAGGTATCCTGTCAAGTCTTTGGGTTACACCGTCTGAAGGCGTGCTGCAGTCGGCCAGATCGGATTTCTTGAGCGCGAAAATGCCGCGATCTTGAATGCGTCGATTTTGACCTTCGCGCAACGAACGATCCACAGTTTCCAGATCGCAATGCGTGCACTGGACCTCTCATGTCCATTATTCCTCACTCAAAATGATGGCACACTGACTACTGCTTCATCCGCTGCTCACTTGCCGATTCGTACCTTCGCTTCTGGGCCGACAAATTCGATGCGAGGGGCGGCATACCTAGCAGGACTAGATGAGCACCATATCATCCAGCAGCGCAAGTCTGCTATTGTTGTCGACATCGGTGGAACCACGACCGATGTGGGTGTTTTGCTACCTTCGGGATTTCCTCGCCAGGCAGCTGCTTTCATAGAAGTAGGAGGCGTGCGCACCAACTTCGCAATGGCGGACGTGCAATCCATCGGACTGGGTGGTGGCTCGCGTGTGAGAGTATGTGAAACTGCGAAGGGAGAGCAGGTCACCGTCGGACCGGACTCCGTGGGATACAATTTGACCCGCTATGCTAAAGTCTTCGGTGGGGATGTGTTGACAGCTACAGACATGATTGTCGCTGGTGGGTGCGAAGAGGAAGTGGGAAAGAGAGAGCGGGTTGCCGACCTGGACCGCAATGTGATTGAGAAGGCGAAGAAAGTCATTAAGAAGCTTCTAGAGGGAATAATCGATAGGTAGGTTTCAATTTCTTACATTCGTACGATTTAGAGCCTCATCCGTACCTCAGGATGAAGACGTCGCCAGAGCATATTACAGTGCTGCTTGTCGGCGGTGGGAGTATTATCGCCCCCAACGAACTCACTGGTGTCAGCGAAATTATGAGACCAGCTTATTTCAGCGTCGCCAATGCTGTAGGTGCCGCAATGGCGAAAGGTAAGTAGTACGAGTCATAATTAAGTTGCTGCAGCTTGAAACGATGATACGCCATGTCTGTCCCAGTTGCTGGGGACGTGGACACCATAGAGCTACTCCAGAATCGTAACGTTCATGCTGTCATTGAATCGATCAAGACACGAGCCATACAAAAGGCCATCATTGCTGGTGCAGATCCAGGTAACATTCTTTTGATCGAATCATCTTCCGTTTACTCACTTGAGCAGCTACTACTAAGGTCGTCGAAGTGGCCAATCTCCCCGTGCAGGTATGTTGTGACAAACGTATTACCTGCATAGCTCATTTTCTTCTGTAGTATGTAACGAATCAAGCGACTCGTATCATTGTCAAAGCTGCAGGAGAGTTAGCAATGAATGCCATTGCGTCTACAACTGAGCTAAATGTAATTACAAATGGGGACGATGAGCCTGAGGCTAGCGAGGGTGAGAAGGCCGTTTTGCAGGAAGTGAATGAAGAGGAAGACCTGATCGACATCGAGGAGTATGCTCCCACAATTCGAGAAGATCGATCGTGGATTTTATCAGAACTGGATCTCGGTAAGACAAAAATTTCAAAAAAAAAGTCTGACATCTCTATTGTGCTTTAGAATGGATTGCCGAAGGATGTGGTGTCTTAGGTACGGGAGGTGGGGGCTCAACATACCCACCCTTCCTTATGGCTCGTCAATTGCTTCGTGATGGTAAGGAGATCATTGTGAGTTGCAGTCAGTCTCACTGTACCAATTCTGACTCACCCATCCACATCAGATTGTCGATCCTGATGATGTAGCTGAAGACGGAGTCTTTCTTCGTTGTATGTTCATGGTGTGTCCTCCCATAGCTCGTCGAAATACGGTCGTTCTGAAGCTTCCTTGCAGGGTTCACCCAGTGTCTCGGTACGTCGTCCAAGAGTTACTGAGCTTCACCTTGGTAGCGCTAACCTATCTGGTCAGCTCGAGCGTGTGCAAGGCGGTGTCGAGATACCTGCATCCATTCGTGCACTCATGACTTACATGGGTCTGCAAGACATCACTGGAGCGATATCTGATGAAATCGGAGGTGGTAATGGGATACAACCAATGATTGTTGCGACAGAGATGGGCAAGGTAGTCCTAGACGCGGACTTGATGGGCCGAGCATATCCCAATGTGCGTTATTAATTGTTCATCAGGATTCGCTATTCAACATTGACGAGATACCACAGATGTACCAATCGTGAGAGCGAATAGATTGGTTCAAACTCTCTTCAGAGTTACTGACCTTTTTTGATCGCGGGCAGCTTACCTGGCGCCTTCGATATACCTGGAGGACTGTGGCCTTGCGCTATATCCGATGGTGTTGGGAATACAGTTGTAAGTGCGCGGAAATTACGGTGTCATATGACTAAGAAGTATCTAGTTGTTGCCGACTGCAAGTAATCCAAAGTCTGTCGAGACCATCCTTCGGACTGTAACCACTGAAATGGGATCAAGGAGTGGTGTCAGTATGGCGCCATTGACACGCAAAACTTGTCAGGAGTATGGTACGTCTGTCCAAGGTTTGTGAAGTGGCTGCGTTGAATGAATTTCCTTACAGGAGTCGTTCGAAGTGTGTCCCAAGCCTGGCGGATTGGCCGAATCATTGCACTTTGCAGGAAGAAGAATAAGTTGAGGAGTATTCCATCAGCGATACTTGAGCTCCAGAATGGTTCGTGTCTGTTCGTCGGCAAAATCATAGATGTACAGAGGGTAAGCCGTTTCTTCACCGACTCTTGTCTGCTCTCTCAGATTTCACGAGTAGGAAGTACGTAAAGGTTTCACATGGGGGTCTGTCACTATTGTACCATTACTTGAAGACGAAGAAGAGGATGGATGTCCGCCCACGAACATCCCCGTTGCTCACGGCCAAGACGACCGTCTTGTAATACCATTTCAAAATGAGAATTTATACGCCTATATCAGTTCACCTAGCGGGGAACAGAAGGTGCATTTGTCTGTCGGTCTCGATCAAACATCCATGGAATTCTGACAACATGCATCGCATATAGATTCTAGTCACTGTTCCGGACTTGATTGTTGTGCTTGACTCCCAGAACGGCGCACCACTCGGCACTCCAGATTATAGGTACGGAGTCCGGACATGCGGAAATACTCTCTGTAGATTTGATTTAAGCCCTTCACCAGATATGGCCTACGTGTCACTGTGATAGCATTGGCAGGCAATCCGAAGTGGACTGCTACCCCGGAAGGTTTGGCGTGTGGTGGTCCGTCCGCCTTCGGGTATGTGGTCCAGTCAAAAGTATTCATGCGTTGATGATTAATTATGGCGAATACAGTCTCCAGGATTTGCCGTTCACACCAATTGCGCAGTACAGGGAACCTTCAAGCGTTATTACTGAGTATGCCCTGATACGACCAGATGCGCTGTAGATGTACCGAATCGGCTTCTGTGCGACCTAGGTTATCCGTGCGCTACACTTGTCTCATTGAAGAGTGTACATTATATCAATTCTAACACCAGCAGAACCTGGGTGACAACTTTGTTAGCGATCTACTCCCCATTTTCGCGTGAGAAACGTACGCACTTCTCGTTGAACATCCATTCGACTTCGTCATCGGTCTCCCTGCCATACCACTTGAACGCAGACAGATGCTCAGCTCTCTCTCCGGTCTTCCAGCCCAATTCTTCTGCCAGCGAATACCATTCCTCCCGTAGACCCCATATCTCTATTCTCTCTGTCTTCTCATTCTGTGCGGCCTCTACTATTTTAGCCAACAACTGTGGAAAGCTCGACTTGGTGGCACGAATACGGGTCACCACCAATGTACGAGGCCGGTCTCGCACGTCGAGCGTCCATGTTGCGAAAGTTTGTGGTTCTCCGCCAGATTCGTCGAGGTCTTGCCGAAGCAGGACTCCCCATATAGCCGTAGGCAAGACGGGTGTTCGATCCGAATCGAAAGACATTGTCCTTCGAATCGTGTAGACGCCCACGCCATTGTGCGGCAGAAATGAGAATAGAGTACAGTTGCTGGCAGCGGCAGCGGCCCTCATGTCGGCTTTTATGTCTTTCACGTCCCTCTTCCAGACAGAATTTACTGTGTCCTCTGTTAACCACTCCCATTTCGTGTCGACGTTAGTCGTCTGCCTGACAGAAGTTTCCGGAATGTAGACCGTCTCCCGGGCACCACTGACGAGCCATCCATTCCCTTCTTCCACATCAGGTCCACACGCTCGATAGAATTGACCGCCGATATCGCTATATAAGACGGAGAAATGTGCATTTCTGGTCCTGAAACTGTCTGCAATCTGTGGAGGTGACCCCCAAGACGGCGGAAAGACGGCAGGTAGAGCAGAACGTGGAGCAAGAACCCAATGGAGTAAATGCAGCATATGCTGGGCATATCCCTTCCTTCTCTTCGAAGGTGGGGTGAATACTGAAGCAATACCGTATGCAGTGACCTCCACAGGTTGTGACTGCCCGGTTGAAGACTGATTCGCGATCAATCCCGTGCGGCGGAAGCTTTAGAATAGCTGATTTGTGTTTTAAAATTCCTAGGCGAAATATAACGGACGTACGTTTCGCATGAACACATGAAGTCCAATGTCTCAGGATTGGTCCGAGGTGCCAGAACCCTGCCCCAATTTCGCCCTCGATAATGTGTTAGGCGTGTTACAAAACATTGAGGCATACCAGGTTATAAGTTTTCCCCCTAGCGCATGTTCATGCTCATCCATGATAGCATCTCTCAGTATGTATTCTTCCATGGTGAGCCCCTTCGCCCACTGGAAGGAGGTGCGTCTCCGGGATTCGAGAACTTGCTCTCGGATCGCCGGAAAAAGTGACAACTCTGCAAACGCAAGTGCCATGAAGCCGGCTACTGGCACTAGTTACTGATTTGCAAGCCAGATATGAGTTGATGATGGGGATGCAGAACAATTTACCTCTCAAAGTTATCGATGAAAAATGGCGATCGTCAACGCCACGCCGTCAGTGCATATCTGAAACTGGCAAGTGAAGTTGTAAGGCGAAGGATCGCCAGGATCCTCACATGTAAAGTTTCAAGTCGGCGACCAGAAAAGATGTGTCAGGAGCGGCGGTGGCCCTCCGACTTCTACAACGTCTGTCTGCAGTCTTGTTGAAAAGTCGGAGTGTCATTGTGTAGTTCCTGTAAAACATACTCATGTACCTTGCAAGGGTCCGGCCGAAGAACTTGAATCTCATTTTGCCCTCAACTGGAATCCGTTGTTGATTACGCATGGTACTAACGCTGATTTTCTTTATAGTCGGCGATGTTATTGAATCTAGTACAGGATCTTTATAGCAACTCAATCATTCTCTAGTGTCGCTATAAAATCGATCCCAGAACTTCAGCACACTTCGAGCATGCCGAAGACGGCACGATAGTCACTCACAGTACTCACACCTTCAAAATGCCCGCCCTGGCCCAGTAACCGAGTGTCTTCAGCATATCCTCCTTGTCCAGCTGCCGGAACTGCTCCAACGTCGCCGAGCAGCGCTCGGCCTTCTCCGTGCTCAGCCGCATGCGGCCGTCGAACTCGCCTGTGTGGAAAAACTCGAGGAGCGTCACCGCAGTGTCGTGCTGCTGCATCTCTCTTGAGCTCGGGCTCTTGCCTGCCATCTTCATCACCGCAGCTACGGCCTCGAGCCTCCCAAGCCACTCCGAGTAGGGGACGAGCGGCACACCGAGGTTCGCCGCGGCCGGCGCAAAGAGTAGTGTTGCGTAAGAAACTCAAGGCAGGTTATTAACGTTAGGTTTATAACATGTTAGGTCCCAGAGGTATTTGACACCATGTTTTTAACGTTTAAAACATGTGGTCACATGACCTATTTCCGCGTACTATAAACTGTAGATTTCTCTATTTTTGCGTCTGTTCTGGAGGCTGCAGAAGAGATCGGAGGGCCCGTACGTATGATATTCCTACTCTACTACTCAATGACCCCGTATCCTACCAGTGGAACTGTCAGCCTACATCTGAAGACCTGTTACCTGTTCTCTTACGCCCTGCTCGACCAAAAGGACATGAAATCTGAAGGAGAACTGTTAGTAGCTGTCAAGTTGTAGTCTACTAGAGCATCTGACCTCAATGAGGCCTTGTGAGCAACCCCCGCACGCCGTGGCCGAGTACGCTATGGGGAAATCCGACGCGACGTGACCATTGGCGCCGGACTTATTGACATAGGCATTTTGGCCTTATGTTTTTAACATGTTTTTAACGTGTTAAAAACACGTTTAAAACATACATGTTTTAAACATGACAGTTTTACACGCAACACTAGCAAAGAGTGAGTCTCATGTCACGGGACGCGGGTGCACCAGGTTCAAGACCGGCTCGACGATCTTGGAGGAGACCATGTCGAGGAGTGCAGAGGTGACGATATCCACGGGTAGCCACGCGACAATCTATGATTGACCAGCCGTGACGCTGAGCAGACGAGGACAGCGGGGGTGAGGAGGGGGCGTACCTCTTCTAGTGACGGCATGCAGCCCAGAGCCTGTGCGGCACTCACTAAGGCGTCGACCCACTCTTTCGTGTTCCACCCACCGTTGAGCGTATCACCACTGATCTGGCCCACGTGCACTGAGGTCGTGCGCAGCCCGCTCTCCCGCGAGGCGTAGGCAAAGAGCTACTCCGCAACCCACTTGCTCTCGCTATAACCTGCACCCATTGCCACCTTGGGATCCAGAATCGGCTCTTCAAGCACGGGCCTAGATGTGGGGTTTCATTGGGAATGTACTTAGTATACGCGTGATGATTGAATCCGTGTGATGGCTTACTGCGGAGGACACCGATGGAGTTGACAAAGAGGATGCGCGGGCCTGCAAAGCTTGGAGACCCGGCGGAGAGGTTGATCAAGTTGCACACGCCGGTGATCAAGGGCTCGAATGACGACAGGGAGAGGTTGAAATTGACCCGCCAGGCTATTTATTCTAGCGTCAGGTCACTAGCAGTCTGAGGGCAGTTTCGACGCACCATTGTGGATGATCGCCGTTACAGAGTCGCGGATCTAGCCTTCCGTCAGCGTGATGTATCTGGAAGGTGATTCGCAAACCACCTTACTTCATCATATCTCTCCTTGCTCAAACCCATATACCTTTTTGGCAGCTCGCTCGCCATCAACATGAGCTTCTCTGAGTCGAGCAAGCCGACGTCAAGACCCCAAGTCTTGAATGCCTCCTGCTGCCGCGCTCTCAGTGCAACATCCGAACCCTGGGAGTCCCTGTTCAGTGCATACACTCTGATGACGTCCGGCCTCTGCAGGAGCTGAGAGAGTAGATGGCAACCCAAGCGGCCAGTGGTGCCTGTCACCAAGATGGTCTTTCCATCCTGAACAGCTACATACTTCCCTCCGTCGAAACGCTTCGCGAAGGATATAGTGGCGGCGTATTTCTTCACCATGTTGTGCATCTCTTTCGCCTTCGTCTCCGTATGGGAGGCGCTGCCAGCCTTCTTACCCGTCGAAACCAGGTGGAAGACGAAGTCACTGAGGGCACCGATGCTTGGGTGCATGTAGATGAGGTTGTGGGGAATGTTGTGTACGGAGGCAGTCGTCGACGACCGGATGGCATGGATGACTGTGTTGCGTATCCAGGTCGCCTGCAGACTGAAATCTAGGAGTGAGTAGAGGCAGAAAGATGCTCGCAAGAAAATCTGTACCGAACCTGTCACATCCTTGCTGGAAGAGGTCATTGTTGTTGGCCAACTTCATCTTTATCACCCGTTCCACCAGCTCTCTGATGAAGTCCAGCGTGGTGGCATTAGACCACGAAATGGGTATGGGAACTTCGACCTCAGATGAGTCCTGCACCGCTTTGTAGCACACCTTTCAGTCATGTTACCTGAACTGAACTCCCATTTACCCTGACATTGTCATGAACTGGACAGCCAGCGGACGTCGGCCCATCGTCACCATGTTGACCTCTACCAGCAGTGGGCCCATATCTTTCATGTGTGGGATACCAGCAGTGGGCCCACTGCTAGTGTTCTTCTCCTAGTGCTCGGCCCACTAGCAGGACATATTACAGTGTTGTAACCATTAAGCAATGGGCCCACCGCCACAGGTCAGAAGGTGGGCCGATGCCAGAGCATGTTATCGCCATCAATGGGCCCACTGCCAGAGCATGTTAGCGCCATCAATGGGCCCACCGCCAAAGTGTGATCAATGAGCAGTGGGCCCACCGCCAAAGGTCGGAGTGTTGGCCAACGCCTGAGCATGTTTCTCTGAGCAATGGGCCCACCGCCAGAGTATGATGAATGAGCAGTGGGCCCATCGCCAAGAGTGTAAGATGACCGATGGGCCCATCGCCAAAGGTTAGAGGGTTGACGATTGCCAGAGCATGTTATCACCAGCAATCGGCCCATCGCCAAAGCACCCTCAGTGAGGGCCTTACTGCAAGCACTCATGGGATAGGTCATCACCAGGACATGTTTCCGCCAGCAATCGGCCCACCGCCAAAGGTCAGAGGGTTGGCCAACGCCAGAGCATGTTTGTCTGAGCAATGGGCCCACTGCCAGAGTAGTCAAAGGTCAGAGTGTTGGCCATCACTAGAGCATGTTATCACCATCAATGGACCCACTGTGAAAGTATGATTAATGAGCAGTGAGCCCATCACCACGAGTGTAAGATGAAGGATGGGCTCACCGCCAAAGGTCAGAGGGTTGGCCATCACCAGAGCATGTTATCGCCACCAATAGGCCAATAGCCAGAGTACAATAGCTGAGCAGTGGGCCCATCTCCAAGAGTATCAAATGAAAGATGGGCCTACTGCCACAGGTCAGGGGGTAGACAATCACCAGGACATGTTTCTCTCAGCAATGGGCTCACTACCAATGTACAATGAATGAGCAGCGGGCCCACCACCATAGGGGTATGTCTGAGCAGTGGGCCCATTATCATGATGCTATTATTTACCGATGGGCTCACCACCATAGGGGTACCTCTGAGCAGTGGGCCCACCGACATGATGTTATTAGTCAGTGATTGGTTTACCATCATAATGCTGGCAGTGCCTGCACTCAGCAATTCACCTAATCGCTAACCTGACACTACATCTCTGGTGGAGTTTTTACAACATGGAGTCCTGTCTGAAACTTATTGTAGCTATCATATAGAGTGCAGTGCCACCATTTTATGAGTTCCTGATATATGGCAAACCATGGCTTTACATTCTGGTGATGGCGAGACTCAATTTGCCAAAAAGTCGCCAACCTGGCTCTCCTTCTCTGGCGAAGTTTGTTAAACTTGGAGGTCTGTCTGAAACTTGTAGAAGAGGACTTATAAAGTGCAGTGCCACCATTCTATAAGTTCCTGGTATATGGCGAGCCATGGCTTTACATTCTGGTGATGGCAAGACTCAATTTGCCAAAAAGTCGCCAACCTGGCTCTCCTTCTCTGGTGAAGTTTGTTACACTTGGAGGACTGTCTGAAACATGTAGCAGAGGATTTATAAAGTCAAATTTCATTATTTTATGAGTTTCTAGTATATGGCGAGCCATGGCTTTACATCCTGGTAATGGTGTGACTCAACTAGTAAAAAACTCGCCATCCTGGCTCTCCTTCTTTGGTGAAGTTTGTTAAACTTGGAGCACTGTCTGAAACTTGTAGTAAGGGATTTATATAGTGAAGTGTCACCATTCTATGAGTTCCTGGTATATGGCGAGTCATGGCCTCACATTCTGGTGAAGGTGAGACTCGACCAGTAAAAAACTCAGCAATCTGACTCTCCTTCTCTAGTAAAGTTTGTCAAACTTGGAGGACTGTCTGGGATTGATAGTAGCTGCAGTATCAAGTGAAGCACCATCATTGTTTGAGTTTCTTGTAGTTGGGAGCTATGGCTTAATATCCTGATAATGGCTAGACTCAACCAATAAACACATCATTAATCTGGCTCTTCTTCTCTGGTAAAGTTAGTCAGACTTGAAGCACTGTCTGGAATTTATAGTAGACATTTCATAATGTGAAGTGCCATCACTTTCTGAGTTCCTGATCAATGATGAGCCACAGCTTCATATCCTAATAATAGCTAGACCCAACCAGGAACAAAATGACCAATCTGGCACTTGTTCTCTGGTAAAGGTTGTATAACCTGAAGCACAGTTTAAAAATTGCAGTAAATGTTATATCAAGTGGTGCCAGCATTTCGTGTGTTCCTTATAGATGGTGAGCCACAGTGAAAATGTAACTGGCAACCTGATACTTCTTTTTTCACATACACTGATGAATTTCATATGATATGAAGTACTGACTATAAGTTGTAGCAGTGGCTATATACTGTGATGTCCTTTTATATGAACTTCTGGCTGATGTCAGGCTATGTTTGTACAAAGTGTGGATGCACTGAGATTCAATGCTGACAATCTGCTATTTATTATAAAGTGAAGTATCTAAGCCTTTCAAAACTTAGAGCAGCAGTTGCATTACTGTTCAATGTCAGTGTTGTATGACTTTGTAGTTGGTTGTGAGCCACATCTAATCATCCTAAATACACTCACAAGTTAGCATGCTAACTGGCTGTGATAATCTTATATATATATAACATGGAAGAGTGACTAAATCTTATAACAGCAGTTGTATGCTCTAAATTAGAAGCCTTGCATTACTTCTTGAAGTTTAGCAAGATACACACAGCCATTCTAATGATCTGTGAACACTTTGAGAAGTTCAGCATACAACTTACCATTTCTCTGCATGATACTATGTGTAATAAAGTACAACACTTTATATGCGAGATATGAAGTTGTGGTTAGTTTTGATCGTAATCACTTAGTGTTATGTGAAGGATTCAATATTGTCTACCTTTAATGAACTTCACGTGACTTGCTGAACTGGTCAAGGAATCACACTTTCCTTTTTAGTCTCTGAGTGCACATACATCTACATGAACGTAATGGCTCCTATATGTGTTTTCTTCTATACATTTGAGATTCTTCTTTAATACATTTTTCTATCTACATTAAATGATGATGATTATATAGACCTTATATCACAGCTAGATAGATTTTTGACAAGCTTATAAAAAGTCTATAGAGCTTGGAGTGAAATATTGCTAACTCTTCTGAAGTGAACTTTGCTGTTTTTTAAGAAGTAAAGCTTGCCAATCACTTAACATTACAGTTGACTACATGTTGTCTTGAAAAAGATATATCTGTCATTTTCTAATAAATATCTGGCATTTAGTTATCTGAGAAGCAAAACACACTTCATGAACATAAGTGTAGCTCTTTCCAAAGAGTTACACTTAATTGTTATTGAGAATTAATATCTGTTAAGTCACGATATGATATTGGTACTCCAAGTTGCAGTTCATACTCCACAGTATATAACTTTGGCCATAAGTTTCAGATAATACTCCATTGCATACAGACTTTATTACAGAAGCAGTGCTGGCTGGTCATTTAGCATTTTTATGTGTGAAACTATGGCTGGCTATCAATCAGGAACTCATAACATGGTGGCCCTTCACTTTATACAACAGCTGTTATCAATTTCAGACAGTGCTTCAAGTTGAATTAACTTTACCAGAGAAGGACCACCAGGTTAGTGAAGAATCACCAGATTAAGTTTAGCCATTGTCAGGATGTGAAGCCATGGCTCAACGTCTATCAGGAACTCATGAAATGGTGGTGCTTTACTTTATATACCAACTACTATGAATTCCAGATATGCTCCAAGTTTTATGAACTTTGCCAAAAAAGGAGAGCCAGGTTGGCGACTTTTTGGCAAATTGAGTCTCGTCATCACCAGAATGTAAAGCCATGGCTCGCCATATACCCAGAAAGTCTAAAATGGTGGCGCTGTACTTTATAAATTCTCTTCTACAAGTTTCAGACAGTGCCCTAAGTTTAACAAACTTTGCCAAAGAAGAAGAGCCAGGATGGTGCATTTTTTACTAGTTGAGTCACACCATTACCAGGATGTAAAGCCATGGCTCACCATATACTAGGAACTTATAAAATGATGGAATTTAACTTCATGAATCCTCTGCTACAAGTTTCAAACAGTCTTCCAAGTTTAACAAACTTCACCAGAGAAGGAGAGCCAGGTTGGCGACTTTTTGGCAAATTGAGTCTCGCCATCACCAGAATGTAAAGCCATGGCTCGCCATATACTAGGAACTCATAGAATGGTGGCACTGCACTTTATAAGTCCTCTTCTACAAGTTTCAGACAGACCTCCAAGTTTAACAAACTTCGCCAGAGAAGGAGAGCCAGGTTGGCGAATTTTTGGCAAATTGAGTCTCGCCATCATCAGCATGTAAAGCCATGGCTCACCATATACCTAGGAAGTCTAAAATAGTGGCACTGGGCCTATCACTCAGTACTACCATGGTGACGGTGGGTCGATGGCTGTATAATAGCAGTGTGGCAGTCGGCCGATGGCTCAGAAATACACCTATGGTGGTGGGCCCATTGCTCAGAACACTACCTATGGCGGTGGGCCGATGGCTGTATAATAGCAGCGTGGTGGTCGGCCGATGGCTCAGAAATACACCTATGGCGGTCGGCCCATTGCTCAGAACACTACCTATGGCGGTGGGCTGATTGCTCAGAACACTACCTATGGCGGTGGGCTGATCGCTCAGAACTACACCTATGGAGGTCGGCCCATCGCTCAGAACACTACCTATGGCGGTGGGCTGATCGCTCAGAATACTACCTATGGCGTGGGCTGATGGCTGTATAATAGCAGC